TTGAACACATGGTACCCCTTCTAAAGGCCAAGATTCTATAGAAAATTACCACTATAGATTTTATCACCGGTCTACCGAATTCAGTATAAAAAGGTCAGATATATAATGCTATCCTAGTAATGATTAATCTATTAATAAAATATATTATCTATAAATCTATAAAAACTGAGACTTTAATAAAGGATTTAGCAACCTTACTATATAATAGTTTAGTTCGTTACTTCACTATATTAAAGCATATAGTGACTGACTAGGACACTATTTTCACCTTTTAATTCTGAAAAATGCTTTGTTAGTATCTAGAGGTCTAAAGAAGACTTTCAATGGTCTATCACTCCCAAACAGATGGATAGACTGAATAACAAAATCAAACCTTAAAGCGCTATCTTCATATCTACATTAACTTTGATCAGGACGATTGGGTAAGATAACTTTCTATGACATAGCATATTTATAATAATAACATGTATAATGTAACAAGCATCATCCTAAATGAAGCCCTTATAGGGTTTCGAGAGAATATTTGGATCAATGTAGATGATCATTTAAACCTTATAGAGAGTGAGGTTTCAGAAGATCTAAAGAAAGCAGCTATAGCTAAAGAATACACTTCGGAGATAATAAATAAGTGTGAACTCCTTCAAGATATACTAAAGAAGGTCTCTAAGGCCTAAGCAGATCAGTTTAATAAGACGCGAATCAACATGGTCTTCAGAATTGGGAATTGGATCATGCTTTGTACTAAGAATCTGTAATCTATTCAAGAGAAACAAAAGCTAGATAATAAGTAGATTAGTTCCTTTCAGATTATTGTAATCTAGAGTATAAATGTATATAAATTATATCTATCTCTATAATTTCAGAAGTTATATCCCGTCTTTCATATCTCTCTACTCGAATTATATTAGGGTACAGCCAGAAATGTTATGCCTCTAAATACAGTCTTTGTAGATGACGAAAAAGAGTACGAAGTAGAGGAGATTCAACAGGAGAGAGGGCCTCTGAATAGAAAAGAGTATTATATTAAGTGGGCCAATTACTCTAAAAAAGACTGCACTTAGGAACCATTCAATAGTATATAAGATACTATTGCCTTCAAATGATATTTATAAAAATCTACAAAAGGACCCCGAAAGTGGACAAGGAAATAACTATTTTCTATTCCTATTTGAACCTATCTTAATGTAGGACTTAATACACCTACTTATATCAATAAACTGAGACAAATAAGGGCCGAAGTCACTTTTATATCCAGAAGAAAAGAGATTTGATAGACTAATCAGTCTTTATAATAGGATTATTAGAAAGAATCTAGTCTATTACCATACAAATCCGATCTATGATTATGGGGTTCAAAAGAGCAGACTTGGAAATAAGATTTATAATAAGATTAAAAATCGGATTCACCGAGGCTAAAGGTGTAGGAGGAACAGGATCTAAAGAAGGTTTTAAGAAGGTAGTAATCACCGCTGCTAGATAAAATGAATGGGAAGCTCTATAAGAATTATTATCATTATCTGACTCCAGTGAATTTATACTATGATAAGCCTTTTTTTATTCTTTTAAAGAAGTAGTACTACTATCAGGAGAATAAGAGCGATAATATATGTAATATTTACTCTTCTTAACTTTCAACTTATTAATCTTTACAGCTTCCAACTCAGAGGAACTATTCTTAGAGATATTATCAGTCTTTACACCTCGTATCTCTAAATCAAGTCTTCTGACCATTTAAAGGCTAGTAATCGTATTATTAAGAAAGTATAGCTGAACAGCCTTCTAAATACAGGCTACGAACTGAAGAGGAACCTTTAATACATTAATATAAAATATTATATGAATATAAAAATCTACTCTTAGGCATTAATAATATTTTTATTTATATAAGACACACATCTTCCATATTGTATCATCAGAGTGGAGGTTGTTAACATAAAATTTAAAAGCTCTAATCATTAAGCTTTAGATGCAGGTCTGGCACTAGATAAGATATTTAAGTATCTTATTACATTCATGAGAAGGCTAAATACAAATAGAAAAAGACTCGGTACTGTTAAATACATCATAAGAATATTGATTGTGGGAAAACAAACCTCTATGGCTGCCAGCTAGAGTACACTTTGTATGAATAACTTTAGTGGGTGAGAAAACGTAGAAGGCGATATGAGGAGATAGCACATCCAAATCTAAAAGATCTTCAAACTCTGAGAAATGTTCATCAGATTTCTAAAGGCCAAATACGTTCTGATGAATCTAATTAATATACTCCTTCTCTTTACTCTTTGACAAAAGCTTTACACCTTTCGAAGATTCATCTATAAGAATAGGAGCAGTCGGCATATTAACAGGAATAAATGCACGAATCGGAATCTTAGGATTCATCGATATGTTAGAATGATCAGAAAGATGGGGCTGATGATTGGCAGCTGTAAGAGCTTGCTTGGTGATACATGTGACGTATTCTAAATCAATATATGATATCGATTTGGATCTAAGAGTGATAGTCTATGAATTATCAGCTTATTCTAACATTCAAGGCTAAATGCCCCTTTCAGAAGGGAACGGAGATATAAAAGAAAGATTTTAAACCATAAAGAAGGATTCAGAAAATGAATTCAATATTAAAATAAATAAAACTTCTAAAGCATCATGAACTAGTACTAAAATTAAAATACCTCTAAATATCATCTTAAAGCTCGTTTAAATTTATTTAAATGCGAGGAATAATAATCTAAGTATCAATATATCAAATGCCCTGGGTAATAAACGAAGCAGATGTGGTAGAGGTGTAGAGAATAGTCAAAGGAGTAAAGTAACATATAGTAACTGCCCACAAGCGTTTTAAAACATTAATATCTTTAAATATTATCTAAAAATGGTGCTGAAAATGTAAGGAACATGACAAATAGCCGCTCAGGGGTCAGAAGTCAAGAAAATCCACTTATAACAGTAGTAATAATTCTAGGGAGGCTGGGGGGTGAAGACATAGGATTCGAAGCCATATTGAAAGAGGAAAATTATAAGACAGTAGAAAGACGAGATTTATGCACTGTCTAGTGGGATACAAATGCGTCAAACCATATCTCCTACTGTTAGAGGAAGTGAATTCAATATTATAGAGCATATCATTTTGTATACAAATATCTCTATCATTACACCGAATTGACACCTGTAATTTGTATAGACCATAGCGGCTAAAGAGGCCTATCTAATGATACTAAGCAGAGCGTGAGGCCATGCCTTTCAGAGGGGGGAAATAGCTGTAACGTCCCTATTTAAATGTATAGAGGTTGGTGTTAATTCTATATAATGCACGTGACGCGGGTGCTAGTGAGTCACGTGTCTAAAGACACCGCTCATAAACACTGGGCCGAATTCTCATAGTAAAAGGGGGTAGCGAATAGCTACCCATATGTAGGGCACATACTAGTGAAGCCTCATTCGACATAGGAATCAATATATTCATGCTCTACCAACCCTAGCCCTTACAGCAGGGCATATACTAGTGAAGCCTTATTTGACATAGGAATCAATATATTCACACTCTACCAACCCTAGCCCTTACACTATTGAAACAATAATATAAATAATATGAATTAATATTTTATACACAATAAGCATGTGACTCAGCAAAGCAGATATTTCTAGATATAGAAGTAGACAACTCTAGATATAGAAGTAAGCGGTTTAAGATATTAAAATAGATATTTCAATATTCTTTAATATATATAGACACTTATTTATTATTATATATTTAGTTGATTATCTTTTATCTTTATCTCAAATAATATACTATTATTTAGTATTTAATAATCTTTTTACTATTACTATTATTCTTGATAGATAGCCCTTTGATATTGATCTTACATTATTCTTTTATCTTGTGTTAGTAGAATATCCTCTAAGATCTCCGATCTTGAGACGAGTTGTTGACAACTTTTGACAAATTGGATATATAATATAGCAGATAGTAGATTATATTTATTCTAAATTTAAGTTTCTATCTCTATAGAAATATAGATATAAGAAGTATATTGAATATCAAAAATTAACTAACTACTTTTTATCTAGCACAGCGCTAATGTTTATTAATGAAATTAAATTAACTGACTAGTCAGTTGCTTATGCATTGAAGATAGATCTATGCAATATTTGGTATCGCCATGTTTCAATGAACACATTGATGGATGGGTAATTCCTCTAAATGGAATATAATAACCCTAATATGGCACTAAAATAACTCTAAATAGCTATCTAACTGCATTAAGTAATTATAACTATCCTAATTAAATATAATATTTCTATATCTTAACTATCTCAAAAAATAACCTTAATAACTTTTTAATAACTTGTAATAACTAAACTAGTCATTTAAATATAATAAAAATTAGATATATAATACAGCAGATAATAGATTATATCTATTCTAAATTTAAACCTCTATCCCTACAGAAATATAGATATAGAGAGTATGTTAAATATCAAAAATCAATCAACTATCTTTTATCTAACACAGCACTAACGTTTATTAATAAAATTAAATTAACTGACTAGTCGGTTGCTTATACATTAAAGATAGATTATACCTGTTCCAAATTTAAGCCCCTATCCCTATGGAAATGCAGGCGTGGGGAGTGCGTTGAATATCAAAAATCAACCAACTACCTTTTGCCTAGCACGGCGCTAACGTTTGTTAACGAAATTAAATCAACCGACTAGTCGGTTGCTTATGCATTGAAGATAGGCTAGCACGACATGAACAAGAGCATAACATCTGTCCTTTGCGACTTTCCTCCAGTTTATCCATTAGGGACAGAAGAGGTGGAGCTTAAGCATGGCTAACTACTGTAAGAATGCCACGTATTATAAATCCATAAGCCATTCTCCAAAATGAGCTGACGCTTAAAATGTATATAAGCCTCCCTATTTCAGCTGGACTTTGGTCCCCTTCTGAACATCTACAAATCGCAAGAAGCAAGGTGAAAATATCCTGACGAAATTTCATAACGCCATAATAGAAGCCATTAAGTATATTCCTACATAGCCCACATAACACACCTACATCTCACAACTTACCTCCTAGAAATGTCCTCCCTCACCTACACCACCGACCCTACCGGCCCCGGCCAACAAGCCAGCGAGGCATACCACTACTCACAATCTATCATTCTCCCCTCGGGTATCATCAAGGTCTCCGGCCAAGACAGCTAGGACAGCTCCCAATTCCTTCCCGCCGACATGAAGTCTCAAATCGACCTCGTGTTCGCCAACATCGATCAAGTGCTGCAAAGTCATAGCTTAAGAGGTTGAGAAGATGTGTATTTGTGGCGTAGTTATACGGTGGGTATAGATGACATCATGCAGTATTTAGTGCCAAAGATAAGGAAAAGGGTCCCGGGGCACCGGCCTGTTTGAACATTATTGAGTATGCCGAGGTTAGGGCTCGAGAAGATGTTAATTAAGATTGAGGTTGAGGCCTTTGCGCCGTGAAGCGAGAATAAGAATGGAAGAACTGATGTGGGGAACTGCCTAAAAAAAGAAATTGTCCAGTCATTCATATTTCTTCTGGATCAATGTTCTTTGTATAGTGAGATTATTCTGAGCGATCCGTATCTTGAAAGACCCCGAACCGGAGTGAGACAAATGCGCGGATGTTAATCTTATAGATCAGTGCCACATGACTATTAATGTATTATCTTGTCAAAGAATAAGCCCCCCCCCCCCAGAAGAGCAATGACGGTGTTGACAAGCCGGCTTTTCCTCGAGTTGTAGTTTCCCCAAGTGCACATATTCAACATGGTTTATCATATGTGACACGAGAAAACTTGCGCGTTCTTTCTTTATTCGTCAGCAGTGTGTCCCCAGGGCATATGATACATTGAGTCTTTTCGCAGACTAGGGAAAACGGGTTCAGGCTGTAGCAAGGTGAGGGGCGCAGCAGAAGGATGCTCTTGCTTGATCAGATCTTGGGAACTAATTGAAGGCTGTTGCGGCCGGCGGGTCTAGGAAACTCGTGAGGCGAGCGCGAGAAGGAGCGGTTTGTCCGAAATCGGTCGCGTTCCAGGCGCAGCAATTACCGGTTCGACATCTGCTATGGTTGCCATGATATAACGGTCCCAAGGCAGAGTTAACGCGGTCGAAAATACGCGGTTGGAACGTGCACATGTGACTTCCTCAATGAATAATTTATAGTAAGGCTCTGGCAATTGAGCCAGGTAGGAATTTCTTGGAGTGTATTGGTCAAGGCGATTTCGAGAATGAATGTGTCAGAGCCGGGGACCACCATTATCACATTCAGTGCAGTGGCCACAATTCTTACGAATCGGTGTTGAGACTTTATGCCTAAAAATATACATCACAAAACCCGCTTTCTATCACAAAACCCTCCGCGCAGACAGGCTCGCAATCACATCTTTGACTCGAGGAATATTCTCTTCAAGAACATCGACCACTTCAGTCCACAACGCCTTTTGCAAGATCTTGCCTTCATCACTCGTAATGTACTCACCAGGTCTATTGTATTTGTCAGCGTAACCCCATTTTTATCTCTTCTTCTTAGAGGTTAACTCACGGCCTGTAATTTCCATCTGCAGACCACCACCGTCCGTGTGAATCCTTTCCTAAAGTGGATGCGCCAACAAGCACGCGAGCACCATTTTCCGCAGGTCTCATGAGCAGAAAAGATCCAATGCCCTTAGCAATAACCCATAGAGTGGTGTCGAACTCTCTTGCAACGTCACTCCGGCATGCACCAGGACACGCATCATTAACAATCACCGTTGGTTCGCCATTGGCGTCGAGACAGCGATATGCTAGCTCTCTTGTGATCCACATCATGAACAACTTGGAGGCCACATGCTGTTGATACAGTCCCACGCCAAGGTCACTGTTGTATTTGTGGAGAAGCTGAGCTTTGTCTTGAAGTTTCAGCTGCGCGTCGATGTGCCCTGTCGATGTGACCACAACTAAATGTGCTGGTAAATCTCCACTTCGGGACGCTTGCAGCTTTGGGGTGAGGAGGATCGCTAAGAGCGCAGTCCCGAGAGTATTGACTTGAAGATTGTTCTCCCATCCCTTCTCAGACAGCTTGAAGTTGCGACTAATGATACCTGCGTTAAGAACAGCGACATCGACCTTTTTCAAGCTCTCAACTCGCTTAGCGAATACATCGATACCTTCGAAGCTGGCCATGTCCAATTGCCATACTTGGACAACGCCTGCCCGCCCTGTCGCCTTTTCAATCTGCGCTTTTGCTATTTCGCCCTTCTGCAGACTCCTGACACCCAGAATGACGGTTGACGCGGCGAGTTGGACATATTTGAGGGCAGTTGCATAACCCACGCCGGTGTTTGACCCTGTCACGATGATGGTCTTGCCTTCGAAAGTCGTCGTAATTTGCTTGGGGGGGAAAAACTTGCCCCTGAGAATGAATACGGGACCGGGCATTCTGGAACAACCGTGAGATAAATCTGTTTTGAGGAGTCTGATAAAGGAAAGAGTATGATATGATGATTATCATGGAAGTCTTTGTTCAAGATTGATGGATTTTGTGATTGAGCTGCTCCATGGGAGCGATCGAAGCCCATATATAGCCATAGGGGGATCGGTCGGCAGCGGATACTCCGACTACTACGCGAAAATGATAGTACGGTGATTCTCCGAGGACTCTGTTGAGAGAGCGTCTTGCTCTATCGTGTTGCTAAAGGAGAGTATCGCTGGGCACGGAAAACCCGATATACCCGATGTCTTAGCACTAGGCTTAAAATAGTTTAAGCCCATGAATTCCGGTGACGTAAGCGGGCTTATCATTTCGGGTCGGAATGGCCGCTGCCGTCCCGTATTTTACGACGGACCACAACATCAGCCGGTCCATATATTTGTACGAAATCCCCGGTCACCACGATGGACGTACCGGAACCATCGTCAATGATGAATCTGCGGCTAAGGAGGCGAGCGTGCCTCAGCTGCACCGGCGCCAAGGTCAAGTGCACTTCTTCTTCGTTGGGCGCAGAATCATGCGGAAGATGTGAAAGATTGGGCAAAGAATGCGTCTATGCAGAGCCTTCTTCTGGGGCAAGAACAAATCGGAGAGAAGCCTCGTGAGTGTCACAACCACATCTGCTGTCTGCATGGTCTTGTAGGATTAGAGGTCTATGAGAGCGCTTTAGAATAGCGTGCACAAAAGAAGTGACTTGAGTGCGTGATGACATGCCTCAATTCAATCACTGAACTCGACCTAATGACCAAAGTGAAGTCACTTATTCAAGTAGACTGGAGGCAGTGATTGAGGACACCCTTCCATATACACTAGGTATTTCATCGGCATAGAACAAGCTAATTCGTCCTCAGATCTGCCAAGAGACTCGAGGAGAAGATGGAGCTGTTGTCCACGCAAGTGGCTACTTTAACACAGCATCTCCATTCAGCCTCATTTCAAGGACCCCAAAGTAATCGCCCTGCCACTGAGAGTCTTTACTCCAGCATTTCATCTTCACACGACCAAATAAATGGAAGTCACTTTGCGTCTTCGGAATTCCTGTCCAGGCCCAGAGACGTTCATAATGATGGCTGGACCAACATTATTCTACACGACCTAGGAGGCCTGGCAGCTGCGGATCGTCGACTGGAGACTTTCCGAGGAGGTCTCGTCAACTACTTCCCATTTGTGGTTGTGCCTCCCACAGTCAGCGTGGAAGCTCTTCGATACGACAGTCCATTCCTTTTCTTGTGCATCATGGCCGTCACTTCTTTTGAGGATCCCATACTACAGCGCAAACTAGGTCAGGAGATCAAGAAGCAAATTTGTGATCGCTTAGTGATGGACCATGAAGTTAGTATGGATCTTTTACAAGGTCTTTTGGTATTCGTGGCTTGGTATCAATACTTCTGTCTGCCTGGGAAGCATCAATACTTCCTCATGTTACAGCTCTGTGTAAATATGTGCCATGAGTTGAGATTAGACTCGAATGAGAAGGGTAAGAGAGGTCTAGAGGAGGCTCAAACTCAGGGGAAAGCGCGAAGTCCGGCAGAGATGAGAGCTCTTCTTGGAACATATTGCTTATCATCTTTGTAAGCTCTACCTGCACAGTGGTAATTTTTGTGGTCGTCGAGCTGACTGTTAACTCTAATAAGGTCATCGATGGTGTTGAGAAAACGGACGATTATGTACTACACATCATATATGGAGGATTGCTGCACATATCTCTCACAACTGAGGGATGTTCCCAGCGATCAATTGATCGCGCCATTTGTGGAAATCCACGTCCTTCAGCGGAAGATTAGTGACGCTTTCTGCCACCACGATATATCTACCTGCGACATAAGAGGGGAGCGCGCACTCCAGATCACCGTTGATTCTTTCTCTCGTGAAATTGATGGACTTAAGAAGAGTATTGGCTCAACAAACAGAAATGCTATTCTGGTCCAACAACTTCACTTCTTGGAAGTCTGGATTCGCGAAGTTGCGCTCTATAACGAGCTTTGGCAAAGCGCATTCGTGTCTGCCCGACTCACTCAACAAGAGACTGATCACTCAATTCAGTTCTCAATGCAGCGGACTAATATGCTGTGGCAGCTGGTCGCAGCAACTGTCTCATTTCATGATTGGTGTCTGTCAGTTGACAATGCTGAGCTACTTCATTTTCCATTCTCCTGGTGGGCAGAACATTCTTACGTCATTATTGTTCAAGTGAGGACGGTTTTCCTCGACTGTAGGACAGGTATCACAGGAATAGAACGGATAAATATACGGGAACATGACCAAGCAGAATCACTAGAAGCTGACTTCAGAAGAGCTGCTAAAAAGGAAGTCATGATACCTCATACGCTGGATGTGTATATGGGGAAATTAGCCACAGTGACCACGCAGCTTGTTGATGACGACGGCAACAGGGACATGATATATAATTATGGGGTATTGCTCAAAAGCATACAATCTGGGTATGAAAGCCGAATCGGGGTTGAGAATAGACCTACACCGGGGCAATCTGAAACGCAGCGAAAGCAACCACCCCTTTCACAGCTGTCGCATCCGGAAGTCAGGAGTACGGACATACGAGGATCGACGCCGCCAGCAGTTAGCACAAATCATATGGAGCTAGAAATAGGTGACCTGCACAGTTCTTCTACAAGTCAACTGGACTTGCAATTTGATTTGGCCGAATCTGGACAACTAGACGCGCAATCAGATTTGGCCGAACCTGGATTTGACGACTTCGTGTGGGACACGATGATGAATGAGTTTTCATTCCTCACGCCCCAAAATGGACCATCTCTTTGATGTCTCGCTGAGGTTAGCTCATACAAGCTTGGAAATATCATCAAAGCTGTATTGATAGACTGCTTCTGAGCTACTTGAGGGTTAAAACCTGTAAACGCGTATTTTCTGGATGTTAATGTAGTTCTATAGTTAATATATGTGACACTCTACAGTTATGTGAGGTTGGAGGATGCGAAGTGGCCATCAGCCGTGGAGTACTGACTTGTTAGGGCGGATTTGCTAGGTGCGTATATATTGTCTGAGCAAATATGTTTGGCTTTTGTATCTACTGTATTAGGCTGTATGGAAATGGCATCTGATAGTAAACCATCTGGTAGATGGCAGTAGTTAATATCACTATTCTTTGCGTGTTCTGTATTTAATTAAAAAGGTAAGTTATATCTTCTAACGCGATATGTGTCTGAGAATAAGGGATTCTGTTAAATACTTATTATTAAATATTTATTAAATTCCTTAGTTCTTATCCTGCTGTTTCTGGTAGCTAGTTAAGCTAAAGGCCTATTTAATTATGTTATATTTATATCTACTTATATAAGTATATCCAGTCGCTTTTCTGGACTGGTCTTCTATTCGTTTGTGTTGGGACTAAAATAAATATGCTGTAATATGTACGCTTTTCTGGTATGCATTTTCTATAGAAGGTGTATAACTAGACCTGGCTGGAGGGTCTATGGTCTGGACTCTCTACCTGTTAAGGGACTATTAACGAGGGGTTCTTTGTTTTCATAAAAGTGTATAAAATGTTATTTATAAGTAGAAAATTATCTATTTAGGTCTGTTTATATGTTTTAAAATATTACTAAAGAGGGTTTATGTTGGTTTATTGAAGTAATTATTGAAGCAATCGAGATTCCGCGCTCTGACGCGCCGGCCGCAGGCCACGCGAGGACTCACGTGATCCTGTTTGGAATGGGGGTTATAACAACACGTCGGTGTCTGGTTCAGATAGTACACACAATCATATACGTTTTACCCTACTAGGTTGAGAACCTTCATAACAACACCACGTACGCGTACATTCATTTGTTACCGTGCACGTAGACCTCTTGATAAGTCATCCCACAGTTTAAGATCAAAATTTGGACTTTCTTTGATGTCTTGGTGGGTCTAAATTGAGGGTGAGCTTTAGTATATGTATAACTAAGTTGTTAATTGTCAGCAAGCTAGTGCGATAATAATGCGCCATGGAACGGTATGTCAAAACCATGGTTTTGACGCGTTATTTTTCTCTGCAATTTCCGACAATTTACCATTATTTGGGTAATTATTAGCGATCAGCTCCACTAGTAAATTGGGTATAAATTAGGTCTAGTTTCCAGTTATTCAAAATTCAGGCTTCTTTCCCTTTGCAATATTGGAACACACTAATACTGCACTAAAATTCCTTGCACTATAATCGGCCAACATTAATATAAAGTTTGTTTAGTGTAAAAGTGGTTTTGGTGGGGCGTGTCCAGCCTACTTTGTATGGCCAGATGATATCATTTCAGCTTCATTTTGGATTGTTCTGAGTGAACTATTCAGGCTATCTCCACCGCGGTGCGTGCCACTATAAGGGCCGTCTCCCCGACTCTGGCGCCGAGTCGGTATGCCGTTTCATTCACGGCCGAGACAATACCCTGCGTCAGCGTTGACTTACCGTCACCAATACACGCCGATTCTGCGGCAACCGTAGCGGCGGCAATGCCTTCAGAATCGAGAATAGGAAGGCAGGCTACACCCGCACGATCAGCGCCGAACCCGGCATCATTGAAGAAAGCGAGGCGTGGCCTAAATGAACTCGTCATTCCGGCCGCGATTGCACCGCCATGGCTACCGGTTGCCACGACCAAGCCTGAATCTTCTGGATTTCCGAGTAAGAGGGAGTCTATGCAGAGGACGCCGTGAATAAAGGTACGTCCCTCGACCGGCGGCTGCACGTCTGCATGAGGCCAAGGCGCGGCTTTCATAAGCTTCGCTGCTTGTACGACAGTTTGACCGTTCTCTACACCACACATGGCCGCAATTCTGTTGACACGGCTGATGACCCCGCGTTGGAACATGTCTGCACCGTCGCCGACGCGGGCGCTGTCAGTAGCGACGGCCGCCATAGCCATGCCGTGTCGTTCCGCCCAAAGCAGGCCTCTGACCCCTGCTTCATCTCGACCGATGCCGCAGTCATGATGAATAGCAGCCCGAGCGCCAGCTTTGGCCGAGATAAACGTCGCGTATATCGCGGCATTCGAGCCGCCAACAACGACGGCGCCGTTAGCTTCTGGAGGAAGCTTTAACATGCTGTCAACCACCAGAACATAAACGTTACTGCCGCTGCTGTAGTTCGCATAGAGCTCCGACTTATCCAGGTCTTTAAGAGGGGAAGTCATTTGGTGTGGGGAGGAGGTGGATAACACCGTGGGTTGACGTTGTGATGAGCTAGCTATCTTTGAATGACTTCGAGCAGAGCAATCGGGGCATGCATGAAACAAAATTAATGACTCAAGGCGGTCCTGAGAATAGCTGTACTTAAGTTGCCTATCCTCATTCGCAGAGGTAGCGAAGGCCGTAAGCCAAAGGCGCCAGCGGCATCGTTGCGATTCCAGAATTGACGAGTTGACCACGGTACTCCGGGGCCGGGAACGAGGGCCATTTGTGATTATTCATACGGCTCTAATGTACATTGATATGCACACCTGATCTTTTTGATTACATAGCCTCTCCGGAAACATGACGCGACACTTCCTCAATTTCTTGTGCGTAAATTGAACCAGCTAAATCAGCCCAAGTCTCGTAATACAGGCAACTTGGAAGCCATCGTCGCTGTCTAGGGATAACGCTGCTGTGAGACTGCGTGTGAGACTGGTAGTCCTAGATCCACTACTACCACGGTGGACTTCGAACTGTGGGGTCGACGTTGGTACGCCGCATGTGCCTGGTCCTTAACCTCAAGGACTCTAAGGCACTGGCGGTCCCAGGCAGGATGAAGTCCTCCACAGTTGACGCACTTCGTCTGTCCTTGGAGCTGGGGCCAGCTGGCTTCGCCTTGGGGGTGCGCTGCTCCCGCGTAGTAGAAATCAAACGGCTTTGATAATTCGATCTTCTAACATACAGAAGCCGTCGGGCAAAAAAAACAGCGACTCGATATGAAGAGATGTGCCTAGATTTCCCTGCCAAGTATTGTCGGATTTTGCGGACATGGAGTTCCGGGACGCGCAGTTCGGATGAGGATTATGGAATAGAACCTGAGTTCCTCAGTTTACATCAAACTACTTTAGCAGGCGAGACAAAATACACTAAAGCAGGGATGCGTTTGTTAGGACGTAAATCGGCTGGATAGTTACGCCGCGACCTTATGTGACTCGAATAGACTTCGTCCGAGACGGGAGTCATTCCGTCAGTCGAAGTTACTATCGATCACCATGGCCACTACGAAGCGGGAGTATATTAAGTCAGGAAATCCCATCCCCGGCGTTCACGCATGGACTTCAAGGTCACACCTCCGCCACTCTCTGCCCTTTTAATTTATGATCACTGAATCAGCCCCGCGATCATATCATTCAGCATCCACAAAGAGCTGCAACTACAAGGTATGGCAACTCATCCGCGAGTTCAACTTGTTTTTGGTGCTGGAGGTATCGGGGAGGGTCCCATAACCCACGCCTGGACCACTGGCGAGCAAACTTCCGAACTACTCGATGTATTGAAGGAGCTAGAGATCACGGAATTGGACTCAGCGGCATCCTCTCCTCCGGGAAGTCCACGGGTTAGTGAACGATTGTTGGGTGAGAGCCGTGCAGTTGGGAAGGGATTTGTGATTGACACAAAAATCGAGCGGACAGCCATCAGCGGTGGGTTGTCCGAGGCTGCCATTGATTCGAGCTTGAAGAAAAGTTTGGAATTACTGGGTGTGAAGCAATGCAACATCCTGTATGCGCATTTCCCAGACCCAAACACTCCCGTCGAGGAGAGTGCTCGGGCTTTTGATAAGCATTACCGAGCTGGACTTTTCAGAGAGGTGCATCCTAAGCTCACCATTATCTTTTAGGCATCTAATAATTCTGTAGCTTGGCTTATGCAATCACTCCTACGAGCAAGTGAGAGAATGGTTGCAAGTTTGCCAGAGACATAATTATGTTAAACCCACCGTCTGGCAAGGTCATTACAACGCCATCAGGAGAGCGCCTGAAACAGAACTTTTCCCATTCTTGAAAGAGCATAATATCCGAATACATGCTTACAGGTCCGCTGCACCATTGATTGACTGATTGCAATGCTGATTTCTCGCAGCCCACTCGCAGGAGGTTTCCTAACAGGAAAGGTAAGTCTGGCTACCGAAGCAAGGTCACTTTCTGGAGGTCGCTGGGAACCAGGTCGCTTTCCATTTTATATTAAAGCATTCGATAAGCCGGCTATTCACACTGCTATGATTGCATTTTGTAAGAAATGTGATGCTGCAGGTGTAACGCCGACGGAAGTCAGTTTGAGATGGATTGTGCATCATTCAGCTTTAGGAGAGGGAGATGCGATCATTCTTGGGGCGTCGAGGCTTGATCAGTTGAGGAGTAATGTCGAGTTTTGTAAGAAGGGACGTTTGGATAAGCGGCTGCGGGAGGTTTATGAGGAGCTTTGGAAGGGTGTTGAGAAGGATCCTCCAGAATGGTTTTGAACTCCGCATGATGCGAGAACCTGGTGGAATCCATATTCAAAGAGAGAAATGAGGTTCTCTAATATATCAAAATGCTTCTAGTTTCGAGTTTCAATGAAATGGTAATTAAAAACACAATTGAACTATGTCCCTCGGAAGAAATCCCCTGGAGAAGTTCAATTCTGTAATATGGATCTACGGTTCTCTTGTCTGACGGCGTCCACGCTTCCGGAGCTGTGAACATGCCTGGTGCTCAGCTGTAATAAGCTTCACTAAGCACCTAGGCTGCAGCGGTATAGTCATGAAATCGACCACAAGAGACACAGAACGGGTATACTACGTAGATTCTACACATCCTCAGGAGTGACGTATAAGTTAGTGGGCCAGGCTTGGGTGGCCCCCTCCAGGTGTCTCATTTGCTGACAAATGCGGTAAGCTAGGGGCCTGAGCAATATTATCGGAACTCCGGAATCTCTAAGAAAGATGACCACGGAACTCCGTGGCCAGGAGCAATGCGCCATGAAAACCCTATTCTGAGGCACTTTGCCTCGTTCAATTTTCCCAACTTCACTAACATCAGGCCACTACAGTTACATAAAATTCCAGATACATTTCTCTATGGCTGAGATTACGGACCACTCGTCAGCTTTCAAGTGTTCAATCTGTCGAAAATCTTTCGAGCAAGGTTGTATTCCAGTCCACGTACCGAGAACTAGGCTTACTGGATATGGTAGAATCGTCATGCAAACGCCACATTAGACGTTGCCGACGAAAGCAGCCTACACCACCACGGCAGAAGTCCTGTTCCCATTGTGTAAGTGACAAGACACGCTGTGACTTACGACAACCTTCTTGTTCGCGATGTAGCGAGAAGAAATTGGGATGTAGATATCCCTCCTCTATTTCTACAGATCGGTCGGCGGGTATTGCACCGGAGCATTGGGATGCAGTATCGTCAGATGTATTAGAGTCATGGACATATCCACCAATTTTGGATGGAGGGCAAACGATAATAGACAATTCTCTTACGGCGTTCGAAGAAACATCATTAGTCTCATTAGGGGCTTCTTTCCCTTCCACCACGTCCTCCCTCGGCATGTCAGAGATTTATGGCTCGTCGTACCAACTCCAGGCGCCACATTCTTTATCACCCCTTCCTCTCTCCTCAGAGACCACGACTCTTTCCGCCCCATCTTCGCAGATGCTAATTTATTGTCCTTGGAGGCAAAGAGATTCTGGTTGTGTTCCCATCGCCGCATCAAAACCTTTATTAGAACTAACTCTTGTAGGCGGTGGAGATAAGCTGTCGGCCATTCGTAGTAGATGGATCAACCCGTTATTCAAACCTCCGAATAGAACAGTCTCCGTGAACGAAGCCTCGGCCAGGTTCATGACGCAGGTTCTAAAGTGTTACCCAAAGATGATGGCTAGGGACGGCACTTTACCACCGATGATTCATCGGCTACAAACTACGTCTAGAACCATCCCTACGCCGCTTGTGGATTGTCTAGCTTGGACAAAGATGTGGGAACACAGAACAGGAAATCTGGACGCGATGTTATTGAACGCTATGCAAGGCGAGGTTGAGAGGCTGTATAAGAATGTATGGCACCCTGGAGTATCAGGTCCTATTCTGCTAATGGTAAAGCGTAGTATCGCTCATATGAACAGGTCGATTTGTTGGCGGCGTTACAAGCAAGTTTGATGTACTCGATTATGATATATCTCGACTCCAATACTATGGCGAAATATGGCACCCAACTCGTATTAGGCAAGCTTCAAGAGATGGCATATCGTCTACTGGCTACGACAGAATTTCCCAGGGCCGACATTTCTAGCAAGGTTCCTGACCGCGAGTTGTGGGCAATTGCTTCCGCAGCACAGCGAACAGTATTAGCGATATACGTCTTCGACTGTGTCGTCTGCTTTCTGAACCGCATACCAGTTTACTCCTGTGATGAGCTCGACTTCATCCCAGCTCCGGTGTGCCGACGGTTATGGGAAGCTCGGGAGTATGAAACATGGAGGGAAGAGTATGGAAATTGGTTCAAGGTGTGGAAGGGCAGGGAAGTACTAATGGGTGAATTACTGATACAACATACGGAGTCATACGCCTCTAAGCGGGTGGAAGAGTGGCTTAGTGAGGCTGATGAATTTGGGATGTTAATATTCACGGGGTCACTGCTATCTGTAAACAGTAAATAGGCCTACTGCGCAGTTCGACGCAAGAAAGAGCTCTAGGTCTCTAGGTATAGAAACGAATCCCGCATGTTCAAGCAATACAGTTGGTTGAGATACAGGCCATCTCTGTTTTAAGCCGCCGCTCTTACTGGCACTCTTGCCTCAAGCGTCCTTATTTTACGTCTTCCGAAATCCGTACCACCACCCCTTTGCATATGGGCAAAATAGAACCTCTACATAAGAGAATAAATGGCTATATTCTCTATGATTGCGGGGTCCTGATAGTATTCTTATATAACAGTTCTACTATAGTACAATTACCGACATCAGGAGCTAAACATTTGGACGGCACAGGTTAAAGACATGGGAACACATTCCTCCCAAGAGTGTATCTGAAGGCGTTACGGCTGGGATAAATCGACGAACGTAATCCTGCATACCGTATAAATTTGCAAGTCTAATTCTTTGCAGAGAACCGAGCAGTATTCAATCGAGCTGGATTCAATCGACCTGGCTTTGTTGGTGCGGAAAAGAGACAAAAAATGAAGTCACAGAACTGGAGGAGAAGAGATATTAATCTCGCCGAATTCGAAGTTTGTTATCACATTTGGCAGCATAGACCTTACTCTCAAATAGCAGATATACGTCATATCTGCGCTCACGTGAAGTACTTCAGGGAGCTAGTACTCAACAGCCATGGTAGTTTCCAAAACATATTCCTCTTCGACGCTCTCTAATGTCATTATACGAATCGAGTACGGGGGCAAGCTACTAATTTCAGCTACAGTGCTGAAGCTGGGCATTTCCGAGTGCCGAGCGGAGAAAGGATAAGTGAGACTTCAACAAGAAGGTATCTGGAGTTCCGTGTAACGCTACCGAGATTGCAAGTAGCAGTATCAATAAAGAGTTTCTTCAACAGGTGGTCGAGCGGAGAAAGGCGTTTCGTAGAACATGGAGTTCCGAGTTCCCCGGGAGCAAACGAAGGTCACGGCGGCGAATGCCTTGATGAAAAGTTGACTTCGGAAGGGATACTGACATGAATCTTAAGTTTATGGGCTCCAAGCTACCAGTCTTTGTACATGAAAACTGCTATCAAGCAATGGCGCTTATTCAGAGCCGTGAAGACCTGACGGGAGGCCTTACCAATTCGCGCTGGGTCAGGGAATAAGGATATTCGGCTCTGTCAGTGTGTCAACTATTTAAGGGCAGCATACACCCCATATTATCTTTCTAAGTAGGTATTCAGCGGCCAATTCACCATTATTCTCTTACAGTCTCATCCTCTTTAAGAAATCACAGTTTCGGTATTCAAGTCGAGATGGCGAACCAAAGTATTATCCCTGACATCTCTCACTTCGTCACGTCGTACGATCCGCAGGGTAAATCAACATTCCTCGCTGCGCCAAACCCACCACTTGTGCAGCAGAGTAATGATTCTCTGCGTGTGGATTACATTTACTCTACTGTCGCTTCTCCAAACGGGCCTGTCCTTACGGACATGGACGATTACAGGAAGAATGAAGATGTTCGCAGAGAACATCCATACGTCATGTTTCCCCTTGCGGGTGGAAGTGCTGCTATGGTCGCGAGTGTAAGATTCTAGAGCTTTTCTACCTTCCTTATGAAGGACTCTTTAATAACGATGATTGAAGTTTGCACCGAATCCTGATGGAAAGGAAGGATTTATGCATCGGTCGCAGACCCTTGATTACGTGTTCATCATATATGGGGAGCTGGAGTTGACTTTGGACAGTGGGGAAAAAAGGGTTATGAAGCCAGGTGACGTGTGTGTGCAGCGCGCATCTCAGCACTCGTGGAAAAATTTGAGCAAGACTGAGTTCGCGAGGTTTGGGGCCGTTACTTTAGGGATTGAAGGTGCGAAATTGAATGAGATGATCTTTCCCGAAGCGGTATAAGCTTCTCATAGGACATCGGTCTATGGCCCCACTGATTGATGCTAAATAGTTCAAAGTCGTGATGGTTGGGAAATACAAACGCTCTGTATCATGTCAATTCACTTCGTAGAGTTTTTGAAGGAATACTACATTACATAGGTATCTTGCCTCCACGCTTGCACGCTCACTTCCCATGTCTTCTCTCCAGCCCAGCCCCCAACTCGCTCGGACGCAACTTCTTCTTATAATCAAGCAGTAACTATTTTTTGACGCCAATTATGGTGTAGTCGTTGATCATGGCGTTATTGAGCTAGTCGGAGTAGTCGTTCGACTTTGAGTAATCCAGGTCCTAACGGCCTTCTTCTTGCTCTTCGTCGTCTTTGGTGATGGAGTCTGAATCATCGTCGTCATGCGCTTGATTTCGCCCGTGTGGTAGTAATTTTGGAGCTTCGGTAGATGAATCGTCTTCACTATCAAGGTTTCTAATCCTTTAGCATCTTCTCATTCAAGTATTTTCTCTCGTTGGCCTGCCTCATTGCGTATTTTGCGCTAATATTGACGATTTCATCGTCGTTCGATGTATTACCAAGAGTCACGTTATCACCGTCCATGTTGATGTCATCGCCTTGGTCTTGTTTAGCGGGTTTTATGGCATTGTTGCTTCCGGATTTTCAAGTCACGGATCCCTGGAAGCGATGTGGATAGGCCTTCAAGGATGGCGAGGGGTTTGGAAGGATTATTCACTGCGCTTTTTAGCTTTGTAGCGTCGGGTATCATGGTGATGGGAATTAAAGACGTCTATGTTTGAGGTCTGCCGATTTTGATATCAAAGTAGACTTCGAGAAAGAGGTTGGTGATTGGAGAAAGATATGAGAACTAACTGGGGGTTTATTTAGACTTAGTAAAATAGGCTTCACAGCCTACTAGCTGAGGCTCTGAGGGCATGTCTCTGAGAAATTGTCGAATGATGATTAACTTAGGGAATTGAGGTTTGTCGATCGTTGGGTCGTGAGTTAGTTCTTAAGTACGTGTGGTCCCATCTTTCTTTTCGGTTAAATCCAAAGCTATATCCTCGCAGAGAAGAGATATATTTCTGTATGGGTAAAAAGGGTCAAATAAAATGTTGCTCTTCAGCGAAGAATTTGCGGTAAATCTCACGATTTCTGTCGTCGAGACTCTCGCATGGTTATTTGAGCACCAGCTATGTCTCCGGATGGTCATTCAGGGGCCTATTTTCGGTGGTGTTTGCAGTCAATTTAGCACTTCAGTTATTCTGAGATTTAGTGATTTATCCGTTTTGTGTGAATCCGTTACGACATGTTGCACGCGTCCCGGTACCTCCCTCCCGAATACCTATTATATTAAAAGCCTGCTGACGGAGGTAAAGGACAAAATAAACCAAATGAGCATAATAATGGACCCCCCCAAGGCCCTTTACCCTTAGAATGGATGCACATAATCCCCAACGATGGGCTAATCCATTTCTACAACATATTCCAGCGCGGCCATCTCGTCGGCACAAATCATCAAGCCTTGCTGGATATCATGAGTACGAATACCTATAACCTTGAGAAGCCATGGAAAGCGCGTGGATTCTTGGGGCAGGTTTTAGGGTTTGGATTGATTCTGTCTGAGGATAATGTACATAGAGTGCAACACAAAGCATTAACGTCAGCATTCAATATAAAGAATATTAGGAGGTTGTATACGCTCATGTGGGAAGACAAATATTTTATTAGAGCAGTTAAAAAAGGAGATGAAAGAAAATCTAATAGAGAGGTTAAATAAGAGTAGTCGATCAGGGAAAATTAAGATGTCTGTCTAGGCAAGATATAACCCTATTCACACTGCACTAAATGATGATAGCTAACTTTGGTAGTTATCTTACTCTTGATATCATCGGATCCGTAGCAATGGGTTATGATTTTCAATCTCTGATTAACAAAGAGAATAAAATCATAGACAGCTTTCTAAGAATTATAGAACCATCTTAAGAGAAGCTGATCTTTTTCAGTGTCAATGTCATCTTACCTTAATAGTTTGCGCGTCGCATTCCCTAGAACTTGAATAGAATGATCGATTAAGAACCTGGATTTCTGCGCACTGTATGCCATAATATCATCCATAAGAAACAGCAAGCCCTCAAATCACACAAAGTTAATACACAGGAATTAGAGGCGGATATTCTAGGCATAATTATATTGCGCAGAGAGTTCTTGGATAATGAGTTAGTAGATCAGATATTGACTTTTTTAGCTGCTGGTATATATTCCTTTTTCTTTGGTTCTATGATTAGAAGGCTAATAATGATTATAGCATAAAACAACTACAAGTGCCCTAATATAGACCTATTATTTGCTCTATCTCCATTCTAATATCTAGACCTATCTCTAGGAAGAAATACATACCATAATCCCCTCTATTGAATATGCTATAACCTAGAACCAATTCAAATTTATGCCTTTACTGAATAGGATATGTCAAAAATCCTAGCAATATACACGGATGGCAGTGGTATCAACAGAAAAGTAAGAGCAGCGGCAGTAGCACTGGCGATTCATGTTCATCAAACAGCCTTCCTAGATAAAAGGAGCACAGCCATAGTATACACAGCAGAACTAATAGACATTTTAATGGACCTTCATCTCGCTCTTAGAGTAAATAAGCATAAGGCGGCCATCTTCATAAACAATCAAGCTACTCTACAATCTATAGGACGACTAGGAAGACAATTAGGACAACATATCATTAAACTTATAATTAATATACTGATATAAGTAAATCTTAAAGACTTAGATATATAGCTGCATTGGATATCTATATATTAAGAAATAGAAGATAATGAACTAGCTAATAAACTTACTAAAGAAGCTATTAGCTAGAAGTAAAAATATGATAGAAAAGAATAGCTAATCGAATATAATATTAATAATACTATTTAAATATCTTTTTATATAAAAAATTTTAAATTAGCTTTAAAGATAGAACTAAATCAATAAATAAAATTAATTTAATTTTAAGAATAAAATTAAAAGATAAAAGATTAGATTATATACTATTTAATATTGTCTCTATTTAAAGAAAGATTATATCTTTATTTCTTAATTTTTGAATCCTTTAGCTTTATCATTATATAAATATAGACTGAAAAGATTAATCTTTAAGATTTTCTCTATAAATAACTAGTATTAGATAGTAATAATAATATATATTAATATAATTAAGAAAGATAAATAATGCAGTATATATTTTTATCATGTTTAAGATATAATAATCTTAGATAAGAAATATAGAAAAAAGAGAGAAGAATAAATATAATAGAAATTCTTAGTATACTCTTTAAAGTATGAAAAGCTATAAGATTTATAGTCTTTATAAGGCTTTTTAAGTAATTTAAAGCTATTCTAAAGAATAAAATAATTAAAGATAGATACTGAATTTTTAGAGTATATAATATCAATAGAAACTAAGAGAATCTATATAGATTGATACTTTATGTGTATAATAGATGTATAGTATAGTGTATATAGATTTTTATCTGCATAGCTACTATAGAGTGACTGTATCAGATGTTAATAGAAAGAAAAAGAAGAAGAAGAAGTATAAATTATTTGTTTTATAACTATCCATTTAGTGCAAACTATCTGTTTTGTGCTAGTCACCTGTTTGGTAACTGTCTATTTAGTATCAACTTTCTGTTTGTTGTTGATTAATATTTAGCACTAATAAATGAACTTAGTTGCTATTTTAATTATTATTATATCTATTTAACTAATTTAAGTAATACACTTTTCTTTATTAGCTAGAAGATTTAATTTATTAATAAATAGAAAAATAGATATTATTATTATATTTAATATAAGTTATTTCCTTTTATTATTAAATGACTGTCCTCAGGCCATTTGATAAACAGTGATAGAAAATTAGTAAGTATATAATTAATATAAGAGTGCTTAGAATATAAAGTATAATTAATAAGATATTAATAACTTATTTATTAAAATAATTTTAATAAGAGTTTATAAGATATATATTACTTTAATACTAAAAAATCTTAATATAAAACTAAAAGAAAGATCTATAATTAGATGATAAGTATATTTTTAACTATCACTTTGTTTAGAAAAATATCTAGATGTTAATATTTTGATATGATACAGCTAAAGTACATAATTATATATAGATTTTATATCTTGATGAAGATGGATAGTAGAGAGTATTAATATGCTGGAATTAGCTACGATATACTACTAATTTGTTAGGTATAAAGCTTAAGAAATATATTTGATTTGAAGTTATTCATTTATTCTAAATATATTAAGGTGCCAGCAGTGTGTATGATAGCTAAATACCAATAGGTGGTGTAAATGCGGGAAGCTTAACCTGATGTGGGTTGATCCGGCAGAATAGCAATGGCGTAACAAGTATTCAGATATTCAGATAAAACCGAACCGAAAACCCAAACCGAACCAAATGACAGCCTATATGTTTCTAACAAAATCTAACTATAGTTAAAATTTCTTTGTTTATAGTTTTGTATTAATATAATTAACTTAACGTATTCCACGGGCATTTGGATCACACGGCTATTTGGATCACCCCATCAAATTTCTTTAACTTTTCAATCTATCACTTATTTTAAAGCCTCATTTTTCAGCCAAAAATAGTTAAAAATCATACTAAAAAAAGCCTAGATTATAAAGAGCGAATTTCTCTTGCTATTAACGCGTTAAAAAATAAAAAAAATCACAGGTCTTCGCAAAGCAGCGTGTTTTTATGATGTGCTATTCTCAACTCTTCAGAATCGATTTTATAACTATATTAAAATGTCAACTACAGGTCTAAAATGTTGAAAATTAATATCTACTGAGGAGGAATTGCTTCGTATGTGATATTATCTATAGAATTATATAGATACTCTATTTAACCTCAAATGCTTTATACTATAGCTAATATTCTGCTTTCAAAACAAAGAAATCAGACTAATCCACTTATTATTGATATAAATTGGATATATATCTTTTTAAATCATTAACCTAATCTTAAAATGTGATTCGCATATCAATTAACATATTCTTAAGCTAAATATAAAGATCTAAAGTTTATAAATAAATATTTTATTAATATACAATATATTCAAAACGAATATAGAATTATAAATAAAGATATTTATAACTTTAATAAGATTAGATTTATATTAAAGATCATTACTATAATAAAAGTTATATATAGCTATGATTAATTAAATAAACTAAGCCTTATTCAGTTTAGAAATTATAAATAAATTACTACTGTTAAATATATAAATATATAAGGCTTTATATTTTCTCTATTGATTATATTTAAATCTGATAATAAGTAGACTAATTAGTATATTTATCTAAGTTTATTATTTAATTAGTTAATAATATAGTCTTTAAATAGTTAGATATTAGATGAAATTAGTTTACCTTGGCTTTAAAATGTATTTAATAAATTAATAAAGTCTTATATAATTAAAAGATATTAATTATTGATATTAGATAGTTATAATAGCTATTTAATATTAGAATAAAATCAATATTATTATAATAATAATATTATTTCTGTATATATATCTCTATATTCTTTATATTTATTATAATCACTTAATATGGATATTTTTGTTATTTTTAAGCGCCGCTTTAGATATATAATTGAAAATTAGATATACTATAGTATTAACTATATTAATAAGTATGATTTTCTTATTATACTGTCAGTAATATATGAAGAGATTTATTCTATTAGAAATATTATAAATGGCTTCTCTTATATAGATATTTTATTATTTAATTCTAAATTTATTCTATTTTAATTATAAATTATTATTAAAACCTCTACTTTAAAGACCTTAAGATTAAAAATTTTATTAATAAGTAATGCTTTTTTTATAATATTTTATAATATTTAGTCTTTACAGTATAAAGCTGAATTAATAAAGTGATTTTTAAAGTAATATATTATAAGTCTTTCTTTTCTTATAAATTAAGCTTTTAATTAGATAATAAAAGAATGCTTAATAGTAATATACTTTATAGTGATATTAATAAAGAAAAATCATAATCTATAGTAATGAATAAGTATAAAGCTAAAAAAAAGAAATATTAATCAAGATTACTTTATAATAAAAGTATTCTAACTGTTATTGAAGATTAGAAGCTTATTATAGCATTTTAAAAAGATAATTTACTTAATTAATCAATTACTCTAGATGAGGTTTTTTAGCCTCGTAAGTGTGCATTATCTAAGTGTATAAATTGCAGATAAATAGAACATAATTATACATTATATCGAAATAATTCTATATAGAAATATATATAATTTTCTATAGTTAATTATGAATCCAGATTGCTTTAATATGTAAAGGTGCGGGTGGGTGATCTAAATAGCTGTGTGATCCAAATGCCTGTGGAATACGTTAGCTACTATTGATTAGATAATCATTTTCGAAGTAACTTTTTATAAGTTGAATTTTTATTTTTTAAATTAGGACTTTGTTTTAGGTATTTCTATAAATATTATAATGAATACTTAATATTTAAGTTATAATCTAAAAATTATCTAGATAGTGATGATATCTTTTCTATTTTTTATTTATGTTTTTCGGATTCTGTTGTATAGTTTAGTTATTAGAGAAAATATATATATATATTTCTGTATCTATTTTATAATATTTCTTATTATTTATATATTTTTTTGGTATATCTTAATAATTAGATAAAAAATTATAATTTAAATAGTTAATTCTAATTTTTATATTATTTATCTATCTATTTTATTGAAATTTAGAGAGATTTTAATATATTTTTAAAGAGAAAATCTAACTATAATTAAAAATTCTTTTATATAGTTTGATTATTTGAATGAAAACTGGACCAGACTCAGATTGATCTAACCATAGTTAGTAATTCCTTATTAGTGTGGTTCGGTTTCGGTTTAGAGATTTAGAATTGTTTAGTTTTCAGTTCTGGTTTCAATATTGGGGACTAAACCGAACCGACCCACTTTTGGGTTTGGTCCAGAAACTCAGGACCAGAACCGAACCAAATGACAGCCTAGCCTAGAAGTATCTGCTTTATTAGATTATATATTAAGATTAATCTTAATCCTTTATAATTATTTCTAAAATAGCTTTTTATAAATTAAATTTTTATTTTTTAAATTAAGACTTTATTTTAAATATTTTTATACATATTTTAATAAATTCTTAATATTTAGATTATAGTCTAAGAATTATCTAAATAATAATAATATTTTTTCTACTTTTTATATTTTTTAAATTATATTATGTAGCGAATAATTAATCTATTTATTAAAAAAATATAGGTATATATATTTATATATTTATTTTATAATATTTATTAGTATATTACTTTACAGTTTTAATATAAGATATTATATTGGAAGATATATTTATCTTATATTTTAGCTATATAGAATTATATATTTAGTGTATACTGGAATTAGATATTATTTTATTGTATTAACTGTTACTGTATTAATAGTTATGGCATAGTGAAAGTATAACTGTTTTTAGCCTTGCTTAGACTGTCATTTGGTTCAGTTCTGGTTCTGAGTTTCTGAGCTAAACTGTGAGGCCTGGCAGCAGCGAGAGCACTGCAGGCTCACAGAGGCTTATAAGCGTGCCAATCCTGGAATTGGGCAATGGCCCAATTACCTCAGTATTACTTTTTGGCATTTAGAGGTTGGCAGTGCCAAGGAGCCTTACATAAACCTAAAAGTGAATTGATTCAGTTTAATGTTTAATATTAAAATTAAAACTAAAAATTAAATAATTTTAACTTTTTAGATTAAAATTAAATTATATTAAAAAAAAATTATTAATTATAATTAAATTAATCTAAATTTAATCTAATTTTTATTTAAATAATTAAATTATATAAAAGAATTTTTAATTATAATTAAATTTTATTTTTAAAAATATATTAAAATCTGTTTAAATTTTAATAAAATAGATAAATAAATAATAAAAAAATTATAATTAATTTTTAAAATTATACTTTTTTTATTTAATTATTAAGATATATTAAAAAATAAATAGATAATAATAAATATTATAAAATAAATATAGAAATATATATATATATTTTCTTTAATAGATTAATTATATAGTTCTGGACTTAGTGAACTGAATCACTTTAGTTCACTGGATATAGGATTAGAATCAGACCATTTGGATTTCAGTTCCGTTTTGGTTTGGTCCGAACCGAACCAAATGACAGCCTAGCTGTAAGTTATCGATTCTTGTGACAATTAATGTAAGGCTCCTTGGCACTGCCAACCTCTAAATGCCAAAAAGTAATACTGAGGTAATTGGGCCATTGCCCAATTCCAGGGTTGGCACGCTTATAAGCCTCTGTGAGCCTGCAGCTCTCGCGGCTGCCAGGCCTCACAATTAACTGGGTTATTATAATAAAGTTAGATAATTTTTACTCTAATTAATTTTAGTATATAGATTAAATTATATTGAAATATTAATCCTTCTTCTATTGTAATAATTTAATTAACTTTATTATTTATTAAAGTAAATAGCAGTCTATTTTACTTAATTTCTTTTATAATAACCCTAACCCTGAGTAACAAAAGATTCAAGTCAACCGTTCACCGGATAGCCAATCTGTCTGGAGAAGAGCGGTACTCCATCCCTTTCTTCTTTGGCGTCGATTACGACAGTACTATTTCGGTGCTCGAAAACCAAGTCTCCAATGATAATCCTCCGTGTAAGGAGCCATTCAAGGGAGGCGAGGTACGTGAAACGACATCTCTCTTGAGTCCCTTTGGACAATTTCAACTTGACGATAAACATCTACAGTATGTGCGCTGGAAACTGTCCCAAGCATATATAGGATATGGTGGGGAGCCCGCAGGTACGGGGGAAGCTGTCTGACATCAACACGGCCTTTTGGAAGATTATCTGTACCAAAACAGCTCGATAAAATATATAGTAGGACCCACTAATTATCTTAATAAGATTATACTGAGTCGTAAGTGTTTGATCAAGCTCACTTATCGATAGATCTAGTAACCTCAGTTTTGCTGTGGGCGTTAGAATGCCGGCACTCCCGGATCTCAAAAAATCCAGGCAGGGGCATTGTAACTATGACGCAGAAGCTCATATGACATAAAAGCATTCTCCCAAAAGTTAACCTTTATAATACGAAATATGCATAATTACACCGCACTGCTACTTTACTGGATTAATCAATGATTTCCATATTCCATTTTACGATCTTCTTTCTTTACCGCTTCGCGATTTCCTCGCCGATGTAAACAAAATGACCACGCACATGTCATGATAACAATATTCCTGCTCTCCAAATGTGTTTCCTCCCTTTCGTTTGACTGGGGCCATCCACTGGCTTGAACAGCATTCAAATTAAGCAAACAATTCAAAGCTGCTATTGATGCTAGATGGCCACATCCTTTCCTCTAGTGCTTGACCGTGCTGTCCCTCACCAGATCCACCGTGGCACAGTGAAAAGAGCCTCCGATACTGTTGACATGCCTGAAGGGGCAGGTGATACATTTCATCCCTAGAGATTCGTACCACTTCGCAGTCTGCTGGTCGCTAGCCTCAACAACGACCCGCTTCCCGTCCAACACTAAGGCATTGAGACTCAAGTATGGACTCGTCATATAAAGCACCGGATCCTCCGGCTCCTTCGGAGTGAATGGGTAAGGGCGTAGGTCCCAATTCGCCAGCACCTCATGTTTTAGTAGTGCTTCCTCGGTGACCTTCTGCGGGTTGTAGACAAGCAGCCCTTCGCGAAGCGGAAGGATTGTTGCGTCGATATGCATAGCATGTGGGTCATTAACCTCGAGTATCTCTATTTTGTATCCCGCAGGCAGGCTGCGCTGGACGTACTCCACGCCGGCTTGATTTGTAACGTGGCTGAGTTGTCCGAGAATTGTCTTGCCAAATCGCATAAAGTCTGCTGTGTCGAACGCGGGGCGGCTGTTGTTAATCACCCACGGACTGGACTTACTACCGTCCTCGTCCAGCAAGCTATCAGCCAAGGTGTATGGCGGGCGGCGAATGATCGTCACCCGGCTGTCCCGCGCCAGCTCGCCTAGAATGGTACCATAAGCGATTTCAATCTCATGGTTGCGGCAGGACCAAGCAAAACAGGCTTCGATTAACGTATTCTGGACGCTCATAAGCCCATCACGGGGCATTGCCCCGGTATATCCATTAACATCCAGCCAGTTCACGCCCGCGGGCGGCCGGTACACCTGAACTCCCTCCGCCTGAAGCATAGCGGCGAAGTAGTCCAGTTCAGCCTCAGCTTTGGTAATTAGCTTTTGATCGAAAGGACGTCGAGGTTTAAAATTATGGACGTGATGCGAGGGCATTGTTGCTTCGATCATCGCCGTGGGAGCATTAGGGAAGCAAGCTCTCCCTGCTCGTCCCACAATCACCGACCGAAGAGGAGACCATTCATCATCGGCTTGGACAGATGGCAGAGAATGGTTAATCATCGCGGCGGAATTGGCAAGGAAATTCAAATTCGCAGGGAAAAGGCCGAGCACTGGGGCTCTCTGCGCTCCTGATCTCTCAAAGAAATGATAAATACAACCAAATGGAGCATCACATTATGCGGAGGCCACTGTGTTTCCTCATATAAGTGCCTGCTCTCTGTATGTCCGTTTCTGGACCATAATGACTTACCCACCGAGGACAAATTGATCCGGAGATTCCCTTCATAGGTGTCATACTAGAATGAGCTAAAAAAATATAAGAATATAAAGTATGAAAAAATAAGAATAAGAATAAAAGAGCACTCTGGTTCCATACCGATGGTTTCCATTGTAGCAACATAAGGTTGCTTGCAATAGTAATCGCATATTTGCGGGCCTATTTCGAATAGGTACCTGCAGAGGCTGAATGTTCCTGCCCTCCAATTACGAATGTGCTAGGCCGTATTGCAGATGCATTATCCCCAGAATCTCAGTACACGAAAACAGAGGGACTTTCGTTCTCTGTTAAGTTTCAGTTAAGTCCAAGCAGGAATCCCCAATTCCCGCCGAATGCGGAAATGAATCAAGGGAGCAGCGCATTCCGCAGGTGAAGTGGATAAACTTCCAGATGGACAGGCTTCCGGAATGTGGGATCTGTCTAGCTGTATTTGACCAATACCTATATAGCATGGTCCGCTGATGCACATATGGTGTACGCACGAACATGTCCATAATCTGTTCGCATCCAGGCAAGTATTTCATTCCCAGAAAATGGAGTCCGCTCTTGGCTGAACCATACCTTGGTAGAGTGTAACTGTCGGATATTATGCTTGGGAATAGGTGCATTGAGTATTGACAGCTAGGCAGGGCTGCAGTAGACAGATCTTGCTCCATCGCCAGAAACGTCCCATATCAGAACCCGACAACAACAGTGCCATCCTACCACCCCTAGCCTCAGCCAAGATCACAAACAGTCTAGGTGGGGTTTTATCTAGCCAGAGATGACCTTACATGGCATCAGGTACGGACGTCCAAGACAATATGTTACTACAATGTCGCAGTTCATGAATGCATGCGTCAAGATTCACCAGTCCTCAATCCTCAATGGAGCCATATCTCTCAAGAAGCATGTTGCACTATTCATATAAATGGTAGACGGATAGATAGTTATATACGGCATAACACCTAGAATGCAGTGAACTTGAGAGTACCAATTGCTTTAACTCTGATACAATGGCCCCATCGTCTGCTACCATTACCTTTAATCTTCCTGGTCTGGAATATTCCTTTCGGGCAAAGCTGCTCGCGGACGAGAACCCCGATGTCGTTCAGCAGGTCCTGGTCCAGCTCCCCCTTAAGAGCGTCCTTGGCCACGTTGTGATCGCGGGCGAGACCTTTTGGGCCCCTACCCGGATCGTGCACCTGGGCCGCAACCACATGGTCCTGCGGCATTTGGGTGCAGTGTATCTCAATGCACGAGGTCAGTCTATCTGCATCACCTACGGCACGATCACCGAGAGCGCCAAGATCAACAAGTTCGCCGAGGTGTTTGAGGAGGATCTGCCCAAGCTAAAGGAAATCGGGAAACTCGTATACCAGCAGACCGTTACGCAGCCCCGCCACACACTCATGGAAGTGCACATCTCGAGCGAGATTTGCTCACACCTCAAGCCCCCTGAAAACCAACCGGTGGCAGCACTGCCCCCCTCGCCAAAAGGTCACTGGCTAGCGGTCAAATCCATAATAGAAGAGGAGATCGATCGAGTCTGGCTTAAGGAGCCGGCGGAGATCCAAAAAATCCGTTGGGGAGTGATTGATAGCGGCGCGGGCAGTGGCGGTCAGTACTTCACGGTTTTGGTCCACCTGGAAGCGTATCTCATGGTCGTGGGTGGAGATGTGATGAGCCGCTTCCTAAAAATTGCCCAGTATGAGGAGACCCAGCTGCCGACTCTGAATCGCATCACGAAGGAGTTCCTCGTTGAGAACTTTGACCTATTTGAGTTCATGGCGGACTTAGGGCTGGAAAATATGTCCAAAATAGGCCAGTTGTATTCGAATGCGCTGGAAACATTGGCTACGAAGGAGGAATACATACAGCTGACCAGTGCGATGCTCACATATGTCAATCGGATGCATCGCTGGACATACTTTATCTTTCCACGGCACCTTGGAGCTGCATTTCCGAAACGCACGCCGGCTGAAGTCCGTTCTTTTTCCAACATTGTCACCGCTGGTCTTAATTAACAACAACAAAAACGATTGAACCTGCTAAATTCCGGGTGAATGAAGCAACCGACGGCAGGTTTTCGATGATGGTGATGAAGCGCCAGCAACGAAGTAGGGTCTGTCTTCCAGGGCTGACGGTATGGCATAACGCCTCCTTGTAGCCAATGAGTCGAATTCCAGAAATTGCTAGGACTATTTTTCTCCTATACCTACGCGTTTCTGAGAGGGCTATTTACAGTATGACAACGCTAGAAGTGGGTGAATATTCAAGCAAAGCCAGAGGAAATAGCTGAATAATAATGGATACTATGAAGTGTGGGCGTTTCGGGGTAAAAAATTAGCACGATTATATCGTAAGGAGCATCCAGATATCCTTGACAACTAGCAAGGAAGTCATAATCATTTATCAAACCACCAGCTGTAAGGTAGATTGAATATTACTGGTCTTGCTAGGAACCCGTAAAGTCCCTTGCCGAGTGCTATCATACTCTACTTGTACTGAGACCGTTCGTCACTGTGCAATGAAAATTCTGTGGCTACCTGGAGAGGCATGACAGAGTAGTGTGGAAAGAAGTTAACTCCTTCCCTTAAATAGATATAAAGAGCCGTTTCAGGCTCCTGCTTCTTCTTATTTTCTCCTTCCACTTTACCAAACCTACTATATTACTTACGTTAAAACCATTGTGTTCTTAGCAATTAAATTAACCTCTTAAAGCAAATTACATTATAACAACAAGCAAAAGTGCTAAAGACTACCTCCGCAGAGCAAAAGAGAGAGGTTCAAAAAGTATAAACAAAAGGATTAATAACAAACCAGTCTACAAAAAGCTTACTAAAGCCAACAAGAAACGTATTAATCAGCTTAAAGATATATAGAAAATAATAAAAGACTTATCCTAAACTTAGACTAACCCGCCTATAGTATCCAAAGGTCTTTATAGTTGCTAATGGGCTTGATGAATGCCAAGCCTTGGTTAACGACTTGTTATATCCTGAAATTCCGCTCTGCTTCTACAAACCGCAGTCTTGACCGAGTTCCACCTGCACCCTGCAAGGCTTTAGCTGTTGGAAACTCCAACATGCCGCCAACATCTTAAGATTTGCGTACAAATATCTGATCTCTGTTTGGAGTATCGGAGTTAAAGAATGTCTGGAGTGTACCGATTGTGAAGTCTGCGAGCTGCGGTTTCAGCCACTGTAGTTGTTGCTGGTTAATAATATCCGACAGGCCAGAGAGGCAAGGAGTCTTACCCTGACGACAGCGAGTCCCTGTGGTTGACCTGTATTTGGCGTACCCACACCGCTACTGCCTTGGTAAGGCCGACCTAATATATTATCCCTTTCCACGCCCCAGTTTTCCTTGTTCGTAAGCCAGGTTACGATGCTTTGGACACCTGTGCTGGTCCACGCGCAGTTGTTCGTATTGTATATCAACTCGACCTCAGTGGTGCCAACGGGATCATACTATTAGACTATTATTAGCATCAGTCCTCGGAGTCTGAAGCTGGATCTTCAGGGAGATTTTACCTGGTCTAGTGCAGGCAGAAGCGTGTGAGCGAGCCAGTTATTTAGCGTTGTTTGATCGTTGATACATATTATTCCCGTGCCGCTCTCTTGCTGCATGTGAGCAACTATGCAACGTATCAGTAAGAGTATGGCAAACGAAACGATTACCAGGTGGGGCTTGTGTCAAGGAATGATGCGTACCAATGACGAATTTTGGATCGGAAATCATCAGAGCTGTGCATCCATAGAGATAAGTGATACCCCAGGCATTGTCCACCGACTGATCTATGCCGAAAGCCAATGCGGAATCACCCATTGCCTTTTGCGCGCCTGGAATGCTTTTCCATATGGTATATAAAGAATCATCTCGTTTGACGAGGTGCAAATTTTCGTCGCTATTGTCGAGTTAGTCGTGTAACAAAGCAGTTTGTTCGTGGGCACTCACGATTCTAAAGGAGCAGATAGGGATAGCGAGCAGAGAAGGGCTACCCATATGCCCAACAGCAAGTTTAACCAGGAAGAAGAGCGTGCCATGGTCAGCGAATTAACTGTATACGTTGCACTGTACCAGCGTGATAACTGTTAAGCTTGATGGTGGGAGGGGTATAAGACTTATACCCGCGTGAGGTCGTCCCGATTGCCCGTAGGCAGAATGGTGATAGCCCTTAGACCCCAATGCCATTGCTCGTCTGTAAAGGACTCCAAGATCTCAGCTGGCTTCGGTCTTTCCCCTGTCAAGCGGCGCCGCCCCTGAGTCACCATTCTATTTCGGTTGTCATGGATGCTAGGCTGTGGGAGTCCATGTTTCTTGCGCCGTAAGTCTGTCGGGCGGCAAGGGAGGGTTAGTGTTAGGAAGGGTGATAGGCGCCACAACAATCGGACCGCTCTCGGTATATATTTAATATTGCCTGGGACGTAGTTGGCAGGGCTACACGCCATCAGAGCTCTGTACCGATACATGATATAATGCACAACACGGCCGCCTACTAAGGTTCGTTTTACCTAGATATTTATATACTCCGAATTTTATAACTAGCCCCCCGGGGGTGGTTCAGCTGACCAGTGGTGTAAATTTAGTGGCCGGGTATGAGAATATCAAACTTGGCAATACGTGACTCAACTTGACTAGAAAATTATTACCAGTATAATAAATCTCTCTAATGCCATATACTTAGGATTAGATGTTAGAGGGTTAGGGTTTATATTAGGAAGGGTTTGGGTTAAAGTTAGGGAAGGGCTAGGGTTCCTTAGAATAATTATAAGTGCGTTTTATTCAAAGGTATAGTGTTGTGGTAATAATTTAATAACTAGGGGTTAAGTCGAGTCACATGCTGTCAAGTTTGATATTTTCACACCCGGCCACTATATTTACATGCAAGGCCCCCGCCAGGTGCGATCTAGGCCAAATCCCGACCTCCGATTGGATATTTATGCAACTTTATTGCATGGTACGTTACAGCTAGTGCATGCTCAAGTAATATAAATAGAGCCCTTTTCGGCCTCAATCCTCTATTCACTTTTTATCTAGTCAATATAGTGTTACTAGCTTATACACGAAGTTGGGCGTCCCTCATCAAAGTTATCAATTTGATCAGCAGCTAGAATTACCATGAGCGACTTCAATCCGTCACAGCCGGCACCCAGACTGGTCTCTGCCGGCATGGTCGACGAGTGGTCATATCTGCTTCCTGGTCCGGATCGTAGTGCATTCGTCGCGGCATGCGCAGAAGCAGAAGCAGACGATAGGCGCCTCCAGGCCGTACTCAGTCGCTATTTCTCGACGTGGAAAACAAGCCTGATGGCCGACGATCTGAGCAGGCTCCAAATGCTGGCCACATATGTGCAGATACGAGACTATATCAAAGTCATCTGTCTCGAGGATGACACTGAATTCGAGGAGACGTCACCTTCGGAATCCTCCGCCATCTGGCCGCGGCATGAAGACGGACAGGTTGTGGCTGAGGCGCTCGGGGTAGGGCTCCTTAAGTCTATGCTTGCGGCACGGCAGCTTTGTCCTGATAGACTCGAGATTAGGGATAAGCACACCATACGCGAGCGTTCAGATCCGGAGACGGCGGCAATCCTCGCGCGTAACATCTTGGATGGTGCTGACCTGGCTGTAACCGACTTCGTTTTACGAAAGGAATCAGCGATGACAACCTTCATCGCTGCTGAGCTGTCAACTGAACATCAGGGCCAGGGCACAAAGTTTTCCATCCTGCGAAAAGCGGAAATATGTCTTAGTCACAACCTAAACTCGAACTCGTACTGGGCCGATCAAATCCTCCTCCATGCACCAGTGCTTAAAGAACTCTCACTCTCTTTCTCGCAGCCTAGTCACATGCCGCATACTCCTTCGTTCATCCTTCACAATACGACCTTGCCAGCACTGGAGAAGCTAGAGATATCCATGGCCAGTCTTTCCGTCCCAACTATCATGACAATCCTGAGCAAGTCGAAACAGAGCCTGACGGGTATCAAGTTTCGCCTAACCACGCTTGTCAATAATTCAACTTGGGCGGAGCTGCTGAACCGCATTTGCAACGAATTCCCTAATTTGACTTGGTTTGAGCTTACTAATCTCTCGGAAGGGCCTAATGGAGGGCTTAGGATCACTTTCCTTGGTCTCGAAAAGGATTCGGTGGTCGGGGAGCCTTACAAGAACGGGCTGAAGCTGGGGCTGAAAAGCCCTGTGGGGGGTAACAAACGCATCCCTTGGGTTGAGTATGGGGGACCCGATGCGAATCATGTGCTTAGGATCGTTGCACAATACGCCGTGGCTAAACCAGTCCCCTAGTGAAAGAAACCGCTCTATACGTAGCATATTTCTTGTAATAGGCGGAAGAAATTTACGACCATGACGCGTGACTGTATGTCTCGGTGAAAAACTGAGTCGTATTGGAGCGAGAGCTTTGATAACTCTATTTTAAATAGTTTTTAAAACTTAAGGCATAGTAATATACCCAGATCAGAATCCAGACATTTTCAGCCCGTCAGAACCCTGCAAATCTCAGTAGAAAACTGAGCTGCATAAGAGCCAGAACTATGATAGCTCTATTTCAGGTGATTTTTAAGGGTTTTAGATACAACACTATATTTAGATTAGAATCCAGAAATTTTCAGCTCGTCAGAACCCTGCATATCTCGGTGAAAAATTGAGCCACATAGAAGCCAGAACTGCGACAGCTCCGCCCCAGGGGCTCTTGGGGGCTTGAGGCACGGCAATATACCCATCCAGCATGACGAAATGTCTAAAGCTTCGCTGTCGAATGGAAAATTATGACGGGAGATGTTGGTCTCGTTGGCTTTCGCCACGGCTGGTCCTTCAAGATGGATTGGTTGAGCAAGGTTGCTGGAGTGTGCCTCGACAAGGAAGGACGAACAATGTAACCCGCTGGCGAGTATATTTGTGACTATTATCAGCACCCCATAGCAAGGTTGCTGGAGTGTCCTCCGACGAGGAAAGGCGAACAATGTGACCCGTTTGTGAGTATATGTGTGACTATTGTCAGCACCCCCTACCAAATAGTTAACCTACTGCACGCAGTTTTGCCATCGTTTTTCTCGGTCATTGCAATCCGCCTGTAGATATGGCATTGAAGCAGATTATCGGTCTATCCTGCCTCGCGGCTCTGGCTGGCACTTCATTTTCAAGTCCCGTAGCTCCAGGCGTGCGCCAATATGTCCCCCTTGGAAGCTCTTCAATTGTACCGAATGCCACAACAACTTGGAGTAGTTCACGCATGATAGCCTCTACCGTTGTCTCATATACTACCTCTGTCTCATATACTACCTCATCATTTAGCGAATCTTCAAGCACACTCGCAAGTTCAAGTTCGCCGTCTACTAGGAGATCTACAACAAGGAGCCCAAGTGGAAGTATTAGCTCCTCTACTTCACCACTACCATCTGCCTCTACGAGTATGCGTATCTCCAACACTGCCATTAGCTCTAGTGGTCCAGTTCGGCCGTCAGCCTCAAAAACGGTATCTCTCTCAACAGGCTCTAGCTCTCTTACATCTACGAGACCCAGCGGATCAGCGTCCTTGATCGTGCAGAGGCTCACGGAACCCAATGGACCTGTTGTCACTGTTACACTCCCTGCCAGTGCTTCTGTTACTGGACTAGAAACCCTCACTATATCTGGCTCCACACTGACTGTTGAGCCTGTAGCGGTGACACCCAGCGGATCAACGCCCTTGATTATGCAGATGGTCACAGAACCAAATGGACCTATTGTCACTGTTACACTCCCTGCCAGTGCTTCTGTTACCGGACTAGCAACCCTCACCATATCTGGCTCCACATTGACCGCAGAGCCTATATCGATAACATCCAGCGTATCTTCAACACCATCCGCGTCAACTTCGAACGTTGAGACATTCACCAAGCCTGATGGGTCTTCGGTAGTCCTCACACTGCCGCCTGACTCGACATTGACGGGACTGCAGACTATTGCGACGGACGGGGAGACGCTCACTATTCAGCCTGTGCCTATGCCGACTACCAGAGTCATCATTACATCGACAATGACAACGGTGCCTACTGGGCTGTCTATCGAACCCTTCACCGGAACCTCTGTCACGGGAAATATGTGGCTGACGACCACGGGCAGCGATCACTCGACCACAATTGTACCCATCATCTTGCCGTGTCCAACATGTGAACCGAAAATCATTTGGAACATGCCAGAAATTCCAGACGTCGATTTCACTTGGCCAACCTTTCCGCAGCTCCCTAAATTCCACCTGCCGTGCATCAAGATCTTCGGCATCACTATTGCTGGCTCATGCCCTGATCCTTCGGGACCTACTCCCGCGAACGATGCACCCCCGGAGAGCCCGGAGCCTACAAATTCACAGACCTCTTCACTATCGTCCAGCTCGTCCAGCTCGTCCAGCTCATCCAGCTCATCCAGCTCATCCAGCTCATCCAGCTCATCCAGCTCTTCAAGTGAGTAACGCTCGCAGTATCGTGCTAAAATTCGTGTGTTAACCGTTTCTAAACCAGGCCCATCGGCTTGCAGCGCAACCCTAAGCGTGCCTGTGGTCCCCTCTCAGTTGACTGCACCAACTGTGACGTTGACCTCAGTATCGAGCTCGGGCAGCTCAAGCACTGCAAGCCAGACGTCATCCGCTTGCAGTGCAACCCTAAGCGTGCCTGTGGTCCCCTCTCAGTTGACTGCACCAACTGTGACGTTGACCTCAGTATCAGGCTCTGTCAGCTCAAGCACTGCAAGCCAGACGTCATCCACGGCCGGGAATACAGGCTCTTCGACACTCTCTTCGACAACGTCGCCCTCTTTGACAACCTCATCCTCTTTACCTCCGCTACCAAGGCTCACATTCTCAACTACTCTGGCCATCACGACAGTCGAGCCGATTTCCACCCAGTCCGGAAGCTCTTGTGTCTCGACGTCGACAACCACGCTCTGCGAGATTCCGCAAGAGCCGTGCATAACGTCCGCTATTTGCAACAGCTGGGTTGCGACAGCGACAGCGACAGCGTCAGCGACATTGACATCGACATCGACATCGACCGGACCGCCTACTCCAACCGGGCAAGTTTATATCGACATTTTTACCGATTCGGATTGTGGCAACGTGTTAGAACAGACTCAGCTGAACGCTATAGGTCAATGTTACAGCCCTACCGATTCGTCAGGCAACCTGATAAGCTTCGAGTGCTTCTCAATTACCTATATAAGTACAGCAGCTTCTAACTCGGCCTCGCTATCGGCTTTCAAGGGACCTGGATGTTTTAGCCAGGATGACTCGCAAGTAATGGACTATGCAAACTTGACTGCTATTGACTACGACGTTGAGAAACCCTTCACAATGGGATCCTTGTCTCTTTACGGGGCTTGATCGTATCCATATGCGCAAGAAAGACCTCACTTGCTGCTGTTAAGGAAAAGGGCCTGCTGGCTGCCGTGCCAAGGTAATGGATGTATGTATTCCATGAGCCGGAATAGTGATAGCCGACTTTGAACCACGCAGGTGGAATTGGAAAGCAGGGCAGTCTTTTGAATTAATATTCTTTGATTAACATGCGATTCCTGTCCTCGCGATAGAACCCTACCTAAACCCTGAGCCAATACGGAGTAGTACGATGTCTCCATCTTGTAAGATCAAGCAAGCAGCAGACAGGCAGGCAAGAATGTTAGTATGAGATCATTGTATTGATTAGATTAGATTCATCCTGGGACGTATTCTTAGTCTATCCTAGGATGTATCCGTTTGTTTGCGATACTATCCTTAGTTAAAGTTTCTATTTCTGGTTATATACATAGGTCTCTTAAGTAGGTTATGAGTTTAGTTTAGCTATTCTCTAAAGTATTATCTAAGTGAATTTTATCTCTAATATAAAGCGAATTACCCCATGATCACCCTTGGTCCTTCTGAAATCTATAGCTAATAATATAGTTATTAATATAATAATAAAGATATTCATAATTATTAATTAATATAATTGGCTCACAGAGAAATTTGAATATCGAGAGAAAGCCCCAGAGTTCACAGAGCTCCACGGAGTACATAGTGGTGAGAATTGTCTGCAGCTGTTGAAGCTTTACTTATTGAACTGAACATTGAGCACGAATTGCTTTCAATTACTGGCGACAACGCTAGCAAAAATGAGCGGATGGTCTTACAATTGTTCAAAAACCTGCAGAAGAAGTTAGGAACCAGTCCTTTATTCCGTGGTCTAGGAAGTTATGTACGGTCTTTAGCGCACATGATTAACCTTATTGTAAAAGACATCCTTCCTGCTCTCAAGTCTGGCAATACAGAAGAAGCTACTTCTTCCTGTGACACCCTTGATGAAGGAAAACGTCATTTATGCGATACACTTGAGCCACTTGGAAAACTTCGTATCCTAGCTCTCTGGATCCACAGAAGTCCTCAACGCAGGCAGACATGGAACAGTAGTTGTAAGCGCATGAATCTGTCTGATAAATTCATTGATTACGACGTTGATACACGATGGAATTCTATTTCCAGAGTACTAAGCGACGCTTTGAAGGTAAGCTACTAGCTTCACACCCTCATGTAACATAGCACTAATACTTCAAAGTCAAGGACCCAGCTTGAAGAGTTCGTCCACTATGAGACAGATTTCCTTCCCTTCTAACAGAAAGATTGGACTCGGCTCTCCGAAATCCACACTGTTCTTTCAAAATTCAATGAGTTTACTTTGTTTGTCTCAGAAAGAAAGTCACAGATTAGTCTCACAGTTCCAATATACTATGAGCTCTATGATTTGCTGCATGATGCTGCTGAGCGCAAAGAAGACTTTGCAAATACTGATGAGGATATCGCAAGTGCTGTCAGAGAGAGTATTAATAAGTACATGAAGTACTAAACTTTCATGGATATATCCGACACATATTATACTGCCCTGATCCTAGATCCTCGTGTAAAGGGGGATCTCCTTCTATACGAATTAGGCGACGAGGACGATAGCAGGAAGATTCTCCAAGTCCTCCGTGACAGTCTTCATGAAAAGTATCCTAAGACTACAGATCAGAGTACTGTGGTAGAGCCCCCAGAGCACAGCTATAAGAAGCAGAAAGTGGGCAGCCAGATGTTGCGAAGGCTACTGCCTCAGGACAAGTCTCAATCTTCTGATATTGAGAGGTATTTCGACAATAGCCGGGTTGATGCCATTGACATGGAAGGTCTGAATTGGCTACTGGAATGGTGGGGAGTCCATGGCAAGGATTATCCTCGGATAGCTGCTGCTGCTAGAGATTACTTAGCAATCCCAGCCTCTGAAGTCTCAGTTGAGAGGTTATTCAACTTAGGAAGAGATGTACCTGGGGTACGGAGATACTCTATGAAGGGAGAAACCATGATGATGCTAATGCTGTTGGATGATGTATATCGTTAAGCGATAGATGATTATTGATTAAACTCAGAGGAAACAAATCTAGCCTAACCCTTTTACTCTGTAGTAGCGATTCTAAGGGAGAGCCCAAAAAATAATTTGCGAATTGCGAATATTCGGAACAGCCCTATGTCATCCACTCATCAAACCGTGCCCTTATGATATCTCTCTCTGGGCCCGGAGGTGCTCGATCACTCTCCGCCGATGATGCCCACGAGCCATGTTCTCCAACGAAGCCGCAACGCAACAGCCATATAGCGAAGTTGAGACCCTATGCCAAATTCTTGAGCGATGAAGCTATCCAAGAAAAGTTCAGATACTAGCTTGTCCGATCCCGGGCATACCTTTCGCAAGCCAATGTCACTTCTTGCAGCGGGAATAGCTGGATACGGATAAACTCCAGGCAGAGGACGCGCACATAATAGCTGTCTGTACAGAATCCATATGGCTTTGTAAGGGTTGAACCAGCTGTCAATCCCAGAATCGGCACCCTTCGCTTTCTCCATTGCGCGCTCAACATCCTTAACACTGCTGACCAGTGCCACTGCATCGTCGGACCATGCTGTACAATTCTCCACGTGCGGATCTAGGAGTGCCATCTCTAGCAGCTCCGAAAGCTTGTGGCACGTGTTTATTTGGCGGTAGAACTGTGGCGAATGAACTGTCAGATTCAGAGTCTGACACTTGTATTCTACCTTCGCGATGCACATGTGCAAAAGGCCATAGGTACCATGCCCGGGAAGTCCTTTGTTGTTTTCATGTCTGGGTACGATGGAAACGGAATACTTCTCCTCGGATTGTGCCCAGAAAAACTCCAGATACTGGGCAAAAACGGAGGCTAGATACGCCTCGTTTGCGTTTGGCTGCCGCGGGATCGCTGTTTCCCGTGGTTCTGGCCTGTACCAGACCTGCAGCCTGTGGACTTGGGCGAGCACGACAGCCTCAAACACAATCTTGGGAAATGTGGTGAGGATCGTTGGGCCCCAGGACATGATGAGCCACATGTAATCGAGCAGCGATACCGTGGCCGGGTCAATCGCAGGGCCAATGGACCACCAATTAGCGATCAGTTTTGTATGTTCTTTTGAGGACTGCAGGGTGACGGTTAGAGAAATGCGGTCTTTGATCATGGGATCTGAGCTGGAGAGCACATAGGAGCCCTTCCGGGAGCTAAAAGGTGACACGTGGAAATCCTTTCGCATCGTATTTTTGAATGCGCTGCCATTGGGAGGAGCTTTGAAAAGATACATGCGTCGCTCGCCAAAGGTGTTGTTCACTTCCGCAACAATGTGAGTTAACGTGCGGTCTTCTGTATACAAGAACCAGAATGAGGCTGGTTTAAACGCATAATTGAGAAACCGGGGTGAAGTCAAGAGGTAGATAAAAGGATAGTCAGAAGGTTCTAGACCCTTTTCAGAACTCGTTAACTAAGCTGGACCGGAGGGTATCTTGAGTGTCAAGCCCAAATCGACATACCTGAAGCTTTAAATATGCATCTATATTTTCAGAAAGGGTCGCGCCGTCCCGACCCCGGTGCAGATGGTCCTTGGGCGAGACATGAAACCAGCCTCTCTCCCACCAGGGCTGATTGTCCACGGAAAGCAGCCAGTTCGAGCTTGGCGATCGAACCGGTACGCCGACTGACAGGTATGGATATTTGAACCTGTGCTGCTTGGGGAACAGCCGGCAGTGGCTGATGGAACATGGCAGAAGTTGCGTCGTGCGAGGCTGAATACCGTGGCTGCTGGCGCTAGCGACCTTCGGCGCCGCGCGACTGGATGACCTCAAGACATGCCTGGCTTGCAATAGATAGATGGAAAGTATAACAAAAGCAGAAGTCCCCCAGGCTAGAATGCTTGTCTGAGAGAACAGAGTTTCTGCAATGCCGATGTGGTCCATGGTGCGATGCCCTGGAGATGGTGAGGATAGAGCGCCTACACCATCAATCATGGTGCACAAAAATATATATTAAATGAGCCAGAGGACCATACAAAACCGGACCAAATGGCACAAAAATATGACAGGCCATTGCTGACATGGTGCAGGGGTAAACTGCTGACATGCAGCCTGCTCCGCCTGCACCCCCCTCTTTGGAATGGAATGGATCGATGTGCTAAATCCTCGCCATTTCTGCCCACGGCTAGTCGGATATATGTGCACGCCACCTGTGCCGGCTTCCTGCCCACACACTGCGTGTTGCGCCATTTGTAGGGAAGGCCACAAACTGTTGTAAAAAGGGTACTACCCTGGCGGGGCTGCTGTTTTTCTTTGCTGCGTTTGATTATACTAGTGCCTTCTTAGCTGCTAACAAGGTGAATAGCTTCTTCAACAGCTCTTGAAAGCAACCTACATACAGGAAGAACATACAAAGAATAAAAATGGCTTCTAGTAAGCTGTTTGAGGGCATCCCGCCATTCCCAGACGATATTCCCACAGTCTCCATGAATACAGTGTCGCTCGCGGGCTTGCGTGAGAATGACGCCAAGGCGGCGGAGCAGGTCCTGGCCGCCTGCAAGGAGCTTGGCTTCTTCTTTCTCGATCTGCGCGGAGAGAGCATGGGCGATGCCATGATTGAATGCATTGACCAGCTGTTCACCATCGGCCAGGAAATCTTCGACCTGCCCGAGAGTGTTAAGCACCAGTACCTGCACGACATTCCGCGAAGTTTTCTAGGGTATGAACGTCTACTAAGTAAAGACACCGTGATGCTAACCAACTTTTATCATTCAACAAAAAAAGATTCAAGCCACGCGGTGCAGCAAAGACAGAAACGGAGGAGCCAGACCGATTCGAATGGTTCAACCTAGGCCAGGATGGTCTCATGGGCAACGTCGACCTGCAGGCGCTCCCGGAATTCGTGATCGAGCGCATCGACTACTTTAAGAGGTTTCTCAACTACTCGCAGCAGATTGCTACCTTCATCAACCACACGCTCGCCAAGCAGCTCTCGCTACCGGCGGAGACCTTTGCCGCAGCGCAGAGGCCGACCGAGCTGTCTGGCACGGTGGTGCGTTTCATCAAGGCATTCGCCAGCCCCGACGCCGAGGACCTCCGCACGAGCATGATTCACCACACCGATTTTGGCTCTATCACCCTCCTGGCCAACGTCATCGGCGGCCTGCAAGTCCTCACACCCGGCGGCTCGGCCCTTGACGAGGACGCATGGCGGTGGGTGCGCCCGCAGCCCGGCTGCCTCATCGTAAACCTCGGCGACGCCATGGTGCAGTGGACAGGCGGCGCGCTGCGCAGCAACGTGCACCGCATCAAGTACCCGCCCGGTGAGCAGCGTTTTGCCGACCGGTACAGCCTGGCGGCGCTCTTCCGCCCGGAGCGCAACGCAAGCATGAAGCCCAAGATGGGCCAGGACCTGGCAGGCGTCGAGGACACTGACCTGACGGCTTGGGAGTGGGAGGTCAAGAAGGCCATGGCACTTAGTAGGGGAGAGGCGGTGGTAGAGAGCAAAGGTGGCAAACCCGTGGTGGTTTGAAATTAATAACAGCTACTACTAGTCTGTCGTAAAAGCAATACAAAATATAAACCTATTGAGTCCCAGGCAGAACAGTATTATACACCAGCAAAGGAAAAAAGAAAAAGAAAAAGCAACAAAAACCCATGCAAGAGTCTCCTTTCCTACATCGTAGCATTATCCCAGATCACACATTCCTGTGATCATGTTCCCAGGCGCATAGAAATGTCACGCTGGCTCTCGAGTCGGTTGCTCTAGTCTGCGGCGTGGGCCGCGACGTCGATGCTGGTGCGCATGGTGATAACATTTATTGGAGGCGAATACGTTTGCAGAGGTACCTCATCATCATAGTACTGGTATTCGTCCTTGCTGCTCTTACGATAAACGTTCCGCGGCACTGAGACCTTGACGATGTTGCTGCTGTGCGGCCTGGGGGCATCGTAGGCCTTGCTGTCCTGGCCGGTGCGGCGGGTGGTCCGGGATATGAGCGTCTTGGTCTTCTTGGACACGCCGCGGATGATGGCGTAGGACGCAGGCAGGTCAGCAATGACCTCGGCAAGGTTGCGCTCGATGATGGTGCACAGGTACACCTTGTCGAGGGCCCAGGTGAAGTCTGGGTTGTAAAAGTCGTTGTCAAAGGCGGCGCGGACTATGGAGGACGCAAAAACTCTGTGGTAGTACATGGTTTTAGTATTGTTGTTCTGCATCTCCAAACATGGGTGCTCAGAAGCTCAAGATTGCGGTTCTTACATGAGTCCAGAACCAGTCAATGCCATAACAATGAGTCTTTTCTTGAGGCTCAGCTGCAGTCCTCCGATTAAATAGACGGGCCAGAGCGCGTAAAACAGGTCGGTCAAACTGTTGATGGCTAACTAGGCTATCAACAACTTCGCACAGGATAACAGACGACGGCTGCCACCACATCCACCGCCCCCAAAAAAAGGAAAAAGAGCACAGTGCAAAGGTACGCTTACCTGTAAAGGCAATAATTGAGTTGACCAGTGTCTTGACGCTCGAGACATCGCCAGGAATGTCGGGATTCCACAGCTTTTGGAGGGGTCGGGCCTGGGTGCCCCAGAGGACGCCCTGCAAAAAGCTGGCCGTGGTCGTGATACCAATGAGGGTGTAGATGATGTACCTTGTGCGGTCGTGAATGTTTTTGATGAAGAGGAGGATGAAGAAACAAATGGAAATCTTGACAGCCCACAGCGAAATGTTGGCAAAGAGGATGTTGTACTGGCTGAGGCGCTTGAGATCGAGGACCTGCGGGCGCTCTAGGAACTGCAGATGGCGACCGAATCCTAGCTTCACCGATTGAATCTCGAGAATGTTGGCAGTGATATTGAATACCTGGATTGAATGTAAACATTTGCGATGGTGCAGAAAAGGGAGAAAAAAAAGACGAAGCTTACGAGGGCAATAAAAATAAAATAGTCTGCTATCGCCAGTCCGCCGTTTTTTTTGAGTTTCATAAGCAGCCTCGATACCGTAGATATGATGATCAGGACGGTGAACAGTATAGCCATCACCATGACGGGCTTTCCCTTACTGTGGTCCTCCAAGTCGGGATTCCAGGCAATGAAGCCATTGCCTGTCGTGTTGCTCGCCATAGTTTTGTCGCAGTGTGTGTGTGGTTGACGGTTAGAGGCAAATCATGAAGTGGTGATGATGCAAGAGCCGGTACAGAAGTGAGGGGGGTTGGAGGCTACGGCTACGGCTACGGCTTCAAATGCCAAAAGACGACGGATTGCATACTACGCAGAAGGATTAAGCACATCAATTACGATTGCTAGAACATATGAGGCCGACTCAGCAGGGTCACTATGCAGCGATGCAACCCGCATATGTGACGGCGAACAGATCGACACCTGGCAGCCTGAAGAATTTTGATAATAATAAGCAAAACATCACGGACGACTTGCCTGATGGGAACCATATGGTGTGCCAGAGGGTGCAAAAGTTCTTTGCTACTTCAGCTAATGCCGTCGAGGCAGCGAGTAGGTAGCGTAAGGCTTTAGGGTCTCTTTCACCTCCACCTGGGGCGGTGCAAAGAGCACCCCCCCCCCCCCCCCCTGGCTGCCTGCATGGTGTTATAGTTCAGCAAAGTACTCAATGCCTTGTCTCAGCAGAAACAATGCAGTCAGTACGGGGCAGACAGGACAGGGCCAATAGATAGGATTGATGGGCGTGTGGGGGTGTGATCGTCAGGCTAGGCCAACTGACTTCTTTATTATTCACGGAGATTACCTATTGGGGTCCAATATCCACTCCCAATGTGGCCTTGCGTGGAATTCACCGCTTCACAGGCTGCATGTGTAGTAGCGGTTTATCAGGGTTACGTCAGTATCATGTCTCGTACCCTGCGGTGCGGGGTGCTTTTTCCTTAAAATCGGTATTCAATATGGTGTTGAGTCTGATGCAGGCCACTATGGGGCCAAATGGAATCATGATTTTGTCTGCACTTCTTTACAAGGATGGCACATGTATATAGAAAATAGTGGGACAGTCCGTCAACCAAACCAGGCCTAGATGCGGACTTTAATATGAATTAACAACAACAACCCTGCGGTGCGGGGTGTAGCTGGTTTGCCCAGAGAATTGACAGGCTCCACTTATCACCCCTACCTACCTGAGATTTAACTAGGCCCTTGAGATAGTCCCCGGATATTCCCCGAGAGGCAACGCAACATGCAACTGTCCTCGTTGACTACGGCTCCCCTCATGTCCTCCCTTTTAGCATACCCGACAATTTGTGAGAGGGAGAATTTGAGCCGCTGGGAAGGCAGAAGGGAGCTGATATTTGCACCTCTGCATTGGCTCCTGCAACGTTCCAATCTTTGCTCGATTTAGTATCGTCATCGTTTCGCTCCAACTGGTAAGATGGGCGGGATGTAAACCCTTGTATGTATAATTTTCTGTTGAAGTTATTTCCTCTGTAGGACTTTCCGATGAAGCTAATCAGGGAAACACTTTCGTAGAGATTGTTGCGGTCATTCCCAGCACGTAGTTGGCGTCAGAAACTTACACCCCGAAAGTACATGGCAAGGGTATAAAACTTTCGCCTCGCGCCAGGACCTCGGTAACAAGGTGGGGGCTGGGAAATCGGGCTAAGAGTATCACAGAGGAGCGAGTAATCGACAACCATAGAAGAAGACGAGGACGAGGGGGAGGAACGGGACTTTATGGGGTGTTACATAGTAATCTCTCTCGCTGCGGTCTTCTTTCGGCATCCGAGAGAGGGCAGAATACGACAGGCCGAAGAGCAGCGGGTATCGCCACAAACGATATGGCACACGCGGAAAACTAGTTTGGTGGCCAAGCGTTGGTGCTAGTACAGGCAAATTCGAAACTGGCTTCACCTATTTACACTCTCTTTGATCAATTGTGCCCCACCACTAGGATATTGCTGGCTTGGGGTAGTACAAAAAATAAATAATGCCTTTTTGAATCTAGTAAAAATAATACACGGAAAATGGCAATAATAGGCATAGCCTTGACTATGTTCTTACTAGCACAAGGCATCAAAAAGAGGTGAAAAGTCTAACCAAATAAGCTAGCATCAATTCCTCACTGCGTAGCCTTGAGCTCAATGAATGGGCCATTGTCCCAGCCCGCGATGGAGTAGTGGCTCTCAAACTTGAGCTCCTTGTCCTCACCTTCCTCCACAGGGCTTCGATACCCAGGCCCCCCGCCGCCACCGCCGATCTTTTGCTGCTCCGGCCCAAAGCGGAAGTCGTAGTTGACCAGGGTGTAGGCGTAGGTGATGCTGGCAATCATAACGGCGACGTGGCTGCCGGCGCAGTTCCGCGGCCCAATCAAGAAGGGGACGAACATTTTGCGGGCCGTTGCGAACTCCTCCTCTACCAGGGTGCCTGGGACCCAGCGCTCCGGCCAAAATCGCAGAGGGTCGCGGAAGATCCTGCCGTCCCTGCACAGCGCAAAGACGCTGACCCCGACATCACTTCCAGGCGTGACGGCGACCCGATTGGGGCCCACAAAGACGCCCGACTTCTCGCACTCCCTCCAGTGCACACCGCAGGCCGGGGGCAGGAGACGCATCACCTCATTAATCACCGCGCGGAGGTAGACGTTGGACTCGAGGCGCGAGTCCCAGACAATGTCCTCGCCGGGCTTGTACATGCCACGCAGCTCCGCCGCCAGCCTCTCGTATGCCTCCGGGTAGTGGCTCAGGTAGTGGAACAGGCCCGATAGAGTGATGCTGTAGGCGTCGGCCGAGGAGAAGACGCTAAACGAGCCCTCCGCGATCATCTGCGCCTTGTTGTGCCCGGGGGTCTTGGCCTGACCCAGACCGCTCTGGATGACAGGGCCAAAGATGCCACGGCTCTCGGTCGTGTTGGCGGCGACGGCCTTGTTGAGGAACGATTCGTACCATTCCGCAAACCGCTTGGCTTGCGGAAAAACCTTGAGGAGCACCTTGGCGATGACTTTGCCGATGCCCAGCTTGTTGAGTGTCGGAAGCTGCTCGTACAGGCCCATTTTCTTCTCATGGACGTGAAGCGTCGGAAAGATAAAGTCCCGGGCAGAATCGAAGAGCAGATTGGTCGAGATTCCGAACCCAAAGTCTGACATTGTGTCGAATCCCAGGTATAGGTCTACGCGGTGTTAGTCAATGACCCATCACCGGCTGAACTTTTTTGTAGCTCGTAGACTTACTCCATTTTCTCATGTTGACTGCATTGCTCCAGCCATCAGGCTTCTTGTCCTTGGTGAGTTCAGCATAATATTTCTTAAGCTGGCGGAGAATGGCGGGCTCGAAGCGTTTGAGATAGTCGTTTCCCAGACCGGATCGCAAGGTCTGACGCAAGTTCTTGTGCAATGTCTTGTCGATGGAGGTCATGGTACTCCAGCCATCATCTAGGGGAATCATGGTCTCATAACCCTTTGACTTGCGGAACGGCGCGCCGTGACCGTAAATTGCTAGCTGCATTGTTAGAGGATGAATTCATTTTGCAACCTGGTAGCCACCGAAAAACATACATATAAGGTCTGCTGGGTGCAGTGTGAGAAGTTGATTGGGTCCGTAACGAATGACATCACCTGGATGTGGTGTTAGTTTGCTTGTATGCGGAAGGGAAGCCAGAAGTTCAACTGTATACCATATTGATGATGGCATCTCTGGACATCTGTGTGCATGTCACCAGTCCATGAATGATACGCAGAATAGACGTTGGTGACCTTGGCCCAGAAAGGGCCAGGAACTTTAGAGTAAGGATGGAAGTAGAGTCTGTACACGACCACGGCGAAGCACTAAGGGAAGAAACGGTCAGTTATCACTTGTAAGGCAGCTTTCAAATTGCAATGGACGCATACATAAACTGTGAGGCAGCCTCCCAGGAGGCCGATAGCCTGAATCGACGTGCAGCCAAGTGTATAAGCCATGATGATGGACTCGCCTGTCTGGAAAAGTGATGCGCATGCCTCTGAAATAGTATTTCAGTAGTTTCCTGGCACGAGATTACAGTCCTCCAATTATTAAAACCAAGTTCGTCCATGGCCTGGTGCCCCCCATCGTCTCGTTGCGATTTAAAAAGGGTGTATGATTAATAATATGCAGGAGATTATCATCTAAGCGGGGGCGTGTAAGATTTTGCAGATCTATCTTGCCCACCCACACGCCAACCCCTACCCTAGCTTTCTTATTACAGAAGTGAGCGTAATATTCAATAGCCGAAGTGCGGAAATCAGGCTGTAAGTGTGACATGGGTAGCAAGGAGAATTAAAGGTCAAGTCGATAGTCTCCGTCTTACAGTCTCGACTGCCGATCCACTGGTCCCTAAATAAGCAGCCCACTTTCCGATGTCACAATACTTGGATACATCGGATGCAGGGACGAGGTCATGTCCCAGGCGTTGGCCGAGCTACACGAACTATCACACCAAAAAATGGATATGACACCGCACCTCTTCTTGCACTGATTGTTGTCCTTCATGACCCTGTTTCTACCTGACACTCAGCGCACTAAATTGGCAAGCGGGTGAGTAAGTGTATATCTATATCCATAAAAAATAGACGTTGGAAGAGAATCAATAAATCTAGCAATCGAAGTAGTTGGCGTATTCGTACCTCGGTTTGAGAACACCCATGATTTGTTTGGTCGGGTTCAAAGAGCCTTGCAAAACAGGTCATCTTAGCGGATGGATAAACCTCCCATCTTATACGCATTATGGGGGCAGTGAATACTTACATACCCTGGCTTTCTGCAAATCAAAAAAACTTCCGGCAGAACCTTGGCCCCACTCTTTCTATAACCCTTTATTCTTTCTATTAGGAGAGAGACACAGACAAGTTATACCTTATTCGTCGGCACCAGCCAACTGCAAAGACGACGTTGTCTAAAACGTTCAAGTTTTGTTAGAACCAAAGCCTTTATACCGCTAAAATGACGGCAACCGTCCGTCGCCCGCGCGTAGCCATTGTAGGCGGAGGCATCTCCGGCATGGCATGCTCCTGGAAGCTGCGAAACCAGCGGTGCACTGTGGACATTTATGAGTCCAGTGACAAGCTCGGCGGGCATGCCAATTCGATGCCGTTTACGGGCAACGGCAGAACGGTGGATGTAGACACAGGGTTCGTTGTCATGGAAGAGGCAACATATCGTAAGTCGCCACAACTTTTTCCCAGCCTAAGTATAATCTTGGGTATGATTATAAACTTGAAAATCGTTACTGATGGCGGTTCGACAGCCCAATTCACGTCTTTCCTCCAGGAACTCGGCGTCAAGACAATCCCGACGGACATGTCGTTTGGCGTGTCGGCCCTGAACGGGGCGTTGGAGTGGAACAGCCTCTCTATCATGGCCTTTGTGGGCACTTTGTCCCGCCTTTTCAGCCCCTGGTTCTGGCGTCTGATGTTTGACATTGTCTACTTTAACCTGTTTGCGCGCGACATCCTCGCACAGCAGGCGCCCGTGTCGCCGCCCAAGAAGTTTGTTGGGTCGGTGGAAGAGGAGATTGCGGCCATCGAAAAGGACCTCAAGGTCAACCGCCGCGAGTCCATCGCCGACTACCTCAAGAGGCAAAAGTACTCGGAGCAGTTCATCATCTACTTCCTCATCCCCATGGTCGCGGCGCCGTGGTGCATCGACCCGGATGAGTTTGCGGCCAACTTTCCGGCGAGAAACCTCATCCAGTTTATGTAAGTGATCCCTCGCCAGGCGGCAAAAACAAAGGAGAAAGAAGAAAAATAAAAAATGAGCCGCTCATTTTCTTCTATACTTTGTACTAATTTTTTATTTTCAGGCATAACCACAGCTTGCTGGATACCGTCACCAAGACTCTCCGGTGGCGCACATTCGCCAATGGCTCCAAGACATATGTGGACGAATTCCAGAGACAGATGCCGCACCATCACAAGCTTCACTTGAATACCGTTGTCAGGAGTGTGACGAGGGTTGACGGAAAGGCCCTGCTCAGCTTCGCCGATGGTTCAATCGAGACCTTTGACCATGTGGTACTCGCAATTCATGCCAACCAGGCCGTATCTCTGCTTGGCCAAGATGCCAGCGCGCTGGAGCGCAGGATCCTTGGTGCCTTTACAACCAGAAGAAATGTGTGCTATCTACACTCTGACATATCTGTAAGTTGTTCTATTTTTCCCGTTCCTGTTTTTTTTTTTTTTTTCCTATTTGATTGAATTTTAATCAAAAGACATTTATTTGATCAAAAGACATTTTATTTGATCAAAAGACATTTTATTTGATCGAAAGGTGCTTATTTAATTTGAAGCCATTACTAACAAAAACGTCAAACAGCGACTCCCAAAACGCCGGGCAGCCGCCTGGAACTGCTCCCTAGTCGGCTGCGGCGGTGTCGGCGTGGTGCGCCACGACCAGGCAACCAAAAACGCAGCGAAAAGCATCTCCATCACATTCGACATGAACAGGCTCCAGTCCATTCCCTCGCCCGGCGAGAAGAACAGCCCCGGCAGGGTCCTCGTCTCCATGAACCCGTTGGGGGTGCCTTCGGCAGTCCAGGGCCAGATAGAGTACTACCACCCGCTCATCAGCCACGAGAGCCTGCTCATGACGCGCCACCTGCACAGGATCAACGGCGTCTCCTGCATCTACTTCGCGGGTGCGTGGATGGGTTACGGATTCCATGAGGACGGCTTCGCCGCGGGAGCCCACGCCGCACGGCTCATCACCGACGGCCACGCGAGCACAGCACCGCTTGATCTGATCCAGGACATTGAGGACGAGACAGCGGCCGCGTACGGCGCGGGCGTCGCCCGGCTGGCTTTGAGATTCGGCGTCGGCATGGGAATCGATTCCATCAGGATCAGACTGCTGTCCAATGCGGCCGTCGGGATCAGGGGGAACTTGCAGTAGATGGGCTCGTTCAGGTCCTCGAGCGGGCTGCGGTACGGAGTTGCAGGATTATGTTTTGCGTGTTCGACTCTGAAGGCTTATGGACCAAGGCTAGTCTCTAATGACTCTAGTAATACGGTAAACCCGTTAGTGCCTGGGATAAACAGCTGGGGAGCGTGTGGTATATCAGCTAAATTATTACGAAGATGATCGACGATGCTTTGTCCAAGCTTATCTCAACGGATACCATTCTGGGAAGGGCTTAGCGCAATAAATTTCTCATTGTCTGGCCTAATTTGGCCGTCGGCTGCGGTTTATGGAAGGGTCTGATAGATTTTAGAAAATTTTTCTTAATAAGATATTAAATATACCTTTTTTACTTTTAATTGCGCTTATTGCAAAAATTATTAAAAACTAATTTTTATGTACAGTCATCGGAAGTGAAGTGCTGTGTTGCGATAGTCGCAAATTCATGAATTGAATCTCTGCTTTGGGGTTCATAAAGGGCCTGCAACCCCGACAATCAACGTAACAGCCAAGCAGGCACCTTATACGCTAGGTGACACAGGTAAGCAATTAATATGACAAAAAAAACAAAAACAAAACAAAGGCAACTCAGAAACTGATCCTAGCTAAATATGACGGCCCGTTAATACATAACAGTCTTGACTTCTACATTAGCTCGCAGCAGCTCTGCGGTTCCTGTGTCGCAGGTGAACGATTGGGTAAACTGTGAGTACGGCGGCGCCCATCATGAAGACGCCGGCAAAGACTTGCAAGTGCCAGTATCCGCCACCTGATGACTGGAGGGGGTAGATGGCGCCTCCGATGGGACTCCCGATCAGCATGCCGAGGCCAACCCACGCCCAGTAGAAGCCGGAGCGGGTACCGATGACGGCTATGGACGGGCAGAAAAAAGGGATAAAAGCGCCGGGTAGCGTCACCAGGATGCCCGACACCATGCCCCAGAAGACCACCCAGGCCAGGGTGCCGGCGAGGGTGTCGACGGCCATCCAGCAGAAGAGGAGCACGGACCCGGCCACCAGCGACACGGCGACGGTCTCTGTGGAGCCGCACACGGCGGCGATTAGACCCGCCAGGAGCCGCCCGACGGCGGACGCTCCGTTCAGGATGGCGAGGAGGTCGAGGCTCAAGTCGGGGCTGATTGACGGGACGCGGATCGCCGTGAGCAGCGGCAGGTACAGCAGCGGGATGTAAAAGGCCGTGGCGCTGAAGAGCGACGCGACGCACAGCATCATGAATGGCGCGTCGGTAAGCGAGGAGACGTCGAAAAAGGCACGGACAAAGGAGCCGGCCTGCACCTGGGCGCTGCTCTGGAGCAGCACCAGGTATGACAGGAAGTACAGCCCGAGGACTATAAAGGCGATGATGCGGATGGCCCAGGGGAAGCCAACCTCGGGGATGAGAGCGCGGAGGGCGAGGGGGAAGACGATGCCTCCTAACGTTCTGGTCAGTATGTCTGTAGCAATAAGGGAAAAAAGAAGATACACATATACATGTACATCTGTATATACGTACCAATGCAGCTACCGGAGGCCATCAGGCCCATAGCCTTGGCGCGGGTAGCAGGGTGGGGCAGGCTCCGCGCCGCCGCCGAGACGCTGGGGGTGAAGGCGACACCGGCGCCGATTCCGATGCAGATGCCGTGGGATAAGAACAACTGATAGTACCGGGTGGAAATGCTGAGCATCATGAGGCCGAACACCTGCAGGACGCTGCCCGCCAGGAGCAGCAGCCTGTAGAACCCGCGGTCGTAGAGCGGCCCCGTCACGATGCCGGCGGACAGAACCAGGAAGGCGCAGGTGGTGGAAATCCATGAGATGTTGGAGCTCGACTGGTCCCTGAGGAGCACGAGCTCGTAATGCGCCTGCAGGACGCCCGAGGTGAGTAGGAACCCCCTGTGCAGAACAACAAACAACGAATTGCTGCGTTAGCAGAGGCTTGTCTCGGCTGGGGGTGCATTCCAAACAGAGGTGCTTCTGACACCACGAGAAGCGAAGCAAATACAAAATCACAACGAGAGAGAATTACATTACCAGGTATTCGTAAACACAATGAATGTGCTCAAAATTTGAAGCCATTCGGTGCGACCGAGGCTGGGAGCGGCGGCAGCAGTAGCAGTAGCAGCAGGGACGGCATCGCTGTTGAGGCTCGAGTTGGGAGCCTTCAAGCCGAGACCCTTTTCGCTGACGGAAGAGCTGCTTGGGGCCATTTTTGTTTTAAAAAAAGGAAAAAACAATTGAACATAAAAGGTTCTGGACGGTTGCCCTCGTTTGCTTCTGACCAGCCTCCTTCTGGTTTAAAGCGTGAATCTTGTGTTTAAGCAACGGCAACCCCAGACTAAATGGAAGCAACCACCAGGCGTATCCATTTTTGAATCAATGCAGTAAGCACATTGAGTTTCGCCAGAAGCGGGGCGACGCCGCACCCGCAGATTTGCCCCGAGCCTTGGAGCCTCATTCGTTGCGATAATCACCGAAGGGAAACCCTTGCAGGACCCATGCATGCATCACCCCAGACAGAAGCGCCGAAACTCAAACAACCCTGCCTGGTTGCGCCGCTGCTACCCTCTATCCTTCCTCTCACATGCCATCACATCCCATCCATAAAGCGGTGGAGCATCACGTGACATCCCAACTAGGTCTGTATGCCTCCGTACGGATAATACCTTGCCTTTCTTTGTCTCTCTTGTGCTGCATGCCCACCCCCCTCCCTGTATGCCAGACCCCTCCAACCTCGGCACTCCTACGGCTTGTTTTACAACCAACGCCTTCATTGCTACCGTCACTCTCGCTGCACCCGCTTCATCTATATCAGCGTTTCCGTGTGGCAGCTAACCAACTCTACAGGAGAGCATCTTTCTCCCGTTTCTCACATTTCTGCTTACTCTCTCATATTAACATTACACCAAACCCATCAACTCGCCGAGAAAGCCACCCTAATCACTATCGCCTAGTACGCACCATGTCAGACGGCGGTAACATCAAGCCAAGGTCAGCAAGGCTAGCTGCTTCGGCCGGCCTGTCGCCCTATGGACGCGCAGGTGCCCCTGGCCCTCACCCAAACACAGACCCCTACGAATCGCTGCGTGCCCGCGCGCTGTCCACCCTCGAGGCCATGGGCTTCGACCCAGACACCATGGTAGAGCATGCCATCCTCTGGGCTGAGCATCAGGACCCGTTCGGTCACGTAATGAACGCCCAGTTTGTGTCATTCATGGGCGCCAGTTGGATCCGCGTCATGGAGAGCTACGACGAGTTCCTCTCCACTGAGGAGCTCGCCGGTGTCATGAACGGCAAGACGGTCGCCCCCATGGTCCGCAGATTTGACCTCGAGATCAAGCGCCAGGTCAAGTACCCCGATGTGGTTCGTGGCTCCTTTCTCAGCCCACCCCATCGCTAAGAGTACTAACAAGTCAATGTCTCCAACAGGTCATTGCCGCTTATCGGCAGGAAAAGATTGAGCCCACTCGCAACGGCGGCACCACTGTGCTCTTCTCGCTCCAGCAACAGGCTATTGTGGCCCAGATCAAAGGCACAACCACATACGTAGACGTCAAGACTGGTCGCCCCAAGGATATTCGCACTCTCGGTGGCGGCTTTCCAGCCTTGTTCGACGGATTCACCAAGAAATCCGAGAGGGCCAATGCTCTCCGCGAGAAGTGGGAGCTGGAACACCCGACCAAAGCTCCTAGGGCAAAAGTTTGACTTTGATAAAGAACACTGTAAAAGTACCGAATGCATCATGAAAATCATAGAAAATCATAAAAATTCTATTACTAAAAAAATAAGAATACTGCGCCTCTAAGAACTCTTCTCATGCGTGTTGTGGGGTATGAGAAACGTCGCCCACGAGTCCTGCGCGGCCGCCAGGGCAATGGATCTGCTGAACCTGCTGAAGAGCTGCTCCTGAACACACCATTCCATTTCCCTTCCTTTGCCCCTTCCAGACACTTAGATCCCTGTAGCCACGTGTTTTGTCACCATTCTGGTGCGCTCCCCTGAAGCGTCAATGAATCTTGGGTACGCTTTTCTCGTTATATGCACTGTAACTTCCGTTCTGCTTATCTAGCCTGCATCTGCCACAGATTCTCGAGCCCGTTCAGTCAGCCCTCCTTCGACCAAATATAAGCTGCTTTCCGTTCTTCTGTTTCTTTAGTCGATGTGGAAGCACGTTTCACTGCCTCTCCAGCGTTTCACCATTGAGCAAACAGAAAATAATTTTACCTACATAAAACAGGAGAGAGAAAAAAGTCATTGGTGACTCTATTTTCTGCCTTCTTAATAAAAATGGCCGCTCCAAAGTTATCCATGCCGTCGCAGAACCTGCACTGCGAGGCCGAGGGCTCTATGGCAAAGGAAAATGTCGACAGCCTGGCCCCGAGTCCTTGCTCGGATACCAACGACGACGAGGTTTTCTCACCGGCTAGGCAAAAGCGAATCATTCGTCGAATGTAAGTTTCACTGTGCCCCGTCCCCCTTTCAACTTGGGCTTCTCTCGTTTCCAGTTCAAGCAGCAAGCGTCGGTCAAGGGCCAGTGTTTTTGAACCACGCCTCCCCCCCCCCCCCAAAGGAACCATTTATTTACAGATGAAAACAAAAATGCAGAGACGTACGACTCATCGGAGTGCTAGCAGTCATCTATGTTATCTCGCTCGTGGACCGCGTTAACATCTCCAGCGCCGCCATTGCCGGCCTCAACAAGGACCTACAGCTGCAAGTCGGCACTCGCTACTCCCTCATCATCAGCACCTTCTTCGCCGCCTACACCGTCTTCCAGCCGCTCGGCAGCGTGCTCACCAGGAAGCTCGGCCCGCGGATCTTCCTCAGCACCATCACCCTGCTGTGGGGTATCGTCATGATTGGCACCGGCTTCGTCAACACGTGGGAGAGCCTCGCTGGCCTGCGCGTCTTGATCGGGTACGCTTGAACTTCACTCCTTCGTCTGGAAGAGCATCTCTGGCTACCCCCCCCCGGAGAAAACTCTCCCCGCCCACCACAGATGGCATGCTAATCCGTTACGTTTTCATCGTATCAGTGTGTTTGAAGCTGGCTTGTTTCCCGGAGCCGTGTACCTCCTCAGCACCTGGTACACCCGATTCGACATGCAGAAGCGATACACTGCCTTTTATGGCCTGGCCTGCGTGGCTGGTGCCCTAGGCGGCATCCTTGCTTTTGGCCTGTCCAAGATGAACAAGACGGCGAATCTGGCCGGCTGGCGATGGATCTTTATCATCGAGGGCATCATTTCCTGCGTCGGTGCTGTCATCTCATTTGCTCTCCTTGTCGGGTTCCCCGAGGAGGCTCACAAGGCATGGAGATTCCTCACCGTGGAAGAGCGCGACTTCATCATCCGTCGCGTCAACCGGGATCGAGGGGACGCCATCACCGAGCCCTTCTCCCTCGGCAAGTTCCTCCAACCCGCGCTCGACATCAAGATCTGGGTGTACGCCATCATATTTTTCTGTGTCACCACCGTGGGCTACTCCATCAACTATTTTCTGCCCATCATTCTTGTCGGCATGGGTATGTAATCCCACTTTCGCTTCAGATATATTTGTACGCCTTCTACAGCCTCACCTAACATGCTTTTACTTGCAGGCTTCTCCGTCGCCGCATCGCAGTGTCTCATTGTGCCGCCGTGGATCTTCACCGGCATCGTCATGTACATCCAAGCCTGGATTGGCGACCGCTACCGCATCCGCGGTCCCATCATTGCATTCAATGCTGTCCTCTCCTTGATTGGGCTTGTTCTGATGGGATTCGACCACTCCAACCCTGTCCGCTACTTTGGCGTATTCATCATCGTGGCAGGCGCCAGTGGAAACACGCCTCCGGTCCTGACCTACCAGGCCAATAACATCCGCGGCCACTGGAAGCGCGCGTTTTGCAGTGCTACCTTGGTTGGCTTCGGTGGTATTGGCGGCATTGCCGGCGCGCTCGTCTTCAGAAGCCAGGATAGTCCAGGTTATTTGCCGGGCATCTATGCCTCAATTGCCTGCAACATTATCATTCTGATATGCGTGGCTGGCCTGTCTCTGTGGTTCCGATACGCGAACAACAAGGCCAGAACCGGTCAGAAGATCCTGGAAGGCCTGGAAGGCTTTACGTACACGCTCTAGTGCTGCTAGAGATTGTCACCCTCCTGCCGTTCGACCCCATCTGGATGGGTTTGTGATTTCATCAAGCTCAGCAGGAACCTGAGTCGAACTCGGAAGGGATATTATTCTTGGCTAATATCAAGGTTGGCCTGATAATGAGGCCAAAATTTCACGGGATTTCAAAAGTACAATTAACGTTCCCGAAAAGAAAACTAGTATGAAAAGCTTGCTGTAACAGTGTATTGCTTATTTTATCGCTGGCATAGGGGTCTACGTGTTGCATAGAGCGCAAGGTGGAGGAGAGTGATCAAGTCTCATTTTCATGCAAGTATGTAACAACCCAAATAGTCTAGTGCTGTACAAAGCTCTTTGCAGTTATTCATAGAATACTCTGAGTTCCTTAACAGCACATGCCAGTAGGCTAGAGTTAGTAAACCAGAGTTATTGTAAGCCGGAGTTACTAGATCGGAGTTGATAAGAACCTCATATTTTTCATGTTTTCTTATATATAAATGGAAGACACTGTATAGCAGAGAGAGATAGGTTTCAGTACAATGACATCCCTTATCCTATCTTCAAAGACGCTGCTGCCAATCTAAGTAAGGGCTTCCTCGTCGGATCAAGAACCATATGTACTGACCTAGATTGTGAAGGGCACCTAGATGAGCATTCCCGGAACAAAATTATGGGGCATAGAAAGAGCGATCCGTTTGCATACTATGTCCAGGTTCCGGATGATACACTCAATCCGCATTTATGGGAACTCCGACCAGAGATACCTTAATCAAACTTGCGACCAATTCGGGATTGACTCGGGACCCATCCGTGCCACAAGGATTGAATTATAAGCGAAAGGAAGAGATTGAGAAGGGTCATGAGCTCTGCACACTGAAGAACCGGTATGACACGCTTCGCACTGATTTGATTGCACGGTACCAGATGTTAAACAAGGCTCGAGGCACGGATTTGTATGCGGAGTTTGAAGCGGCCTAGAACAAAAACAGGTCGGAGAGGAAGAGACGTTATAAAGCGGCCGAGGTTGAGCAGCACAAAAGTTTGTTCGACATCATTAGGAATCAAATTATCGAAGGAAACTATGAGGGAAAGCCCGTTACCTTTGAACCAGACACGTCTCATGTATTGCCGGAGAGAAGAGCTCTCACGGATCTCGAGTTCAAGAATAGAGACGTGGACAAAGTCAGTTATGACGAATTGCTCGAGGACCGTATTCGATCCCTTGAGATGCGACTGGCCCTATACCATCTCGAAGTACTGAGGAAATTGCAGGAGCGAATCCGTTTCAATAAACCGCCTCCACAAAAGACTGAAGATGATCCTATTTCCATGGAGAGTGAGGAGGAATAGAAGAGACTTTTATGCCCCATCTGTCTTGGCCGCTCTAACTTGCATCCTCGAGCAGGACAATACGAATACGCTCGTAAAGATATACTGAAAGTGCACTTTATGAAGCACCGACTGCGTCAACATCCTCTGTGATCTTAATCTGATCGCCACATCGATCTAGTATCGGTTGGATCTTATTTTTTCCAACAATGGGCCAACGATCATGCAATGCAAACCCTTACAAAAATATTGAGACCACTAAAGGATCAATAGCATAGGAATAAGAATAGGAAACAAATAAGCACATCTATGAAAAGTGCTTCTGCGATTTTCGCTTTGTAAATCTCACATGGCCACACAGTCACTGTCTTGTCTCCGCCACCACCAGAAAGACTCCATCAAGTGAGCAAACAAATTTTTAAACCATCAAAGAACCAATTCTAAAAGGGTTGTTTGGGGGAATATCTGTATCTCAAATTGAAATTGTTCACCCAATGGTGAAAGGCACTAAAGACTTTCGTTATCAAATCTAGTCTATGGATGAGACTCACTCCTAGATGAGAGATATGGAAATAAAGCCACTTCTAAATCTTATTGGAGAGCGGTTAAGGCAGATTTCCTCTATAATATAATATAGAAATCATTCATCATTGGTTTTAAATCTGAAAATCTGATGACTTCTGCTATATATAATGGAGTAAGTTGGTTAAAGAAAGTATGAAAATTAATACTTCTATATCAGTTTATTCTCTTGATTATGTGATTAGAAACTAAGCTTAATAAAAGACTTAGTTGTGACCATAAAGGCCGTAGTAAAAATAAAAAAAATATGAAAGAAAGAGAAGAAAAAGAATATAGTAAAGAAAGTTAAAAAAGGATTAAGGCAATAAAGAAATCATCGAAGAAGATTAAAGGGAGTATTAAGAGGAAAAAGAAGAGAGGTAGGGTAAAATAATTAGTTGAAGTTACTATTCTTGACTTTCAAATATATTAGGTATGTGAATTATATAAATCTAATAAATGACTGTCATTTTCTCTCTTATTATATTTTGTTATTTTTTTTATTTTATAATTTAATTGTGTTCTTATAGAACTTGATGCTGTATATAATCTGGTATACTGATATAAGGTAGAGAGAGTCTCATCAAGCCAGCTAATAACGTGACTATATAGAGATAAGATCTAGTAGTATTAGGTGTATAATTATATTTAAAGTCGTTAATTTTGTTTTAGCCTAAAGAGTGTTGTTTAATATAGATTTGATTAGAATGTATTACAGATAGTTTAGGAACATAGATCTACCACTTAGCCAGCGAAATTCTCACTAAATGATATGAAATCTTTTCCCTTTAGGTAGGTATTATCATTGACTAGATTGGCTAGGTGTGTCAGCCTCTTTGGACTGCTAAGAACCCATGAGAGCCAATACTAGGTGGATTGCTCGAGCATTTTGGTAATTTAAGATGCTAGGTTGTCGAAATGCTGTCAGCACAACTATATAAGGCTAACCTCCTCCTTGACTCTGTTTCTGTTCTTTTATTATAATCTCCCTAGAGCTGCTCTCTCTTTGACTAACTTTTTCTTTGATAATGGATCTTACTCCATCTGTACTATAATAGGTATCTGAGACAGTCTGTTTTAAAGATAAGGCGATGAAGCTTCTGAGAGTAGCTTTTCAATTGATAATCTCTGGTGGAGTTGACCTCTATCGCGAGCCAGAAGTATGTTGGATTTCTAAAATAAAGAAATAACACACATTAACTATTGGATAAATTCGGAGACCTGGTTCTATCTTTAATCTCTGCCGTTATTTGACCTGGAGGGGCACTCGAGACGCTCAATGAAATAGCTTTATGGACTGCTAAAAACTAATTTCATCCCCTATCCCATCATCCTCTAATTCGTCCATGCCTTCTGTAGAAATTCTTTAAGCTTAATTGGCTTGATCTCTGGCAGCTTTCTGTTTAAAGACATATTCTCATCAAAATCCAAGTCTCCACGATCAATCCAGATTCCAAAAGCACTGTTTGTGGCTTGGACGAATTCTTTAGGACAGATAGAGTAGCGTGAATTTTGAGAAGGCAGCTCTGTCACCTCACCCCTCTTCAATTTGACAAGATCATCATAATCCACCTTGAATTCGATGCCTAAGGAGACGTTATCAGCAATGAAAGATCTGCGATCATCCAGTTTTTACCTTACCCTTCGCCTTCTCAGCTAGTTTGACGGCTTCGTTCATTGTCATCTTGTCGCCAATGATAAAGCTGACAGGGGTCCATTTTTCGAAATCTAAGCTAGCAGCAACGAATCTGCCCACATCCGAGGTATGGGTGAAGGTTACTGGCTTGTTACCATCGCCCGGAATGGCGGCCGCGTTTCCAGGAATGTCCAGAAGCACGACGTAAGGTGCTAGGTAAGACGAAATTCTGGGCATCCCGAAGTAGTCCATAAAGTATCCATTGTAGACTATGGTCCACTCCAGGCTACTTGTCTCGAGCGCGCGTCTTGAAGCATGCTTCATAGGAATGGAAGGGAATAAATCCCCATCTCTATCGAATAAAATGTTAATCACTGCGAAGAGCAATATGAATAAGCGCGGTCCTACTCGTCACGTTGAGGAAACCCAAATTCGCTAGGAACAAATCTTTTGGTTGTTTTTGAAGCATCAGCAGCCCGAATAAGGTTCTGCTCCAAAAGCCCAGCTCCGTTGGGACTCATGAACAAGGTAGAGATAACGGTATGGACATTGTTGTCCTCGAGGATTTTTGTGAGTGCTGCCACGCCTTTATAATCCGTGGCGACGAGGCGCGCACCAATTTCTTCTTCTTTAGCAGCGTCCGCCTTTGAATAAGTCAGCTTTATAATAGGATATTGGATCAGGAGCAGCGCACAGTTCGGCTCAGAATTATAACTTCGTGCTTCCCTTGAGAGATGAGCGCTTCGACAATATTGCGGCCCACAGCACCAGTACCACCAGCAACTGCAACAATAACCATTCTGGCGAATGTAAGGGATTTAGATCAAAGGCTTTATGATTCTGTGATTGGGGATGATTTTGAGATAGAGAAAGTGCAAATAGTAGTCAAATTGCTCGGTCTGTGCATTATTATATACTTAAAGGACTCTCCGCTAAAGCTTTTCAACAACTATCATTCTCGCCTTTAGGATAATGGATATGCTCTTCTGATTCGCACGGGATCAAAATTAAGGCTAGGAGTAACTACGTTTTACCGGATTCGTATATGAACAGTGTTCCGCTTTGATGCCGCATTGATTCCGCATTGATTCCGGCGCTGACAAATGCAGCAGATTTGATTCCTTGACCCCTGATGTCTCAGTGCACATGCATCAAGATGCATCACGCAAACAATCGTTCAAAGGCGGTCTAAGATGGAGCCGGGAACGCATCCACAACTCAGAAAACAGCGTAGAAAAGCCTTCATGGTAAGAAAAAGCCTCTCATAACCTCACTGTCATTCGGATGCGATGGATCCGTATTCGCCAGACCCTAGAGATTTCACAAAATTCCAAGTCAGCTCTGCGTTCTCATCAATTTGCGCTGGCATTCAATATTCGGTCCGAAATCACCATAACTACTTTGCATGAGACAGACATTGGCGTTGCTTATTTGTTCATTCTACCTAGCATTCTCGCTCCTCCCCACAGTATTTGCACTAAAACCATGCACTTAGTATTGTTGCGTTCTAGTCAATGCTTCCCTTCCCTTCCCTTTCATTGTTATAAAATTTCGACTAATGATGTTACAGGCTTGCATACATTGTAGAGCCTGTAAAACAGGCTGCGATGGCAAGTCACCGGCATGCTCTAGATGTGCTGGTCGTGGTTTGCGGTGCGAGTATTTACCCATCCGAAAGATGCGAGGTCCTGGGAAGAAGCGAGTCATCTCTTTCTTTTTGTCTTCTGCTTTCTCGTTTTCCCTTCTTGAGGCTGACCCTACTCATTAGGAAAAGGAGTGTCAAACACTTGGAACAGCGACCCAGCCTACCACAAACCGAGTTTCAGGGGAGAGTTGTGTTAGATAACAACGAGAACTACTCATCCAACAATGATGGCTCGTCTGCTGCGATGATAGATATACCTGAACCTCATGTCCATCTCGAACTATCTGGGGAGTCCAGAGACTTAGAAGCGCTTCTACAGCAGAATTTTCCAATGTTTCTTGAACCTGAGAACAATATGGTGGCTCTCCAAGACTTAAAGCGGGCTATTGAAGAAGAACAGACGTCGCCCGAAGGTTTTGTTCCTCTAATATCCCAAGATCAGATTCAGCACATATTTGAGATCACCTATAACGAAATTATGGCAGTTTGTCCAATTTTCGATCTTCCGACGCTCAGCAGGCTCAACGCCGAACAGCACGCGGTCAGCAGCGCTCATCCGGCTAGTAATCCAGCCCGATGGGCAATTATAACTACTTGGATTGCCATGGGGGTGCTCTTCAAGACGACGTCTGGGTCAGAAGACGAACTGAATTATGTTAGTAAGGCCTACTATCGCAACGCGGTCTTGGTACTTCCAGACCTTATCCTGCAGCCTGCAAGCAAAGAAACAATTCAGGCGCTGCTGTTTATGGCCATGTATGCCGAGTGCTCGATGGATCATCGATCTTATGTTATGTTAGTGACCAATGCTGTCCGTCAAATTGAGCTTTTAACTCCACGACTTTCTGAAGTGCGGGACCGGTGTGAGAAAGAGTCCTGCAAGAATGAGCTGTCCTTTGCGCAACTACAGGACATTAAGGTTGCCAGTAATTACGGCATGACATTACTTTTAGGTTCTCTTGTCATCTAGCAAGCGAAAAAACAATTCTAAGCCCTTAATAAATATTTTAAAACAGCACATAACCTGCCTATTTGAGTGTCATCTTGCATTATCTTCTGCCCAAAGCTGAGAATGGTTCAACGCAGATTAAAATAAAATATAATATGAGGCCCTACATGTTATGGTATTACCACGATAACGAGGTACGATTCATCATTGCCTTAGGGTTAATCTCTTCATAACTTACATGTAATCGCCTTTCTCGCGATTTTATATAAAGAGTAAAGGGTAGTTCGGAACGCATTACTCTCTTTAACCTTTTACAATTCATCAGTTTTAGCAATTATTATTATTATATATAGCTATGTACAGGATGGCTTCTAGGAACTCTTCAATCTTCAATCATTCTCGGTGGTCTAGGTTCTTTAATTCCTACTTTCTTCAATGTCATTCTAAGAAACAATTGATTATAGTTTCCAGTTGCTAGACATGTAATTTATTTTGACAATATGATGGAATGTGGAGTATAGTAAATGTTGATGGACTGAAGTCTCCATATAATCGAAATTCTCGATCACCGAGGGCACTATGTAGATGGATAATTTTTATCGTTCTTTCTTTAAATTATGATACAGCCCTTATAAATAGCCGCGCTCCATGATAAACAATATACGAAAATCCCCCATAGATGAAAAGGCATTGATTTATTACGTTTCAACTGGTACATGTATTCATGCCAAATATCTCACATATTAAGTAAACATATTGTTTAATAAGGCAAGCTATTTTGACAGCTATGAAATATTGGAATTGAGCTTGAGAAGGTTATCTATTTACATAGACCTAGGCCGTTGATGAATTCCGTCCATGATGTCGCTTTTCTTTTATAGTGACAGTGATTGTAATATTTCCTAGGGGTTAATTAACGCAATGTTCCAATTACAAATTCTTGTTTGTCGAAATGCCGAGAAACTTTTGATGTTTAAAGATATGCTATTGTGTTATATAATGATTAATAACGAAGATTGTGTTGACGCCGCAATTACTTTTGTCTTTTGTCTATAAAACATTCAACAACCCCTGACATCACTGATATGTAGCCGCCTTTCTCCAATTTACCTTGCAATAAAACCATATAAATGTTTCAAGGTGTTTCCCTAGCGTGTCCAAGTGGTTCGACTTTCTTACACAGGCTAGCATTGTAGTGACATGGCTCCATGCGTAGGTCTGTTATTCCAAATTTCGTCTCCGTATCACGATGTCCAGGTAGCTAGCCGGAAATACACGGTAGTGCCCGGAACTACCAGGGTTAGTACTTCTACTTCCCTTCTAAAACTACCATATTTCCTTAGTTTACATTGGTCCTTTACGACTCTCTACAAGCTCACAAGCGTCGCTTTGATCCGAGAAATGCACATACACTACCAGTGAAGCGGGGATACGAAACCTGCAATATAATTAGACATTTCGTTGAAGACTTGAACTAACCGAATATACACTTAAAGTTTTGTCGGAAGTATCGATATATTTTAATAGGTCGCTTTAAGTGATCTATGGGAATTGGAAAAACAGCAAGTTCCACTTCCCAATAAGGTTGAGTATTATAAATACCCGGTTGAATGGCATATTCTCTCAATAATCTACATCTCGAGGTTTCCTTGGTCAACGAACTTTCTTCTTGAGAGTTTATAGACGTTTTGTGAAAGAATTGCTTTCTTTTCTCTCCCAATTACCTGAAGCATTGGCAAAGATTCGCGGATAAAGGTAAGAGCTTGAAGCGGCGAATGAATGTTGTCAGATTATACCAGATGATGGGCACCACCGACGCTATATCGGAAAATAAATACTGTGGTCTTTTTGAAGCCTGAGATACAGAAGATCCACAATTCCTCTTGGAGTGTTAGGTGTTCCTGACAACATTTTATAGGACACTAGTAACTAGAGCTTATACCCCGTCCCAAAAAATTGGCCTTTTTCCCTATACCAGTTTATATTATCCTACATAGAGATCCTGCAACATAGTTTTCTTCCTATTACAATACGTAACACCAACAGATTACGTGACGAAGATTCTTTATGGTGCGAATAGTTGCCTTGGGGTATTACGTATTGACAGATGAGAAAGTTAGCAACCAACCTTGACGATACAACTGCTATCAAATTATTTAATTAATGCAAAAATTCCGAGATAATGGTTCCGTGATAACCACTGTTCTCTACCTTGACTTCCCGCAAACAACCTTCAAAGTATAATCCGGCTAGGCCCAAGCAGGCAAGTCTAGTTGGATGTGCTAGCTTCGGTGGGATTAGAATCACAATATAACCAAACAAATTACATTTGATACATAACGAGCCATCGATGCGTTTTCCAAGGCCAAAGGCTGACTACTTACAGTACTGTGGTGGTACCAATTTTGAGTTATCACCCGTAATTCCAGTTCATTATAATGTTGTATTATACAGTCTGTATTGCTGGTGGCCTTTCATTACCGAATTGGATGGTGTGCTAAAAGCCAGATCCAACAGTTGGTCTAGGGCAAATAGTAAACGAACAAACAAAAACGCCATTAGGCTTATTTATGCAAGAATGATACATGATCCGATATAAGAAAGACATCGATGAGTATTGGCTACCCCGGGTTTCCAAATCCCGGGGGTCGAATAATATTAAAAACCACCCCCACTTGTCCAACTTAAAACTTGGCTGTCTTCAAAATTGTGAACAGCATCAGTTTGATCTTGCAGTATCTTTTATATTCCGCATTCCCACGTCATCTCCAAAATGCATGAAAATCTAGTTCCGCGTCGCACACAATTTTCCAGTTGTGATGCATGTCGCAGGTCTCGGGTCGCCTGCGATGCGATGAAGGGGCGGTCGGCCTTAACAAGTGCAGCCTGGATGAATGCTTGCACTCGATGTCTAAACCGCGGCCGTCAGTGCACGTTCGAGGTATGTATTTTACATTCCATCGCATAGTTTAACAAGCATAATTAACAGGAATTGAAGTGGATTCAAAACGCGACTTTGCCGAACAGCAAGAGAAAGTTTGTAGCGAATCGACGCGAAAACGCCGCTTATGTTCCCACGGCTTCGGAAATTAGTGCGACAGAAGCCGCTGTTAATAGCCCACCTTCCACTGATGCTCAGAGCAGTGGTATTTCAATGCAGTCGACAGATAGGTAATTTTCCATATGTTTGAACGCTCTCTACAGTACTATAAATGACACTTTCGCCAAATCTAGATGTGGTGAAAACGGCCCCGCAGTACTGTCCGCTGATCATGCAGAGTGGTTACGAGGAATATATGAGTCCATTTTTGAAGATGTTTTTGGGTCCTGGCTTGGTAACTATAGTTGTCCTTATGTGTTAGCACCAGCTCTCTATGTTGTTGGATATAATTGCTTCTAATACACCTTCGCAGTTTCCGCGATAATCGACTCCGGGACCGAAACAATTTGGCTCTCTCTGTCAGCATCTCTAGCCTTTGTCGGGAGTGCGATCAGTGGATGAAACGGGTCCAAGGCCAAGGAATGAGCCCTCGAAACGAAGAGGTGGAAAGCCCTGGCGAGATTGATCGTGACAGGCAAATTGATTATTCATTATCACGAGCAATATACGCCTTTTCGGCTCGGTGGTTGCCTCTTACAGAACACTCAGGGTCAGTACGAATTGGATTAATGGACACTATAGAAAGCCTCTGGAGAGAGGTGCGACGCGACATTTTGAGGGTTATTAACCGCCCTTGTTATCGCTCAGCTCTCACCCTGTTTCTTTTTGCTTTGACTCCGATCCCGGCCGGTATTTCTGAAGAAGAAGAGATTGATGGAGTGCCAGCACAATTTTGTGTTCAGGCTGCTTTACAACAGGTTCTCACTTTGCGGGCTCTTCAAAGAAGCCTGGAGTTCAATGGATCTAAGGTGTCGTCGATCTCGCCGATATTAAATGCCATCACCAGCCCTACTCCCGTTACTAAGGATTTCCTTGGAATTGAAAGTATGGTTTACTGGGCAGCTATGACCTTTGATACGTCGTCCTCACTCACTTTAAATACCAAATCTCTGCTATCACCTGGTCTAGTTCTTGGGGCCGAACTAGAATCATCGTGGCGCCTAGTGCGCACATGCACCAATATATTCCACGAGGAGACTAAGGATTGGCGGGCGGAGGGTGTGCATATTACCGAAGAACGGGCCAATCAAATCATTGCATCGGCGTCGTCGTGGAAGCTATTTGTTTGGAAGGCAGCGGCAGTGGTGAAGGAAGCTCTACGAGAAGGCCAGGAGGAAGAGGCTGTTCAACAAGCATTCAGAACAGCAATAGATGCGGTGAACCAATTCAGCCTCACCTATCGCGAATTGCTAGCTGCATGTGAACGCCGCATTCAGTTTTTTGGTCACAAAACTAAGTTACGTTGGTGTAAGCCTCATATAGATGTCCTTTTTCAGAATTTACCAAATTGGTCGAGAGCTTTGCTGACACGTGTTTGGTTCTTCCAGATGAATTGATTTTGCACTATAATCTAAGCATATTAATTATGCTCGATGCTGTCGAAATTGCAGGGCGTATGGATCTAATAGAAAAGACGAAAGTAGTCAAAGCGGACGCGGAAGGCAGTCTAATGAACTGCCTCATCTTTGGCTTGAATAATGACTTTTATGTTTCAAGACAGGGCATCTTGCAGCAGCAACTCCACCTACAGAATTCACAAGAAGACGACGAGCACGAGCTTAATAAACGTGTGCCCCTGATCGTCATTGACCCTTATCCTCATCACGTGGTTGCTGGAGTAAGAATTCTATGGAAGGCTGTAGAACGGAATTTGGAGAATAATACCCTTGATCAGAGCACTGCTGAGCATATGCACGGGATTATGCTCCAAGCTTTGCGATTGCTTCCTCAAGCGTCCAAATCTGTCAGGACGGCGCGGCAGCAGGCAGAAGCGGCCTATATCCTTTAGTCTTAGTTTCTATGTACTACAACTATTTGCCAGGGGGGAGTTGACCGAGACATGATACTTTCAAGAGTTTCACTCTTCAAACGTTCAATGTTATTATATTGATTCTGTTTCACGTCGCTTATTCATAGATGGTATTATATATACATATATCTATACATATATCCTTTTATAACCTAGAATACTACAAATACCTGATTAATAAATTGATACAAGTACCAATTGTTGTTAAAATGGGCCATTCTTCCGTGTATTTGAGAGTTTTAGTGGTATCCCCTTAGATCAGGTATGTAACAACTACGTTGAGTCTATGTCATAATAGTGTGAACTAATCAGATCAGCTGATATATTCAACCGTTTTAATTCTTCCATAAAACGTCTCCATGTAGTCATTTGCTCTTTAGCGTATGATTTGAGCGTTACTATCTTGCTTTGAGTGAGGTCTGGCGATTAGTTACTTAACTAAGCTATCTGCCTCGGTATAAGCAGCCAGGTTGAAATATGAAATATCCGGTGTGGCCCTGTATTATCTAGCCAGGTTTAATGCTATCGTTGTTTACATATATACTTGTGTAGCCTACATTTAAACGTTCAGCTGGCACACTCGGGTACATCTACACACAATAGCCAGGTGAATCATAGCATTGCCCCCTTATTGTCCCATTATGATCTACCATTAAACCAATCGGACAGCAGAAATTGTAACTGGGAGGTTTCATCATGTACCATTAATAAATTAAGAATGAAGCAGAAAACTAGCAATCCAGATTAATTATCCCCCCAAAGCTGGCCTAACCAAAGTTTTTAATATAGTACATAATTGGGGATCCACTCCATTTCAGAGCATGACACCTTTCATCATTAGCGAAATCTACAATTGGAAACGACACACAAGCACAAGACTAGTTGGTCGGCGGCTTTTATTGTCGCGGGATGGAAAACTAGACCGAGAAGATTGCACAGTAAATGGCTGTATATATTCAGAGACTATCGACGCTAACTCTACAAATGCTCTTTGAACCACTGTACAGCTTGTAGGAAAGCACTTTCTTTGGCATATTGCACTACACGCTTTTCCGGGTCGCCCCTAACGGCAAAGCCATGTTCAACTCCGCTGTACAAATTTATTTGGTAGGGTGTGCCCAATGTTTTCAAAATATCCTCGGACTCATGTCGTTTTTCAGCAGGGAAAATCTGGTCCACCTCGGCGGCGGAGATCGCTAGAGGGCCTTCGATAGCTTTCAACTCTTCTGCCTCAACAAATGATGGGTGGGCGACATAGCCGACATCAACCTTGCCTTGGCCGGGATGAAGGTGACGGATAACATATTTGGCCCCAAAGCAATATCCCACTGCGCCGATTGTCTAGGGAAGATTGATCAGATACTATTCATATCATCTGTTTCTCTCCCGCTCCGCGGATTGGAATACCCAGAGGTGATCTGGATGAAATACCTACCTGCGAATTATATTTGTTCCGCAACTCAGACACGCAAGCCTCTACGATAGGATCCACGGTCGAAGGGCCATGGGCGCCTTTCCATGCTTGAAAATCAAAATCTCCTGATCGGTTTAGCGGGACTGGATCGCCACCGAAAAGATCTGGCATTAAAACGAAGTATCCGTTCGCCGCGAACTGGTCGGCGATGAGCTGCGCATTTAAGAAACGATGTCCAATAACATCAGTAAGTCTAGGATGGTCAATCAGAGAATCAATAAGAGTCGGTTTATATAGAGAGAGGAATTAGAAGCCATACATCAATACAGCATGCTCCGTGGACTTATTTGCGGGGTAGCTGGTATAGATCTCAAAGTTGTTTAGAGTAGAAAGACTGCCAACGGGTTCTCCCTCGTGCTTGACGCCCTGGTAGCAGCATGATCCAGGAGGATTCGATGCCATCTCTTCTGAATGCTCTTGTGTAAACGAGGATAGTTTACGCAGTGCCTGCTGGCATTTGAGGGAATGATGGTATTTGTATTGCGCCATTGTGAAACCAGCACAGTCCCGCCGGATAAAAATGTCTCCGGAGACACTCGACGAATCAGAGCTCTGCCCGCTCGGCGGGGCCGGGGACAACCGGGATTACATCAATCACAAACGGTGCTTCCGTCTGCATGCGCTATAGTGATGCGAGCCGATTTATCTGCTGAATGAAACCTCTCAATACCGGGAATTGTATTGATCCAGGCTTCGCCAGACAGCGCTTCAATGTGGGACTCTTACATGCGTACGAAGTGGAACCATCTTCGTATAAATTATCAAGTCTATTAAACCGTGGCGTATCACAAAATTATCATACAGTATCGGCCAAACCCTGTGGGGATGGTAAGGGAATGTAACATTTGACGTCCACTACACCTACCTAAATCAACAGTCTGCCTCCATTTGTGCTGATGGTAGAGCCAGTTAAGTTGTAGTCTTTCATACAATACAAGTACGCCTCTACAACACTCTCAACTGTTCCTATCTGACCTGTTGTGGTTTGTCTCTCCAATTCCTCGATCACAGTGGCCCGTGACTGTGGATCTAGTATGTTCCACATTTCCGTATCCACGCCGCCGGGGACGACCAGATTCACACGGATAGGCTTTAGATCAAAAGCCAATCCCCTCATCATGCCATGAAGCCCACTAAGATAGGAACTTGTCACAGTCCATCCCGGTATGGGCTTCTCACTGGAGACACCGGATGTCAATATAATTGAACTCTTGGGCGATGGAGACAGGTTTTTATACCCATACCGGGCAACGAGAAGGGGGGCAAAGAACCGAACCATTCCCGTTTGCTGTATAGATTCGAAATCGACTTCCGCAAAAGGCTTTAGTGTTGGCGCATCACCAGCTGTGAAAACGATATGATCGATAATGCCCACTTTTGAAAAAAGATCTTGTACGTTTTGGCTTAGCTTTGATTCATTCGACAAGTCGCATTGATAAGTAGTGATGTCGGTAGTCGAGTCCGGATATGATTTTTTAATTTTATGAATAGCTTCCTTTAGCCGGTTCTTTGAGGATGAACTCAAAATTAGAGACGAGACGCCATGCTCCACGCTTGCCTCTGCAACCCCGAACCCAATACCGGAAGTTCCTCCGATAATAAGAAGACGAGTACCGGAGAGTTTATTAACCCATTTCAGCTCTCCCTGCATAATGAATAGTATTATTTGATGTATCTTAAGGCTGTATTAGCAAATAGTCTCAAAAATATTTTCCAAAGTTCAACTTCATGTTTATTGAAATCAAGTGTTCTTTAATACGTGAAAGTGGCAGAAAAGATACTCCATTAATACATAAAAATTCCGTAATGTCTCCGACTTTTTTTAATATCCGACCGATATCAAACTCGTTAATATTTGGATAAATTACTAATATGTCCCCGAAGACGGCCAAATTGGCCGAAATAATCCAGAGAATGGCACTGTGAGACTAAGTAGACAATTTTTAGTAATATCAGAGATACCAGTTGACCGATAATGAAATTCAACCTGGGTTAATAACGATCTTATCAAATACATGACTTCACTCATAAATCACCTCAATAATAATATTAAAAGATTTGACCCCAATATATACCCACCTTACCAGAGTTTTAGACTATAATTTCACTTTCACTGTTGATATCTCTAACGCCATTAGCTAAAGATTATAATCATCTTAGATTCGTCATAGATAGGTTGCATGACTCCACCTTTGGTCGGAGTTTGAACTCAATACCCTTATAGGGACATTATACCACATTCATTATATTTCGCTACATTTGGATATGGTGTACAGAACAAGATACCAGAATCAGTAGAGAGAGTAAACGTTCCTCTGCTGCAGTGATCTGTCTAGACAAGTCAACTGGTGCCGAGGTAAGACACTACATATGTAATTTCAACGAAGTTCATTTTTATTTCTAAATACTGATGCTGTATAAGGCAATAGCTATCAAGAACTAATAACAATGCTAATCCTTATAGAATTGTGAAGAGCTAGATTGATTATGTTTATATTCAAAACTTTTAAGACACATCTTTTAATAGGTAAATTATTGAAAGATATCGAGTCGATTCTCCTGAACTCTTAAGATGTCGGCATGTATTTCGAATAACCCCCATACATCCCTTCTAGATCATCCCTATGTGTCTCTCACCTGTTATTCTGGAAATTCAATTACTATCATGTTATTACACAATAATCGCACTTGCTTCATTAATTGGGTGTAAATTTCAAGCTATGATATCTAATTAACTGTGAAGGACAGGACATATGGGTCATTTGGTGTAGCCGACTGAATATTGCCATTAGACCATCAATTTTTTTCGATCTCTATCTTTAAGAGTTTCGACCTGTCAGTGGTCAAAGGATGCTATTATGTATTGAGGAAAGAGGAAAAGACATTAGATAATAAGCAACTTTTCAAGGTCACTACAGTACAGCAAATAGACCAGCTAAAAAGATAAGTAGCATCATACATTGAGGAAGTGGTCCCACCATAACACTTCCTGAGTCATTAGATGTAGCATCCCCAGAGGCATTAGTCTGGTTATTGGTCATGTTCTTTTGCTCGGTAAAGAAAAATGGTTGCGTGCTGTTGTATTCAGGAATGGTACAGATAGAATGTGTTCCTGCCACAGACGGACACCGACTTTTATAGTCTGATAAACGTGCCGGGTTTGAGGAGTTGAAATATGCAAGGAAGTAGGCAACCGTCATCTTTGCATCGACATTAGGAGGGCCACCCGACCAGGAAGGGTTCCCATTGCTCCAGTGATTGAAGTACCCGCGGCCAGCATTATCTGGAATATTTTGTGTCATATCACGCAGCCACTTACCGTCAGCATAGAATGAAATTTTCTCCGGTGTCCAGTCAAAGCGGTACTCATGGAACCCATCGGCTGGGTTAAACGGTAATGGATATGTGTCAAAAGTTGGTGTTTCAGCCGCATTGTATCCAGCAGCCTCTGATGCCAGTGACTGCAATATGAGATTGACAGCTCCAGTGTTGTTTCCTGGATTGTTTTGCCGGGATAAGATTTCATTGTCGATTTCTTGTGTATCATTGTAGTACTTGGTATCATATTCAGCAAAGACCTGACGTTTGACTAGTGACACGTACCCAGAAAAATGCTCCGCATGTCCCATTGGTTGAGGTAGCTTTAATCAAAGCTCGAATGCTTCCGTACAGTATATCAGACCGACTAGTGCGAATCTCGCCCATCGGAACAAGGTTGTTTGTTGGGATTCCAGCCCGCGTCCAGATCTGTACTCCAGCATCGGGACCCAGCGTTCCTGAACCGCTCCAGGTGGAATTTTCGATCAGTGGGTTCGAGATTACGTTGCGTAACTCGTCGATTCGACCATATTGCCCTGACGTGGGGTCGTAAGGAAATTCCGACGTTTGGATTTCCCAAGCATCATTGTACGAGAGATTCTGAACAGTTCGGAAGTTGGTTTCAATAATATCAGTATAAACAATATGCTCGGGGTCACTTGTTGCATTAACGGAATACCCGCATTCGCAGTCTGCTAGTGCTGTATGTTAAAGGCATCTCATGTCAATGGAAGGTAAGCGAATTGGGTGGTGTAGGCTTGACTGACCAGAAGTTGACAGCAGACTTGCGGCAATCAAAGTAAGCAGCATATACTTCAACCAATTGTCCACCATGATTGAATACATGATGGACCCGATTTTAGCTTTTTCTCCCTCACAGCAGCATGTAATCCAGTGCAAAAAGGTGTCACTCAATTAATCGACAGTCGAGGCTAATGTCAATCATCAATCACGTGGGTATCGGCTACTATATGACGTAAAAATTTTTCAACTTAAATAATCACTCCTTTCCACTTTCCAAATGAGACATGTCAGACATACCTTGTATTTTGGGGCTTTTCATCATCGCGGCTCTAGAAATTTCATTAGTATTATAGTACTGCAGCATTACGTTAGCCTCGCGTATTCTTTCCCTCCTTGGTGGTTATTGGGGCCGGACATACTCCGGATTGGTGACAAGCTAGATACTGTGTAATATTACTAGCACGAATATTAACTTCAGGGTTTTACTACTTTTATCCAGCGACCCAGTCGCGAAGTCTTACTCTATCCACAATGTAAGATGGTCGTTGGCGTAAATGACTAGCAGCGTGGCGTATTGGGAGGCGTTGGTCGCCAGGTACCCGCCTTTAGCGAGGACGCCATGCAGTGTGAAATATTCTAAGGCTTAGTGCGTCATGGACCAGGTGGGCTGTAGCCTGTGGGAACTGGTCATTGGGCACCGTGGGCTTTTGTTCCTGGCGAACACTCAGTGTTCCTGTAGGGAACTCGTGGGAGTTTAGGAGTCCGCTGACTCGATGGCTCCCAGCAACATGGTCTCGTAATTTTGTTTTTTTGTTATTTGATTACTGCAATATTAACCGGCCACGAACCACGAAGCTAGTTTCCAACAAATGGATCCAGTTACGATGTAGCATTTCAGCTCGCTCTAATTACTCGTTAGGGCCTAGAATGGTGTGCTGTCTTGGTTTCTGAAGCTAAGAAAATGCATGATCTAATATGTATGTACCCAGCAGAGCGATAGCTCCGCTGGTGCACATAAATTATGAGACATAGACCCAGGGAAATTTAAGGTGCGGGCTATTGAATAGTACGCTCTTAACCTTCATTTTTACACAGTATATGCATGTCCTTCAGCAATTTGTTCATTCTCTCTCTGCGAAGGCTGTCTTTCTTAACGTCATTGGATACTTTGCTTCTTGTCACATGCATGAACGATGCATCGCCAACGAGGTAACTCGGTCGTTGAAGACATCGTCGTCCCTAGTCATCTTTTGGCTACAGCGGCTGTTCATCGCAACTGGAAACCGAGTCAATGGGAGTCTGCTCTGCCCCAAACTGGACCCGTTTCGCGGGCGTTGTATGCAGAGGCTAGGGCAAATACAACAAACTCGCTGAATAGGTCGTTGAGCTTGAATGACGACCGCGTTTCTAGGCCACAACAGTCATATCGACCGCGATCCAGGAGCATCCCATCCATTATCCCGGAGAGGCAGTCATTATCCTCGGCCTCATCACCATCAGTTAGTCGGTGCTTGAGCCCAGAGCCACGGTCACCACATGTACACTTTTCTCATTCTACGGCCGCATCTCCAGCCCCATCGCCAGTTTTTGATTCTTTCGACAGCTTGATCAACAGCAAGAGCGAGAAATCGAAAGAAGATACCAGTCCTCCCAAGAGGAGCCTAAGCAAACGGCTCGCCAATAGAGCGCAGCGTACGAGCGTCTACAACCTATACGAAGAGGCTAAAGTTCGTGGGGTGGCACTTCAGCGAAAGTACTGGGTTCAAATATTATTTGAATGTACTGTCTACGTTTTTTTGCTTGCCTTCATCTATCTCGTTCTGGTTGGACTTCCACTATGGAGCGGTGCGGTCTATTGGTTGTACTGGGTCGTAAGGAATAAGTTTGCCATCGAAGGTGGCTGGGCCATTGTCTTAGGTCTATCTACGATGTAAGTCATTGCAACTCCGAAAGCGCACTAGTAGGACATCTATTCACTAGAATTCAGATACGCGTATCTTCCTCTTCTCATACTCTTTGAAAAGGACCCACAAGTCCCAGAGACTGTCAACGCGGAAGTTGATGTCGAAGCAAATAAGTTTGACACCGGTGTCGAAAATACAGCTCTAATGATACCTTGCTACAAATCAGCGAAAATAATAGGACCTACTCTTGAGGCGGCTTTGAAGATTTTTCCAGCTCAAAATATTTACGTGATTGCGAATGGCAACTCAGCAACACCTCTTGATGATACTGAAGACGTATGCCGACCGTATGGTGTTAACCACATTTGGTCGCCCGTTGGATCTAAGATAATTGCGCAATTCGTAGGCTGCTATGCAGCCAAAAACTTCGATAACGTTTTACTGATCGATGATGACTGCCTGCTTCCCTCTAATTTTCCCGTTGTTAGTGACCGGCTCATTGGTCGTGTTAAGTGTATCGGTTACACCATTAAAAGCGTCGGTCCTATGTCTTCCAAAGGCACCTTCTGTCAACAAGCTCAGGATCTCGAATATAAGATCTCAGGGTTACAGCGCGCCTTTGCGGGGAAGATTGGCAGTGCGACTTTTCCCCATGGAGCCATCTCACTATGGAACCGAGAATTCCTAAAGCAGACATTTCATGACCATCCCGGATTCACAGTATCTGAAGATTGGTTTTTTGGTGATAGCTGTCGACGACTAGGTGGACGAATTGATATGTGCACCTCCGTCTTCGTGGAAACCGAGACACCCTCCGCTGTGTTCTTCAGCAGCGGCGGTAGCCGAGGGGGATTCGGGGAAATGACAATCTTCAAACAACGGTTTATGCGATGGAACTTTTTTTTTGTAAATGGCATGTACTACAACATGAAATACATCATCAGGAGCTGGAAATTAGGGTGGTGGGAGCTTGGTGCCAAGATTTTCGTTTGGCAAGAGGTCCGTTAGATGTTTACTTTTCCATCGTCGACGTGGCAACTAACTAGAAGGTCTTTAATAGGTCTATGAAACGCTTCTGTACCTTCTCACACCATTCATATTACCTATGTCATTCATGGCCCGACCTGCATTTAGCGGTATCATGCTTGGCATTACAATTGGAATGTACCTGCTCAACGTCATTGTTTTTAACGAACTACATTTACGGTTGAAGCGTGAACGTGTCAGCCTGCTTGTTCTGCTATTTTACTATGTAAGTCTCCTTTGATGGTGCTTTTTCCTCTTCTGAAATTTCGACTAACGAGTGCAGACCCCATACAAGCTTGTTCTCACCTTCATCAATGTAGCCAGTTGTTACTGGTCCGTCTATAAATATGCTCGCTATTTTGCGAAAAAACACCCAAAAGTTATCGAAGATGCGAAGGCAATTGAAGTGGTGCTACGCCTAGAAGAGCAAGAAAACAATATCACAGAAAATGAAAATAAGCTCGGTCGCACGCTGACCATTACGAAAGTGAAAGCGCGGAGAAACACGACGCCTTATGCACCAGCTGCAATATACCAGCATTTTCAAGACGCCCAATTATCTGATTATACGGAAAATACAGATGGCGAAAAGGCCGCCCCAACAATATATGTTACGCCTTCTCACAGCCTTGGCCCCGTAGATAAGAGCTACTCTCCATACCAGCATCAAGAAAGGGACCATTATCAGCAACCACAATCGTCTCTCTCTTCTCAGCGCTTCTCGTTTGTGTCTACGGACTCGACTTAATCCGTTACGACAAAACTCGACTTTCTCTGATCCATCATCTAATTCTCATAGACTGCTGATATTATACGTTATAGACCTCTAGACTATAGAACAGGGCGCCACTACTTTCGTTACTTCGCATTTTGTTTTAGGCATCAATCGGAGTTTGTACTGAGTATAGAATTGTGATCATTGATAGCGTTCTCGATATTTACCAGAGATGGAATTTCCGTCTACCATGTTTGACTTGAGGTTAGTGGCTAGATTATAATTATGGCGGCAGATGTCTGCGTCCCTCTATTCTACAGACCCAGAAAAAGGTCCTTGTTGATTTCGTTCTTGCTTTCAGTTTTCTGTTCTTCCTTATCCCCTTGATGTTGGGAACGTTAAATGATTATCCTTTTAGCGACATTTTGATGGAGAAAAATCCGTCAGAGTTTGACGACTACCGTACAGTGGCTTAATTTACTAGGATTATGAATTGAGATGCAAGAAGTATCTAAAAGTGTAAGACCAGTGGAGAAAGAAAAAAGAGCCAAGCAATTACCTTTACGAGAATTCACTTTTATACAGCTCCCGCCTGGTACAGTACTGTCTCATTTATCCACCGCCTAGGCTAATTAATAATGGAAATGTTTCGCCTTTCAATCGCGTCATCCTGATCCGCGGAACATAGGCCTAATTAGACCTTTACTCCATTTATTCCGTCCGAAGTTGTTGGTACACGATAAAATTGTTTGAGCGGGGTCCCATACCGGACTCCTCGAAGGAAATAGTACCATATAGCCATTCAGGCAGTAAATTGATTTGAGATCAGAATAGGTTTTATGCGCCAGACAACGCATTATTCACTCCCCACCTACATAAACTAGGCACGGAGGATAATGCAGCACCAACCACGTTACAACGGGTTTACTAAATTATTCTATTGGTATTACGCAATAAAATCTCAAGCCTAATTCTGAAACGTTTTGACGCTAAGGTCGCCAATCAGCCGACGTGTAAATACGCCATGTGTGCATTCTCGGAGCGGATTCGTCACAAACCCAGGCATGTGGCCTACTTTTGTTTCATGTAACACAGTCATCAAGGTGACAGGGCAGATGCACCCTTGCATCAGCCATTACTCTTATTTCACCACCGTGGCTGGCATTGTGGCTTTTTGGGCGTGCGGGCTTGGGTAGGGGGCGGCGGGGGCTGAAGCGCTAGAAAAGTTTTTGGGTTAGTTCCGAAGCAATTCGGTTAGGGTCTTGCTCGGATTCTTCCGCACGCCGACTAGTTTTGTCAGTCGATTCGCGATCGAAGATCCCAGAGGACCCAAACTTCCCAGAATAGCCTATTTCCGTGAGGCTCCGGCCGTGCCAAGTCTTTACTGGTGTATTATTCTAATTCCTTGTTCCGCTGGTAGCTGGTGAGGCGACATGTTGAGCCAACCTTTCCAAAAGGACCAAGCAAAATAATAAAAATAAATGAAATGAAATAAACTTAGAATTTCCGAAGTGGTCGAAGACACCTGTCATTTTTCCCGGAATTAGAAAGACAGAGAGGACGAGAGTAGAGAAAGCATAACCAGAAGACAAAAAAAGAAAACGGAAAATAGAAGGCAAAAGAAGAACGGGTCAAGCGGAACCAAACCCCCTTAATCAGTAGTAATATGCAGTGCCTATTCGAGACCCGATCAGCTGAAAATTTCAGCTGCGGGGAGTGAGTCGATAAAAGTTAATAACATAATACATATACCATTCTCAGTAGTCATCCATCGAAAATAGACGCAGTCAGAGCGGAATAGATGCTCGTGAGGGCTTTATGATTCACGGAACGGAGACTAGCAGCAAGGCACCAATATAAATTGATCATGGCTAAAATTACGATAACGCACCTCGACCCACTAGGTCTAACTATCTTTAGGATAGCGGTAATATTCATAACACCACTTCGTATCAGGCCGGCTAATGTTGCCTCTCTAGCCGTGCCATTAATCATGCCCTTGTGCTCGGTTCTCAGCCCGAAGAATAATTGTCTCGTGAAGAACAGTGAAGACAGACATCGTCAGATACCTGGCCATACCCATGGTAATTGACAGGGTCATAGCGATCACATAACACTGGTCTAGGCAAATAAATTTTGCACTGACATTACAAACACATTTATAATTTCCTAACTTGTAACAACAAACACAGGGCGAAAAAGGTACAGATTTAGGCAAGTATTTGAATTTGGTTCATTGAAAATTCTCTGTTGTTCCCAGTCTTTCCAGTTCCCCTATAGGTTTACTTATCTGTCTATTTATTTTTCCACCGTTCTCGTTCCATCGTTTCCACAATCTTGAGTGGGTGGGGAATAGCTGCCCGTACAATGACAATGAACTTAGAAATGTCGACACTATGACCTTGCAGGGTAACTTACTCCAGCGGTTAGTTGCCAGCGAAGCTTTATTAAAATAGTGTTGGCTTGACAAAGTCATAGGGCCGTCTTCTAGTGGCACCAGGACCATATTCGGATCCCCCATTAGGCCCCCTACCACGGTGTCATGATTGCTTATTGCATGATTGCATCAGTCTAGCCTGTCCCATTCAATTTTATAACTTGTTTGGGACGTCCTTCCTTCATCCAGAAACCCATAAGGAGACCGCGTTCTCGCTCACTCCGTGGGCTTTCAAGATAGTGTCGATGCATATCTAATAAAATAAGTCCCATCATCTCTGGAGACTGCAATTTCCAATGGGAGTTTCTTCTCGCGTATTTCGGTAAACGACGACACTCCAAGTCGTGAATGAACAGCAAACATCATTTGGCCCTTCTGAGCGAACACGGCCAATGCATGAAGGTCTAGTAGAGGGCCAGTTTTTGTGAAAATATCTTCGCTGATTACGTAGCTCTCGGTAGATTGGCTGGTGTTAGGGTTCTGACATCTTCTCACCGTTGTGAACCCGAACCGGATAATCGAGCCCACCACCACGAAGCGGTCAGATTGCTGTGCAGCCTTTCCGGCCCGCACGATCGTAAAATTGTTGGCACAGCTAGGATGGCTAGGATAAACTGCGATGGAAGTTCGCTTGTCTCCAATATCTCGATTTTTGGAGGGCTACAAACTGATCAATTCAAGGCGACGGGGAACGAGATGTCATGATGATATATTACGGTATCGTGGTTCTAGAATTTTGACGCTTTGCTATTACAATTCCATCCTTCATGTATTTGGGAGAGTTTTTGATGATGGAAATTGCGCGGACCTTGTCTTCCATATCCGTCCGGTACTCTGTAATGAACACTGCTATAGTACATCTATTGTAAGTATAATACTTCGAATGGCTAAAGTTCCATGGTATTAACAGTCTCTCTTCCTTTATCCACGATTTTGTAAACCTCTTATGAACCTAATAGCGGAGACTTATAAAGTAAGATTGTTCTTTACGTTTCTCCAACGCTGTAACGTGTAGAATATTGTAGCCAATATACATACAGCATGCCATAAATTTCCCTGACAACAGACGCTGAGAGTCGCAGAACAAAGTTCCTTTCTAACGTCCGTAAAATTATTTCATTTTATAGGCTTTGGATAATGGAGCTTTGATAAATTCTCATTGAAATGGCGCCAGTGACCGCCGTAGGCCTGACTGTTTTGATTAGGCTTATGATTAAACCCATGAAGTTTACGCATTACAGTATCGCTTACGATCCGTGGATTAGCCCATTTGGGAAAATTCGCAATATTTTCAATGCTCGTAACGCTAGCCTCCAACTAGACGGCGTTATTTTGATGTGGAGGCAGTTGAAGACTCACGTTACTTATGAGCATATTTGCTTGTACTACGATTCCGAGAATCGGCCTCGCAACCTTTCACGCACCGACGGCTGGATACAGGCTCGCTTTGATTCAAGGCCGAGGTCCGGATACGAAATTTACTCACCGTCTGAGTTACAGTATCCTTTCAAGACAGTTTTCGCTGGCGAATTAGAAGCTTTTGTTTCGGAGCCGTAGAATAGATTGAATTAGTCTATGCAACATAACCTCTAGATTCTTGCTTTTGATCTTCACAAATAGCTTCTCTTGCTCCTTGATTAAAATATCATACTTGCTCTTAACTCAAGTAATAATGGCCGTGAAGAGAGGCCTGCTAAGGTCGAGGAAGGCCAACCAACGCTTTTCAGAATGTTAGTGCAGTAGAGACTTTGCCGGTTCTTACACAGTACTAACCCTGTGATAAAGCACAATCCTCCGCTTTTTTGTGGTAGGATCCCATCCGGTATGGCCGATGTCAAAGATTCGTGTCACACTGGACTACTAGTTTCTTTGACAAAGTCCAGTTTAGTCCTTGTTGGTCCCGCGAATTCTCCACCAGACTTCCAATTTTGAAAGTCGGGAGAATTCCCCGCAAATTCAATTTTGTGGAGCAATATTAACTTGATCATATCATATATATATATATATGATATGCCCATGGCTCATCAAGACAGTAGAACAAAGAAATAGAAGACCTTCGGTTCTATCCAAGATCAACTTTATGCTAAAGGGTACTGCACAAAAATGGCGATTACGACTGCGGTGACTCTGCCGCCAGCATCGAGAAAGCTTTATCTGGAGCCAGCACCTATTTTTGACGCCTCAGATGTCGCCGATAAACGCAGACAAACCTTGAAACGTTTGCTAGAAAACGGCCATTCAACAGTAGCGCCTCTCCGCGAGCCAAAGCTAATACTTCATAGCCACCTTCCTCATGTATAAGACCAACTAGATTCCTCGTTTGCCTCATCTTTCACGATTCGCTAATTATTTTCACAGTTGTTGGGATCAGCTTATATCCTTGGTGCTAGCAGCAAGCTACTAGAAGAGCTATACGAACACGAAATCACGGAATTGATTCATGTCGATGACAAGTTTATTCGAGGGCACAGTATTTCTACTGAGAATTGGAGGGACTTTCTTACGCAGAAAGAGTACGTTAGGACCTCCCACGCCTGCGTAGTGCGTAATGTTTAGCTGATATATCCCCAGGTACACGGTTGCCTATGTTGACTTTTTTGATGAGCAAGTAGCGACCGAAAATGGGGATTGGAAGAAGGTCCTTCAAGAGTACCTATATTCCGGATCAGAGCCCATTATTAATGGGTTAATTGGTGGCCGTATGTCCCGCGCATACTAAGACACCATCTGACTTAAGCTAACTTAGAGAGTTGGCCATCCATTTATCCACCTTGCGTATGCCTGGGAACTGCAGAGCGGAGAGGTAGCAACGGAAGGGCTGAGCTTGGCTTGTACTGAGTACATTGGACTTCACGGCCTCCTCGATCACAGTCCTCCTGACAATTCTACGTATAAGACGACCAATCTTGTCGATGTCATAACACGCGTTCGTGATGACAAGCGCTTTGATGGGCTGTTCTCAAATCAGGGAATTACGAATATTGAGGCCTTGCTTCAAAAGCGCTTTGATGCTCTCCTGGAACACTGGAATGCCTGGCAGATTACCGATCCCACCACTCAGCTTGAACAGTGTTGTGATCTATCCGTATTACTTGGAATTGGCACTGGTGATAAAGAAGGAAAGTTTGATTTCTATCTGATTCATGTGATGACTGTTGCTCATGCCATCCGCATTCTATGGCAAACTTTCCCAGAGGATAGGCAGTCAGCGATCCTGAGACAGTACGGATTATTCGTACTCCTTGTCTACATTTGCCAGCAAAAGCCAAATTTCTCTGAGGATACAGCTGAATCAATCTCCTCAGTCTGCCTAAGTAACCATGACTGGAAATGGGTAGTAGAAAAGGCATTGAGTCACAAATGGGCTAAGGATTCCCATTTCTTCAAGGCCGTGCGCGCTCCCAAAGCCTTTTCCGAAACGTATGGGAAGAAAGATGAATTTTATCTAAAGGCGTCTCTGAAGTATGTCACTGAGTTCAATGGGTGGGAGGGATTTGGAGAGGGAGTCGAAGGCTTCCTCCCAAGCCGAGATGGCTATAGACCGGAGGATAATTGATTCTCTGGATGACCATACTGAGGCACTGAGATTCACTATGTACATCAATTTGACTAGTGAAAATGAACTAAAGATCCAGGTCGTATTATCGCAAATAGGGCTGGAGCCTTCTTTATCTTGTAACTATTTCGTTTAGAGTACTGCTCTCCTTCAGGTGAAGGACGAGATGAAAAAGGAAAAAGAATGTAAAGCCCTCGTACGCAAAAGCCTATTCCTCGACATTTAACTAATATGAGAGCCAAATATTTTCTTCAAATCAATATAACTGGAGACGAGGAAAATGAGCCATTCTGTATGGTTTGAAATTGAGCTGGGAGAGGACTTCTCTGCTTTTTATCTCTCTTATATTCGCTAAACTCAAGCTGTTTGCTATTTTCTACGGCTATTGAGTTGGGATAATTTGGATTCGTGAACTAGGATCTGAGAAAATATTCAAGCAATATCCTCATTTGTATCTCTTAATTGTTTGATACTTAAATATGTTACAGAAGTAACCAGACCTAGTCTGAGTATATATATCTTATCTACTTTTACGATACTTTCATCACTAGTTAGAGTGATCCATGATGATATCGTGTACCGTATCAAAGAAAGTCGCAAACTAAGGAATCCCTCATTCTGCCTAGTAACCTCTCGCCGATTGTACTGTACCTGCTCTGTGATTCCGATATGAAATTGCTGCATTCGCACATATACACGAATGTGGGACTTTCACTAGTCCCGCCGGCTCCTCGGCTGTTCGTTGACTCCGTGGTCGGTGTTTGCTACCCTCCGCCCGAGTATGCCTAGTGCAAATCGGAATAGTCGCTTTTTCTTAACCAAGGGATAGGGATGTTATGTCACTACTGCAGAGCCTGTCAGATGCACTTTTTTAACAATGGTGGATCCTCTCAACAACCAATCAAATTTCTTAGGAAGCAATATTAGTTAATCATATTAACCCTAGAATCAACTTTTATTTTAACGAACATTTCCCAAGGACTAACCGTTCAACGGTTAGAGTGTCCAATGTAATCCTGGGTGGTACAATAGTGACTTTCCATCCTCTCTATTTCAGTGTTTGTTCATCCTACTGCGACCTATCATTATTGCAATTTCGCATTGCCTCCACCAGGACCGTGCCCTTGGGCTTAGAAGTGGCAGGTGTTGTCTAGATGTAGGATGGCTCACGAGATCCCTAAGCCCCAAAATATTCCTAGTTCTTAACGATTGCTGACATACGACTTTCGAAGAATTCTTTTGGACGTTGATTGTGTATTACAGAAAGTCTCTCTTACCAATCTCTCAAAAAGGCTGATCGGCTGAGAAGTTGTGTATTTTAGAGGTAATGTATTCGCGTATAGACCTTGTTCTTGAGGGAAAGTTTTGGGAACAGCGACATCTATGTACAGCAGAGGGGTAAAGGTATTTGCGCATCCCATATCTACTGAAATGGACTAGATCTGCACACCATTTTATTGCCGTTACCTCCACTGTTTTTTACTATGTAAGCAAGAAGTAGCTGAGGAGATTCTAGCATTGTTTTAAAACGACGTAGATTTGCTAAATTTTGGGCTTAGATAATTTCTTGAACTGACAGGGTGTGGGCAAATACTTTTGCACACTGTAGGAGAAGGGTTTGGAGCGTGGGGAACTATGCGTACAAGTAATTACATGAGGTTGTACAGATTTGATGGCCTGTGGGGGTAAAGCGGGACGTATTGACGAGAAGTATTCTCACGGTGAGAGAATTTGACCGGTATTTAATTGCCCCTACCAAGGAGAGACAAGTACTATTACCGCTATGTGACAGTCGACACTGGAACTTCAATATAAATGCATCTAAGCCCCGTTCACACCCAACTGCACCTTGAGTGCGGGACACGTCCATCTCCACGACACAGTCAAAGTATCCCAAAACGTCGTTCTATCACTGATTGACGCATAGAGCAGTTTGTTCTTGTCGAGCATTGTGCCACATACTCATTTCGCTATCCCCACCGCCCTTGAAATAAATACTAGATTGGCCATTGTCTATATATATGTGAAATAAATCAAACCTTCCTTTTCACCTACTTTTCTTTGAATCGTTGCAGATGTCGAAAGTTGTTGCCTCCTGTGTCGTTAGACAACGCTTCGCACTATTGGGCGCTACAGGGCATACTGGCCGTCGGATTTTGCAGAAACTTCTTCAACTGGAGACCATTCCTGATATTGAAATCCATGTTTATGCTCGGTCTCGAGCAAAACTCGAGTCACTTTTCCCGTCTTTATCGTCTGACCGTCGGGTGACTATCTTTCATGGGAGTCTCAGCGATGAAAACTTAATCCGGAATTGCCTTGCAAGTGTGGATACAATTATTTGCACAGTCGGCGAGAATGAGAACATTCCTGGAGTAACCGTATTGCGTGATTGCGCTCAAGCCGTTCTTAGAGCCTTAGCATCGCTTCAAATGGAGGAGAAGACATGGATTCGGCCACGCCTCCTCCTCCTCTCATCTGCCACCTGGAACTCTCGTTTTGCAGCCTCCCGACCAATCGTGTTGGACTGGATGATTCGGAATGCATTTTCCCGGCCCTACAGCGACCTAGTCAAGGCCCAGGAGATGTTTCTCGCCGCTACCTCTCTTGTGTCTGTGCTGCTAGTTCAGCCTAATGCGCTGGTAGAGGAAGCTGCGACTGGGTGTGTCATAAGTACCGAGTTTGCGTACATCGCAGTATCCTATGCTGATTTGGCGGATGGCTTTGTGCAGCTCGCTACAAACCCGACGTACAAAGAAATCTCCGCCATTGGGGTCTCTAGTCAAGGGGCAAAGAAACCCTTCCTATACATTCCATTCGCCTTAGGCAAAGTGATTCGAGGCTTACTCTTCCAATTTGTGCCTGGTTACTGGCGGGCAGAGTATGCTATTTCTCGACACATGAAGGGTTGGAGCCAAAAGTCCAAGAATACATGAATTGACAATCTAGCCTTTCAGTTGGTTACATGATTTCATCTAGGCAGTTCCTATTCATTCATATTTCATCTTTCTGGTGTGTTTTTCTATTATATGGGATCTTGAGCTCCCTCTATCCCGAGCAAACTAGGCGGGTGCGAGGGTCGAGTAATAGAATCTGCCATTCTCTGTTTTTCCAGTGCTATTAACTTTTCTCTCTGTTTATTTATCTATTTGGGGGCGGTGAGGGATGTTCACTTTTCTTGTTCCATCATTTCCACACTCTTGAGTAGGTGGTATATTAAGCAAATTCGCAAAATCAAATACGTCTCAAAGGGACATCAATATAGCCAACATTTCTCATTTAATATACCAATTTAGTTATACATCCCAGGAATCTTTACCATGACATCAACAGGCATTCTGTCCAACTTTATTAGATGTCAACGTAACGTAAAATGTAATTTAGACCATATATGGAAATCAGAGCATACAACATATTATATCTGATGGTCGTATTGACCTGGTCTAGAGGGCCCAATTAATGTGTAGATTTTGAAATATATCCTCGGCTCCTTCGAAAGCACCTCCCGATTCAATCTCTTCATGGACATTGGAAAAAAGAAGATTTTCTAGAGGATCGTTGTTCGCCGCTCGTTCCTTCTCTCGTAAGCGTGTCACCCACAATGGTGTCGGATGTCGATATATTGCATGAGCCTGCCATGCTTTCAATGCGAGCTTACCCACTGCACAGTACAGCAAATCATTTGGGTTGGAGCAGGGTACCCAATCAGTGTCCATGAAAGTATTGTATATATTGCTGATAGCGTCCCAACCTCTATCAACCATAACACCTTGGTGACGATGTTGCAACTCCACTAGTATGTTTACAAAGGACTCAATGGGAAAGAGGCCATGAAGGAACCACAGGTACCTCTGTAGGCATTCAGTGGAATAGATCTCATTCGTGCACTCAATTACCTCGATGTTCCAGAGAAAAAACGCATCTCTATTAGTCACAGGTATATTAGTTGTGCCATTATCCTTACAATTTGAAAAGTTCTTGATGGAGATTTGCGCGATAAGACCTTGGACTAGTCGTTTCGTAAGGAGATGTAGTGGAATAGCCTCGTCGCAGAAGCGTAGGTACTTCGACTGAATAGACGACCTGAATTCATCAATTCTTGCCATATCTTGGGCCTCGGCGTGTTGTAGAGAGGTAGAAAACCGAGCGGCCTCGTATATCACTAGACAGAAGAGCATTTCTGTTGAGTGGGTTTCGATATCAGGAGGACAGCTGGTCATTTCAGGTCGTATATCGCAGTCATTAACATTCAAAGGGATTCGAGACTCAAAGAAATCCCTCATCTGGATATCCAAGGAAAGACCTGCAAACTGGGCAGCGCGGGAGTCGACCAATAGAATCTGCCACCACAACCGATGGCGCATTTCCGCTTCAAAAGCAGATATCAGGCTCGATCCATTGGCTTTATGAAGACCAATTCGCTGCGCGCTACGGACTGCCAATCCCGTAAGAAGCCAAAGTGATTTGTGGTCAAAATGTTGACGCATGCACACCTGGAATTATTAGCAAAGTAATATACATGCCTTAAGAACCTTTTACCAGATATAATGTAAGGGACTGCAATACAATCAAACTACTAGACTGCAGAAACTCTGCGTTGACAAGTGCCTGTTGAGTTACCGTTAAATACCTCTGCAGTAATACATTCTTGCTTTCACCGAGAGTGGTCTCGCATTCTGACTTTTTGAGGGAGTTCACTGCACATAGGTATATACTGAACATCAAAGCCTCCGAGCCACGGGACACTCGACTCTGGTCACGAGTGGCTTCGGTAATTATATTTTGAGCTGAAGGTGCATGAATCATCTTTGAGAGAGGATTGACGTTATCCAAAAATATCTGCCAAAGTTGAAAGGCCAGGCTTGGGGCTGGACGAAATGACTGTATCGATTGATATTCACAGGGGCCCCAAAGGATACTGGTTGCAGGACAAGTCGACGTGGTGGCTTGGGTAACATCTCTGGGAGTTGGTACTATAGGTAACTTTGTGGTTTTCAATCTTCAGACAATGCTAGAGAAAGTACAGTTTATAAAGCGCTCTTACCTCCTTCGATAAATGACCCCATAATGGTCTTTGTCACGTTAGTAATCACGATACTTCCGTATTCAGAAAGGTACCACGACTTACTCATTAAAGTAGCGTGGATGGCCCTCATCTTCTAATAAAATCTCGTCGGTTGCAGCTTCATTGGAATTTGACACCGTCGGCGTTGATAGCTTCTGCAATTTCATCCTGCCCTGCCGAGACTTCGCGGGGGGTCGAGCAGAACAGATCACGGAGGCGCTACGACAGGCAGAGCATGGCTGCGTTCCATCGCATTTGATTTTTCGCCGGTTGCAACGGACGCAGGAATGTCCACGTGGACGTCTTGAAACTGGCATTGTGAGATTTGTGTCAAGGCGGAACAGTTGTTAGTAATCGGAGTTAGTTAGATCGTCGGGCGTTTCAAACGATTATTCAGACCAACCTAAATTTCTGACTCAGCATTAGTTATCGAATGTTTATACACGCGATAACTTATCGACAGGACATGTGGTTGTTGGGATTGGTGTGGTTTAATGCGTCAGTATTGGGTTAATTCCTTTTTTGTTCCTTCATGACATCCAACTGAGTAAGCTGTGTTTCATCTTCGGGCTCACTAGCCGACAAGGAGACGCTCATTATTTACACCCTACCTACATTGAATGAAGTCCCCAGGAAGCTCCATCTATGACGACAAGTAACACCGCGTTATTTCTGAGGAGGAACTCAAGAGAGAAATAAGAAATTATCACATTTGAGTCGAGCGAGTCAGCACCATAGTGCTTTCGTTGCCGTGTACTCTGATCGACTCCAGCTAGTCGATTACAGAATCACCGCGAGTGGAACGCGCACTGCGGGCTCAACATACCAACCCGTCGATTGGATTTAATTCAGCCGCAGCCACGATCATTGATGGATTTCCTTTCGACGACTTCGATTTTTCTGATATCCTAGGAAAAAGGCAAAGAAACCAGAGGCGTTCTCATGATTTGATGATAAATCTTCAGGGCTCAAGAAGCCCCCTACTCTACATATAGTAGTATTGTACGTCGTTGTTATGCGAATTCATCATAGCTCATTATCGCTCTGTAGGGCAAAGGACAACTTACGGCTTACGCACAAGGCCATATAGATTTTTATATCACCAATTGATGCCATTTCAGGGTTTGAAGTCTCAGAAGAACCCCTTTTTAACAGACTTCAAATCTCACATCGGTCTTGGCGTGGCTCAGCCTACCATCTAGCTGATTGCTTGATACGAAATTAACTGAAATAGCGAGAACGTCGACCCACAGCACGGACAACACGTTACTATTTAAATGACTTTCCTAACGTTTGGAAAGATGCAAAGTTGGGCGACGTCATCAGTCTTATCCCCCCCAGTCCTTCTCGGCTCCCTGGTTGGTGCATATTTACGCGCTATTTTTATGATTCAACTTGGAGACTTGGAGTTTCACGCAATCAGTGTTCAGCAATAAAAGTTAACACCCTATCCTAGCACTGTCCGTGGTACCGTCTATGTGGTCAATATTACTTAATTCTTGATTAAGTAGGATCGCTTAAGCACACCTATGGTCTTGATACTTCCAGGTAAGCCTCATCTGAAAGGCGCGGTGACCTGATCTGACTCGAGCATACTTCAGCGACCGCATTCGATTATTGTTGCACTCCAGACATCTGTCTGTTATAGGGAAATAGTTCGATATCTTCCACCGAGCGTCAGACAAATCGATCGCCCCACATGCGAGAACGAGGCAAACGCGGCCCAAGAGGCAAATACGCTCGCCTGATATGCCAGAAATGCAGGTCAAGGAAAATCAAGTGCGTGCTACTGGACTCTGACGATATACGACCATTGGGTAGCCCACGAGCTCCAGAAAAGACTTGCGATCGGTGTCGCAGCGTAAGTCTGGAGTGTATCTTCGAGCCGACTGTGCTAGGGCGTCCTTCCGCAAAAGCGCTCTTCGCCCACCTTGGCAAGATGACACTAGAATAACAACGGGGAATTCAACGGCTAGAGCTGAGGGGCCTTCTTCATCCTCAGTATTGGACGTCGGGGAATACCTATTTGCACAGTCCGCGAATGAAAGCTTAACGTCTGAAGAAAACACCGGGCCACTTCCATTTCACCATACCCCGCGGAGACGACTCAAGACTACTTTCAAATCCATGATAGAGCCTTCCTTCTTATTGTCAGCCATCCTAGCCAAAGACCAGACTTTTGGCTCCAGTATCCCACGAGCGACGTCACCTTGGAATAAAAATCTTATTGATCTTGTTAGCGATGATATGGCGATAACGTTTGATTCCTGGTAGAATGTTACAAACCAGCACTTGTAAAAGCTAGCACTGTCGCTAACGAACAGCATTAGTTTGTCTTGACATCGATTCTTTCTACCCCAAACACCTACTTTGGTGAGGCTACGTAATCGTTTAGCCCTAGATGAATCCGCTTCTACCAATATTGCGACGAACTTGCTTTGCCCTACTTTGCCTGATTGCTCTGGAGATTCTGAAGTTCCTTCACTGAAGCACCCAATTTTGATGCAGAGCATGCAACTGGCTCTGTCGACTTTCGGCCAGGCCTTTATTTTCGTCCCCTACAGATCGCGACTCGTTCGTGGTCAGCCTTTTACTTGCAGGCTACAAAGCAACAGCTTTGACTACCTTTCAAAGTATCTCGCATGAAGCGCTAAAATCCCAATTATACATCAATCTTGCATATCAAATTGCAGATCGGTTAGAGTTGTTGCCAGCACACACTATATCAGCTGTTAACAAACCAAACTCTTTGAACTCGTCAGGGTGGGAGAATATACTTCTAGATTCGCTACAAGGCTTGCAAATCTATTACTATGATGCGTTCGTGGACGGATTTATAACAAAGCCAATCCACGTTATGCGGAAAGTCCTTGCCAACACGCAACCTCATATTGAATTATATCAACTCGTTTTGAGATCTTATCACTGTTTGCCAAAGATCATAAATCACATTCGTAAGGCTATTTCAAATGTTATCGGCATAGAGTCTGTCATCGCTATCAAGCAAAACTGGGCCAGCTTGGAGGCCATATCCGGGATCATTGAAAAAGCCGAAAACGAGTGTTTGGAGCTACTCAATCGTAGCAATAACTGTCTAATACACTCGTCCATCTGTGGAAACGGAGAGGAGTTGTTAGCTGTTGGGCCTCTTTTGGAGCTTCGATCTCATTAGATGTTTTCCTCCGTATGCAGGGTCGAGATTTTATATACCCTGGCACTTAGAGCAAGGATCACAGATAGTACAGCCAAAGAAGGTCCCGATATTACTAATCGAGAGATTGTACATGCCAGCGATCGAGTTATCGATACGTTTCACGGCTTCACGTGGTCCGAAGGTTCCTTTATCACGTTTCTAGAGCGATTTGGCAAATCATACCCAAAACAACTTGAATTCGTTTTTGAGAAGTTTATTCAATGTGTAGGTAATTTGACCCTTAATGGTGTAACTTTCCACCACCCACCTCGACATCTCATTCATGAGATTGTCAGAGCTTGCAAAAATCTCGTCGAAAACAGCATCATTAATTATAAATTAGATGGCACAATCCCCGAGGGTTTCAACCGTAGAGTTGAATTACTCGCAAAATGTGAAGAACGGCTTAGCGTTATGGGAGCTACACCGTAGAGACCCATTGATGTAGCTTTTTCTGGTGGCTGTATCCACGCTGCAGGCAGCAAACCAATCAATCTATTCTTGGACTTTATGGAAAGCCTGCGGGCGAGGGCTGCTGCAAAGCAGGAGTCGACGCAAGATCAGTCCAATTCATTTGAATTATGTGCAATCACCCAAGCAGCCGATTGCTTGATTCATTTACTGCCCTCCATTGAATGGGCCCTTTGGCCTGAGATTGGTGAATACAATCTATGGAGAGATTTCGAAAACAATACCGACTATTCTTCAATATTAAGCATATTTCCTGGTAGCAAACTGACGAGTAGTTCAATACAGTAATTACCCATAGATGGAGATGGAACATTTTTGACACGGTGATTAGCTTCTCAACTTCCTGAGATCTCTTGCTAGCGTGCTAGATAATAATAATGAATCCTCTGAACGATTTATTCTAATTAAATGATGGTATACTTACAACCAAATACAAAGGACTAATACACCAACATCCAATATGATAATAATTTTATATATAGATACGACAAGCGTCATAAGCTAGATGATACACAGTCACTTTGATCAATACCAGCAAGCGGTGAATTCCAGAAACTTACTGCAACATATCTGCGCTCCGACATGGTTATGATACCGTTATAAATGAGTCAACCTTAACAAAATCATGGTTTTTAGTGGAAGCAGGCCAACCCGCTCAGCGTGAGAACTATCTATAATCCGGCTTGCTATCCAATTTCTTGATGCATTTCATTATGGAAACTGCATTCGGCCCAGGTGCCTTTAAATCACGACACGTCGTTGGCCAAGGTAATATCTCCACTCAAGACGCTGTGCATGGCCGCGGTGCCTCCCTTAATTTGCGCTTCGACATGGGCGTTCTCGTAATCATCCAATCCAGCGATACTTTTGGCAATGACTTCTCCTTTCTACCCAGGGCGACAAGGCGGCTCTGCGGTTCAAGACGGACCCTTGGGTGCCTGTTTCAAGGGAGAAGGTGCTTGAGATTAAAATGTATGGAAGTAAAGGAACAGCCAAGAATATTGTTATAGTTAATGGATGCATTTGAGCACCAGATTAAGCGCGTGGGAATGTGTGGCAAACAAGTCAAGGGAGGCGCCGAGGCGGTCGCCAGATTGGGAACATTCAGTGGACGTTATGGAGTTGTTGATGGAATGGGGGTGGATATTAAAGGCGCAGTGGGATTAAAAATTGATTCGGATACGAACGATTAAGAAGTCGCAATATCAAGAGATGCCACTCAGGCAAACACAATGTCCGGATACTGTACCTTTCACTCGGCAGACCATGCAAAAGGTACAAAAACAAATGTTGGATTTGCTCCACCATAACCATAACGCTCTCTAAAAGCCCTATACTTAGGGTATTATATATATTGTTATCGTTTCTTTCTAATGCGAGGGTCTGTAATACATGGTAATTTATGAAAGGGCCAATTAGAGGATCAATCTCGTATTTGGCGCCACAATTCCTGTATGCAGTATAGCGTATCATGCGGGACCAGCTGGTTACCCCAGTATCTTGGAAACTCCATCTCTCCTCATCAATATAATTAATAGAGGCTTCTCTCCCAGTACAGTACAGTTGAGCCTAACTCTCATCCCAAAAACTATGTCGCGATTCTTCCCTCACCCTCCCTATGCCGAAGACCAACCTCTCTCCCACACCATACTTACAACCCACGTCCTCTCTCGCTCCATCACCACAGGCACTATCATTGGCATCACTATCACAGGCATCCGACAATCCATTCCCTCCCTCAGGCAGCCCGGGCACCTCCCCAAAAAGCTCCTAATATCGTCCGCCCACAACATCCTCGCCACAATGGCGATAGCAAGCGTAGGCCTCACTGTAAGGATGTGGGGCCGTGATGCCATTGAATGGGAGGACCGCAGTTGGAGATTGTTAGAGAATAGGGGTCAGCTTGAGACGGATGATTGGACATATGGCGGTATAGGGGTTGCGGCGGCTGTAGTGGCGTTGAGAGGGAGGACTGGGCCAGCGAAGTTTGGGTGGAAAGGCGTTACTGGGGCGATGGGGATAGGGAGTGTAGGTGGACTAGTGGGTTATTTGGCATGGAGATATGGGATTAACAGGGGCAGATTTGTATCGAAGGATGAGGAGAAGAGGAAGGGGCTCTGATGTGTAGGATGGGTAGGAGAATGAGGACGTATTCACTCCGGCACAATATGTATCCGCTCACAAAAGTTTGCGCAGAGACACACAAACATCGGACATATCCATGATACAAGCGCCAATTCCTACCCTAATGAATCCTAGTTAAGCTAGGTATCACTTAAGTTGCGCCAGGTATGAAACTACTTTATGCTAAACGAAGCATACACTCGTTACAGTCGATGGAACAGAAATTCAATCTCAACACTAGAGATCCTGCACTGTTTTGTCTTTCCCAATACTTCAGTTTGGCATTTAAGTCACGTGTTCTATCCAGAATTCAAAATCTCCATCGTCAACTCCAAGTCATGGATCTTTTACTCTAACTGCACCCGCTGCCTCTGACAGAGTATAACTCCGCCCGCCACAGCGTCCAACTATTCTGCTTCGAGCCTAATCACCCACTCCAGACTGAATACCCTTGACTAAGAGTTGGCTCATATGGCCTCTCTAACGTCTTTTCCATACCAGTTGACCTCCTATATATATAACTAATAAATAGATATATATATACCTCCTATCTGTATCAATATTTTCAATGTTATTGAACAATTGACTATGGCAATTAATGTCAACTAATATATTGGCCTCTAAAAAATGCTTGATAAACAATCCAAAGCTATATACATAGTATCCAATTCATTTTTTACTTTACTATCTTACTTAACACACTACACCTACTGACACCTTCGGGAGGCACTTAGATAAGCGAAATATATTCTTACAAGTAAATACATGTGCATTGACTTATCATCTATCCTAATATATTATTAGTGTATCAATTAGCTTCGGAATACTCTGTTAAGCGTTGTTGTAGATAGATAGTTGAGTTTGGGTCTTCCGGGCGGGCCGGAACCGGGTTACAGTTAAACGGGCTCGGCGGGTAAATCAAAATCCTAGCATAGGCGGGCCAGGGTTAGGAGAATGCTGCAGGGAAGGACGAATAGCATTGACTCCATTGAGGTACTCGGTAGCTTCGCATTGGCGTCAATATTGCAACATCATGGACGTGAAGAGCGTTATCTATTACAGGACCTGCATCCACGACATAAGTCAAGTTAGCTTGGCTGACGAATGCATGCATCAATGATAACTGTGTAAATGAAAATGCAGTAACATTCGCCACCCAACCCCCCAAAATGTGTTATTTATGTTTGAACACAGATCGGAATAACATTGATAACATGTTTGCCGTGGCCAATTGACGACCTATTTTCCACAAGGTCGAAAAACGTGATAACATTATGCCAACTAGGGGTAATACACAGTCGCAACGCTCATAAATTGACAATGCAGCATTACGTCAATCCTGCATAGGTACTCCGTAATAGCATTTTGAATCAATCGCTCCAAACCACTCTCCACTGCAACAACTATCACCTGTGGCGGTTGGCCGAGTTCGGCGGATCGTCAAAAGATGGCGTCTATTAGCATTCAATTGATACCCATTCGCGGGATTTCGGCAGAAATATACACCAGTCAAACCGGCCCACTGAAGACCCATGAAAGAGACCACGACATGGATTGAACATTCATTTACACCACTGCAGTATAATCAAGTTGGGATAGCAAAGAAAATTCTCCCCGTCACTAAGAATGGAGAGTAATCTCGGTGCCCGGCATGATACAATGGAGAGCCTGCCGACTGTGCTCTGTTGATCGATGCACCACTATGACGCGCTCCTCCGCTCATCGACAATGATAGATCAACCAACATACACACACAATGTTCGCTTGCGAAGATCGGGACGCCGTCCCTCGGCTAGCGTCAAAGGCTTCATTTCTCTAACTCTCATTCAATGCTGACCCCAACTCGCGCTCCACTATCCGCCTTAAGTGTCCGCTTACTAGGCACACCAAGATGGGGCTGTTGCGTCAACACGTAGACGATGCGCCATGTTAGAAATGCTTGTTTAGAGCCACTAGATTAAGTCACATTCCTTTATCTTCCAGGGACGGGTGTTCAATTGAGGCCATGATACATCTCAACTCGTCTCTTTCGCTTGCAAGCTCGTCGCCCCCTCGCATTATCGAAGTTGGAACAGGCTACGCCGCATTGAAGCATTTTTTAACGATCGGACATTGCATCCGCCGTGCCAGTGCATTTCATTGAGCCTTTGATCAGACGTATATTGTGTGAATTAACCCGCCAATAATAGTAGCACTATGGAGGAAGATAGGTCCAGACGGCCGAGAGCAATTGTAGGTTCTGCCACGATCAATTTGTTGCAGGTAAAAACATAGTTTGCATGTTTACTCCTACGTACCACTCGTGCGATATTGACCCTATTTTCTCTGCGCAGTCCGAAGCGACCGGCGCCAGAGTTGTGACAGGGGGGCCCACGTCCCCAAATCGTAGCTCTAGAGAGAGAACTGAGGCATGGACGACCTCCCCTACAAGGCGAATTTCGGGAGAAGACATCCCTGGAGAAGGGATACGACGACGTAGCACTGCTTTCTCACGACGTGCTGGAGGCGGTGTGCCCAGCTTAACAGCGCGGACCTCACTGGCCGAGAGAACGCAGGGAAAGTTTACCATGGCTGGCCCTGACGAGACGCCTCAGTTGCGAACTGCCCATGAACCATTTGTTCAGCCAGGCTACAGTGATCTCAATCCATCATATGACCAGCCAGCCAACACAAAGCCTGTATGGAGTTTGGCCAAGCCGTTACCACGCGTAGTGCGGCCAGGCATGGTGCCAACCAAGGACGAGCTGTTGCAAGCTCGTGCAAATGCACAGCTCCCCGCTGAGAATTCACAGAAGCTAGGCCTTGACGTTGATCCCAACGAACTCGAGCAGGGTCGGATTGATAAGACGGCAGATCCGCGCAAGATGGCTGCCCAGGTTAAGGATGCTCGATTACAGCGTGAGACAAACTTCATGAATAAAATTCTTACCGGTGATACAGAGTTGTTGAGACAATCTTCACGCTTATCTCGAACGTCATCCGTTCAACGATCTCGCCCTCCCGGATGGGATATTGTGGTTGATGATCACTTGTCAATTGTTCCAGAAAGTGACACCCACACAGAGGGTGAAGCTCAAGGCCAGCACGAACTAAGCGATGAATATCTCCAGGGTGGCCATGAAGACTCCGGTTCAAATCCAGTTCTGGAACGTCCAGCAGACAAGATAACAAAAATTCCAAGCCTGGATGAAGCTGCATACCCGGACGACCTACACCCGCTTGTGCAGGACCTTGTGGAAGTTGAGGTGCACAACAACCACACTACCTGGTCTGTGATTCGCACGCACCACCGTGAAGCTTTGGCTGAATCGCTAGCTGTATTTGTTCAGCTGACCATTGGCTTCTCTGCTGATCTTGCTGTTACTATAGCAAAGGCTGGCAATCCCAATACCACAGATTGGGCCTGGGGCTTCGCCACCATGATGGCCATCTACCTTTCAGGTGGTGTTTCTGGCGCCCACCTCAACCCAACCATAACCGTCATGCTCTGGTTCTATAGAGGTTTTCCTAAGCGCAAAATGCCCGAATACTTCATGGCCCAGTTCATTGGCGCTTTCTGTGCCGCTTTAGCTGCGTATGGGATTTATTATCAGTCAATCCATCAGTGCCTTATCTCCAACGCAAATTCAAGTGCAGATATCATCAACAGTTTTGTGACCAGTCAACGTGAGACATGGATTGACCCTGCCACAGCATTCTGGAATGAGTTCCTAGGAACTGCCATCTTGACTGTGGTCATTTTAGCACTCGGTGATGACCAGAACGCCCCTCCAGGTGCTGGCATGAACTCTCTTATCATTGGCCTTGTAATCACCTGTCTGAGTATTGCCTTTGCATACCAAACCGGGGCTGCATTCAACCCTAGCCGTGACTTTGGGCCGCGACTCGCTCTTCTTGCGCTCGGGTATGGAAAACAGCTATTTACCAATCCTTATTGGTTCTACGGGCCGTGGGCGGGCTCTTTGAGTGGTTCGTTTCTTGGCGCCTTTTTGTATGACTTTATGGTATTCACTGGTGGCGAATCTCCTGTCAACTATCCCCTCGAGAGGACTCAGAGATCTCTTAAGAAAAGCCGTACGAAGTGGGAACGTAGACTGAACGTTGCCCGCGAAAAGATGATAGACAGGATATCCCCGTGAGCAGGAGAGCATTTCACTGCGGATGAAAGGCCGCGCTGCTTTTAAACAACTTTACTGAATGGTCGTTTCCTCGTAATCCTAACATTGAAGCCTGTGAATTATAAGCCTTTCAAGTTCGCCCATTTATTTCTAATGCCAGAAAGCAATAAATACATCGTCGACTGTGGAAATTCTCATATCAGTTTTCCAGTAGACATAATGACCCTGATAAGCCATACACGTATAAGACAAATCATACCAGGAGTGACTACGTTCAATATCAATTGAGTCAATGAACTCACATTTCTACCTTATAATACAGGCAGCAATGGGGTTAACTTTCATCAATCATTACGAATGGAGATCATGTGTTTTAGGACTCTATGCCACCCGGCTCGTAATTTACATTAGCTACACGAACAAATTAGAAATAATCCAAATTAGTGATACATTGATAATGATAGTTTCTCCATATGAATAACTTTCCTAGGTGTGACATGCATTCAAGTTCGCCTTTTGTCTGTAGATAAACATATAATACTGTCATGATTTCCCATGATTCGTCCTCAGCCTACTGTCCTGCGATCTTATTTAATTCCATCAGAGGACTTAGATTGTTTCCATAGGCTCCGAATTCTTTTGCCCAATATATAAAATCCACCCAGTCTCGTTAGAAGGAGATAGGACACCAGGGCCTTGGAAGCAGTGAAAAATAAAACGAAAGGAGACAAGAAAGAACAGAACTTATAGAAACGGAATTGGATCATTCTAGTTGCAATAAAACCTAAAACACCGCAAGCCTAGGGAATGCCAAAATTATGAAAGTACGAAATAGAAATTTTTCTAGTATGCCCACCCGCTGGACCACTGAAGGGAAAACGGGGACGGTGCTTTTTGCCTTGGTAAGCCATCTCAATAAATCCGAATGGGCGGAAGGGTGCCGAGATATACAGATGAATGATTGCATATGCCGCATACAAGCTGATAAAGAAGCAAATGGGGTCAATCGATAGTTGGAATGAAACCTGTAGGTATCTTCTCCCAAGGTCTTGCAAACGGGTTCGTGTTTCTTCATGTTTTGAATGTAATGCCAAAAAAGAAACAGAGTCATGCCCCCATTTTCTATCCCGTTGCCGACGGCGAACTGCCATCAGACCTCATCCATTCCTAAATTGTAGCTTGGGCGGCGGCAGCTGTGCTGTTAGCAGTACGAATTTAAGGATTGGGACTTTAAGGAGGCATTAGATTGTGCTTTCCCATGTTGCACCCATTGTTGTAAAACTGTACAAAACAGTGATAGTGACATTTTTCCTCATGGACCAGTTAATCAGCCAGTGTGGGTCGTATGGGCCATTGAAATCAACGATCCTCTCATCAATAAACGGAATAGCTGAAGTGTCCAATCCTAGAAGAGACAGAGTTTGAGTATCGTCACTGGCAATACTTATTTTGATATTCCTCATCCCAATACCTTGTTCTGATTCGTTTATAGCTGGCAATAGGAGTGTCGAGCGAGATTTTACAAACTGATGATGTTTGACACTTAATGGTTTGATATATCATAAGAAAACACTTTTCTCTCTTGACTGTGAAATAAAAATCAAAATCTAGTCGCTAACCGATGCAGTTGTGCAGTGTAGATTCTGTGACGGTCATATTGTTTATGATCAAAGTGCAGTACCCTATCATAGTCTGTCGAAATGAAACCTATATCCTCAACAAGAAAATTGGAACGAGTCGGATCAGCTCCACCTATATGAGAAAGAAAGATGAATATCCGCCACACTTATGGAGTTCGGCTATTAATTAATTCACCTAGCTAAGATATTAGGATCTAACACTGAGAAGACCTATTACGAAACTGGGGAGATATAAAAAAACATCCTATATGGCTGATTACACTCACTGCGGAATTATGATAAAAATGGAGAAGGATACAAGGTCAAATATAATTAGACTAAAATATAAGCTTCTTTTGGAAATGAAATCTGAAACATGTACCACCATTGTCGATCAATAATCAGTGTTGTCTCGTTTTCTTTATCGGTTGACGGCTCTTTGTCTCTGATCTTCCTAAAAAGCCCCATTGACAAGGGCCTTGAAATAATATCATGTGATACTATTGCTAAACATATCTTGTGGTTTTTAAAATTCAATCCAGATCCTTTCTAAATTTGGTGATTTATTGGACCATTTTCAATTGTTCCATATTCTAGCTTCTACCCACGGTCTTGGTCTTCAATTTAGACCCAGATACCTGCTTCTCTTTTATTTAAGCTTTCACTCTTTGAACGCTTTCGGTGCACTCATAAAAGTGTTACACCAAACTATAATAGTATTGTCCTTGGAGTTAGGCGTTGATTTATATTTATTTGAAGTATATCTTGAACTGTCTCATTGTAGCATCTCGGAAATGGCACCACAGCTCCTATAATTGTAAGATCTGGATACGAGTATTGTATCTTGCATCGCCTATTCATCATATAAGACACAGATTTGAACAATAACAATGGAACTGCATTAATAAATGTTGTTGGGTATCCATTATATCCAAGACAAGGGACCTTTCTCCTCTAACTTTACGCTACATAATTATCACCACTCTAAATTTATCTCACTATAATTGTGTCAAATGCATGTTTAAGAAGATTGATCCAATTGGAGTCTTGCGAGTAAATGCAATATTAAGCTATTATACCCCAGGAAAATATATATGTAATATGCTGCAACAATACTCATTGAACGTATGCCCAATTACAAGCCCGATAGTATATTTGAAACACACTGTCTGATTAAAACAACATCAAGAAAAGAGAACTTTATATATGCCATGCACCCACAGAAATCATTTGGATCATACTCCACACTGGTATAATGACTCCAACTCATGTGAATCTCTGAATTGCTGCTGAGATGATGTGATTGACTTGTGAACCGTACCTGTCGAGTGTACAGTCTTTTGATCTAAACAGAACTGCGATTGATGAACGGCATTGAAGGCGTCAATTACCAAGATCATCATGATGCAATACAGAGGAATAACATGACCTTCGTGTTGGCTTAAATCATCACTCTAGCCCTTTGCAAGTTCAATATTTCGGTAGATGCATCTGATATAGATCATTATAGTTGAAAAGCTGGATACAATAACTAAATAATTTAACTTTGAATTAATACTGTCACCTCATGACCGCTTTAGAAAAAGCATGAATAATATCGCATAAATTGTAATAGATGCCAGTTGGAAAACAATACCAGTAATTACAATGTTTGCCCCAGGAGTTGTGTCTTGAGGTTACGCGCTGGATGCAATAGAAGCCATAGCTCCCCCGATAGCTTGAACCACAAGTGAGATCACGTCGAGGTGGAAAAGATATAGAGATAAATTCGTGGAGCGATGGGGGGTGTATGGGGAATAAATATATCGAGGGTTATATACAGCCCTGCTGTGATGAATATTGGTGCTACCACACTCTCAGACCATGGAAATAGAAATCAGTGTCATATGATTTATCAAGTATCAAAGTAGTAATTTGAATAAAAAAGGCATCGCTATTATAAGTGCCGCCAAGGCAAAAATTTAACTATAGTATGCGTTAATGATAGGCCGGCAAGATATTGCCACTGTAGAACACACCTAAGGCGCCGATTTCAAAGACAAGCGTCTACAGTACGCGCTTCCACATAACCTGAAATGGATATTTAATTAGGAAGGATCCAAAAATGACACAAAGAATAGGGTTAGGGTTAATTCTCCGAGGGAGGGTATGTAATCATAATTGGTTTGACCGTAAGGAACATTGCAGGCATAGCAGCCTACAGCTAGTTGTTCTGCAGAAGGAGGGCTAGATATTTGAGTCATGCTCCTATGCTCTCTGCGTGTAATGACATAAGAGTATATGACAGACGCCGAGAGAAATATCGAGAAACAAAACCGACTTAACAATTTGAATAGATTGTCGGGGAAAAGACTACTTCAGAGAGAGTGAACTACGGACTATATATGCAATTTACATGTAATTTTCCCTGAAGGATAACTGTCAATAAACGTCAGGAAATCAAATCAGAAATAAACATTTAGGTCCACGTGTAACTAAGTGACTCTATTGCCGGCGATATATTCACCCGTTCTATTATTTCGTAAGAGTAGTGTTGGCGAGGCTACTTGGAAAACATGAAGTAGCTTGGTTCTTCACCTCGATGCTATTTTTAATGATGCTAGGGATATCAGAGCCGCAAGTTAAATTATATGTTTGATGTGGTTGGCTCTGTCCAGAATTTTCGATTATGTTGGAGTCCTCAGCTCTCGACTTTCGAGTTCTCAATCGACGGCAATCTCTATTTTTATCTTGATAGAAAGACCAACGCAGATTGGCTGTGTCGGAAGAAAACAATGTTGGGGGCTATAAATGGGGCTGAAAAAAGTTAGTCCTAGTAGGGAGTAGTACGACGGGCTAGGAACAGACTACTCATGCGGCATTCTTATTTCCAAGTTCCAGCTCCCGGGCTTCCATTCAAATCAAGCTCGCTACTAACTAATGTGTAACGACAACCAACCCATTCTTCACCATTTAGAGGGACCACTCCACAGAAAGTAAGCACCTAGTCAAGCGAGAGACTAGTAGAATCGTCTTGATTGGCCACATCAGGTTATTCGCCCTAGCATAGGAGTGCTTGGATTAAATACGTCATCTGTTGCTCGGAGTCCTCATTAATCACAATGCAAATTGGTAGCTCGAAACAACGACGAGTTAGTGGCCGGAAAACAAGAAGTGGGTGCTTAACTTGCAAGTATGTTACTGCTATCGCACTCCGTGCTATTTACTTACTAAGGGTGATCACTGAAAGAATCCGACATGTCAAATGTGGCGAGGAGAAACCAGAGTGTATTCAATGCAGACGAACAGGGCGAAAATGCGATGGCTACGACAGCAATAACATTAATGTGATCAAACCCATAAATACCACAAACATGAATTTGGCTTCAGTTCTCATCGACGGGATTGGCCCAGACAAGGGTAGAGTGTTATATCCTGGGACAAGAGAAGAACGAAAATATGTCCACTTCTTTTGTACAAAAACGTCGCAGGCCATGTCTGGAATCTTTCCCACCAACTTTTGGTCATTCCTTTTGCCGCAGCTCAGCCAGAACGTTCCTGTGATAAGGCATGCAGCCGTAGCGGTCGCTGCACGCCACGAACATTATCTCCACCCCGAAACGATATCGAAAGACAAGAGTGAGCAATTTTCTCTACAACAATACAACAAAGCCATCAAGCACCTCATGTGTGATATATCATCCCCCAAAAAGGGTCTCGATATTACTTTGATTACATGCTTCCTATTTGTGGGTCTAGAAATACTTGGTGGGAATCATCTCCAGGCACTGCAACACATGCGGGCGGGAGTGCAAATACTCTATGAAAAAGGCTTGAATACTACTTCAATTCTTCCCATAGAAATAGAGAGAGAACTTTTTCATTTCATACTACGAATGAATATCCAACTCTCGTTATTTGGACATCCACTCATGCCATTTAACCTAACCTCTGTAGATGAAGAATTATCGTCTCAAGGAAAAGGATTTTGGTCTGATATTTCTGGTGCTCGGCACTCACTGGACCGACTTATGAACAAGGGATTACACTTGATTCGAGATGCTGGACTGGAGAGAACTACAAAATGCCAACTTTTCAGACCGCGCCAAGAAGAAATCATCCAACAACTCCAAGCTTGGGAAAAGACCTTTGATAGGCTTATGAAAAGCCCTCGAAAGTGTATATCATCTCTTGATCCTCGAATACCACTATTGCTTCGTATAAATCATGGTATCTCTTTATTGTGGGTGAAAAACTGCCTGGCGACAACTGAGTTGACATACGACAACCACCACCCGAGTTTTGAAGCAGTTGTATGTTATGCGGAAGATTGGATTCGGGTTGCAAAAGACTTCCAGGAAAAAGCGACGGGCGAAAATCCAGAAAGTTTTACACTCGAGGCTGGAATTATCCCTATGTTATACTGGACTGCATCTAAATGCCGCCATCCAATAATTAGACGAAGGGCCATTCAAGTTCTACGTGCTCACCCGGCAAAAGAAGGCCTTTGGAATACGGCTCTAATGGTTGGGGTCGCTGATATGATTGTGAAGTTTGAAGAAATGAATATGGAATATTTACCAATTGAACAAAGAATACCGGCCGATAAAGCCCGTGTATACGAGACCCTCATGCGAAGAGGAGATGAAACCGATCCTTCCCGCCCCTGTTATGTGAGATTGTGGTATAAGCCAGATGGGCCCAACGGACCATGGGATTTTCAAGTTAAATATGTCTACTAGATTGTAGAATAATATGAATAGCTCCAGTTTTCTCGGCATTTGACTAACTTTGGCATGACTATTTCATTCTCATGTGTCCAATGTGTCTGGCAGGGTGACTGATAATTTCCTTCATAAAAGAAGTATCATATTTTAATTGTTTTATAGAATACCCCTCGATGTGTCTTATGAAATCTAAAAAGTCTTAGATGCAACGTCCCAGTCTGGTTAATCTTCTTGCCTTGTCTCTATAAGTTTGAGAACCTTGATTCAATCGAGAAGTATGTATACGACATGGGTATAAATATCTCTATTCCTACAGAAAGTACAGAGGCAATCTGGATTGATTTTACAGGCTAGATCTTATGGAAGCTTCTTGACTATAATAATTAATTTTTACCTATTAGGTTGATTCTGCAACAATTGAAGTTAGTATGTGGCTTAACGATCTGTCAGCCAGGATAAGAGCCAAATCAATAACCTCCCAAATAAAGGGAACCCCTTTTGACGTGGTGGTTTTTCGATCAACACGATCAAATTTCACCTGTTAAATTTACTAAATATGTTAGGTTAGTTAGAGAAAACAATTATTAAATGACTAATCTCTAGAAATTGGACAGATCTCTGCTTGTGGGCTAAGTAACCAAACTACTCAGGGTGTATGTTCTTCTAAAAACCGCCATGGATCTCTGGCACCACGGTGGTGAGATAAAACAAAAGCATATATAGGTCTTAGATGCCCCAGTGTGTGCTCTGTATGAGCTTTGCAGCTAAGTGTAAATCATGGGTTTAACGACCTTGTAAAATAGATGCTTACTAATCATCCAAAGGTTCGGTGTGATGCAGAGCGAGTAACGATATTAAATTTCACCGACATTTCGTAAAGCGGGAGACAAATGTTTGAATATAGCGTCAAAAATTAGACGTGATAGTACATGAAGCTATACTAGAAGCAGGAAAGCTATATACTTTCCTTGCCAAAGATGGAAGTTCTATCTCCTTTTATAGGCATAATTTGTACTACGGATTAGGGCTCTATTTAAAGGTTCGTCACATGGTTTACACTATGTCTCTATTAAGAGGCAAGTCCTTATGTAGCGATATTTCTCCGCACACGTTGTACCGCGGGGTCGTAGTCAAACATGCAACTAAGAAAATCCTTCAACTATAAACAGGAAAGTCCGAACACTTTGGTTTCTGTTCAACATGTGCAGGTCTTGTCAAACTAAAATTCTTATTTACCTCTTGCGCTTGAATTTTGAACTGTAGTTTAATACTGTTAAAGTACGAGTGTTTTTAGTTTGGTTTTTGTTTTCTAGTATACTCACCACGGTTCGATGACATCGTCTATTAGCCTTCCTGAATGTGGTCTTTGTGGGTGCTTTTCTTACGTCTATGAAGGAGTCTATCATCGAACTAGACTACACCACTTACAAAGGAGTTGACCAATGCCTTGATATGCGATTTGCGGCACCACCTCTAGGAGAAATTCGCCTTAGTGCACCGCAAGATCCATTGCAAGCCCTTGTATTCAAGATGCTTCAAATGTATGTACTTTCAACTAGGAAAATTCACCGTGCCAAGACTAATAACAGCCTCATAGTTCGGACCCTTATGCGTCAGAACTGGGCAGGATATCGGTGCATCTCTAGAAGAAGATTGCCTATTTATCAATGTCTTTACTCTGTCCACTGCAGACCATAAATCTAAGCTCCCAGTATATGTATACATTCAAGACGGCGAATATGTGAAAAACATTAACGCAAATTATAATAGGACTTGCGTCGTACAAAATTCCAAAAACGGACTTGTTCTCCTCAACTTCGAATTATCGTGTCAGTATTGTCGGCTTTCTCGCTCAAATTGATGTTCCATTTCCTTTGTCGTTCGCCAAGTAGGCCAGAACGTCGATTCTTATATGGCACCAATGAAAACATCTTCATCACGCTCATTGTACCCAGCTAGGTGATGTGCAACTGAACCCGCCCCTATTGAAGCAATATGTATTACGACGCGGTCGGGGTCTCTGCCAAATTGAATTGTATGTAAGTTTTCAAGCTTCCAGTTGTGATTTTGTATGATGGATGTCTCTCACTCACAAGATGGATATATTTTTAAACCCATTGGAGGACCTTGCGCTTTTATTAAAAGATGCAGATTTTATTAATACTACAGGTTCACTCAATTGCCTTCGCTGTCTAGATATTGATACTATACAGCGTATCAATATCCTATCACCATTTCCATGAGGCCCTAGTGGCCCTTTACCCCTCTGGTACTTCTTGCCTGTCATCGATGGTGACTTAATACCCGGTAACCTCTATTAATCTTTTTAAAAGGGAGAGATCGTCACCTTCCTATGCTAGTTGGCGATGATACCAAAGAAGAGTCTTATTTTGCCTTCAATGCGCCAATAGAGACCGAAGTTTCTTCTTTTTCAAGGCTAATTACGCGGGTTTGAAATCAAATTAGCTTCAATTAATCAATGCCGCATATCCACTCATACCACCATGCAATATATTTCCAATCGGCGTCTGCACCATATGGGGAGAGCATGTTTACCTGTCCTGGGAACCATGAGAACAGTTCAATGGCTCTTTATCTTTCTCCTGATAGAGTTGGAACTACCGATGGAATGTTCAGGATCCTGTCAATCTCGCACAGGGCATTGGAGTACCTCCACATGTGAGACCACTGCCATATTTGAATATCCGTATGCAGAAAATATTGGTCCAGATACATATGCACCTGGTGGCTTGAATCCGCCTATGATCCCTATAACAATGAACCATTGAATTAGGTTCATGACAACGTTGGATCCAAATACACGGAAGAGCTATGAACCACCTGTGTGGGAAGCATGAGGGCAAGGCGACACAGGCTATCCCTTAAAATTTGAGCTAAATGAAACAATTAAGGAGTCCATTCATCAGGAATGGACACAGCGCTGTAAATTTGGCATTCTTTATCCAGCTCAATGCAAGTATAAAACTCCAGGCTATTTTGGGTTAACTTCACTTGGCCATCGGCTGATGAGGGTTATTTGAATCAATTGACACCGGGGCTTCTAAGCGCTTTCTGCTGGATACGCATCGCACAGTGCCGGAAGATTCTTGCGACAGGAACTATAGATGTAGTTTATACCCGTAATTTTTGGCATCTTAAAGCCACATAGATTGTTTCATTCAGAGGTTACTGTGTCACTAGTTTCCTAAATCGAACTATACCTCCTACCGCATCAGGTATATTCATTCTTTACAGCGACGTGTCAAATGTTTTATTTAACATTGAAAATAGCCCTACATATATACCATTGAGTCCTGCTCTACTAGTCATAGCTGATAACAATCAAAGTCACTGCACATGTAGTCTCAACATTGAAGTGGTTTTATACACCTATGTATTAGTTTAGCCTAGCAACATGCATGCACCATCATATTTTTACGTCATCTCCAGAAAGGCCCACTATCAATGAAGCTGTCTCAGGTCCAGCATTTATTGAAAGCTACAGGCTAGAGCTCTGATCATAGTCACTGCATCAATTGGTTCCTTTACAAATCAGTAAAAATCGTTAAAGCTGCATATTATATTTGTTTATTGGCTCTTAGTCGATGTAGAATTCGGAAAAACTGTTAGCTTTCTATTCCAGTAGTTTCTTAAAATCTGGACTCCTTTCTAGTGCTTCCCGGAAAGATGATAGTCGTCCACCCACTATCTATAAGCAATGTCAGAACCTTTTCCGATTGGTAAAATACCTTGTTCAAAAAGAATAAACTTCATGTAGGATATATACTAACCTGGTGACTCTCTTCTATATCTCCTCCACCAAAAAGGTTATACCCGTTAACATATTGCATAACCTGCACCAGGTCCTCCTGAAAAATATCGGGAACCCCTTTCAAAGTCAGACCTTTTTTAAAGGTTTCTTGATCAAGACTTTGAAAAACCACATCGAGGCTAAGATCTCTCATAATCGTCACAAGTTCTTGGATTGTATACCATTTCTCAGCGAGGTTGAGTTGACGACCAAGTGACTGTTCCGGCTTTAGAAGGATGGCCTTGATGAATTTGCCAATGTCAATATATTCGTCGATGATTGGCAGTCTCGTCGTCTCATTAGTAGGTTCTGGCCAGAACATCCCATAAGACCTCGATTCAGGAGAAAGATGAGCGAGTGCATCGATTACGATCTTGGAATATGTCCCGATATGCACAATGGTGTGCGGAATGCCTAGTGATCTTATGTAGTCGGTAACGCGGGCCTTACTGTCAAAGTGTAGAACCCTTGTAAGCTTATTATTTGTGACTAGTTACAAAATATCCTTAGTATTCATTTCGTCTCGGGTGAAGAAGATATCTAGTAAAATATTGACCTACTCTTTGAGACGTTGGGAAGACCGCTCCAAATTAGATGCTTAACATCGAGTTCCTACTCTCAGATATTAGCAATATAACTTGCCATATCGCTGCAAATTTTTACCTTGGCTATATCCGCAACATTTTGTCCTTGCTTTGTCTCGGCCGCAAAATCGAAAGTCTCAAAGAAGGTTGTTACAGCATATACTGCATAAGCACCTTTTAAAGCAATGCGCAAAGCTTCTTTATCTTCAAGATTGGCCTTGTGAAGGGGCTATTTTAGCACGATATCGAAGCTCTCCATAATGGCCGGTAAGACAAACCTGGATAATCTCAGCGCCAGTCTCTGCCAACGCTATCGCAGCCGGTTTTGATGGGTCTCTAGTAACGGCTCGTACGTGAAACTCTTCCCTAGCGATAGGATCATTGAGTATGGCTCTGGTAACTGATCCTCCCTGGACACCGGTGGCTCCAAATACTACAAGAACCTTCTTCTGATCCAAAGGCATGGTGCCTCTTTTCCCGTATGGTTAGGGTTGTGTTGATGTCTTAACACGAGTATAGGAAAGTGATACGCTGCTCCTGAAGAGAAGGGGGGATAATTTGACTGCGAATTTAGTATGATCACAATGGATCTGAGACTGCAGGTTGTGGTTCATTTCAGGGACAGGCGCCAGCTTTATATGGAGGAAGCCGCTCAGGAAGATCACTCAAGCATTTGAACGAGCCAACCATGCTTTTTCGAGCAACAACTTTCTCATTCTTTTCGCCCGTTTCTTTAATTCTCCTTGCTTGTTTCTATCTGGTAGTGAATGATTTGTAATATAGAATATCCATAAATCTACGTATAATTGCCGTAACAGGGTCCGTATGTACGAAGTGGGCTAATATGATTGGCTGGCTCGCAATAATTTCTAAATAGGAGTAGTTCGGCGGCGCCGGCTGAGCCGATTCTGTCCGACCGCCTTCTTACAGTTACTAGTAATTACTAATTCACTCGAGAATCGTTTTTAATCTTCTCGATTAAGGTCAAGTCAGTTTACAGATTCCCCCAGCCACGAACTACCCTTTCTCTCCTACCATGATGTGGCAAGAGAGAAAGGCTGGGTAAAATACTTTTTCTTGTCGCTTGATCTCTGTGGTTCCGGAAATGGTTCGACATGGCATGTTATCGAGAGGTTGCGAAAATTGTAGGAAACGGAAGATCAAGGTACACTCGTCGCTAATAGACTAGACTCATCTAGGTCTAAGCTAAATTTAACAGTGTGATCAAGCGCGGCCAGATTGTAGCCAGTGCCTGAAGGGTGGGTGGAAATGTCCACAATACGGCGATACCCTGGAGCGAATATTCCAGCGTCGCGGTCCAAGTGATTTTGGAGAAGGGCAGAACTTGGCGCCTTTGATGCCGATGGGTCGAAGCTCCTCAAGTTTTCCTAAGCAGTCCCGGCTCTCTAGTACTAACTATATTTGTGGCTCATCTTTTGTTACCAAAACGACAACAGTATCCTCTGAACACCATGATTTATCATTCTGCGCCCCCTTAGAAAGAGGTATTATACATCCAATAAATAGCCGGGCGATAGAATTCTTTCTTGCATCTCAAATTTTTCATCAACCAGACATTATCCGAGGATACTACGAGTATTTGCCTGCATTGACGAGATATGCCACTGTCGATAAGAGACTGTTCAATAGCTTGAGTGCTGTTGCGCTTGCTGCCTATGCATATAACTTTCGGCATGCGACTATCTTAAAGAAGGCAAGATGGTATTACGGTCAGGCTCTTCAGTGTGTCAACAACGCTCTATCATCAATAAACGAATCAGTCCAAGACAGCACTATTATATCTATTTTACTGTTAAGCACGTTTGAGAATATGACTTGCGACGACCGAAAGTCATTTCGAAACACAGAAGCTCATATGATTGGTGTAATGGCGATTCTCAATATGCGGGGGCGCAGTCAATTTGAGCCGCGCCACAGACTGCAAATATTTCAACACATGTGTACATGTCTCCATCTGTCGTCATTAATACATTCGATTCGCATTCCTAGACAATTAAGAATTCTACGTGCTCATGCTGCGGAATTTCTTGATACAGATGATCCCGCCTGGAAGCTCTCTGGAATCATGGCAAAATTAGCCAAGTTCCGTGAGGATGTGAAGACTAAGGTTATTCGCAATCGTTCTGATATAGTGCAGTCTGCTTTGGAAATAGATCAGGACCTTACGCTTCTTGAGGACCAGATGCCATATCAATGGCATTTCCAAACAGTGTCGCTGCCAACCAAGTGCCATCTTGTCTTCGATACTTACTATCACATTTACCCCGATTTATGGGTGGCATGCACTTGGAACAATCTTAGGACATGTCGATTACTTTTGCATAAGGAAATATGCAAGCAGCTGCTTAAGGTCTCACATACAGGGTTTGTGGCAGAAGGCTCAGTCTATCAAAACTCAAAAATGATATTGCAGCAAATCATCGATGAAATTTGCGCCACAATACCTCAGTTTTGCGACAATCTCTCGTCGCTTGCAGATAGTAAGGCCCATCTGGCGAAATATAGGAATACCATACCTGCCAATGCCGCTGGATATTTTCTTATGTGGCCTCTTCTCAACATGAGCTCCATTATAGACTCAGAAATACAACGGGAATGGGTTGTACATTGGACTTGTTATATCGGCCGGAAAAGCGGGATCCAGCAAGCCTTTGTAGTTGCAGATCTCTTGCGAACAAAACAAGAGTTTACGATATAGGGAGTAGTTGACGGATTAGACCGTATCAACGGGCTTGGACTTGTGTTAGCTCTTGCGTAATATAACAGCTGCAAAATCTATATTTGGAATTGTATTTTTTTTCTTTTGTGGCATAGAATTTTTTGGACAGGACAGCCATACAAACAACCTAAGGGGAGTTTAATTGCCCTCTATTGGTGAAGATAAGATGAATATAACGATAATAAAAAGAATAAAAGAATACACTATGCATAACAAGGTCCGACGACTCCTCTAAGGAATTAACGATTCTAGATTAATGGGTTCAACAATTTTGACCAAGAAATGTGCAGTTTGTCAGTGAACTGGGCCTATAGACGATCATATTGTTCATATAGCATATGTTAAGTTATAAAAGAAACCTTGAGAACAAAAAGACTCGATTATATATTCTTTAACCCAGAGGATTCTCATAAAATATCGATTGATATGTAGGCACAAAATTGAAACTAATGTTTGAAAGCTTTCTTTTCAGCTGGATGTATTGCCAAATCGAAACCTTAATAATCGACTGCATTGCTGATCCACAATGTCAGCCAATAAATACTAAATTAATCACCCTCACTAATGAGGGGGATCGCTTTTTGTTGTGGTGGTTTTTCGGCCAACACACAAGCTTTGAGCACTGTGCACCGAAGTCTCATTAGACAAGCAGACAAGCGAATAACGTATTCCACTATTTTATTAACTATTGAAGTTTATAAAATATATTTATATAGATATAGTTAACTATAAATTATTGTTTTAATCAAAATTATGTATAATTATATAAATTATACTGTATTTTTAATAATTTTAATTAATTCTTATTTAGATTTATTAATTTCTAGATTTATTATTATTAATGCTTTTATTATATATGTTCTTGATTATAAACTATGGTTTATATATAATTTTATTTAGATCTGAATATGATACAAATGGCTATGCTGTATGCAATACACTGGTGCGTATTTCGCTTGTACGCCCAGGGTACTTGTAGAATACGTTAGTGCTCCTGTCCCTCCTGACGTCACTCTCCCTAGTGGCCTGAATAAAATAAGGTTGCTATTGGACAGAAGACCAAGGCTCCCCAGACACTATTATCACTTGTGGTGGTCGCTGGCATATCTTGTTGGCTCGACCTTTTATTGTCTAGAAGTCCCGTCAAAACATACTGAAAAGAGGAAATTATCTCGTCTATCATCTAAAGGTTTTGACACCCGAAGCAGCGCCGCTACTGAGAACACGTGATCTTCCTTGTCTGTCAGAAAAAATATGTAACCAAAAATAACCAAGATAATACCTGCTAAATAAGGGTTATGCCCTTTGGGCATGGTGGTTGAAAGTTTGACACATGCACTGTGGCCGATGGTGCCCGATGCTCCCTGGCCGCCTGATTAGTTCAGGTTGTTTAGCCGTCTTTGCCACAACCACATTCAACCAATACACATCGTCTTGTTCCTCTGCGTAGCATTCCATTCCTAAGTATTCGAAGAGAATCAACCAACATTTCATTTATCAGCCTAGTAGAGTACGGAATGTCCTCTTCGTGGGATCTGTGTGTTCATCGGATTTAACGTTGCTCAATCTTGAATGGGAACTAAAACGAGCTAAATGCTGACAGTTACAGGCTTTGCGGCTGGACTCTGACAACTCACAACATTTGACAGTCAATATTGACATGTATTTTGGAATGGTTTTTGAGAGATCAATCTCAGCCTTGGTCATTCCTCATAGGGAAGAATCTTGAATTTTACCATTAGGTATTGATGACACATGCATATAGGTAGACTGGCACCTGTCAAGGAGTTATGTTGAGAACTTGAGAATGTTTTATTTTTCTGTGTTAACAAGGAGTATAAATTCGATGAGAACTTCGTAATGAAATCGCAGAATATTATACTTCTTCTTTATTTATAATCTTCTTCTATATGAATCCAGTGTTGGTCGCGCCGAAAAATGAGCCTTACCTGTTACGCTACATTCCATGAATCTCCCAAAGGCCCCGGTGACGCCCGTCGTACTGCTCGGCGTATTATCGAAGATGAAGGCCTTGGCAATGAGAAACTCAAGAATAAATCCATTTTTATTACTGGTGCATCTTCTGGTATTGGTGTGGAGATCGCTAAAGCTATATTCTTAATAGGAGCAACCCTGTTCTTGAAAGCACGCCACATCGAAAAAGCGAAACAAGCTCTTGGGGAGGAGCTTACCGAATCCTGCCGCGTTCACCTGCTTGAAATACATCTCGATTCATTTGAAAGTGTCCGCACTTGTGCTGAGGATTTCTACGAAAAAAACCCTAAGTCTTTGGACGTTTTCATCGCAAATGCAGGGCTTATGGCTTCATCCGAATGACGGACTGTAGATGGGTTTGAGACTCAGTTTGGAACAAACCAGCTAGGACATTTCCTATTATTTGCTCTCCTACATGCAGCCTCTCGTGGAGCTAACGCCCGGGCTATTTTTGTCTCTTCATTGGGCCATAGGTTTGGGAATGTCAATTTTCATGACTATAATGTCGAAAGTGACGACAACGCCTATGATGCTTGGAAAGCATATGGCCAAAGTAAAACGGCCAATCTGTGGACTGCAAACGAGGCAGACCGTAGATACAGATCTCATAGACTATGTGCTTTTAGTGTTCATCCTGGGGGTGTCATAGAAACGGGGCTGATGCAATTTACGTCCAATGAATGGAAGCAACAAGCAATCACAAATCCGGTGCTTGGGCCTCGCCTGAAAACCACAGAACAGGGTGCCGCTACCGTTGTATGGGCAGCGTTATCCAAGAGTTTGAATGGCATAGGTGGGAAATATTTGGAAGAAGTTCAAATAGCAAATCCTTGGAACTCTGAGGATGGAGATTGGGGACCTGGGTACGGGTCCCATGCCTATTGTCCGGATAAAGAGCGAGAGTTATGGGAGTTATCGTTGAAATTGGTTGGATTTAAGGGATAGCCCGATGATCTAAGTGTCTAAAATACATTCCAATGGTGATAAAGCGTCTGCGCCTGCAAGTATTCGATCGGGCCTTGTAGGATAATATTTGTTTCTTTTGTCAATTATTTCTCATGTTGATAGCTTAATACGCTTTTAGGGACAATGGTTAACAAATTCGTCATAGGCCGGTGGAAAATACTCTAAATAAAAATGAAGTGCGAACACATCATCCACCGCCACCTTTGTAGGTTGCGAGAGTACTGAGTAGAACGACCACATGATCAATCCCGGCAGTCTCGTCCACCAACAGCAACTTTCCTCGCAAGCCCCTTAAATGTTCAAGTCTTCGGAATACCGCCACGGCAGTCTTTTGCCCTGAATGATTTCTGAACAAAGTTTGCCTAAAGTCTTTTATGCCAGACTCCATTTCCCATGAGTATTGAATTGAGTCTTTGACAAAGACCTGGGTTCGCGGGACCATTTTACCACGTTTGCACTCAACAGCGTGCGAGCTATGAGTTGAGTCATTCGGAAATTGAATGAGAAAAGAGAGTGTTAAATGAGAGGTTCGTTGGACAGTAGCTATGCAGTATTCAATAACACGGTCACTGTTGCTATTTTCTTTTTTTGGATCGTCAATTTCATTGTGGTTAATGAGATCGGCCGGCTCGGAGGCTGCTGTCATCGAATCATGAGGTTCTGTAGGTCCGACAGAAAAAAGAAGGTAGATTCTCGACTTCCATGTATCCTTTTTCAAGATGTACCGGAGATCCTCACATTCGTCCTCTCCGCTTTCTTGGGCAGGCATGACAATGTCGTGAAGGCGAGTACGAAATTTCGAATCATCGATATCTCGATTGTGATTAACATACTCAGGCAAGATTTTTTGGGTAAGATCCAAAATAGGAATTGATTTGCTGAAACCATGATAGGCAGAAATCCAAAAAGCATGGGTTGGGTTCTGCAAGGACATTTTAGACATAGTTTCTCTTCCTGTATCTTCGTTGGGGGGTTTGATTCAAGTTCACTTGCACCCTACATTCTCTATAAATATGAGTTGTTCGATTTTGTTATTTTGGCATGAAGTAGAACCACCACGTATAATTGGCGAGAAATACGAACGCCCCACCCCACCTTTCGCATGTTGCGACCATTTCGAGACAAGTGCGAGTAGTTACCTGCCCGCTGCAATCGGATAGTATCAACCTAAGAACAAGTTTTATGATGATTGCCACGGTTCGATAAAGGCCATGTCTCTTAACACCGAAGCTAAAAGGGACAAGGCGAGTGTTGCGCAACCTTGCTGTGATGGTGTTGCCTTTTCTAATGTCATTCTTAGCTGCTTGAAGTATTCGCTCTAGAGTAGATTCATTGCTGCTAAGGATAAGCCGAATGAGAATGGCTAGCATTTTTGAGATCAATTCCAGTTGTAGCACAGAAACTTTCTTGGCTTGTCAAAATTCTGTGGCAAAATACTGTATGTTTGCATAATATGGAACTGAAGTGCTGTTGATATTTGTTTCTTTATTTGCAGCCGCCGATTGTTAATAGAAATAGTCTAGTCGAGAGCAGTAATTGACTTGAAATAGTCCGGTTTATATTGATAGATCATTTTATCGGCAATACTGGGCATAATCGTGGGTATTTTGGGTCAACACGAAGAGAGGGGTCTCTCCTCGCCTCGCTCGCCAGGCATTCGTAGAATCGAAAAGCTCAGAACAGCCTAGAATAGTCCAACCCCAAAGTTGTATGTACGTCGATGTTACCTCCCACCCATTTGGATCCCAGGGGTCTTTCCAAACAATAATGCCAGTCTCGCCCCGAGCACTGTTCTCAGGCAGCCTGTCCCCAAGCATGTTATAGCACATCAATTCATCATCATATGAATCGCCTCCCATGATGAGAATATCGCGCATTTTTGGAAAAGGAAACAAATCAAGCCAGGGATGATGAGGGACGGTACGCTGAATCACCGTCGGTCGCAAAGCTGGAGGCAATAGTGCCTCACGGGAGTCTGCTTTCGCAGTTTGAGGTCCGATAATGCTAAAAGACGATTGTGCATCATCATTGTCCATCGCAGAACCCTCATATCCAAGTATGTCAAGATTTGCATTGAGAGCTCGAAGTATATTGAGTCGGGTTAGACCGAGAAGCATGTCGGTATCAGGAGATCCTAGCTTAAACTTTTCACAAATGATCTTCTCGAGAAGTTTGATAATCTGCCTGGACTTTTCTGCTGTTGGCCCAAAGATTGGATGTGCGTTCAAATCTGTAAAGTCAACTTTGCCGGTAGATGACAATGTCGCAGTAGGGCGGCGACTATTTTGTTTAGTATTCTGCTTACGTGCCTCTCGCTGTCGCTGCCCTGCCAACTACTTAGTACTACGACAAAGGCTCAATATACAGAGGTGATGATATAGCCCTTACTAGTAGCTCGTTGGTTGATTCTGTTTTGAATTGTCCTTCGCTTTTTGGGATCGGTTACTCCGAGCCAGTTATCCAATAATTCAATTGGATAACTTGCTGATGACTGCTGCATGGTGACCGACGATATAATCTGGAGCGTGATATTCTTCAACGTTACGGTAGAGTAGAGAGGATTGAATCTTATCGAAACCTGAATAATACGCACAGCCACAAAGTAGAATCGAAAACCGAACTAAAAGCTGACAGGTGCAGGATTAGTAACTCCACTGTTCACGTCTCGGAGACTAGAGCTATCCCCGAGAAAAATCCGGGTTTTCTCAGTACGGCGGACTAAATCGATCTTGAGGACAACGCAAGTTTTGTTTTACCAAGTCTCATTCTCAGAGGGTTGGCCGCTAGCAGGGCCCTTGGTAGAAATTCTGCCACTTATCTAACTACCAATTCAGCACACGGAACAAACTAACTAAAGGAGATTTAGCCATGAGCAATGGAACCCTTGTAAGAAAGCACTCTATAGTACCTGGGAAAAACTTTCCGCTGCTACAACCCGGAACTGTGCTAGTCCCTGTAACTTCCTAACTGGTGAGGCCCGTCTTCTGTTGGTGTATTTAGTGCTGCCTTGCTGTCTACCTTCTTGATCCAATGATTCGCGTTGCCCCTTTCATCTTGGAAGCTTTTGCCAATTCTTGATCCCTTCGCCCCATACAAATACTAGTCATCTATTGTCATATCTCAAAACATTCACCCTATTAAAAAATACGGCGTGAGCTCCTACAATGACGTCCGAGCGTTTCTGTATCGCTATTATCGGGTCATGGCCAATCGGTAAACTACTGGCCTGTTGCGCTGGACCGCATCCGCGTATTCAACTGTTGCAATATGAAGCTGACGTGTTTCCACTGTGTCCATCTTTTACTACGGTATAGGCTCACAAACGCATCACACTATAAAAGTACTAGACCAAGACCTTCGTCGTCGACAAGAGGAGAAATGTTATAAGGGATCTATGTGGATGCGATGGTGGCATGGTGGTGAAGATCAATCGCTGGCGTTGAAGTGCCTGCGGGTGGCATATTTGGTAGACTGGGCCGGGAGGAGCGTATGAGCCTGCTGAATGACTCGTTGCCTGATGGAATGCGTAAAAGCGGCATTCAATACTGCAAAAGGCTTATTGATGTACGCGCTAACGGTCCACAACAGCTAGAACTGATATTTGACGATGGCACAACGGATCATGTCAATGCTGTCTAAGCCGCCGACGTAGTAAATTCAATTTGTCGGAGATTTGGTGCAGGGGGACGCCTACAAACCGCCTAGCTGTATAGTTATGATTGCATACAGTGGGAATGTCACTTCAACGAAGGTGGCGGAGCTGGTCGGAAAGTATTTTGCGACTGATACCTATTGTATTATCGGTGTTAAGGGGTGACGTTTGCTAATCTTCCCCGTTGAGGAAGGTTCACAAACGTGGCGGCATTCTGTTTGAAACCAGAACAAAAACTAATATACACGAAACGAGAAGGTAACCATTGAAGAGTTGCTGAGGCCACTTTCCTAGGCGGAATGCAAAGATGAACACATTGTTGGAAGTAAGATAGACTTTATCACTATCCCATATGAGGCTAAATACCTCTCGTTTTCCCAGAAATTTGTTGATATCTCAGCACATCAAAACCCAGTATGGAGTGGTAGTATTACAGATGCAGACAATCATAAAGAGAGACCAATGTTCTTGTGGAATTCAGCAGACGACAACCACTGAATCCAAAAAGAAAATAAATACAGTTTGCATATTGTTAGCCCAGAGATATCTTAAGACTAAAATGGCCATCCTACTGGATGTCCGAAATGGTAGAGGTCAACTAGTCCTAATGATGTGTATTTATTGACCTTGGTGATATAACGATGTCATTCAACGGAACGCGTCCACATTTCCATATCAAGAAACAAATCTTCCCAGCTGCTCTCCATAGAGAAGCTCTGGTCTTCAATACCTAAATTATCGGCATGCTGCTCTATTGTGTCACTTTCGCTGGACGCTTGATAATGCTGAATTTTCCTTGAAAATTCTCTTGTTCTGAGCGCTGTACTGAACGCAATATTCGCACCCATCCGAGATTTCAGGACAAGCAGGCCATTCGTTCTATCTTGTGGTTGCAGCATCTCACTGTACCGCGCTAAACGCTCAAGGATGAGACACGCGCGTGAGGTGAAGTCTCCAGGTGTTATTGACAACCCTCGTAATATGTTCCAACCTTGACTAATTCCACTGGAGAGGGTGGTGCTTACGACAAGGTCTTGGTATCTCGAGCATTTTAGTAGAAGAAGATAACACACTGCATTCATGAGTAGCTTATGTAGACGAGTAGGGGAGGTCAATAATTTGTCTCGCATGGAGGCCGCTGTACGAATGGTAGCTATCGCTGTGAGATACCCTTGGGTCACCCAGTGAGATGGTGACTCGACACCGAGGACATGATTTCTGTCATCATTTTCTAGACTTTCTGATATTGCAGTCAGAGCAAGGGTGTATAGCATCATTCGACAACCCAGGAAAGTAAGATGATCGGATAGCGACCATGACGTAGAAAAGCGGTATTCGAGGGCTTTTAACTCCGTATCAAAGACACGAATTACTGGTAGCTGGTCTGATGATAAGCCATCGTTAGATAAAGAGCCGCAGTCTTCGAGGGTTGACGCAATATTGAACGCCTGTCGTGAAATATGTAGCTGATAATAAAGTGTATCTGGCAACCAGTCTGGTTTCGCTGCTAGAATTTCCAAAAGACCTCTGTCCAAGCGAATAGTGGTAGGGAGTCCGAGTTGACTTGTGACGCTGTTAAACCTTTTAGCCAGTTGCTCCTCTAAAACTGCGGGGAATTACTGGCAACATGTAGCATACCTGACATTCATTATGAAACAGACAGCCCAGGTGATTCGTCCGAGAATAGCTATGTTTCCATCAAGTAGGGTTTTGTTTTCAAAGTCCATTGCGAAATGGGATGGCCGGTGAAGACCCAGTCGGTAGCCCATATGGGTTGCAATGGCGATGAATGAATGCAATGGATCCTCGATTCTCTTTGAATATGGCAAAGGCCAGTAACATAGCAACAAGAGTGCTTGCATGGATTGAAGCGATAGATGTTCCGGTTTCATTGAGTCATATGACATCGTGCGAACGCTGTCAACGACCTTTGAGAAAAGTTCCACATGCTCTGGCTTACCTCCCAAACTAATAACTAGTATGGTGTGTAAAAGGAGAGGACAAGCTTCGGAATATTCTAGAAATGTGGGAAACGGTGGTAAAAAGGGGCATTGCCGATGATAATTTTCGGAAAAGCTTGTAGTAAGTCAGTCTTTTCTTCATCCTTCTTTCGTATTCCTTTCGAAAGGTAATCGACAACAGGCAAACCTACTCCATTGAAAGGTCTCGGATTAAATCTGCTGAAATTTCAGCTCCCCCTATTGTTTTACTAGTAAATACACTATCAGAAATGTGGATTTCAGACCTGAGAGACGAGAAACTGTCATATGGTGTGACACGTGTTGAGGGAGAATTATCTGAGGGTTCTTGGCCATGCTCATGTCCTTTCAAGGATCGCTTTATGTCCTGCAATTCTCTTTGGGCTGCCTCCAATTGCCTTTACCATATACCTAGTTAGAAAATTGTACAAACATGTTATGAAGGTAAGAGCTATAGCAGGCAACTTGACGTACTCTCTCTTTTTTACACGCTTGAATGATGGATCGACTGAACATAATCGTCCTGCCTTCGTGCATCTTGAGCAGGCAGCCGGGAACTTTCGTAGGCCGTCACACGCCAGCTGGTGCCAGGTTAGCGAGCCCAATAGATATTCATCTATCCACGTATGTGAGAACAGAACCTACTTTCATTTGACGGCAGTGCACACAAGCCACAAAGTTCCGCTTTCGGCCTCTCATAGTGCGTTATTGGTTACTTCGAGCGCGTTTTATCCAGATAAATGAAACATCGAGGGTCGCGTCGGGACGCGGGGAATTAGAAACTCTCAAGGGCGGCGGAAGAATTCAAGGTACCGCGGATCGCTCAAACCAATCAAAATCGCTTGATCTCTTCCCATCATTGTATTGGATTCAAGTCCCGATGTGGAAATACCGGTAGAAATCTTCTCATTTAAAGAAAAAAACGTGGTTCTTAGGTGTACGGTACTCCATGCGTGAAGCTCACTTCGTTAGCGAATCATCGGGATATTAGTTTCATTTTGCCGAAAACATCTATTGATAGATGAGGGCAAGTCGATACATGTATAGACTACATAGGATATTGATATATTGATCCAGCAGCTAACTAGATGCATCACTCATGCCTGCCACCCATCAACCACCTCAATATAAACACGTATACCATCCGCAGGGGCTGCACTGATACCCCCTTTGGTGAACATCTCGACCTTGTCTTGGTCTTCCAGTTCAAAATGGAACCTGCCAACAATCGCTGCAACTAAACAGGCCAGTTCGGCTCTTGCAAATTTATCTCCAATACAGCTCCGTGGGCCATGAATAAATGTCAAAAATCCATGACTGTTTTTCACACCTCCGGAATTGGCGCATCCCTCACGCATCCAGCGTTCTGGGTCAAAAACGTTTGCGTCGGGACCCCACAGCTCGGCGTCGTGATTTGTGACAGCAGGTGAAATGCTAAAAATTGTGCCTTTTGGGATATAATGCCCGGCGACTGTGGTGTCATGGAGTGATTCACGAATAGTACTTGGCACAGGGGGCCAGAACCGCAGAACCTCGTTGCAAAAGGCGCGTAAATAGGCAAGCCGATCAATGTCGGAAGCCGATATTCCGACATTGTCGTCGGTGACTAGGGGAAGTTGTTCGCAAATTTCCTGACGTAACCGCTGCTGGACGTCTTGATGCTTGCACAGTGCGTAAACAGACCATTGCAGGGCAACTGAAGTTGTACCATGCCCTGCTGCCAGAAAAGTCATCATCTGGTCTACAAGGGCATCATTGCTGAATGTGTCACTCTTTAACGCCACCGAAATAAGGTCAATACCAATTTGGGATGACGATTGATCTGCCTTATCCTGCTTTTCTCGGATGATGGCCCGGCACACGTTACGGATAAAACGAGAAGCCTCTTTGATTTCTTTCATACGTCTCGTTGGAACTCGCAGAACCACGCTAGCATCCTTTACGGCGGCGAAAGGAGACAGTAACACTCCAAAAAGCGTTTCAAATAACGATGGGCTTTGTTGCATTTTTTTATACTGTTGTATGATTTGGCTGTGAGGATCCTTTAATGAGCCGAAGTCATGATCCATGCCAGCAAGGCCGACAATGTCCAACGTGGCTCGGCTTGTCCACTGCCGCATTTCGATCACCCTTTTAGTCTTTTTTGAGTTATTGATCGCAATCTGATCAGCCAGCACCTCAGTCAATTCCCTGGCCTTTGACCAGAAAATAGGATATAAGTCCTTGACGTGGCGAAACGAAAAAACAGGCATAAAGCTTTTGCGTTGAACCTAGTACATATACCCTTAGCTTCTTGGTCGGAAACCTCTTGTGGAAATAGTTGACAAACACTATGCTCCTCTCCTTCAGCGAGCAGTAGACCGTTACCCGTAACATAATAAAGACGCCGTCTCACGAATTCAGGCTTCACAAAGTGCGACGCCTTGGTGACTAGAATTTCACTGAGCGCCTTGGCACTGGTAACCAGTAGCCTTTCGCGACCTCCAACCAAGTAAAATCTTATCAGTCCATCGTTCGGTATAGTCTCCCTCCAGTATCGAGGGTCGTGAGTATGCGGTCCTCCAGGCAATCTCAATGTCGCACCGGTGAGAAGAGAACGACCGGGTGGCGTTGGTATATCTCGTAGGGGCGTGAATATGGTCGGATATAGAATCAAGATATAAAAGTAAAGAATCGAAATAAGACTCAAAATAGCAGTAGCTAGAAATGCTACAAATTGTAGGTCGAATACACGTAAGCCCATCAGGGAAGAAAAGACAGACAAATTCATGAGTGTTGGCTTCGAAACAAAAAATACAGTCATTTGATCTCCAAATTTTAATATAGTGAATATTTAGATGCGGTCACATCATTATTCAGAATATTTTCGAGGTACCATTGCTGGTTGTGAAAGATATATTAGATGCTAGAAACCGAAATCGGCTACTATATCGATATCGGTAAAATTGAAATCTTGCTTACATCATATTGGGCGAGTCTCCAAACCAAAATTCGTTTTCGTAATTTCATTTTTTACTTCCCGAACCCCGCACTAACGTATTCCACGGGCATTTGGAAACCTGTGTAATCCATATACAATAGCCTTTTTTTAAATCTTAATATCTCAACAAAATTATATACAATTTATAGTTTGAAAATTACCATATAAAATAAAATATATATCAATTGATAGTATATTCAAAAATAAAAGAAGATAATTTTAAACTAACAAATAATACCCAAAATATAACGTAATTTTTAGTATCTTATATAATTTAATGTAATTTTGATATCTACTTAGTCATTTTAAAAATTTTTAATCATATATTCTTTTACTGTTATGTAAATAATATACTAAATTCTGAACTATAATTCTCATATAATTTTGTTGAGATATTAAGATTTTAAAAAGGGCCATTTTATATGGATTACACAGGTGTTCCAAATACCCGTGTGTTCCATATGCCTGTGGAAAACGTTAACACACAGTTGTACGTGAGAAGCTGATTGATTGACCATCTTCAATAGTGTCTCCAACTTTAATATAGTTAATAATAGGATCTGATTTTGCATTCTCAATCTCATCATCGAACGCACAATCAGTTGAGGTGGTGATGATGGTGGTATCATTTGTATTATAAGGGGAAATGGCCTCGATGTCATGAATGAGATCTTGGTCCCAGAGGAGCTGACCAATATGTGCCACAGTACCGCCCGAGATGGTGTTGTTCGATAACTGAGAGAGATCGCCGATATGAGTTACGACACGGTGATATGTAGTACGTCCAGAGTGATTACTGGGGACGATAGTTTTGAACTGAATCATATGATAATCATTTGTTTCTTGAATTTCTTTAAGAAAAGTGGCATTACTACTGGACGTGTCATCGTTATACCGTTGCCTTGGCCGTCAGCACCTGAGTGAACACCGGTAGGACTACAATTCCATAGATCGAACCAAATACTCGTAATAGGCTTACAGGTCTCGACGTCAAGGAATTGAGCGTCAGGTGTAAGAGCAACATCCACCTGGCTTTCATCAATGTTGGACCGAAAGTATTCACTTTTGACATAGAGAGCCCAATTTTCATCTTCAGGATTCAGTACAAAGGTGGTGTTGTCACTGAAGATGCCCGACTCTGGAGTATCTACAGTAATACTCCATTCAGTCACCTCATGACACTTGATAAGAACAGGACCCAGGTCACGAACGACGATACGTTTCTGGAACATCTTTGGACGAATTCTTTCGACCGTGTCACAGCAACAAATATCGGCATCCTTATTAGCACCACTATGTTCCAACTAACGAGCACGTTTCTCAAGGTCACGTCGAATATTTATTTGATGTTCTCAGTTTTGGACCAGGTTTGCTGCATCCTGCTGCTCATACTGACCTAGATGTGTGGCAAAAAGGATGGCAAGGCCAAGAGCCCAGATAATCAGAAGACTTTGAAGCTGCACGGTTAATCCGTCAGGAGGCTTGGTGAATATCTGGGAAATTGGAAAACTCTGGCCTGCGATTTTTAACTAATCTGGGAAGGAACTCGACAGATGAAGCGGATTTATCGTCCTATTTATTTTTTTTTTCTCGTAAGGTTTACTCCATTTTACAGTCTTCCATGTTAATGGCAACCAAAAGGTCAGCATCCACAAACTTGCCGTGATTGGTGTAATCTATACAGCAATTACCCGTCCCCTGTAACAGGCAACCCTCACAAAAATAGCGCAGCCCATAGTCGATCGGGGATGAATTATTGCAACACTCTGCATTACGTGTCCCATGTATCCAGCTCAATGCATGAGAGAGGACATACATGTGTAAAATTTCTCTCTTCATTTGCTAGTATCTATGGGAGTTTTTATTAAAATTGCAGAGGATGATTACTCCCTAGACTTTCCTAATAGTGTTTACAAGGTAGCTAGACCTCACCTACTGTTCCGCTCACGTTTCATTTCAATTTGCTAAGTTTATGTAAATAGGTGCAATTACCTCCTCACCGATTCTTATATGCTCATTTGCCTTTCTATCCAAGTTTGCTATTTCAAGCCTAACTATACCGCGAAGGGATTCGCCGACATGACCAGAACTTTTTCGTTTTTCGGAGGCGGGTAGGAAAGAAGCTGACATAAATACTCATAAGCAATCCGTTCCTTATCCCTCAATTTTTTTCTTTTTCGAGGTAACTGAGATTTGTGATACTTAGAAACCACGCCCAATGTTTATTTACAATCAGCCCCAAATCGCCAATTATCCACATACTCTAAATGTCCTGTCCATTACTTCGTAGCCTGTGACATTAAATCAACAGTACATTCCACAATAAACTACCGTATTAAGTAGATAATACATATTACCAAGAATTCTTGAGAAAGGATGGATTTATTCTGTACATTCTACATATATTTGAAACCACAATGAAAGAAGCTTCAATGTTGATCAAGGGTTTTATAGAATTGAGAACCAATTAGTCTCATTTTTCAATTACGATAAGAACCATTCATTTTTAGTTACACGGAGCGTAACCGACTAATCGATAGAGATGCTAAGGTACATGCCCTCTATTTGGTCAATATGAAGCCAACTACTTTAAAGTCTCATTCCTGTCCTTCATAGCGATTCTAGGGGCCTACTATAATATTACTATCGTAGATGAATCTGCTGTGTGACTCACTCAATATCCTCAACCTTGATGCGTCCAAGGTCAGGATAAGGGTAGAGTTCAGATCGCTTTTCAGTGTCTTCAACCTTGATGCGTCCAAGGTCGGGAAGAGGGTAAAGCTCAGAGCGCTTCTCAGTGTCTTCAACCTTGATACGTCCTAGGTCAGGATAGGGGTAGAGTTCAGATCGCTCATCGATGTCCTCCACTTTGATGCGTCCAAGATCAGGAAGGGGGTAGAGCTCAGAGCGCTTTTCAGTGTCTTCAACCTTGATGCGTCCAAGGTCGGGAAGAGGGTAGAGTTCAGATCGCTTTTCAGTGTCTTCAACCTTGATGCGTCCAAGGTCAGGAGCAGGATATAGCTCGGCTCGCTTATTTGCTACCCCTGGCTTCAACAGCATTAGTTTATCATTGTAGTCATTGATGAAATTATGACCGACTTAGAATACCTTTTCAGCGGCCGGAAGAGCCAACGATAAGCTAGCAGCAGCTACTACTAAGGTCAAAGTCTGAGCTAGAGAGGGCATTTTGAACACTTGAATATATCTTTTCAAATTCCAAGTAGCACAATATTTGGCGGACCCTCACGAGGGATCAATGATCTACTTATATATTTCATTTGGTGAGACGCTAAGACGATAGATCGGGCTACAGGGTTGCTTTTTCATAACCTCATCGATGATCCGCGGCGTGACTTGTCAGATATTTCCCCTCTTTTCTTGTCGGGTGTGATCTAGCTTAGCATTATTATTATTGTTATCCTTGTTGACTTACAAATACAGACAAGCGGGGCAATATTGAATGATCAAACTGCAAGTACTGAGTCAAGGTTGGCTTGAAATGTTGATCATGAAGCTTGATTGGAAGAGATAAACTGGGTGGCATTGCATAAAACAAAGATAAGTAAATGCCGCTGCTGATCGGCGGGTGGGCCTTTTAGCGTGCCAACAACGGCCATCTCTTACTCCATACAAGCATTCTACCAGTGTTGACGGTGTTATGAAGCAACCCGGTAAGGACTTATCGGTGTATTGACAGCCCCGCAATCCTACAACCTTATGGCTGCATTTACGGATTGGATATGCAACAGATGTTTGTTGCTCTAGAAGAAAACGGTGCAGATCATTTCCACTTTTGCGTTAGAAATCCCATCGGCGATTTTCTTTCGGCTTTCAAGTAAGATAACTTTGTTGTTCCAACTTCAAACCCAAGATAGCTTTTGGGTTCACTTGATGAGATATGGCATTTTATAGAAAATCTATTGATATTTTCAATTGTAACTACACAACTGAGATCCTACTATTATCGTCTGCTGCTTAAGGCAACTTGAAAAATTAGATTCTTCCCCAGGCTGAAAATATTGGATACGAAAATATGAACCGACACCCCGGATGTGATGTAGCATTCGACCATTAGCCGATTCTAGCCCCACCAATGATATACCATCGTTGCTATATTCCCAACGAATTCTGTTGCACATGACATCTTGCTACCTCCACAACATGACGATCAATAAATGTGGCGTTATGGGTTTCCAATCTTCTCACGTTGTAGAGTGTCAGCCAAGAAACCCCACCGCGCATCTTATCTCTAAAGAAAACAACCTGTTAATCAGTTATACGAAATATAACAGAGACTGTCAGTGTCTTTTTTTCGATGAACGCCAAACAGCCCAAGCAGTTTCAGCGAGCCCTCAATTATCATATACTTGTTGTCATTTATAATTTTATCCACAGATGCCATTGTACTGGAAGAAAATTGCATCATTGTATCAACCGAGGTTATTGAATCCAGTTTTTGAACATGGCTTTTTCAGGTTTCAGAAAATGGAGAAGCATCAGATTTCCCGAATATAAAGCTCTAGAGGTAGACGATATCGACGAGCGTGAAAAGGACCACGGGCTGAGACAGCATCTAGTTCATGGTAGTGACAGCACCACCTCGTTGTCAACCGGATCTGCGTCGAATTCTCGATTTGAAAGTGAAGGAAGCAGTAACAAACATCGCCCATCATCTTACATTTGGAGCAAGGTTTTGATGGCTTTAAATATTGCTATCTTTATTTCCTCACTAAGCTTATTTTTTGCACTCCCATACCGACAGTCTTCTGGGCTTAATAGTGCGTATAGGAAGGTATCTACCTACTGTGAGTCGCTGCAAATTCAAAAATTTCGGTCAGTGAATCGGCTATTTTAGAAAACTAACAATTCCAATAGCCCCAGTACTGGATGACATCGAGATCCCTTTCATTGAGAAGAAAATAGAGGGCGCATTATTCCCCGCTGAGAAGATAGATGATCAGCTACTTGGCCGCCGTGAGCCTAGCCCTGAGACTGACGACCTATGGTTGGATTATGAGATCCAGCGTCCCTTTGTCCTTAGTAGGGAACAAGTCATTGCGCTCGGCAAAGACCCCGAAAAGACAGTGAAGTATCCCGACGATGTCTTCGGCCTTGGACCAGAAGCTTACATGGGCGGAATGGATGTCTTTCACGTCCTACATTGCTTCAACACAATTCGAAAGGAAGCATTCAAGGACTACTACTTCGACGGCGAGCAGTACCACATGGAGGGTTACGGAGAGGAGTCACAACCAAGGCGACGACATGCCGAACTATTCTGGATTCACCTACGCCACTGCACGGACATAATCGTTCAGTTCCTGATGTGTAACGCCGATACGACCATGACCACTATGACTTGGCTTGAGACACAAGAGCGCCCCTGGCCAGACTTTTCTGTGAACAAAAAATGCATCGACTTTGATACACTCGTACGGTGGCGTGACGAAAATGCTTTAGATATTCAGAAGGCTGGGTTTGTGCGGCGGCCTGCCGATGCACCCGAGACAAAAATTAGCGAAATGTATTGGAAGGTTATGGGAAATGAGACGCACCCGGGTGATAATAGGCACCATCCGATTTGGGATTAGAAAGGAATGCTGTATGGTGTTAATGATTTTCTGTTGTTAGGTATCATATTATACACACTTTCTGCCCGCTATGAGGAAATTAAGATAAGCCCATTACCTTTTGATAGCGTAGCCTGCTTGATAATTTAAGTACCACGGATATCGCCATGAGGATTCCTCATATAGGCTATTAGCTTATGCAGGGAAGTCGGCAATTCAACTCCACATCTAGTATCCAGTGAATAAATAATTTCGCAAATCATAATTTACATCTGCGATTCCTTGAAAAAGCTACTATTTACAGTTCAGCATTCACTCCGAAGGCTATATACAAAATAAAAATAATCTGCAAGAGCAAGATGTCAACTTCGTTAGACGAGAGGAACGGAGGTGCGGCCCGCACAACGCGACTCGCGAAATGGGCTATTGATTTACAGTATGAAGGTATTCCCAAGGAAGTAGTCGAGCGTACAAAAGAGCTTTTTCTTGACTGGGTGGGGTGTGCGATAGCTGGCAGGCACCATCCAGCGGTTTCCGCAATAGCAAAATACGCGGTTCAGATGGGCCCAACTACTGGCAAGAGCGAGTTTATTGATGGGTCCCTGGGCCTTTTGACGTCACCTGCTTTTGCTGCTCTGGTTAATGGAGCTGCATCGCATGTTGTTGAGCAGGACGACCTTCACAATCGGAGTATGATGCATCCAGTAAGTGGACATCGATCACGTGGTGGGCTAAAATGGGGAGATATATTGATCTTTTTCTTGCCGATTCTCTTAGGCAACGGTCATATTTCCGGCGGCTCTTGCCGTGGCTCAAGATATACAAGCCAATGGAAAGGACTTCATCGCCGCCTGTGTAGTCGGTTACGAGGTTGCTTGTCGTGTTGGGGAGTATCTAGGTAGAAACCATTACGAAGTACAGTAGCCTCTAGTGCTGTTACCATTCGTACTAATGCAAATTAGATGTTCCATTCCACCGCTACCGGTGGCGTTGTTGGCGTTGCAGCTGCGGTCTCACATCTTTTGAGGCATAATATGAGTCAGATGCTTTCTGCCATTGGCACGGCAGGAACTCAAGCCGCCGGGCTCTGGCAGTTCCTGATAGATGCCTCGCATTCCAAGCAAGTGCATACAGGAAAAGCCTGTTTCGATGGTATTTTTGCAGCATACGTTGCTAAACACAACCTGTTGGGCCCCAAGGATATCCTAGAAGGCCCACGTGGAATGGGAAATGCATTAGGACGAGGGAGCACTAGCCCAGAGGCTATAGATCAAAGTTTAGGAATTGATTTTGCAGTTCTTCAGTCTAGCTTCAAATGGCATGCATCCTGTCGACATACCCACCCGAGCGTCGACGCATTGTTAAGCTTGATGCAGAAACATGCACTAAAATTCGATGATATCGAATCCGTCGTTGCACGAACATATCAGGCTGCCATTAACGTGCTCGGACTTAGTGGTCGTGGGGAAACGGTTCATCAAAGTAAATTTACAATGGGATTTGTCCTTGCCGTTGCTGCCAAGTATGGGCAGGCCATGATTACGGACTTCACCGAGGAAGCCCTTAGAGATCCAGCGTTACGTAATTTCCAGGATCGAGTGACCATGAAGTACGATGCACATATTGATTCACAGTTTCCTCAAAAGTGGCAGGGAACGGTAGAAGTGACCTGTAATTCGGGAAAACAAATCTCCGAATCAGTCGAGTACTTGAAAGGCGATCCACAGCTTCCCTTGACAAGGTATTGAATAACCCAAAGTGTTTTAATTTATGTACGGGTGTTTGCAGAAATTGACATTCTTTTCAGGCTTGAACTTGAAGCTAAAACTCGAGCACTTTTTGATTACGGCGGATATGACGATACCAAGAACATTGAAAGGGTGATTCAGCGGGTGTGGCAGTTAGAAGACGAGGTGGATCTTTTGGGATTCTCCTTTGAGTAGACTTGTGACTCATGGTATTGACATACTATATACATGCAGTATTTGATACATCGTCTCCATCATCATCTAAAGGCCAATTTAAGTTGTTTGTCTTATATTCACCCCTCAGCATCATTAGTTGATGTGGAAAGGATGGGTTATTGATATGATAACTCTAAAGCTCATTCGTAACTCCTAAAATTAAAGGGAGTGTGAAGGAAATAGGACTTTATATAACAGTATATGGGTAAAAGAACGTACTTTCTATTGCCGAGAACAAAATAGGGTGTAGGGATAAGCCTAATAAAATGTGGCAACAGTAGTAATTCAATTTATGTTAAGAATGGTAAACAAGAAAGGCCTTTGAGGCTGTGTCAAATTTAGCAAGTGAGCGTAAAGATTCTGACTTTCAACCCCCAATAATAAACGCGTATAAGTGCTAAAATCAATAAGGCCGCTATCTGTGGGCCTACTCTGGCTTCAGGATAGGGAAGGAAAAGTCAAGTACTGATTATACTAAGTCATAGCTGGGATAAGTTTTCTTTCCGAGATCAGACTAGACCGATTCATCTAGGTAAGGCGAAAGGTTGCAGATAGCGCTGTATAAGGAACTGTGCTAAGGAGACTAGGAAACATTGAAGCCGTTTCTGACGTATGAAGAAATTTATATGAATGCCAATGAGCAGGAATCATAACAATGCGTTATTGTGGGTGTAGAAGAAACAAGGGGGGGAATAATTCCCAATCACACGCTTTGACCTACTAATAATCAAATTTTAGACTGAATGAACACGCTTTCAGCATGTGAAATATTTCTTTGACATTCAGAAATTCCGCATCGACTTCAAATATTCTGCTGCCTTTTCTTCAAAGTGAAACGGTCATTTGATAAATGGATATCTCTTCTTCATGCTATTGGGTAAAAACAATGTCCAGTTCAGAAATACATCAAAAAACTCACCCTTCCCAACAGAGATGTCGAGGTACAAACAGCTACGGTCATTGCATTTTGACATACCTGGTAGGATGAATTCTCTAACAGACTGGCGGGCCATATTTGTAGCATGTCAAAACATTCCACTGAATCTGCAAACATTTAATGATTGTTTTACCCCTTTGCCAAAAAACCGATCCAACTTCCATCAATCGTTGTCAACATTACATTTCTCAAAGGGGGTTCCGAGTCCAGGCCGCGGGATTGATCTTCTGATGCTTTCTATAAGTATACATGACCACGTCGCCTGTCTCAGAAGCCATCATTTGAGAGATCAAGAATCCTCTAGAAGCATTTGTAATACATATCATAGGGTATCCAACGAAGAAGGTCAGTCCCATTGGTGTACAGAAACTCAAACGCCTATAGATCTGAACTCAAAGACCTAATCCGGTGGTCGAGGAGAGGGCCTTGTCCGTATGACCTGCCAGGCGGGAAAAAACCCATAAAAAAGTTACCCCCAGAGCTCATCCTCTCAATCTCAGACTAGCTCCCCCATATTGATAGAATATGTCTTGCATTGACCAGCAAACGATATTTCGCTACACTGAGTGTATAAATACTATTCAAACGCTGCGGTATTACTCACATCTCGATACCTCTGAAAAGCATTGCATATTTTGCTACGCTTTTCGTTTTCATGAGTATCGAGTGCTCCAGAGACTGATTGATGATCGCTGGTACACGTGCATAGAATGTATCAAGCTCCATCCCATTGAATGGTTTAGCGTCATTACCGGTGCCACCTTCGTTCCAAGGGAGCTAGGATCTGCAATTGCATAAGTATAACCTACCCACAAAAGGCGGCAATAATTGAGTAATTAAGGCAATATAATACGCCCCTTAATATCGCACAATTTGACCTATCGCTATGGCATACATGCAAGGCGACGATCGGAGAAATGTCACAATTTCATAATGAGCATTATGCCTATTTAAGGAAGGGAGAAATGCGACCTGATAATTTGATAGTTGTTTCTCGCTATCAATGGGTTCCAGCCAATTTCATAATGGATAACGATGGCAATTCAACTGGACTATGGATGGCCTCTATCGACTCCGCTTTGATAATTTTAACATGCCCTCACTGCGAAGCAAAGCTTCACTGGTGGAACTGGCACAAAACAACCAATGGAGCGCAATGGAGGTCTAAATATATGCCACAGTTCAGCTCAGATAACTATCCGGTGATCATATGTCCACAGCATGGCACATCACATGGTGACATCCGAGAAGAGTTTTCTTGTGGGACCGGAGAGCATACACATCACTGCACGCAGAAAGGCTATTTCCAATTAGCGCGGAACTTTGGACATGACCAAGTACTTAACGGAGTGAAGGACTGGCATTGGACCTCCAAGACGGATAATAAAGCATTCCTCTGCGGTAATTCAGCACCCCCATCATCACAACTGCTCTGATACAGCTACTCGTAGTCCAGGTAGCTTCTCAGGTATGCCGAGACCACCATGTTGATATCGCGACATAGCTTCAATTACTCCATAGTGCCGTATGTTGCATTAATTGTATTGCGGACGTTATTGTTCCCTCTAGCCGTCCGCAAATCTGCTGGCAGGGAGTCGTCATGCCGTCCTTGCATTTAGAAACTGCCAATTTCGCCTTTTGGTAAATCCAATACCATATTTCTCGAGGCTTAACTAAGATCCGACTTAGAACGTAAGCCAAAAAATCAATTTCCCGGAGTAAATGACGAAGAGTCAGGAGTCGAAGCAATTCTCTGAGGCTGCAACGGCGTAGGAGAGATACAGTGATGAGTGGTTAATAAAATGCAATGGTCTTTGCGCAATCATCTTAGCACCACGATCTTCTTCTCAAAGAGGGAAAACTCTATTTGTGGCCCACCGCTTGTGCATCAGTATCATTTTTTTGTTGGGATATGCCGACAACAAAGGCAATGAATAATCTAATTGTTGAAATACGCCAATAATTCAGAAGCACATGCTTGTAAGTTCCTAACCTAATACATGTTTGTACACTACGTTACCTATCAACCTTTAACAAACTACCTTCTCGTTTGTATATTCTCTATGTTAGTATTCAGTTTGTATATCATTAAGAAGTTTGCGTATCCATATCCAGATCATATAGAAACATATTCTGGTAGGTTTCCAACCTAAGGAAATATTTGTACGCTGCATCACTTATCAATTCCTATCATCAGAGGTTGCTTTCTTATTTATATATTCTCTAGACTAATATTCAGTGTGTATGTTATTGAGAAGTTCACGTAAGAATTTAGTCATAAAACTTGTTTAGAGGCTTTATAAGACTTACTCTGGTTGGAATTGCAAGGGACTCCCCAGAAAATTGTTACACGATTGAAAGTTAACTTGCATAAACTTGCATCGCTGATTCATTCTTTTGTCAATTTTTATTTAATTGCCGGGGTTTCAAAGGCAAAATAGGCAATATTTGAGTCATACTTCCACCGGGACCAGAGTCTGGATCATGTACTTGCTGTGTTTTAACCGAAAGCAGATGACAATGCAAGCAGAGGTGACACGGCCTTGTTTGCTTTCCTATCTGCACAAACAACTCCCCATGACGCAATTCTTTGTCTTTGTGTTATTCTGAGTGTGTCAAGTTAGAGGGATGTATTAATACTGAATATTTCGATATCATTATTAGTAGATCCTACCAACCACCCATACAATCAGCTCTGAACATCATGATCTTTCATATTGGTACGTATCAGGCTTGCGAAACACCTTGCTTAATGGGGACCTAATGCCGGCGTATTACCACTCACTGTGGTATGCTCCAAGATTAAGTCTTACCTGTGGTGTAGAGGGAGCCAGCTAGCCCAAAGTAGCCATGCTTTAATGTTCGTTAAAATGAACCTGTAGCCTGGAATGCAAATTCTTTCTGTATTATTGAAATGCTAAAAAGTATGTCCCAAGTCTTCCTCGAAATATTCCGGTACCTCAAGCTATGTCAATGTCTGTTTACTTTTCCGAATTGCTTCGTACAAGAAACATCAATATAAATATTGGTATTTTCGAAGCTATATACATATATATTTTATAAGCCGGATTTCATGTTATCGAAATACAGTCCATAAGAATGCGTAATAGGCTTAATCGTCAATTTCCACCGTGGTTATGTCAGACAAGAATTCAACTATATTACCGGGGTATTTTCCAATATATTTGGCGACACCTCGATGAATGTAGTTTATGCAGCCAGACCGCACAGTAACCCAATAAGTTATTTCGACCCCTGTGCAAAGCCAATGGTCCCCCCACACAGTCCAAAGAATTATCACCAATATTTTCACAGGTGAAAGATATCTTTCTCTTGTTGAATACTACGTTCGTGGAGTCGCATTTCCAAACGGATCGGCTCGATCACAAGCTTGGCAGCTGATGTCATGGGCGGCCTGGATTATTGATTAGGCCAACTGACCAAGGCCCCAAGGATAAGAGAAATTTGTATATAGAGCAAAAGCAAGACGATTTCCTAATGCATTTATTTGCAATGCATACATGTAGTTATCACTAATATTCCAAAAACTATGTGGCGGAACCCAGAACCGTATAATATGGTAGGCATGGTAATCCGTCTTGTATTTAAATGGATATTCGAGGCATTTAATCTGGTCACAAATCAGCCGTTTAGCACGTACAGAGCTCTTGATGATCACCTCAACTCCATCGCATTATTCATGCAGTTGAACGTGATCTCCAGTCCCAAGAAAGATCGACGATTGGGGTTGCAAGCACTGCTGCCCTGGCCCGACAGGGATCTGCCCGAACGCTCTGGATGGGTCAAAAAACCACACGTTGGCCCTCGTGGTGAATGTGTTTATGCAACAATGTTTAATGCGTTTATTGGGTGCTCCTAGGATGCGATTTTATCCACAGTATTATCTGCGACAATTGATCGCATATTGATAGCCACTGAGGCATACGCTTACTCTAGTGGGTTTTGCACCGCAATTGAAACACCAATACAATAACCAGTTGGCCCGATGCTATATTTGAAAAGGAATCATCTCAGCTCACAAATTCCGACAACGGGAAAACGCACGTCGAATCGCACTGGCTGACGCTGTCGCTTTTATTGAAACTCTGCTTGCTGACTGCTGACCCCTATAACCCAATTACATCAGCAAACGCCCTAGCTAGTTATAGTTAAGTAGCCGCTGTTAGCGTGCGTCATCACGCTGATTTTGTCGATGCTTGGGGTTGCATGCTGATTGCTGACTCGCCTTGGGCCTGGGGGCTGCCTAGCCGCAACAAATCCAAATGTGTTTAAGTTTTGTTTTGGCCTCAGGGCGCGGGCAGTCAGGCGTGCCATTCATGTCTTCCATGCTAATCAATCTACCCCATATGCCTGCAAGCCTTGGCGACAGTAATCGCGAGCGAAGTAACCTGATTTGCAATAGAACGCTGCTACCGAAAGCCACATTAGATGAAGGTTGGATGGACACCATGTATCACCAGTCGGAAGATTTTTATGGTGCCCGCCATGGGTTTCTGATGGCCGGACGGGAATATGAGAGGCTAAATCGACTAATGTATCATCGGGCTGGACTAACCCAGGGACACCTATATCACCATTGGCCAGCAGCCGCGTACTAATTTTGCCAGCATCCAATGGCATGCCCGGGATCGCAATCCAGCAAAATAAACTTGCTCCCCGACAATGCAAACATCTCGTACATTCCTACTAGACCCCAGTAGGAACTAGGAACGTTTCAAGTGGAAAATAAAAGCATGGCTCATGCCCAAAAGAAGAGTAGATTTTCGATCCCATGCAACCTTCCGGCCGACACAATGCATATGGAGCTCCCTCCTCCCCACTGCTTTGTCCAGCAGTGCCCGGGCGGCCTCTGCCATCTGGTTACCTACCCTCTCTCTTGGGCCATGCTGAACGTTCCTAAAACAGGCCATGGAAAGCACGTACCCCACTCATTGCTACCTCAAACGGGAGGCTATCGGCTTCAATGGTGTAAGCCTTCCTGCATGGCACATATACAATCATGCAGGCTCAAAGTCACGGCCCATAGGTGCCCACCTGTGGATACCGCCAAAGCCCTCTTCGATTCACACCTTACTGTATATGGTGTACAGTCAAATGTGCGAAATATCCAGCGACTCTCCGCACATGGCTGTTGTCGGAATCTGACATCCCCACTTCGTATGTGTGACTCTCTCGCTCTAATATTAGCTTGCAAGGTCGCAAACCTAAGACTAGATCTGTCGATCCACCCATCTCATTTCACTGTCAAATGGGAAGATGAACTATGCATAAATAGACCTGGTGGCGCACCTCCATAGAACCTGGTCATCTATCATTTTCACTTACATGCTCTTCGTGCACAGTATTCTGTGTCAGTCCACTCTTTTACTCGGTGTTAGATACACCGTTCTTCCGAATATCGACATTCATTTAACAGAACCTATATAAACGATCATCACACAATGTTTGGCTTGACTAAATGGGCCGTTGCCCTTGCCGCCACCGCCGGCCTTATGCAGCAAGCTGCTGCCACAGAATTGCATCCTGGAACTGCTGCCGACATTCGCATCACTCCTCAGAACACTATTACAAGCCCTAAGAACGGAATCTCCCATGGCACAAACGATAACGGTAGTCCTCTTCAGATAACTGTTACCAACAACATTGGCGGCAGTGTCAACTCATATGTGACGGCCCTCGACAGCAACAATGCCCCTGTCATGTTGCAACCCGATGGCACTTGGTTTTACCCAACTAACCCCGGCAGTGGCACCACCCCCCAGCAAATTGATGGCAGTTCTATCAAGATTCCTCTCAACCCACAAGGTCAAACTACTACCTATAGCATCCCCGGTTACTGCTCCTCTGCCCGTGTCTGGTTCGCTGTTGGCGAGCTCGAGTTCTTCACTGTTGGTAATGCCGACGGCACTTTCTCCATTGTCCAACCTTCCCAGGTCAATCCTGCCGATCCTAGCGCGGGCATCAACTGGGGCTTCATTGAATTCACATACACTGGCAATGGTGGTCTTTGGGCTAACATTAGTTATGTCGACTTCGTCGGCCTGCCAATTGGAATGACCCTTACCGATACCAGCGGCGGAATCCAACAAGCTCTTGGTCTCAGCGCCGACGCTGTCAACAGCGTTTGTAATGACCTGAAGACTCAAGCCGCTTCCGATGGACTCCCGTGGGATCAATTGTGTCAGTCGATCAACGGTACCATCATGCGTGTCCTCTCTCCCAATGACTACGTCTCGAACAACTCTAGCAGCGGTTTTGAGAACTACTTCACCGATTATATCAAGGAAGTCTACGGAAACTTCACAAGCAGCAACCCATTGACAATCGATACCCAGGGCTCCGCTGGCAAGGTCTCTTGCACATCGGATGGCACCACTCTCACCTGCAATGGTGATGAGACACCATACGCTCAGCCTTCTGCTGGAGATATCTTCGGCTGCAATACCGGTCCATTTGCCAACACCGGTAGCGATACCCACAAGGCTGATTTGGCTCGCCTTTGCGCTGCCTTCAACCGTGGAACTTTCCTCCTTCCTGGTGGCAATGTCCAGCCCGGTGTCGGTGCTGACTCTTACTACACCACTGCTCCATGCAACTACTACTCTTCCATTGTACACAAGTACGAGGTTGACGGCAAGGGTTACGCCTTCTCCTACGACGACGTCAACCCCAGCGATGAGAACGCCTCTGGTGTGGTCTCTTCTGCGAACCCTCAGAACTTGGGCGTTACCATTGGTGGCCCTACCAACAACGGCACCTCCACTCGCCGCATCCGCCGCTACAGACAATTCTAAATAAGGACATGAGTCCTAGGAGTGTAAATACCTCTGTACATAGGTTTAGTACAGGCTACGGCGTCAGCTGGTAGTCATCAATATTGCCCGACATTATGGACAGATTTTTGATTGGCTCTTGGGCAGGTCCATATTTTTTTCTCATTCGATCCGGTTATTATACTTTCGCTTATATACCCCAATAACTAGATGTTCATGTATATATTATTATTTGCCGTGTGTATTACATCTACACAATGGACTGGTCAGGGATGAAATTATCATGAAGGCTTAATGGAGTTTGTTTTCTTGCATACACTTTTCTCCATCTAGTGCAATCCCCTAATTGTGCTAAAGGTTGGGCAATAAATCTCTGCCGTATCGTATGGCCCATTTGAAGTACCTTTATTTTGAACCGCATGCATTTCTCATGCCCCCGATTTAATGGACGGAAACACATTGCTAGGACAGATGAAATCAGTTTTCGTGTTTCTTCTCCCTTACGGTTAAGTGCATATCTTAAGTGTCAGGAATTCATCCACCAATCCCATTCCTCGGTTTTTATATAGTAGTGTTTAGAAAGTGGATTAATAGTCAACGTTTTGGAAAATAAGAAGGTTAAGGAAATTCTATTCAAATATTGTGAAAGTCTCTAGATGTCTCTGGAAACGTAAGCATTGTCTCCTCCATTGATACAACAATTAATGTATATTTGTCACTAAATGCTATTATCATCAAAACATAGTACTAATTAACTTGGCAATTTTCCTTCGTTTGATCGAGGTAAAGAAGATATTTTCACACCGCAATGGCCAACGGATAGGTGTTATTACCATATATGATAACCATACCTGTCATCCGGCCGCCGGCCCAATCGCTACGAATTCAAGTTTTGGCACGGCTTCATTTAGTCTACCAATCAAGCCATGAATGTCTCCCAGGACCCATAAATCCTTTATTTTTCCATCCTCGAATGTAAATATAGCAACTCCATGCCACCACACCCAATTCCTAGTGGGTGGCTGTCCAAATAGATGATCATTGTGGATTCCATGAAATCGGAGTTTTGCTGTCACCTTGGTCCCTTCTTCGATTAGGTCAAGGATATCCGATGTGTATAAGCCCAGAACTCCAGTAAGCCAATTTACATAAGATGCAAACTGGGAGTGTCCTACTAAGACAGGGCCGAGTGAGCCACGGAAGGTGAGGTCATCATGTATCAGGTCAGGAATTATAGTAGTGTCATGTTTGTCCCACAGCTCTTTGTAAAATCTCCGAACGACATTCTTGTGATGACTGAGTGTGTCCGGGTTGAGGTCGACTTCGACTACAGAGATGGGGCGTGTTTGGTCGTATTGCAAAAAGTCAGGGCTAGCGTTATTGTGCGAGGAATCCATGGTAGAAGCCGATTCTAAGTCACAAACTCAGATGCCTTTTAGAAGATACTGAATTGGTCTTCTTGGCCCTGTACTTTGAATAAAGCACGAGCCATCATTTCTTGAATGCAGCACCAAGTTGCCCCTCACACTAAAGAAAACCCCGCCGATTCTATCTACCCCTCATTTGCTTGTCAGCTTCACTACTTTTATGATGCAATAAAGCTTTCTGATATGCAAGATAAAGTCAGGCTTTACTTGAAGACATATTGCTTATAACAATAGCCCGGTGTAAAAAGAGCTTCGCGCAAACTTTCTCATGCAATAGTAGAGATAGAATTAGTATTTTAGTTAGGAATATTCCTTATGTGACAATGTCCCATCAACAACATTTGAAGCTATTTATGGCTAAGGTCTCTAATTATCGTCCAATAATGGCGCCTGTAGCTAGGTCTTCTCTCCTTGCCATTAACTATACAGTCTTGTCAAGTACCAATCCACTTAGATGTATATTATAGGAGCTAACAGAGAAAATATCTCATGCTACATTATTTGGTTGCATAGCCACTATTCTGATTGCCTATAGCTCATATCTACCTAAGCATAATTATAAGCACTTAAGGCCTTGTCAACCATTTCAAATTAAGGAAGAACGGAGGCTATTTAACCACGTAGTAGAATTGATATTAGCTCCTTTTTTAGTCTTGTTCCCGAATCGACATTTTTCTCATTTTGGTTTTCGATTCCTATTCAAAGCATTAGCAATCAAAAAAGAAAGTTAAACTGGAATGGGAAAAGGAAAGTGAACTCTACAGAAAAACTCGTCTCATGCAAGTTGTGTGTATGACTCATTTGGATATACGTAATTCATGTTAACTTGTAAGTCTGTCTAGACTTACAAGACTGGGCTTTGACCACTCCCAATAACTTCTGATTCTGGTTTAGATAGCCCCGCTGCAGACCTTTAGTCCACCGCCGCATCGTGTCGCTGAGTTTCCTCACGGAAAAGATTGATGAATAAACCCCAGTCTCCCAAACACTGTAGTTTTGACCTAAATTTGACTCATTTGAGCGTCGTTAGCAGTTCATAAATTTAATATTACATCGCTGTCCTTGCCTTCCTCGATAAATCGAGCTTGGTTATTCACCAATACTTGTATCACTTAAGGACTCGTTTCTTAGAAACTATCGCCGTTCACAATTCCAACCTTTACCTATGTATCTTCGAGCAATTCATGCGGAGTCTCACATTCCCACTCTACGCCAGTTTATAAAGAATCATCCCCTTGGAGTTCTGGGTTTGAGGACTTAGGAACAGAGGCTGGCACGGAAATCGCTCGTCTCGTGGCCGAGCGCCAGGAGTTGATGAAGAAGTCTTAGCCTTAAAACGCCATGATCATAAATAACCTGTCTAAAGCTTGCTTACCATCGGCGATTCCCCGCCTTATGTTTCTTTCTCCCCTTTTCTACATTTGAATTCGTCTTCCTTTTTTTTCATTGTCAGATTAGACTACTTTCCAGCTTATCTTGGATAATTTATACTAAAGCCTAATTTGGGGTCGGTTAAATCCTTCATGTAAGTCTGTCAACATAAAGTTACTTATTTTTTGATATATCTGTAGATATACGCACACCCATAAAGTTTAGAAGGTAAGAAATATATGAAAGGGACGTACGGAAATTTCTTGCATTTATTGTTTAGGGGTGTACTGCTACTATTTACCGTCAAAATATCACCCATTAGGTATTTATTCTAGATTAAACTATCTATATAATTATAGATTTATAATGTCTTTCACAAACTGATTAAGGGCAAAGCTGCAGTCTACTCAGCTCTCAACAATGGACCCGTTTTGAACGGCGCAATGATCTCAAAATTCAAGGGCGGTGGGATATTATCTGGATTCCAATACATGGTCGCATGCCTCAACCAATGTGCGTAGGTTCCTGGCACATTATCGGAACCAGGATTATCCCTCCATTTCGAGCCGAGTGTACATTCGAATGCCTTCAGAATGATTCCATGCGCGAGCTTAAACCCAAAGCTTCTTTGCAGGCATCCTTCGACCACCTCGCGTGCTTCTTTTTGTTTGGCAGTCTCTTCTTCTCCTACTTTCGGCAGTGAGAGCGACATTAAATCAAACGCCTTTTGACCATCCCAAGCAGTGAACTCGTTGATGAGCTGTGATCCCTCCATAAATTCAATGGCATATATATGCTCAACCACGTACTTCGGGCCGTTCCAGTTGTCCTTCTCATCCACAAGCCCCATTACCATAGTAATAACCTGGGCTTGGATAATATAATCGGTTAACATTCCAGTCCACTCTTCCGCGCTAAGCACTCGGTCCCCATCCTTAACCGTTTGCCCATGATCCATCAAATCCAGCCCTTTCAGCAAGGGACTCTTATGCATTCCCTCCGTACTATCTTTGCCGCCATCTGCAGCCCACAGTTCTAATAACAACAAGTGGCAACGCCTAAATAAAGCATTGTTTTTATTAGACGCTAGAAAATAGTTCGTCAAACTGCGCCCTGCTGTACCCCCGATATTATACGAAAGTACCTCATATGGAGAGTCTGGGTTGCCCAAGGTCCGACTCCAGAGACGGTCCAAGTCGCCAATTTGCATGAACCCGGCGTCAGCATACACACCTCCGTACTTCAGTAACAGCGGGAACCGCACGAGGTCTGATGTATGCTGGGCAGCATAGCGACCACCCATTCTGCCTTTTCGAAAGGCAAGCGGAAACGTAGCTGGGTCGGATACGTCAAGATAATTAGCAATATGGAGAGGCGATCCTCCTTGACAATCTAGAACGCGGATTTTCCATCCATGTTTAGAAAAGCGGCGATGCCAAGCTCGTATGTTACGCTGTGAATAAGGATGCATGTTTGTGAATCCGGAGTGCCAAAAAAAGAATATATTTTTCTCATCGGTGATAGGCCTGGGGTGAAGAATGTCGTTATCAATTTCCGCATCTAGTCGCATGTCTATGAATTGTTCTGGAATTATTTGGACCCCAGCAGGGACTGGGTATGGTTGCGATACGTTCATGACGAGCTGATGTCGTTGTGTTTGAATTCGCGAAGTACTGTCATGCGCCAGCATTGGGTTCATTTACTTCAATGGCTCGGGTGTGACAAGTGTAGGGGATATAGAATGTGTGAAGAGATTTTATTATTTCTTGATATTGGATGAGTAGACGATTATTGCCTTGTATGGCCAGCCGTGGAATATATATAACAGCTGGAATGCTTGATTAAAGCTTATTCATTTTGATGCGGACAAGGTCTTGACCAATGGCATTGCTTGAAAATGAGTCACCACGGATGATTCATAATTATAAGCGATGAATACACTCTAGCGTCTCCACTGACGGCTATCGCTTGAAGCCGAAGAAGAAAGCAAACCATCAAATCTAATCAAATTAGATAAAGATATAAACGAACAATGAAGCTCAAGAAATAGTCCTAGGATTGTATTCCAGAAATAGAGCTTTCCTCTTTTGACTACATGCTGGTAAAATCCAACTGGCGTCAAACCTTATTCTTGTGCAGACAATTCGGCTGGAAGCGGTGTGAGCTTCACTACTTCCGCTATACTCTCCAACCCTAATTTCTTCTGCACCTCTCGTCCTGCTAGAGACTGGATATATTGAGATGGCCTGGTGATTTAAAACAGATGAGTGATTAAGCAATTCTTATATCATTGAAGGGGCATATGTACTCTATTATTTCTTTATCTCCAAGAAACCTTCCGTGAGATTCTGCTCCTGCGACTAGTGCTGCATTTAGGATAATCCAGCCACCCACCTCAACTGGCCGCGCACGTATAGATTTACCATCCCTGGACAGACCATATTGAAGATCACCTTAGTTTCGTCAAGTCAGGGAGCGAGAGAACACATGAACATGGCACAGAGAAGCTTCGAGTCTCCGTGTCTCTGAAAAGGGAAGAAGAACTCCTCCGAGTCTATGTGCTCAAAAATAACTTCCTCTGGCTTTATGGGTGCTTTCTTCTCGAAATTGGTGAGGTGGTGACTGCGGCTGCCGACCCAAGTAATTCGGGTTGGAGAACCGCTCTTGATCGCACTTGCTTGGAGATGTGGAAGTAATTCAGCAACTAGTAAGATATTTGAATGATAATTCACTTGGATGGCTCTATCGTGACCACTTGAGCTACGTTCGAGCTTCAGCAACCCAATTCCCGCGTTGAGACTCACGATATTAACCACGGGAGTCCCTCTGGGGAGCCCCTTTGCAAAAGTTTGAACACTTTCATAGTCATCCATGTCCAGTTTAAGAACTGTGATTCTTGCATCCGAGTTGAACTTTTGCAGACCAATATTGCAGGCCCCGCCCTTAGGTACATTCCGCACAGCGAGGATGAGGGTTGATATTTTGAGTTTGAGGAGTAGCCGTGCCACTTTTAAACCCATACCCGCACTTGACCCAGTGACGACCGCCGTTTTGCCATTTAGATCGAGGCATGATGGTAATGGAGTGATCTTGCGCTGAATAAAATTAACTAATTTTGTTGCGGTTTTGTCTTTGTTAGGCGTACGACAATGGGCTCGAGCCACTCGATAGCCAAGTATATATAGGAATAAAGGTATCCTTCATTTTTATAAACCATTCGATTTAAGTCCCGGACATTCATTCTTTATTAACAAGTGCAAATCTGCTACCAGATACACGCCAATGCTAGATTAACTATCTGCAACTGCAACAATTTGACGAAGCTAGCTAAACATGATGGCCAAAGTATAGGATTTGACTCGTTTAGGACTTAGTCCTAACAGAAAAGGTAGATATTAATCAGCATTTCACACTGGCGGCCGAATTCATCCGCTGACGCAAGCGCGGCTGAGATTTTACACCTGTATTCGCTCACCACCTCAACATATTATTCATATATAGTTTCTTTTACTCAGGGCTGGTACTGTTATTTCCTTCATTAAGTGATCTCCTATACCTTTTCTACGGATATGATTCCACAACAGTGAGGTATCATTACATAGGCATGTGCAAGCCCATCGCCTATTATGTGGAATTGCAGCCCACAGACGCAATTCCACAGACATAGTACTATAGATACTGTTACAACAGTACCAGAAAATGGGTTGCCCCTACATAATATTCCAAGTAGATGCAAGTTTATAGTTCATTCAGCTAAGTGGGCTATACTTAGCTATACCCACAGTCGAGGTTTCATAGGGCCAATCACCTTCCTGCGCGTTCGGGTTCGGGTAGTCCTTAGTGGGCCTGTGGGTAACTGGGGGCTCGATGAAGCCCAATCCTGCCCTCTTACGGATATAAATACTGGCTTCCTCGAACCATTGGAATAAACAGGCAATGAACCAGTGACCAAAAACTTCAACAGATAAAAGGGAAACAAATACAAGTAAATTGATAGAGAAGACGATCGGTATGGCAGACTCTCGTTTATCCGCCCTAGAGGCCTTTTTGAAAGACTACCCAAGCATCAAATACATACCACCATCGTCCGCAGATTTTGCGTCGGTACGCGAGGTATGGTATCACGGTCGGCGGGATACTCCTCTTGCAATCTTGCAACCGCAATCAGCAGAAGAAGTAAGTCTGCTAGTAAAATATGCCAAAGAAAACGGGATACAGTTCACTGTTCGCGTCGGTGGGCATAATCTCGAGGGACGGGCAATCGTCGACGGGGCTTTGGTGATTGATCTCCGGGCGCTCACTTCAGTGACCGTCGCTGATGACCTCCAGTCCGCCACGGTACAAGGTGGCATTCTGCAGCAAGATCTGGCGATCAAGTTATGGAGCAAGGGGCTTGTAACGCCTATCGGCACCATTCCCGCAGTTGGATACGTTGGCTGGGCTACGTATGGGGGCTACGGTCCGTTTTCGTCACACTGGGGTTTAGGTGTAGATCAGATTATAGGTGCGACAGTTGTCAATTCCAATGGGGATATCATCAAGGCAGACGAGAATCTCTTGAAAGGGATCCGTGGCGCTGGGGGCACGTTTGGGGTCATTGTAGACGTCACTGTGAAGGTATATCCACTTAAAAGTGTAGGTTTGTCTTTCTCTTCCCAACTTACTGCCTTATAAAAGAGCTACGATTTAATTTTGTTTAGCTTCTCGCTGGAGCAATAATATTTGATGCTCAAGATATCTGCAAAGCGCTTACGGAATTCAATGCCGCATATCGAAGACTTCTAGAAGATGGACTTCCATCAGAATTGACCATACAACAGCTCGTATATAATGCCCCCCCGGGTCGATTGTTCGGCGTCAGTTTTTTTTGGAGCTCGGATAACACGGAAGAGGGCCAACGATGGAAAGAGAAGATTGCAAGCCTGGGTCCCGTGATTATGAATACTGTTGCCCTCAAAAATATTCCAGATTGGGTAACCGAGATGAGGGCTCTGGTTCCATCGTCCGTATATGGTGGTGGTAGCCATACTCACAACCTAAAGCAGATTACAACCGAAGCCGCCCAAGTCCTTGGACGAAATCTCTCAAAGATGCCGTCTGACCCAGCATGCATGTTTTCTGTGCATCAATTGAGGGGTCCCTCTACAAGTCACAGTACTAACGATTCTAACTTTACCTATAAGAACAACTCCGTCTTCGCGGAGAGAGAGCCTCATTATATGCTGGAGATTCTGGGGTTTTCAACAACGGAAGAAAACAAACATGTGTGCGAACAATGGGCGTCTGATCTGGCGAACCAATTTCAGCAGGAAACCGACACCACGAATATCCTCCCACATGCATACATTTCTCTGGATCCGATCAATAATGGGAACATGGTTAGGATCTTCGGTTCCCATGCCGAGGAGGTTTTTGCCTTGAAGAAGACATATGACCCCGACAATGTGTTTGCACTGGCTCTGCCTCTGTTGAAGTGATAGATTCAGTAATATGTACTTTCCTTTTGATTTTTATTGTGCATACTCCATATTGTAAGCTGCTGACTGCTAGTCATTTTTCGAGGCGTGACAGTTAAACTGGTCAGAAGGAAATGATACCGTTTTACTTCCAGAAAATACTATAAAAATGGCGACATCGCGTTTTATCATGTATACTGGAAGAAATTGAGCTCTATATCAGGGGTGTAAAGTGATAATTATTCAGAAACGAGTCAACGATTCGCTCGACATAACCAGGTTGTCGATGAACTTTGGGGTTATAATCTTAATAGAAATAGCAAACTTCCACTTAAAAGTCATAGAATCACGTTTGAACTTCTTGAAAGAATAAAAAAAACAAATCAGTTCAGCTTGACTTCATCAAAGACGATACTTAGTGGCCAATCCATTATCCAATACCATTCAGGGGACAAAATATGTTTGATCCCGGAGACTGTAAAATGATCAACTCGGAATTGATCCGTCCCGTGAATCCACCAGCTTGAAGTGTCACCAAGAAGACGGAGCGAGGCAATGGGACGGGCAAGAAGGGCTATAGCTATCGGATCCTTTTGTTCCATCAGCAGGATGAAGCGGGTTGGAACACGGTGCAGAAAAGTAACTATTAAATACTCAATCACCGATATATCGTCGTGTTCATCACAAATCAACCAGTAAATCCACCAGATTTCGTCAATCACTTCCTTATATGTCTCCTTTTGCTCGAGATCGATGGTGCCTGCGTCTCTAATATACTGCAGGAGGCTGTTGCAGTCTTGCTCGGCGCGATACATGAACTTATTGTGGCGTAGTGACAATTGTGATCGCTTTTCGCTGTCGCGACGGCGACCAATATGTGCCTCTCCGAGGGTGGTATACTTGCACCAAGGAGACAAATTCTTCGCAGCCAGTGACCGGTGTCCCGTGCACATGTAGAATGTTTCGAGACTGGGATCAAAGCTATCTACATGTTTGCCTGTTTGGGTCAGAAGCCAGTTGTGGTGAGCCAGAATGAAACCAGCCACAAATATAGACTCTGCATTCCGCTCATCGTCTATGACCTCTTGTTGCTGTAATGCCATTCTCTGTAATCCGATCGCTTTGCCAAAGTAAGATCTAGAGGCAATGGCCAAGGTCTGGTCGTCTGAATTGAGCGCCCATAGATGCCATGCAGAAATGCCCAAGAGTGCAGTCATGACGATTTCCGAAGTGAACGCGACCCGTGGAATATCGTCCTCCCATATAGTACGTGCCATCGCATGTTTCACAGCGCAGTCTAAGGTTTGACTGAGCCTTGTTGCTTGGGTGTAATGATGCAGGAGCCGCAAGGCCAAAAAGTTTGTTGAGTCTAGTGTCAGTGGTTTAACGTCGATTAATGAGCTATCTTGCTCCAAAAATAATGGCCCCTTCTGTTTTGCTAGTTGAATATATTGGCAGCTATTATCTGTGAAGCGTCGCCTACAGTTTCCACACACGGGTCGAGCTTCATCGCACTGGGCCCAATTAGTATTTCCTCATTTGGAGGGCACCACCCCCCTAGAATAGAATCGATAGCCTGATAGTTTAGTTTCAACGACTAGGCACTTACCTTAATCTTCCGTGATTTGCAGGTCGTGCATCCCTGAAACACGCGTCAACATGGGAACTACGCCATTAGACTGCACTGCAAAAAAAAACCATACCGTCGTAGACTTTCTGTACGGTTTTTTATATGTAACCCGCCTTTGGAAGGTATGTGGTAACTGCAACGATCCAGCCATAGAAACGAGACGATATCCAAAGCATAATAATAGTTGCCATTGATGGTTCAGCTCGCTAATAATAACTTAGCTTATTCTCAGACGACTCAACTGCGAGGATTAGTCAGGTGAGACTATTCTCACCGCCTACCTAATTCGGCGTCAGCCGATTCTTCGCAGGAGGGTCTAACAGGTTTTAGAAATTTTTTCTCAATAAAAAAATATTAAATATTCCTTTTTTACTTTTTATTACCCTATTACAAAAATGATCAAAAATTAATTTTTATGTGAGGCCTGGCGGCAGCGGGGCGCTGTGGTAGCGTATGGCGCGCGCATGCATGTGCCGCAGGCTCACAGAGGCTTATAAGCGTGCCTAGAATTGGACAATTGACCCAATTCGCCTCATTATTACTAATTGGCGCTTAGAGGTTGGCAGTGGCAAGCTCACAATAATAAGTTATTGCCTACTGTTGGATTGGCAATGATGGCAATCTTGCTCGATTGGTTTAGACTACACACTATATATATATGGCAGTCCAGAATTAATTGTTCATTCTCTCTATCTCTCTTAATTCTTCCGCTCAGTTCAGTGCTTTTATGCTTATATGCACGTGACCTTTATTGGGCATTGGGCATCAGCACCGAGTCGACCCCGAGTCGACCCCGAGTAGTCCTCTGCTAGACTTCGGCTAATCTGACACCTACTTTAACAGTCATGTAGCACAGAAACGATACAAGCTACTTAGTTTTTTGAACCTTATTTATTACCAATTTATATTTATTAGAATGATATTTTATAAAAAACTTGAATCTTTTTAAATTATAGTGCTCAACTAACCTATATATGAACTAGATGTTAAAAATATTTATATAATTCAGTATATATTTCTCTTGTAAAGAGCTTTAATCTGTTGATAAGATTTTTACCTTAAATCAATAAGTGTTACGGGCTACGTCCCGCCTTGCTGGCCTAATATAGGCCCAGTGATTGAGTAGATTCGCACGCGAGGAAAGGAAGGGAAGAGGTTCGTGTCTCTAAAGTTCAGACATCCATATAAATGGCTGTGGGCCCCTGAGGACGTGTTGGCGAATCAGGTGCGGCCTCAGGGGCATCGCAGTAGCGAGTTAGTTGTGGTTATTTGACGAGAGCAAAGCCCGAATGTCCTAAGGGCCAGGACCCTAATAATAAGCTTCTAAAATGTGAGGCTTTCTATCTAAGAGGTTAATCTTAAGCTACCAATGCACTGTATCTCTATTATAATGAATGTGTGAGAGGGTTTTTTGGAGAGCAGGTTAAGCAGCGTTGGATTTGGAATGAAATTGAAAGCGTACGAAAACGTTTCACCCGTTTAGAACCAGAATAGGCAAGAAATTTTATTGGCGGTCTGGTAGAATGACATATTTTTCTTTTGAAAAAGTATCACAAAGAGCATTCGGCTTCTAGTTTATTTGAAGGCACCCGCGCATTTTGTGTCAATGTGAAACCGCTAAAGATCTAGTGTTTTGTCAATGTGTAATATATGTAATGAATAATATATGTTTGTCGGAATACTCTATTTTCCATCTTGACATCCCAAGACACTTCTTTCCAGCCATTCATATGCTTCTTGATAGATCATCTCGCATGTCTGCCTTCTCTTTTGGATATCTGGCGACCCACCACCGAGATCATGCGTAAAACCATGTGAGCAGCCTTTGGCCACTGTCCATTTGTAATTACCTTTCTCAAAGGCATCAACCATTGGATCTTCTTCATTTACTAACCCCGCCAGATGATGAATCATCACTTGTGCTTCCAACCGCAACATATCCCACTCTGCACCAACCATGTAAATCCACGGCGGGAGGTCTTCACGTTTAGCATAGCAAGGGCTCAACAACGGATCTCGTCTATTCTGCCCATTCGATACGTATCCCCAGTCGAAAATCCACGAGGACTTTTCTAACGTATCTGGTGGGCTATTTGTGTAAGGTTTCGCTGCTAGCTTGACATCGGGTGGATGGCTGAAATCGACAATAGGGTAATATACCACCGCCGCTTTGATGATGCCTTTGAGCCATGGGAGTTGTGTTGCCGAGAGTGCCAGGTTGCCTCCTGCGCTGAATCCACCAATTGCAACACGTGATTTGTCAACAGGTAGAGATGCATCCTCGAGAACTTCTTTAATGACGGCTGCAATGTCATATGAAGCGGCGGGGAAGGGGTTTAGAGGAGCTTTGGTATAATTCAAACTGACTACAAGCATCCCAGTTCTTTTTGCCCAAGAAGTACAGAAGCGATCATCTATTTGTGCATCACAAACAGCAAAGCCCCCTCCATGAATGTTGAAATAGAGTGGCAGCAAACTTCGACTGTTTCCCTCGTAATCTGGCGGGAAGAAAATCCGTACCTCCAGTGTCAGGCGACATGTATATCGTTTAACCAGTGTAGGACGAATAGCGAAAGGAGAATTTATAAACAGACGTCTCACAAAGAAATAAGTGGCGGCTATTATTTTGAGTAACCATAACTGAAGAAAGCAATTCAATCGGTGGATGACGGATAGCCGCTTTTTCGGTAGAACTGGTGGGCAGGCGGCAGCAATTTTTCGTTTGAGCGACTGGACATGGGCCCGGTTGGACGGTTTCACCTCATCTGAAATGTTCCACATACTTGGCCGCCTTGTTTATATATTTGATTGCTCGTATAGCAGCTTCACTATTCAAAATTGCTGGCAACAACAGGCCCTTGACTTACGTGACTATTGGGGATTCCTTTTTCCGCTCCCCCTTGCATCACGTTGGGAAACCACGGAAGCAAAAGCCTCGGAAATCCCAACCAGGAGTACAGCTTATTAAGCTAGCCCGTGTTTGTGCTGCTTGTGCAGGAATGGCGATTGTCATTCGTTTTTCACTACGGGCAGAGAATCGCAAATTGGATCAGCAGAGTGAGAGGGAGAGAATTACTGTGAGGTCTAGGTATATTCTCTGATCGCCGTCTAAGATCTAGTAAAATCTAATTAATGTAGATACAGTTTATATTAATATTAATAAATTGAAACAAATGATATTTGTCCTTTATAGATTAACCAGTTTTCAAATTTTAATCTTGTTTCAAATTTCTATCACTCAATGAAAGTAAATGATTGCCAAATCAAATGCTATTTTGATGTAACGAGATCCACCACTGAAGCCTCGAGCGGGATCCAATTTTCGAGTCCCAGGATAGACGCGTAATGTTTTGATTTGACGTCGACCATTTCCGGCCATTCTTGCGTCTCCTCAGGAGTCGGCTTAAGACGTTCTCTAGCGATCCTCGCGAATTCTGACAGGGGCACTTTATTTTGGGTACGTAAATAATTCCAAATATTAAAATAGATATTCAAGTAGATAATATATATAAATATTGATTTATTATAAATTTTTATATGAAATGTATTATTATCCAGTATTTAATAAACATTTTTTATTGCTATTACTATGATAAACAGCGTTTTATTAATTGTTGTCTTATAGGAATCCTCTTCTTGTTAGCAGAATATCCCTTGTGATTTCTGATCTCACTGAAGAGTTGTTTGACAACTTTGACAGTAACATTACGGGCATAGAATATCTTACTGAGGTCTTTCTAAATCTATTGAATTAACTCGTCTTTGGAATTTTATCTTCAACAATTATGTTTAAATCTTTCTTTCTTAAAAGTCATTCTAAAGGCTATTATTACTTTGACTCATAATTTAATTTATCCTTGAATCTAATTATTATCTTTAACCATATTAAACCGTTCACGAATAGAGATCTCAACCAGAGTACTTGAATGCTGCTTTACAGGATAGTGGGACATTTAGACTTGTGTATGCCGAACTCAAAAAAAAACGTCGGATTATAATTTTACTAGGCGAATCGCTCCAACCGGTATTGGGGTATCATAAGACGGACGATTCTGTTCCGAAATCGACTTTCTACACCCAATTTTGGGTCATCAGCTGCTTGAGAAGGATTATGATTGGTAGAGGCCTTATTGGAATTATGTGGGTAAGATACTAGAATGTCCAACAAAGTCCGAGTCCCTTCGGTATAGACAACGATTAGCGTTAAGTCAATGAACCGTCTCTTTATAATAATGTGATCATCATGAAAGCTGCCTAATCTATTGTTACGACAGAAACTTGGGTTCGACTGACATGTCCATATCCTGCCCGGTTTGAACCTTTCTTGATCATGGCCCATCTCACGTTCTATAATATTGCGATAAGTTGCTTTGTGGCCCTTGGGTCTGGTAGCTATGGCTATGGCTTTGCTGTATTCCCAACCAGCACTGGGCAGCCAGGGTTTTATGACTACTTCAACCTTGACGGTGCGTATCGCTCGCTACTGAAGTTTCTTTATCTCTACTTATCTCTTAAATAGCCAAAAGCTCCTATACTGCAAAGTAGGCATTATCCCGTCCAACCGAAGTTTACCACCTTCTAACAGATATAAACAGCATTCTAGGGGCAATCAATGCGCTCTTCAATCTTGGCCTAGCACTCGGGGCCCTAACTCAGGGATGGCTTGCTGATAGAGTTGGGCGAAAGAGAGCCTTCATGTTAGCTGCAGTGTGCGCGCTCGCTGGTGCTGCCCTCGTTTCAGGATCCGTTGCAATTGGTATGCTCATTACAGTACGCTTATTGCACGGATTCGGGTTAGGGATGCTCGTTGGGCTCGTACCATTATATCTTGCGGAGACAGCTCCTCCTCGTTATCGTGGACTGCTCATTTGCATAAACAACTCCTGCATCTCGATGGGGTACTTAGTGTATGTTTTAGGCTGCTAATTATCCAAAATTCGTGTATGCTGATCATACTTTGTGGGGATCTAGGTGCGGTTGGATATCTGTCGGAACATACTATGCTGTGGATCAGACAGTCCAGTGGCGAATGCCTCTTGCGCTTTCCTGCGTAGGACCGCTGGCGATGATTATTGGTCTCCCATTTATTCCCGGTATGCTTACCCTTCGTCTACTACTCCAGCAACTAATAGAGATATCACAGAGTCGCCTCGATATTTGGCTATGGCAGGCAAGAAGGATGAGGCCTGGGAAGTGGTCCGCACAATTCATCGAGACCCCCGCGAACCCGGAGACGAAGCGGCTCGAGCTGAGTATACACAGATCGTTCGACAGACCGATTTCGACAGAGAGCTGGGCAGCGGTTACCTAAAGATGTTCACTAGACCATCATGGAGGCGCAGAACTTTCCTTGTCATGTTCTTGCTGTAGGTGGACCTAACCCATGATCTCAGAAATCCTATAGTATATCTGATTCTCCTATAGCTTTGCCGTGCAATCTACTGGCGTATGTCTCATCATTATCTATCCCGAGTGAAACGAAGGGAGCTCGAAATGTGAATGATTTTGAGGCTAACAATATCAAACCAGGTCCTCGGTATCACGAACTTCTTGATTCTGATATTCCAAAACCTGGGATACGCAGGCCCCATGCCTTTGATTCTATACGGTATGAATGAAACACTCGGTCTCCTGTATATCGGATAGTGTTGACATCTCTTTTGCTACTAGCCGTATACGCCTCTGCCGGTGAGATATGGGTTGTTCTGGGAATGTTCCTTTGTGACAAGGTCGGGCGCAGGAAGCTCCTCAGTAGGTTTTCATTTTCTATTGTGCTTCCTCATGATTTAATCCAGTACTAATCATTTTTCTCCGCCTAACAGTCATTGGCTTCATTGGTCAAGGCTCGATCCTTCTCATCGAGGCTCTGCTGCAATGGAAGTATCTTGACACTAACAACAAAGCCGGTCTTGGCGCTTGTGTCGCATTCCTCTACATCTACATGCTATTCTTCAACCTCTGTACCGACGGGCCCTCGTGGGCCTGGACGGCAGAGGTATTCCCAACGACTGCCCGCTCGCGAGGTATTGGGCTCGGCTTGTTCTCCTACTTTGTCGGAACAATTACCTACACGACACCCGGTGCTTTGGCATTCAGAAATATGTAAGACTTTATCCGGCGCTTGCCTAAAACTTCCTCCGCTAATTCCACCCCAACAGCAAATATAATATGTTCTACCTCTATTTCGGCCTGTGCATGATTTCAGCAGTGGTTATATACTTCTTCATTCCTGAGACAAAGCAGATCCCCGTGGAAGAACTCGGCGCACTGTTTGGGGATGAGGTCGTGGTGCACCTTACTGCGGATGGACATGGTATCATGGAGGACAAGACTCTACCCGCGGAGGATGTCATTGAGGACGCTACTGTCCAGAGTGAAGAGAATCCCGAGTCTGCGTGAACCGAATTAAGGTACTCATGGCCGTGTCTGTCTAAATAATGCAGCCACGATACTGGAGTACTCATCTCCCCCCTATTTCTAAAGGGGGAATAAAAAATAAAGTGTTAAATCATATTTGTATAAGCACAGATGATTATATTACCATTAAAAGATGACAAAAAGAATAATCTTACACTGATGGTGATAGTGGTGGTGATAGTAGAATGTTAGTCGGAATGTGCTGTGCTCATATCTAGGAATTACGCAAAGTGGATTTCAGTATTTCATAATGCGGGGAAAGCCGAATATTTCGGCTTTTTTTACACCGTAATTATGGATACGCTAAAAAATGTTTTTCGAATGGCACCGACTTATTCACTGCCTAATATTTGAACAACGAGTAGAAATTTTATATCTTTCAATTTCTCTTCTTTTTTAGCTAGATCCTAAGTTTTACAATACTTCTTTGATTAGCTAAACGATAGTCTTTTTAATTTGAATTTTCCTCTAATAAAATAATGACCAGCCTTTAAAAACACAGTCTTTATGTATATTAATTGTTATCTTCAAATATAACATTAGAAGCTTTATTATTCCTCCTATAAAAATATTAATCATAATCACAAGCGAAGCGCTCTTCAATTACCTGTGAACGTTATTGGAGAAGTTTTGGGCTGATTCAGCTCAACTTTCTCGACTGTAATTTTAACTGCTAGAAATGAATCTCATCATATCTGTACGTGGCAGAAAAGGCCTTCAATCGAAAATTAAAACACAAGTATTATAAATGAAATCAACATAATTTACCATTTATTTAAACAAAAGCCTTAGGCTGATCTTACCCGAGACTTTGTAACTTTCTTATTTGTTACATAAATTCAAACATCAAAAGTGATTGTAAACCATAGCGCCCCGCGTCACTCTCATCACTGATAAGCACTACATACAGACTTGGGTTGGTTACTGAGAGTCCTTGGCGTCCTGAAGAGCCCCTACCGGTTAATATGTTGAGGTTGACATTGCTGTAAAGTTGCGCGGAGAGCAAATCCACTAATCCATAAAGGCCTAGACAGCCTTCGATATGAGTTTTATTGAAGGACCAAGCAAGGGCAGACTGCTCATCAATATATCTGAGGAGCCTTATTGGCTGCGTTGCTTAACAGGCACTTGATCAGGGAGGTTGCATAAGAAAACCACACATACGTCCAGTTATAATACGAAGCATTTACAGCAATAAGTCGAGTGCGGAGCTACAGCTATTCTACGCTTTCGCAATCCAAATCGGCTCAGCAGCTTTCTCGCCGACGTTTACATGCTAACAGCGGCGCGACTCAACCAGTCAGTTTCTCATCTGACGGATTCGCCCACTTGTGCAGAGTCCTACTCTGAATCACCGAGTCCTAACGGCAGCTGATATCATTACCACCACTCAATTGGGGTAAAGGGAGGCAACTACTAACTCCTTGTTTTAAATGTACTTTCGTACAGTCCTCGTCACTTTCACCAACCGTGAGAACGAGCTCCCCTTCCATGACAGTGACAAAATCCACAGAGACAGTCCGATGCCACCGAATACGAAGAGGGTCCCATATCTCCTTACACAAAACTCGTACCACCTGGACTCCCGAGATAGAAGGTTTTAGAGCTGCTTTCCTCATCAGTGCGGTCGTCGTATCCCTCGCGCGACCGGTAGTACTTCAGGTCCCGGTCATCTTGGGCATCTGTCGGGATTCTCTCGTGCTGGTATAATCGAGTGATTGCGTCGCCTCCCCAATCATGGTATTTGAGACGCGGGGAAACAATGATGATGCTGTTCCCTTCACGTCGATTCCGATTACGTATCGAGTGTTCTCTCGTAACCCGTGTTCTGTGGCTGGTGATGTCGACGATGTTTGCTGTTCCGGCATTGTGGTTTAGAAGCTCCAAAAAGTTGATTTTGTTCCTAGTATGGTAAAATGAGATGTGAGGGAAGGGTTCACAAACTGTTCACTTCCTGATTAATATTCGGTTACGGCACAAATAGGTCCCTGGTTTGCATAAAATTCTACAAATGTTAAGTTCGGCAGGTATTGCCGAAAAGAAAGCCGATCCGGCAATACCTCAACACAGCCGAAGTAGGAATTGCACAGGGCATAAAATACTTTGTTATAAGCATATAATGAGGCATGATAGCTAGGGTGCACATAGCTTGACTTTCCCAGCACCTACTGCCTACTGAAAATACTCAACCATGTCTGCCCCTCTTGCCAACAAAGCCTTCATTATCACAGGCGGCGCAGCTGGGATCGGCCTCTCGACCGTTAAGACGCTTCTCTCTCGAGGCGCGGCTCTCGGCGTCTGCGACATCCATGAGGAGAACCTACGCAGTGCCTTCAATTCACTGAGCGAATCAGAGAAATCGCGAGTCTTATTCCAGAAACTGAACGTCACAGATCGCACCCAGGTCAAGGACTTTCTTGCAGCCACAAAGAAGCAGTTCCACCAAGTCCACGGTGTCGCTAACATCGCTGGCGTCACTGGCAAGAGCTTCGGCGTGCAGAAACTATGGGATGTACCGATGGACGAGTATGACTTTGTAATGGACGTCAATGTCCGTGGCAGCTTCAACTTCGTGGCTGAGGCTCTGAGACCCGGGTTTCTGGAGGAAGGATCGAGCATCGTGAATGTTGGCAGTGTTGCATCGCTACGAGGCTACGACAAGGGCGCCGTCTATCCCGTCAGCAAACATGCCGTTATTGGATTGACTAAAGGTGCGGCGAAGGAGGGAGGATCCCGAGAGATCAGGGTGAATGCTGTTCTACCGTATGTAACAATCCCATCCGGTGATGATCTGTCGTGCTGCGAGATTTAACGAAATTCCAGTGGACCGATCCAGACGCAGCTCCTGAGAGAGGCTACGATCGCGTTCGGTGAGCTCAAACGACCGTCGGCTTACCGACCATTCGCTCGCGAGGGGAACCCCCAGGAACTGGCCAATGTAATTTCGTTCTTGTTGGGCCCGGAGAGCACGTACGTGACTGGGGCGGTATGGGCTGCAGATGGAGGGTCCTTGGCTTAAGGTTGACTTGGATTTGGGGGACTGAGTTCAGATTCTGCATGTTCTGTATTACCGAACAATGATCGGAGTAGATAGTCATTTCCTGAATTCCACGTGCGTAATATGTCGGTACACTCGTGCGATCATAATCCACGAATAGTAGTGCATTAGACTAGATATTTGTGGAACAAAGAGGGTTTGGAATCATTGCTGAATATGCCGTGAAAGAAGCCATTTAAGGAGGGGGACCCAGTAATAAGCTAATACCGACTACCACTGGGTTGTCTCTGCGGCCGGGGACAAAGCGCTCACACTGCCCTGTCATCCGAGGCAATTGCCAATTCCATTGCCATATAGATGCAGCATAGTGCTTCAAGTACAGAACCAATTCGAAGTCCAGTCATTTACTTCGGATCCTCATCTAGAGCTCCGTTGCTCCTCTCCTATCAATGAATTCACTTTACCATGGCCGGCCAACCGCAGTTGATTCAATCTCCTTACAATGTCGACATTCCTGTCAATGATATTCAATCGTGGATCTTTTCCGCTGGCATCCAGGAAACCCGGAAACAACCTGAGTATTTCGATGCGGATAATCCAGCCAAATGTTTCAGTGTAAACGATGTGGACCTATATATGAAGCAGGTGGCTCTTGGTCTGCAGAGACTTGGACTGCAACCAAAGGAGAAGGTCCTGCCGTTCTCTACTAATGAGCTCTATTTTCATGTGCTGCTATGGGGTGTCACGATGCGTCTTTACTGCTGTCTCGCCATCTGCACAGGAGACGGGTATGTGAAAGCCCAAAGCATGGTATGGAGAACATGGACATTTGAAGCTGATGCGAAGCAGAGCTCGCGTACCAATTGAGAGACTCCGGAGCGATGGTTTATGATTGTACACCCTGACACAGCGGCTCTCGCTGTAAACACTGCGAAGAAAATTGGACTACCTGCCACATCGGTCTATATGTTTACAAATCCCGGGGAGGATCTATCTAGCATACCCAATGGACTGCGACAATGGACAGATATATGGGCATCACCCAATTAGGCCTGGCAGTTTGTATCAAACGCTAGATAAAAACGTCTTGTGTTAGTCTATTTAACCCCACAGGTCCAGTGCCGGATGCCGAGAGTTTATACCACCAAGAGGCGGCAGTGGCCGGGTTGATCGGATATTGGCTCAAACACATAATCCGATGCCTCTCCCCCCCTCACGACATGCAGAGAGGGAGAAATGAAGCTTGCCTTTCGTCTCTGGGAATGGATCACAGCACGGTCCCATCGGACAATCATCCCTTCCGGGCCTATCCACTGGCCGTCCGACTCCTCCGAGATCCACAGTACTGGTCCTCCTCGGTCGAAACCTTCGGCAAGCACAGCCAAGGAGAGAGCGACCGCTTTGGCTACTTTGGAGGTACACTCGCTACGCCGAAGACCATCCCAAACCGCTTTATCCTTCGTCGCCGGGATCTATCCCCTCTTCCAACCACCCGTCCTCCATGGCCTGACCCTACAATCAACCCCCTCCGGTCGCAACCCTCTGTACTCCCTCCTGATGTCATAGTTCTCCTCGAGTTGGGCAAGCCGGGCGTATCTGGGCATGCCTCAACTGCCCATGGAGGGGTTATTGCGAGCTGTTTCGACGAGGCTATGCACAAGGCAATCGAGACACATCTCCCCCGCACCGGGCGAGTGGAGAGGCCCTACACTGCACAGCTTGATATTCGGTATACCCGGCCTGTGCGTGTCCCTGGGCTGCTTGTGATACGCGCCAAAGTCGTCGCGAGGATAGGTAGGAAGTTTTGGGTGCGCGCACATGCTTCCCAGGAGCTGGATACAGGGGAGGAGATTTTCACCACCGATTCGATTGCTTTGTTCCTGATGGTCGCACCCTCAACCCGACTTTGAGGCTATGATAGAGAATTAATCAATTACGTACTTATTTCGCAGATAGGGTTCATAGAAATGAGCTACATAGATAGGGCCGTCGTCTCTCCCGTAACGTAAGGATGTCTTGACAGAGCGCAGATGATCAGTTATACATTGCAAATTTATCTATCAAATTTCAGAGATCCTTCAGCTTCAACAGATTGAGCGACAGGTCCCACAATTTCTTCTCGCCCTTCTCATTATAAGTCCCCGGCTCATACCCGGGTCCTTGTACCCCCGATTTGGCCGTATCGTGCGGCCTCCGCAATCTAACAGTCATCCAAATATTTCCCACCCTTGCCATCCGGCCAATCAGAAGAAGAGCAAGAGCGGACTCGCATCAGAGATCGAACAAGAGCAGCAGGTTGAGAAACCACACAATCATGTCCAACATCCCGACCTGCTCGCTTTCATGTCCATCTCCAACCCGAATTTACATATTCAACCACCAAAACGGCAACGAATTCAAGCGATTCGGCAACCCAACAAGAAGGTAGAATTTTACTTGCAATTCAAATTATTCAGAATAATTAAATTCAAAGCATTCGAGCTGCTTAAAAAGCATTTAATATGAATCAAAGCATGCTAAGCCACCGCTTAAATAGACAGGTATCGCGCGTAGATTCTCCTCCACATGGTCAAAAAACTCACTTCTGAAGAAGAATCTTTGCTTAGAAACTGGATATTATCTGCAGATTAATACGGTATACCACCTAAAATTCAACATGTGCATGATATGGCCTTAATTCTACTTCAAAGTCGCGTCAAATCCACTGCCCATATTGGGAAAAACTACGTCTACCACTAGGTTCGAAAACAACCTGATTTGAAGGCCAAATACACACGGAAATATGACTACCAACGAGCTAAACGTGAAGGTCCAAAATCAATTAAAGCCTGGTTTGCTTTAGTTTAAAATACCTTATAACATATGATATTCTAGAGCAAGATATCGATCATTTTGATGAAACTGGGTTCTCTTATGGGAATGGCTTCAACCTGCAAGGTAAGACTCTATATAGACCTTCGAGATCTAGCTACAAATTCTTATAGGTGACTAAATCTCAGGTAGAAAGTCAGGCTAAAGCATTACAGCCAGGAAATCGTGAATGGGTTACAGTTATCAAGATAATTCAAATAACTGGCCGAGTTTTACCTACCCTAGTTATTCCAGCTAGCAAGCAACACCAATCTACATAATATACAGATTTACCAGGTAGCTAGATAATTGGAGCTAGTGAGAATGGATAGAGTAATGATAATCTTGGAAAATGCTGGCTTAAAGAGATCTTTGATAAGCATACAAAGTCCCAGCCGGCATTTATTGTCTTCTAGTTCTTGATAGCCATGGAAATCACGTAACTACTCAGTTTAATTATTTCTATACGCAGAATAAGATTATACCTCGCCATCTACCGGCCTACTGTCTCATTTACTTCTACCACTTGATGTGACTTGCTTTGGGTCTTTACAGTACATATATGGCCAGCGAATACAAGACTTCATATGGAATTGAATCAACCACATTAATAAGACTGATTTCTTACAGAGTTATAAAGAAACACAGCCTCAAGTGTTTACTACAGCTAAACCCGGTTCACGTAACGTGACTGATGGCGACACATTCCAATGTACAATTAATCCGTTTCACCATTTCATTGTCCGATCCCTCCAAACCGTCTAACCATCAGCCGGAATTTTTGGTACTACATGATAGAGGACGGAGGTGTCCATTTGGGACGGGAGTGCAAGAGGGCCAAACGATGGCGTCTTGCGTTGAAGCATGGTTTGGTTATTATTAGTTTCAGTCCTCTTTCCCCCCCAGTTAGCGTATCTCAATTCCGCAGCAAGAACAGCCGTATTTTCCGAATCTCCGCCCTTTAGTATCATAGTCACGATGCACAACTCAACCTGAATCGTTTAGACACAAACGCGAGGGCAATCAACCCGATCGAACTATCATAAGGCAATTGCACCCAGCCATTCGATAGTGTCGTCCTTCTAAATCTTCCATGATCAGGTAAGCCACAGGGTAGAAGGCCTTGGATTCGATGCAAATGTCTGTGAATATCAGAGAACGTCAGCTCCCGTATCACAGACAATCCACCGCCCAGCAAGAATAAAGAACACATACCACGACTATCGACCCAATAGTTCAAGCGTGCGAAAATAAAAATACAAAGAAGTCAGCCTAGGTCCCTGATACACCTAGGTTAAGAAGTGAAGAGATAGTCTCACGGACTTCCTTATCAAGTAAGCCGTGTCTTGTCTCTGAGTTACTATTCAGCAGCCTATTTGTCGATTCCGAGGCACTTAGGAGTCGAGAGGTATGCTGAAGCACTATGATCTTTTTAGTGTCTACTAACTCTTAGGTATCATTCACCTTACCTTTCCTTGCCCTGTCATGCCAGCGAGATGCCTCCTTGGTGACAAGCTCAGGTGTTTTTGCTCTGTTTGCTTATCTATCAACTTGAAACTATGGTTAAAAGTTGATTTCAGGATGTGACACTGGAGCGTCACTAGATCCAAATCCGATACCTTCACCAACGTTTCCCGAACCCAACAGCAGTAAGTCCCATCAGCGGATTGTACAAGTTGGTCAGGGTCAATTTCGTGGAAAACGTGTTAGAAATGATATAAAACTATACTTAGGTTCATCAGCCAACGGACTTTCTATCCGACAACTTGAAACTTTCAGTGCAAGTGAGGTAGTGTCTCTCATGTGCGCCAATTGCAGTTAACTCAAATAAAGAAGTGCAGTAAAGTTATAGTGACATGAAATTAGTTTCACCCAACAGTTTGGAGAATCCATAGTATGATATCTTAGTAGCCAGCAATGTCAAAGGATATGGAATCTGCATCCGACTGTCATCAACAAGCGACGCCTAGCACCATAATGCAATGTGTCCTAGGGTGACAAAACTGCTATTTTGGACCTAGGAATTTGAATTCGGCGTGGGTTGGAGCTATGCATAGAATTAGAGTGCGCTGTCTTATGCTAGATACATTTTCAACGCTTCAATGACCCTAGCATTGAACCTTTTCCCGGACTCCAGAACGCCATCCAGCACCACAAATGAATGAGGTGCTGCTTTCACTCGGGTAAAATACACTTCGCAGCCGGCTTGCCTCAGTTTCTCCGCGTATGCTTCCCCCTCGTCTCGTAACGGATCCATCTCCGCAGTGAAAACTAGAGCGGGTGGTAAGCCTTGAAAGTTAGGCGCCCGAATGGGCGAAATTCACCAGTCCTTACTAATATATTAGCAACGGTGGCAAGACCCGGAAGATTCTCTGTAAAAAACCCACATTCTTCGATACTTTTGATCCAAGGTACCCCAGGAATTGTTGATAAAATACTGTACTCGTGCGGTGGTCATGCCCGCACTCAACTCCATCTCACGGTATGAATAATATGGGCAATTCTCCCAGTCAAACTTCCCCTCGGGCGTAATTGCGCTCTGTATATCGACCATTGGAACACAGAGCACTTGTAATCGTAACGGTATCTTATTATCCCGGCAAAGATGCGCGATTACTGCCGCTAAATGCCCTCCAGCAGACGGCCCACCAATCGCAAACCGGTCAGGATCTAGATTGAACTCGTTAGCTTTCTCCTGTCGGATCTATTAAAATTTAACATCGATCTTGCAATGCTCTAAGCTCGACAGACCCAGTTGAATGCCTCCTAGCAATCCTCGATCGGGGTCGGATATGGCCATTCTGGCGCCAGGCGATAGTCAATATCAAAGTCGACCAGATCTCCCTGCACTCCATGCACCCGCTGCTTGCAATACCCATGGTCAGTAAGCAAGCTACCTACTACCCACCTACCACGGTGCAAATTGATATAAGCCCCGCGTTTTTTGGCGCAACCATCAACTATGATAGGGGCGGGCTCGAATATGCGCACTCCGATTTCCCTTCCTTTCACTGGACATTTCTCCTCCGTGATTCGGTAGATGTCGGGGCCTGCAGCCCTGCCGTAGACTGGGGAATATTTTGCAGGGTTCTTGCGGAACTCTTCGATAGGTACCTCATTCCGGTATACTCTTCCTACGTTGTACTTATTGTAGTAATCCACGAATACAGGATCGAATCGCTCAAGTAGTTCGGGAGGTATGCTGTTGTGGAGGGACCTGTCGCCAGTTCCCACAATCTTTTGTTCTTCTCCGAACAGCATCCTGTTGCAAACTACCGTAATTCAAGTGATCTCAGTAAATTTTTTTCATGGGGCGTGGTATCCTGATGCAGGTATATATAACAACGGCATTCTAGGAGAGGAGACCTTGGTCCCACTCTGGAATGCCGAGATGCAGACAGACATTTACGTGTCACTAGGTGCCTTACTTAAATGCTACTTCCCATTGCTGTAGAATAACTTTTGTAGAGAACTTTCTACTCGCGTTTTATGGGGAAAGTGAAACTAGAAGAGGACACCTCTAGTTATTCCACACGCTCTCTAGAGTAATCCTTTCATTACAAGTAAGGTTCTAATCGAACATCCATCGCTCATCCTTAACGCCTGATACCGGATTTTGCCTTGGATGGACACTCCTGTAAGCCGAGCCGCGACAAGGCCATCAACAATAGTCAGAAAAAAGTTCCATAACGAGGTTTTTCCTATCGGACAAGCTTCTCTGGGACAGGGTTTTAGTCACCTAAGATGTCATCTAGCGATTTGGAGGGCCCATAGCAGCACCGTGCAATTCAACCCGAGGCTTACCAAGACCCAGATGTCGCTCAGCTCTCCAAGATGTAACTGCGAGCTGCTCGGCAGCTCTATACATTCATTCGTTAGTGCGTCTGAAGCAACATGATGCAAGGGTGGCGGCATAGGGAGATTGCTGTTGGATAGATTAGGTTGACCGGTCGTCAAAGAGGGTGATAGAAGGCCTGTGTTATCTAGATCATCCAGTTCAACACCAGAGATCATGGAAGGATGTATAATTAGATGTGCGGACACTTTGGCCTCCAGAGATATTTCGTCCCTTTGAAGGAGCGGTATATACTTTGCGAGTTTGCAGAGAACGGTAGAGCACATTTTTTTTTAAGTAATCAGTCTAATAAAGAATCATTCATTGCCTACTCCTAGTCTTCAAAAGTAGGCCCTCTTTTTCTCGCCTTGTAGAATCGTCGCCTGATCAGTCGACTTTCCCATGATTTTTAGGTCCGTCTCCATGCGTTTTCTAAATAGCTAGACTAAAGCTAGCGGGCATAATAGCTAGATAGAATATTAATACCTAACCTTCTAACCCTATGCCACTGATCAAATAGAAATTGCAGGACTAGTTGTAGAATTCTTTGACCGCCGAGTGCTGTTGAAGACGAGCCTGATAGTCAGGGTTGTGGTAATCACGAATAGCAGCCATTCCAATGCCCCAAAGACTGTCGCAGTCTTGAGTGATCCACAGCTGTTCTCTTCTGCCGGACATGCATTGCTCCCTATGTTAACAGCCACAGCAATGAAACCAGCAAGCCATGAGAGGAGAGCCACAGCCTCGACGGCGATACGAACATAGCCAATCAATGCATGATCCGCGAACCTGATTCCAGCAATGAGGAGAAATATGACGCCCAGAAATGTCCACCCAGCACAGAACATTAAGAAGCCCCACGCATCAGGGACGCCGTAGTAATCGTAGAAGTTGCCGAACTCGAAGTGTTCGTAGACAGTATGGCCGCGAAACACGTGGATAGCTAGGTGATGGGTTAGACTCAACGGCGCGTCGACAGAGTATGATACATTAGTTCTCCTACCGTAGCCGTCTGTTCCTATGACGATGATTGCAAAGATAAGCTGCAGCGCTCGCAGGGCAAATTCAACCGTTCTATTTGCCGTTACGTTCATAGTTATGATATGCAACGATCTCTTGACCGACGTCGTGGTTTAGCGAAGAGAACGCTGTAAAACCCAAAATTATAATTAAAAGAAGGCACGACCGTCTCTCTTGCAATCAAATTCCTGAAGAATAATACCTAGTGGCGTATAGTTTTACCGACGAATGCCAACCGCACACGAGTTTTGTTAAGGGATCTGTGGTCAGATTCGGGAGGAGGTGATGGGCATGCGGAACAATTGAGGAACTGAAGAAGAACACGGCGAAGAGGAATAAATAGAAATCTGGGCTCAGGGAGCTGATAACTTATTGGCAGCGAGGGCACGAGCCAGGACGACCCCACGTGCGAAGGCCAAGCAGCAGAATTCCAAGGTGGCTGTGTTATCATGCCAACCCAGAAGCAGGAATTCCTTCGCGACAAACTCAGCTGAGGGGTGTTGATCTGTCAACGAGATTGTCCGTGATGAAGGTGGCTGCTCCCTTTTCTAGTTAGTCAGTTACGAGGTCATTTTTGGTTAGACGGCTACGAGATGCTCGCCCGTGCGCCAATCAAGACTCTTCACTTAGACAGGCTTAACTACTCTCAGCTAGGTAGCGCGCCAAGTCCCTGTGGAGATGTTATGCGGGTCTCGAGATTAGGGCTGGACACCTTGGCTGTAGGGCGGGCTCGTAAGTATCTAACCCCTTTTGGACTTAAGTTGTGGATTGCAAAGGCATGCTGATCCTGAGAGTCAATGTCAACGTTGCGAATAATGGAGAGGATATACTGGTTTATAGCGATAAGCGGTCATGACATGGGGGCCGGGTATGAGCAGGGCTGTGACCTAGGCTGTTGTATTTTCATGAGATCGTAGCTTAATTCTGGCCCGTGTCACAACTATACTTTTATCCAGTGGTGTAAAGAAACCCCTGTCCACGATGTTCTGAGGTACGCGGCCCACGTTGACTAATTTCGCTTGATACAATATATATATGAGCGCGGGTGCTTCATGGTGATGGACTCAGATCAATCCATCAAATTAATCGTGCAAAAATATCATAGCCACGAGCCTCTCACTCTTTTTTTTTTCCTCCTTCTACAATTTAACTCTCATCTTTTCGAATTTACAGTCAAGATGCCAGACTCTTGTTCCTCCAAAGCACTGACCAACTGCTCCGTGGGAACATGTCCCCTCAGCTGCGCTCAAGTGAAATATCTACCCACGCTTGCTGGCAATGCCGTCTATGCTGCTGTTTTTGGGCTGCTTCTGATCGCGCAGCTCGGGCTCGGCATTAAGTACAAGACTTTTGGATTCATGGTCGGCATGATCTGTGGTCTCATTCTTGAGGTTGTTGGATATGTCGGCAGAATCATGCTGCATGACAACCCATTTGACTTCAACAATTTCATCATGTAAGCCTTCTCTTCCCCCTCAATCTTCCATCCCGTCCAAATTCCGACAACCTTCATAGCTATCTCGTCCCCCTAACAATCGCCCCCGCCTTCCTCACCGGCGCCCTCTACCTCTGCCTCTCCCACATAATCATCGTCTACGGCCAACAAATCTCCCGCCTCAGCCCGCGCACCTACGCAATCACCTTCATGACAAGCGACTTCATCTCGCTCGTCCTTCAAGGCGCCGGCGGTGGGCTCGCAGCCACAGCCGATGATCAATCCGCGAGCGAGACAGGAAGGGCCATCATGGTCGCTGGTGTTGTGTTTCAAGTCGTCTCGCTGCTTGTCTTCACGGGATTGTGGTTGGAATTCATATTCCGCCTGGGTAGGACGAGTGAGAGCGCCAAGGACGTACGCTTCGTCGAGCTGAGGGACAAGAAGAAGTTCACTTGGTTCCAGTATGCGCTCGGCGCGGCTGTTGTGCTCATCTTCATCCGTTCGGTATACCGTGTTGCAGAGCTGCAGCAAGGTTTCGATGGACCTATTGCCAATAATGAGGTGTCATTTATGATCCTAGAGGGGCCGATGATTTTCTTGGCAGTGCTTGCGATGACGGTATTGCACCCTGGTGTTACGTTTGGTGGTAAGTGGAGCAGCGCGGCTTGGTCGGTCAAACAGTCCTGAAAGGCTGCTTTTGCCACGAACAGCTCGTCTATGGGAGACATTCACTTGCAACAGACGTATAACCCTTGAAGTTATTCGGCTGAGGGGTGAAAGTGCGAGTGTAGAATCTAGGATTAGATTTTCTTGCGCTGCTTTTGGAACTTGGAGAGGTATATGAGATAGCTCGATCAGCAATACAGTCAGGATTAACAGGTGTTTTTGGTCACTGTATTGACGCGGGAGGCAAATCATAGATAGCGCTTTCTACTTCTAGAACAACTAACCACGGATACCCACTGCATCATAGCTTGATATACTCCGTGATTGTCTGCCACTCTCCCGATAGCCCCCACGGCTTTGTGTGGAACACAGCTTCAAGCGTGCCTGGACAGGCCGGGCTGGGCACAATGCTGTGGTCAAACATCCGAAAGTCAAATGGCATCTCGCCCAGGTTGTAGATCCGTGACTCATCATCGGGCAGAGTGAGACCATGCAGTCTTAAAGTCTCGTCTGGCAATTCTTGCCCGTTGAGATGCCTTTCTTCCAGCTCGATCACTCGTTTGGCAGTTACGTATGCGTGATGTGCATTCCAGAGCCCTTCCCGCCGAGGCGCCAATTGTAGCATTTCCAGCGCGCGTCTTCGTATTGCAGGATGACGGCATTTCAGCGTGGTATAGTACAAAGGCCCCAGGATTTGTATGTCGAAAGATAGCGGTTGCGGTGTTGTCATTCCCACGCCTGGCTTGGCGATTTGTTCCGCGTAATGCACAAGCTCTTCAAAGTCGGTATGGTAAGAGTCTGTGGCCGTTTCCCCAGCTGTGGTGCATACTCGCATCCAAATGTAAATGACTTTGTAATGTACCAAAAGTAGATTGAGCGCGTCCTGTTTCGCCGGGTTGCCGGCAGCCTGCATTCGTTCAAGAAGTTCGTCGAGCCGGTCGCGCCATGCGTCTAGCCTTGTTTGAAGTTTAACCTGTTCAATGAAATCGTCGACGTCAATTTGGAACATAGCTGCCTTAGTACTGGCTTTGCCAATGAATCGGATGCAGGTATCTGAGATCTCGACGAGCTGTCGTCTAGAATGGGTGAGGTCTTGCTGATGAGAGTCTTTTTTAGCTACAGGAGCATATGTTGGGGGAGTTATTCTGCCAGCGAGAGAACAGAGTACATTCAGACCTGAAAACATCGGAACGATGTGATCTTCGATGGCTTTAAGATCGTTGCATAAGAGATTAGACCCTAGGTCCGGAGCTGCATCGCTATTGCGACGAAGCGCAGCTAGAATATTAAATCCACTCTGAACATGACACATAGAAGATTCAACACTGCCCTTAAGGAGCTCGATACACGTGAACAGAAGGCAGCAGGTCAAAGGTACCAAGTTCGAGTTGGGATGCGCTTGAATTCGAGCTGATAGGCTCTTTATTGCTTTGTTCCACTCCTGTTGGGCTTTGGGATTGGCATTGACATAGCCTGCCGGATGTTGTAAAGACAATTCGACGTCTTGATAAATGATGCTGATGGCTGATACGGCATGTCGAATTGATGGTTCGGAGTGTGATAGTTGCATTACAAGCTTGCTCCAGAACTTTGAATCGAATTGCCCGTCCAACTTCGCAGCAAGGTTCTGGTGGAAGAAGTCTAGGCCGCGGTCATTTACAAAGAATACCGGTTGACTTTGCGTAGGAGACAGATATACCACCACCACGTTTCGACGTCGTGGTGCTGCATGTGCGGCGTTGTACTCGCATTTTCGACCTCCTACGGCGCAACGTCGACAGATGGGTTTTGCTTCATCGCATTTCACTCGACGAGCTTTGCAAGTACTGCATCCAGTTCGAACTTTGGATGTAACTTCTCGGGTTCTCTTCGGCGCAAGATCCAGTCCAGCGGTCATGATGAATGATGCTGCGACATAAGGCAGGCTTTTTATTCAATGAACTGGCGGACTAAATAAATCAAAGACATCCGGCGACAGGAGGAATACAGGCAGAGGATGATAGAAAAAGGCTGAAAGATGGAAGCTTGAGAATACGACGCGAGATTAGGCAGCTAGTTTGTCAGCATCAGGATGGGTGTGGGTGGATTTTAGACTCATAGTCAGATCTAACCCGAATTGGCCTGGAGCCTAAGGCATCCACATAGGTAAATTGAGAACTTTTTGATTTTTAATATATTAATACAAAATATAAGTCTACTCTTTATAGCTAACTATTTTTAAATAGTATTTAGAGGTATATTAAGATGATTCAATAATTTTAAAGAATATATAATTAATAAATTTAAGGTAAAATTGAAGAGATAGTCCAGTTTGGTGTCTTTACTAAGCGCTGCTCACACTAACTATGCAAACCATAAATTTATGCTCTTACCCGCGTGTATCCCGTGGGGAAATCTCTTCGTGGCATATTAATACTGTATTATTGAAGAGATTAGATAATAATTTAAAAAAAAGAAGAAGATAATAATTGGTCGAGACTTTTCAGATGGTGATAGGCGTTATAAAAGCTCCCGAAAAACCTCCGACCGAACACCGTCGTTATCGTACCTATCGGCACACCCCGACACGACATGTTACGTACCTGCATATGATATGATCGTAAATAGAGAATTTAGATATAAGCGCTGATTTAACCGGGACTTTCTCGGATTGTTTAATAAAAATTTTCAATGACAGACTTATACCCTCCATAGGCGTCCGTGATAGACTGGACAGGATCTCTATACAGATAAGGTGTTTGAGAAGCTACTACAGAGCAAACCGCGGACGGCCGGCTCCGCGACTTTTGATATGATCGTAGAGCTATCAAACGGTTTTTCATGGTATGTGGGCCTGTGCGCGATTGGTTATCTGTTGATATCAAAAATAACCAAATGAATTGTGACAATCTCTTTCCTCTTCTGGCATTGGCGCGTTTCCTTATCACGAAATCTCAATTTCTTCTGCCGTTATTGACTAGTGAACCTAAGAAACGAAATTAGTTTCTAGCTCCCCTATACGAAGAAAATAAGCACATATATCATTATGATTATCCTTCTGCTCTGTTTTAGTTTGGCCAATTTCTCATTACCGCGATCCATCTGGCGCAACATCAGCACTTGAACGTCGCGGATGAAGTGAAATACATCTTTACTCTACGACAAGAAGGGTTCCCCGGTCAAATAATCTATGTTGGCCACAGCCGGATATTCGTCGATTGTTTAGCTAGTGACAAAAATGGTTTCTCTCAAGCAATTCCTGGCTGGCTTGGCCTTCGTGCCGGTTGTGCTATCCCACCCACCACCTGACCAGCATTCAAAGATAGCCCCAAAAGTCATTATCATTTCAATGGTAAGGTAAATTGGGCTTTTTTGTGCGACTATTAGTTTATTCACATGTTCAATAGTTCGGGCCTGAAGGCGAAGCATGGTGGGGAATTCCTGAATTCGACGTCCTGGCACACAACATCACTGTGCCTGGTCTCTCGCCGCTATATCCCCATGTCCACTGTACAGCGGACAAAGTCATCTGCCAGTTGATTACGGGCGAGTCTGAGATTAATGCAGCTGTAACGATTACCTCGCTAGCGTTTTCAGAGCTTTTCGACCTTCGGTCGACGTACTTTTTTGTTGCTGGAATTGCTGGCGTGAATCCGATGCACGCAACAACCGGGTCGGCAACTTTTGCCCGATATGCAATTCAGGTAGCCCTGCAGTACGAAATAGATGCACGCGAAATGCCACATAATTTCACCACTGGATATGTCCCTCAAGGCTCCCTCGCCCCTGGACAATATCCTCAGAGCATTTACGGGACGGAGGTTTTTGAGTTGAATAATGAGCTACGCACGCGTGCCGTCGGCTTTGCAAAGAACGCTCAGTTGGCTGACTCGGCGGCGGCGCAGACATACCGCGCCAATTATCTGCAAAACAGCACCCATGGTATCTATCAGATGGGCGGCTCACCGCCGTCTGTAGTCGAGTGTGATGTGGCTACTTCCGATGTCTACTATAGCGGCGATCTCCTTAGCCAGGCTTTTGACAACACCACAACACTACTCACCAACGGCACGGGCCAGTACTGTACAACCGCCCAGGAGGACAATGCTACACTGGAGGCTCTGCTGCGAGCCGCTGTTCATGATCGGGTTGACTTTTCACGTATCGTCGTGATGCGTACAGCTTCTGATTTCGACAGGCCATATCCCGGAGAGGACGCGGCGTACCACTTGCTCTATGCAGACCAAGCCGGCTTTGAAATTTCAATCGAGAATATCTATCGAGCGGGTATTCATGTTGTGCAAGGAATTGTTGGTGAATGGAAAGAAACTTTCTCGCACGGGGTAAAGCCAAACAACTACATCGGGGATATCCTTGGCACGTTAAGTGGTGGAAACCCCAACTTTGGACCTGGACGAATTCTAGCACTAGAAGAGTCTGGGGCTCTTTTGACAAAGCGATCACGAAGTGTGTTGAGCAAGCGATGGTCAAACCGACTGTGATTGATATTCCACATCATCAATGGTCAGAGCATTAAGTCTGCTCTAACGCAAATAAACACAAACATTCCAACTGTGGCTGATTTATAAAAGTGGACCTCTTGTATAAACTATAGTGTAAGACTAAAATAGTTAGATTCTGTCCATATATCTACGAGAAGGGTTACATTTGAGAGCATTTAAAAAGGGGGGAGTAATAAAGCGTTTCCAAAACATATGGATGTCCCTTTGCAAATATCAGTGGTATCTGTCTTGAATAATCTAGAAGGTTATAATTAATATCTCTATATGACGTCGCCTCGTATTTGACAAAGACAATATTAGTTTCGTGGTCAATTATTGTAGCAATGACATAAAGTACACATAGGTAAGTTAATTAGTGTCCATAATAATCTAGAAAGCCCCTTCGACTAGCGGAATTATTTTTTCCTCTGTCCCGAGCCCTATCATCCGGCGAGTAGACTCATTCCTCAGTACTCCAAACATAACTTCTAAATGTTTCTGATCCTCGGGTACATTCTCTCTTCCTTCCAAACAACCTTTCACAGCTAGATCCCCAGTCGTTCACCCCCCTCGTTGTATGATGTTGGAAACAGCCAGGGAAGGAAGGCGCGCCGTGCCCACTCCACCGCCAACAATCCCTACGCAGACACGTTTCTCATGTGCCATAATTCCTTCCCAGAGCACGGATCTTGACTCATGAAATGGCGTTGTCTTGGTTTTGAGAAGAAAACAAAGACAGCGCCCAACCGCCGGCTGTCCAGCGGTCAGTGAACATGTGTGACCGAATATCTTCAGAGGCGGGTGCCAACACGGTAGATCTTAATTGACGAATCACATTACGCGACAAAAAGCTCTCGAATCATAACTCCTAGAGATTGAGAACAATTTAATAGTAACCCAGAACCCCACCTAGCCATTTTACGGGGTTTATAATGTACTACCTAACTGTTGACCTAATACCCGTGCCAACGCTTACTACCAGACTGTTAGAGCGAGTCGCCTGTTAGTGTTAACACCTGTATCAGTTGTCTGGAAAATATAGTTAGTAGGAGTAAACAGCGTTTTTTTTTAAGAAAAATTCCTGTTGTTGTTATTGTTTTGTTCAGGCGTTCCCGAGAGCTGTTAATGTACCAAATAGCTGCTACTGACAGTCTAATCGATGTCCCATGAGACCTATACCTTTATTTTTCTAAATATTCTGGAATATTCTTGAGGCTATAGTAAAAGATAATGAGCTTTATGCCGAAAAGATGGCCTCAAGACTTTGAACGATCGGCTACTATGGGTTAGTACGCCCCGGTGTAACAGATCAATTGATACCTAAACTATGTTCTGGAAACGCCAACGATGTATTCTAATGTCCATCGATGTTATTGCGAGTATTTACTGCGGATTTAGGTGACGCTCGCCACATTTACTCTGCAATTACAGCCCTTTTCACGGAGACTAAAGAAGGCCATGTCACCTGTTAACTATAATAATTCAATAAATAACATTTTACCAGTCTATAATCAAACCAACATTTATGCCATTATGCGTTTGCTAACCAAATACACGCCGGCCCCCCATCATGATAGAGGCTAGCGACCCGCAAACGGCGTGCTGCAACTCTCGTGTAAAACTGGCATTTTTAGACCCTCAATATTTGGCACTTTTATTTAAAAATATAGTTTGAAAGTAATATTATAATTATTATATATTATGCATAAGACTATTTTCTTAGTATTAATAAGATTAATGTAAAAAATAATGATTATTCTAAAATTCAGGCTATAATTATATGTATTTTTTAGTCCGCAGCTTGCAGCGCCTGAGAAGTTGACTGAGATTTTGGTGGAGTTGGCTAAAACTTTTGAAGAGTTGGAGTATTACATGTTTATGAGCCCGGAGTCAGATATGAGAATGAAATTTTCTTGATAACCATAATTATTTCATCCAATTCCATATTGACTATTCTACCCATTTCTTATTAGGATGTCGTAGCCTTCCGTCTCTTAATTGACACCTTCACGCCATCAGGAGGCATAATTGCCTCTGTCAACCACCGGTTTTCAGGCCGCTTGCCGCCGTATTCTTCCGGAAATTTGATATCATAGTTCATGAGGACATACGCAATTATCATCTTCAACTCAAAATCGATCAGGAAGCGCCCTGGACAAGCGTGTTTACCGTGGCCGAATGACAGATAGTTGGGACTCGTCGACACAAAGCTAAGCGTATTTATCTTGGTCGAATCAGGATCAGACTCTCGGATCCGCGAGAATCTGAACGGGTCGTACTTGAGCGCTTCTTCATACATGTCTTCATCTGTATGCACTGGCTGACTAAGAAAAGAGATCAGGGATCCCTTGGGTAGCTTAATACCCGTGTCGGTTTCTACCCCGTGGGTTAGAACTTTGCGGAAAACCGCTCTGCCCCCGAACGAATGGCAGCGTAGCGTCTCGCGGGCAACACTGTCTGCCTTGATCATCTTGGATACTTTAGCCTTGGTCCATTCCGTGTCGGTGCCCATGACCTGATTGACCTCGTCGCGAAGAATGGCGATGGTGTTGTATTCGGTATCCGAGCCCAAGATATTCAGCAGCATGTTGCTCGCTTGGATACTTGTCTGATGCATGGAGCCGAAGTTGGCGCTGGTGAGACGGCGAGCCATAACGTCTAGATCGTAGAGCTCATCGGGTCGCTCCTTCTGTGCGAAGCGTATCATCATCTGCAGGTGGTCCTGAGGCTCGACATGCTGCGGGTCATCCTTTGCATACTTGAGGGTTTCGAGGCGCGCGCGGTAGATTGGCTCAAAGTGCTTCCTGACCTTTCTCTGGGCGAGCTGAGTCTTGAGACCGGCGATTGGTCCGACCAAGGGGCGTAGCATAGGAGGAGTGCCACCAGTAACTCCCGCGTTGATGATGCAGCCATCGATCGCGTCAAAGCAGTCTCGGATATACTGAACATCGCGGCCTATAACTGGTGTTAATGTAGAGCCGTACCAAATAGCATAAAAAAGACACGAAAACAAAGCTTACACAATGGCAATCCAACTGTAAACCGACTCGCTGCCTGCGCCACAACCATCCGTATGGTCTCCAACAGATCAATGACTTTCCACTCATCCTCATCAGTACCAAAATAGGCACTAAAAGCAATTCCCAGCTCATCATTCAACGCAGCAACAATATTCTCCAAGACGTGGTTTAGTTCAGTCTTGACAAGATGGCCCTGCCACGCGTCGGTGACATATTTTGAGTGACCGAGACTGTAATGGGCTTGGTCGACTTCGGCAAAAGCATCGCCGACGCTGAGCACGGTCTCAGGCTGCTTCAATGCCCAGCCCAAAGAGCTAGTAGGCAATATGATCTCCTGGCGGACACCGAAGCCTGGGATAATGACGACTTTGCCTTTTTTAGAGTACTGCACGGGATCAACCACTCGTTAGTTATGTTTTTGGTGAAAAGAAACGTACGTTTTCGTAGGCTTCGCGGTAAAGAGACTTGCAGTCGGTAAAATACGCGAGTCGTGTCTTGAAGCTGAAGCTCGTGTTCCCAGGTGGTTCTCGTATCAGAGGCACGCCTTTTGGGCTGGCCACACGGAAGAATAGTACATTGATAGTGTACAATACTGTCAAGAGAACGAAGCAAAGAAGGGCGATCCCCAGGGAGCCGTCCAGATCTGGTAGAATTGATACTGGAGCCATTTCCTTGTAGTTCTAGATATCACATCATCTTAAAGAACGACAGGAAACGCAGAACGGCGATGGAACTGTCAGTGCTTATTATAATAATAATGACCTAGTTACCTCGACCAATGACATGACCAATTACCGATAACGAATCACCAACAATAACCAACAAGCGTCGACTCCGACCAACACAACAGAGTTGTATTACCAATAATAAAGATGCAGCTGGAAGGGACCGCTTTTTAGTGTTTCGTATTGTCAGGGCCCACTTTTGACATGACACAAATCTCTGTCAGATTTGACAAGGCCCCTTTTACTAACAAAGGTTCTCTAATCCACTATACCTCTTTTAGAGTGTGAAATTGTGAAAATTTACGTACATCATGTTAACCTAGCTACTTTAGGCATAGAGTTGACATTAGTGGTCACCAGGCTACCGCCAAAAGATATCTAAATTTCGATTGGTTTTTAAACAGAATTAATCAACCAGAGGGTTAAAACTGGGCCTTATCTTTAAATTACGGAAATATTAAATTATGTGTGCTAATAAAGCTTATTAGTTAGTTAACGTAATCCACCCTGGAACCGCCACTTCCAATACACACACAAAATGACATTTTTCAGACCATAATAATTCAATATCTTTCCTAAGAAACATTGTTTGAAAAGTATACATAATATAAAAGATATATTCTTTTATTATATATTTCTAATAATTTAAAATAATTAGTTGTAGTTATTAAAATTACATACTTAGTATAAAAATACAAAAGGTTACACTGTAACTTTAGGCATATTATTTTATATTAGATTTTATTTTTTGTAGAGTATAATTTTGTCTAGTAGTTATTATTATGAATAGTTTCTTTTTAGTCTATACTTTCCTTTAAAAATGTTGAGTTATTAAGACCTACAAAATGTCATTTTGTATGTGTATTGGAAGTGGCGGTTCGGGGGGGATTACGTTAGTGAAATACGAATTATGTCATTAAACCGCTTATCGTCCTCCGTAGATACAGTTGGATGACCTATGTTTGAGGACAAAACCAATAAGGCTGTAATAAAAGTAAGCGCTAAAGATATAACGAAACTGAAAACTGACAAAAGCTCATGTAATAATGTTTAATTTCCTGGTGGTAAACTATTATGGAGCAATACAAGTACAAAGTTTTAATGCTTTCCTGTTAGCCAGCTAGTGCGATAAAATGCGCCATGGAACGTGTTACGAAACCAACATATGCAAAGCTAAGGACAGATTAGAACAACTTAAGCTACTTCAGAACAAGTGTCTATTAAAACAGCTAACACTATAATCAACCAATTACTATGATAAAGCATTGTTTTGTTTGCTACTCATATAAGATTATATATTATATAAGTAGGCTGTCATTTGGTTCGGTTCTGGTCCTGAGTTTCTGAACCAAACCCAAAAGTGGATCAGTTCGGTTTGATCCTTAATATTGAAACCCTTATTGCGAATGTTTACTGCACATGTAGGCGATAATCGCCACTGTGCAATCACAGATTCTAGTTGCTACCAGAGATATAAATCGATTCCGACAAAAATTCCCTAAAATGCTGGTACAGTTTCCTCACCTTAATATGACATCCCTCAATAAATTGACGGTCTGTCATCTTCAAAGCTTGTTTGTTGTCATTACAGGAAGTCATAATTGAGAAAATACATCGTAGCTACTAAAAATAAAAGCCTCTAAAATGACGATGATGTGGGATTTTGAATTCGCACACGGACATGCAAGTTGGGTTTTATAACTGTGTAACAGAGCCCCAGTCACAATCAAGTTAAGGAGGAAATAATTCGGTGTCCTTTAACAAGCCCATGTCAATAATGTACACCTGACCACCCCTTCATTCCAATCTTCAGCCGTGGCAGAGCCAATGCCTCCCTCGAATAATATCTCCGCCCATTAATTTTATTGTTTTACCATTTTCTAATCAAATTCCTATTCTTCTAGCATGGAAAGGGCATTCCGTGGCGTTTTTGATGAGCCAAATATATCAACTATACATAGCATCTATGCGGTTCAGAAAGAAATCTCTTGGTTCAAATGCATTTGTTCTTTCGTCACATTCTTCGGTAGCATGCATTTACAAGCGAATCATCTCGATAAGCATCCTGGTATGCATACACCATAATTCTAAGGAACTTATACCCTTGATCAAACAGACTGAAATTATACAATCCTGTTCTGCTCTCCTTCATCTACAGAAGGAACCACAGATACAGAAAAAACGCTTTGTTCTGTTTTTTGGTTTCTGCAGCTTCTATGTATATAGTATGACAATCTTTGATTGAAAAGTGCTATAATCTTTCGTTTACATTCGTTGACAAACGAATCGAAGGAAATTATGCCCAACCATGCCCAGCGATTGCAAATCGGTATTGTGTTGACATTCACGTCAGCAGCGGCGAGCGGATACAACACCAGCCAGCTCAATGGGCTCTTAGTGCTTCCTCAATGTAAGCGAAGCAGCTTTCCTGCCCTGAATTTTTTTTTGTGTAAAATCAGCTGACACTTGAAATATTGTGATCAAAGTCAGGGCAATGACAAAAAATGTCAACAAGGCCGTACTTGGTCTGCTATTCGGCACCATCTCCTTTGGCAGTGTTTGTTCCTTCATCCCTAGTGCGTATATCGCCGACCACTTGGGTCGTAAACTGAGCATTGGACTTGGCTCCGTGGTTATGATTTGCGCAACAATAGTCGAGGTTGTGAAACCAACCCTCTGGGTCATGTTTTGGGCAAGACTGTTCCTAGGCATCGGCTCAGGACTTACACAATCTGCTGCACCTAACCTGATTACTGAGGTTGCTTATCCACGCCATCGAAATACTTTTACAGCACTATCACCCACAGCATGGTACTGGGGATCAACATTATCTTCAATAGTGACAATGAGCATGCTTACTCTGAATGGCGAGTGGTCTGTGAGATGGCCATGTTTGTTACAGATATTCTTTCCGCTTCTTCAGTTGATAGGTTTATACTTCATTCCTGAAAGCCCTAGGTGGCTTGTCTCCAAAGGCAAGCCAGATGCAGCATTGATTCTCCTCGGAAACTATCATGGGAACGGAGACGTGAATAATCCAATTGTGCAACAAGAATTCCTCGAAATTACATCAGCTATTTCCCAAGAGGCATCCATGAAGAATCAGGCTGGATGGAAAGCATTTGTGTCGACGAGAGGAAACCTCCATCGCTTAGCAATATGTCTGCTAACCGGTATCATGTCTGAGTGGGCAGGAAACGGTAAGGAAATCTCTTTCCGCTTTTCAGTCACTTTTCAGCTAGCTAATGAGAAAACATAGGCATCATATCAAATTATCTCGTTCCCGTTCTCATATCGATAGGTGTTTCGAACCCTACTGCACAAGCAGCAGTGAATATAGGCCTGCAGGTCTGGAATGCGATAACTGCTGCAGCTGGCGCAGTGGCATCTGAAAATTACGGTCGGCGTCCTCTCTGGATCACTTCCACTTGTTTAATGATATTTTTTTATGCCATGATTACATGCCTTTCTGCACTTTTTACGGAACAACACGTGACAAAGGCAGGAATAGCTGTTTTACCCATGCTATTTCTCTTTTATGGCTCTTATAACATAGCCTACAGCCCCCTTGCGGTTTCATATACTGTCGAGATACTTCCATTTTATCTACGGTCAAAGGGACTTTCGTTATACTTCACCATGGACGCTTTGGCGACAAGCTTCAATCAATATGTGAATCCAATAGCGTTGGACAGTCTCAAGTGGAGGTTATACTTTGTATATTTGGGTTGTCTTATTATGTTCCTTGGCATTATATACGCGTTGTTTCCCGAGACTAAAGGGCTATTGTTGGAGGAGATTGAGAGGATTTTTGATGGTCCCGACAAGAGTGTTGCGAGTCCAAAGACCAGCTCTGAGAGCGTTAGCACCTTGGTTGAAAAAGACGACAGGACAACAAAGGTTCAAGACACGCAGTTTCGACTTACGGGAGAGGTATGATACTACATATCTACGCTCTGCCTCACAAGACGAAAATATTCTATTAGCTGTCTATGCACAAACATCAAAAGGGGCGTCATATGGTTATAGCATTTGTAACTCGGAATTTATATATTTTTATGTCATCATTTATTTAATGCCATAATAAATTGTGAATATATACAGATACATATGGAAAGGCGCGAACTTTCTTATAAGCGGATTTCGCTTGAAAAGAAGTATCTGAAAATGCTCTTTTCTGCTATTCAGTTGTTGACTATACATAAGAGGAATCTCCGAGGTTCTTGCACGTGTAATACCAACAACTAAGGTGTTCGTGGGGTAATTTTGTGCCTGATCCAGTTGAGAAAACAAGAGCATGGACCAAAAAATGGAACTAAAGTTAACTGTCAACTTTTATCCAACTTTCTCTAGCTTTTAATTCATTCCACCACTTGCTGACAGCTGGATATTTTCCAAGGAGATCCCCCAAGCCGAATGGCTCAGCCTTTGTTCCATATGGCAAGTGAAATAAATCTGCCAGACTAATCTCATCCCCCGCCAGATAGCTTTGTTTGGATAAAAGGCGCTCATAACTCTGCAGGGCGTCATCAAGTTGGTCGATAGCGCTCTTGATAGCGCTTGTATCTGGAGATCCTCGTCCTCTCCTGCTCTTGAAAACATTTTCATAGACGATCGTATTAACAGCGGGGTCGAAGTAAGATAGCTCAATGGATAAAGCCTATTCTGTTAGCGTCCATTGCTCTCTTAGTGAAGATATTCTACCTGCCTGTTGATATTGAGCGTATGCTTTCAAATTACTCTTGGGAGGAGATAGATTGATTCCATGACCGCGGTATTTGGATGAAATATATTGAGCGATCGCTCAGCTTTCTGATTTCCACATCGAATATCAGTCAAATCCGCTTTAAGAATGTACTATTTTCTTTTTCTTCCCTTTTTCTTTCATTCGCAAATAGTATCATCGAGATTGTTAAGTAGATTGACCATTTCGACTCACCGAAAACCTGGATGCCAGACTCATTATTAATGAGAATATGAATTCTACCAAACGGATGAAGACTTTTGACATAAGCTTCGGACTTTTGTTCTGCGTTAAACAAGTCGACGGTGATCAATTCATACTCGACCCCCTTCTCCTCAAATACAGTGCGCACGCGCCAAGTGCAAAGGGATGTGGCATAGCCGTGGAGTGTCAGAGCCATATTTGGGGTAAAATAAAATTAGAAAGAGTCTTAATTCCGAATTTGAATAAAATATTTGTTTTGCTGGCACAGGGAGAATAGAGCGATGATTGTGGATATAGGTCAAACTGGCCTTTAACAACCTCCATGCCTTGATTCCCTAGTATGATGCACTTTACCAAGCCAATAGCGTAATTAATAACCTTAGTAATCATTTTTACACAAATCCAACTTGCAGCAACTCGAGTACTTGGTGCGAGTCTGAATTGAATACTTCCGCGGAGAGTCCTCGGACGCCAACTCCATCAGCCACCCGGACGCCGATTCTATAAAGCTATGGCGTGGGTTCTAGACTGGGTGCAAATATATGGGTGTTACGCTACGTGTTTCATTGTGAGATTCGATTCCACGTTACTTGTGAAATATAATAATCTGAATTTTCACATTGGGTGATGCCTCATGCAAGGTAAAGATTTGCTCAATTCTATAAAAAGGGATCTCACTTGAAATATACATCTGAAGTAGGCCTATGTTGTTTGAATTTTGCCAACGGTGTCATCCCTCTATTTACAGATGGTACCTCACACTGGACTGGGTGGTAATCAGGCGATTGAATCTGGTGCATGTTTTGTCAATCAACTATCGGCCCTCAAAAAGCAAGATAAAGGGAAAATACCGAAGGATATCGCGCTTTCTAAAATTGAAAATTGTTAAAAGATTTACACCACCAAGCGTAGGAAAATGGTTTCATCTGAGATGCAGTTCACGAGATATTATTGCCAGAACCAACTCAAGATAGTTCCTCTCAACTCTTCCCTTACGAATAACGATGGCTTTCTCGCAGGTATGTTGAAGTCGCTCAGCATGGCGGAGAAGTTAGAAGACTGGCCGTGGAATAGTGATCGCGTGTCTTAGCATTCAGAAATGGCGCAAAATGTAATACTCAAGTCGAAATCAAAGGCAAGGCTGTGAGCGAGAACCCAGAAAAGGAAGATGTGCGGATAGGAATATACCAATATGATAAAAGAATTCCCTTGTCGGCCGCCAATATATTATAGATAATTCGAGGCGATTTCTCAGTTTACATCAATTCATACATGAAATATTCTAGATGTCATTGGCTGTTGCAATTGACAACGCTGATTTTATTACCTGTCTTTTGATTTTCTGCTGTAAGTTGTTCCCTTCTAAACGATTTCCACGCCGTGATGATAAATGGCTGAAAAACACGGATTTTTGATAGATGGGTACTGTCTGTCTATCCCTTCTCAGCGTTGCGGTGTGATTTCTTTTCTCCGACACGTAGAAAAGGACCTGAGTTGGAAGGCGTCGGGTTATTGAAGACCTTATGCGACAATGGAGAAAAAACGAGTGATTTAGAACAGGGGTTAGGAGGTATGAAATGATGCCACTTGTAATAACAGTTGATTCTTGGTTAATTCTTTGGTATTTGTTAGATTATTTTGGCAATGGTATCATTGTATTTTTGATAGGGTTTCCAAAGTGGGGGGTCTGATTACGGAGTGCAAGACTGTCTATAATTCTTTCCAAGCTGCGAGCTGACCGTTCTATTGATCATGTGCGAGTGAAGTCGTTGATTAAACCTTTTCAGACTCTTGATTGATATGACTTTCTTTCATCTCCTTTTGTAAAGTCATGGCACGCTGAACTCCAAGGCCATGGCTACATACCTCGCGAAAAGACACGAGTGGTATATTATGAATCTCTAGGTAGCAAAATATCACAAAACCCAACCGATAAAACAAAATGCCGTATAAAATCCAAATACTCCGCTCGGTGCGCAGCTTTTCATCATGGATAAAAAGTTCAACGAAATTATTATATTGCTTCCGCAGCTGCCGACAGTGTTGAGCATTGTACCCAAGGCTCATGCTTCAGTAAGTAAGACCTCGGTTCCAGCCCAGGCGGTTGGGGTGACACCTGCAGCAAAAAGGCTACATATAAAATAATTGTAACCAAAAGGACGATACTGGCCCAGTTGATGTTCTGAGTTTGGACAACCAGGCCGTGGTTGATAGGGATGCGGTGGAATGCGACGGCGGCCACGACCAGGGAGGTTGCCTAGCCGAAGATGATGAGTTAGTGCGAGAAACTCTTGTGGGTTGGTAATTGAATATATATGCGTACCATCCCAAATAGAGTAACGAGAAGAATAATCCTCCGACCAAAAGGTCAAGAAATGTAATATTAGCAAAGCCAAACAGAAAGTTAGTGACACAGACGGCAATCGAAACAGCGACTAGCTTCTTGAACCCGACCATAGAGAATAAAGTCGAAGAATACATCAAGGTATTGAAACCACCGAGTTGGGAAACTGTCCATATTAGATATATAGCCTGTATGAAGTGTTGATATGACCAGTCATTCGCTTGCCATTACGATACATTCCATGGTTAAGGCCCAAAGCTTAGCAGATACTGTGAAAATTTGTTTAAACCGCCACTCGTTGATATAGATGCGATTGTTATACAATCAATAATCACATCGACACTTCAACGCACCATCATCCCCAGACTTTGGCCGCGCCTTTCCCCGCGTTTTGTGGTCAATATGTTGTATCCATAAATCTTCAATGTCGAAGAGAGTCATTAAACAGCCGGCATATTATTAACAAAATATTGAGAATCCAATTCGCTTAGTAAAGCATTCCAGTCCAAGGAGTCAATCTCCATATCGGCTGTGAAAGCATCCCAGTCCGAAAATGGCATTTCAACGTCGCTTGCGGTTGTAGGTAATCCAGATCGACTCGCTTCACCTCTTGAAATTGTATCTGAGAAAGTCTCGGTATTTTCCTCCTCCCTATTGCATTCGATCGAAGAATGTGGACGGTTAGACTGTCGAGAGGAAAGAGAACGCGAAAGATTGGTCAAGAGTGGAAGTGAGAGCTTGTGTTTTTGCACCACCCCATTGAGTGACTCTAGAAAGCCAGCAACCATTGGCGACTGCGTTCTTGCATCCTCGAGTATGCCGCAGGCATCTAATAATTCAGCCTTGCGGGTTGGATCACAGTGTCCGCCTTCATTGTGAAAGCAAATGTCAATCAAAAACACAATACTTGCAATGAAAACAGCTGGCAAAACACCGGCTATGTGAAAGCGCGTGCGCACAAATACTATATCCTCATGCTCAAGAAATCTTTCCGTGCGAATGATTAGTCGTGCCGCATCAAGACAAACCTTTCGCGAGTAGTCATATTGAGATCCAACTGAATTCTTAGATGATAGGTAAGGAAGATGCATTTTGCATCGGTGGGAATGTAGTAACGAGTTGAGAATGTACCTTTGGACAATGATCCCGGCAGTCAGCTTTTTCTGAGATTCTACTGCGCTTTCCCTCTCAAGTCTGAAGAATTGTGGTAAGCCCGCCATAAACCGATTGAATTTGGCGTCAACTTCCAGAACCTGTGCATAGGTAGTAGGTTCGCCCGGTATAGCATTGAGCAACATGCTATCAGACAGCTCTCGGCAGAGTTCACCCAAACGAATACGTTGCAGGAAGTATGACGTTTCCGTTGGTTCTGAAAGAGGCTTGTCTATACTATCAGGCATGCCATCGTATAAGTCGTCGTCATTGACATTCCATGGTTTGCGTGTCACAGTATGTCGGGGATGAACAGAGTATATTCCTTCTTGGGGGGTAGCGTAACGACACAACATCCTGTATTGCCAATTATTTGCATCTAGTTGTATACAAAGAAGATAAAAGAGTAGGCATACCAGTCTGTTGCTGATAGATACCACCATAACCTCCTTCCAATTTCTTCGGCAACAGAACCGCGTTTGGGTCTTCCAAAACTTGAGGTGTGGTTTGGGTGGTCGAGTCGATGTAGACCGAGGTCGCGCGCCATAGTGATGGCCTGGTAGACCAGAGATGAATATCTCACTGTAATTCCTTCCAAGTTGACTAGCATAAAAAAAACAATGATCATTGCCTGAATATCCTCAATAGATCTGGTAGCACAACGACGCGAACGATCGAGCAAATCAAGGCAAGATCTAATCCACAGATATGACTGAGCATTTGCATCTTCGGAGTTATCAAACAGTTCGGGATGAGCATCCGTGTCTAACGATGTCCAGGCAAACGTAGTGCTGGCGAAAATGCTTAGCAATAGGGCCACATATCCGTGGGGCACAGGCTGCTCTCTCGCGAGATCGTCATAGATGTTGTCTAAACGCCCTCGAACTGTAGGGGTATGGATGACATGATGTATATATGTTATATCCCGTACATACTTCTCGAAAAGTAGTTTGGCTTCTTCATGCCGAGGGAGCCATATACATCTTACTGGTTCTTGGACTGTCTGTGACTTGTCTGCAGGCCATGTGTACGTTGGCGATCCCGAGATGTATTTAATAGAGCAGACACGAAGAGATATATCGATGGGTGCAATCGAATTCTATACTGAGTTAGTACGGTGGCTCCCGTATAGCGCGAAACATCACCGAATATAAATAGTCTGTTCGAAGGTTGACAGAGGAGCGCGAGTTACTCACAAGTAAGCCTTCATTCGCGGAGACCTTTTGCAGTACATCAGCTTCAATCTGTAACGAGGGGCCAACAGAGGCCGTAAAAGATCCTGTTCTCCGCAAATTTGGTTGCTGTGTTATGGTGTGGTTTCGTGATTGACGCTGGTGATGCCGACGATGATTCCCATTTCCCTGCAGTACTATATCCTCTAGGTGTCGAATACGCGCAAGAAGTTCAATGTTGGATGGGGAATCTTCCGATCGGGAACGACTACAGTAATTGGAGGCACTCGTCATGTTTAATGAGATTGAAGGCTGTAAAGAGCATGAAAGTCCACGAGAGACACAGTTGGAGCATGGCGACTGCCGACAGCAACGCAGTTTGCGAGAACGACAAAAATGGCATGAAACTGGTCGGCTACGCGGAGTAAGCCTGCGCTCTGCAGGGCCCATTTCAACGTACTCTCTCGTTTTCTTTTGTTTTATGTGAAAAAATGAAATGGTTGATAAATTTTGAACTGCACAGGCTTTTGCAGCGTTGTAATTGACCGTTGTTGAGTTCCACATCAACCAATAAGAATGCGTAAAGTCCACGGAGGCCCCGGATTTCCGCGGCGTGGTTTAGGGTGTACAATCAGCAAGTACATAAACATGACAATGTCTATCGAAAATTTCAAGAATAATAATAACGTATCTTGTGTAGTCCAATTCAAAGGTACAAGAATAGCCATTTCACCATGGAAGCTATTGTTGCCCAAATCCGCGCCCTAATCAGCCTGGCCGATGCCTCTGAACGCAACAAAATCGTTAGCAATCTAAACGAGCTTCATCTTGAGTTCCAGGACCCAATGGAGCTTCTATATAGAATTCACTGTTCTGTGAGTATTGCTGACCAAAGCCATTTCCTTTATATACTAGTCTAACATATGTGCCGTAGACTGTTCAAATAGTAGTAGCCAAGGTAGGCGTTGATCTAGGCATCTTTCGAGATCTAGCAGAGACAAACTCCTCAAAAACAACGACCCAGCTAGCACAAGATACTGGCACTGATATTGAACTCCTCGGTCAGTTTTATCCAAACTTTTTGGGAGGGTGGTTAATCACAATATAATGGGATCGCATGCTTACATTGGATTAACTAGAGCGTATTCTCCGTTTCCTTGCATCCGTGAATTTCATACAGGAAGTGGGCATCAATACCTACGGGGCCAGTAAATTAACGCATTTGTTGCTCAGAAAGAAGTCGAAGCCGCCATTACGCATGGGTGAGAACCCGGGTCCCTTTGAACACAATGGCAGGATTTAGGCTAACAGCTATCAGACTTGGAACTCTAAGCCCTGCAGCAAATGCAACACCAGCATTCCTCGCAGAAACAGGGTACAAAAACATCACAGATTCAGGAAACACGCCCTTCCAGAAAGCATTTAATACTAATCTAAAAGCATTTGACTGGCTGCAAGGCCACCCAGATTTATTCGGTGCCTTGCAGGTTGTTATGACGTCTCTTGAGTCAACCAATTGGACCGAGAATTTTGAAATGTTCCATAAAGAAGCTGAGTCCATACTTCCTCGTGAATCACAATCTGCCGAGTCGCCATTTCTTGTTGACGTTGGTGGTGGTTATGGCCATCAGTGTATTCAACTTCTCAAAAAATACCGCAACCTACATGGTCGACTCGTGTTAGAAGACCTTCCTGAAGCTGTGGGAGGAACACAACATGCCGACGGTATAATATACCTTACACAAAACTTTTTCGAGAAGCAGGCAGTTTGTGGTGCCAAATTTTATTACATGCGTCGCATTATGCACGACTGGTCGGATGATGAATGTGTGAAGATACTCAGACTCCTTGTAGATGCCTTTGGGAAAGACTCAAGCATCTTACTCGATGAGATTGTTTTGCCCGATATAGGAGCCCCTTGGCTAGCAACAATGACGGACATTTCCATGATGATTTCATTTGCTGGAGCGGAAAGATCAAGCAAAAAGTGGCATGATATTGCTCAAAGAGCGGGATTGAGAATTGTGCATGTTCAGGTCTACGATCACCAACAAGCATATGCCATGATCGTCTTGAAAAGGGCTGACTAGAAACATTCGTGTATATGTGGTGAATCAGCTTTGTACTTCAACCTACCTAAGTGCTTATTAAACTGCTATAGTTCTACATATCTATTCCATGTAAATTAAATTGAGTAGATATAAGATTACTGGAAATTACCAATACATTACGCACCCACCACAGGTGGAAATAGCTTATCCTGTAACCCATCATCCCTGCTCAGGGAAGGGAGCGAGTTGAGCGTTGCCAGCAGATATCCTAGTAATTGAACCTAGATCAGACAAGCGATATTTAGGGCACGATGTGTTGCGCGGCCCCCTGATATAAGATAGCAAAGCTCCTAAAAAGTGCCTCTTTGTCTGCTCACTTCAGACATGTTTTATTTCTGTGCATTTCAAGCAGTATGGAACCAGACAATCATTAGCTATAGACACGATGTTGCCTAAAACAGACAAATCAATATCGAGATAAATACTCACCCTGTATTAGAAACAAATAAAAGAGAAGTTCAAGATTGAAGGTATCTAAGAGTTGCAGCCTAGGCGAGGTATGAAATTGAGCAAGTAAATTTGGTCTGCGTTCTCGGACTATCGTAATAATATAAGCCTCCCCGTTCATCATAACTTCATTAAAACCATAGCGTTCCCATAGCATAGACGTAGATATGCAAGCTGTTTGCAGTATAAATAATCATGGATTTTCTCCAAATCATAGGTGCAAAGTCAAAGCATACATGAATTACAAACACACCGTATTAGTATACAAAATCATGAGTATTATTTGCTGAAACATGACATTCCTGCATGATACGTCTATTCCACAGATTCAGTGCAATCAATATACTCACACAGAGTAAACACGATTAAATGATTCCGCCATCTGTCACACTGGTAGCTCTTCTATTCCTTGGTACTTCCTGGTTATAGAAATGAAAGCATGAACAAGCCATCGTGGTTAGTGTTCCCCTGCGTGAGGTGTCGATTCGGCAAGCTTTGGAGCCAGAATAATGAAACGGTGCTCGGCGGTAATGAAAATTTCATATTCTTGCTGATCCTTATTACGACCAGTGCGTACCGCAGAGGGAAGGTGAGCGACCCCAGTCAGCCTCTCACCCAAGAAATTCACGTTCCCCAATGTCGATACTCTAGAGCGGATGGATGCGTCAAATGTTCCAGAGGCTTTGGCAGCACTCCGCCAGAGAGACAGTAGGCTTGGTATGATCGCAATTTGTTCTCCATGTCGTATTAAGACCGCTTCCTCCGCAAGTGTGGCACGCCATGAATTGGTTTGAATAATGGCGATCTCGCCATGTAAGGACGGTGGTGTCGGGGTTTGAGCCCCTCGAAACAAGGTATCTTCACGAATACGTCTCGTTGACGGTGTCATCGGAGCAAATTTGGATCTTTGTTCCGAAACACTATTGCTGGTGCTCTGAGATTTACTTGCTTGCGGACTACCTACAATGCGACCGCTGATCGAGAATGCCGTCAATGAGCCTCCAGTGACACCGCGGACACTCGTTTGGCCGACCAGGGGCCCTGGTTCAGAGCCTGGTCCGGCACCTTCGACATCCCAGACACCCCATTCGCCATCAGCGAGTAGTACTATGATAGCTTTTCCAAAGAGCGCCCATGCGGCGTCAACAATCGTTTTCCTACGCCCAAGCACATTTGCGGCGGATTCAAATCCAACATACAACGTCAAAAGCCATTTCCCACTCGGCCCTAGCCTCTCATCTTCATTCTGGTTTCGGGTACCTTTAGAAGCTTCTAGACATTCCAAAATCTTCACATATCCATCGGAAAAAGAGACCAATAGATGAGAATGACGAGCTGAAGGGTATGGAGAAGGGTTGAATGAAATTGCTTTTGCAGGAGACGGCAAGTGGTGTGTTTGTATAGGTCGTATGTCGCTAATAGCTATCGTATAAAGGTCTTCTGTGTCTCGCCTGATAGGGATGCTGTAGACAAGCAATGTGCCAGAAGCTTCCGCGGTATGAGTGGCTACTAATAGGTCCCAGTTCGTATCGACAGGCTGGGAAGATCCCGGTCGTGATCGGGTATGTCTTGTCGACTCCTTCTCGTCTTTTCCACACGTGAATGTCATCGACGCCCCGTTGGGAATTTCATTATGAGATACGGTGGCGTCCAGCGTTATTGTTTGCGGCTTGGGCCCTAGTTTTGCGGTTTTTGGATGTGGAGGGGCGAGTGGGAAAGTAATAACCCTTAGCTTAGAGTCTGCACAGATCACAGAGACAACAATCAGCTTGGTGAGAATTGGAGGTACTGTGTATCCCAACGAGCGTGCTTTCTCGGGGAGGACAGACGGCACGGCTAGTTGGAGAGCTTTTGAACCTAGAGGTATATCCACATGATAAATAATAGGTTCATATGGATGAGACGGGTCAATCTCGGTTTCTTCGTCTTCAAAAATGTCCACTTGTGGCGCTTCATGGGTATGTGAAGTTGCTGGTGCAGGCTCCTCATCGTCCGAATCAATGATCATGATAGACTCGTCAATATTCTGCACATTATTTGGCTTTCTCGTGGTAACAGAAGCTTCTTGTTTCTTCTCTATAGGGGAGGGGAGGAATGGTTGACCACCTCTCCAAATTATTCGTATTCCGTCATCGTGGCCGTAGACGATAATTGTCGAGCCGTTTGGTGCGAGCAGAGGGTAGGGTTTGGCAGTGAAGACGCGATGAGGCAGAGAGTAGCTATAGGTATATCAATACTAGAACCACGGAACAGTAAACATATCGGGAGGAGCTACCTGAGCTGCAGTCCATCATCTCTCTGGCGCACTATTGGTGTCGCGAACGAGCTTGTCATGATGGCGACTGCGACGCAAAGTAAATGATAGTCAACCGGGGCTCAGAGCATTGCCTATTAATGTGCATTCAATTGAGAGAAGATAGCAGCTTGTCGCAGCGCACCAAACAAGTTATGGCTGGAATGGTTGACGATGTGGGTGGTGGCTGGATATTTTCTGAGTTGGAGAAAGCGAGCACTGGCCGCCAAGCGCGTCACGTTTGTTCTCCGCACTGGAGCGGGAAGGCGTAAACAGAAATAGTGAGCAACACAAAGACGAACATCCAAAAAAACAACAAGACGCAGAGTCCTCGCTTTCATAACGCAAGTAATGGAATACCACCGGCCATTGACAACGGCGCTAGGATGAATTTTGTCCATATGGAGGCTACTCTTACGCAATTGATCTTGGGTCTTCCTCAACAACCTCGTGAACAATGGCGTCGGTGCGATCCGTTGGCCTTCACGAACCCCCCGCATTGCCTTTCCTCGTTTCTGAAGGCCTCGTCCCCCTAGAACCGACGGAAAATGACTATGTGTGGAAACCACAGCAACCTGGTAGCGATGATGATATAACATATACGAAGAATTGTGCCGTCTGGTCGCGCGGTGGTGTGGTAAAACGCGTGTTCAAGCTCGACATCGAGAACGAGGAAATCCGCCATGTTGTTCTCACATCATTCCCTTCGGTGTGCCTCCAGAACACCGAGCATGAGCCACGAATATCACCGGAGCATCTACGAAATGGACAAACTGCCATTAAAAACCATGAAAACGTGAAATCAAACGGAAGTGATCGAGATATGGTTGTGGATCCTACTGATCACAAAATTGTCAAAGGGCACTTTCATGCATGCAGCGATCCCTCGAAAGCCTTGGTCGTAGTTCTCAAAACCCAAGCACACATATTCTTCCTAGCCGGAAATAGCCATGTTGTGCCGTTACCGTTTGAAGTTGATTCTGTCTTCGCTTCCCCTCGAGGGTTGATCTTCCAGAGGAGGCTCCCTGTACAAACATCACAGCACGGCCTCGCTGCACCTCCAAACTCCTTTATCTCACAGCAGACTTTTCCGGAATTCCAACCGAGCCAGTCGTTCAGATTATCGACGGGCAAAGAACCCCGCTTATCCACCACCCTGGGCTCAACAAATCCCTCAAAGCCACAAAAGAGATACAGCGAGTCAGATATGCCTCGAACATTTTCATTGACGGATCCTCACTCAGAGATGGGTCTTGTTGTTTCAAACCTCTCAAATCGAGCAACATATGCCAAACAGGAGCCTTCTGGATTCGACACTCTAGACCCTGCAGACGAAATAATCTATGTCTCAAGCACCAATGAGCTTCCAGGGGACCAAAGTACGGTGGAAGTGCGTTCTCTCATCCTAGTTGTGACGATAAATACGAAAACAGGGTTATACACTATTTGGACAGCCCGATATAGGCTGGAGGCCACAGGTCAAGAATCAAGGAAACGCAGAAAGCCTGTGCTCAGCGGTGCTCGCTCAAAAAGGCGGAGCTCTCACTTTGGAATGACTTCAGGAACTGCAACACCGGCTGTTCGGCCCTCAGGAATGAGAGAAAGCCTCGGCACAGCCCGAAACGTATCTGGTCCATCTTTTTCTCAAGGCTTTCCAGCAGAAGAGGCCTCTGATCAGACTGATTTCGCGTCCCAAATAGGGCAGGACTTCGCAGATATTGGTGGTCCATCAAAGACGTCGCGTCGGGTTAGTTCCTTAGTTGCAAGAGCAGAGCTTGGCACTAGCCAAGATAGGACGACTTTCACGGACCTCGCAACGGGGAACCCTGGGAATACAGCAAATTATGGAAGCCTGCGACAATCAATGGGGGCATATAGCAGCCGTGCTAGTTTTGGTCATAATCTGAGGAGTTCCTTCGCTGGGAACGCTTCTGTTTACAGCAACACCAGTAGCTTCATGGACGCGCCTGTCGATCGTCTTCTGGAAGAATTGAATAACGGAGGTGGCTTTGAAGGATTTGAAAGCATGGATCTCACTGAATCCATGTCTGAGTTACCTAAAGAGATGATCTTACAGAAGGTTGAAAGTTTCTCCTCTGCGATATCCGGCAGTAGCTTCTCGTTTTCCGAACCGAGAAACTCTCAAAGACCTAGAGTATTCACGCTACGACCCGACGAAGCAACATGCGTTAGAACACATGGCCCAACAAACATTGGACTTTGCTTACTTGACCGTAGATCTCAATCACTGGTTGTGGTGAATCTCAAGGTTGAAAGGGCAAACATGTCCGGCATCAATAACAGCCTCCATGGCAAGTCGATGAAAACTCAGAAGCAAAATCAGAAGGCCTTCATGGTCCAGGCAACAAGTATTCGACACGGTCCCAACGTAGTAGATGCTTGCAAAGTCGTAGATGGCGGTATTTCAAGAATACTGGTATTGACGTCTACAATGGACGGCAAAGGCGAGCTGACCTTGCAATCTCCCTGGAGCCCTCCTGTCAAAATTGAGCTTCCAGCCAAATTATTGCTGCATCCTCCACACCGCCTGTCATTTTTGCAACGGACACACGAGGCAGGTTTGAGAAGAACCCTAGAAAATCAAACTCTCCAACTAGTTGAGGTGAGGCATTCTTCCTCGCGAGGTAAGATAGACGTGGTTGACTCCGAAAAACGTTGCCACCATATCGAAGTCCAATTGCAGCCGAAGAATGCATTGGTAAAAAGGATACTAGATGTATGCCGCTTCGTCCTCAGAGATTCTCTTCGTGCTGCCGATGGACTGTATACAGCTTGGTGGGAAGTCTTGCGGTGGCTTCAGTCGAGAAAGTCTGATGAAAATGACCTAGAATGGACCGCCATAGTTGTTGTACTGTTCAGTATGGCAGTCGGTTTTATGGATTCACCTTCCTCTCGAATCACCGTTTCTGGGAAGCAAAGACGCAGAAAGGGTCTTTTACGATCCAGTAGTGGCAGCCACATCGACCAGGAGAGCTGGGAAACCATGGTAGAAGGAATGGCAGGATCTACTGGTGTCACCTCGTCGTGGATGATGAGCTGCTCGTGGGCTTGGGTCTCAAATGGCGGGCATGAGGACGGATCTAAACCATTTCACGTCGAGAAACAGCCTTTCCAAAAAGAGACCGATAAATCGAAGAATACATATATAATCCGATGTGCAAGTCTTGCTCGTGATTTTTTCGAAAGTCCTCAAGGGGAAGCGGCTTCTGGCTCTGATGGCTATCTTCCTACTGCATTGTGTCAGGATCTAAATACACGACGCAAGGCGTTGTGCAGCATCCTCGTAGGACTTCACTTGTTACGAGAAGAGCAAAAACTTTCTATTTACGAAAGTGAAAGCTCTTATCATGAAAAGGGTATGCTCGCCCCAGTTTTGGCTCAAATTGGTCGATGGGTTGGGTGGACATCGTGGACCTGGAAAGAGGATGGCTATTATGGTACGGAATTGGCAACAATGTCTTGCTGGGCATTTGAGGACAATCAAATGTTGCGTCTAGATGTCCCTGCGGAGCCCTTCGCTCCACCCTCTATCTTTGGTCATCTCCAAAGCTCTCAAAGTCAAAATGTGACAAGCCCTTTTTTCACTCTCCTTGATGTCGTGTCGGCCACAGATCGTCGACCTAGGAAAGGCAGTATGTGGGACGATGTCTTTCAACTAACCCCTAGGACCCTCGCAATCAATGGGTTCATGTCTGAAGTTGGTCTGAAGTCAACCACGGTCGATAAAATCCAACTTCTTCTTCGCTGGGGGTTGACGAGTAACGTGATCGAAACTTTGCCAGAAGGTGTAAGTGTACCGTTGTTTGAAACGATCGCCGGCTGTCAGATAGATCCTCCAACGTTAGATTCACCAACGTCTTGGACCTCTGCATTAGTAGAACTTATCGATCGAGACGATCTCTATATGTCCATGGAAATTGAAAATGTCTCTCAACCAGCTTCTCGCATGCAACTCGCTGCAAGTCACGATTCAGTCCGTGATATCCACCACATTGGCATCTCGACATTGGAGTTTGAGCTGTCAAACTCGTTTGAAGTTTCTGTGGAGGCAGATCGTATAGCCGTCACTCGATTGATATTTCGTGAGGATAGGCGATTTCTGGAGGCTTCAAAACTTCTCAACCAGTCCAAAGCCCCAATAGCTCAATGTATTCCTGAACCAGATTGGTCCGACTCCGATCTACTGGAAGCTCAAAAAGAGGTGGTTCAACTCGTCACTCTAAGAACTTTGTCTGTGCCCGCTGGCCGATCCATGTTTATGTTCAGTGGTCGCTCACCTTTACTAACTGAAAAGCTACCGATACCATCGTTTTCCCTACAGTGCATAATGAAATCAACAAATGTGACTATAAGCGCCGATAGATCGGCATTCAGTGAAGAGAAAGTGGCGTGGGCATTCTTCCATAACGGAGCTGCGACAGGACTTGCCATATCGCGAGCCTCCCGTGGCATTGACACTTCTTGGATTCTTTACAACAAACCTCAAGAACTCACGAATAGGCATGCTGGATTCCTGCTTGCCCTTGGACTTAATGGCCACTTGAAGAACTTGGCTAAGTGGGTGGCTTTCAAATATTTGACTCCCAAACACACAATGACATCAATCGGGCTTTTACTCGGCATGTCCGCGTCTTATCTGGGAACGATGGATATTCTTATCACCCGCCTTCTTTCAGTGCATGTTACTCGATTGTTGCCTCAAGGTGCAGCAGAGTTGAATTTGTCCCCACTTACCCAGACGGCTGGTGTTATGGGCATTGGGCTGCTGTACTTTAATTCGCAGCATCGACGAATGAGCGAGATTCTTCTGTCTGAAATTGAAAATATCGGACAGGAAGAAAGTTCAATCTCCCAGGAAGAACTTCGTGATGAAGGTTACCGGCTAGCTGCTGGCTTCGCACTGGGGTTGATTAACCTTGGCAAGGGCAAGGATCTTAAAGGTCTACGTGATATGCAGGTGGTTGAACGGCTGCTTACCTTGGCCGTTGGCACAAAGGATGTCGATTTAGTACACATTCTGGATAGGGCCACTGCCGGTGCTACTGTTGCCCTCGCGATCATCTTCATGAAAACGAACGACGAAACGCTGGCTCGTAAAATTGATATACCAAACACGACCGTTCAGTTCGACTATATACGGCCAGATCTCTTCCTGTTACGAACAATGGCGCGGCATATCATCATGTGGGATAGTATTGAACCGAGCCCACAGTGGCTCCTCGGCAGCCTCCCAAATACATACAGGAAACGATACAGGCTTACAGGAATTCGCAACCTGTCTAGTGACGACATGCCATTCTTCAATATTATCGCCGGTCTTTGTTTCGCCATTGGGCTGCGATATGCGGGCTCGGCCAACCCCAGAGCGAAGGATTTGTTGCTCTCATATCTAGATCAGTTTATTCGTATAGTCAGGCTGCCTGCTCCGCATTATGATGGGCGATTGGCGCGTAATTCCGTGCGTCACTGCCAAGATATCGTAGCAATATCTGCTGCCGCTGTCATGGCTGGCACAGGTGATTTGGCTCTTTTCCGAAGATTACGTTCTCTCCACGGCCGAATCGACCCAGACACATCTTATGGAAGTCATATGGCAGCCCACATGGCCATCGGACTTCTCTTCTTAGGCGGCGGTAGCTACACTCTAGGTACCTCCAACCTAGCGATTGCCTCGCTAATGTGTGCATTTTATCCGATATTTCCTATGTCTGTATTAGACAATAAATGCCACCTTCAGGCATTTAGACATCTCTGGGTATTGGCTGCTGAACCACGCTGCCTAGTAGCTAGAGACGTAGACACCAGGCGGCCAATGACAGCTCCGATTTCCATCATCACGAAGGATGGGCAAATAACAGAAACAATCTCGCCATGCCTGCTTCCCGATTTAGATGATCTTGTTATGGTCAGAGTACATTGTCGAGATCACTGGCCATTGGTACTAGACTTTGAGAAAAATAAGCGCTTACGTGACAAATTCCGCCGTGGCGATCAGTCCATATACTTACGGAGGAATACGACTTACGATGCCTCTGGCGGCTCTATCTTCGCTACCACGCTATCTGGGCTGAGTGAGGCGCAAGATATCCTTCCAAACTCTCTGACAGGGTTGGCGAAAGGGCTCACCCATCTTCCAAACCCGGTTGCCCTGCTACTCTCGGGCCAACGCAACAAAGCTCCCCAGCACGACTTATGGGACTGGGTCTTCGCGCTTCCATCGCTACAGGGTCTAGACCTTTCAGAGCGATCGGCCGTCTTACCCCCATCAGCGTTCCAGTTCCGGCCCCACTATTCATTTCATGGTGCAAAAACTCGTCCTCCATGGCTTCGCTTATCTCCCGTCGACAGCCGTTTAGTACTTGAAAGCACAGTCAACGAGGCTGTACAAGGTGCATCCGGACATGGCACTAATTCTGATGAAGTGAAAGATCGTCTATGGCAACTTTGTCTCCTTTTTGACTGGATAGACCGCGAGGTAAAGAGAGAGCGACAAAACGACGCTGAAGGAACGCTGGACTCTATCCAAGGCTCCACAAAGACCCACCGACGCACAGGATTGTGGCTAAGATGGGACGTTATCGAGGAGGCACGTTGGAAGATCTGGGGTGTTCAGGTTGGGGATAAACTTTGGCAGGATGGAGCAGGCGCTAGCATCAGCTCGTAATGCTGGCCACGGCTGGTGCTATAGCCCTAAGGTGGTTAAGTCAATTGTGGGGCGGCTGATTATAAAGCTTGATGGTTCTTGATACACTCCCTTTAGCAGGTGTATAAAACTTACTCTCTTGCTTATTATTTTGTCGGTAATGTAGAGTAGATCAGGCACTGCGATTTGTTTGGGAGAGGTCGAAGTGAGGCGTACGAAATACCGCCTTTCTTACCTCATCAGTCCTCTATTATTAATACGCCTGCATATGTTTGGCGTTGCTTCTTTTATGATCACCATCATCTTATTACTTTCGCGCTTACCAACACAATTACTATTATACACCGCATTCAATCAACTTCAAACCACAGTATTAGTCGTCGGAAATTGACCTTCAGTCCTCATCATCGCGGCTGCTCCTACTTGCGTGTATCACTTTGCCAGATTGAGTTTGCATTTTCAGACACAGGCACGATTTTACTTATACTCGTGATAAGAATGCTCCGCCTTGGCCTGTTTTTCTCCTTTCTGCACTCAACTGCACTAACTGCCACTACTTCTACAAAAGGCAAGGATCATACAAAGCCACCCAGAGGCCAGACTCCTGATCCCCGTAAGCAGTCCAGCGTGAATGGCCGCTTGTTTTCATTGCTTTTTTTTAGCGCTTCGCTTGGACACCTTCTCATACCCGATAGGGTCTACTAACCTTGGGCGCGCGCTGAAATTCTCAATTCACTATCGTTACTAAAGACTAGAGGGTTAGAGCTATATACGGAGACTCGGACACTAATACCTAGTGCAACTGACTATCTTTGCCCATCCCCCGGCAGCATCGGGTCAGCAACCCAAGTTGAATAAGGATCGGAGGACAGTTCTGCGATGCGATGCACAACCAGGCTGGTACGCTCGCCTGACCTCGTTCCTTATGCTTTTTTACCCTTATTTCTAATATCCCGGAATATCTCCATGACAAGATACCGCATGACGCGTTGCGCTTGCATCTGCATCGATTTGCTATCCATCACCACCAGTCACACTATGAGCAGCCTGGCGCACTGACGGAACGCACGTTTAGACCATCTACGAGTCCGATCTGCCTTTTGCATGCTTTCCCGATAATCTGGAACCTCTCACCTGTCATTATATGCAGTTGCCCTCGCCCACACGCACTGTGCCCCCCTCCAATCCCGTCACGTATTGCTAGCCACGCAAACGATCTATCACCTCGTCACTTTCAGAGGCCTTACCGCTCTATTCAGACACATCTTCTACGCTATTTAAGTCAAAGCGAAGTGGAGAGTGATGCCAAGCCGTCAGCGAAAACAGCCCGAGAATCGAAGAAGAACAGGCTGTTTCCAATGCAAAGGTTGTCTCAACATTTCGCTTCGGGCCACAAGCTGACTGGTTCGATGCTAGAAAAACACGTTCAATGTACCGAAGAGAAACCCAGCTGCAGGCGATGTCAGCGTCTAGGCCTTGTATGTGAACGCGGCATCAAGCTTCTCTTTCGCGATGATGCAATTCAGCGCGGGATCCAATTTGGTCGAGAAGGTACTCTAGCTCTGCGGTCGCATTTCTGGATTTCAATTTCGACTAACCCGGGGGGGGGGGTTGCTTTTCTTATTTAGGGACTTGGTCAAAACGATGCGGACGAATCAAGAAGCCGCCTGTTCTAGAGCTCGACGAGGACTTTACTGGCGTCCCGCTGGAGCAATACATTGGACGATGGATTTGGTTGAACACGACGTACGACGATTTTACTGGGGACCTTGACAATTCGGATACAGATGAAGCTTTGTTTCAGATCGATCAGAACACTACCCGACGAGCGCTCTATATGCAGGGCAATAGATATTTGAGAAGTCCATATCTGGAACCTCGGTCTTTTGGAGGGCCCTTCAGCCAATGCACGTATGAGGAAGGGAATCTTCTCGACTACTTCATCCGTGGTATTGGGCCGAACTGTTCGCTCAGTCGGTCTAATAATCCATACATGTCCTTGATTCCTCTTCTATCGCACACGACGTTCAAAAACACCCTTCTCGCTGTTTCCGCAAACCAGCTGTATCTGCTAGGCGATAAAAGTTGTTCGCAGGAGGCTTTTATGTACAAGGATAAAGCATTGAAGGGCTTACAGCGGGAGATCAAATCACCGACATTGCATTTTGCAACAGTGGCTTCTGTCTTGATGATGTGCTTCCACGATGTTAGTTTCCTTTAAGCTCTATCCTTTCCCCATTTTTAACATGGTACAGATCTCCGACGGATGCGCTTCTTCGTGGCTTTTTCACCTTCGAGTGGGCATGCAAATGACCCCTCAACTTCCATCATACTCTGCGCAAACAGAATCTCTGAAGCGCTTCTTCAACATGTATTTTGTTGGGCATGATATCATGAGCCGGACCGGACGAATCCATTGTGACGATGAGTGGGATGAGGATATTCCAACACACAATTGGCTTGAAACCGACGATCTTGATGAGGTAGGCAAAACTTGGATTTTAATTACTCCATGAAAGCTCTAGCTTAAAAATATGTACAGGTCGACACTACCGTTGGAAGTTCACGTCGATTGATGTCATTGATAAGTAATATCTCATCTCTGACCAGAAAGAGAGCGAATGTAAGAAGACCAACTCACTAGACCAGCAGTCGCGAATCGACTAACTCGTATGAACATGACAGTCCAACTCTTCTCGTGTTGACAAGGACTTTTTTACATCGAGCTGTGAAGAAATTGAAACCGCTCTTGAAACACTTCAGCAAATACTCCCTAGTAATTCATCCGCAGCGGATAATTATATTCTTCAAATCGCCGAGATAAAACGTCTGACTGCACTTCTGTATCTGCATGAATGCCTGGGCGAGTTTATCTCATCATCACCGTCACCATCGACCTCCTCGCCACCATTATCGCTACAAACTTACCACTCGCCTCCGCCTCCAAAGCTATCTAAACAAGGACTCGTCCAGCGTATCATCGAACTCATCTCCACCCTTCCCAATCCAGACTCAACCTCTGTTCTCTGGCCCCTCTACATAATTGGAAATAGCGCGGGTCTCGAAGATGAGTCTCAAAGACGGTTCGTACTTGAGCGCCTTCGCGGCATTCAGCAAACACGCAATCTTGGTAGTGTACGTGCAGCGAGAGTCGCCGTTGAACGTGCTTTTCGAACGAGAGATTTAGAACTACCGGATTCCAAGGGAGAGACAATACAAAAAGGAAGAGGCGTTATCAGTTTGGCTTGAGCGGGATTGCACTTTTGCCATCACGAGTTCATGATTCTAACATACTGCTTACACAGCTACTCTGTTATGAGTGATTAATTAGTAGGCTTTGGTTATGTTAGTTTCTATAATAGAATAGTCAATATAAATTTCACTCGGCTTATGTTCTTTGATTGCCATCAACTAGGTCACTGGTTGTAGCGCTTGTGATCATAAAATAAATCATAACCACTTGCAATTTACAGGAGTGGTAATATTTTCCGGATTTACCAATACCCTTGTACGCGCAGGCACATTTGGCTTGTCTTATCCACTTATCGTCAAAACAAATATTAAGCCACCGGGGAATAGCGGCCGGATATTATAACCTACCCAACATAAATGGCCTTGCATAAGCTAAACCCACACCGCCACTAATAAATCCAATGCGGATACAAACCAATGATAAGCTTGAGTTGAACCCTTATCCAGCTGCAATTTATATAGCAATCACATGTCAGCCACCGACTATGCATAGGTTATAATTAGCTGATTTTACCACCAAGTTCTAATGTTCTACTCCATTTCCACTTTTATTCGTGGGCTCCGGTCAGTCCAGCCTCTTTTTTCTTGACCAAGCTTACCAAGTTCAGCCAACCAGACCCGATACTTCAAATGTTGGAGGGCTAGATTGCTTAGATCATCCTTCGGTTCAAAAATGTTAAAGTTCCTGCTTGGGATTTTGTTTAAAGTTTCGGTCAGCTTTTAAAGTCAACAAGAAATCAACGCTATTGCTTCCAATCGCGGCACAGTAAGCCGACATTAGGAAGCGGCCTGAACTCCAAAATTACTAGCTGCGTGACTACATAGATGCATGTAACCTGGCATTTTTTGGGCCCTAGATATTTTATCACTTTTATTAGAAAATATAGTCTGCCGCTCGCTTGTGAAAAACGTTGACTTTCAATATTAGGTTGGCAGCCCTCAACATTAAAAATATACTCATACCGCCCCCTCGTAATATTCCCATACTAAACATACATGTACAGGATTTGCACGAGTGCTCTACTCTACTCACAGCTCAATCCGTTGGGTTATAATCCTATGTGTGATAATTCGAGTACACGTGTAATTTTTTTTAAAAAAAATATATTATTTCGACAACACACCTCGCCATACCCGTACGTATCTAGTTCATCCCCTTTGTAAAGCACGGTTGGGAAAATAGATGTAACTAGCTATTATTCCTGTTTCAAAATTCGGCATTTACATTCGTCGTCAAGAAGTAGTATATGTATAATCAGAATTTGAATTATAGTCGATTTTCTCAAGATATCAAACATTAACCAATGGATTCCATTATACATGTATAATTTGGATATATTTCAAAACCATGGGCTCAATAGTACTTGTATTGAGCTAGACAGAATCAATACTTTCAGCTGAAAAGAGTGCGAAAATACTCCAATTGACATCAAGGAAAGCTGTGATGAGGTCTATTTCGACGTTAAATCTCATATAAAGTCCTGGCAGCCCGAAACAGCATCGGGGTATACCTCATTATTTGCTGCTAATAAGATCAGCCAAGGACCTATTCTATTACAAGCAATAAATAATCCGAGCTTCCATTAGAACACCTCTAAAAATGCCCCCCCCCCCCCCCCCATCTACACATAAACAACCAACCCACATATGTAACAAATCAGTCATTCACAATCATAAACCATATTCTATTCCTATGTAGTATATCTAAACTCCTTTTGCTGATAATCCGTCATATCTGCAAACGGGGATTCCGCGAGGCTATCCGCATCCGAACAGTCCATTGGGGTCACTCGAATCTCTGGGTGTGTAAGCTGGCTCCGTCGAGCGTTGAGAATGACAGCTAGAATCCAGTAGACCGCCATCAGTCCGATGCAGATACAGTAGCAGACGAGCATGGCGGCGAAACCGGTGGTGTATTCAGGGGCCTGGTTGGCTCGGAAGGTTTGCGGGCCGATTAGGTTGCCTGTATTAGAGTTAAATTGGTGAGTGTGAAACATTGAGGCGGAGAGGGAGAGGCGTACCGATGGCGTATCCAACGTACATAATCGAGTATTGGACGTTCTTCTTGGTGTGGCCGGCGGTGTTGGCCTGGCCGAGTGATATTCCTGTGACTGGTGTTAGGGAAGTCGTGGTAAATCAACTGGGCAGACTAGACCTAAAACATATGGACCGAAATATGTATACAACTACAGACACTATTAATCATTGAAAATGGCAAGAAACGGCAAGAGAAAAAAAAGGATAGAAATACCAAGTAGATTCCAACCCTGCACCCCGAATTAGTAAGTTTCAAGGGCGACCCAAGACGGACACAGCCAAGAAGGAATGCCTCACATCTGACCACCGATATTACTCCTAGGCAGGGTGTACACCATAATCGCGCCAATAGCTGGGATAAAAGCCGCTATCATTGTCACCAGACACCGTCGATTAGTCCACTTAGCTGCAATCCAGGAGAAAAGAAACGCTGAAATGGTCGACATGATTCCAGTAGGCATGTTCAGGAGGGAGGTTTTGACGGCGTCGAAACCGAGATTATTGATGATAATGCCGCTGAAGGTGATTAGCCCTTTGGAGCGTTGCGTTAGCCGGATAGCATCACCAAACGAAACAAAGTGGTTGAAGAAAATAAAGAATACCTCCGTTTGGAACATTGATAGCAATGTTGAATAAAAAAATAATCCATGTTTTCGGGTCCGCTATAGCTTCTATCGCTTGTTCCTTTTTCCAAGTTTTGTTAATAATTCCCGTCTTGTTATCGGCTTGCCTGGCGATGGCATAGTATTTCTCCTGGTTAGTAAGGAACCAAGCATTCATTGGCGTGTCCGGGAGGTATTGCAATATAAAGATAGACCACACAAGGGATATAGAACCTAGAATAAGATAAGTATCACCTAGTTCAAATGTTTAGTTCTTCAGGTTAAAAGACTAACCCGTAATCAAAAATAGATACTGCCAAATCGAAAGCGTCGACGGCGATTGAATCTGACCTACCGCCCAGGACAAAAACCCGTTTATCACGGAACTAATCGCCGCGAAAGCAATGGCGTTGCGAGGAGGCTGTTCGGCCTTTTTATAAAATCCGGCAATGACAAGGGAAATTGACGGCACGATGATCCCCTCGAGACAACCTTTACAAGAAAATGTTAGAGTTAGACGAACATAAACGGGCCTCGTGATCGAACTTGTACATGCCCATTAAAAACCGCAAGGCCATTAAGTCTCGGAATGCACGACAGGTGGGGATGAGCAACGACAGCAATGACCAACCGAGGGAGCAGCTGGCGAGATATTTTGCAGATGGCACGCGGTGGAGGAGATACGATGATGGCCACATGCCGACAATGCACTATATGCATATGTATACTTTAGATATTCGCCTATTTAGAAGGTAGTTATGTTCATGCTTACCCCGACATATAGAATAGAGCCAGCCCAGGAGTATTGACTACCAGAGAGGTGCAAGTCTAAATTCAAAGTTGATGATTAACAAGATCCTTAAACTCTGAGGCACATACCATCTCTTAGACCATAGATAGCTGCTGTGCTGATAGCAACCTTGTCAACCGCTCCCAATGTGGCGGTGGTGAGAAGCTATCAAGTGACACCCTGAGTAAGCTCCGGTACCAAAGTCTATCAGGACAAGCCTCACCATTGGCACGAGAATCCAATCTATCTTGCGTAATAACCTTTTCTCCTGGGCCACAGACATGGGTGGGAAGCCCCCGGCCTGATTAAGGTACTCTCCAGCTTGATCCATTCTGAGAGTTTAATCATGTAAGAAAATTACTAAAATCAAAAATGGGCATCGACTCATTGATCATTTCGGAAATGAAAATCCCAGGTAGATGCGTGTGTATTTATTTAGCTTCCAGTGCTTATAGCTCAAGTCATACGAGGGCCGCGCATTGCCAACCAATTTATCGTCTAATGTACCTCAATGGATATGTTCATTCGACAAGCAGGACAGGAAAATGATTATCTAGTTGGAGTTACTAAGCATACCAAAAAGGTATGGATGCCATACAACCGATCCAAGGCTATGGATACCCCATTGTCCGAGCTTCATAGGTGATAAGTAAGTGGGACTCCGGGAACTCGGGTCTCGGCGGTCATGTGTTACCAAATAAGCCGGAATAATCCACTTTGGGGCTATTTTTTCCATCAAGGAGCATGACGTTTTGAATATTCAATACCAATAGGCATACTGATCTACTGGTCTTCTCACATTCTAACGGTAATTCGGCTCACATACATGTGTGATCTACACATCACCATGTATATGGAGTATATAGAGAAGCTATGGTGGCCATCAGCGAAGACCTTCAGCATAGCATGTAGGATCAGTCCGGATCGATGCAACCACTATACAGCTGGCGGCTGAAAGCGCATGATACCTCTGGTCTGACTGCATTGCTGTGCATATTATCTGACTCAGCTTGTTATCCATTCTCCCCGGCTAAGTTGGAGTAATTGATCCACGAGTCATTTGATTTGTACTGTAGCAGCAACCCCCGGGCCACCTATGGGTCGTAGGGCCAGCGATGTTTCTAGCCTCTCAAAACAAACCCCTAAGCAGCCAACAGTTGCATTAGGGCCAGCCTAAATACTCCGTGCGCCGCTGGAAGCCTCCGATATGCTTACATCGACAAAACAAACCTTGGAAAAATAAGAAGTGAACCGGCCCGTCCCAGCCGTCGGCGTCCATTGTCCCCTTTTTTGGTACACACACTTGAGTCCGAGCTTTTATGAATCGAGGAGATGAAGCCCCGCTACATTGCCTCGTGACCAGTGTCCAACCACAGAGAAGACGATGAGACAACCGAATTAGCGGATATGCGAGTCGCTATATTAGGTGCATTTTTGAGGCGCTAGAAAGTCGCGCCAAGACCAGAATCCTGATACATAAAAATACTATGACGGACAGTTGTGTCTTTTGATGCGCCTGACATCATGAAAAGGCCTAACGATCGAGGCTTCAGGTGGGTCAGTAATATCACTCTTAGATCGACATCTCTAATATACTTTCTGTATCACCAATGGGAGAATTGACTGACTCGTAGTCTTGCACCTGATGCCTTATCAAGTAACGTTGTCGCAATGCAAACCAAAACGTACCCCACATATGCATATGCGAACTGTGGCCGTTTGACCAGGTTTCTGGGAAAGCCGGGTCAGCGACTGTTTTCTGTTGCAGATATTGCGTAACAATCTCGCTTTACCTGAATCGTGCGTACATCAAGTAGCGCATGCGTATGCAGCACAGCGATCATTGCGCTTGGTCAACCACATCAGGCTAATGGCTAATGACTTTCAATTCAGCTTGACGCTATGAATAGTATATGCCATACGTGTACAGAGAATGACAAATAAAAGTATATCGATTTCATGTTACCTCTCGCATAAGAAAGGTTACGGTGTGATGCGGTCTTCGTATGTGCGCTGACCGGTTAAATTCCGTGGCCTAGTTGCTGAGATAAACACGAACAGAATACGCATGTAAATGGTCAACGCGGTGAGTCGAGAGTAGAGTGTATTCTGATTAATGGGTTCCGGCACTTTCTTCTTGTGGAATTCCCCGATTTCCCCCACCCATCTGCCACAGCCAGATGCCTTCTACAGCCCACGCCTTGGCGCTTGCATGTTTTCCAATGTTTGAGCCTGTCCATCCAGTTGCCCTCGGACCTTTTTCCTCTCGATCTTGCCCCCCTTCCGCTTCGTCTAACATCCTAGTGACAACGGCTTCTCGTTCGATGACAGTCCACAGCCCCTCCACTAGATCACTTCCCGGCTCGCCCAATTCGTCCTTGCCTAACCTGTATAAGATACGGCCGAGAACTTGCCACGCTATACATCTCTGTGTGGGGACTGTCGAGCGGCTGAGTATAGAAAGCTCGGAGATGGTGTAGCCAGCGGCCTCTGGGTCGTCGGCATGATGGTGGAGCCCGAGCGAAGTTGAGAGCGATAAGGACGTAGAAGGCGGTAGAATTTCGCCACGTAGAGAAAAGCGTAAAGCAGATGGAACGACGGTAACTGCGGAGCTGGATGGATGGTAGGGGGATGACGTTGCGAGGTCGTCTGAATCGTTTTCGGAGGGTTTCAACCACGACAATGCGGATGGATCGTGGGGGGTTTCAGGGAAGTAGTGGGCTTGTAGATCGGCGTAGAACGAAGGTGATGTGGGATCAAGGTTAGGCATAGGATCTTGTCGTGGCGGTGGAGTAGGGAAATGGATCGGGCCAGTTGGAAACTCTGATGCCGGTCGTAGATCGGAAGGGTGAAGGGTTGGGATTCTATCATCAATCTCAGAAGCCTGTGTTGATGTCGTAGCTTCCTTTTGTGCGCCTGTAGTCAGCGCGTGACTGTTATTTGAGGCGGGCTCTGCGGTTTCGGGCTCAGGAAGGTCAAAGGACACTGATTTGGTCGTGGTTTTAGGCCTATTCGACTCTGCACTGCGTAAAGCCGCCGAGTCCTGTTGTGCCGAACTTGACGGCTTGTCCGCGATTTTTGTCCGACGCATCAACCGCTCGACTAAGGAGGGCGAGAGATTAGACATCAGTTCAGCTCTTTCCCTCTCGATCTCCTCCTCCGACATAGTAGCTAGTCTTTGCCTATTCTCTTCATCGATCGCCCTTTTCTCCTCCTCCTCGACCGAGCCTGTTTCTCGTGTTGGCGCCTGCACAGAAGGTTTGGCAGACACGTTCTGGGCAGCAGCACGTCGCTGCTTAAAGGCCGAGCCACGACGACGATCTTTGGCGGCAGGGAATCCAGTGGACGACTTCTGGGTAGGCGCAACAGGCGCCTTGGGAGCGCGTTCCTTGATCTCCCCGATCAGGTTGATGAGGGGCGAGGCGCGGGGCGGGTCGACGCGAGACTGCTGGTCCTCGTCATCGGACAGGTCGAGCACGAAGCGCTCCCCTGGGATGGCCATGGTGTGCGAAGAGAGAGAGAGAATAAGTGAGGGAGAGATCGACACTGTCGACGGGAGACAGAGTATAGGAACATAAGAACACAGTAGGAAGGCGTCGAACAAGATGGGCAACGGCAGGAGTGATGGGGAGACGCGTTCCTTCCTTCGAATCGGGATGCGGCTGAAAAACCTAAATTTTCCTCCTGCAGAGACCCGCTAGTCTATAGCAGGTTAGCGTCCATCACCTGCGTGTGCACGTACCATCTCGAATTAGAGAATCCAATCAGATCGGATACAATCGCCATGATCAATTGTTATTCATCGCTCATCATTACATATACTCATCATCGCACCGCTGCTGGAAGAATGACGATACGAGTGTGTCTTGGGCTGGACTGTCGGCATTGTACGTCGTCTTTCGTCAACCGCATTTTGCTTAGACATTAGACAGGTATTACATGTAGATGATCTGATGTCCCCATAGACACAATATCAATGATGGTTTACGTAGAGATATATTTGCTAATGAATTCTCTTCTTCGTACGGATAGCTCCGTGTTTTAATGATTTTGTCAGATTAGCCATCTGGACAGCCATGAATGCAACCGCCGGACGAACACCATATATCATCAATTGATCTCCCGGCACTGTCGCTTTAATTGGTCATGCAGCAGGCGACGCGGACAACATGGAGTCACAGCACGCTGCTGGCTAGACTACATCATTGATATGTCTGGTAGAGATCGTAGCTACTATTGTCATATTGAATTCCATATGTATTGTGTATACACTTTTGTCGTGTCAATTCGTCATAGCGTGCAGAACGGCGTCTGCTCGGGCCCTGACGGTATCCGTATGCGACTGGCAGGAAACATGCTAACAAGGTCGATGCGATGTACCAAGAGCCCAGGCCACTGCGAATGGCGAATATTCTCAGAATCACCGATAAACAGCTGAAACTGCACATTAATAACAGAACAAGCATATATATACGTATACGTATACCCTGGTACACACGGGCGTGTGCAGCAAAAAGCAACAGCATGTCCGTACTTGGTTGCTATTAATTAGTCTTGGCCCTGCCGCGGTCATAGCATTGGGCAGGCCTCGAGCTTGCGCTTGCAACAAAAGCAGACAGACCTTCTTGTCTGTCAATTGACGGTCGGCATGAAATAATAAATATTGCTAGATTCCTCTTCCCCTTCTTTTTCTTCCTCCTCTTTCTATCTCCTACACTCTCGCGTGCCAGCCGCCATCAGACGGACACTTTCGATCGGGCTGGTGACCACGCCATTACTATTGTTTGATGGTTTACCTTAATTGTCACTGGTGATCTGCCGCACCCCGGGCTTTCTTTCTTCTCCCGACGGCACTCATTGATTACTCGTTTACGCCCTGCCAACCTATTCTTGTCCGCCCTGTGTGATACGAATTATTTTTGACTCCCAACCTCCACCCTCACCTTCCATCCTCACCACCCTCGCCACACCGGGCCTGTGCTGGTGCAGTTGATACAGACTCGCTCGTTTGAATTTTTTTTTAAAAAATAATTTCACATTCGATAATTTTGTCTCGAGATTTGGTTCCTTTTTTCACTTTTGATACCCGATCGATTTATTTGATCCTTTCTACGCCTTGTTTTGTTTCGATTGCCCATTAACGCGCACACGCATCGATTGATCTATCCTCGACGGCGATCGGATGCAGCCCGCCGCTGAACATGGCCAACGATGAGCCTACGAATAACGAGCATGTCAAGGCAGAGGGCGACGTCTCAGTGCCTGCGACCGGGTCGGAGGTGAACGCTGCAGCAGCCACAGCAGAAGCCCCCGAAGCGGCCGACAAGACGACAGAGACCGCCCGTGAAGGCAGGGACACCCGCACCCGACGCGCTTCTGCCACAGCTGCCGCGGCGGCCGCCAACCAGCCTACCCCAACAACCCGTCGCACGCGCCGCAAGAAGGACGAGGCTGAGCAGGAGAAAGAAAAAGAGAAGGAAAAGGAGAAGGAGAAAGAAAAGGAAAAAGAAAAAGAAAAACCAAAGAAATCCAAAAGCAAAGCAACAAAAGATAAGATCAAAGATGAAGACAAGGGCAAAGAGAAGGACAAGGCGAAAGACAAAAAGGCAGTAGACCAGGAGCACACAGACAAAGAGAAGGAGAAGGAAAAAGACAAGTCCAAAGAGAAGCCAGAAAAGCCAGAGAAGCCAGAGAAGGCGGAGAAAGAGGCCAAGCCGCGCAGCACTCGACGCACGCGAGAAAAGTCCAATGCGAACACGCCGCAGTCGTCGCGGAAGAAGCCCAAGCTAGAGCACCAGGCGGACAACAATAACAACACCAACACTAGCAATAATGACAAGCCCAGGGTTGACCTTGCAGATACCAGGGAAACACCCAGCAAACCTTCTGCCCCGCCGCCTGCGCCCACCGTCAGTGCTGTCGCCGCTCCGCTAACTCCTGCGTCTGCTCCCGCTCCCATCCCTCCTGCAGCGGCCCAAAATGGAAACCATGAGGCTATCCCAACTCCTCCACCGCCTCGTCCATCGCAGCCTGTCCAGACTCCCGTGCAAACACCAGCACCACCGCCGGCTGCGTCGACAACCACTTCACCGCCTAGAGCATTTTCTAGCTCTACCCTCGTTCAGCCGCCTGCCGCAGTCTCTACGCCTCCTGGCATGATGCACGCTCCCACCTTATCTCGATCTCAGTCGCATGAGAACAGCCTGCAATCATATTCCACCCCAACATATCAGTCACCAGCACCTTCACAACCGGCGCCTCAGCCATCCTCGCAGCGGTCGAGTGGGCGCAATTATGATCCCATCCGCTCTGCGTTGAGCAACCCGTCTCCGCCCTCGCCTCCTCCGCCATCGCATGGAATGTCTCCTGTTAAAAGTAGCACCCCTCAATTCAGTCCCCAGCAGCACAGTGCTGTTTCACCACGTGGAGGCTACAGAGCGAGCGCGTCGCCTTCTATTTCTAGTATCATCGATCCTCCAGCACCGATGCAACCAACCCATCAATCACAGGCGCCCGTCTACTCTAACCATGTACATAATAATTACTCACCATATGGCTCAAACATGCCACTGCATCACTATAATCAAACGCCACAAACACAGCAACCTCACGCACCAATAACCCATGCACCACCGCCACTACGACAATTTTCTCCACCGCAACAGTCTCAATCCCAACCTGCAGTTCCTCCACCTCCACCTCCACCTCATCAACCAGTCTCGCAGCAAAGTCAACCTCTGGTCCAGCCGCAATACTCACCACCCCAACAAGAGCAACCGCCTCAAGTGATCCATCAACAAGCATCACCCAAGCCTGCTGAGAAAACGACACTATTGCAACAGCCCGTTGCAATGGAAATCGATTCTGAGCCTCCCCCTGCATCAGCTGTGAAAGCTGCAAAACCATCTAAAAAGGACAAGAGTACTCCAACGGGGACCGTCTCTAGTGCACCGTCTCCCAAGCCTGCTCGTCCAGCCAAGGATGCCCCGCCGCCTCTTCCGCAGGGTTCTGGCTTGATTACAGGAGCATTGTTTGGTGTGGATGACAGCTCCTCTGGTGCTTCCAAGACGGCGCCCAATATCGTCCTCCATGTCCCCCTTGATGGCCAGACGAATAAGATCATCAGCTTTGCTCGGTTAGCTGAGGAGAAGTATGGGTTTGCAGCACTACATCCACGTCTTGCGGCGCAAAAGGAACGACTGGCTCGCGTTGCTGCGGCGAGTGCAGCATTGGAGAAGAATGAGAAGAATGAGAAGGGAGGGTCGGCGCGTGAAAGTGCGGACGAGGATCTTAGTGTCGACATCGACCGCGATAGTGACGTTGACGGTGATGTCGCCATGGGCGGCACTGAGCTCACGGGCGGAGACGACAAAGCCGATGGGAAGAAGAAACGGCGTCGGAAGAAGATGGAAGACTACGACCGCGACGACCCTTTCGTGGATGACAGCGAACTCGTCTGGCAGGAGCAGGCTGCGGCCAGCAAGGATGGGTTCTTCGTATACAGCGGGCCCCTAGTCGCAGAAGGCGAGAAAGTTCAAGTGGAACGGTGGGCATTCTCCCAACAAAACCTTGTAGTATGTTTATTATGTTACCCATGCTAATCATTGTTCAGCGCCGATGGTACGATCAAACGCGGTCGTGGCCGTGGCCGTGGTGGCGTTCGAAGAGGCGCAAGTCATCTCCATGTGCCGATTGCATCCAATATCCCCATCTCGCCAGAGACGGGTCTGCCTGTTCGGGGGCCCGGGTCGCGAGGCGGCAGCTTGACGCGCAAGCCGCGCAGCAACAAGGCGCGACAGCATCAGGCCGAGGACAAGCAGGACATCCGCATGATCAATGCCTCGCCGGACAGTCGTGGCCGTGGCGGCGGCAGCGTAGGCCGGGGCGGAGGCGCCAGTGGCAGTGGCACCACGACGAACAGTCGCGGCGGCGGCAGCACCAGCACCAGCAGCAAGATAGCCCCTTCCAGCGCTGCCAACATGGCCGGCATGGTCGGGCTCGCGCCTGCCCCGGCGCCCCAGCTGGCTCCTGCCCCTGCTGGGCCCTTGCCAGCCCAGAATCCGATCATACGCTGATTCTATCTACTCTGTTCTACTATGTTCTATGTGATTCTATCCTGTTTCATTCAATTCGTTCTATTCTACTTTGTTACTCGTTTTGTACGCTTTGCACATTGATTAGGCTCTCCATTGCACGACGCTCTACCCGCGAGCATTATTGACTCTCGGAACAATTGTCTTTTACGCTGGTCGTCTGGAGTTTGGTGCAGTTGGTGGTATTGCTCTTATTTTTAGACTATATTTCATGCCCGCGTTCGGTTTGCCTATACGTTATAGCTAAGTAGCACCGTGTTCAATGTGACTAGTTCTCAACCAAACCAATCCGATTGCCTTGCCTAATTAGATTACCTCAAGTCAGAAGAACAGTAGTCGGTCGCTGGAGATGAAGGATAGTAGTGCCCTGAGACGACCAAGAAGAAAGTAGAACCATTCATCAAATCATCTTCATGACTGAATTTGGCCACCCATCGGGAATTCCATTTTACGACGCCTCGATATTATATATTTTCACTACTAGAAGTACGGACGGTACAGTGATAGAAATATTATTACAGACAGAATCAGCCTTGCTACAGGAGATTTTACTAACATGCAAGGCTGACATCTGGAATTTTGTCCCAAGGCTGAGCAGCGCTCAAACCCCACCTCTTTCTTCCTTTCCACGTATATACCCTCTATCTATCCCATTCTAACGGGTTTGAATCGATCGATTAAATATCGATATTTTTGTGGCAACTGCGTAAATGGAAGCTTGCAACACTTCAAACCCAGTCGCTATTGACTTTCCACTTCACCCGAGCAATGTCGGAAAGCTCCTCCAATTGATTGATACGTTGGGCAATGTGGAAAGCCTTGTCATATCGCACATCAACAAACAAGAATCTCAGGAGCGAGAGAATATTGAGTTGTTATTTTCGGAAAATAAGCACTTGCTGACTGACGATTCATCTCCGTGGAACAGCTTCACTCACAACGATATTAATTTCCGGCTCCGTTTCCTCAGAAACCTTCTTGAAACTATACGGCAACATCAAGAGACGTTTGCAAGGCTAAAGCGTACTTTCACCTTTGAATGGCGCAAAGAACCACGATGTCAGATCTCAGAAGAAGGGAGGACTTATCTTGCGAATATTCAAAGCATTTGGGAGAAAATGGAAGAAGCTTTATCGGTTGTTGCGCCCAATATTGGTCCATATCCTCTTTTTCTAGACAGCGAATGCGAGCGCTATATGGAGCTACTAAGGTCCGCGGTTAGGAAAATCAGCAACGGGGGTATACTACGGCTAGATCACTATCGGTGGATCGAGCTAGATATGTCCAAGCCACTTCCATCAATATCCCAACAGCCGGAGGAGTCAACCACTCAAGGCAGACCTAGTTCTTTGGATCTAGAGTCCGGTGGACCAGGGGATCAACCCTTCTGGGAAAAATGGCGATGGCTACTAGTAAAGGAAATCCAGCTAATTGCTGTTTGTCTGCTTGTTGCCATTCTATACTCGGCTCTGAAGAATGACCCTCAAACTGGATTTCAGATTGCGGCATTCCTTTTTGCTATTGGGACGACTTTTCTGGCTATCTTTCGCATGTATTTCGAGCAAAGGGAGAATAAGGAGGCAAAAATCAGGCTTCAATAGTACGATATATGGGTAATATTCAATTTTTTCTTTGCCCAACTCATACCAGTCGTCATGTAATGAGTAATCTTTATCTCCTCTTTAAATATTATATACAAAAGGTCGACTGGTACTGAGAGTGATTGATATAAGTGCACTCAGAAAACCCATTGCCATTTTCTAGGCTGAGTTTAGATTCCAAGTGTGGTCATTGTTTTGCTCACCATGCAGAAGCCTGAAAGCCTGAAGGTAAAAATATATGAAAACAACAACAATTTATGCGCAAAATATGCGCAAAATATGCGTAATTTTGCTTCTTAACTTATATACATAAACACTGAACCTGTAATGAAACACAAGATTAGAATTAGCAGAACCAAAACTATTTAATATTTATTCCAACTATCTCTTCTTACTACTCCTTCGGTTTTGTTGACCGCATTGGCTCAAGTGGAAAGCACCTACATGATTGGGACAAGACCAATCAAGAGAATCACATCTGATGCACTAGGAAAGTACCAAAAAATGATAAAACGATTTCCCCGGCGCATTGAAGATTGGCTTTTCCGCGCGACATATGACCACCAGGGAGGTAGGGAGTGTTTGGCTTGTGATAAGGGCCAATTAGTGAATCGTGTACCGCGAACAACAGATGAGCCTCACATTCATCATGGCTTAATTGCTTCCGGGAACTTCCACTTTTCCCTCACAAGTTACATTAATGCGAAACTGGTTCTCAGCCAAATCAATGAGATTGCACCAATTAGGCTACTCCAAGTCTGCGGAACATAGACTGAGTAGTATGCTATGAGGGCCCATGCATTGCTTGTTGTCCCTGCATGTCATGTGCGTTGTCAGTCCGTCTTCGGAGTAGAACGGCGCATGAACAGAGAATAGCAATCAAATCACAATAGCAAATAATTATTGTAATAAAAGTACAACGCGGGGTCAGGTGCCCAGCAGCCTGGCCCAATCAGACCGCGCGGGCCTCACCGCTTTCCCCGTCTTCCGCATGACTGATTCGACCAGGTCTACTTATCTTGTCTCTGCACCGTCCAACTTTCTTCCTCATCTCAAGCTCTCAACTGCTTTGCCCTTACCCCTCTTTGTCGCCCAAACACATTGTGATGCTCTTGCTTCCAGATATGCCACAGTTCTATTGTCCACAGATTTCTCTATATAGACCCACCGTGCCCATAGGATAGCATACTTGGTCAACACCCCGCAGCCTGATCCTTATCGATTGCGCCCATTAGCAACACATCGCAGACTGGTCAATCTTGACCTGCATCTGTTATATCTCTTAATACTGGTTTACTTTTTATCTCTCTTCCCCTTTTGCGACTCTCTCACCTCTACCTCTTATTTCCATCATGCATGACCTGCGTCGCCAAGCGCTCGAGAGCGGCAAGACCGTCTCCCGCAAAGCACTCTCCCGCGAGGCTTCGCGGCATACCTCCCGCACTGGCTCTGCCCAAAATTCTCGCCAGTCATCACGCGCAGCTAGCAGACACGCATCTGATGATGAAGATAATGGAAATCTGAGTGATGACACCACTGCCTGGAGGTAAGTTATCCTCTCTCTAATCCTTACATTTTTTTCTTGCATTTTGTGTTGCCTTCTCGGCAACAAGGCGGGATGATGTCACTACCAAGAAAATAAGGCTGCCACTGTCGTCACAGCCGGACTAATATGCTAATACTGCGAAATACAGCACAACCTCGTTAGACGACTTGGCTGAAAATCCCGAGGCCGATAACACCGATTGGCCTGAGGAACTGGCCGACCGGATTAACGATATTCTCGATCGCAAGCGAAGCAGCGTACAGGGCAGGGAGGAGTCACTGTCGGCATTTTGCCGCCTATCTAAATTCCACTACGTTGAAGAAGAGATACGACCACATATTCAGGATCTACTAGCCGCCTTTTTGCGCAGTATCAAGTACGAATTAAGCGTACGCGAGTCGACTCTTGCTCTCAAAGCGCTTGAATTCCTCGCCCTGACGGCTTACGACGATACTATTTACGATCATGTCGAGTCACTGCTGACCCGCACCATACGCGACTCTACGTCACCAGTTGTCAAGGCAGCAGCTATTTACTGTCTGGGAACCTGCGCCTTCTTTGGCGGAACAAGCGACGATGCAAAGCTCGACCAGATGAATTTCTTCTTGGACATCGTCGCTTCTGATGGCCGCTCCATTGAGGCGACAGACGATGCAGCAACTGTCACTGCTGCGCTCCAACAATGGGGGTTCCTTGCCACGGAAATTGACGATCTCGAAGCCGACAGCGAAGAAGCCGTCGAATCCTTTATCGATCAACTAGAGAGCAGCGATCCGGCAGTGCAGGTTGCGGCCGGTGAAAATATTGCATTGCTGTATGAAAAGAGCTACACGCCTCAAGAAGACGATGAGGATGAAGACTCAGACGGAGACGACAATGGGTCCACATCGTCCTCCAACGGCGACGGCGACGGGCCGAGATTAATCAAGCGATACGCAGCGTACCACAACACACCACAACTAGAGCGAATACTCTCCTCTCTCGCAACAGTCTCGGGTAAGCGCATTAGTAAGAAAGACAAGAAAAGTCTACACAGCAACTTCACCTCCATCCTAAGGACTGTGGAAAACCCACGTCGGGGCCCTATGTTCAGCACGGCTATCAACCAAAACACCAATCGCCAGTACGGCAGCAAGCGGCAGGTCAAAATCGGCAATGAGGGCGTCATGAATATCGACCGGTGGTGGAAATGGCTCCGACTCGCGTCGCTCCGTCGCATCTTGCAGGGTGGTTTCATGGAACACTACTATCAAGGCAACCGCGCCGTGTTGGACAGTCTACCAGTAATGCTTCGCGAATCAACACGATCGGTTGGTTTGGATCGTTCAGGGTTTAAGAAGGCAGCTAAGCTGCGCAATTCGACACGCCGAATGGCTCTCGGAGATGATGCTTAGAATATGACATACGCTTACTCAATATGTATGAATGAATTTGAATAGATGACGATTCATGTTGTAGCATTTAAGGCAGTTAAAAGGGGCGGTGCTTATTCAGTCTTCAGCTGATGCAAATCATTACCCAACTCCCCGTCTTTTGCGAGTACGTATCACTGTATAAAATAAGAATGAGAGCCTCATCAAACGACCCACCTACGTGACAAGCTTTCTATTTCTAGCGTCTAGTCTAGGGTAGATGTCGTTGGGGGCATTATCGCGTTTGGGATTAAACCGATGCTCAGGCACCCCATTGCAACCCTAAATCATCCCGCGGGCCAATCACGACGATCTGACGGCCAAGTGAAATAACCAACTATAGAATAGTCACGTTTGATTCGGAAAACAGGATGATTTAGGTTGATTTGACTGCTAGGCAAGACGGAGAGCTCCGTGGCAATTTGGGATGAATTCATGATGATCTTTTAACACTTCGTTGTTGGGGAAGGTTATAAAATGACGGTTCGTCCGTCTTCGACACAGTAGACAATCAATCCGATAACTTGTCTATCGCCATACAAATCAATTGAGATGAAGTTTTCCCTAGCTATTGCAGCTGCGGCTGCAGCTCTTTCGAGCTCAGTCCGCGCTGCCCAGTCCTTCGCTGGGTCCAATCTATACTACGCCGCTGGCCTGACAGACGACGAGTCAACAACACTACTCACAGGGCTACAGAGTGCCGGCGTCAAGGTCCTTCGAGTGTGGCTCGACGGTACACCCCAACCAGAAAGTGAAAGCAAAAAGGCAAAACAACTGCTAACCTGCTCGGAACAGGCGAATCTGGCACCGTCAAAGGAACCCCGATCAACGATTATCCTTCTCTCGAATCCGGCCAGCCTGGAAACTGGAACGACACGGTGCTGTCCCGTCTCGACGATTTTATGGACAAAGCACACGGCTATGGCATCAAGCTGCTCGTGTCGATGCACAGCTACAATGCGCTCTCCGCAACTCCCCCGGACATTTACGGCGCGTGGTACGGAACCGGCGATTTCTATACGAGTAGTGATGCAATGGGCTACTTTAAGAACCGGATTGCGCACATCATGAACCACGTCAATCCGCATAATAATAAGAGATGGGCTGATAGCCCAGAGTATATCTTCGCGTTCGAAGCGGAGAATGAGGCTATGCATGATCAGGTACAATCCCTCCCTTCAACCTACTTATAACGTATTTAATCTAACTTTGCCAAAGCAAAACCCCTCTGCCCTGACTGCATGGCAATGCACCATGGCCACGGCGATCCGCTCAAACTTCCAAAACGGCACCTCCAATATCCTAATCACCACGGGCGGTGGCGCATATCTCGCCAACTCCCTACTCGACGCGTACTTTAGCTGCGCGGACCTCGATGTCCTCGCCATCCACGCTTACGGGACCGGCGACTTCGCCACCTCGGCACTCACGCCGTACGTGCAAAAGGCTCAATCCAGCAATAAAAAACTCATAATGGAGGAATGGGGCGCCTGCTACTATTCCAGCGAAAACCAGCGGTGCGATCAGTCGTCCGCTCTCGATTCCGGCACCAGAGACGAGAATATCAAGACGTGGGCCGACCAGATCAGCAAGGCCGGCATCCCCTGGTTCTACTGGCAGATTCTGCCGAATGAGGATCCGCATTCGGACTGGGATTATGAGGTCGGCATTAATGGCGTGAACTGGGACGCGTTGGAGGCCGTGGCTAATGCGACGGCGGGGTATGAGGCTGCCTTTGATTTTTCGGCTTATTTACTGTAGATAAGTACATGCATAGATAATAATATGGGAGATCGTGCGTACTCATCCTGATCCTGTTCATGCGGCTGACAATGAGTTGGAGGATTTAGCATTGAATTGTCTGTTATGTTCTGCAGTGGTCGTTAATTGTAGATTCTGAAATTCACGTAACTTTCAAGTCACATTTAGGTAACAAGATAGGCTTTTTCCACTAAGACTGTTTGTTAGACTCGCTGGTGAACAATCAAGCGTAGTTAAAGTTGCTCACAGGTGTTACTACGCCCAATATGTAAGACCCACATCAAAGCCTTGAAAGTATGACTTATAGAAACAGAGATGTTGTTCATTAAGGACTATACAATTAGCTCTTGAGCTAATCCAACAGTTAACCATCCACCTGTCATTCAAGTCTAGCGTCTAGCTCCATTTGACAATTCCAGATCAAACACGTAGAGAATCCGCATTTTTAACAAGGTATTCATAGCTCTCAGAGCGGAAATCATCTGCTAGAATACCAGTCCCAGATGGTAAGAAGGTGAGCATGTTACCACTCGTGCTCCACTGCGGCCAGTTTGGTCGGTTACTTCCGACGTTTGGATCTAGATTGTAGACAAAGGAAAGATAGTAATCCAAAATGGTCTTTGCGCTTTCATCTAAAGGAGACTGGAAAAACAATTTCAACACGTCGGTGCCGTGAGTTGTCCCGACTATGGGAGTGTTTTCATCATAAGAAGATAGGAAGGACCATGATGGGACATCAGGATTGAGTCGAGAAGTTTCCTGCAGAAACAGTCGGCGTTGATGGATGAAGAGTATATCACCAATTATTGCAGCCATCCTCTTAAATTCCGGATACCAGTTGTTCCAGATTCCAGTGTTATATGGGGCGCCGGCAGAAGGATTGTCTGGATAAAGACCAACTAGACCGGACACTATTTCTGATGTAGCATTGCGGTAATAAATACTTGTAAAATAGTCGATAACGTCATCAGTATTGCTAATATTTGATGTAAATATAGCAAAAAGGGTACCTTCGTCTTGTTGATCTCCGACGATGAAAGGGACCTTGGTGATTTTTCCTTGTCTCACCAAGTTATCGGTAGCATCGGTGAGTATTTTACCATCCTGGCGAGGCAGATATGAGAGTGCAATATCATAGTAACTGAGGAAGCTCGGCACTGAGCATAGAGCATTCAGCATTGTAGAGTAATCAAGAGAGCGGAGACAACTTAAAGTATTTACGGCTGAGGAACAACCAGCACTAGCGACCACAGCATCGTAAATTTCTTGAGCGGGTTCACTGTCCACTGGAAGAGTGGGATATATTGAGCCAGAATCCATGATTGCACCCCGGAACAAAGGTTTCCCATTGTAGATGTTGTCTCCATCATATAAGACCATTTGATCTAATACCGACATTGAGCCTGCAGACTCCCCAAAAATGGTTACTTTAGAGGGGTCTCCTCCAAATCTTTCAATATTATCTGCAACCCACTGCAGTGCGAGCCTTTGGTCAAGCAACCCAACATTAGATGCCCCATCGGCGAGGATTTCCTCGCCACCCAGGAAGCCAAAACCTGCGACACGATAGTTTGCTGCAACGAAAACGACCGGTTTCTCGGAATCAGTTGAGTACTGCACGATATCAGTGCCATTGTACATCCCATTGGATCCCAGTTCGAAGGCTCCTCCATAAATCCAGAATACCACCGGCAGTTTGGCTGATATATCAATACCGGCTGGGCGAATAACATTGATAGTAAGACAATCCTCTCCCATGTTGGTGACATTCTGTATGAGGGGGTTGTTTACGATAATGCCCAGGATGTCCGCCGGGAAACCACCCTTAATATTTGCGATGAAGTTGGGGCATGATGTGGGCGCATTCGTCGCCATAATTAGTCCTAGAGATGTCTCAATTGGCCGCGGAGGTTTAAAACGGTCAGTATCGGTAGGGGGATGCGCAAAAGGGATGCCATTGAAAGTATCAATTGTACCATTGGATTTCCCAACGACTGTGGCAGCAGGGGAAGCAATAGTCACAGTTGGAGTTTCCGCCGCGTGAACATCAGAGGCTAGAAGCCCCGACAAGAAAAAGAGAGTACTAATAAGAGGAAACATATTCCTAGTCTTTGGTGTTTTATTTATCTGGTTAGTATGAAAACGATGTTTTAGCAATCTAATCAGTTTGACTATTCAAGAAAAGGGTTCTTTTTAATCCTATAATCACTCCCTATGGCTCCTCGGCCATCGGTAGAAGGAGCTGTGTTTGATGGACTAGAAGACATCATTATTGATCTGATTGACATTGCTATCAAAGACATTCGGAATCGATATTCGGCAGTTCCCCCTCGAGCAATGCGCCAGCAACTTTTCTCCGCCGTTTCCCCGTCCCTTCCACCGGACCCTATTGCAGGTACCAGGAAGATGAAGAGATCCCCGGTATTTATCATCGGCAATATCTTATTCTGTAAGCCAATAAAATCGACCTGTTGACGTTTTGAGGTCAATCACATGCCTTCGTATAGTAGTTAATAAGTAACCCCGCAATATAACTCGGCCCAAGGACTAACCCCTGCGTCTGATCGGATAGTCTCCCTCAAAGGGCAGTTCTTCCATTTGGTGATGGATTCAAAATACACGAAGCAGCCACCTTGACGGATTGCCAGGTTGTACGTGCCCCACAATAGGTCAACACTTCGAGTGCGTTCTGTAGCTAGCTTTCCTTTCCTCGTATGCTTGGTATCCAGTAGATTTGCAACAATGATAATTGTTTTTTCTGCACTGTATGGCACTATAAAGAACGTTTCTTGCTAACGTAATCAAACTACCAGTTGCCGACTCTCCGCGGTTGTACCTTATGATCTAAATTATGCTGAAACAAAAGGACTAAATTCTGGACGACCATATGTACGAGCTCCGCATCATTGGTTAACGCGGGTGACCGGTTATCGGCGACCACTCTCTCTCTACCTAAGGAAGAAAATCTCTTGAAATGTCGACGCTGGTCTACTATTAGGGGCCGAAGAGAACTACAATAAGACGATATTACCATCATCAAGTCCCGACATGCGACAGCCGAGGCAAATCATACAAATGTCATGATTAATATATATATATATATTTATCAAAAACCGAGGAAACACTATCCGATGATGTCAATTCGATTGCCCCCTGGACTTCGTTAACTCCTGGTTCAAAATTTAAAATGATATTTCAATGGTTAATGTTATGATTGGTAATCACTGAAACCGCGAGTCGTACTGTGAGCATTATGAAATGTGGACGATCATATCTGTTACATCACCACGTTTCCCATCCTTTTCTGAGCCGGTATAGGTGGCTATGGGAATTCCTAGCTTAATGACTGTATTTATTTTCTGTTTGTATGCTACCCCTTCTCTGGATTAGATCCATTCAGTATCCTGCGACTGTCAATGCCAGTGGCCGCAAGTAAACATCCTATAATGCTCCTCCAAGTAATATCATTTAATAAAAGTTATATATTTATATTAAAAGACTTGAATTATTAGTTTTTAGTTGTATTTAGAAAGCTAGAACTCAAACTAAATCTAATCAGTTGATTTTATGCTGGTAAGGATAAAATACTATATTTAAAACTTACTTAAGCGTTTTATATAGTAAGGACTGATTTATATAGCCATTCAGAATTTATATATGTTTTTAACATCATTTCTATTTTAGCTAGCTTAGGATTCAGAAATTTTAAATAAGCGATCTAGATAGCTCTAGCCAATTATGCGATCTTCAGGTAGAGCACAATCCTGTATAGCAGCGATAGTATGGAAGTCAACTAAAACAGGGAAATGAGAGCAACTACTACTACTACTACTACTACTACTACTACTACTACTACTACTATAACTATCTATCTATGTAGTTGATGGGTAGGACTCGTAAATGGGTGTATTAGAATATGCGATAGATTGGTATACAGGTGTTATACACTAAACCGCCAGCTTCTCCGTCATAGCGGCCCCCTTCTGCATACCCTCAGGGCCATGCTCATGCTCATGATCGGCCAATCCAACAATCTCCATGCCATCAACTATCAACCGATCATGCCCCGACCCCGTCTCGATATGATGCGGCACATTCCCTTCAAAAGGGGCCTCCCTGCTACCCTTCATCATACTCCTGGCCGTCGCGAAACATATCACGGCATACGAAACCCCGCCAACAAAATAACTCAACAACCAGCCGAGATTGAACATGTGCGTGGCGGCGGCACTAACACTAACAGTACCGAAACTCCCCACGAAACCCGGGAGAGGAAGCACGAAGCCGATGATGAACGCCGCTATCCCGCGCATGTTCACGCCGTAGCTGTAGTAGTACCGTCCAAGCCGCGATGCCGTGAACATGTCGCTGAGATACAGGTTGCCGTGCCGGATAAGAAAGTAGTCGACGCTCATAATCGCCACGACGGAGCCTTGGAAGATCGAGTATCCGCTCAGAAAACTAAGGAATCCGTTCGCCGAGGACACAATGCGCCTATAATACCAAATACCAATCAGCTCAACCGCCCCCCGTTCAAAGTAGGGAGAGTGAGTGTCAAGACTCACCATGGAACAATCGCAAAGGCGATAATCAGGCAGATAAACTGGCCGCGTATAATATTCACATATTTCGGCGCCAAACAGGTCACGTCGGCTGCAAATGGGACGATGTTGCAGGCCACCGACGTGCCCATTGTCGCAAACGCAAAGGAAGCAGCGGCAAAGAAGATGCCCGCGCGGGAGCGGGACGTATACGAATGATCCAATACACTATTCAGCAGGTCGTACGGATTCCAGTACGCCTCGCCGTACATGTTGTGCACGGCTGAGGTGGCGATGATGCCGAAAGCAGCGCAGATGGTTTGCGCGATGGGTAGGCCGAGCACTTGCCCGTATAACTGGGCGTTTTTCGTGCGTGAGTAGCGCGCGAGGTCCGGTACAGTGACGAGGAGGGCGGAATTGGCACCCATGACGGAGTTGAATTGGGATACGATGCCCCATGCAAAGACTGAGGGGGACGACGAGCGGAGGGATGCGTCGATAAGTTTGTTGGATGATACCCCCCCATTCGCGGTTGTCGCCCAGCATACCACTCCCAGGGCGGCGAGAGGGAAGATGATGGATTTGAGGCTGAACAAGTGCCGGATTTTCGATGTGTGGATGAACATCAGCGGTAGTGTGAAGACGAATGCGAGGAAGAATCCAACCATGACTTGTGTGGTTATTTCTTGGCTCTGAAAACATAGTCACGAATCAGTCACGCATTTTACATACGTGTTATTTTAATGTAGAGGGGAGATACCGCTGGGATTTTATTCGGAAGGCTCGTCCAGCTAGGGAAGATGCATCGAAGGCAAATTGAAATAAACTGGCCTTCGAAATACAGCTGCACACCACCTAATTCTTCTTAGCGCTGTTCATTACGTCAACTGGTTCGATGAAATCCAAACTTACCCCATATAATACCTAAGATGGCTCGCAAGACGACAAAGAAATAGGATCCGTATATTCCAAACGTGACTCGCGCGAGCACGGGATAGCCAACATGGTATCGAGCAGCGGCGCGGCCATTGAGAACAATGACGACGGACGACAGGATGTTCGCGAACAGCACGACCAGTAAGGCATCTCGCACTGTTGCGCCTAGAGCGATGAGAGAAGACCCGATGCTCCAGGTTGATACGGCCCAGGACTCGCTCCACCTATCAATCTTGTCAGCATCTTCCATAGCATCAAGTGACGTATATGTATATATGTGTAAGTACTTACCAGTACGCAAAGAAATTCCACACCGTCCATGTCTGTCGTTCAGGAGGTGATGGTAGCAGATCCTCATTGGCGAGCATTGAAGAGGCGCTCTTCAGCCGGATGGCATCATGAAAGGCCCGCCAGGAGGTGAAGGCATCTTTCGTTCTGGCCCAGCGAGAGGCAGATTCTGAAGACATTGGTTAACCCTAGCCCTATGACGTTCGGCCGTTACACCAGTTAACAGAAAGACTGAAAAAGATTACAGATACATATGTACACATCTGGTGGACCCATCATCGCATCTCTGGCATGGGACAGTAAATATAGTAAATGTAACAGTTATCTCTGAGACTACGAGTCAGAGCATCCTAATAGTGGTAGCTTATCATATGGCTTCAAATGTTATCGCGATGGGGCCTGCGCGGGATGTCTGGGGAATGCGAGTCATGCGCGCGACTGCCCACCATCTTAGGTGGGATGGTATCGCGGACTCGAGAATCATTATTTCACGAACCATTTATTTTCTATTTCAACCTGTCGATAAACGATAAGTCAAAAACTTAAATTGCGGTCCAGAACGGTTTCCAACTTCGACGATAGTCTGCACCCAACCAAACCATAACGATGCATAGCGAGGCAGGACTAGAGGTTATAGACGGCGGAAAGCCGTTCTACTACTGTCCCAAAGGGCACATGGTTCTGGGCGAAGCCCCAATCTATCGTGCCAGCGACTCAACGCTGCACTGGGTAGACTGTCTCGCTGAGCCGGCCGAGTTGTACATTCTCAAAGTCGATCCGCAGACGGGCGATGCTGTCGGAGAGGCACGTGTGTTACACTTGGAAGACAGTGTGACGGTGCAGTTCTTCCGCAAGGGCAAGCCGGGAAGCTACATTGCTGCGTATTACCAGGGCGTATGCTTCATCGACGAGGAGACCGGGAAGCTGGAGGTTGTCAAGGAGATCATCCCGACGGATCAGCGTGAGAACTTGCGCTTCAATGATGGCGGTGTCGATGCCAAGGGCCGTTTTTGGCTAGCTGAAATAGACAAGAAGGCTATGTCTTATGGACCAAATCAGCTTCCGGCGAGTTATGGAGTTCCCAAAGGCAGGCTGTGGAGGTATGATCCTGACGGGAGTTTGCATTTGATGATTGAAGAGGGTGTGGTGTGTGGCAATGGTTTGGGATGGAGTCCGGATAACAAAACATGTAAGCCTCAACTCTTGAAGCCTTTCGATGTCATTTTTATTGACTTGGCAGTCTATTTCCATGACTCGGTAGCCATGGTTGTATACGCATACGACTTTGATGTCGAGAGTGGCAATATCTCAAACAAGCGACTTTTAGTCGACAGACGAAATTCATTCGGCGAGCCGGATGGGATGGTCGTTGAGTATGTCTACTTGTATTATTTATGTTACATATATACAATACTAACGAATGTAGTACAAATGGTAACTTATGGATCGCCATGTTTGATTCGAATCGGGTCATGGTGTTCAGCCCAGAGGGTCGACATTTGAAAGACATTACTTTCACAGCTCGCAACCCAGCTTGTACGACTTGGGGAGGAAAGGATCATGATATTATTTTCATGGCGAGCGGAAAGTGGCGAGGGCAGAGAGAAATTCCAGGTGATGACGGGGGGCATATGTTTAGGTTTAAGCCTGCAGATGCTCGCGGTCAGCCCAAATATGAATTCGGGGGATAGATATGCTCTATTTGTACATATTATGGACATCCTATTAATAGATAGAAATGAGTGTTCCACAGGTAATATTCGAATATGGCTGTTAAAAGTTCGAGGAATTTTATGCAGCTGATAGGAGCAAGGCTGGTGTAACCCAATCATCACGAAATCAACACCTGACTCTATGTACCACGCTTTGAATTAGGTAATCCGATTTACAATATTTATGCCTAGTATCAATTTATGGCATGACTAAAGCCTATTTCTTCCCCCATAAAATGAAAGATAGGCTAATGAATAGACTGGAATAGATACAAATAAGTTTGTATCATTATTGGAAATCGTTACTGGGAGGCTGGAGGCTGGCAGCGAAACTTTATATATAGGAATTATTTTCCTGGTTGTACAATTGATGCACCCTCCCGTAGATACTATTATCAGAAGCCAACATTTGAAGTAGCTCAGGAGACAAGTGAATTGCAGTGTTACCTAAACCTTCATATTAAGGAACATACGTTTATATATAGTTAACCTTGACTATCTGAATGCTCCTTATTCATACCTAAACCTCTCCATCCAGATGAAAACACTACCATTACATATGTAACTTATTACATTAGGAATATGGAAGACTCGGCCATTATGGAGACGAATTCCTGCCTAGAGGAGCTAGAAGAAGCCGCTCCGTCCAAAAACCCAAGCCAGGAGAATTTCATCCAACATCCCCAACAACGAAACCAGCCTCCACTGAAAAACCCTCCACGGAAAAGCCAACAGTCAGCATTCAAATGGCGTACCTTCTGGGCCGCCTATCTCCAGTTATTTGGGTACTTGATCCTCGGTGGCGGATTTGCTGTTGCCCATCATTACTTTTACCAGTACCTACACGGAACCGTTGTCAGCGACATTCTCGGCTTTACGCAGTTCAATACACAGCAACTGTATCTTCAGGTTGGCACTGCGATTTCATGGATTGCGCAAAGTTGTTTTGGTGCAGCAATCAATGCCGCTTATAACCAGTATGCGTGGGTACGAATGCGGTCGAAAAGGCATACAGTCAAGGCATTGGATAGTATTTTTACTGGCTCTTCCAATTTTTTGTCGTTTATGAAACCGGCTTTTGTTCGTGAGGCGCCGATATGCTGGCTCATTGCCGCGTGTACATTGTACGTGACAGACGAGACCAATTTGCCAAAATAACATTGAACTTGCTAACAAAAACTAGACTCATGCCTTTGACAAGTCAATTCACGCAGGCCACTTTGAACGTGGCACAATCAAGCGTAGCCATTAATCGACATGTTTCTGTGCCTGTTCTAAATTTTGCAAACACCTCAAACTACATCCTATCCGACCAGACCCAGACCACCCGCGATCTCCTATCAGAGGCAGTCAATATAAACCCAGCATTTCAACAAATCGCTCTAGAAACCATATCCGGCGGAAAGGTCCTACCAATGGCAGTAACTAGCCCTAATACCACGTACAACCTTACTTTCCGGGCTCCTGGTATTCAATGCTCTCCTCCAACAGACCAGAATACGAACGATATGATACAAAAAGCTATCAAAAATGCAGCTCCATCAAACACTCACTGGAGCGGAGTCGTTTATATAGGGTGTATCATCAGACCACCCAATTTGACTAACGATATGGGGCTTTTGGGGGTTCAGTTCATGGGAACAATGCTGGCTTGCGAGCATACTGATTTTATGTACCAGGCAAAATTCACATCTACAACATCATTTCAGACGATTACAGACCTGTCGAACACGAAGACGAAAGGTTTAGGGCGTCAGTTTGATAATAAAGTCTACGCTGCGAACAATGAGTATTTGACAAAGATGTTGAATGGTTCTTGGTATGTTGCTGGAAACAGGTCAAAGGATCAAACGACTCCTTCTCTACATGTGAAAGCAACATCCAATGGCGCGAATTTCTTTAGTCCTGCTCTTGAATATTTAGTTATGGATGCAATAAACGGTTTACATACCACTTTGACTACTGTCGACAATATACCAGTTAAATGGATCGAGAAACCATACCACATTTCACAAGCCGATCGAGCACTAGCCCGGAAGCTGAGTTTTGAGGATATTGTTGAAGAAGTGTTTAGAAATATAACGTTGAGTCTGTTTAGCAACGACGAGTTCTGGTTAGTTCCCTTTCCATTACATATGTACAAATATAATGCTATATGTACTTACAAGCCTGTTCTAGGAGCCTAAGCAGAACTAAGACTACCGGCGCAGTCAGCACCCCTCAAACAAGATACGTATACAAAAGAAGAACATTGACCCTGACATACGGGGTATCATTCATCTTGGCCTTATTTTGGACCATAGTCGGCCTTTTATGTCTTTTGATCAATGGCATTAGTCGCGGCATGTCATTTTCCTCAATCGTAACGTCAACACGGAATAAAGAACTCGACGAACTGAGCAGTAACATTGGCTTGAAGGACGCGGTTCTGCCTGGCTATATGATGAAGAATACAAAACTTATGTTTGGGATTCAGGATGGTGAGAGAGTGGGCTTTGGGTCGCATGTTACCAAGTTTAGAATGGGCCAGCGTATAGCGAGAGACTTGGATGGAGAAGGAGGTGGTTGGTCTAACCAGCTAGCTGACTTATCAGAGTGAATAGATGTACATTGTCACAATTACCCGAGATAAAGAATCGTATCTTGGCTCTACCTACTGACCAACAGCTGGCGTCTACTTTTCGAGGGTTGGTCTTCTATCTTTATTCCATCTGGGGTATCATACAACCCGAATTGAGATACCCATTTGAATATCATATATGCTCGAACTTTGCACTTTCATTGGCAAGACCTCATGGAATTCTCTAGTCAGATTAGTAACGTAGCTCCTTCATTCAGTACATCATATACATATCCCCCACTATCCCTACTGCATTAGCCCTTGCTCGGACGTCGGTTTCTTCACGAATGGTAACGCAACCCCCACTTCGGCAGCGGCGTCAACTGGAGACCGACACGTGAACCCATCCGAGGCTATGATGCGACGACGAAGAAGAAGAAGAATGGAAGCGGCATTAGAGCGTCGAGCCGTCGCTCAGTCTCTTTGCAGTTAATTATATCCTGAAGAGGCGATTGGCGACCAGTCATAAGGCCATGAGCAAGACATCGCGCGGTCAGGGCCTGACCTGAAAGACGCTATCATGGGGATCAAACACAGCCAGGGCGACACGGTCAGCTGCATTTTGCCTTAATAGGATGACTGCGACGAGCTACGATGAAATTGGCAATGGTGGAGCCTCGGCTGGAGGCTGATCGGGGTAAGCTTTTCGGCGCGTAAGCGGACTGCTATGGATATTGTCGAGTTTATGTCAATAGAAGCAGATAGAAGAAATAACTCGGGCGCAAATAATGATCACCTATCCACGAACCCCTCGTCCATGCAACCCGGCGTATTCCGAGAGTGCACTTTGGTGATTGTATTATTGTGTTGTGGTTGAGTTGTGCTTCCGCGCGGTCCGCGTCTGGCAGCTGCCTTCATAGTGCAAGGTGTCACCTTACTCTCCTTCGCCTTCCGCGTGAACCATCCACCACTTCCTCCCTCGACCACCGCTTATGCTGCTGCTGCTCCCTAAGAATCGACAGGAGACAGAACAGCATGGCGGGAATGGAAGAGCTTGAGATCCACAGCAAGGCGAGTCCTACTACCACCAATCTTACTATCTTCTTGTGTGCAAAGCTAACCTGAACTCAGGCTTACCTAGTTCGATGGGTCAGCGTCAAAGGCGACCACACCATCTCGTGGAGTCTGCAGCCTCATAAGAAATCCCTCAACTTCGGCATCTTCAAGCGCATCGAGCAGCCCGCCGCGTCCGGCTCGTCGACGACTGTGGCCGCCTCCGTTTCGCAGAGCCTCGAGGACTCGTCCGACGCTCCGCCAGCATCCGCCGTGATCGAGAAACTCAAAGGCGCGGGGCTGAAACAGATCCAATGGGTGGGAAAATGCGAGGCCGACAAGATTTCGCAGGGGACGTACGACGTGTCCGCGCACGAGGGCGGCAACTATGCGCTGGTGTTTGACAATACCTTTTCCAAGACGACCGGGAAGATGGCGACGTTTGTGCTGGTGACATATCCGACCTCCATGCCGCCGCAATCTGTCCATCAGGTGCACCACTCGCAGGCCCTGGGCAGCATCGGGGGCAGTGGACATCGAGTCTCGCCCAAGCTGCGTCCAACAAACGGCCCGAACGGCTCAACCGATGAACTGCGCATGACCAAAGCCCGCTCCTCGTCCAACGCAAAGCGGACAAAACATCGCCAAAGTATTTCCTCGATAAATGGCGCGCCAGCTCTGGTTCATACAGGCATACTACAAAAGCGACGCCGCAAGCGACATCAGGGATGGGCTCGTCGGTTTTTCTCGCTCGACTACACCTCCTCTACTCTTTCCTACTACCACGACCGAAACTCCTCGGCGCTTCGTGGTGCTATACCTCTCCAGCTTGCAGCAGTCGCTGCTAATGCGCCGAGGCGGGAGATCTCAATCGACTCTGGAGCTGAAATCTGGCACCTTCGTGCAACTAACGAACAGGATTTTGCGGCATGGCGGACTGCATTGGAAAAGGCATCGAAGCAAACAAAGGAGGACAAAGCCCTTTCACCCGCCTCTCCTCTTCTACAAATCCCTTCGAATTCGACGTCACGCCACCTACCGAATCCTGCCGAGGACCGTGAATGGGAGCAAATCGAAAGTTTAGTTAGCAAAGTATCAGGGTCTAGAGATGCAGTACGACGATTAGCCAAAGACACCGATCCCAAATACCTCAGTACCGCATCTACGCCAGTCACGGCGGTAGATCGACGACGCTCGCCCAGCCCACAAGCAAACCCGGCAGATCCCTCTTCAACTCCAGATGATTATTTGGAGTCCCAGCATAAGCGACCATCATTTTGGAAACGCAAAACCAGTGCCAGCACTATGACCAAGCGCAATAATGGTCTAGCTGCTCCGAGCCCCTCGAGCGAAGCCTCGGTGGCTGGTGAGCGAAAGCCGAGAAGTATTATCAGCCACCCTGACCATGACGACGAAATTCACGACCACCTTATGGCCCTCCTCCGCGACCTGGACAAGGTTGTTTCTGAATTTTCTGGCTTAATATCGGAAAGCAAGCAGCGACGACAAGCACCGGTTTCACTAGTAAGCTCAAGAATCAGCATAGACTCGGAAGCGTCTCAAGAATTTTTCGATGCCGAGGATGGTCCAGCATCATCTTTCCTCACCATTCAGCACGACTCGGATGTTGAAGCCGAGGTAGAAAATGTTGAAGAGGAGGACGACGCTGCATCATCCGGTAGTGACGATGCTCGCAGCGACTACACGCGAAAGGGAATCGGAAGGGAGAACTTGTCGATATTATTCCCTTCAAAACCGAAATCCTTAACCCCCCTACCATTGGATGCTGTGAAGCGACGAAAGACAGTATCAGCCCCCGTTATGCCACCGCCGAGTCTGATCGGGTTCTTACGGAAGAACGTAGGCAAAGACTTGTCGGCAATATCTATGCCTGTGTCTGCAAACGAGCCTCTTTCCTTGCTCCAGCGAGCTGTGGAGTGCATGGAATATTCCGCTCTACTAGACAAGGCCGCTACTGCCACCGACGTGTTGGAACGCTTAATCTACGTTACAGCTTTCGCGCTATCTAATTTATCGACAAGTCGGGTGAAAGAGCGGGCAATTCGGAAACCATTTAACCCGCTTCTCGGAGAAACATTTGAACTGGTTCGCGAAGATCGAGGGTTCAGGATGATCGCCGAGAAAGTCTCGCATCGCCCAGTCCAGCTTGCTTACCAAGCCGACAGCAGGGACTGGAGCTTGAACCAATCGCCCATGCCAACGCAGAAATTCTGGGGCAAATCCGCTGAGATCAATACGGACGGCAAGACTCGACTTAGTCTACATGCGAGCGGAGAGCAATTCAGCTGGGGCAGTGCAACATCATTCCTGCGAAATATCATCGCTGGGGAGAAGTACGTTGAGCCTGTGGGAGAAATGATCGTAGTCAACGAGACCACAGGTCAAAAGACTGTTGCGACTTTCAAAGCCGGCGGCATGTTCTCGGGCCGCAGCGAAGAGATCACCGTCAAAGCCTTCGACATTCACGGCCATGAGCTGCCCTTGGGCTTATCCGGCACATGGACCAGCTCGTTACAACTGACAGAGCATGGCTCCGTCACCAACAAAACCATATGGACAGTCGGCCCCCTCGTTGACGAGGCGTCCAAACGCTACGGCTTCCCCGTTTTCGCGGCCACCCTGAACGAAACCACTGCCATCGAAGAATCCAAAATCCCACCCACCGACTCGCGGCTTCGACCGGACCAACGGGCCCTCGAAGCTGGCAATTTAGATTCAGCAGAAAGTTTGAAAGCGAGACTAGAAGAAAAGCAGCGTGAACGACGGCGCGAGCTGGAGGAAAGTGGCGGCGTGTATCACCCGCGCTGGTTCACTAATGTTCCGGAATCTGCGAGCGGTGAAGTGGTGTGGAAGCTGAAGTCGGGCAAAGATGGATATTGGGATGAGCGAGCGAAGGGGGAGTGGGCTGGAGTGACGCCTATTTTCAAGCTATAATCATCTTCTTTCTCTGTATACCCATTCTCAGATTGATTATATAGGCCGTATATATATAAGCCTTTACTTCTTCAATATTCTATCAATATACTACTGGAGCTCATCCTATGGCTACACTCAACAGAGCCAGCGATCCCACTCGCTAGAGCGTATTATCCACGGTAATATCATGAACAGTCAATCGGAGACTTTGGACTAGAAGAACGAACTACAATCGCCACGGCTCGAGACCCAGAGACTCAAGGGCTCTATATAATCTATTTTCTTTTAAAAAAAATAATTAAGTCAATATATTTAGGGCTAGATAACAGTTAAAAATACAATTTGTTAACTATAATAGCCTGATATCGCGAGTCCACATGCACATTTAAGGGATAGGTATATGTAATGAGCGAAAAATTATATTATATCTGTATAGCGAGAAAACCAAATATTCTGGTGGTCGGGATATCAATATCAAGCTTGAGAAGTTCATGTTGAAAGACTGTTCCTAGGCAGTCTCCTTTACCTCCTGAACTACTTCGACTCTGTCCAGATCCTTCAGTGTATCAGCTGGGCTCTTACTCAAAGGGCAGGTCAGTTAGCAGCGATATGTGCAAATTTTGCAGTTTAAGCATTCATATGCAGTAGATGTTCCGGTCTCATAGAGCTCGGCGCCATTCGGCCTCCCCTGGACATTGAACAGATCAATCCCGAAGGTCTGAAAAGTCTTACTATATATGATGAAAAAGGCGAAAAGGTTAAGAGAGTCCAATGGAGAATTGAAAATATCTTAATAGTCTGTTTTATCTCAAAAACAAAGATATCAATCCATATTTTGGAGTATACATGTGACTTCAGTCTAGCGTGATACTCCTGTTTTCAAAGGTTCTAAGAAGCCTTTTAATGAGTCCGTTCATTCCCGGAGCCAGTTACATTGCCTCGTAGATTACCAAATGTGAATAGAATCCGGACCTCAGGTACTCTGAATCCAGCACCGTTTAATAGCCTTGCATGAGTACTTGGAGCTACAGTCAACTACGGTGTCTCGTCACTGAAACGGTGGAACCTCGCTCTCTGGGGCATGATAGACCTCGGTCCGCAAGGGTGAATGCACATTGGACGAGGTTCTCGGTTTTCTGATCAACTCTCCACGCGGAAAGCGAGCACCCCACCGTTCTGGTCTGCTAGACCGAGGTGTTGGTACTAGAAATGGATAAGCAGTGGTGATTATCAGACGAACCTCCACTACTCAGAAGGACTCGTTCCTAGGAGCCGACTGCAAAATGATGCTCTAATAAAGAACTAAATTTACCTGGCCCCGTTACCAGCTTTAGAGACCCTCAAGACTTACGAGGAAGCAAGCGAATCTAGCCAGTTGTTTGTTGGGTGCCTACTGGCATTGGTTTTTACGTTATAGATTGCAGTTATCCACTCATATTCGAGGTTCTATTAGCAAATAACATGGCGAGACTATAGATCTGTGTTCTATGTGCTAGTTTCTATTTTAGTCGGGGGGAGGACATGCGGTTCTGCGGCTCCAATGAATCATCCGGTATATCTAGAGTGAACCAGCTAATGCCTACTGTAGAGTCATGATAGTTATTGACTGGCGGCTCCGTCCTCGGCTCCGTGATCCGTTCCTATGGCCAGATCTAGGTTTCCTCTGCCAACCACGACATCCAAGAATAATAATGAGCATGAATCGTAAAAGCATGGATGATAATATCTTTGAGAGACAATTATTAATTATATAAAAGCTAGATACTATATTCTTAATAATAATCTTAATCTTATAGATAAGATTAAAGACGTATGTGTACATAAGAAGTTTTCCGTATCCGTTAGGGTTGGTTGTGGTTGATCGTCATCGGATGGAGATGCCATCGTTCGGGGGTTCCTTGGTTCTGTTTACTGAGTTCTGTCCCTAAAGGACACTGCGGCCTAGATAAAGCCTAGGCGGATATGAGAGACACCATGGACGGTGCTGATAAACTGGATATTTGAAACCGCTAAGCGCAACCATGGATATCTAAAGATAACTTCTTTAAAGACTCAACCTGATGGTGACAATTGCATATGCCCAAAAAAAAAAGAAAAAAAATTGCGTGAAGACTTTTCTTCCATACTTGCAAAAATAGTATGTTGAGTATTCATATAAACCCCTTATAATGCGCGTTTTAAAGCACGAAAAGTTTCGTCGCAAAATGAAGTAACAACCACCATTGTAAAATTCCGCTCGATTGGCCGTAGAGCGAAGTTGAAATCCCAGTAGAGTTCACGTTGAACTCAGGCAGATGACAAGCTATCGTCGGTGCAGATGTAACATTATTGTGACGGTCCAACACACAGTCGGTAAAGTTGTCCGTCACTTCCCAGACTTTAGCGAGCGGATCGCTAACCCTTAGATTCTGGAGATATGTATCCGGAATAGTGCATTGAAGCCCACAGTTGCTAAAAGCAGTTACTTCGTTTGGATGACAGCAAGCCGTCATGGCCATTCTTATCGTTGTTTCATTAGTCGAGCTTGCGCAAACGTTGTAGCCTGGCAGCGAAGAAAAAGGTTGACCAGGTTCAGGACAAGTCAAGTTTGCAGCACTATTTGACATTTTGCGGAGTACCTCAATCCAAGAGAGAAGTCAAATTCAAAGGGTGTTGAGAGGAGCGATATGAGAAGTGCTTTGTTCCCAGAACAGAAATTGCAAGCTTGCCGTCGGCAATGATAAGCGTAGCCAAAAAAATAATATCTTCCAGTAGAAATAAAATGGTTAGATAGTTGCGGTGGTAGAGATATATTCATCAAAATAACTCCACTTAGAGGTCTATGTTGATATGAAAATATGTGTTGGTTTGCGTGTAATATATTAGTCAGGACTGGCAAGGAAGCGTACAGGTTTATATAATTATCATGCGATTAATGTATACTTAGCTGCTATTTTTATAAGAACAAAGACGTCGAGGCCGAGGTCTAACACTAGTAGTAGTGGTGGCCTATGAATTCGTTCTAACAGGAGGGATCAATAGGGGTAAATAGCGGAGATATTTATGTGTAACCATCGGGCACTATTAACATCACCAGCGTCAAACGTGGACCAAATCTGATTTGCTGATGTAGTCGCCGACGTGAAAGCTTGCAGGTTTGAGTCACAGCCACAATAGTGGGCGTTTACCGAGTACTCACTAAGGAACCTTTGTTTCAAAATTGTGAGCGTTAATAGACACAACAAGGGGCTATGTCTAGTGAGTATCAGGCGCAGGGTTTCTATTGGACATTGTGGATGTAGTAGGCTGGGTTTACATCGGCGAGACTGCACCCTGCATAGGAGCTTGAGCGACACCCTCCTTCATTTAGTCCCATTATTAGCGATCCACCCCCAACTTGAACTATAGTTCTTTGTTGAAGCTTGTCTATTAGAAATTCCCGCGAACAACAAAGAAGAAGGATCCCCCTGCGTATATACACACCCAGTGGCAATCTTACCGTTGAAATTGAGACCATATCATATGAAGCTGTTATTTCCTATGTTTCTTCACGCTAGTCCTGATAAAAGGATTCAATTCATACATAAATGGACATCTTAAAGTCGATTAATCGTGGAAAGTAGATATGAATCTACATTATAAATGACCATTAATGAGAATACTAAGCATGGGGAGAAGAAAGGTAATCTATGCATGCAACTCCAGCTCCAATCCTACGGTCAACGTCGTTGCAGCCGTCAAACAAAGTGAGTACAATTCGATCAGAATGTGAAAATTTTTTGGGTAAAAGGCCAAGGTGAAAACGTTCTCAACTGCTTCCTCTAGCCATCCAAGGCTCATCGTGTTCAAGTAGCGTTAGTGAATATCCGCTGCAATAGCGCAAGTCATACCGAGCGCCTGCGCTGCCGGTGTTCCGGCATCCTTGAGGGCTGTAACCAAGCCACCAATTGCTGCTATCCACTCAAACCCTGGCACTTCAGCCAGGATCCCGGACAGGGCGCCGATATAGTAAAGGGCATTTCCGTATAATCCCGCAGCATTACAAATATAGGAGTTGTCTGATGCGCTAGAGAAAGTCATGACCACACCCAGATTTTGGGTGAGATCCTGGCCTTGAGTATGATCTGTATAGATTGCCTGCACCATGTCGGCGGCGTTTGTCATATTGGTGGTATAGCACTCTTTGTCTGAATGATCAGAAGGGTCGCTGGGGACATAGCAGTTGTGGTTTACCGGGGTTGTGTTGTTCGAGATGAGTGTGCTGGCGGACATTGCGCCCGCTACAGCGTTGATAAGAGCTGTGAGAACATTTTGATCGGTGACCAACATCCATGGAACATCAAAAGAGAGCACTCCGTCGTTATGAAACCATGCTTCTTCAAATAGTAAGGGTTCCGCCTCAGTGTATGCAATGTTGGTTATTTGTGGTACTGTGCTACAAGTTGTTAATGTAGCGCCTTCCGCAACTGTCCCGCACCCGCTCACCAGAGCACTTGATACAGAAGTGAATAAATCGCTACCTGTCAGTGTGCCGACATTCTGGAAAGCAGTAGGATGGATCTCCATGGTAAGAGATTTGCCCCCATGAACGGTTGAAGATGGGCCGGTGCCATTCCAGGACGGTGTCTGACCTGGGGCCTTCACTGTACTTTGGTAGGCAATTACGGCTGAGTTCGGAGCGGTAGACGTATATCTAATATTGTTGTGTTAGCAGAAAAACGAAGACATCGGCAGATGTCAGACGTACGGATATGGTGGCAGCGAGGTGACGACTGTGACGTAGTAGGGACAATAAGTTAAGTATGCATTCAGTGCTGAATTGCTGGTCGTGATAAGAGGTACCTCCGTTACAAAAGGTTGTAATGCAACTGTGCCGGTACCAGAACAGCTTCCAGAGATTTTTGTCCAGCCATCCACAGTCACTGCCGTGGTAGTAAATGACAGGGTTTGGCGAGCATCAAGCTCCCGAGACGGGAGCGTAGGTGATGGTGTTATAGAGGCAGTTGGCACGGGCATGACGCCACTAAGGTACCATAATCAGTAACATGTCTTCAGCGCAGAGAGCATTTCGTGTTGACACGTACCTAGCGGCTACCAGAGCCGTGATAGAGAGTAAAATGAAACCTGAAAGTCTTAAACGGAGCATTGTGGAGATGAGAAGGTTTGGAATCCAGCTGGAGGTCAAGATTGAGAGGTTTGGAATTATCGTAGCCGGTCTCAAGTCCACGATTTTCTAACTTGCTGTGAGGTTGTTGACCTGGCTGGTACTGTTCCTCTACTATGCATCTGCTCTATGAATCACCCGTTACCTTGCAGCATGCAGCATGAGTGCTGGGCATTTTTGGCCTTATAAAGAGATGCTCTCTCACAAATTTCTTGCTCTCCACCAACATAACAAAAGTACCTCAATATGTGAAACCAATTTTATCCCATTCTAATTAAACAATAACAACCGATGGGGGCGAGTGTTCGGCCCGAACATGGAGGGACTGCATTTTAGGGTTACAGAAGTGATAACAGAAACAGGGGTTTCCGTTGAACGCGTGGGCAAATTGTGAGGTGGGGGACGTAAATACTTTGCACCCCACCACTGTAGTTCCGACTAAGGAAAGGTCAGCATTTTTACCAGGCCAGCCACATAGTTACAATGCATGTCTACTCTCGGGATGTAAACTAGATTAAGGAGATGCGTCTGTATCTTCCCTCTTAGTGGAGATATCAGGAAACCTCACATTGACTACCACCATCGGTAAGATCCATCTATTCGCCTGGCGATGTATATCGAGTCATTTGTTACCCGAGCATGATTGGTTTTGGGGCCAAAATGGATGTGAAATTGTATTTGTAGTATCGGTGGATTAACGGCTCTTCTTTCGGAGTTCATATCTTCAAATCCATGAGACTATGAAACAGTAGCTTTTCCGACATATCCTTGACTGCATCTCAAAGGACCATTCAGAGTTCAAATGTGACGTTGAATTAACACAGAAATGTGCCCCCAAATCCAAGGTGATAACCTTGAGTCAATGCTATAAGATCGTGGAAAGATGGTAGATGCTATTAAAATAAAAGGGAGGTATCATCCCCGATTTCTGTAATATTTTCTTGATTCAGAGCAGCATCAGTATTTCATTTTTCACCTTCACTTTTCCATTCTTTTCTTACTTTGTTATCAAAGTCATTCTTTTAGCATCTTGATGATAGCCATTCATTCAGATTAACCCTCACATTATATATCATCACATCACTCTACTCTCTTTAACGCGACGTGGAACTAGAGAATCATCATGAAGTTGACATCTGCTATTACTATTCTGGGTCTGAGTTTACTAGGAAACACGGCGACCGTTCCGCTGGGACAAAAGAGATCTGGTGTAGCCGGTACCACTGCGATCTCCAGTGCTGCAGTCTCTAGTTCTCCAGTCCCTCGTTCTCCAGTCCCTAGTTCTCCAGTCCCTAGTTCTGCGGTCCCCAGCAGAACGGTGTCCAGAGCTGTGGTTCCTACTGCCACCGCTTCTGGATTCCGAAGTGTAGCTTATTATGCGGATTGGGTAAGATCTCATTCTTGGAAAACACTGAAAACTCTTCCCACAACTAAGTCGTTATCATTATTGACCAGGATATCTACAACACTTCCTATTTCGTCACTAATATAACCGCCTCGACGCTTACTCATCTTGTCTATTGCTTTGCCGATCTTGATGCAAATACTGGATCAGTTAGTGTCTCTGACGCCTGGGCTGATTTGCAGTATCCTTATCCTGGTGATAATCAAAGTGATACTAGCTCTGTTGCTGGCAATGTGAAGCAACTGTATCTTCTCAAGCAGCAAAACCGTAATCTTAAGACAATATTCTCTATCGGTGGATATAGCTGGGCTTCAAAGTTTGAAAACTTCACCTTGACTGCTCAAGGAAGACAAACTTTTGCACAGTCTGCTCTTCTATTGATTCAGAATCTTGGTTTTGATGGTATTGATATTGACTGGGAGGTAAGTAACCATTCTTACTCAATATTTGTTTGTTGAACAAAAATATATAACATCAAAATAGTACCCCTCCGATCCAGAACATGCCCAGGCTATGGTCTTGCTTCTTGAAGAACTCAGGACCACCCTGGACACCTACTCAGCTCAGTATGCGCATGGTACACATCTTTTATTAAGTGTTGCAGCCCCTGCTGGCCCCGCCAACTACGAGGCCTTGAATATTACAGGAATGGACCAATATCTTGACATGTGGAACATCATGGCGTATGATTACGCTGGCTCTTGGTCTAACTACACTGGCGATCATGCCAACGTGTATCCGTCGCAGAGCAACAATAACAGTACTCCAGGCCACACTGACGGTGCTATCTCATATTACCTTAGTCAGGGTGTTGCTGCCAAGAAGATAAACTTCGGTATGCCTCTGTATGGGCGATCCTTTACGAACACAAGTGGACTCGGTCTGCCATTTGGTGGTGTCGGTTCAAACGGGCAAGGGATCAACTACAATGTCCTGGGCGGGCCGAACGCAAACATCACCGAGATGGCCGATGTGATTGCCAGCTACAGCTACGATTCCACCAATGGCGGTACTTTGACCAGTTTCGACACTCCTAACATTGCCTTACTGAAAGCCCAGTACATGCTTGAAAAAGGTATAGGAGGTGCCATGTACTGGGAACTTAGCGGCGACAAGACCGGGCCTGAGAGCATCATTGCCACCGTTGCCAACAGTGTCGGCAATCTTGATCAGACTCTTAATCTGTTGAGCTATCCCCAATCTAACTACACTAATATCAAGAACAAGATGAACTAATTTCCCTTGCTTCAACTGGTTAGGAGTGGATTTTTTTCATGAGAGGAGAGACTGTGTGGTTGCAAAAGTGAAACGAACTTATCCCGGGCCTCATGGGCGAATTCTAGATAAAACCAGCACGTATTGTCTAGTCTGGATATATGTACATGTATAATTACTCTATTATACACATTAATAAGATCTATATCCATTGTCTTAGCAGTTATCTTAGACCTCTTAGTACGCTTATAATACTAAATCACACCCCTTTTATACACATAGATTATATCACTATCAATATTATTAGCATCCACAGACTTAATTTTAAATCCATCTGCTATTTTATACGTCTTTATCAGCGGCAATTTCATTAAAGTGAGAATTAATATAATCTAAAAATAACACCACGGTTAAAATTTAAAGCTTAGATAAGCATCTACTAGATTTCATGCAAGATGCATGCGGTCTTATTTGATACAATGATACCAGCTACATAAAGCTAGTTATAGATTAGATGGAGTAAGATAGGAAATAGCAATCTCGAAGTAATTGATATTGGAGTGCAGTCATATGTCTAAGTCCAAGCAAGATATCAAAAGCCGAGTAGTAGATAGCATGTTTAAAAAATTCCAAAACGTAGAGATTCTTACTTAGAGCGCTTCATTTAATCCAGAACCTAGTCATCTAGACCTGCATATCGAATTTGCCTAAAAGGGTGTCTATTGAGAGACTAATGTATGGTGAGATACAGGTTCCTGAGTGGATGTAGATGTTAGAATGTTTTTTCTAGTAAGGTTTCATTGTAAGGCTCATTACTTTACTTAAAGTTGATACTGTGGAAATTGTTCTATGAATACTCAATAGTTCATATTACTATATGATACACAGAATTTATCAATCTAAGAATATTATTAACTCACCCCTTTTAGTCATCAAGATCACGCTACACAATTTACAAATAGCTTATTTTCCTCCTAGTTTTGATAAAAATTATACCGGTAAGTCGTAAGGTTTGTATCTTTCAAACATCCTTAATATTCTATTATAATAAAACTGTAACGAGAATACAAATTGTCAGCAGCCATGCGCCACTGGCTCCTTGGCGTGCGGTGACTTTCCTGATTGGGAAGGGAGGCTCTCAACACAGCTTAGAAAGGTTTCTTAGAAGGTTTCTGATTGGTGGGGAATTGAGCCTCAAGGTTTGTCTAACTACCATCATATTGTTATTAATATTACTAATTAGTAAAAATAATATTGTGGCTCTCCCTACATATGTACTCGCACGCGCATTAGTCTCTGTTCGCACTAGGTAGACATAAACCGGCTGGTCCAGCCCAACATCGGACCTCCTGAAAAATTGCCCGTGGTAGTGACTATTTAAAGGAATAATAATATCTAACCACATATCAACGCGTTTTTGTATTAATATTAATCCTGCTCCATTCCAATTCCTCATTCAAACACGTCACTCGTTACACATCCAATCAGTCTTTCCTTAACCACCATCGATTGATACTTTACGTACCACATACCACTCGTTAATATCATCAAAATGCATACCAACTTTAAAACCGTCGCTGTCGCCGTCGCCACCCTCACCCTCACCACCACCGTCCTCGCCCGCACCGACCTCGTCGGCTGCACCAGCTCCATCGCCGGCCCCAGTCTGGTCTGGTATGTCCCTGGAACCGGCGAATTGTGCGACTTTCTTGACTGCGGCGGCGGACGTGCGCCACCGAAATACAGCGTCCCTGGTTGTCCCTTGTATACTGGGACAGCGACTTACTCGCCTTCGTATCTGCCTGGCTATGGGCCTAATGCTGTGCCAGTGACGGCTGCGGCAGCGTCGTCTGAGTCGTCGATATTTCTATCTGGTACGACGGTGGCGGGGCAGAGTACCGCTGTTGCTTCTATTTCTATTTCTACTTCTGCATCAGTCACGGCGGCAGCAACGACGGCAACTTCTGCGACGGGCATGGAGACGATTACAGGATTGCCTACGGTGACCACACCCGCGCCGGCGTTGAGTTCGTCTGTCGGTCCTGCAAGCTCCCAGTCAGCAGTTTCGGCTTCTTCGGCAGTTACTCCGCAAAGTAGTCATCCTGTTTCGACTGGTGCTGCTGTCGCTGTTAAGGTGTTGAATAGAGCGGTTGGTGTTGGTGCCGTTGTGGCTGGCCTCGGTGCGGCGGTGTTGTAATGATGTATAAAAACTGTTGGGATATGAGTCAGATATCGTATTTACTTCTATAATTAAAGCCACTTTACATATGTATGGTAGAGAGATTGTATCAGCATAGAAATGAGATCAATAAAATCGGTGATACCGATTTGAATATAATCTTCGATAAATTGGTTTGACTAAGTTGGTGAGTGTGTTGGAGCCTTTCCACATCACTATAAAGTAACCTATGTTGTCAGCATCTGAATCGAAATCAATCGACATACTCCTACTCAATCTTCTTCATACCGATCATCAGCTTCGGTGGCCTATCACCACACGAACAACTCATCCCGCCCAAATCCCCAACCAAAACCAAACCCTCATCAATATCGTCAGTTTTCAAAACCAAAACCCTCAAACGCCAACCCAACCCACAAAGAAACAATACCTCTCCACCCACCTCCTCCCTACTCCCTACCAAATGCGTATCCGCCATATCACACCCCAACAGCCCAGGCTCTAGATACTCATCACACAGAAAACAACCCAAATCATCTACCCCAAGATTCCGATACCGATACCCCACGGCAACACTCAAGCCGGCCGTGAGTGGGTTCGCCTACGCGCTTATTCTGACCTAGCAGGGGTGGCGAGCCGCTAGACTTGTTATTAGGGAATCCGCAGTTCGTGGGGATGAAGGTTCAAAGCTTATGTGCTGGATGTAGTTTTTGTATAGGATTTCGGACGTTTCGTTGTGTATTTGCCGCGTTGTGAAGAGGAGTTGGATGAGAGGGTAGTAGGTCGAGGGGGATGCGACTGTGGTGGCGAAATGGGGATTCTCGGGGTTAGTGAATGACTGCAAGCAAGAAATAGAAATTGTATATGCAGTCGCGGACCCGGCGAGGGAGTTTAAAGAAGGTCAGCGGTGGCTGTCTTGACGGCAGCGTGAGGGTATGTTTGCCGAGGCAGTCGAACTCTCGAATGTTGATATCCATACCGATACTGGAAGAGTCAGGCTACTTAGGTACCTACTTAGATACAGGCTGGAAGAAATATCGGCTATTTACGTTCTTTTCTCTGTCATACAGTAGTATCACGTGGTCGTACTTACCTAAATAACTAATCGTGTAATCATTTCACTTGTTGTTCTGTGGAACAAGCCCCGCTGCTTTTATTCAAGATGTGAGGCGCATACATGCATTGGCTTGGCACAGCCAGTAAGACCTTACTACATTACTGACCGGAAATAGTGTCCTACATAGAAACATTCGACAGATTCTGACATCTGGATCGTTGTCGTTGACGATTAAACATGGTATTTGATTTATTCACTAACTATATTCGCTCCAGTATCAGGAGGGGAAGAAAAAAGAGATAAGAATACAGTATGATAGGATCATCAAAGAAGAAGATCGCCTATGCAAATTCCCGAAGATTCCAAAATGTATAAAGTATAAAGGATAAGGTTCATCTCCGTCCCTGACCAACCCGGCCGACTTGCATATTTGTAAACAGCAGCTTGAAGCCATTGCACAAAGCACGCATATCAGGATACGGGTTGCGCTGGAGTTCGTAGCCTTGGGGAATGACCTTGACATTCCAGCTCTGAAGAGCGGCGTTCTGCCCGGCTTTGAAGCAGAGGAAAAAGTACCCTGGGTATTTGGGGTTGATGCAGAATGCGTAGACGGAGCGCTTGGGGTTGGCCATGGTGTAGGTTGTGAGCCATTTCTCTGTTCATTCATTAGTACGAATCGTCTGCGGAAATTATATAGGACATACCGGTGTCGGCTTTTGTACCATTTTGGTACTTCTCATGTGCCATCATTTCGTCTACCTTCCTGGCCATCGTCTGTACATGGCTAACAATCAACTCGTCCAAATCGCTGTACGTGTATTTCCCGCCAATCTTCAGAATGCGACCAACGGCATATTCATTTTCTTTGTCCAATTCAAGAACATCAATATGTTGGTACACACCATCGGAAACTTTCCAAGTGATTGTGAGATGATCGGGACCTTTGGATGACGGCCTAATAACGCAATCGCCGCGGTTCTGTCCACCCAGGTACTCTTCTGCTTGCTTTGAATTGTACGCTCTAAAAAGAGGGTGCTTGATAACACGAACGAATCGACTCTCCGTTTTAGTCTTTTCCTGCAACAGGTCTCGATCTTCTTGTTCTTGTACATCGTCCCATTCACCACGCGGACGCTCGATGGGTCGCTGGTAGCCTCTGCTAACTTTATCCTCCCGCAGACTCATATTACAAGTGAAGGTCTTCTTGTTCAAGTATAGAATCTTACCCTGAACCGACTGGTGAATTTGGAAGAGAGACTTTGGTGGAATATCATGTCGATCTGTGATATCTGACTCGGGTACAAGAACCTCGACACCGCAGTCAAGTTTACCCTCAATGTGGTCTGGCGTGATCCGCTTGATAGACATGGATACAATCATGCCGTCTGCCAACGTTTCGTTAGTTTCACCAGTCAGCATGGTGAAAATCTCATCTGTACTGGGGAAGACAAACTGCTTTCGCAGTTCTTCGTAAGGCTGTTGTAATTCGGCTCGGATTGTTTCCAATGTCGCTCGCTTGCGTTGATTGAGGTTTTTCTCCAGCTGCTCTGCGTATTCTTCAAGGATTAAGTCATTTACACGATCCTGAAGATCCTCTTTGAGAAGTTTCCGAACGATCGCACCGGGGCCGGATTCATCTGTTTCTGCTTTGATATCCTCCTCGTCAAGCTCGAGTGCATCCGCAGCCATCTTGCGGGCGATATCATAGTCTTCGGGATGCACACGAGTATTATCCAAGGGATCAGCATCGGTCTCGACATTCTCCCAGTCAAGGTAGAGGAAACTAGCGCAGTTATTCCACACCTTAACTCCCATCGCTGGATATTGCGCTTCAACACCAAGCAATTCGACACGATTATTGACAATTCCGCCATTCATATTGACAATCTTGACCAGATGCGAGGCCTTTCGGGGTCCCAGGCCACAGACATACTGCAGAAGATTTTGTGTCCCTGTATCGTTAACAGCGTCATTGATGTCAACGCCACAGAGATTGACCATGTCGACCAACGCACTTTCCAGCTGCTTCATAACAGAATCCTCGGCAAGATAACGCTGACCAGGGGTGAACTGAATAGAGACCAAATCTTTACCAAGGGAAGCATATTCCTTCAAGGGATTCTGTAGGTATCGCGCTATGCCACAGCAATAAGAGGTAAGCCAATCTGACTTGACGGGGAAATCGGCGGCGGCCCGTGGGCTGTGGGCATACAGCTGAGCTGTTTCGTCGTTCACCATGACGACCTCTAACTTATCAGTGACTTCTTTTGACTCTTTACCTTCGCCTACAGTATACGGCGCAGTGCGAAGATCTTTACGGTCAATGATATCAGAAAGTAGTTTGTAGAGCTTTCGAGTCTCGGGAGATCGGCCTGAGACCGCGATAACATCTGGCACACGACGGCGTACCAATCCGAGGAATGCAGCAACATCCTCACCGTCTGGAACACCGCGTTCTGGATCGCCAATTTGCAACTTCGCCAGTTTTCCATGTTCCTGCGGCCGTCCTTCTTCTTCGACCCATACCCAATGAATAAAATGATCACCGTTAACAGGGGCGTCGCCATTTGAAAACGCAAGCACTCGAGGCACTGTGCCAAGTACCATGCCTTTAGGCTTGTAGGGGGCTTGGTCCAATTTGTTCGAGAAGACTTCACGAAGATCTTTAGCGACATTGTTCTCGCAGTTCTGTCGAATGTTTTCCTTGACACTTCGGGTTAACAATTTCAGCAGCCTTCCAAGCGCTGTGTCAAGAACCTCGCGTCGCTCTCGGTTCCAGGCGTCAGCAATGTCGCTCTGACTGTCTGATTCAATATGACTATAAAGGCTCTGTCGGTACCTTTCAAAATTCTGGAAGGTCACCTTCACATTAACCAAGCCTTCTTCCTCGGCTTTCAACATGCTTAGGAAGAGTTCTGGGCGTCGCGCAATGTCTGTGAGTTGTTGGTCGCGTAAATATTTAAACTCGTAGTACGGATGCTGCTCATCAATCCGCCGCAAACCCTTCTCTGTCCGATAGCAATCAACAACACCATTAATGTAACATTGCTCACGAATAACTTTGCGCATTCGAGGATTCATTACTAATTCTTCAACGAACATAGCTTTTGCCGCTCGAAGAGCGCTTGTGGCATTTGAATAGTCAGTGTCCAGAGTTTCATCGGCGGTCTCTTCTGGCAGCTTTTCAGGGTCCTCTGCGTATTGTCCACGTCGATTTTGCGAAGCAGCTTGCGCAAATGCATCTGCAGAGATACCAAAGGCACGCACAAGGTGATAAACGTTACTCTTTCGGATTCTCTCGAAAAGAGTGTTAGCACCTGCTTTTCGACGTTGCGTCGTTTGACCGTTCGACTGGCCATTGGCTTCGCCGTCTGCTTCCTGTGTTTCGTCTGAAACGAGGGAAATATCTTTGATCTGAGCACCGTACTGGAAGTGCATATATTCTTGGATATCTTGTAGCTCCTCCATAGTAGTCGCAGCAAACAGCATTTCATCAACGATTTCATCTTGAATACTCATCTCCTGGAGTTTTTTGTATGTCCTTTGTAATGTATGTCGCTTGTCGATATAGGCGCGGAATTTGAGGTCATGCTCGAAAATATCCCAAAGGTCGTTCATGTTCAATAACTTTTGTGCCCTGACGACAAATTCCGGGGCATTAGGATTAGCTGCGTCTGGCGATGAAGGAACCTTGGCGGCGTGAATAAGGTAGTCCTTGCGGTGTTGAAAGATGAACGGGACCTCAAAATCATCGGTCACCATGAATTCCAGCACTTTAGCGACTGCGCGTTGGAATGGTTCCTGTAGATTATCCTCGATGATGTGCTGCTTTCTTAACAGCATCAGGTTGGATATCCAAACGGCTTCCTCGCGGAATTCGTCATCGGTGAGAACGAGACCTTTGTACGGTTTGCGTGCAATTTGATGACGTTCCGGCTCATCAGTAAAACGAATCTCGTTATCCTCCTCTGTTAACATCTTCTCGGCAAGCAGAGTCGGCTCGAAAACATCCTTCAAGTCCAGACGTTTTTCCTCTTCCACTTGTTGTTCCTCCTCATCTTCTTCCATCTCGAGCGCGAAGAGATAATCCGTACCGTCGCCGAAAGCAGCACGCATATCTTCAAGGGCGTTCTCATCAAGCCCCGTAGCTTCTGTGATGGCCAGACCGGAAATGCCCTTTCGTACAGGACGCGCAATTTCTTCGTCGTCCTCCATGCGCTGGCGTTCTTCGTCCGAGAACTCGTCTTCTTCGATAAAGCCTTCCATTTCGTCCTCGCGACGACGGTATCCGGTCCTATCGTAGTCGGCCTCTTCCTCTTCATCCCACTTGAAGACATCTGTGGGTCGATCTGCCTTGTGGCCTCGCTTCAGGCGTTTGAACTTGGACTGGGATTCCATTAGATAAGTGGAAGGGATGTAGAAGTGAAGATACCTACCTCTGTGGTCTGCGGTTGAAAGTCTGGGTTCTGCTCCGCGAGGAGATCCAGATCTTCCTGGTCAAGGTGGACATCGTCACGCTCACGCTCTTCCCGTCGACGCTTTTTTCGTTCTCGGCGACGTTCTGCGCGTTCTTCTATTTCCTCGTCTTCGTCGACAATGAATCCTTCCCGAACCTGCCAGAGTCAGTTGTTATCGTTGTGAAGGCAGATGCTAGCATACCGCTCGAGCAGCCTCCTCATCTTCTTCTTCCTCATCATCCTCTTCGCTAGAGTCATTATACGAGACGCCCTTTCCGGTCGAAGGCCCATGCAGAGGCTCTCCGGTCTCGTCATCAAACTCCTCGTCGTTCTCCTCGTCGTCCAACATGGCCTCGCCTTCGATCAAGTCGTTGGTACTCATGGTGGCAGCTTATCGAGTATGGTGAGGGTGATTGATTGATTGAAGATTAAGAGGTCCAGAGACCACACACCCTGACAAGCAACACAAGAGCGCTGGTGACGGGATGGTGCACAAAGAGGAAACAGCTGTCGGGAAGGATCAATTGATGCTTCGAGCTGCGCCCGGAACAAAAAGGCGCGACGGTGGCTGGAGCACCAGCCGCAGGAGACGAGGGGTGGCGCAGGTGCCAAGTCCAGATCACGTGCCGGTTCCTCTCACGTGACTTCTCGAGATGACATCAACCAATAAGGCTTAATCTGCTTATTGTGTCTCGTTTGCATCATTTGCATGTGTCTATTGAGGCGTGTTTCTATCAATAGATCACTAGACTATTGACAAAGCTAACCATCCACCGCAAACAGCGACGTATTATCTCGATAGGGCGCTACAACAATATTAAATAAGAATAGTCCATATCAACACTATCATATCCTGCATATCAGCTATAATCCTCAATAATACTAATACCGTGGTGAGACGTGCTCCACCTTCTCCTGGCCGTCGGGTTTCAGGTACAGAATTCTGCCCGACTAGAATCGCTCCACTGCTGTTCAGATCACGTACTACCGTAGTATTGTCATCATCTGTGCCTGTTATTGAACATGATTGCATAGTGAATATGAATATCATTTAATATTATCCACGCCACCAGCGACAGCGCACAATACTATTAGCCCCTATTGACGCCCCTGGTGATTCGGCGCAACCAGCCCCCGCGCTGATTGGCCCCGCTGCACCTGCTCCATCCCATCACCTCCAGCGACTCCTGGGCCTCGTCTGTCTCGTTCTTCTCATCCAGCCGGTCGCAACTTGTCGGTTGCTATCTGTCATGCCCTACTATTAATCGACTTTCCTGTACGCTCATCCATCCGGAACAGTGACTGCCCGGTCGTTGTGTCCGCCCGAAGCGCAAAGACCACAGTCGCCCGTGTTCCCCGCAGGAGTCAGAAGATAGAAGCTCTTGCTCGGATTCTCCAATCCTGACTCACGCCGACCCCTATTTTTATTTCTTATAGCTACGCTCGATACCTTCATACTCTTATTCTCCCTGCTCACATTCTCTCGCTGTTACGCTGCTGAGCAGCTCCGCAGTCGCCATGGCCGACCAATTCAAACCTCGCACTATGAAACGCAAGAATGTGAAGGGACTTGCTCTCAATGCCGCTCCCAAAGCCACCTCCAAGCCGTCAGAACCCGATGCTCAAATCCCCGGAGCTCTTGGAAACACCGACAGCAATCGCTCGGACACGCTCGAAATCGGTCTCGAATTCAAGCTCGATCTACGCAGTGAGGACTTGGTAACGCTGAAGGAGGTCGGTGCAGGAAATGGCGGGACCGTCGCAAAGGTCATGCATGCCACGACAAAAGTGGTCATGGCTCGGAAGGTAGGCTGTCGTCGCCTTTGTTTCGGCTTTCTCTGATCAAAATTACAGATCATCCGAGTGGATGCGAAGGAAAACGTTCGAAAGCAGATTGTCCGAGAATTACAAGTCGGCCACGATTGCAATTCCCCGTATATTGTCACATTTTACGGTGCCTTTCAAAATGAATCACGCGATATTGTGCTGTGCATGGAATATATGGACTGCGGGTATGATAATATTAAACCATGATCATGGCGCTTGTGTAGGAATCAGCGGAAAACTGACTGTGGCAGCTCGCTTGACCGCATCTCCAAAGAGTTTGGACCAGTTCGAATCGACGTCTTGGGAAAAATCACAGAATCTATTCTTGCCGGACTGGTTTATCTCTATGAAAACCACCGCATCATGCACCGTGACATCAAACCGTCAAATGTCTTAGTCAACTCTCGCGGAAACATCAAGCTATGCGATTTTGGCGTGGCTACCGAGACTGTTAATTCGGTTGCCGACACGTTTGTTGGCACATCCACATACATGGCACCGGAACGTATCCAGGGCGGCGCATATACAGTGCGATCTGACGTCTGGAGTGTTGGCTTGACGGTTATGGAGCTGGCAGTCGGGCGGTTCCCTTTCGACTCGACCGATTCCGCTGCAGGAGACCGAGCCAGCGCAGGTCCAATGGGCATTCTAGATTTGCTACAGCAGATCGTGCATGAGCCGGCACCAAAACTACCCAAAAGCGACGCTTTCCCTCCAATACTACATGATTTTATAGCCAAGTCTCTGCTGAAAAAGTCCGATGAGCGACCTACTCCGAGGGAGTTATACGTATGATTCTCCTCTATCATGACATTCTCTATCAACGACAGTCAACTAACAGAGTACAGGACAAGGACGCCTTTCTGCAAGCGGCCAAGCGAACTCCAGTCGATCTCCAAAAGTGGGCTCGCAAGATGATGCAAACCCAGGACCGTCATTCTTATCTGGAGCCACCCGCTCCAGCATCTCTGAAAGCCACCCCTTCGTCTCGAAGTACATCCCCAGATCCAGCATCTCGAGAAACACCGCGCACTTTTACATCAACACAAGCCACCTCGCATGCCACTCCCACTTCAACACACGCCACGCATGCCACTACCACATTTGGGGAAATTCCCGTCAGAAATGATATTCCTTCAGCAAAGAACTATCAGCCTTCACTACATAGTGCCAATCACAGTGCTCATCCTCTCAGTTCCACCAGACAAGCGCCGTTCCTATCCCTTGAACATTTGTCATTAGAAGGAGAAGATTCCCGCGAGAGAACTCGCCCCCTTCGCAGTTATACTGGGGAGCCTCGTTCTGCAATCGACGCACCATCAAGACCACAGTTTCCCCGAACTTTGAGCTCCACACATCAAGGCGGCCTGCACACGGCGACTCTCCCTATGGGAGCAGCGCCTCCGCCGTCGGGTCCGCTACCGCCGCCACCCTCGACTGCAGAATCATGGCGAAACCAATACAGAACACGAGAGAACATGACCTAACTCTTCATCCCACGGCCACTCACTCACACTCACTCACACTCACGCACTCATCATGCATTGCTCATGATTACGCAACTTCGCTTCTGTCTACGTCCATATCAGTTATGCATCTATGGCGCCTGTTGTTGTGCTTCCTGAGCTTTCTGCCATTTACTTCTTGACTTCTCATTTGTTATACCTCCACTTTTGACAAGCTTAAGCTCTTTGCTCTTTTTTGCCTTTTGTTTTAAGATTTCTTGTAACTAATGGAATCTATAGCTTGATATCATGTACTTAGGGTTGAATGTAGACGAGGCTTGCCTGCACAAAGATGTCACTTCTTCAGTCTATTTATCCTCTTTCAGTCTATCCACACTCCAGTAATCTTCATACATATACTATCCTATGTACAAATACAACCCACCCCTCCCACTAATTTATACTCTTCACCCCCTCAACAATGTACGTAATCGCATCCTTACCGGCCTGCAAAACGCCATCCATAGCCAAGAACGGATGTGGCATGCCCTTCATCACATGCAGCTCCGCCTTCACCCCATTCTCCTGCAACTTCTTCGCATACGCCTCGCCTTCGCCCCTCAACACATCCAACTCTCCGACAATCACCACCGCGGGGGGCAAGTCCCTCCAATGCCCGTCTTCATTCGAATACAACAACGGCGAGGCCTCTGGATTCGTCCACTCTGTGCTGTCGGGGAGGTAGTGATTTCGGTACCACAGCATTTTCGGGGCGGGCAGCGCCGGCGTGAATTCGAATTCCTTCCACGACCAGTTTGACGCGACAGTCGCTGTGTTGTCAGTCACGGGGACGATCAGGATTTGTTTGCTTATGTGGATTAGAGACGCCTTCTCGAGGACCGCTTTGTGCGTTAGTGTTGCTGCCAGGTTGCCCCCGGCCGAGCTACCGCTGATCGAGAGCGCCCGCGTGTTGATGTTCAGGAGCGATATTGTGGATGGCGTGTGCAGCCATAGCAGCGCCTCCCAGCAATCATGGACTGCCGCAGGGAAGGGATTCTCGGGTGCCAGCCTTTTTTTTTTTTATCAGCTCCAACCATCACTTATCAACAACGAGGTAAGAGGTAAGCATACCGATAATCAACACTAACAACCACCACCCCAGCCCTATTGCAAATGTTCGTACAAACCGTATTCTCCGTATCAATATTCCCAAGCACCCAGCCCCCGCCGTGGAAATACAAAAACACACCCCATCCTTGCTGCGGAGGCGTGCCAGCAGGCGTGAAGACTCGTACAGGAACGGGGTCAGTGCCGCCAGTTTCGGTGCGCGGGATAAGATGGTCTTCTGTTTTGCCAACGGGCAACAAGGGACCACCCCCGGGGATGATCACGCCGCCTACGCGTGAGGCTGAGACTGGTTGGAGGTGCACTTGTTGTTTGTCGATGATGTATTTGTTGTAGAAGGCTGCGTATTCGGGGTGGACGCGCGCTGCGACGGAGGGGTGGAGAGGGTAGGGGGGTTGAGGTGAAGCCATTGCTATTTTATGCCTTTTCTTCCAGTCTATGTAATGTATATATGTATATATATGTATATATATATTTTCCACGACCCGGTTGGTGGTCGTATGCAAACCGGCGCCAGTCGATGCAGAAGAAACCAAGATTATTATAACATTTGACCTGATCGGCGAGAAGAGCGAGTGGACTCGTATTTAAACAACAAAACCGAATGTTGTGTAAACCAAGCTAATAAGACGCAATCTCCCATATTCATGACTTGATAATGTAATGAATGGCACCTATTCATCATTCCCCGCCTGCTCGGCATTTGTTCCTGGCTGCACCATCTCGCACAATTGTACTGCAACGTCAAAGAGAGGCATTGCTATTGGAAGCAGCCCCTCAATAAGCAGCGAACCCGCTTGTTGCGCGGGATGCCGAATGCGGAATGTGGGGTGATAACGGCTTATGGTACAGCAGACTTTCCACGTGCATTCATGTACAGTTCAGATGTTGGTTTTAACAAATATCAAATGCCATGATATAATAGCAATATATAATATATAAACATACTCACAGAATAATGTACCTCTTTCTACAAGACAACCTGAGATTAGATCAGCAGGCCGTTGTCAACAGACCACTCCCGCGCAACACTACATAATTATGTAATAATGAGGAACGTGGGATGTGGGATGTGATAACCACCCCGCTCACATATGTAGTCCCTTGCTTTCTTCTGTATCCAATGATACACAAACATGAAACACATGTGCTAATGAGGGGCAGTACATGTATCTATCGAGGGGCAGAGCTGTCTGAATTACCAATCACTAATCAATAATCACCTAACCTAGGTTAACTTTACAACATGTTCTCGGTACCGTTGACTGTTTTGGGATAGAGGGGCTACCCTATTCGGTATTGTTAGCTGCGTAACTAGTCTTACAGTGGAGCTGCAGGCAGGTAACTGCTTAATAAACAAACCATCCATCAATTCTTCTCTTTCTCTTCTTCCTCTTTTATTCTTTCACTTCACTTTCAAAATACAGATTCTGCACACAATGGCCACCAAAACCGCCGTCCTCACTGATAAAGCCCCCAAGCCCCTTCCGGGGATTTACTCGCAGGCTATCATCGCCAATGGCGTGGTTTACTGCTCCGGCGCCGTCGCAATTGACCCAGTAACGGGGAAGTTGATTGAAGGCGACGTGAAGGCACGCACAGTAAGTCTTCTTCCTCACTTTTTTTAAAAAATTCCAATTCCATTCCGTGGCAGCCATGAGTAGAGCTAAGCTGGGGTAGCACCAATGCATCAAAAACCTCACTGCGGTGCTCGAAGGCGCTGGCACGAACATCGACAAGGTCGTCAAGGTGAATGTCTTCCTGGACGATATGAAGAATTTCGAGGCGATGAATTCGGTATATACCACTTATTGGGGTGATGTCAAGCCCTGTCGGACGTAAGTATTTCGTGTTTTTGGTTAGAGGAGTGGTTTTTGGGTGCTGATGATCAGGATAGATGTGTCGCTGTTAAGCAACTCCCTCTCGGTACGGATGTTGAGATTGAATGCATTGCTGTACTGTAGGTGTGTAAGGTTTGTGGGCTTTCAGTATCAGGACTTGACTAATTACTTTCAGGCCCATTGAAGAGCAGAAAACTTCAGCCAAGATCTAAGGGCACTAGCATACATGTACAGAAGCAGGCGAACAGTGAATGCTGGTGATAAAACTAAAGTTTATCTAATAAAAGTAATGAATGGTTATTTAAGACAGTTATTTCTTATTTGGTGTCATTCCCTATCAACTTCCCTAATGTCTCGTATGCTTCTTGTAGCAGCTCCCAGCGACACCCTTCAAGACTCTCACGCACCGCCTGCAGCAGCTCAGACGTCTCTTGGGCCACCGCATCAACATCATCCGCGTCGTTCTTCAGCAACATGAGCATACGGACGAGATAATCTTCAGCGCTGTAGGACACTCGCTTGCCCTCGAGCGGGTGTTTCTCGCGGGCCATGGTTCCGTATGCCCACAGGATCAATGCCGCGTGGTAATTCGACCAGGGCCGTAGTGCGATATTGTCTCCACTAGCTTTATACAGCTGGCCGGTGAATATTGTCTCTTGGATTAATAGCAGACAGTGGTAGAGAGCCTTTTTTGACTCTTGTCTTTGGCTCCAGGCGCGCACGCGTGCTGTCGCGCGGAGTCGGTCGTTTGTTGACAGTAGGCTGCCGAGAAGTGACGGGGCACCAGCAAGGATGTGGATGTCGTTGATGTCCGTGTAGATGGCTACATAGGCCATTCGATGGAGCGGTCGCGATGCTTCCAAGGCTAGCGACGAGCTGCGGGAAACCAGTGAAAATGACCATGTGTCCATTGCCCGCTCGACTGTTTCCTTCCATGTATCAATAGCGTCTGGTCGTGGTGAATTGGCGGTTGATGACCGTCCAACGCCTAATGTCACCGAGTCTCGGGCTTTTAAATGGGCCGTGACGCTGAATAGCCCATGCAACAGAATAAGTCGTGAGAATGCGCTGCAGTGTGGGGGGATTGGCGTGCGTGCTAGTAAGCGTTTCAAGATAGGAAGGAAGCCCGGTGACTCGGGAGTCTTGCGCATCATGCGGTCCCATTCTTCAGGGTTGCTACAGTCCCATAGGACGTCTGCACATGGTAGCGGTAGACGTACATCGTGAACAGACAAAATACACGTGTGTCCGAACATGAAGGTGTGCTGCGCATCCATGACAAAGCCAAAAAAGGCAGTTCGGTTCGAGGCTTGCATTTCAACCCATTGGTACCATGATCGCTCAGTGGCTGTTGAGCCTGGCGCGAGGTTTGCATGTTGATACGCCACTCCGCGTTTCATGAGCGTGATGATGGCGCCGTGAAAGATATGTGCAAGCTGGTGGTGCTTTCTCGTGGAAAACATCTTCTCGTGGGCTTGGATAATCAAGAGAGTCTGCACACACCATAGCGACGCAGGAGGGTCGAAATCAGGGGTCTTCATAGTCAGTGCCGTGTCTTGCATTAATGAAACAGGTCAAACGTACACCAAAGATAATATAACGTAGAGAATCATGTATCTTATTGGCAACATCGAAATGCCCACCGTCGCCCGACAGCGTTGACCCGAGCGTGACTATGGCAGCCACTAATAACGGTGACGCACTGACCGGATCTAGAGTCGGTTTATGCAGAATAGGAAAATGCGGGTGGTAGTTTTCGAAATAGAGATCCCAGAAGCCGGCCAAATTATTAGGGTAAAAGAAAGAAGACATGAGAATATCTGGAGCCAGACTGTTCAGCGCTTTCAATAGATTGGCGCGAACTTCAGCCCACGGCGAAGAGCTGGAAGATTGGGACGATATCGATTTTCGAATGTGCCCAGGAGACGGGACTCCAAATGTCAGCGGTGATATTCCAGGTATAGAAGTGCTACTTTGAGGCGAAACTACTGAGGGAATTCCCGCACTTCCGGCAGAGTTGAGATCGGCTGATAGGTTGTCGAACAACCATTCAAAATCCAGGGCTGGATCAGGTATCGTTATGGACGGGTCAAAGAAAAGCGAAGTCACCTGGTCTTCATGGAATGGAGGGAACATATCGTTGCTATGGCTGGTAGCATCAAGGTTCTGGTTCTGAAATCCCATCTGGTCAATGTGCGCAGCATGGTCATAAACAACAGGCGCTTGGTCAGGCCTTTCTTCAGACTCTTCCTCGTCGTCCTCATCGTCATCTTCATCTTCATACTGCATCAGCTTCACATCAGGCGTGGCTGATTCAGACATCCGGACGTCTTCCTCTTGCTCACGCTCGGTGAACATGGCAGCCGATTCCAACATTCGTTGAGCTTGCGCCTCGGAGGAGCCCTGCATCGGACTCGCATTCGAAGCCACAAAGCCGCCGGAATTGCGGAACCACATGCCCTTTTCATGGCGCCGCTCATGGCGTCTTAGCAGGTCCTTGCGGACGAAGCGTTTTGGGCATGAGGCACATTGGAATATCTGCTTTGGTTGGTCTGCAATCGAATATCAGTCACATCTATACTATCTATATCCACGAGTGAATCTAAGATGACGACGATACATACGATTCAGCCGGTGTCGCGAGAGATGCTCCGCTCGAAGGAACGTCTTCCCGCACCCGGGCTCGGTGCAAGAATACCCCCGGGCATCAGGTTGGAATTCGAGGGTTATTGTCACAGCCTGTCTTACATAGCCTGGTCACTCAATCAACCCGTTTGTGGAGCAGTTCAATGCGAGTGTGATATCCTACCCCGAAATTCCGGGGCATTAACCGCTGCTTACGTCAGCGCCACTATCAGCGCTGCTTATCAGGTATTGATAAGTACTCTCAATCGGCTCTTCAATAAGACGCATTCCTAGGATGTCATCTTAAGCACTTCTAAGTGACTGTGAACAATTGTAACTTACTGAAGTTTCCTATTATTGACGATGCAATAGTTGCAAACTATAGTTTTCCTCGGCGCTTTATTACGAGTTGAACGAAGCCATGATAGGATAAAAGTGGAGCGCATCCTGCCCTGGGTAAGATGCGCCGTTATGCCCCCTTGGCTCTATACCTACGGAGCTCGTACTAGCTTCCCTGAGGTGCTTAGCATGGTTTGGGACTGGTCTTGCGGCCATACTTAGCCTTAAATCTACAGATCTATATAGTTCCTTCCCATAATACTTGCCCTGCAGATGTAGGTCTCTACATCGTTATTCCTTTCACTCTTCTCTATTCACCTGCTCTACCGTAGAACCTCCTAAAATAAACCAGATTTTTCCGGACTGTCAATAAGCAATTCTAGCAGCGTCTCTAGGAGTAGTACACACGCGGACACGGACTCTTCCTCGAGTCTATTGCTTATAGATTGCCTTGCGTCACATTTTTCATGCAAAGCTAAGTCATATTTGAAAGTGGAAGACGAACTCCTATGCGATTCAGTAAAGCAAGGACTTGTGTGGTATGAAATTAAGAGTATACCCTCCCAGCCTTTTCCTGGCAGAAAATTGGGTTTCTCCTCGCCGTAAGACGACCCGGACTTAGTTATCAGAGAATTGAATACATACATACACATTGCCAAGTAATCTCGTCAAACTATCGTTGGCATATCAATAATAGTTAATTTTACATATCTAAATAACTTTTATGGTTTTTTTCATATAAATTATTTAAATTATATAAAGAGGATTACTGCATCCTTTTAATGGGAGTAGATAACCTATTTTTCTTGTAACTTGGATAGTGGTACTTATAGGATAGCCTGATGCATTACTGCATTAACAACTAAGCAGAAGAATAGCAAACAATACTAGAGAGACAAATTGCCGGTGATATGTTGGATATACCGGCCCAAGATATCGGAGCGCCAGCATGTTAAAATGCTAATGGTAAGTCATTACCGACACTCTGTAACCTTAGGAGACACACCTCCTTAGTAATGTGGGTTTCTATATATGGCTTTTCTCACGGATGACCTAGTATGCTCAAAATCAAAATAATCTAGGAATTGGTTCCAAGAGACTTACTGAGGAGGATACAATGTTACATAAAGCTCAGTACCATCATTACATGTCACTGGGGGTGTTGGAGGATCTCCAGGACACCAGTTCAGAGAACCACATCCATTAGGTGAAACGTGTATACATAACTGGGGATTCTCTCCAATCGGATTGATAACATAGTTGAATGTGCCGTCATTACCAGAAACATAGCTCACTTCTGTCTCCTCGTTAAATTTGATATCCGCCTCTTGCGCACCTGCAACTGAAATATGTTGTCCGGGTGGAATGTAGTACTGATTCCCCTGTGGTTCTTCGTCCACATTGACGCCGAACGAAGCGACATTGAATATAGGAATTTCACCAGCATCGAGAGGATGGGCTGGCCGTGAGAGATAAGGCATCCTATAGCAACTCGGATAGCTCAAAGACGGTATCACGAGAGCTGCAAGAGAGAGCACTAAATACTTCATAATGAGTTGTCTAAATGAGAACAATATTATAGCCGTCAGTAGACTTGGATAGTCTTCAGAGATTTGATTAATTCTTGTCTCAGAAACAGCATTATTTATGTCTTTGAACCTAGGAGTATAGGGATAGAAATATAGAACTGGTGACACATAATGACCTCAGGAAAGTTGTATTCACGATGATGTAAAATTTGAATCTGCTCTCCTATCTTCGTATATGATAACTCAACACATTACAATAATTCCGCATATAGGATAGCTCCCAACCAATCAGTAAATAAAGCCATTAAATATTCTTAAAAAGAATAGGGACTAGACTACTTTAACTTTGTATAGAACCTTTGGTTATATTTTGTCTAAAGCCGTGGTTTTACCATGGTGACTTGGAGCGACGTAAATAGAAGTGAAGCTGACTTTACCGGCGCCGAAAACAAGTTATAACCAATGGGAGGGTGACTTGCACGCCAACTGCTACCGTATTTCATCCTAGGTATAAATCTTGTCAAGCGACATGTTTTATGGTAGACATGCCGCATGCAGACTGTACACGCGAATAAATGCAAATGCATGACGCGTGTGATGACTGATCCATTTTTGTATACTATTGACGTTTATAATCAATATGTTCATCATTACGGCTATACTCCATTCTGTGCAATAAGCGGTTCAACCATGAAGGAGGTAATATACATGAACCTACGAGAATTTTGTGCATCATGTGATGTCAAATCACTTTTATAGTATATTCGACAATTTTGAATTGCGGACGGATCCGTGTGTCAACTGTAAAGCTAGGTTGGGCCCATGGTGGAGAGGGTGTTTATTTCCGAGCCAATTACTGCTTGAGGGAGAAAGATTCAAGCTCTTCAGTATGCCTCCTAAAAATTGGTGGTGGCGTTGGATGGCCTAATTCGTGCTTCTGGTTCATGATTGGTGGGACCGCACCAGCCGATGACCATAGACTCCGAGTAAGTCCAATACATCACAGCAGATTCGAGACTACCGAGATAAACTGTTGCTGCCTTTCTAATATCCCATCGCTATTCCAGTGACCTGTGTGATATTTATGTCATGCCTGAATCCGAATCTCTGCTAAGGTATTTTCCGGATGATGTCAAGTTGTTCGCTATGGTGCTCAACACGTGGAGTTAGCCGTGTCGGTGCTGGGGCTAACATCTTCTCACTTAGTTGACTATTTGCCTACTGCCCCATTCTCCAACGTGCAGTTGGGAGTGTAGCCCGACGCTCAACGTCGTGGCGACTGGGTTTAGTATCAGACATAGGGATTGTCTCGTTCAGTAAACCCACAAAGTTCTGGGGCTATGTACCCGAGGGTGCCTTTTAAAGTTGTTGACATTCCTCAACATCTTCAATGCGCTTGCTGATGCCAAAGTCTGCTATCTTAACCCACCACTCATACGGTGGACATGATTTCAAAAGAATATTCTAGATTGTTAAATGCAAGGTTAGAGGAGACTTTCTTAAAGATTTGGGCGGAATTGACAGACATTTAGTTTTCAAATTCCGATGAGCAAATTGATTATCGTGCATTAAACAAAGAACATCAAGGATCTGATGTGCTAACATCAGCTCTTCAATAAGACGCATTCATAGGATATGGTCATCTTAAGCACTTCTAGGTGACTGTGAACAATTGCAACTTACTGAAGTTTTCGATTATTGACGATGCAACAGTTGCAAACTACAGTTTTATGTATTCTCTTAGGATATTGGTTTAGAATTCTTCTCGTAGAACGCGGGCCTGTATGTGGAATTGCCTAAAGCGCAATAATATTATGGGTAAACACGGCCACAAGAGTATGTCTCGTGAGAATGTCTAATGAAGTGCTCCTAAAATTGTCATACTCAATTTTGTTGCTTGTGTTCGGCTTCATCGTTGAGCTCTTTCGCAGCACCGTTTGTTGTCACGTCACTCTGTTTTGTTCCAAATCCCATTCACCATCTCAGAGGCAATCTCGGTAAACTTGTCCGGCGTCAGCTCATGCGACAGGATAATTCGAATTGCATATGGTGTCGCGATGACAGAATCAACCTCCAGCTTCCTTTCCCCAACCACTTTCATGATGTGACACAAGAGAGCCTCCATGGGGAACGCCCGCGCCGCGCGGTACGTGCAGTGAACGGTGTCCACATGCTGGCTCTTGACGATGATGTCAACAGAGGGTGGGCCCATGTACTCCTGATGATCGCCATCAGACGCAAGGTGCACCTTGCCGGTCGCGCGGTCGTAGTACTTGCCGTCTACGACGGGCGTTCGACCCTCGTCGTGCCATCCGGGGGCGTGGAATTCCAGTGGATGCAGGGAAGACATGGCGATGATGATGCGATGTACACTGGAATGGACTCTGTTAGACAGTTGCAATTTAAGATGGTTTTAATTGAACAGTTGACGTTTTTGATGATTGTCTGATGAATCGGGTTGATGTACACGAGACTGTCCAGAGTGCAATTGAAACGCACTAACCCGAAAAACCGGATTTTGTCATGATCCTTCTGCAGGCGGCAACATAAACATTTCCTTTTTACGATAACTTAACTCTTCTTGGTACTAGCGAGTACTCCTCATTGAGTGTCTGTCACAATGACCGTGAATTCGAATTTGTGGCACGGGCTTGTGGCCTTGACCTTGAATCGGGATGAATCTTGGAGCATCAAGATATTATATCTATATAACATCTGACATTACTTAACTATATAATAATAGTGTCTGGTAAAACTCTGAAAGTGAACCATCAATAATAAATTTAAATGATTAATATAATTATAACTAAAAAAAATCAATAACCAGTAGTTTGTTTTCTTTAGATTAGAGGTTCGTAGCTTCCTATAAGTAATCAAACTAAGAAATATAAGAATTCCAGATCTTTTACTCGATATTTTTTATGGAAATATGTAATACTTGTCTAAACCAAAATAGTTCGTTGTAATGTTTATAACATTGACCTAGAAGATAAAATGGCTCTTATGAGCCATACTGAGTTGAAGCATGGAACTGTGTCTCAATCGCACCCTTCAGTACTGGGACTATAATGCCGCCTATGCCGTTGTCTGTTCACGTATCGAACCTGTATAATGCCTTTTTCTGTCTTTTCCAATTTTTGATTTGCACTGTCACTTCTTGTCTACATATATACCTGTACGGCTGGTCCGTCTCTACTTTTATCGTTACCACCATTGTTCTTGTTTTTGCTGCGTCCACAATTCATGATACTAGTCTATGCTGTTCTGCCTGTCGTATATAAATCCAAAAGCCAAATCGAAGATCGCTCAACGCCATGTCAGAACCAATGTCACCGTAGTGTTTCTGTATCAGTAAGGGAATTGGAGTACCCGAGTAATCTTGCATTTCACCATAATCTATCTCTTCGTCGTCGTAATTTAACTAAGTCAAGGTGGAATGTTGACTCAAACCCCCTTATTCATATAAAAGGAAGTTGTGCTGGGTGCTACTTCCACGTTCTCTAGATCTATGCAACCCAAGCCACATTGCTATTCTAGAGAGATTACCATAACCGTTCTGTTCATCTAAGTCGCATATAAAATTTGAGAATTAACTCTACCTCACAAAAAAGTCCCCCTAGCAAGGAAAAGTCTTACGCATAGTACCACTAATAGCCTTTTATCTCCACCTTGCTCCATTATCATTAATAATTGCTTCATTTTCGGAGTGGCCCGCAATGTAGTGTCATTGACTTGTGCTGTTTCCAACATGGGTGACTGCGGTGTTCTTGCAACCTGTTCGTCCTCCATGCTCTGTCGCTGGATTATTTTTATTTTACTTCTCATCTACAATATACGGAAGAAGTTTCGATAATGAGGTCTTTATGCGCAGGGAGTTCTTTGGAAAGAGCTAAGCAAATAACTGATCAAGTTTTGCACCGCTACTGCAAATTCATCGTTCGCTTCTAGATGTAGACTTAATCAACATTCACATATGTCAATCTTTGATTCTCAGTTTCAATTGGTATTAACATCAACCTAAAAACTAAACTAACAGGAAGCGTTGGGGCGTTTCTAAAAAAGAAAAGCAACAACATGAAACGAGTCGCCTCTTTCTCATGATATATTGCACTCTTAAGAAGCAGCCGAGCAAAGCATAGTTCTTACAATACCTCTCGCAGCCATGCCTCAACCTCCTGAGTCAATCGAAGAGGGTTGTTTCCTCGGCAATGGATATCTGCACCCGATTGCACATCTAGAGTCACAAAGCTCTTCTTGCTGGAGGGGATCGCTTCATGTCATTCCTGCGCTTGGTCCTTCCATACCTGCCCTTCTTGCTCTCCGAGTACAGATAGAAAGGGCATATGAACTTTCTTCGGGTCTGCTATCATACCCTCCCATCGCTGAGCCAGCTCCGACAAATCGGATACACCTGCCTTCCAAAGAATTACCTCCCGATTCTTCTGAGCTGCCTGCGATACGGTAGCCTCAGCGTCCTGCTTTGCTACTTTTTCAAATAGCTCAAGCGGATGTGGAAGTGGTGTGGTGGCAATAACCGCTGCGAGTCGGGGTTCATGAGCTGCTGCGCGACAAGCGAAATAAACCCCAATACTCATACCGAGGAGAGCTAGTTTGCGTGGTTTCACTCCAAAAGAAGCGATCAATTCATCAATCACGGCTGCTATCGGCTTCTCGACCGCGGGCTCCCAGTGAAGCCCTTGCTCTTGGAAAATTCCCTGTCCCGGTAAATCAACCAAGGCAATCGAATAGCCTCGTTCAAAAAGGTAGCGTCCTTGCGACAAGAATCGGTCTTCGTGGCAGGTATCAGCACCGTTGGTGCAGTAGGATCAGTCGCTTGGTAGAAATGACCAGGTAGCTTCCCCCCTCCGTAACTGACGGCAAAACGAGTGACCGGAAAGCTCAGCTGTATCATGGCTTGGTCGAAAAGCTTCTCATGAGCGCGATACAATGCTGTAAAACGCTCGCCCGGGGCAACAAACTGCCAGGCCATTCGGTAGCAAGCAAATGCTTTCAGGCGCATCTCACCTGCGGCTTGAATTGCGCCACGTCTTTGCCACACGTCGGCTTGCATGCTCTGTGCTATTCCCTGGCTTTCAAAGGCTCGTGACCAGGAGTCGGCGTCACCGTCGGCGATTTGTGAGGCTACATAAAATGCCTCTCCAATAGATAGTCCACCTGCTGGGCCCCACCCAATAGCACCGACCAAAAACAGATCCATGTTGGAATCGTGGAAATAATAGCGCTGGCTCAGGTGCTGAGTTGAATAGTCCTCGCCTCGAGTAGCATTGGCCATGTTGTTCAAAATATCAAACACTGCGATGTGTTAGTATTTAATGCTATATTCAGGGACCTAGGGCCACACACGAAGAGATAACAGAAACAGCCTGCAAATATAGATAGCGACAGCGATTCTTCAGAAGATCATCACATTCGTGATTTTCTCTACAAGAGGGGTTGGGAGAACCTCTGTGTTAATAATGACTACTATGTGTTTGGCTCACCCAACACCAACTTCGACCTCTCTGCTTTGCACCCAGAATCTGCTTATATATTCAAACTTTGGCAGGTCTATCTGGATAATGTCGATCCGCTGCTCAAGGTCACACATGCTTCTAGTTTGCAAAGGCAAGTCGTCGATGCTGCCAGCAACATAAGGAAAATTAAGCCCGCATTCGAAGCTCTCTTATTCAGTATTTATTGCGTGGCTCTTAAAAGTGTCGCTCTAGAGGACGATATTGAAACTATTTTTGGGTTTCCAAAATCGGATCTTTTGGCAAGATTTCAATTTGGCTGCCAAAAAGCTCTTATTAGGTGTGGATTCCTACAATGTAGAGATCGTGACTGTTTGACTGCATTGTTTTTATACTTAGTAGGTGTACCAAGCCTTGTTCAAGAAATTACCAACAATTTCTAGGTCTCGATTTATGACAAAATAGACCCCTGGTCTACCTCGTCTATGCTTGGTATTGCAATTCGTATTGCCCAACGTATGACAATTCATAGTGAGTCGGCCTTGGCTAAATGTACGGTCTTCGAAGCCGAGCTTGGTCGCAGACTATGGTGGGCGCTGGTTCTCTTTGATACTCGTATTAGCGAGATCTCTGGCCACTAGTGTACAACTTTGGATCCAACTTGGGATTGCAGAGTACCTCTCAGTTTGAATGATTCCGATCTCCGACCTGAGATGAAGGAGCCGCCAAATGTCCAGAGAACCCCCACTGATGCGCTTTTTATTGTCGTCCGAAGCGAGCTCGGGGACTTTAACCCGGAATGTCCTTCCATGTTTTGCGTATTGTGACCTGTTTCAAACCCTAAGCGCTAAGTGTCACGCACCTAGACTCACTCTAGTTGTCACTGGCTGTGTCAAGGAGCGATATGATGATGTGAACTACATAGAGGTTCCTTAAGGGTAACTAAATATATAGAAATAAATATATTTATATAGATTTAGTCTTTTTATAATTTTCTTTATAATTTAGTGTATATAGTGTAACAGGGAGGATGTTCAAGCCTAATCCGGCAGGACCGGGGGGCTCAGGGATACCCCGGGGGTCAATTGTGATATATCACAATTGACACCATAAGACCCCGGGCATGATGCCAGTACCCCTCACCTCGCAATATATGCCTTTATCTAGTTAGATTAGGTATCAATAACCTGAGGTAGGGACTCGGGCATATAGGCTTGGTTTCCCACCCAGAGAGAGAGAACCAAACAATATCTTTTATTTAATTTTTGATATAACTTTCAATATAAGCCTATTCGGCTTCGAATAGCCTTCAGTTCGAAGCCTTCCATAACTATATAATCAAAACCGATAACTTCCTCCCTAGTAGCCTTGCTCTATAGCATCAATATCAAGCGTTGAAGCTTCAACTCACCCACATCTAGTCTATCTAGACACCCCCGGACACGGCCCTGCCAGATCGTGTTACATATAGATTGTATATTTAATTATTATTCTTTCTATACTTTATTATATACATGAATATGGAGGCTTATGTAAAGTGAAATTCTATATGAATAGTAAATACATAGTGCTCAATCATAGTAATTGATTAGTTATGGTGTTAGCTGCTTTAAGGATTGCTTATCTTAAAGTAGCTTAAGACATCCTAATCTGTCTTTAACTCTGCATATGTTGGTTTCGTAACACTAAGCGGTAGATGATGAATTCTCTGAACTCGAAGACTGACCAATCAGCGCGAAATATCAGTAGTTTTACCAATTCGAAAGATCAACTTCGGCACCCGAATTCAATACATTCGGATACTGTACCTAAGAATTGGAATATGGATTCTAGGATGAAATCCCAGGGTGAAAATAGCTGCTGCTTTGCTTGGATAGGATTTTCCATGGGTAGTTTTCCATTACCAGTTTTTCATTGCCGGTTTTTCCATTGCTAATTTTCTTATTGCTGATTGTCCATCGCCTAGTACTGCTGTTCCTCCGCTAATATCCATTGCTAGGTTTATTTTTCATTTCTTATTTTTGATCAAAATCCTAATGATATGGAGGAGAACCTGGACCCAGTTGAAGATGAAATTTCTGTAATAGGAACCTATTCAATTTCATATTCATTAGCCCCAATCATTTCCTTCCGAATCATACCCCAGAAACTGCGTCATTACGCATCGCAAGATCTAGCTTAAAATCAACGAACAGGTCCTTTTCCACGAAAGCCCCGAAGCTTTTTACGTCACATGGATTACCCGGATTCACCACTTGCAGATCGAAGGCCCTCATAAGCTGACGCATTGTTTAGAAAAGGTCATTAAATTTCGAAGAAATGTCCACCAACCTCAAAGACAGCCTTACTAAGCTCCATGAACGCGATGGTTTTCCCGAGGCACATAAACTGGCCGGAGCCAAACACTAGCTCAGTATTTCGTTCCATCTCAGCGCACCTCTTGGGTTCAGCCTCCAGAAAACGTTCCGGTCTGAATACGTGAGAGTCTTCGCCAAAAAGTGCCTGCGAACGTAGCAGGGAGGAGATATTTGTGCAGATTGCCGTGCCTTCTGGAATATGAATTCCATGCATCACCTCTCCACCCTTTCGAACACGCTTTGGGAAGAGCCCGAGGAGAGGTGGACGGCTACGGAGTCCTTCATACAATACCGCCTAGTGGAATTTAGTGAAATTTAATTTACCTAGGGCATTGGGTGGTCTGGGTAGAGGGTTACGAACTAACCTGTAAATAAGGGCATTGCTTGACTTCCTCATATTGAATAGGGTAGGATACTACCCCCTTCCTAATCATGGTTCGTATTTCTTCCTTGAGCTTTGCATAGACTCGAGGTGTTGTTATGAGGTGCAAGAGGGTTGACCGGAGGGCGGAGGAAGTAGTTTCGGAACCAGCGACAAGCATGAATAATGTTTCCACTTCACATTGCTGCTGCGTCAGGCCGTGTCGTATGAATGATCCCTATTATTGGCGTAGTAATATCAGGTCAGCCTTGGATCTAGGATCTTATGTTGAACAGGGCCTCCTGACCAGCATATCGTTCATGTGCTCATTCCCTGCAAACCTATTGCGAACACAATATTCTCCAACCCTGCAGGTGTGGTTACTCGATCGCTAGCCCAACCCATGTGATTAACGAGTTACTCACGTCATCAGTGGTCCGAGTCCCCTTCTATCGCTCGACCGTGGACCCAGAAGCTTCAGTCCTACCCTTGAGAAAAGGACTCTTCGGATCCAAGAGATGTCTGTTGATATGGTCAAGTATGGCCAAGCCCGCTGTAGGCTTTGATGAAACTGGAAGTGGTCGGTTTCATCTCGGAGATAGCCAATCTCTTTCCCAAATCCAAGGCGAGTGATCACATCCATGCTGAAATAGCCCGCCAGCGCACATAAATCAAGTACCACCGGTCTGCCAGCCTCCGCCATCGCACATTTGCCGCGCACAAGGTCAACCATAATTAGGATCTGAGAATCTATGGCCGCTTCGAGATCTGGGACCTCCCGGCCGCTGTATGCAGGAGCCGTCCTCCGCTTGAGCTTCGCGTGGGCCTCTGTGTCGAGTGTGCTGAGTATGTTGTCATGACGTGGATTAAAGCGGGCACCTAGATACCAGTCACTTTTACGGGAGGAGCTTCGGGAACCTGTCAATTGTCGAAGTATGTCCGGATCATCGGTGTGGATTTCATAGGGCCCGATTCTCACCAACGGACCGTACTTTGTGTGTAAGTCCCGATACACCCAGTATTGCCTCCCACTCCAAGTGGTCTTAGCTAGCCATAGATAGGAGAATTTTGCCCAGAAGGAGGGTGTCGGGAGCCTCCGTAACGGATACCAGGCCCCAACAGCCGTGAAGACGTAGATGACTATCAGGAGCCCAGCACAGAGAATGCTGGAAGAAGTCAGGCTGGATTCCCATAGAAGCGGGGTCATGTCTTCGAACAGTGGCGAATCGTCTGTGTATCCCCAATATTGGGAATTGGCCAAGCTGGCTTATATATTTGAAAATATTTTTTGGCCCCCTATTCAGACACTTGACAAATAACTTCGGGTTAGTAGTAATTACAGTATCTTTGAATAAGGATAAACTTTCATCAGATCACGGGTTGGAAGGGTGGGGGAAAGCGACAAGACGGGTAATTGAACTCAAAGTAAACGAGCACTGGGACCATATCTACGCTGCGTCGATTTCTCGAGTATGATCGATTACGTGTAAGCACTTTCGGTCAGATCAGCAGCTTCCTTACATGACATAAAATACAATGTAGGCTGATTTGCTGCTGGTGTGGAGCTTAAATTTTGTGGCTGAATTCTTTCTGCTTATTTCATACACTCTACGGAGATGGGCACAAAAAGTGGTGAGAATGTGGCGCGCGCTAATGATATTAGTTTCCCTAGCGTGTTATATTGATACATGCCATTACACTATAAAATATGAGGAAGCTTATGTAGCTGTAAAACAGGCATACAAATCGTCAACTCCATGTTGGATTTTGAAGCTTATAAACTACTGCAAATAGATATCTTCAACTTGGGATTAGGCGGTCTAGTCGGTCAGGCCTGTATATGGCCGCGTCGCGTACTGTCGCAGTAATATGATGATAGCGTAATTCAGTCAAGCTCATCCGAATCTCCGTAGATAATGAGAGAAGTTGAGATCTGATTTCCGTGTGCGTACGCTCGGCAGGCCAATATTTGCCTATAAAATCCCCTTTTATTTTGGCAATATTGGCCTCCGGGGCCTTTGAAGATGTGTATTGCTTCGTCTCAGCTAAAATAGGTGTAATAAAGAGATTGGACGATATAATTGATCTTCGCGCAAGTAGGGAATCTGAAGCTATTCCTGGTCCGATTTCCAGTCGTCGTCATCGTCTAGATATGCCCGATTTGAGAGATATCTTTTCTTTCTGATGCGATTCCTAATACGCTTATCTCGTCCGGGTTGGCCCTCTTTATATTCGTTGCCACCTTCCAAGCGAATGATTTCTTGGATATGAAATGGGATTCGCTCAATCCACTCTTGAATTCGACGCTGAGGGAGCCTATCCCAGGCCTCGTACCAATGAATTTTTGCTGTCTTCTTGTCTGCCGGAGCCCCGCGGAGTGTCGTACGCCTTTTTAACCAAAACTATGTAGGTTCGATTGCATTCAAATCTGGCGAATTCCCCGGCCAAAGAAGCCGCATAACCTTATGGAATTCATAAATCTCACGCTGGTGAAAATGGGCGTGCGGAGGCGCGTTATCTTCCATAACAATGGTATCGGAATTCTCCTTGAGGCACTCCTGAGCAAAGGGGGTTAGTAGAGGCAAAAGGATCTCCTAAATCAGGGTTAGCATTGATATCAAATTTATATAGATAATACACTTACTTTCTGATACCGATACCAATCAATTCCACCTTTACCATTCCCTTCAAGCTTCCCTAGTTTTGCGGTAAATTTGAACCGAGGTTTTCTCCCTCTTAGAGAAGAGAGACGAAGGCGTTGAAGTCTATTATTCAACTCCCATTCCTCTCTCGCTTCTTCTTCACGTTTACGATTAGGAATTTCAAGCTCTTTTACAGCAGCTTTCTTAGCAGCAGCGCTCTCCGGTTCGTATATATAACAGGGTCCCTTGTGATAATATGAAAAGGAGCCCCAAAACATAAATTCACAGGCATTTTTGAATCGTCGCTTGCGAACAACGGTTGGATGATACACTTCATAACATCTTCGCCAAACTTTTTGCGCTCCTCGCCGTTGGCCCAGAATAACAGATGTCTCATCGGTCCATATTATTTTCTTGCAATATTCCAATGTCCAATGTTGATGATCTAAACAAAATTGAAGTCGTTTACGCTTCATTTCTTTGGTCAGACCAGGTTTCCAAGTAGGCTTGCATTTGCTAAAACCATGACGCTTCAAAATAGATAAAACAGAAGATTGAGAAATACCGGCTTCATAACCAAGATATTCCGAAAATTTCTCACGACCACAGCGATCCTTGGTTATAGAATCAATAATAGCCTTTTCAACGTCCTCATTGATAGCTTTTGGACGGCCTGGACGAGGCAAATCTGCAATATAGCATTGGTCAATACGTGCGTTAACAGTGGGATCATATCCACGATCTTTTGCACGCTTCACAATCTTATAGACTGTTTGAAATGGTATATTAAGCAGCTTTGCAACGTCCAAAGGCTTCATATTTGATATAAGAACCAAGGATACCACCTGCGCGCGGACTTCTATCGGATAAGATTCCTTTTTGGCCATTTTTGCACGCGTTGAGCGGATAACCTTCGGACTCGCGATCGCTCTATTAAATAGCAGAATATTAGTAATATTACCCCGTTTATTTGGAATAGGGGCTCACGGGCGAGAAAAACACAGAGTAGCGGTGTGATATAATGCTTGGAGTGGGTAGGAATAGCTTCAATTTGCAAAAGCAATATTGAGATTATTGAAACACCAGAAGCCGTGATGTCAGCTTCTGGCGTTTTCGTAAGTACTTGATTTGTTTACTAGATTACTAAGTAATTTTAGTACCAAGCTAAACAACGTGGCGTTGGCACTAAGTGTCTTAGTAAAATTAGCGCTTCTCACCACTTTTTGTGCCCACCTCCGTAGAGTTTACTCCTTCAATGTAATCCACTCTACGTATTGCCGCTACCGGCGTAGGTTCTCGCTCAAAAGGGAAAATGAGGTGAAAATCCGTTCCACATAAAACGGATGGCAGCCGCTGGCCTGCCGTGAGCTACAAGCCATTCAACAAAGCAGATGGATATAGATTCGATATCATCTATACCAGCGCAAACCCAACTTGCTTTGAGTCAAATTCAGCTAAACGCGGATATGGCGCGACGATCCACTTCCCCGGTCCCGCACGACCTACAATCTTTACCAACTTCGACCAAGGAGACCCAGGATCTATGGTACTATCCGCCCGATATTGCGCATGATCTCGACAATATTGATCTTCCCGAGAGATTTAAGGAGGAGGTTTATGCATGCGCCTGGGAGTACAGTCGATGTGTGATTCCTTATTACTCAAATTGGAGGCGCTATGTCGCCTTCATGCGGACTATTGTGATTGGGATCGTTGCTGAGTTCCGGGGGGATCTGGTGGATGTGACGGCCAGCAACAACGTGCTTAACTATGACCTAGATGATCTCCTTTCGACTCTCCTGGGTGACTCACCAGGGGGAGTGGAGATTGCGCGAGAGTTCCGCACATTCTGCCTCATGACGAGCACCAAGACCGGCAGCAACCGAAATTGCGAGCTATTCAAACGCTATATGAACGTTTTAACGGCGTCCCCGAAATTGTGGTTTCGTTTGCGGGATTGTGATTCACTTGCACGGTTTACACTGGTAGTTGCTTTGCGATGCAACGACCTTGATATTTGGTTCTCAAATGAACAATTCGAGATCCTCGCAGAAATTGGTGATATTCTCTACGACGCCATTGCCTATCATAAACACCGTTCCGAGGGCGAGACACATAGCACGTTCCAATATGTACCTAACGATATGCGCGTTGAGGCGTTTCGTTATTACCGGGAGGTTTTATGGGCCTTTGACACCGCCTGGGCCGGCCAGCCTGAGCTCGCTCATGTCACCAACTTCCTCCGGGCATTTGGGGGCCCGATCCACATGACCATGCGCCGATACCGTTTCGTTGAGGATAGTCTCGGCATCTGCCAGCCAGAGACGGCGGAGGTCATCAACAAAGCCCGCCAGAACTCGAAGCTTTGGTGTCGGATCGAAGCCCGAAGAAGTGTGGATGACGACGTCGAGGGCTATAGGAGCCTGCTTATCTCCGACGACAAGGTCCTTTTCACAGGTCTGGCTGAGCTGTTGGAGACGTATGGTAATTACCGCTGTACGCGATGCCAGTATCCCAAGTCATACGGGGTCCAGAGTCCCCATGAATTTGGCGGCGTTAAACTTTGTGACGAATGCGTCGCGACCTGGAGAGAATACGTGATGTCATTCCCGACAAGGTTAAGCAAGGCCTTTCCTGAAGTTGGATTTAAAACTACCTCTTAACCATTCTGGCACCAAGTGCTACACACCCATGCAATAGCCGTATAGTGAGATCTGTATACCGCTTTCCAGTAATTCACGGGGCGAAAGAAGCGGTGCCCTAGAGGAGCCCAGGATAAGACATCTAGACAAGACATTCGTTAGCAAGATAGAAATAAATTTTAAACACTGTGGGGACCCTGTAGGGATTAATCAACCTCGTGATGTGTGGTAATAATGAACTTTAAAATGCTATGAGAACCTTGCAGGGACCATTCAACATTATAATGTGTGATGAAACATTTCATAAATATGCTGGCCTTCCCAAGGATAGTAGAAAAGTAGCTTTATCTTACCCTGTGTTGTTAATATTGATGATTCGCCAATGGTGGTAGAGGGCAATGATGGGTATGGTCCAATGTTGAGAGAGTTTCAACATTACAGGGCTTCAGTATGGAGGGCTTCTAATGATGAGGGACTTCTAGCAATGAATAGTTTCAATATTAAGAATTCTTTAAAATTAGAGGTTCTCTCTCATTAAAACAGTTCAACATTGAAAAAACTTCAACATTAAGACTTCTGAATATTGAAAAAGCTCTATATTGACATTGCAATTTTCCTAAAAGGCGCCTTCTGCTATGACCGAGCTAAGATCCCAAATAGTTTAATTGAAGTCTAAATTTAGCGCATATAAAGTAGGCCAATTAATATGCTGAGGAAGACAGTATAGCAAGCCACAACAAATAGTGGTGACCAATATGATGCTCTGGATTTGATCTATTGATCCACATGTTTTAGAGCGGGCCAAATGAGTCAGGCCAACCATTGACTCTCCATGTCCTTTTCCATCACTCCTCATCATCCTTATGCCCCCTTTCGGCAATCCAGATGGTTCTTTCTAGTGCGGTTTTGGTGTATCTAGGCTGTCATTTTCGGTTCTTTGGTTCTAAAATGGTTTCTGGCACTCGATATTTTTAAATTAATATTGCTCTATAATTATAAAACGTGCTTAGATTATTATTACTTAATATAGTAATTTATTAATTAAATTTTATATTTCTATTTTTAGAATTTTCTAATTAGGCTTAATTAGTTTCTTATTTAAGATATAAATCAAATTTTTAAATGGTTCGGTTCTGATTCCAAGGTCTGGAACTAAATCAGTAATACATGTAAGTTCTGGTATTTTATTTTCCCTTTAGGAAACATTTGGTTTTCGATTTATATTTATATCTAATAGTATATTTCATTAATATATTTACTTTTAAAAAATATATTTCTATATATTCTTTTTCTATAATACGCAGAACCGTTTGGGAACATAAACAGAACCAAATGACAGCCTAAGGATTCCTCAGTGACTTTCGATCTCAGACGAATCATTGGATACATTTTGACATTACTAAGTAATAATTTCTAATTTGCTATTATAGATTGCTTTAAATATAATATTTTTATAGCCAAAAATAGAGAAGTATAATATAGAGAATTATACAGTAAAAATAGAGTTAATCACTAAATTTATTATAAATGTTTTATAATTACAGAAATCATATTTAGAATAAATCAGATAGTTTCTAACATAGAAAAAATATTATATTTTTAAAGATTTAGAAACCTTTGGTAATTTTTTAAGGCTGGACTTTTCCCTCTTAACAAACTCATCATCCTCTGTGTTCCCCACTATATTGCCTTCGCTGAAAGACTCTATTAGGGAAATATCAATATATACAACCCAATTTAAAACTTATATTTTCAAATACTTTTGGTACTATAAGAAAGTTTATCTTTTTACAACCACTATGATATATTTTTATTTCTGTAATTCAAGATTTAATTTAGATATTGTGAAGCCTGGCAGCAGCGGGGTTGAGGACAGGGCAGCCAATGACCATAGCATGGATTGGGTATTCGACATCTTCCCCCGCATCTGAGCGGACACCTTTAATTTGTGGCAGTGGGCCCGAGTCGGAGCCAGTCGAGGTATGGAGTCGGATTATCACTGTCTATTTTTCTTATTTTGATAATTTGTTTTGGCGCATTGCTATGCAAACGTACGAATCTGTCATCATCAGTGTCTTGTGGGATAGCGAAACGGTTTGGGTTTATTATTAAACCCATTCTATTTGAAAGCTTATTAACTTTGCTATTTTTGGACCGAGTTCCTCGGCGGCCCGATCAGTTCAGCACTATGCGGGCAGCTTTAATCTGTTTTATTGTAAAAGCACGTTGGAAGATATCTGGTTTCGGGATTCACGTACTCGATTCCGATTAGGGCTCAAAATCGTGATTCCGTATTCTACGATCGCCCATAGCATCTCGTGGAACACAGAGGATAACCTCGGGCAAACAACTAGTGCCCCATAGACGGTTGTCTTTAGTGAGGGACCTCCGCGCGATCCGTCCCATCTGTTGGAATCAGCAGAACCCCGCCTGGGCGACTTTATAATTGCACAGTGTTCCCGTCTGTCGCAACCGTAGCGAGAAAAGTGTCATCTATCGTCAGTCAACAACAATCAATCCATCATGGCTCCCCCAACAGCAACCGAGACTATTAGCAACATGACTGTGCGAGCCCCGCAGTCAAGCCAGGCGGAGGGCGCCGAAAAAGCCAAAGTCAAGATGCAGATGCCCAGCATGCCCAAGTTTGAAGACAAAATGCAGGAGCGAGAGTACCTCAAGGGCCGCCTGGCTGCTGCATTCCGAATCTTTGGCAAGAACGGATACGACGAGGGTACGGGTGACACAGGACCTAGCTTTGACGTGGAAATAAAGATAGATGCTCACAGTTTGTTACAATAGGTGTCGCCGGTCATATCACTCTTCGCGACCCAGTTGACCCTTCGACTTTCTGGGTAAATCCCTTCGGTACTGCTTTCTCTTTGATCAAGGCATCCGATTTGATTCAAGTCGACCACTCAGGCAAGGTCATCGACGGCGGGCCGAACCGCATGCTCAACGCCGCGGCGTTTATGATTCATTCTGCGATTCATGCTGCCCGACCGGACGTACTGTGCGCAGCTCATAGCCACAGTCTGTACGGGCGCGCATTCTGCTCCCTGGGACGGCCGCTCGATATTATCACGCAGGATGCCTGCGCATTCTACGATGTAAGTGTTCCGTCCAAGCTACAGCGCGGTGTAATCACAATTGACACAGTCGGAAATAGGACCACGTGGTATACAAACAATTCAACGGCGTAGTCCTCGCCGAGCAGGAAGGCAAGGATATCGCTGCCGCACTGGGTAACAAGAAAGCTGCCCTCCTGCAAAACCACGGTCTTCTCACCGTCGGCAAGAGCATTGAAGAGGCAGTTTTCTGGTTTGTTAGTCTAGAAAAATCCTGCCAGGCACAGCTCCTTGCCGATGCTGCGGCGGCTGGACGAGGTGGGCAGACGGTGAAGATTGATGATGCGGACGCTGCCTTTACATACAAGACTGTTGGGACGCCGTTGGCTGGGTGGTTTAGTGCGAAGCCACTATTTGACGTCATCCATAAGGAGACAAACGGAGACTATCTCCAATAAATCGTGAATTCATGGTCGAGAACCCCCCAACCCCACTTGTCCTTCAATAGTATGCTGTTCTAGCCCATCAGTTGACAGATAGTAATAAAATTGCAGACTCTTAAATCTTGTGCTCCTCATTTTCCTTTTTTCTTTAAATAAATCACTACTTCCTTGCGCTTGTATTTTGCCGCTTCCTAATTTCTCTTTAATAGATTAGTACTTGATGTTGTAGCTGAACCCAACAAAGATATATAAAATCCATATAACTTTTAGTAAGGATAATCAGCGAGGGCGCCAGAAGACTGTTGATCAGGAAAGTACTTTCTCTTAAAGCAGAAGCTCATACTAATTAAGATAAGAAAAGTTCCCACCAATATAAATGTAATGATAGATCCATGAGGTTGATTTCATTGTAGTCTTTCTCAGCATATTGACGCTATTTATGTTCTTTCCATAGTTGAAATCAGTTTGTTACATATTCTATTATGGAGATTTTACTATCTGCCTCTTGTAATGCACAATATAATTCACACAAGTACTCTGGCAAATGATTAGGGATCTGAGGGACAATCTCACTGACAGTACTCACAACAATTCTGTCTTCGTGTACAGATAACCTATCAGTAAACAAAGTTAGCTCCTCTTTATTCCATTTAGGCGAATTAGGGTGTCCAGCGATGGAGAATCATGGATACTGACTGTTTGCATCCATGGATCGGCGCTCGGTCTTCGGGAATTAGGGCTAGCGGTTCTCGGTGTTCGGTGTGGTGAAACTCAGCAGGCAACTAATTTGTTCTTAACTTACATCTTAATTTAGAACATGTCGCAAAGCTAAAGGTTTAGTTTAGTCTATGTATAACCGAGGTAGAAATCTTGGTGCAACCCGAGTTTGGGATATAGTTCCATGTTAGGTGTTCTGAATACCGGAAACCGAACCCCGGGAGATCTCCTGATTAAACATGCCAGAGATTCGGGCTTGATTCACTGTCTGGTCGAACATGTAGGAAGAGCCATCGCTAGCGAATCACCTCAGGACCACTATTCCAAATCATCATTAACGGCGAGAAGCTAATCTTTGCGACTAGCCGGGCCCTCCATGATGAGCTCTGTGACGAAAGCCGCTTCCATAAGGCCGTCATCGCGGGAGTGGAGAAGCTACGAATAGTGGCCCAAGATGGCCTCTTTGCAGCCTACCACGGAGAACGTGGCTGGGACATCGCCCATCGGGTTTTGATGCCTGCCTTTGGCCCGCTATGAATTCGGGACATGTTCGAGGACATGAGTGATGTCGTTCAACAGTTGTGTCTTAAATGGTAAAGATTCCTAAGTATTTGCTTTTAAGTAGGTAACGAGAACTAAAAAGGCTGGCTGGTATGCAGGGCCCGCCGGGGCAATTCACCCAGTATCAATATTTGCGATGATTTTACACGCCCTACATTAGACACCATCTGTCTCTGCACAATGAGCTTCCGCCTGAATAGCTTTTATAAAAACGACACTTTGTACCCGTTCGTGAGTTCTATGCTACACCTGCCAAAGGAAGCCGACCTTCAGTCCACGCTTCCTGGGATCTTGAACAACATGCGTGTCACGGTGCGGTGGCGAACGTCCAAGAACATCGAGGCTATGAGGGGCATGGCCCGCGACATTATTCAAGAGCGCAAAGACAAGCCCCAGATCAATCCAAACCCCTGCCTACCGCTCAGAACACCTTGAGCCCCCATCACACACCTCAACATGGATTCTATCTACCGAGCATTTTCCAACGATATGAATACCTACAGCCATATATGTAATCCATGTCTACAGAACACACCTCAGAGATTTCACTTTATGAAGCGGATGACTACGAAAAGTTTGTTGCACTTTATGAGGCCGGTTTCGTCTCCGGACTTCGGGCAGCTATCTAGAGACCGGAACGAGACTGGACAAGGGAAAAGGGAAAAATAAGCGGGCATGGTTTGGAGTTAATGGGGAACATGCATTTCCAAAAATTTTTCACCTTCCCAACAGCATTGTTTTTTCCATCTGCGTTCTAAATAACACCTATACTAATAATCATTTCAAAATTTCCTTCTTCTCTAATCTGCTGAGCCTCGGATAATGGTGGGCTATAATACTAAATAAAGAGCCCCATCTCAACAGGAGCCGACTTGACCTGGTCTCGCTGGATACTCTCGATCAGAGAATCCCCTGGGTAATCGTCAATATCCAAATCCAGATACCCTCTTGTGGACCACTTCTTTCCAGAAACAAAGAACGAGCGACCATTGATAGTGCTATCATTGAGAATTCGCAGGAGACATTCACCCGCCTCAGAAGCTTCCGCAAATTGAACACCCACACTTGTGACGTGCGCAAAATCCTCTTCGGAGAGAATATTCGTCTTAACATACCTGAGTTCATCAGCACCAGTTTCGAGACCACAGCAAACGGAATTATCCTACCACGGCGATATAACATTCACACGACTCCCATAGTAGAAAGCCGTTCTCCGGAGTGAATGCATGATACCTCTCATAGCCCATTTCGTAGCGCAGTACTGAGGAGCGCGAGGGCAGTCTAGGAAAGCTGCACCGGATCCTATCAAGATCAAACAAGTATCCTCCTGTGACTCGGACGGCTGTTGTCCATTTTGTTTAATGAAGTAATGCGACGCGAGCTTCGATGTGTAAAGGGAGCCGATGAGGTTGACGTCGATGGTAGCGAGATCTGGCTTTTCAAGAACTTTGTCATCGCCGGCATAGGCGAAAACTTCATCCTTTCGGTGGATACCAGCATTTGCAACGACGAAGGAGACTTTGCCGGTTGGGGAGAATGAGGCCGCAACTTCAAAGAGATGGACTTGGTCATCCCAGTTGGTTGTGTTACACTCGATGAATTTCACCCTGAGAGGGTCAGTGGAGAGGATTATTTGCTTGTTTAACGTGAGCATACCCAGTCAACTCTTCTTCGAGTCTCTTTCCTGCTTCGACGTCACGGTCGGCGATCACCACGGTCGCTCTGAATGCAGTGTGAGCAAGCTGGTGGCCGAATGGGGTTCAGCGGCTTCTTACCCTGCTGCGACGAGGGCGCGAACATATGCCTCTCCAAGCCCATTTGCACCTGTTCGAGTAAGCCAAGACCGGTCTTTGATGTGCATCTAGAGATTTTCGAGGAACACTTACCACCTGTGACAATTGCAGTTTTGTTTTCGACATTTTTGGTGTCGAAATCCACGTCACAATTGACAGGAAAATTGCGGCTGAAGGTAGCCATTGTGAAGATCGTTGTTAAGAATAGGAAGTAATCGAAGATATAAAGTTTTTGGTGAATAGAATTATCAGGCCGGAAGCTTCATTTTAAAAGTATCAGCTTTTTGTCTAATTTCATGCGTAGACGAGCTACAATGTGGAGGCGCTTGAATTGCACTAATGCTAGTTGCTTACTCTCTTGACTTATGGGATAAGACTCACTGACTACTGCTCTCTCCACAACACGCCTCTTGCCTGTACCAAGCTATTTATTTGAGTGATCCTTGGAATATTACGTTAAGACAAAGATAATCGAACCAGGCTGACGGAATAGACCCATGGGTCTAATGTAATCAAGTCATTGGCAATTTGTTGGCTTTTAGCATCGCCCCAAGAATGTTCGACCACCTCATCGCCTGTGGAAAATTAAAAAAAATATATAAAAGAGGTCAATGCATACCCCGAACTTGAAGCTGTACCCTGTTAAGATAAATCTCCTCCTGAAACCATTGATACTCCTCTGTGCTAGTGAGTCCATTAGCCTGACACCCACGAAACGAACTTTGATATAAATGACATCAATGAAAAGAGACGCGCTCAAAGTAACTACTTTAACTTTGCTACTTTTATGCCTCTGTCAAAATATCTTTCCATATGAAGGGTTTCTCCCCTCTAGACTTTCTCCAACGATTCGTGGAAGCCAGTAACTCTGGCGAATCAAGGAGCAGCCATTTCCATTTCTGCGCGAAGCCTTCCGTAACTTCCCAATTTCTTGCATCCCACGAGTCTCCCCACACTAGTAACGTAGCAGCTGTATTTCTTGTATCCCAAAAGGCCATGAGATCGTGACAAAGGTCATCGTCATCAAAAGAGTCGCCAGCAAGAATCATACAATCACGCATGCGAGGGAAGGGAAAAAAGTCGAACCAAGGATGATGAGGCACACATAGCTGAATAGAAGTTGGGTGTAAGCAGGGCGGAATCCCCTCTATTGAGAAGCTGGGCTGGGCAAGGTTGAATATTGATATCGAGTTATCATCTTGCAACCATCTGGACGTCATGCCAACTGCACGGATGTTTTCGTTGATGGCTCTATGCACGTTCAGCCGGCTGAGGCTGATGAGGTGATCCCTGTTCGGCGCGCCGTTAATGTAGCTTTCGTAGGCTTTTGCCTCAAACAATTTACGGTATTGACGGGCATTTGGCGGTGCTAGTGTGCATTCCCAAATCTCACCACTTTCCTCCTGGAACTCAAGTGGAAGCATACGCGGATTGGGCAAATTGGAGGTGGGGGAAATGATGGCAATCTGCGATTTCGCCTCGTTGCCTTGCTTTCTCGACCCTAGCAATTAATGAGACACTGGAATTACCACATTGTTGGACCGAACGATACTAGTACGTACGGAAACTACGCTGATTGATGCGATATTGTAATCTCCTTCGCTCTTTCCGGTTTATGACGCCAGTCCAATCGTCCCAGGCTTCCCGAACCCTAGCCAGATATGCCAAATGGATCGCCTCAGTGCCAAGCTCGGAAAACATCTCGGATTGGTCAGTGGCGAATTTTAGCTCATTGACCCATGTAAGCAAAAGTCCCCTGTTTGATTGGTCCATCACTTCATCCCTATCTCAGTGGTACGACATCATCGAGCAAAGCCACTGAGCAATCTAATAGAAAGATGTGACCGTCGAAGATGCCAAGTCCAGATGCATGCTGCCCAAATCACTTGGCACAGAACCGCGTAAAGATGAGGAAGGTAAAGACAAAGGATTTGAGCATTGGAGGCAACCAGTTTCATTTCTTGGCATAAGCGAAGCTATCTAATCTACATGACACCAAGTTTTACGATAGAGAACAACATACATAGAGCCGCTAGTAAGACTTTCGGCCTCCTTGCCAAATTGTTCCATTACGCCTCCACACCCTGGAGCATTCCACCGCGAAAGGTACCTCCGGAAGAAATCCGAGAGTGAGTAAATCGGATAAGGGCCTGCTTGCACTAGCTTGCTACCTTTTTTTTAGGCAAGACTCGTTTGGAAGAACTCGGTGAGTCGTTGGAACGGGATAAGCTCGGTGCGATCGTATAGGTCGACGTGACCAGCACCCGGTACCCAGAGAAGCTCCTTCGGCTCAGCAGCACGCGAATAAGCATCTTCGCTAAACTCACGGGAGTGCGCCTGGTCACCGGATATAAAGAGCATCGGGCGTGGCGAGACTATCTCGATGCCACTGAATGGATAGAAATTGATAAACTTGGTGAAAGTAGAGAGCGTGGGGTGAGTGGTGAGCTCTGGTGTTGATCCAACAGGAGTAAACTCGCCACGTTTAGTACGGTAGTAATCATAGAATTCACGTTCGACTGGGGTGGCATTCGCCGTGAGGTGATCCAGGGTGCCACCGGTATACTGGGTCTCGCCGCCGTCGATCTTGGTCCAGCGCTGCTGGGCTGCTTCGGCGATTGTTTCCTTGACCTGATCAACGCTTTGCGAGTTTTGTAGACCATGGCGGGCGAGGGTACCCATATCGTACATGCTTCCTGTAGCGATGGCCTTGAGGCGCGGGTCAAGCTTTGCAGCGCTGATCACGAAGGAACCACTACCACAAATACCAAGTCCTCCTATCCGCTCGCGGTCGACGGACGTCAGGCTCTGGTTGCCGAGGTAATCGACTGCGGCGCTGAATGCCTCTGCGTAGAGGTCTGGCAAGACTGCGTTGCGGGGCTTGCCATCGCTGGCACCCCAGAAGGGGACATCGATGGAGACGGTGATGAATCCCTGTTCAGCCAGTTTGGTCGCGTAGAGGTTTGCGCTCTGCTCCTTAACGGCCCCCATGGGGTGCCCGACCACGACGGCTGGTGCAGCGCTGTTGTTCTGGCCCTTGAGATAGAAGATATTGCCTGCGACAGTCGTCTGGTAATGGGTTGGGAAGCTGATCGGTTGGACTGTCACGTTGTTGCTGCGATAGAAATTATCGGCTCCATAAGACATGTTCTGCGCCATAGCTGACATTCCCATGCCGAGCGCGAGGATACTGTGAGCCACCGTCTTCATGATGACGCCGGAAAGTTGTGATCACGATAGCACAAGAGAGTATGAGAAGAGGATTGGAAAAGAAATACAGCTCCTTTCAAAGGCAGATGATCAGGCTTATAACTGATGAGGTGGGTAATGAGACCACGCAATGCTGTCATCAGCCAAGATCTCAACTTGGCTCCTACGACATGCGTGAACCAGTCACATCCGGAGATAAAATCAGATAGAAACGAAAGTGTTAAGCCAAGAGCATTGGACGCTCCTATATAAAGAGTTTGTCCATGGGCATATCATCAAAATGTCTCTGAAGATTACAATTCTCTCCACTGCTAATGCACGTTGCTTACCCTCTCAAGATTGGAAACCAATCAGTCGGTGCATTCAGGACGATCATTCCTTGGCTCGAGAGGTCAAGGTCTTCCCTTCTATGGTGCTATCACAACGCCCACAGAACATTGTTCCGTATCCTGGACATTCGCTTCTTGATCCGGATATTAGATTCAAGTGCAGATGAATATCAATCGAGGACCGTGGATGGGAGATGTCGATCCAAGTATAAGAAATCTTCCATTGTTCCGGAACCCGAAGCTCTGCTGCGTGTATATCGGTAAGATGGACCTCGATTGCCGATATTTAAGAAGCAATCATAGGCATATTAACTCTTAACAATAATATATAAACAGTTTACTTGCCAATCTAGCGATGATCAAAAGACTCGTGTCTGGATTACCAGGTATCTCCGCATGCACCCGAGCCTCCACAATTAACTATAATGTGGCAGTCCAAAACCGCTAGCGAGACTATAGCAAACACGAGAGTTAAGTTATTATCCAAAATGCACTTGCTAAAGTCCCACTTGCTCGATTCTAGACCCCGGGATATATGGGCCACCAGAAACATTCTCTTCGCAGCAGCCGCCGATTTATACTGCCAGGGTCGAGTGCATTGAGACTAGAGTATACGCCAAGAAGACGAGACCAGATCTGTGAATGGTAGCAAGTATTGCGTAAGAAGGGGGAAGGAATCTTACTGTGTGCGGCAAGCGAGCTCTGAGGGTACATACCCGTCCCTTTCAGCAGCTGAACTCTTTGCAGAGTTGGTGTATATCCTTGGCTATACAGTTATAGTGATCTGGTGAGTTAGTATATCTATTTGCAAAGGTTTTAAACTAGTATTTTGTTTTTATATATCAACTGGTTTTCTCAGCGTAATGGCCGGGCGACATGTAAGAGAATAAAGAAAAGCAGGAATCTGACTGTCAGATTATAATTATCGTAATGGTAATATTAAAGCATTCGTCACCTCTATATAGATATCCGATCTACTCTATAGAGAGCTAATTAGATGGTAATGGAAATGTACTCCGTAAACGGGCTTTTAACCATAAAATGATCTATTCTTGTAGTAGTTCATGCATCGCCGATTTCGTAGGTAACTAATTAATCCTAACTACTGACTAGGCAGCTAGTTAGTTAACTTGCTAAGTGATCCGCTTCAATTCGCTTCACCAATGATCCATCGCCAGCACGGCACAGGTTGCTGACTTCGCTTTTGCGGGGTTTATTGCTCTTATTATTTTCTCCTTTCTTTTTTTCCAAGAAGGGAAGAAAACCGAATCATGGTGAGATGAAATAGAAGGTCAATGCTGACGTAGATTCCACTCCGATGCTCCGTTCTCTGCTGCATTTTGCACTAATGATTAATTAAAGTGTAACCAAAGCTACTAGGCTCATCGAATTAGCGACTTTGTTTCCCCATGTGGCCCCGCTCGTATCGGGTTTGTCTTACAGAACGAATAAACTTTAATAAGGCGATAGTTCGTGGCTGTCTGTCGATCACTTCCTCAACCTAATAGGGGAATAACCATCATACTACGGAGCGTCCACCGAAAATAAATATTAATAAGTATATAAATAGTTCCAAGTAGAGAAATTTCCAGTTCTGTAGCTCCTCCCTAACAGCCTCAAATTCGTCAGTAAATTGTTTGCTAGTCCGTACATCATGGTTCAATGGTGGACTGCCGCTCTCCTTCTTGGAGCAGCTATATCACCTTCGCTCGCCATCAATACACGGGCTCCCTTTGGAAAACGGGCTCCGAGCCCAGACGTGGTGACCAACAACATCGTACCCCTGAGGAAGGTAAAAGTCCCAACCACGATCAGATCCGCCGGTAGACGGAAGCGCCTCAACCCCCGGAGTACGAACACCACTGGCACCACCTCGATCCGCAACTATTACCAGCTGAATTATGTGGCCGAGATGCAATGGGGCAATAAAACCATGTACATGATTTTAGACACCGGGTCCAGTGATACCTGGGTTCTCCGGACTGGTTATGAGTGCCTAGACAGCAATGGGGCCCCAACAAATGTAAGGAAAACAGTCTACATCCGTTCTACCCATTTGAAACGAAAATAAATCTCTAATAATCAACAGCAAACCGATTGCACTACAATTGCTCCCACGTTCAGCGGCGACTATACAGGGGGTCAGATTGACAATGTGAATTTCTACGCCGCCTACGGCTCAGGTATGGTTACAGGCACATTTGGGTGGGAAGGCATTACAATCGCAGGCCTCACAGTCCCAAATGCACAGGTGGCGGTAGTCGACCAAGCATTCTTCGAAGTCTATAATGCCAGCGGAATATTTGGTTTGGCTTTTCAGTCACTAACAAGCGAGTACCCCGGCAGCAACTCGTCGCAGCATCCCTCTAAACAACGCATCAACTATGAGCCTATCTTCTATAGAATGGTTGATCAGGGCTTGTCATTGCCGACCTTCACCTTTGCCCCTCAGCGTGGAGGCGACAATGGATATCTGGCCTTTGGTGGGATCCCACCAGTGAACACCACCGGGCCAACGGTGGCATTACCTATTCTTACTGTGAGTGTCCCCACAAAGTGTGAATATAGACATTTATGGGACTAACCCATTTCTTTTGCTTCTAGACCAATGCCACAAAGTCGAAACCAACAATCAACCAAGGCGATTATTATACCATCTCCGTCGATAATGTTATTTATGGATCAAATGGCACTACAAAGTCATACGGCTCGTCCATTCAGGCCATCATGGACACGGGCACATCTGGCCTATATCTCCCAAATGGTAGTTCCTCCCCCCCAACATCCAAATCCATTTGGAAGGTCATTGCACAGCTACTTACATCTGTCGTTTTGAATATTCATAGATCTTATTACCTCTATTGCGAACTCCTTTACACCACCTGCAAGGTATCAAAACAGTTCGAGCGCATATTCAGTACCTTGTAATGCCACCGCGCCAAAAGTTGCGTTTACCCTTGGCGGGGTCAATTTCAATATCACCAGCACCGATCTGATATCCGCCCTCACTGACTCGAATACCGGGCATTGCCTGCTCTTCCTGTTCGACGGGGGGTCGGATGGGTACATTCTCGGTGACTCGCTGTTGAACAATCTGCTAACCACGTTCGACCTCGGTGCAATGGAGTTGCGAGTAACTGCTCTGGCATAACCTCAATTAAGACCATGGACTGTTGAATATTGACAAGTAGGGATCACCTATGGAGCTTTTCAACATACAGACTACATAATCTACACACTTTTTCCGGTTCGGGGATTGCGCTGACATACATTCTTGTTTAGAGCTAATTATTGTTAATAACTAAATTTCTAATAGAAGACATTTTAGGCCCCTTCATTAACCACATTGCGAATCATAATACTTTATCATTCACTTTTTAAGCAAGTATTTGCAGACTCTTAAAATTCTCCTTTTTAATAGCATTGAATATCGATATTTGAATGACACTGCACGGTATTGATCATCTCTTCCTATTCACAACAACATTGAATTGTGTGGCATTGTTTAGCCAGAAATAAATGTCATCGTTCGGATGGCCAACGTTTTGGTCGAGTATATCCTTGTAACTTTCCAGCCAGCCACCTGTGCCGATCGCAATTAATGAATCAAAGGCCACTGCTTGACACGAGCTAGTGTATCTTCTTCCCGAGATCCGCCGCGATGGGGAGGAACAATTGAAACTGTATTTGGTACGATGAATTCGGCCTCTTCTATCTCTCATTGGCCAGCGAAACACAGGCTTGAAACAACTTTTTACAACAGCAAGCATTTCATTTTGCGGTCACTACTTGTGGAGGTCCAGAGACAAGGTGATCTGAAGGCTCCTCGAGAAGTTTCGCGATTACTCAATTAGGAAGTTTTGTCAACTAGGTTGTGATGTGTATGCCAATGTATAGAGAGAACCGTTTATTTGTCTATCCCTCTACGGCGATTAATACTCCGTCTAGAGCATGACTATTCACGTATACTGTGCTGCATGCAAAATCGACGCAGTAATTGTTATCTCGTCAACCAATCGCCAAGGCTACAACAGTTCAACAATTTATTTGCATTTTAGATCATGACTACCTACCTGCTTAGGTATTAATCGTCTATGTAGTTGAAGCAAACAAACAAGCCAAAGGACTGTTCTCAAACCATACTCGGTCTTTCTCCCATGCCTTTACAATAAAGTCTGTCCCCGTACGGATAGCACCATGGATCAGCTTCGGGTCCTCCAAAAACGGTGCTGTCGGATTCCGCCTGATATACCAGCAGATTAAATGGACCCCTGCATGGATGGCAGCCCTGAAGGCCATTGCATGATCCAAAGGGCCATACCCTGCCACAAACCCTTGCATTGCCCAAATCGCACTGTCTACGTCCAAGAAATGCTTCCGCTCGTAGAGGTCTCCAATCATTTGGCCGACATCGTACTCCTTTCGACCGAACTGAGACAGCTCCCAGTCAATGACGTAGAGATCTATTCCTTCTGCTTGTCGCTTTTCCAACGATGGCGTGTTTGGAATCAGGACACTGCTTGTTTTAGTCATCTTACGCTACCATTTATATGGGGTAATTCTCAGAGAAGAAAAATAAACTTACTTGCCAGCCCAGAAGTCAGCGTGGATGACACCCCAATCCTCTACGCCTGGATCGTGGATGGATTGCGCGTATTCCTCTGTTGCCATGTCCTGCACCTGCTGCAGGATGGTGCCGTACTCATCCCACACCTCAGGAAACTTCTGCACGATCTCAATAAATGCACCATAGCTGATTTGATATCTTAGTTTCCGCATCGGTTCATTGGCTGCTATCTCTTTACGAAGGTTTGCCTGTGCTGGTTGCGCTGTCCACGAGTGGAAGGCCCGGAGCCAGACACCTACAGCGCAGCCGATGGCTGTAGATATAGACTGCGGCAATACGACGCCAGCTTCAGCGGACACCAAGACGGTTTTTAGATCAATAGTGTCGGATAGATCTTCTAAGATTTGCGTGTTTTGCTTTCGATCGAATTCATACAAATGGGGAGTTTGGATTGTTATATTCTCTGTCGTGGTGTTTGGGAGGCCGTCTAATGCATTGAGCATAGTCTCTTCGAAGAGCTGTCGCAATTATCACCTGTCATTACCACAATTTCCCCGAATAAGAAAGAAACAAAAAGAGAAGAACAAGAACAAGAACAAGAACAAAGAAACGCACACAACGAGACACTTCTAGAGAGAAGTTGCGGTTCACGGCGACAAACTCCTTGGAATGCTTCACCACCACCGTCTGTGTTCCATCAGCCAGAGGATGAGTCAGGATCCCACGGAAAAGGAAGTTGGCGGTTCCGCCACTGAGGTGTGTCAACGACGAGCAGATGTAGGGAGTGTGCGATAACGCTCGTGTAAGTTCCAAGGCAAGTTGGTCTTTTTCTTCTTTTTGAAACGCCATTTTGTGTTGAGGACAATTGTATTTATGGATTGACGGATGTACGCAGCGGGGTACTTGTCGAAGATAGATGGATGAATAACCTGGCGCCTGGGCTATTCCCCGCAATAGAGTCAAATGTTTTCTTTTTCTTTTTTCAGCGTGGTTGTAATACGAGGATTCTGATGGGAAAGTTGGGTTGTCTTGAAAAGATTGAACTGGGTTCATTAGCTTCCCATAAAAAAGAGGAACTATTGCTTAATACATATTCACATAGAAGGAACTAATCCATAGATGTTGTTAGGCTGACTCCCTCGGGCTTGGCACCTTCCTTTACATGGATGGATGGCTTGGCAAGATCGTACATTTAGGGCCATATCTTACTTATACAGACGCATCCGTCGATATATCTTGCTATCTACCACGGTATCACGCTGAGGACCTCTGTACTACCGTATCTAGTATAGCTAATTCAAAGCAACCTTAATAAACACTTAGGCCTCCGTTTTATAGGCTTTGGCCTATCTTAGTGTGAAAATCTGAAGTCAAGCCTAGCGTAAGCCTCACCTCAAAAGGCTCTAAGAGAATGCGTGTCGTATAGAATGGCATCAACTCTGCAAGTCTATTCTTGTTACGACGTTCTAACTGCTAGGGACACCACTCGCTGGATTACGTGTATTTAAAGCTGGTAGCTCCTGCACTGTGTATTTCACACACCCAACTAGAGCAACATATTTATGATGGATGCCTTAAGCATTTTTTTGATAGGTTGTCCATGCTGAGCGAGTTGGCGTCGCAGATCTCTTCTATCAAATGACGTAGGTAAATTGGGAATGAGAAAGACGATCTTGTCTAGTATCGATAGAGTAAATATAAATCAGTCTATCCACGCAATCCTTTCCCAACGAAACTAATTTATATAAATTTGGTTATAGTCATACAATTATTAGAATGAATGAGCGTCTTTCAATACCAATCATTGCGCTTTTCTCCGCCTCTCTTATTGTCCGGATTCATGGAAATGATACGTCTTCCAGGAATCGTGTCGTGCGTGAACGCCGACTCGAAAATTCCGGATATCGCACGCCTCCCCAAGCTTTTGAACGAGTCGTATTCTTCAGTCTCGCCATTGCACGCCGCCCACTCGATGGATGTGAATGGAGAGGTTCCGTCACCAAGGTCACTCCATCGCGTCACCACAATGGCGTGGCGGAAGTCCACGGAATGCGGATTTCGTCGATCTTCGGTTATTTTAATTTCAACTAGATATTCAGTTGGACAGAATGGACAGCGGCGCATTGGCTGGCAACGCCCGCATTGACTAGGTATAGCGCGAGCATCGTTGTTTCGTCCGCGGATGGCGTCCTTGAGCCGGCCCTCAACGCCCTGGAGTCCTGCAGTATTGCGCGGTACGGGTACATGGTCAAGCGCACATTTGCACACGTCCATCAGGTCCCCATCGCGCCAGTGCGCGCAGGCGGAGAAGAACGGCCAGTAGTCCTCTCTAGAATACAGTAACAGCCGTTTCGCACTGATTTTAAGAGCAGGAGATACGAATCGCTGGCTAGTTACCCGCATTAGCAGCCGGCCATCAGCTATATAGTACCGCGAAGACATTGCCCATTCCTCGCTCCTCCAACGGCGGCCCAATGACTCGGCCGAAATCCCATATCGCAGCGAGAAGCGCTGAGCCCGTGTCGCAAGCTGCACAAAAGCGAAAGGGATATTTCGGCCATGCGCGATTCGATGACGTGGCTGTGGTCGTAGTGTATTCCGCTCATTCGGGCATCTGAAGACTGGATTCAGCACTTGTGCCGGTTGTAGCTTTTCTTGACCCTCTTGGGATCGGCGATGATACTTCCCGCAGGGAAAGCACAGTAAATGGTGCGGCAGACATCGATCGAGTAAAATCAAAAAGTCCAATTTATATCCAAAATTCTCCGGCCGTGCGATTTTTGTAAACGGGTGATGTCCGAGCCGGCGGTAGAGTGTTTTGCTGGAGAGAGCCAGGCATACAGTCGTTGTGGGATCGAGACAATCCGTTATACTAAACCACAATTCTGGACTAAGGCTCGCAATTGACGCTTCTCCTGGCGGACGATTATCCTTTTGAACCGTTCTCACGTCGTCTGGATCAAACTGTTCTTGCAGACTAAGAGCATGTAAAATGTTGGTGTAATCGCGGTTCTCTCCGAGTTGGGTATCTAATCGCGAGTTCGTCCCTTGGTATTTCTCGCGATGGGCTTGTAGCGGTGCTATAGGGAGAGGGGGCACGTCTTCTTTCTCATACGAAGGTCGATAACCTGTCTTAACGCTGGCAAGGGTGGTGGAGCTTGCAGACGTCAACGACGCGGCGCCTCGTTTCCGCAGTGTCTGGCGTGACTTTTTTGGTTTCAGCCAGTTCGAGAAACTACGCTTGCCGCCGGGGCTGTCGCTCGACATGTCGGCAGGGTCATTGGGCGAATTTAATGACGCTGAAGGAGTCAATTGAGTCGAGCAGGAATCAACGCAGTTTTGCTGTGGCGATCGGCATACTCGGAATGCCGCAGCGGCAGCCTCGTGTGGCGGTGCACGCATACCTTCCTCCTGCGAGTCTCCTACCGCGACTGCTCCAACTGCTTCACCTATCAATGCCCTTCCTTCTTGTTTTTACAATAATCAATTTTTATTTCACGGCCACAGCTCGATGGACACGATAGATTGGTCACAGTAGCGAAATTCCCTCCAGGCAAGTCTTATCTTATCGTCTATCTTATCAGCTGTTCTTATCGGGTTGTTGACGCGGGGATACAGATATGGTCCATTGTGTCGCCTTGGTCTCTTCATTCTACAAAGATCAATGGCGCCTGACCAGGAGCTCAGATTCAGTGCCTGGGACAACATATTATCACTCTCTACTGTGTGCCGCGTCACTATCTCGGATATTGTATTCGAGTCTCACAAACTCGAGCATGCATGTCGTCATCGGCTGACATCTATGCGCTGCCGATTGAGCTTTCAGTATGGAAATTATAAACCCCCGTCGAAATTCTTTGCAGGTAGTTGACATGGGAGTTATTTGGCTTGCTTCATCGACGTCTACTTCATTGTGCTTCCCCAATTGCAGTGTCACCAACATACTGTAGCTACCGAACTGCGGCATCCCTGCTCAACAAAACAGGGCCAAGGGTTTCGGTCGAAAATCTAACTCCTAGGAAACAAACTACCAATTAGGCCTTATGAGGTGAGGTCTACGATCGATGCAATCAGCAATTATGGTTGCTCTCACCTGCATGTACAGTATCATTGCGCGATTAAGGCTGCGGCTCGTGAAATTGTCCGTACGATTATTGAATTCTCGAATCTCATATCAACTCCGAGATCATGTCACATGACGTATCACAGTGATAGATCTCTCCAAGGATCAAGATCTACGTACGAGGCAATTACTGGCCACTATCGTTTGATTTCATATCGTTGGGTGGATGCGAGGACAGCTTACATTGTGATCTACAGCGTGCATCAATAATCAGCATACGCCAACAATGGAGATATCTCAAGATCTGCCGAAATTTCGAACGCTCCCTTTCTTGTTTCCTCGAGTCAATCGACATAATCCAAGCAAAAAGATAACACCGCAGGGTTCGCACCCGTTGTTAATAATTAGGTGGCTGTTTTCTTTTCAATCTCAAACAGGTCCCGCACAAACTATGATCAAGCTAGCCGATGGCCAAACGGCGGACTGCGCCTAATCGAGAATAATACACACTGCGGAGTACACAAACCTACAGCCAGAGAGCCCCCACCACCCAATCATATATCCAAAACACGGCAAGAAGCGAGTCCCATCGAGGATCTCCCCCAGCCGGTCATGCGTGACCATTGCCAACCTCCAAAACGTGGCGGTGAAGGGATTCGTCAAGAATCCGTGATCATTTGTTACTAACTGATAACTAATTAGCCACTAGCAGGCAGCGAGCCTATCAATCGCATAACATTGTTCCGCCATCATCCTAGCGCCCACAACAAGACGCTAGGCGGACTCTCCCCCGCACTTTGTCAGGAGCAAGACTTGCAGTACGAAGTTCTACAAAGAGTAAGTTGAGTCCACCCATTGCCACGCTACAGTGTTGAAATTTGTGAGCAGTAGAAAATTTAATTAAACGGAACGATCCGCGGCGAGACCACCTCCTGAAAAATGGGCAGAAATGGGCAGAATTGGTGTGAATCCCGCTGGAAATTTCAGTGCGACACTGAGCATCGGCAGCTGAACGAACCAAGGTGGCCAGCGGACGTAGTACGTAGTAAAGGCAAGAAACCTGGATAAAGAGGCGTTCGGTGCTCCGTATTTATCAATTGGATGGCAAGGCCGTGCCTTTCGCTGTCAATTGTTATTGTCCCCAGCTAATGCGCAGCAATTGGCCAGAACGCTCCACTCAGAGGTACCATTACTACTCCAGGACTGAGGGGATGCTGCTAATCCACCACTAGCATCCAAACGGGCTCGGTCTGCCGAGGCCTAATATACCTAGTCCAAGGGGTGGCGGGCAGAGCATGAGCTCATGGCTCGATGGGCCCTGCGTGCACGAGGCTTGACGCACATTAATCTCATCCATTTCAATGCTTTGGCGGGCCTTCCGAGGCTCTGCATATGATTGTGATGTCCCCTGCTCATGCCCATAATACCGTACACCACTCACGACGTATTTTCAGTTCTGTTCACACAACTACCCCTCCGGCCACTCACCAGACAGACCCATCACATCTTGCAACTGGTGGCACATATCATCGGCGGCGGAAATAAATATTACTATTGCGCAGGACAATATTGTAACGTCTAGTCCATATACATCTCCACCCGATCCGCAACATGGAGGGCACGACGGGGTACTTGGGCAACCTCACGCCTGATCAAGAGGCCCGTCTGCAGCAGTTCTGGATGTTCCTTTTGAATGCTTTCGACGGTCTTGATGGCAAACTATCGTCGTCCTTGGCTACAACCGCGGAGACAACGACCCGATCAAACAGCTTTGACGAACCACCACTCTCACCGAACAGTTTCGACTCCAACGGTCGTCACAGCTTCTCCAGCCATGGAAACCACAAACTTAATTCGAACCCGTCCGTCCATCTACCCCCGACTCCAACCAGCCCTATTTCTCCATCCACAGTACAGTCGTCACTCCCACAGCCAAAGAAACTGCGCCGACGCACCTCCCTCCTCAGCAATGCCTCCGAATCGTTAATGAACCGCACGTCTTCCACGCATAAACGAGCTATGAGTTTTCATGCGCAGTCTATGGGCGGAGTTCACCTGCGACCCAGCCCGCAAAACGCCAAAGTCATGCAACGAGTCATGAATTCGTACAAGCTGTCGCCGGACGAGCTGCGACGGAGCTTGCTTTCGTCGCTCAAACAGGACCATCCAGACTCAATGCTCCTTCGATTTCTCCGGGCCCGCAAATGGGATGTTGGCAAAGCATTTGTTCTGCTCGTAGCTGCAATGGCATGGCGCGTGAAGATGCAGGTTGACGAGGACATTAGCACACGCGGAGAGCTATATGCGCTACAGCAGACGAGAGCCAACTATCGGGCAGAGAGAAAGGTTGGAATAGATTTTATGAAGCAGCTTCGCATGGGCAAGAATATCATCCATGGTGTTGACCGAGCGGGCCGGCCGATTGTCGATATTAGGGTTCGTCTTCATTACGCCGAGGACCAGTCGGATGCTACGTTGGAGCGATATATTATTTACACAATAGAGACGGTGCGGATGTTGCTGCGTCCGCCTTTGGTCGAGACTTCTGTTCGTTTTCTTTCCTCGGTTGATTTATGTTCCCAACTGACGATTAAAAGGTCCTGATTTTTGACATGAACGACTTCTCCATGTCTAATATGGACTACACCCCGATCAAATTCATAATTAAATGTCTTGAGAACTTTTACCCAGAATCTCTCGCGCTCATCCTGATCCATAACGCGCCATGGTTCTTTTCCGGTTTGTCTCCTCACTAGCATTATAAACTTACATAATAAACTTACTAGTTCTTAACAGGTCTCTGGAAAATAATCAAAAGCTGGATGAATGACTCTCTCGTCTCCAAAGTCCACTTCACAAAAACCGTCGAGGATCTTGAGCGCTTCATCCCTCGCGAGAATATCCCAGCCGATCTCGGCGGGCTAGACGCATATCACTATCGCTATATCGAACCTGACACCACAGATAAAGTCGAAAGCTTACCGCTCGACACATACTCACCAACCCGAGAATTCCTCCTAAACCAACGTCAACGAATCGCCTCGGATTTACTCGACACCACGAGACTATGGCTCCAAACCTCCGCGATGCGCGACCGCATCGGCACAGCAATCCAACAGGACCGACGTGCTGAGCTGATTGAGGATCTGAGAATGAACTACTGGCGCGTAGACCCGTTTATTCGCGCGCGGAGCCAGCTGGATCGCGAAGGCGTGATTGTCGGCGACGGCATTGGCACGATCAATATCTATCCACATCTAGTTGCCAGAGACGAATCCATCCTTTCATCCTCCTCCTTGACACTTGATGATCGTAATCACGATAGTGGCATTGCCACAGATGGCAGCGCCAACGGCACCGATTTAGGCTTCGATTTCGGTCTCGATGATAATAATAATAATAATAATACTAACAACATTATGCACCACGACGACCCAAGCGCAATGGACGTGCGAGAGAGTTTTATGCGCGAGTATGACGATAGCCTTGTCAGCGACGACAAAGATGGTGATGTTATCATGCACGACGAACCAACATCAACACCCCAGCACAAACATGTTGAAAGCGGACGCGAAAACCCAGTCGGGCATACCACTTTGCACACTGACGACACCGACGGCAATGACGAGAATGATGAAGACGGCAGCGACTTTGACTTTGACGATGATGACGAGGAAGCCGAGATTCACGATGCCGTCACGCATATGGTTGGCGGACATCAAGGACAAGGCGGGTTCATGGTTCAGAGGGCTGCTGTGAGGGTTGTGAATGTGTCTTGATTCGTACCTCTCTTTTCTCTGGAACTTCCTTGAAGGAAGAGAAGGAGTGATGAATGATTTACCTTCTTGTATATTGATTTCTGCGGCTGATTGTATGTATGTATTATTCATGACTAGCATGTTTCTTTTCTTCTTTGGATGTCGGTTGCTGCATTGCCAGATGAATTAATGAATTGGATACCCTCTCGAAATTGATAAAATCTAACCAAACTCCCCCATTCCACTATAATACCTATTAAAAACAGCACTATCAATTCAAATGTTGATATGATTATGATATCATTTTGATTATATTCAATACCAATTCAGCATTGATGATGGATCACTATGTAATCTGTTGCAACTTCTTGACTATACTATACTATATAGCGCGATTAGGAGCAGCTGAATAAATGACAAATATATATATATATATACTAATCGAAGAAGAGTCCCCAACTTTGTTAACAAAGTCAAGAAGAAAAAAAAGAAAACGATGCGCCCGCCAATCAAAAACAGCATTCCCAAAGTGAAAAAAAGAAAACGCCAACCCCAGTAATTCATTAGCATAGCAGAAAGGAAATTCGCAGGAGACAGCGGTGAGCGCGACGCGACTTATCAACAAGGGATAAGGTTCAAGTGGAAGCTTTTGACAGAGGTTGATATATAGGTTCATATCCTGCTTATGATGCAGGCAATAGGACAAGGCAAGGAAAAATAGTGAATGGAGTGCGACAAAAGGGTATTAGTCGCGGTGTCAAGTATGTAGTAGTATATGTAGGTGGCAGTAGTATGGGTTATGCGGACAGTAGGATAATGAAATGAATCGAATGAAAACGAATGCAGACGAATGTAGATGGTCGGTTATATGCAAGGATAAATGTGTATATCAGTCGATGATGGATATAAGGCCGAATGTGGGCGGCAAGGATGAATATGGATATGGATATACTACCGCCCACCACGCGTCAGTGTGAATGGGTGTAAGGTGCGTTGGCCGTAACGGGTCATACGGAAGGCGGTAATGTCGATTGATACTTCCGATGTGTCGGATCGTTCGTCGACCTCGAGGATGCCGGCATTTGACTCGTCCGGTCCGTCGGGTCCGTCAGGCAAGATGTGAGGACGTTTCGATTCTGGGATTATTTCCTCGTGCACGTCTTCCTTCTCGGCCTCGGGCTCGGGTGTGTTCTCCTTCGCCGCCTCCTCGGCCGCCATCTGCTCTGCCATGTTCGTCGAGGCCTCCAGGACCAACTCGTATGCTTGCACTAATCCTTCAAGTTCATCAAGGCAGTTCCCTTCTCGCAGGAACCGATAGGCGGCCGTCTCACATAAATTCTGCGCCGTGTCTAACTGTCCTTCGATGAAATCATACGGGCTTCCCTTGGGTCGTGTCGATCTCAACATCGGTCGGAAGTCTGGCAGGTCGTCCTCGAGACCGGTAGCACCATCATCCACTTCAATAGCACTTCGAGCACTGTCCATCTTTTTCGGCGTCGTACGCATCCGCATACGTCCCCGAAGCGCGGACTGAATAGAGGATGAGATACGCGAGGAGCGGATGCTGCTTTTGGCCGACCAGATCTGGCGCACCATCTGCTCGAGTACCTTTTGTGTATGTCCATCGTAGAGAATCACAGATGAGGTCGATTCTGGCGCCGGTGTTGATGGTGGTGGTGATGCGGCGGGTTCTCGGACTCGTCGTCGCTTCGTGGACTCTCTCAGACTGTCGCGCGACAAGATTCGCTTCAGGCCGTGTTTGGCGGACTTGGGGCGCAGGCTCGACGATCGTTGACTGCAAGTCGACAGACTGCTCATTGACTTTCGAGGCGGGCTGGCGAGTTTTCTCGTCTCTGCGGCAAATTCGGCGCGTTTGGCGTGGACGTGGACTGCCAGCTGGTTGGCGTCGGAAATCCACGATGGAACATTGTCACGGAGCTGGGCGAAGCAAGCCATTGTTTCTCACTGTGCAAGCGATTCTTGTGCAGTAACAAGGGATGAAGAGACCAGGTATCTACATAGAGAGCGCAGGCACACACAAAGGCATTGTAAAAAGGGTATTGGGGGGATGGGATGGGATGGGAGAGGAGACAGTAGTAGAGCAGAGAATCAGAGGGAACAGTCGAATCAGTAGAGTGTGGGCGAGAGGGAACAATGGGCACACAAAGAGACGGGGGCGGCGGCTGGTTGCGACTGGCTGAGCGCCGCGGGACCTCCCTTTGCGGCAGTTTGTGGCTTGGGCCGAGTCAAAGGAAGAAAAAAAGTGCGCTGAGGAAAGGCGGTGGACCCCGCCGTTGCGCTGAGCAAAAGCCAGCGCGAGGGCCGATCCGTGTTCTAAAATCCTTCGCCGCCTGTTGCGCGCCGCGGATTGGCCAGGGGTCTAGGTTTGCGTTCGGGGACTGGAGACATATTCGGCGACTTGTGCCTACCCATTGGCCGGGGGCAGCGGAAGGTGGGGGTTAGCGTCGCCCATAGGGCCAACAGCGGCACTGCGGAAAGCAAGCCGGCTTCATTGTTGGCTGACAGCAGGCCAATGGAAATCCATGTCCGCGGCCACGAACCCCACAGCGGCTGGGCGCCGGGGTCCCATGGCAAGAATCCGACCTGCTGGGTCGCGATGAGATACCCATCCTATCACTTGGAATTTGCATTTCTTTTGGCGCCTACTACCAATCTTGGGGATTTCCTTTGGCTCGGGCCTAGCTGTCAAAGGAAATCATAACTGACTCATTGCCCGCGCCCCTTCTGGTCCCGTCCCAGCCAGCTGGTGATGTGCTAGCTAAGTGCGTTCTTTCTGGCAATAGTCTAAACTCTGAAATATTCGTCGCCGATTGGAATAATAATAGCACTAGCAAACCAATCCTAGACCTTGGATGAGTACGGCCGCCAGCACTCCGTGCGTCAGTCGTCTTTAGGGGGAGCTGCAACCTGCAGGAATCCCAAAGAAACAATAAAGTTAGTGTTGCGCCGGGGGATGTGCATCCCATGCCATTGGCCCCCGCGCCGCCTGCGTCACATTTTCCTGACTCGACGACTCGATCGTCTCCTTCCTCGAAATCTTCACAATTTGTCACACTGCAGATCAGACAGCGGGACTGTCGGACAGACCCAGGTACTAGGAACCAGGCCATTGGAAACCGCGCCTGAGATCATGCATTCGATAGTGATAGGTCAGAAATTAGAATAATGCTGTCCCCCTTTCTGCCAGAGGAAAGCCGTCGGCAGTAACATCCCTCGATAACAACATTACAGAAAAATTATTATATTTACAACTGGCTGAGAATCTCATTGCAATTATTGTAAACAAATACATAATTTGATGTGTACATACGAAAATGAGAATCGCAGGCCAGTCAGGTCGCGGCACAGGCCTGTCAGCAGACAGCCAAGTGCCGGCACGGCACGACGTCGGTATTTGCACTGTTGGTTCTCATCAGGTCATGTGACTGGCAGTCCTGACTCGCGGCCGCGAGTCAGCTGATTCATTTCCATATATTCTATCACGTGACTTGTCAGCTGTGTTGGGCTGTTTGCATGGTTTGCTCGATAGATCCTCAAGCTCGAAATTATCGATCCAAATTTTGAGGCACTTAGCGATTCAATAATAACCCCCCACCAGCCACTTGCCAACCGCAACTGACTCGGCAGGGTCGCATTGCTTTGTGATTCGCATTTTCTATTGCGCCCTCCCATATTTTGTTCCGTTTTGTCTATTTTCTAGCTGCCTAAGTGTAATGGGGATTACGATTCTGCCTCCCGTGGTGGAGACCATCCGTCGTCCGTCAGATGACGAGGCAATGTCTATCGACGCAGATTCAGATGGCGATGTTGATATGGATGGTTTGCCAACAAAACGACCTCGTCTTACTGAAAGCTCGAGGTTCAGAGGCAAAGGATCGGCCACCGGGCTTGTGGTTCCAGGAGAATCGGTCACCAGCGATCCACAATGGATGAGGTAAGAACTATCCTATAGATAGGTTGATTAGGTTGATTATAGGCCTATCGATACCTCTGTTGTCGCTTTATGGATGAGTTTAATTCTAATATCTAACCACGTGAAAATCTACAGAGGCCACGGCACCTTCACCACACCATACTCAGCTTCCATCATCGCGACAGTCGCCGGCACAGTACAAAAGACGAACAAACTCCTATCTATCCATCCTCTTCGAGCGCGGTACATGCCCGAAATCGGCGATCTAGTCGTCGGACGAATCGTTGAAGTGCAGGCACGACGGTGGAAGGTCGACGTCGCGGCACCGCTGCTGGCTCAGCTGCCCCTGTCGGCAATCAACCTTCCAGGAGGCATTCTGCGCAGACGAACAAGTGCTGATGAGCTGCAAATGCGCACATTCTTTGTCGAAGGCGACCTGGTCGTTGCCGAAGTCCAGAGCGTACATGCCGATGGCTCTGCGACTTTACACACTCGATCTTTGAAGTACGGGAAGCTGCGTAACGGCGTCTTCCTGGCCGTCACGGGCACAGGGGGTATTGGAGCTGCGTCGCGGTCTGCTACAAAAGGCGGAAATGGGTCTAATGCGGCGCCCCCTGCTGCCGTGGGAGGCGTTGTGCGATCCCGTCGCCAGATGTGGACAGTTGCAACCGCCAATGGGGGCGGGGATGTCGACGTGACTCTGGGAGTGAACGGGTATATTTGGATAGCGAAACATACAGACGGAGCCGCGGCGGTGTCGTCGAAGACTGAGAATGTCTCCATCACGCGGCTAGAAGAGGTTGCTCCTAGCACCATCTACTCGAGTCAAAACGACGAGATTGCACCGCAGACGCGGCGCGAAATTGCCCGTCTCGCTGGGTGTATTCGTGTGCTGACCGAAGGCGGCGTGAGGGTTGATGAGGACACAGTGATGCGTGCGTACGATGCCAACTTGCAGGCGGATCTTGAGATGGCGGTGGATGAGGATGAAGATGCTGGCAATCAAGGAAAAGATTATTTGGGCGGGGACAGGGGGAAGCGGATTCTTGAATTGGTGTTGCAGGGATGATTGATTATGCGTGTAACAATAGGTGCTCATAGACTAGAGATACCCTCGTTCTGTTATATCTTAAAATAACTTGTTTGATTATTCAAGTTTAATGCCGTATCCACATGTACAACTCTAAGCTAACTTTACATATATACGTGTTGTACTGCAGTATATCGTCGTTAATCTTAAACAGCCAAGTTTCAAGTATCAATTGATTATAACATTGAAAATATGATTACTTGTTGTGCTACAGTACATAACGATTCATGCATAGAGCTTGTAAATGCTTGATATTGATCCATTGATGTACTTATATATAATCTATCGAAACCCTACACATGTACATATATATATACGCTGGTGGAGTACAACATTCTCATCAGTTGATGCGTGTATTTATGTCAACATTGAACATTTGAATGTATGTATATATGCTTAATGTTCCATGTAGTTTATTGGTTGATATCAATTAACGACATTTGGATTCATTCACATATCAATGTACATACGTAGTATTGATTGATACAGCACTTGACGTGAAACTATATATATATCTAATCGGGTTGCCGTCCTAATGTAATATTGAAACTGCAACCAACCCAGATTGTAGGCCCTACACGATCAATGAAGTACTCCCATATCATGTATCTTTTTTTAACAAACAAAACCGCCGTACCCAAAAAAATAAATGGATCAATAATATGACACTACATCTGTACTACGCGGTTTTCGGGTCCGCAGGCATACGACGCCGCAATCCATTCGCGGCCTTCCCCACCGCGACCAGTCAACCACGATGAACATGTCAATTGAGGGAAGAAATTCTCGGATTGGACTGGAATTTCATAATAAATCGCTTTATTTTCAACATTGAATGTTCTTCGACAATAATAGAAATCAATGATATGAAAGTGCGATGATAGTATTATTACTGATGACGATCACAAACGACGATCCGCAGCCCATCCGATCTGAAACATGCAGCTACTCGGCATCGAATGACGACGATGCCCTTGCAGATGAGCTATCCCAAGCTATATATGTAATAGGTCGATACAATTATCATTGTAGTTTTTCTTTGATGAATTGATGAACTGATGATGCTGGTGATGACAACAACGATGAAACTGCGCTACATTGCAACAACCTCCTACATGGAACATACGATTGAAAAGCGAATGGGGATGATTGGTTCAGCACATGGGCCTCCCACGGTCTTCACATGCAGGCCATAATTGGCGACCACAGGCAAAAGACCCGATCAGATTTGCACCGCCTTGAAATTAATACCATCAACGCAGGTTCTAGCCAACCAGCCATCCGATCACCCGCTCAAAACGGTTAACGTCGTAAGCCGATGTTCTCGATACAAAAGCAGAGTAAAAATACATGCAATCAGACAATAAACTACAACTGAGACAAGCTTTTTACGGCAAGACCAGCGAACGAGAATTGGGATGGGCCCCTCTTTTTCTTCGAATATCACTCACTATCAGGCACCCATCTTCTTGCTCTTCCATCCATCCCATCCCATCCCATCCTTAATTTATTCGTGATGCCGTCTGTCAATTAATAGACAGTCTGTCGGTGTCTGGTATATACAATCAGATCCATGTCCAGTCCCCGACTCCTGACATCGCCATCGACCGCGCAAGAAGTATATATTTTAGTCGGACCACATAGCACGGCAGTTGCCGGATTTCTTGACGCATGAACTTATCAATTATCAATATCATCAGATCCATCACCCTCTATCAATGTGTCCATTTTAAGCGAAGGAAATTATAAAGGAAAGAAAATTTAAAAATTACAGAACCTCAACGAAATGTCCATCTCGGCTTCCGCCATCATCGTCATCGCCATTTGCGCCTCGGGAGTTGTAGTCACCATCATGTTCGTCTTCGCTCGGTATTTCGGCGCGAATTTCCTCGAGATTAATATAGCGGGGAGATCGCAGGAACAAGATCTATATATGCGGCAGGTCCGCCAAAGGTCACAAGCGTACGCCTACGCCGAGGCGCTGAAAGCCACCGGTGGTGTCTCGACGACGAGAACGTCACAAGTGTGGTCGACACCGGATACGCCTGGTGCTGGAGCTGGAGGCAGTTGGGGCCAGGGTCGATCGAACCAGCAACAACAAGGACAAGGACAAGGATATCCTGGAAACGGCAGTAGCAATTATGTCAACTACTCAAGCCTTAACGAAGGACAGTACTATGAGCAATCGCCATACGAACCTGGCAACGACAATAGCTATTTTGCGCATAACCAGCAGCAGAATACGCCGATACAACTTGTCTCCCCTGTGAATGCTGAGTCGTCAACCCGGTGAGTCCATCATCAATTCAGCGGAAGTACACAGCAGAAGTACTAATCCAGGACATTTTATAGCCTCACTGACGAGAAACCACTCCCACCATCGCAGCGGATCTGAGGTGTGCTTTATTAAACGAGGAGAATTTGTATACTGGATTATAACTGTTGGCTTGTGTCTGGTTTTTAGCGCTGGATTTTTTAAAATTTCTTTGGGTTCGTTTCCATGTATATCTATAAGATTTGTTGCCTTGTTTATGCCTGATGATACGATGCTTTCTGTCTATTTATACCCCCAGACAATATGATTTCAGTACGTTTAGTCGATAGGATTGTGCATACTATTGAATCTAACATTGAAATGTAGGGTGTATGTTTGTCTTTCCGAATAGGGAAATAATTACTGCAATCGTCAACTAGTATCGGCAAGAATTACCCTGTAGAGAATAATAATGTATCTATGACGTGTAACTGTGATTAAACATAACCCAGTTAGTCATCTCATCACACAACCTCAGACCTATTCCTCATGAGCAACAGCAGTCTCCTCATGAACAACAACAGCAGACTTCTCGACCTTCAAATCAGCCACCTCAGACGCACCAGCCAGACCCAGCTCTTCGTAAATACGCAGCATACGCTCACGATCCGCGGTGGCAATACTGCCCATGTCCCCGCCAAAGAATAAATCAAGTTCCTCCAGCGTCTTGTCCTTGGTTTCAGGGAAGAAATAATAAATGAAAAACCCGCCAGCGCCGCTGAAGAATGCAAAGAAGATGTATGTACCATACTTCATAGACCCTAGCATATCCTTCGTGGTCAGACCAATCACGAAATTGAACATCCAGTTCGTCGACGCCACCAGAGACACACCGCGTGAACGCATACTCGCTGGGAAGATCTCTTGCGCCAGCACCCATGCCACGGGACCCCAGGAGTATGCAAAGTTGACGGCAAACAGCCAGATAAACGCAATCGCAACCCAGCCCTGAGGCACCGCGAGGTGTTCGTTCAGGTTCCATTGGTCTTCGTACACGCCCTCGACACTGGCTACGATGACGTGGCAGATGCACATGCCGATGGCACCGATAATCAAGAACGTTTTGCGGCCGAATTTGTCAAGGAAAAGCACGGCTGGAAGAGTGAAGATGATTTGCAGGATGCCAGTGACGCCCGTGGCTAGCAGGTCGGTTGTTGTGGAGGAGAATCCGAAGCTTTGGAAGATTTGAGGCGCGTAGTATAGCACGGCGTTGATACCGGTGAATTGTTGGAAGACCATCATACCGCAGCCGAGGAATACGCGCTTGAACATGTTCGGCGCGAAGAGCGCTTTCCAGGGTGCGAAGATCCCGCTTTTCCCGATCAGCTCGGCTTCGGTTTCTTCGTCAAACATCACTGCGGCTTTGATCTCCATCAGTTCGGCGTGGAGTAGAGGATCTTGCGGGTCGAGTCGGCGGAGCTTGCTTAGTGATTGGCGAGCCTCGTCTTCACGGTGCTTCAGCATCAGCCAGCGGGGAGAAAAGGGGAAGAAGAACATTCCGAAGAACACTAAAAAGAATCAAGTTAGCTTCGGACATGTATTATCTTGGAAAGATCACTTACAAATCCAGGCAGGAATCAGCTGCAGAGCCAAGGGCACACGCCAGGCAGCGTCGGTCTGGCCGGTACAAGGGTGGCTATGATTCTGCTCATAGTTGTAGCTTCCATTGGGCAGGTAAGGGTTGGCGACGCCTTCGGGAATGCACTTGTTACCGCCCACAAAGGAGAAACCAAAGTCCAACCAGAAGGCAATAGTGGTACCGATGGTGATGGAAAGCTGCTGTAGCGAGACCAGCGATCCACGAAGCTCAGGTGGCGCGATCTCGGCTTGGTAAAGGGGAATGACCATGGAGAACATGCCGATTCCGATACCACCGATGATACGACCGGCAAAGAAGTAGGCTGGTGACTGGGCGCCGGCTTGCAGGCCAGTACCAAGGGTGAAGATCAGTACGGCTACCATCATACTGTACTTGCGCGAGATTCTGTCTGCCAGCCAGCCGTTGAACAAGGCACCAGCCCAGGCACCAAGTTCGAGCGCAGCCACGAGCCAGCCCTGGATAGTCGATCCCATCAGGCCAGGGAACTTGTTTTGGAAGTTCTCCATGACCAAGATAGGAGACATGACTCCTTGATCGTAACCATACATCATGCAACCCAAGGAAGCAAAGACGCAGGTCATGGCTACGTACGGATTCTTGATCATACCAACGATACCGTGTGGCTTGGAGGCATTTTCGCGACCAACCAAGGACTGGCTGTTCTTCGCCTCCTTCGCGCCTGCTAGGATTGCCATTTTTTTCCTATTTCATAGACTGTATAGAGTGTCAAAAAAAAGAGGAGTAAGCGGCAGGGGGAAGGGAGGATAGCGAAGACCCCCTCGAGGGTCTTTATATACAGACGAACCTCTCATACTACCGTCACATCGGCCCTAGGATAGCTCACGGTCAGCCCCAGATTTGGCCGAAAATTCTCCCTCGTTCCTCTCTCCAACTGGGGTACTCCATGGCACAGGATAGGGAGGATACTAGGGTGGCGTTTAGCCCAAGCCAACCCAGTCAGATATGAACGGTCTTGTTCCTTTTCCGGTATCGTCAAGACAGCTGGCGTCATTTCATCCTATGCCCTCTGACCAATGACAAATCTAACTGGTGTTAATGTTTCTGTCATGGTAAATGGCTGGATTGGGTCGATTAGGGACGCGTGTCTATGGAGATAACTAAATTAGGGCTTCTTGCCGGACATCCGTCCAAAGCAGTTAATGCCCAGGCTTTCCCGAGAACATTCTCGGAATGTATTTTATTGGCCAATCTAGTCTGACACAATATAGATGGATCATGTTGGGCGGAGTATTTTGCACGCGATATGCCGACTTCGCAAGATAAAGGCGTGGATTGAGTGGACCGAAGCTCGCGTGGCGAGCGTCCACGTTGCGAGGTTTCATGGCAATCTGTACTATCTATTCGCTATCTATTCGATAGGTGTTGGAATTGCCTGTTTGTTCGCGACCATTCTTTAGTCAGGGACAGAGAGGCTTGCACTAGGCTGCTGTCACGGGTGTTTATCGGACATATGCTGGGCGGATTTTCGCGTCAACCAACAACAACAGGTGAAATCATTGGTCTGATTTTTAATATGTTTTGCATGAAGATGACCAAGGAAATCAACCAGACGGGACGGGCGTAGGGGTTCATACAACTGTAACCTGTCTCATCTAGTTACCGATCGTGGTGGATGAGCGAGAAATGACCGTCTCTTAACACTGATTAATAATCGCAATGTTCGAAATCAACTGAAGGAAGATCAAAAGTCAATCGGCTATGTTATCAGATCTAGATCTTGGCGAGGCTTGACGAGGCTTGACGAAGCTTGTGAACAGCCACCCGTGTAAAGTGAAGTCTGTTCGGGTAAGGATTTTCCAAATTTTCACACAAACGTTTCGTCGGCGTAATTGTATTTACGAGGCTCAGAATTCCAGCGATAAACAGGGGTCTGCTGCACGTGGCGTTATTCTAAGCCTTTTTGGTAGCTCGGTCAAACACCCCTCTTTACATATATTTCACGTTGTAATTTTACATTCTTATTATAGATTATTACTATTCATATTAAATTTATTCAAATGTATATTTATTCAGCTATCAAAGCTGTATTTTATACATGCTTTTGTAAGAGATATTTCTACTTATTAATTGTTTTCTAGAATATGCACGTGATGGAAAACCAGCCCGGTACCGGCTTTGTACTGGAACAACCCTAACAACTAAGGCCAAAAAGGCTAACGTTAATCGCTCAATGGCGATTAAACTCCACACCCCCGCTCTATATAGTAGAATGTCTTAGATATTTCTCCTTGTCTAGTGTAAATACATTGATATGAATATTCACCTAGAGTTTCATTCAGTAGATAACAGTATATTCATATTGTGCCATATTCTCACAATCACATTATGATGTTGAGATACTAGGAATCTTACTTTCCAGCTATGCTCTGGATTAATCAATGTGCAAGATAACACATCTATCATTGACGAAGTAGCGTCGTGGGAATAGTCTTCAACTTCAAAGGGTAGAGTCGATTTTCATTATGCAGTGCGCCGTGCAGCGTTTGTATAACTGGGACAATTTTTATACAAGACACAATATTATATAGGCTTTACGAAAATATTTTATAAGACGATTTATTAGAGTAATTATTTTATATAATAAATAATAGGCTTTATTATATAAAATATTATATACCGGTCCGCCTCATGTAAATTAACCCTACTATATAAACGCTACGCACCGGCCAGTCTCATAATGTATAAATCCACTTGCTCTATAATTGGCCCTGCCGTATAAAGTTGACGCTGCGTGGCGCCATATCTCATATAAGTTGACCTTACTATATTAATTGGCTTTAATATATAAAAATTGATACTGCCTTGTAAATATTGACCTGGCACCTCTTTTCTCGTTCCAGGGCATCAATTACATTAGATAAATAGCCCCCTTCGGAGATTCAGTAATGGAACATGCTTCGCTTCTTTCAATATATCCATTCCTACATTGGAGAGGCTTCAAGTTTCGGAGTTTCCCAATTAGGCAGTTGCTGACAGAGGACTTGCAACTCGCAAATCCTCAGACATCAACGCCAGGACTCATGGACGCCTGCCTGAGGCTCCCTAACTGCTTCCTGGCCTGCTCCCTAATGGAAAAGAGTGCCTTATGACGTGTTTTAATATTACGCAGAATTCTGCCATATAAAATACTATATAATAATTTTAGTATGTGGTAATATTAAGATTCGCTGTGTCACTATGTAAGAATGTAAAATAGCCCTTAGGACCTAAATAGTCCGCCGTATGTTTGTAATTTAATGACAAAAAGGACTACATAATATATATACAAAGTACGGGGTACTAACGGATGTCTTAACGCCAGACCAAAAAAGGTTCATTCAGCATGTTTCTAGAATTCGTAGGAAGTCGTAGCCCTTATTCTAGTTAACAAATCCTAACCAACATGTAAATTCGCAAAATCCGAATTAGTAAATGGTCCCATACGTGCGTAGTTGACACCTCCCGAATTTGGCATAATGCGCCATACAATTTGATCGAACGATGTCGGTGTGACTCGTCGCTGTCTCTTCGGATTTTTCGTATCCTATTTCCGGAACTCACTCTGGTTCTGAGCTCGAAATGTATCTGGAAGGTTGTCAGCGGGTTGCAGGTGCCTAGACTACATATGCACTGATCCGCAGAGCCAACTGGCCAGAATTTACCCCATTAACTGCACTAGCCTATCATCCCCCTGTAATGTGGTCAGGCATTGCTGGATAAGACATGTCTGACACAAATAAGTAACTTTTTTATATTAAAATCAATGCAGGTGCTAGCTACCGCGTTATCCCCGTTGATTATCTCCGGACAACAAAACTGAAGTTGTAATGTTGCTCTTTGAACGGTTGGTAAATAAATTCAAATCAATTATCTCGGTGCCTTTCAAAAATTCTAACCTGGTCTTTGGTTACCGGCTCTATCTCTAACGCTTGAAATAGTTCAAGTCGTTCTGCCGTCCAATCTTCTGAAAAAACAAAAAACATCCTTTTCTTCATTTCTTGCTGCCGTGACAAGCTTGTTTTGAATTCCGCAAAATGGCCACCCCTACCATTCAGCCTCAAATGAACGAGTCCGCGGAAGAGCAGGATCGTACGTATGCCCGTGATAAAGAAGTGCTTTCATTGAATGAACCCACCGGCCCGGATGAAAACAAATACCCCAGTGCATTGAATCTGACAATCATTGTCGTCGCTTGTTTCCTGGCTATCTTCCTGACTGCACTCGATCAAACCATTGTCTCTACCGCCATCCCTCGCATTACAGATCAGTTTGGCAGTGTGAATGATGTCGGATGGTATGGAAGCGCTTACTTTATGACCAGCACAGCCCTACAGCCTGCTTACGGTCGTGTCTATAAGGTTTTGGATGTGGGTATTTCAGGGGCATGATCATCATGGGTAGATAATTGACCGTTTGTCTTGACTGGACTAGGTGAAATGGTCGTTCTTGGCTGCCATATTTGTTTTCGAACTTGGCTCCTTGCTTTGCGCCGTGGCTCCTAACAGCTCTACCTTCGTTGCTGGTCGAGCAGTCGCAGGAACCGGTGTCGGCGGCATCTTCTCGGGTACCTTGGTTGTTCTTTCGTTGACAGGCATGTCACCATAATCCTATCACTAGCCCACGGAGAACAAAGATGTATGATGAGGCTGATTTCACGATAGTACCTCTGCAGCGACGACCTACCATTTTCGGTCTCTTTGGCCTGGTCTGGGGTTTAGCGTCTGTGGTAGGTCCTTTGCTTGGCGGCGCATTTACGGATAAAGTGACTTGGAGATGGTGCTTTTATATCAAGTAAGTGTAGAACATGCCCTCTAGAGTGAATAGAGCAATGAATAGATGCTTATTGACAGTCTCCCGGTTGGCGCCGTCTCTGTCGCTTTGATTATTGGCATCCTTCATCTCCCGAAAGGTCCTGCTCCAAAGAAAAGCATTCCACAGAAGATTGGCGACTTGGATCTGTTTGGCGCTGTTCTGCTTCTTCCCGCAATAGTCTGTCTGCTGCTTGCGTTGCAATGGGGTGGAAGCCAGTATGCGTGGAACAATTCCAAAGTTATTGGTCTTCTGATCGGGTTCGGGTTGATCACAATCACCTTCGTCGTGTTCCAGATCTGGCAGGGTGAAAAGGCAACTCTCCCACCAAGGATCATGAAGATGCGCACTTGCATCTCCCTTTCTTGTTTCTCTCTGGGATTTGGCGGTGGATACTACCTCGTCGTCTACTATTTACCCATCTACTTTCAAAGCGTCAAGAGCACCTCTGCCGTCCAATCAGGAATTGATCTTCTCCCTCTCCTGATAGCCCAATCTGTGGGTTCGGTTGCCCTGGGGTTCATTGTCAGTGCGGTTGGGTATTATACGCCGTTCCTTATTGGCAGCACAGCTATATTCTCCGTCGGTGCAGGTCTGATAACAATGTTCGCAACTAATACCCCTACCGGAAAATGGATTGGATACCAGATTGTCGCTGGTCTCGGGGTGGGCGCCGGATTCCAGATTCCCATGACCGCAATGCAGACGGCACTCTCCCAAGAGGATATCCCCATTGGCTCCGCATTAGTCATTTTCTTCCAGGCCTTGGGAGGTGCCCTTTTCATCTCCGTTGGCCAAGCTGTTTTCCAAAACCAGATATCAAACTACATTTTACAACATGCTCCTGGTATTGAGCCAGCCTATATTTTTCCGTGCTGGTGCAACCGGGCTTCAGTCTGCCCTTGAAGCAATTGGTAGGAGCAGTGATCTACCCGTTATCGTCGACGCTTATATGAATGGACTGACGGCAATTTTCAGAGTAGTCTTGGGTCTAGTCCTTTTTGCTTTCGTCTCGGCCTTGCCTCTAGAGTGGAGAAGTGTTAAACAGGTGCCAAGATAGATTATTACTTTTAATATTAATTTTTATTCTAAATATTACCTAGATAGTTTCATAGCGATATTTTCATGTACAGTAGTAATAATCAGAGTCTCAGGGCGAAGTCTCAATACCTTAACCAGCTGGCCAGGTCAGCCTCGTGGCTCGGGACAAGGCTGAAGGATGGTCAATGGCAAATAACCAGAACGACGCTTCTGACTAAAGTGACAAATCCCAAGTAAATTTGCTCCACTGAAGGTTGCTGAATACATCCGAATTATGCACGAATTAATTTGGCCCTTCAGTTTGGTACGGGTTATCGCACGCCTTGCAGTGCCTGTTTCCATCGTCCTGAGGGCTACCACATTTCTAAGCGATAAGATGTAATTAGAAAGTACAGTGGTTTATCCATCAACGCACCTCCTCCCCTTTTGATTCCATTCTCTGAATATTGTTTTGATGGCGCAGAAGGCGAGTGCATGCAGATGTCGATCTTCTAGGCTGCAGACCTTCGGAGCTCGATATTACGTGCTTATGCTGCATTTGCCAGTGCAACTTGCCTACAACAGAGGTTGGTGCTTTCAAGCTTTAGCAACTGGGTAGGAATTTGGTCCCTTCGAAGCTGTCAATGTAACATCTGTTCCTGGGTCGAGAGACGCACTTTGTTAAAAGGCAAAATATAGGTACTTAAATTTAAGTGGCTCTGATTCTGTGAACGCATCAAAATTTCTAGTTTCATATCAGTTATGCCAAGACCATGTTACAGTTACATTGAGGCTTTTTAGTCTTATCAATATGTATTATCTAAGTACACAAGTTATGGATAAATAGGATATAATTATATGTTATATAAAAATAATTCTATATAAAAATATAAGTAATTTACTGACTTTAAGTAGCGATTTGTATAGCTTCAATTAGTCATAGTGTGGCTGAGTGTTTGGATTACCTGTGTGTGCGGATTACCCGTGGAATACGTTACCCATTGGTTAATCTACCCATTGATTTGGCCTTTGAATAGATGTCAAAGTGTATCGGCTATCTTCGGTAGTTACATGTAAGTATTATTTCACGTATAAATTATCACATCAAAGCTTGCTGCCGCAAGGAGCGGCCTTCGGAATTCCCCACTTCGAAATATCTTCATTAGTCCAGCCATCGATTGCCAGCTCCGCGAGAACACGACCGAAAGCAGGCGCAAACTTGAAAGCGTGGGCAGCACCCAAGCCAACAATGATGTCGGGATAGTTTTCTAACGGGCTGATGATGAAGTGTCGATTAGGCGTGATTGTATATTGACAAGTTACCGTGCGAAGCGGTTGACGGTCATTGTCAGGGATGAAACCCTTCATAAAAGATGTCAGTTGCTCAAGCAGTTGTGGCGAGTGCACGAATGTTCGTTGCTCTGGTGTCATAATATTGTTGGAATAATCCCGGCCAGCCTTGATGGTCGGCTCGCCGTAACACGGAAATCCGTAGAAACACTCGGCGCCTTGCCAGATCCACACAGGGAAACGGTCGGTGTTAAAAGCAGCCGCATCGGTGGGCTTATAGTATGTCACCTGCTCCTGCATCACGGACACTGGAATGTGCACAGAAAGGGGAGCAAGAAGTTTGTTAATCCAGGCATCAGTTGCAAGGATCACCTTGGCCGCTTGGAATTGTCCCTTTGACGTGTCGATCAAGACACCGCCCGAGGCCTGAGGCGTGACACGATCCACTGAAGTCTGATCCTTTAGAATTGCCCCGTGGGCACACGCCAGAGATTGCAGAGTGCTGACTGTCTTAGCAGCATGAGCGATACCGGAATCAGCCGTGAAGACTGTCGACACGCTATTAGGAATATTGAACTGAGGCCACCTCCTCTTCACCTCCAGGGCATCAAGGAGTTCGTACGGAATGTTTTGAGCATCCAGGCTTCTCGTAAAGTCGCTGGCTAGTGTCTGTGATTCTGAGGTGAAGAAGACAACGCCGCCGGTAGTCGTTAACATTTTATAACCGGAAATTTTCTCAAGCTCGGCCCAGTCCTTGTATGCTGATTTGGCTAGTGCTACATATTCGGGTGCAAAATTCGAGGTGCGGACGATGCGAGAAGTATCATGGGAAGCTCCGCGTACATGGCCTAGTTCGAATTGCTCGAATGCAATCACTTTGGCACCCTTTCGGGCAGCGTAGTACGCCGCTCCGCTTCCAAGGACACCCAGTCCCACAACTGCGACATCAAACTGCTGTTCCATCTTTCGTTTGCTTTCCCATAAGATTTTGCGATGAATGTGCAATTCTATCATGAATTGACCTCAACTTTATGGGACATACAATCCCCTCTTCGACCACGGACTCCATGGGTATCGGCCCGTCCACGTGACTGGGGACATACTCTTCTATCTGATCTGACATGAATAATAATAAAAAATCATCAGCTACGAATGAAAGCCCAATCGAAGTGGGCTTGGGGCTTAGCCTGGTACCCTTCCCCGCCGCCCCCGGCATAGATACGCTCGCCCGCCATTGATACGATCAGCTGATCGGTGATTTCTCCGCTGCTTACTCCCCCGATCAAGTGATCGGCCATCGACCGTTTGGCCGTGGATACTATCTTACATACTTCGAAAATAGTAGACGTAACGCAACTGCTTTACAGTAGCTGCTAACATATACGATAAGATAGGGCTAGAGCGTTTGGTCGTGTATAGCTATTCCTCTTGGTTAAGAGCCAAATAATGAATATTCTCTTCTACCAGCTCGCTAATTGGCAACAGAAACAGCTCTCTGTATAGAAATTAACAGTTTCCAATCAAGAAAATTGATTGGATTAAGATAAAATGACAAATCTCTGGATTTGGATCTCTAGTTGACTGTCAACGTGCCAGTCTTGGAAATCAAATATTCTTCGATAGCAACATCTTTCCCCGCCTCCTTTCCATAACCGGACTCCTTGATTCCGCCAAACGGTGACTCGGCTGCCGATGAATTACCTGGAGAAGTGTTATTGTGAGAAATGGAGTTCTTGGAACTGGGAGGAACCGAACCTACCTGTATTCATGCCAATCATACCTGCCTGGAGATTTTCGAGAAGTCTCCAAGTCCGATCAACATTCTTGGTGAAGAAGTAGGAAGCCAAGCCCATAGATGTATCATTCGCCATTTTTACCGCCTGCTCTTCTGTCTTAAACTTGTACAGACCTAGAAGAGGTCCAAATGTCTCCTCCCTAGTCGATAGCATCTCCGAAGTCATGTCGGAAATAATGGTTGGCTCGAAGAAATACCCAGTCAAGTTTGGGGGCCTTTTTCCACCACACAGAATCTTGCCTCCACGAAGAACGGCGTCTGCGACGTGACGCTCTAACTTTTCAACACCCCGACTAGTTGTGAGAGGACCCATTGTAGTGGAGGGGTCGGATCCGTGACCAACACGAATGTTCTGCTGAGTCGCCTCACGCACCATCTCTGCAAATTTGTCGTAGACTCCGCTCTGTACATAGACGTGGTTGGCGTGAGTGCATGCCTGCCCTGCAGTCCGCCACTTAAGTATCATCAGCGCCGCAACCGCTTCCTTGAGGTCGGCGTCATCGAAGACAATAAATGGACAGTTGCCGCCTAGTTCCATGGTAACTTTCTTCAGTCCTTCACTGCAGTGCTTTGCAATAATACTTCCCACTCTACTGCTCCCAGTGAACGTAACCTTTCGAACGGAAGGGTGCTTACAAAGCCTCTCACTAACTGAGGGCGTATTGCTGTTATCGGTGGAGATGACATTCAAAACTCCCTTCGGAAACCCGGCTCGCAGAGCAAGGTCAGCCAAGGCAAGAATGCTCAGTGGAGCTTCTGGAGAAGGCTTAACGATCATGGAGCACCCTGCAGCGAGAGCCGCGGTGACTTTGCGAATAGTCATAGCAACGGGGAAGTTCCACGGAACTAGAGAAACACATACGCCAATAGGCTGTTTAATGACAAAGGTACGCCGGTCAGAGATTGAGGGTTGGCCAATTGAGCCCCGAATCCTTTCGGCTTCGCCTGCAAACCACCAGGCAAAGCCAAGTGCATAGTTGACCTCACCAATCGCCTCCGTCAAGGGTTTTCCGGTCTCCAAGGACGTAATTTTTGCAATATCCTCGCGGGCCTCGGTGATTAGTTGGTGCCACTTGAGCAACATGTGAGCTCGCTCACGAGGATTCACCTTTCGGTAGTCTTCAAAGGCTCTCTCAGAAGACGCAACATATTGGTCCACATCAGTGACATCGTTCGTGGGACAGCACGCAAAGATCTGGTTCGATCCCGGATCTATCACTCACCATATTCAGTTAGTTCAATGAGGTGGTTTCTATTTTGCTACTTACCCTCAATGCCGAAGCTCCTGCCTGCTTGGGCCTGCACCCATTCACCATTTAACAAGGAGGCTTCGTGGAGCAGAGACGGATCGATCAGCTAATGAACAGTCAATACATTTTACCCAAACACTATTGTGTTCTGAACCACTCACCTTCATATTTTCGTTCTTTAGGACGATGATATTTCGGTAAATTGACGTCAGCAACGTAGTAATGGTAGAGCAGTGGGTGCTAAATTGTACACTTGATCCAGATTCCTTTCCAAAGCGACTGGACTCTAAAGATTTCTTAAATACTCAAATCATCCTCCAAGCCTGGCAAGGCACTCTGTATCCATGTTACGACTCGGTCACGCGCCACATCAGCTTTGTTAGTTTGAATTTGGCTCTCTCAACAAATGCGGTCTATGTCGTGCGTCCATAATTAGGTCAGTGATTGATCACGTCAACCCGCGAACTATACAGTTATACTCCACACTTCTTTCATGATCGCCGTAAGCGTTTGCTTACCTCACACTACAAGGTCTCCTATTGGAATCTGTTATTTCATTCGAGTCGTCCGCGTGGTGATTTGCAAGTGTCAGGTGAGCGGATTTCTTCACTCGTTCTCCGCAGAGAATAAGCTTCCTCCGCTCATATTTTAAACAAAAGGTTGATCACTGCCTCTCAGATATCGTAGCACCCTCCAAAATCAACTTCTACTGGTGAATCAAGGCTATTCCCAAACGAAAAACTGTCCTAATGGATCCTCCAAAACGAGTCAACATTGCTGTCATTGGTGAGCGCAGTCTGAATATTATCTTGAGCCATAGATATTCTGAAAGCTAACATGACCGCACTCGCAACAGGTACTGGGGGAGTAGGATCTTGTTTTATTTCTCAACTGACTTGGCTATCCAAGAACTTGCCCTCTACTCGACTGAGCCTTTGCTATATTTCCATGATCGACAAAGCCCTCTACCGCCCCGATTACGCGGAAATCGACTTTGATACAGCTCTATTCACGTTGGAAGCAACAGGGGTCGAACCTCCGCCGATTTCCACGATTGTCGAATATCTAGCGGCAGCCCCTCACAATGTCATTCTCGTTGACAATACTAGCGCCATAAGTCTAGCGGAAGCGTACCCGGCATTCTTGCGTCGAGGAATCAGCATCATAACCCCAAACAAGAAAGCGTTCTCGGGAAGCTACCAGCTCTGGCAAGAAATATTTAGCTCCGCCACATCAGGAGGCTCGTATTTTTACCATGAATCTTCCGTTGGAGCTGGTTTGCCCATAATCTCGACCCTGAAAGACCTCGTCCAGACCGGAGACGAGATTACGCGTATCGAGGGAGTATTCAGTGGCACCATGTCTCATCTCTTTAACAAATTTGCTCCGACGTCGGGTTCAGGAGGCAAATGGTCCAACATTGTCAGAGAGGCAAAAGAGCTTGGCTTTACCGAGCCAGATCCACGCGATGATCTTAACGGTCTGGATGTTGCGAGAAAATTGACGATCTTGGGACGTTTGGCTGGGCTTCCCATCGAGTCCCCGGCTTCCTTCCCCGTGGAATCCTTGATTCCTGCGGCCCTTGAAAACGTAGCAAATGCCGATGAATTTCTCCGCAGCCTGTCTAAGTACGATAATGAAATGGAGGAGAAAAAGCTAGCCGCGGAAAGATCTGGGAAGGTTGTTCGGTTTGTCGGCAGTGTTGATATGCTCGGCAAGAAAGCTAAGGTGGGATTGGAGTGGGTTGACCAGACAAATCCCATTGCAAACCTCAAAGGAAGTGACAATATTATCAGCTTCTACACGAAGCGATATGGGGATATGCCTCTCTCCATTCGAGGAGCCGGTGCCGGTGGCCCCGTTACAGCTATGGGGGTGACCGGGGACCTGCTCAAGGTTCTCTGTCAATTGAGATAATTCTTGGGTTGTCAATTATACACATTTTCGGGACGAACCTTCAAACTACTTATTACATTATGATGTACAAACCCAATCGTCTTAGGTTGCCTACAACCGCAATTATATTCAAAGAGTTCCGAATTTAAAGTAATAATTGATAGTTCTCTCTCCGCTGTCAAAAGAGGTTTGAAAGGGTATCCTACTATCCCAAAGCCGCAACTGAGGTTCTATTTTCTTTAGTCTTTTTGTACCATTGGATTTTCACGCTAAACGATGAATCCTAAATTTAGTAAAAGACAGTAAGTAGATTGATTCAAATCCATGAATGTATGCACTTTATCTTAGGGAAAGTCCCGCAACAGCGATTCCAATCCCTGTTGAATATCTGCCTTCAAATCATCAAACTCTTCGATACCACAACTGATGCGCAGCAACCTCTTGTCGCAGTTCGCATCACTCATCACCCGCCATTCCATCAAACTTTCCACTCCTCCCAGACTGGTCGCATGCTGAAACACAAACATTCTGCTGGGCAGTCGTTGCGCATGCTCCTTGTTCTTGGCCCACACAGAGAAAACGGGCCCAAAGCCTCCGGGCATCTGCTTCTGGAGCCAGCCGTCTTGTAAATCAGCCTCCTGAATGGAGGCATGTTGGACGTGGCTCAGAACATTTCCAACGGCGGACTTTGGGTCTTTCAGCTGCTCACATAGCCAGGCAATGAGCCTCGCCGCCGTTTGAGCCTGTCTCGTCACGCGGAGTTGCATAGTGCGGGCGGACCGGATACCCAGCCAGCCCTCAAAACTGCCCATGACACTACCGATGTATTGACGATCCCTATGCAGCATTTTCATCCATCCCTCCTCGACTCGGTCGGCATGGAGGACCAAGATACCGCAAAGCATATCGGAATGACCGCCGACGTACTTCGTTCCACTGTGCATCACGATATCCGCTCCAAAGTCCAGGGGGTTCTGCAGCGGGGGTGGAGCAAAGGTGGAGTCCACGGTCAAGTAGGCCCCCTTCTCGTTCGCTTTGGTACGATAGAACGCAAGATTGCGAGCCTCGCCAGTAGGGTTGAGAGGCGTTTCAACGTGGATGATATCCCCCGGGCCGGCTTGGTCGACCTCCGTCAGATCGAGTTTTTCAATGCCAGTTAATCTTTTGATGATGTCTAGAACACCATGACACCCATGGTATCCGTCTTCAATGAAGATCTTCTTAGGGTTCAGGAGAATGAGCATCGCATGAAAGGCGGAAAGCCCAGTCGAATAAGTAATCACTTCGCCGCCCATGAGATTGCGCAGGAGAACTTCCAGGCGATTGGAATTGGGTGCTGTATAGCGGGAATATACATGGGAATCATCAGGGGCATTGTGCTGCCGCGTCTCATTAGTTAAGATTTTGTGGGATAAATAAAGCTCAAGTTCGTACGTCCTTATTCTCCTCTGGCACCAGCTCCTCTGGATCACGAGCGTAGCGGAAATTTACCGCTGTGTGCATACCAGGGGCAATGGCACGGTGAGGGCTGACGAAATCATCGGCGTGGATGGCTCTGGTGGCCGGGTGCATACCAGGCAGAGACTTGTTCAGGGCCTCTGCCGTCAAAACGAATTTTGATGAGTTATAGGTGGTGTTAATCAATCCCATGGTAGTGTAGGTTAAGATCGATGATAGGAAGTTTTCAAATAGAAATCGGCCAGTCAAGTTTCGAAGTGAACGACAACGCCTTATAATGGAGTGAGCAGAGAGTATCGGTATAGTTCCGCTTCCCAATCGAGACGGCCCGGGAATCACGTAAGGTAGATTCATTTCTTGTCAAGAGCACATGATCGGAGCACCCCGTGTTCCCGCGGTCATTGGCGAATCCTTTATTCCAGGCGAGAGTTGTGCGTAAATAGAATGGTTCTACCGTGCTCGGCTCTATCACTCTCCACCGCCCCCTGTATAGTTGGCAGCTGTGGCACATGGATCATCTGCGAATTTAAAGGTCGATGATGCAGTTCACTTTGGTCACACAAAGGAGATTATAATTATGCTTATCATAAAGCGGGTAGGTTGTACAGAATGCATTAAGTCAGAATACAGACTACAGATTCGCTCAGTTCCTAGAGCGGGTAAACCCAAAGCGCCAAATCAATCAGAAAACAAATTCGCGCCGATGGATGAATCGTAGGAAAAGTCAAGAAAGTTACGGTACGTTTGAAATATCTGAGGTGTAAGAGGCTTCGGGCACGAGAGTCGATGTTGTACATCTGGTCGTAATGGAATGCCGTTGGCCACGATGTCAAACCGAGGGTCATACAGCTCTGGAAATTTGTAAAAGAACGCGGGGTCGACCTTGTAGTTGGAGACACCGCGATCCACGTTGAGTAGATTGAATATGGCTTTAGAGCAGGCCGGCGATGAAAACAGAGTCGCTACATCGGGAACCGGGAGGGAAGCAGCATTTCCACCAACGCCACTCGGCGACGCCCCTTCGTCGATATTCGTAATTAAATCCGTAACCCTAATATACACCTTTGTAGCAGGGGCGCCCACGATTAGATCCGCCATGCACGTCTCAACAACATAGCTGCTGACGGCATCGCAGATTATCTGATCGATCAGGGGATTGGCGGCATGGAGTCGAATGAGTCGGTCGCGAATAGATTGGAATGGGATCCAATCTATGGTCCTCGGATAATCGCTTTGAATTTGTAAAGCTGTTGGTCGATATTGGGGGTGGATTGCGTTGAACGTCCTTGTGCAGGGATATATTTGCCAAGCAGTCAGATGGACAATGTGGTAGAACCGAGTTTTGGCATACCATCTCATGACATCGGGTCGATTCATACTATTAAACAATGATAGCATGACAAGGACTTCTTTGTAGAAGCTAGAAAATTATTAGCAACATTTACGTTGATCGGAGTCAGTCACCGACGCACAGGTTCATGGTTGGACCTTCGGGAGGCATTCTATGTGTTATTTTGCTTTTTAATAGACTTTGCAAAACTTGAATGTGGTCGGAGAATGGAGAGTTTGTTTCTATCCAGCTCCGACCGCGCATTGTGCCGGAATCTTCACGTCTAGCCAGAGCATCCGCATACGGCTCAATGCCCATCCCGTATTCAAAGCTCCAGATGCTGGGTATTTGCCGAGCCGGGCTGTTGAAGTCTACAGCATCTTTTGCAAGATTGGAGTTCACGGCAGTTTTCTTTGGGAGGAGAAGGGCGCCAGTTGTACGGTCATCAGTCTGTGTATAGTCAAATATAGCCATTATTTGCGCCTCATTGATACTTGTGTCCTGAATGTCGGCAAGTTCATAGTCTTTCAAGCCCAAGTCAAACCCCTCACACGAGCTGCTAGGTGTGTCAGGCTTCGCGGATACTTGGTAACTGGTATGCCTTTCCGATGACTCTTTTTGAGAAGATTCGCCGAGAGCATCTGATATTGTTCTGGACATCTTTTGCATTGTGGCAATCAGTCGCGCCAGATTAGACTGGACTTGAATGAGATTCTTCCGGAGGCAACTGTTCTCCTCCTGCAAATTTTTAATTGTTTCATCGTAAGGCTTGTCCCCTAAGTTAACCTGGTCTCGTAGTTCTCTCAAACGGTTTGCTTGCCTGCGACGGAATGCTCGCTGGGCTAGTCGGTTTCGGAGTCTTCTATCCAATATAACTTAGTATAACACGGCAGGATGTGATGACGGCCGTACTTCTTCTCAAGATCCTTATTCTCTGATGCATGTCCACTAGCATCCATTTGTAAGCAACTTTTGAGTGTCACTGGTGATCACAGAGGGGCCCTCGTTGCACTCCTGTTACTATCTCATAGCTTTTACTATCTCATACGGATTCATTTCAACGATACACGGTTAATACCAAGTGGACCTTCCTGGCCGCTCAGGTGATCGGGCATTAACGGGGACGGACCGGGTGAACTTTAGCTTGGTGAAACTCCTTATCTGCATTGATCAACTAGCGGAGAGTTCCACGATTGTAACACGGTGGGCTCGCCGCCGGCCTCATGCCGAGCGAACAATACTACACGGAGTGTCAGGTCTCCGTTATAGGGTTTCCCTACAGAGGGGAGCGTGACCTCAGACTTTAACAGATTTAGTCGCATATTGAACGAGAAGAGGGCACGACCGGCGGATGGTGTATATATTGTGTCCCGACTTTGGACGAGCAAACGCTAGTTCTTCACCATTGAATTGCTTGCACTCTCCAACTATCACCATGGCTACCGCAGTTGCATCTTTGTTTGGATACAAATCTTTCATCGCAGCAGAAACAAAGCTTTCGATTGAGCCCCGAAAAGCCCTCCCAGCTTCTTGGTATCGCTCTCCGGAGCTGTATGAGTTAGAACGAAGAGCCATCTTTTCAAAAAAATGGTTATTAATCACACACAAGTTGCGCTTCATCAAACCCGGCGACTTCCTTCGGTTTGAGGAAGCTGGCTTCGCGTTTGTGTTGTGCCTCGATCGACAGGGAAGCTTGAACGGTTTCCACAATATTTGCCGTCATCGTGCCTTCCCCCTCATCAACGAGGACGAGGGTAATGCTAAGATTTTTTCTTGCAAGTACCATGGGTGGTCGTACGGCCTGAACGGAAAACTTGCCAAAGCGCCGAAGTTTGACGATGTCCCGGGGTTCCAGAAAGAGAACCAGAGACTGTTCCCTGTCCACGTGCATATTGATGAATTGGGCTTCATCTGGGTCAACCTCGATTCTTCTCTGAATCCAGTTCCCTGGGAAGAGGATTTCAAAGGTGTCGACACACAAGAGCGATTCCAGAAATTCGATTTTAGCCAGTACGTATTTGACCATACATGGCATATGAATGGCGAATATAACTGGAAAACGCTGGCGGACAACTACAATGAATGCTACCATTGCACTGTTGCACATCCCGATGTGGCGAATCTGGCCGATTTGACTTATTACTATACCGTTTCTACACCTGGCCACATTCAACACTTTTCCCGACCGAAGCAGGACAAGGTGGATGAGGATATCCAGAACGCCAGCACCTATTACTTTCCCAATGCTTGCATGACAGTCTCGTGAGTCTCTAGCTTTGGATCCAAAACTTAATAACCTTCATTTATTAACATTAATTCACCCAGGCCTCATTTCTTCTACATGATGCGATGCGTCCCAACATCTGCAGGAACATCCTCCATGGAATACGAGGTCTACCGACACAAAGAGGCCTCAGATGAGGACTTTGAACACATTGACTCCTTTTTCAAGAGAGTCCTGGACGAGGACAAGCACCTCTGTAATGCTGCCCAGAAGAACTTGAACGCTGGGGTGTTTGTCAATGGCCAACTCCACCCTAACCTGGAGAGTGCGCCGCTGTTTTTCCAAAGTACTGTCAGATCCCTACTCACAAGGCATCGAGACGAGGAGCGAAAGCAGGAAAGGGAGATTTGGCCAGCGCGGCAGCATTCAGCAGGCCAGGCTACTGCAGAGGACATTGATTTTTGTTCAGGGCTAGCATGCTCACCGGATGGGTCTGGTGAACTGGACTGGTAGCTTCATTTTTGTTTAATATAACTTAATTTATGAGCCATACATGGCATTATCTCTAGATGGAACATTGTCAATCTCCTAGCACATACTTTCAAAATGGAATGATTATACGCTGTAGGATCGTAGGCCACACCTCGTGTCGATACTGCCCTGTACGGCCAGGCCGTTGTTCATCTACTGTTTTTATGCCAAAAAAACCCAAGTTCGTTTAATTCGTTAGTTAAGAAGCCACGACAACATGTTCCGTTTATGGGCATTATTTCCCTGCGTGGCGGCCCCGCGTCTTACGGTATTGTATGTACGTGCGGAGCAGACGGCCCATAGATGGGAGATAGCTGACAACCCCGCTCCGTGACCAATAAAAGGCACGTTGCTGTAGCATATCAGCAGATAGATTCTTTTCCTCAGCATCTCTCTATTCTGCCGCAGATGTCTCTAATGAATAATCGTGTCAGTAAGAGATCACATCAAGCGTGTGAAAACTGCAGGTGAGTCTGCGCCGTAAGACCCTATAATATGCAAGAGCTAACTATTTGCTGCCTATCTATAGGCGGAAAAAGACGCGGTGCCCAGGGGAGCGACCAGCGTGCTCAATATGCACGCGCCTCCAACAAACATGCCAGTATAGCAGAAGCTATGACTTATTGGAGAGATCACTTGGCGATCGGGTTTGATAAGGCTGGTCTAAATAAACGAAGAGTGAGCTGACTAATGTTAAAGCAGGAGGACCGATTACAACAGCTTGAAGAAAAAATGGAATTAATGCTGGAAGGGTCAATGTGCGGATGGCTTTTCTTTGTAGATTGGCAACAGGCAAGTCGTGCTGATTGTGGCAGATCCAATCGCCAAATTGAAATACGTAAATCACATTCTCGTGGACCTCCAAGTTGCGACAATGCATCGGAATCAAGCAATATGCAGGCAAAGCCTATGACACAAGGGAGACCGACTGATGAGAAAGCTCTTCAGGCTACAAATGCATTATCTTTCGCAATGCCACCCAAAGACGTTGTTACGGAGGGTATTGCTCTTTATTTTAAATACTGCCACAAGCAACCTCTATGGCTCTTTGACCCAGACGATCTCACTGCCGAAAGCTGTCGCAGCGAGGTGATATTTGGCGTTCTCAGTCTCGCTCTGCGTTACTCCAACAATCCGTTTCTAAAAGGACAGGCAGATCAGATGTGTCAGCAATACGCCAAGGCCGCTCGCAGCTACGCTATGCTGCGAATCACCGATGGGACTGTAAACCTTTCAACCATACAGAGTTTCTGTTTGATCGCATTGGCGGAATACACTGGTGAGGGTTTATTCCCAGCTCACAAATGGCATCGCACTAATAGTTTCTTAGCCAATGATACCCATCTCACTTGGCTACATATTGGCCTTGCTACAAATCTCGCCAAATGTGCCGGCATTGATACTGAGCTCCACGAAGGTGAATTCATACCAGAAGTGGAAGAGCGGCGGAGGGTGTTTTGGAGCATCCATCTTCTTAACCAGCAATACGCTTCACATAACATGCAACTGAATATGCTGCGGGACATTCACAATCCAAAGTACATGGCTGTCAATGTTGACTCTCAACTGGAAATGGGGTTAAAGCCACCTCAGACTCCTCAAGAGAGCGGTGCGTTCACATTAAGAGGAGGCATATGGGCTTATATGGTGCAGCTATCCACTCTTTGGAGCGAAGTGCAGTATTACGTTTCGCATTGCGCTAGCAGAGATCCCACGTCGCCCTGGTTGGTGGACTCTGGCTACTCAATTATCGGAGCCCATCTGATGGACATGGAAACCAAATTTCCCACCTCCCATCGATATGACTCGGTCAGGTTTCAGGACCAATCAAAAGAAGAATTACATCGCAACCGCGAATACTGGAGTCCCTGGCTGTACCTCCAGTTCACCTATCACGCCGTGCACAGCGTCCTCAATCACCCTTTCCTCTACTCGTGGCGGCCGCAACAATCCGCTCAGTTTGCAGTGCCAAACACCTTCTGGAGAACATCATCAGAGTTGGCACTTATCCACACAACATGGACAGTTCACCTCATTGACATGATTGCCGAGAAAGAATATCAACTTTCAGATCCGTTTCTTGCCCATGCAGTGGCGATTGCTGCGACGATCCACATGTATTACTGCCGTGCTACAGATCCAGCCGTGGCAGATTCCGCTCAACGGAAACTCGACACTTGCATGAGATTCTTGGGTGAGTTGGCCACCAAATGGCCAAGGTGCCAGGCAATAGTGAGGCCACATCAAATATGCTATTGCTCAATTCGCTAATGTATTAATTCAGCATCAAAAGATTCAGCGGCTCATCCAGTCCGCATTTGCTGTCAGTCTATATTCTAGTCGGCACCGTTTACCTCGGAGGACGCTATCAATAGAAACGGCATTGATGTGGGACATCCTTTGCCAGAAGTCCACCGAGACTTCATCCGCTCCTCCAGGGGATGGTCTCTTTGACATATCGTTTCTACAGCCTCCTAGTCAGAAACACCCAGATCAAGTGACTGTTGAGACCGAGATATTCCATCATTCTGCGGGGCCGGTAGATACATCCGATGGAGGCCAAGCGCTGCCACCATACTCAAGTACAGTACACGATCGGTCCACTTTTGAGAACCCGGAAAATGAGCCTTGGACTCGGAACAATTCAGCTTCATCTGACAATGTCCCAAGTCAGGCACCTCCACCACGGGATCCATGGATGTGGCCAGGATCTGGATTTCCGGGCGATGTGTCCTTCATGGACCTTACGCATGACCCCTTTTTCCGATTTCAGGATCACGAAAATCCGTATCGGGGACTCTGGAAAATTGGAAATCTATAATGATAAAGTTTTCTACTATCTCTTGGGGTTTTGGTTCATCTATCCATCGCCACAACCATCGACATTGGTAGTCCCTCAAATATACCCATAGAATAGTCATGTATGAATTAAAGCCCTTAAAGCATCTATGAGAATTGAATATGAATGCTCATCAAAATATTTCTCTAGACTCCTCTTCCACGCTAGTAAATATGATTTATTTTCAGAGGAGTGGATTGAGAATTGGTGAAACCGAAAGCACACCATTGTATTCTGTTTTACTAGGCATATTGAGTATGTTAAGTTAATATACGATGACATAAACCACCTTTGCATTACAATAAGTTTGTTTGCATTATTTTCACGAGATATATTTATCGTCGCGACGTGAATGTGAGGGGAATAAATTTTGAGACGGGACCGACAACGCCTTTTTGATAAATGAAATCTCGTCGCGACATACGCGGACGGTTCCCGGCGGGGATGATTGTAATCCTGTGAACAGAATAAGATTGCTGACAAACAGGGACAGCGGGATCCTATATTATTCTAAAAACAACAGGCCGAATGACCCGTCGGCAGAAACTTTATTCTTACTAGATGCCGTCTTTAACAGAGGCAAATTGGGCCTGGCGAATGTATTTTAATCTTAAGAGGAGCCAGTCTCATTTCACTCCTTCTTACATACATTACAGCTTTAAATGATCTGCTATGGCATAGTGACATACACCCACGCCCCATATCTCAATTAGATGCTCTTCCTTCCACGTGATTCAAGAGGGAAGAAAGCTGCAAGGACACCAGCGACCCCCAACAATGCAGCACACACGTAGATAGGAACCGAGCTAGATGTCGAGGTAAAAGCACCAATAAGGGCCGAAACCATGCCCATCAATCGATTAAGGGCGACGGCAATACCATTACCAGTACCACGATGCGCAGAGGGTAGAATCTCGACAGTGTAAGCATATAGAGTCGCATAGTAAATGTTAATCGTAACCGAAACTGCACAGGCAAATCCCAGGTTTTGAGCCCCTGTTTTCACTGTAGTGTATCCAAAAAAGAATGCCACTAGAAGATGTGAGCTCAAGCCGTCTTCAAATCTGGTTCAATATACCACTTACTAGTGACGAGCCCGCCCATTGCCATAGTTCGCTTTCGCCCAAAAATAGGCATTTCACACATGAAACCTGCTAATATGGGACCTGGTATGGCGCATAAATTCGTAATTGCATAATTCCGCCACGTGATGTCTGTGGAATTTGAACTACTAGATGATCCCCGAGATGCCAAATACTCCGGCAGGTAAACGTAATATAAAGCATAGCCCAACCCAATAAGAGCCCAGGAAACCCACACCAGAGATGTCGAGAGAGCCATGGTTGGAGTAGCAAAGAGACCTCGTACATGTACTACTAACTCGGAGAACGAGGCTTTGTTCTTCGCGTGAGCGCTGTGGATTTGACCGTGGGTCTGGAGTTGCTCCAGAGTGAGATTGCATTCTCGATTATGCTTGCGAGCGAGTGCAGTAAGTGTCTTGATAACGGCCTCATCCTGACCTTGACAGAGGAGGAATTTTGGAGTTTCGTGAAACCGGATGACCAGAACTCTGGCAATGCTCAGGATGAAAACAAGGGTTCCACTTGTGTAGAACAGGTATCTCCATCCCATGTTGTTGCCCTCTGTGCACGGGACAGAGCCATCAGTGGGGCAGCTATAGTTTGCTGCTGGTATATTAGCACGAGAAGACATCGTGGGGAGGAGGAAAAGAATAATCACCCATAAAGCCCCATGCTATCAGACCGGCCACAGTCTGACCAACTCCCCACCACCCGGCCAAAAGAGTAAGGAGCCATTGCTTGTTGGAGGGAAGATATTCCAAGAAGATCGTAGTGTCGAGAACTAAGTTGCCGCCCGAGCCAAAAGCCGAAATTGCTACCATCGAAGCCCACGCGGTATAATTTGGAGCAGCGCCAGCCGTGATGGCAAAGATAGCGCTAATGAGCAGTGAAAAATTGAATGCCCACTTTCGGCCAATGATATCTGCTGTGCTGCCCCAGAATAATGCTCCTACTAAAAGTGCAAGGTAAAAGCCTAGTTGTGCGCCTCTCTTGAATTTCGTGGGGTACTGTGCTACTACTTGATCGGCGGAGATGCTCATGAGGAAAAGCAATAGGGAATCGACCCCATAGCTGTTGGTAATTTATCAGTACACTGAGAATTTGATTGATTTTTGGTCACACCCACGTACCCGAATCCATTGAGAAAGAACAACTTTGTATGATAAGTGGTAAACCCAATTGTATCAATTGCCTGCAATGGTAAGAATACCCCTGTTGAAAGGGCCCGTTAAGAGGAAACGTACTTCATTGACAAGATTCATCTTAGCAGTCAAGGCTTGATCAACGTTGCCTAGCGATATAAGGTCACCAGGGGCGGCTATGACAGACCCTGATTCCATTATAGATCTCTCTTGTTCCGCGTCATGGTGTTGCGATTCTTTCACGTCGTTGGATTTAGTGGCCATCGTGGTGAATATTCAGAAATCACAACCAATGTTTTCTGTCTGCTCAATGTAAGAGCAACTGAGAATGATCAATATATGGGAATGAATAGAGCGCAGGAACTATGGTTTTATAAGTTCCTTGATGTTAGTCATGACTAGGCTCCTTCCAATTCCACCACAGTGCGGGTCCCATGTTTTTTCTTATCTTGTATCCTAACTCTATGCACTTCTCTCTTGAGTGAGGCTAGATAACGAGGAGGACATAATTACTCCACATAGCTAGCTCGCGTGGCTTGCTGACCAAACTGGAACGGACACAAGTGAGGATATCAACCATGCGGGCACGAATCAGGTGAGGCCCAAATGTGGAGAAATCGATTGAGTTTAAAGGACTGATACGGTTATTAGTAGTAAAGTGATTACTACCCCTAATTATTAGATGGCATGCCGCTCATGTGACCGGGGGTATAGGCAGGCGCCGACGGTAACTTATCTGATACCTTGCACCATCGACGGAGGATATACCCGTCTCTTTCAGCAGCCCCACTCTTTACAGAGTCGGTCTGCCAAAGTGCAACGCCAAACCAAAGTCCAACACCAAATGTTATAGATTATTAGAAAAACACATACAATTCTCACCAAACTAGATTCTAATTATCTTCAAGCAAGGCTGGAATCGCCAACAAGATCAATAACAAAATAAAATATCAGAATTTTGAGGCTCTATAACCTCAGAAAGAGATATATTATCCCATTCTAATACTAGTTTGCGTTGTATCCCGACAGGTGTACATACAAACCGTATCCGGCGCTAAGCCTAACCAGGGAAGGTGCTGCCAAGATCCATAGGAATGACACCTGTAGGAATGATGGTGAGAAATTTTTAAAACTCAAGATTAATATAGCTGTTTAAAATATTAATAGATTAAGATTAATAACCTTAAATAACCCTAATCTAAATAATTTAAAAATTTTGAGATTAGTATAGTTATCTCAGATATCCTTTATATAATATATTCTATATAACAATTTCCATTTGCGTGCTTATTATGGAATACCGCCTGCTATAACTAACATTCATTGGCTGTGAGTTATCGATTCTTGTGACATTATATTTAGATAGCCCTCACTATAAATGAAGTTACCCTATTGTCTGATGATGGCTTATATAATTAACCAACTCATCTCTCATTAAGCATCCTACCCTCCTCTTTTACAGGACCTTAAAAATTGAACAACAATGCTGAAAAAAGCTGCCCGCTCCCTGCCTTCCATCTAGTTCATTAACTCATTATCTCTCTAGCGCTCTTATAAAGACATGATTATCGCCTCTTTTGAAAAGGTCCGTCTAAATAATATAATAGTTTATAATACTCAAAAGTTTCAGATATTTTTTTTCTGGGTTAACATATTAACCATAATCTTATTATAAATTAATTATCATACTCTAGCAATATTGCTAACATAAATATTAATTCCCTTAATTTTTTTCTTTCAAAAGTGTGAAAAATTTCTCTTGCAATGCCTTCTATTCTATTTTCTGTTTTTCTTCTCACAGCCTTTACTGTTCCAACTGTGTAAGAAGCTGCTCTTTCTATCCTCTCTGCTCTGCCAGCAGTCTCTCTTCTCAATCTCTGGTTTGCTAAAAGCTTCTCTTCCGGTACCTTCTGTTCTGCTTCTCGCTTCTCTTCTCGCTCTCTCTGCTCTGCCAGTAGTTTCTCTTGCGTCTCTAGCTGTTGCTGCATGGTCTGAACCATCATACGTAGCTCTGGCTGTAAGCCTCGACCCTGTGAGGATGTCGTGCGGCGTAACCCGGAACGTTTCTGCGAATCGATCTGTAACACCTGGAACTTCGGTGGAACACCCACGGCAACGGATATTCTTTAAAGCGTTCTCTATTTTTAGCCAATTCTATGAGTGTAGCCCGTTATGCAGAGTCGGCAGTTGTCTAATAAAGAATGATGATGTTAGAATAGATTTGCTGATTCCCAAAGTCTAAGAATAGGTCTGCTTTAAAGCAACTAAACGATATGAAAAGTTTTATGCTTCCGCAAAATATATATAGTCAGCAAGAATTAGGAGAAATATGACTCACTAGTATGAGGCTGCCTCAATTTCTGATTCATCGCTACCCTATCCAAACCGTTCAATTTTTATATTTGCTTTACAGCATATGACGACAACGACGACGACGATTATGATGGGTAATAGCCATTTAATTTGTCAATAAAAAGAAGAATGACATTAAAATGGGAGATGCCTCATCCATGCTGATATGATTCCAATGACACTAGCACCAACGGCAATGATAGCTACATTAACATACTGTCAAGTTTATAGTCTTATTATAATGAACATCTTCTTACTAGCCTAGGATACCAAGATGCATAGACTCAAACCAATACATACTAAGAAAATACCATGATACAGTATAGTGTATGTAGCCCACTCGACATGAACCACGAGTGATAGATTCCTTCAGATTGTCTCCATTATTGGAAGGGGATAGTGGCCGCTCTAATACTATACAGTCAGTATCACTACAGAAACGAATCCATGTGATAGAAGTGGTTACGAGCCTGTTAGCTGCTAGGCAGTGGGGTCCATTTTATAACTTCAAATTGTTTTCTTATTCAGATTCATTTAAAAAAATCCTTATAGAATGGCTATATAACATATATGAACTAATGTAATTAAATATTAGTTGTCACGATATACGCTTGGAAAAGGCTGGGAGTGGTCTTTTTTGTCTGAAGTAGGTTGGAAAAAAAATTTGCCTTTGTGCCTGAGGCATCAATAGTTCAGTACCCCGCATCTCTCGTTATTCTCTTCACCAAGATCAATCACACACTCCTATTTGAAACTCTTCGCATATCGTATTATTATTGTCTTCAAAAGAGGGCAGACCTTTGAGTTTAATAAAAATGCAAAAGAAAATCTCTATCCAATTCAGATCGAGATTATAAATTTCTTCATTAATTCTTACAAATATAAAGAAACACCAAGATGGTTATTTCATCATCAGAACAACTCAGACCTCGGAAAAGGAAGAGAATTATTATCTCTTGTACAGAATGCCATCGGCGCAAGCAAAAAGTAAGGCACCTATAAAAGATCTAATTAATTAACTACTAAATATTCAATAGTGCGACCGCCAGTATCCATGCTGTAACTGTATTAAGCGAGAAAAGCAGGTATTGACTCCTCTAGACATTATATTGCATTTGATCTGAGTGAGAACTCTAGGATATTTGCTATTATGATGTTGACCCAAAGGGTTGCCAATCCATGCCAAGCAATTGTAATGAGAGCGGTTCCTCGGAAAGCAGCAATAGCATCAACACGGTGCATCTGCCTCCACCTACTAGCCTGGACTCTGAGTGGGTTAGCGGATTTCAGGACGAAATCCGAGATTTTGGCTATTCCAGCCAAGGCAACCACCACTCCATGAGTTTATTACGAACCACAGAGCTATATGGAGCCCAGAGCGCTTTTTTAGTTAGTCCGTCTATCACAAACCAGCCCCCTTTCCAAAGTGATACAAATTTTAAGTACAAGGAACTGGTCCGCCAGCTACCTTCGAAAGCCTGCATCGACATCCTGGTCGAGACATTTTTCTCCGACATCAACTGGCAGTATGCTCTGCTCGACGAGAGAACCGTTCGAGAACAATTAGAAAAATGGAGAAAAGTCTCGTACTCTGACCTTCAAAAGGGGCTCGAAAGATTGACGTCGGAAACTCTTGTGTTTCCCGCCTTGCTACTTCAAGTCATCGCACAAGCGCTTCTATTTCACCCCCCTCATGATGAAAGGATTAGTTCCCTCATCACTATGGCTGGCATGAGCTTCCATGATCTTGGCGCCGAATATAGCGATACAGGTGCTAAGATACTAGAAATTTTGGGGAAAAGAGACATTACAATAGCTACGGTGCAATCAGGATTGTTACGAGCATCATTTTTGAAAAGCAGTGGCAAAGTTGTTGAAGCCTGGCATGTACTTGGAGCAACAATACGCGATGCACAGGAAATTGGTCTACATACCGGACGAGTTGTATCCGAGCGATCTCCAATTGGACCCTGCACCGATGGTCATAGAATTTGGGTGATCTTACATATTTGGGATATCCATATGGCTGTCGTTCTCGGTCGACCAGCTACCACCAATCTCCAAATAGATAGCTTCTCTCGCACTATTGAGGATGACGGAAGGAGGCAAGAATTGTTCTCGCATTGGCAGACCGAGACTGACCCCCCTCGACCATTTGATATCATCCTCGCCGGTTATAATGTGGCCTATCGATATTTCCAGGACATTCACCAGCTGGAATATAATGGCGTCAAACTCCAGGACTACCCAAAGGTCGAATCCATTCACGCAGCAATCCAAAAAAATTTAGAGCTTTTACCTTCTTGGTGCCGGCTGGAAAATCCAGATACGAAATTTGATCAAATACGTGGGTGTCAATGGCTACGTGTCGCCCGAGAAGGACTGTACTCTCTCATCAACCTAGTTCTTCTCACACTTCATCGACCCTACATATTCTCTGTGGCCAATAGTCAAATGGAAGCCCTCAAAGCTGGAATATCTATTCTTCGTACACAGGAGCGACTCTTCCAACAATCAGAGCCGCATCAGTGCAAGGTGTTCAATCCGGTCTACGCTTCTTTCGACGCGCTTGTTCTTATTGCAGCAATCTATGTCGCTTTTCCGAATCAGAACCAAAAATGGCGAGCAGAATCTGTCCAAGTTGTTGAAAGAGGGATGGAAAGGCTGCGCATTATTGGTCTATGCAATTATATGGCAAAGTCAGCATATGGTGTTGTCTGGAACCTGTACTATCACCTAAAGCATCGACTCGACATCCTCGAAACTGCAGAGGACTTTGAAACACCTCACAGCAACCCAAACTGGATATCTCCCAACAGTCAAAAAAATTTCTCCAACGGAACACCGTTGGAACCATCTTTTGATACTGTGATACCACCGCGTCCCTCCCATGACCTGTTCTACGACCATATCTCAAGCACCCAAATTCCCTTCATGGATACACCGGACAATTTATCTTTAGATCCACTTAATACGAATATTACGAATGATTGGAATTTTGAAGGGGACTTCTCAAATGATAGCTTTTGGAGTTTGATGAATGAACTCATCAATTAAAATCTACCTATCGCCAATGGCACTCTATTTAACCTCCGCAAACCAAGTCGCAATGTCCCCCACATTGCGATCAACACAATCCGGCTGCTCATAGTGCTGAAAGTGGGAGAACTCGTTCCAGATCAGCTTTTTCTGAGTTGCGGGAATGGACTCGTAGTGACGCTTAGCAGCCGGTGGATTCATGCAGTTGTCACCATGGATCAGCAGCGCCGGCTTCTTTAGCTTCGCCACACCCGGGACGGTGGTATAGTCAAAGTGGTCTAGGTCGCTCATCACCGCATATTGGTTTTCAAATCCCTTCAGTGTCCACGGCCCGTACCAGGCCCAAACGACCGGTCCCGGAAGGCCGGCCAATGACCCGGTATTAGGGTCTGCGGCCTTTGGATCGACCAGCGGCTGATATACTACTTCCCCGGTCTTGTTATATAATTCACGAGCTTGTTTAGCTCGCTCAAGTCGTGCTTTGTACAGTGCTTCTCCCTGTTCGGCGGTGGGCATCTTCAATGCCGCAATATCCACCCCAGGCTCCCACGCAACACAACCAGCGCAAATCATATAAATGTCGGTTTCGTGGTCCCGATAGTATCCCGTGACTGAGGCAACGCCTGCAACTCGGCTGTCGTAAGATGCCACATCCAGCGATTGGGGGCCACCCTGACAGATTCCGACCAAGAAGAGCCGAGATGCATCGACATCTCCACGTGTAGAGAGGTAGTCAAGGCCTGCGACTATATCCTCGTTTTTCATTTTGGGGTTTTCCAGTCGTCGGGGCTGACCGGTGCTTTCGCCGACTGTGCGAGGGTCGAAGATTAGGGTTGCGTAGCCTTCATCTGCAAGACGAGTCGCGTATTGCAGTGGCGCTTGTTCTTTCATAAAAGAATATGGGCCGGTGACAACGATGCCGGGGGGGTTCGTGATATTGATGGGACGGAATAAGACTCCACCGATAGTCTCTCCGTGTGAAGGATACCGGACCTTTTCAACAGTGTATTGACCGTGGGAAGGCATTTTGCATTTGATTCAAAGAAGACTAAATATGCAGCTTACTTGAGAGGATCTTGATGACCTCGAGTATCGAATCTTGCCTATCGCCATGTTTATATAATTATTATACTCCGAAGTCATCGGCGTTGTGTCATACCCATGCTACTGTTTGTCTAACCCTGAATGGCAACTATGACGCATTAGATATCCGTTTTCGAGCCTGTGTCGAGTTATCGCCGATAAAAATGGACCAGGTTAGGGTCTAACGCCGATGAGCCAATCACAGAGTGCAGGACCGCTATCCAGCCCTTATCTCATGAGCCTTAGACGATTGGCTGCCAAAAGGTGCACTACTCTTGGCAGATTCTGTTTGGATGCTTATGTTGTGTTCTTATATTAAAATCTAATTTAATTTTCAAATATATGTGTTATATGTGATTATATATGTAACAGCACCGCGCCCTGCTTTATACAAATTGACATTGATAAACACTGCGCAACGCCTTACCTTATTATGAAAATTATCTTTGAAAATTGAGAGGAGAATTAGCTATTGCGGGAACGACGCCAAAAGCGGCTACGCTTTCACTAAGCCACAACCATTTAGTCAGTAATGACTGATCTAATGCCTGATTCCAGCCTACGACAAAGAAGAGCACGTGACTTGCATAGTCAACATAGCCATTGTAAGGGAATGGATATATCTGGACTGACATATCCAACAGAGCAAATATTAGTCAACGGCTATGATAGCTATGATTCTACTTTAGTATATATAGACACTCGTTTACCATCATGTATTTAGATCGTGTTATATTTTCATATCAAAATAGTATACTACTATCAATATATCAACGACTTACCCTCTTACTATCATCATTGCGATAAATAGCTCTTTATCATCTATTGTATGGCCCTCTTCTACTTTGTTAGCAGAATATCCTGAGTGACCTTCGATCTCAGACGAATCGTTGAATACATTTTGACAATAACATATATTAAAATAGAACTAATTTCCTATTTTAATATGTAATTCTTTTGCTTATAACATCCATTACTCTGTTTTATGCCGGCATTGGAGCCATTAACCCTTATGTTATGATAGACAGGTCAACTCGACCATTCTTTGTACATGAATACGATTCAGATAGAGGAATCTCGTGGTAGAAATATTGAGAAAGTTTGGAGATTTCGTTGAGTAATGTTAATGCGTTCTCAAAGGCACTAATTAGAAATTTATCTTTTCTCAGTTCGTCATTGGCTAATGTAATTATCTCAATCCATATCTCATTGGCTTATAGGAGATTTCTTGGGCTCCAGGCAACATCCTAAGACTACTACGCTTAAATGGTGATTTGGTGAGCCTCTGATGCAAATGCAAGAGGCAGGACCAGTACTAGACCTTGAGTAACCTTAGGCAAGGGGCTCATTTTATGTCATTTTGTTTCATTTTATTTCATACAATTCCATTCCATTAGTTACCTGCTTGATTCCACCATCTCAATGGAGATATATATATTGCGATACGTCCATATCTGCTTGTTGAATATCCCGGCGGCTGAAATAGTGTGGTAGGGATTGGGTATGTGTATATATATGGGACAGTCATCCTACATGTATTAGAAGAATCAATGAACATCTTACTATCACCTTTAACAGATATATGTCCAATGTTAGGGCTCACCTACCTATGAGGCCAGAATTAATTACGGAAGTAGGATATCATTTATTAAGGATGTTATATATATAATAAACCCTTTCTTATTAAATCCATATATAAAACGTGCCCGACCCATTGAGATGGCCCATGCTCACCGTGTTTCGGCTATCACGATTAATAAATATGTACTGAGTAAAATTAATTGATGTTACCAGAAGCGATGGCCTGTATTGATGATAGGGTGCCCCGCTGGCTAAGCTATTAGACCCCCACTTGGCGAACCCCCACCGGACTTTGGTCTCCGAATGGCCAGGCCTCCCACTCTCCGGTCAATGAATGCCGGCACGGTAGGGTCGTGATACCCCCTTTCCCATGAGGGAGTACTCATTCGCGTTTCAATTTAATCTTGATGGCTAATTACCCCCACAGTAGAGTATAGAACTCTATGTTCCAGTAAATATGAAACTATGTGCCAATTTTGGCAATGAATCTTGATAGACAAATGCAAGGATTGATTTTAATTATTCCACGACGGCATCTGTCTATTCTCTCCCTCTTCGCTCTCGATTACAACGTCTGCGAATCGGTACCTCAGCTATTTTTGCGTCTTATACTGGCACTACCTAGTATCAGCATCGCTGTCCTCCGTTTGCGCCTAAAACTCTGCTATCGTTAGATGTCCTACAGCTCCGCTTATTGTGACCTTTTTGTCTACACCACAAATTAGAAAACCTCGTCTTCTTTTTTCTGATAACTCTCTTGTTTGCGAATACGTGTTGTCTTTGGACGTCCCCTTTTTTGAAATCAGAGGTGGAAGGCAGCCGGGACCTGATTCAAGATCTCGAGACGGAGAAGCAGCGGATAGTGTACGTACTGTCGAGGAGTTTCGGATACTTACCCCCGAAGACCCAAAGCATTCGGAGGAAGTAAATATCCGGGAACGTATAATCCTTGTGATTAAAATTTCCGGGGAAGTGACAACTGCCAAACTAGTTCACGGTGTATATGCGCCGTACGTAATATATATGCGGTGGAAGTCTCATCCTTGGAGGACGCTTGTCTCGCTAGCAGGTGCATGTCAACAGTAACCTAAGATGCTATCTCTTTATTATTTTCTTGTGCTGATAGGAGGAGTTGTACCACTTGTCGCTGCACATTACCCGGATCATGAAATCGACTTTCCAAGGCATTGTGTCAATTTCGGCGCGTCGCTGAACCTTCCCAACGTGACGGTGAATTTCGCTGAACAGTAAGCTGGACCCATTTTGGTAGGTAGCAATGCTGACTGCAATTCAGCGTGCCAGCAGGGACGAACTTGACTTTCTCTCAGGACTATGGCCGTATAGTACCACCTCACCGAGCCATAGCTCGATCGCTTTGCTCCCCTGACAAATGCCAGTGGACACATGCCAACGCCCATATCAAGTCGTGTACACAAATACCTGTCGCATCGCTATGAATGTCACGACATCAAACCGATCCAGTCTTATACTCGAGGCGTGGTTCCCAAAGAATTGGACTGGTATGTCATTTCTGAGCCGCGTTTCGTGGTGGAGACAACACTGAGTTCTTTTTCAGGCCGGTTCTTGAGTACTGGAAATGGAGGCCAATCAGGGTGTAAGAAATCCAAGTACTCTTCAGAGATTGGCTACAGTTGCCGTTCTTCGAAGAGAGTCTTCATTCTTATGTACGTTTGTTAACCATGAACCAGGTATCCAGTACGAGGATATGGCCTATGCAGGCGGACTAGGATTTGCATCAGTCGGCAAGGAAATCACCATCTCTGATCGAACTCGAAATTAATTATGGTAGGCGCAAACAATGGACATAATGGTACAGGCGGTCTGGCATTCTTCCACAACCCCGATGTTGTGATCGACTTTTCATGGCGCTCGTAAGTGTTTGATGCACCACTCTGACGTTTTCTAATACAGGCAGGATGCATACTGGCGTGGTCCTTGGCAAAGAAATGACAAAGCTCTTCTACGGAAGGCCATACACGAAAAGCTACTACCTGGGCTGCTCTACTGGTGGTCGACAGGGTTTGTACGCAGCGCAAGAATTTCCTAATGACTTCGACGGAATACTAGCGGGGTCACCGGCAATTGACCGAAATGCCTTGGTAGCATGGTAAATATTAACTTGAAGCAACTGTAAGAAACAGGGCGCTAATATACTTAGGAACGGTCATTTCTTTGGGATTACGGGAAATTCGACATCAAATACTTTTGTTTCTGCCGCTAAATGGGCCACTGTTCATACAGAGATTCTGAGACAATGCGATGGCCTTGACGGTGTATTAGATGGTATTATCGAAGATCCAACACTATGCTGTAAGTCGTCTTCTCAAATGAAAGCTTGACTCACAATTTGGCAGATCCTCGGCCAGAAGCATTGCAATGCGCTCCTGGCATGAATACTTCCTCAACGTGTCTCACGAGTGACCAGGTATTGACTGTTAGGGCCGTACTGAGTGATTATATTGGAGAAGATCGACAACTTATTTTCCCTCGGCTTCAGCCAGGTGCTGAGCTGGGAGCGTCAAAATCTGTGTTAGGAGGTAAGTTGTGGATCCTTATTCTGGAAACTGTGCTAATTCGTTGGAGGGGCACCATCGCCGTACATTGTTGTAAGTGATTCTTAACGTTTCTTATTAGCTGCACTAATCTTTATTAAGGATTGGTACAAATACGTTGTGTTAGTTCTCATAAAATGTAACATATTGCTAAAAAGACATTAACTCAGGTGGTAGGTATCAAAATGCTTCATGGGATCCCGCTAGCTTTAATATCAAAGATGCTACTTATTCAATCGCACTAAATCCGGCGAACATTGCCACTTTTAAAGGTTTGTCTAGAAAAATTGAAGCTTCTTAATCTAACTCGCGGCAGGCAATCTCTCAGCCTTTCAATCCGCTGGTGGGAAAGTGATGGTTTACCACGGCCAACAAGACGATGTAATAACATCTCCGAACACTGCACGTTATTATAACCACGTCTCCAATGTGATGGGTCTACCTAGCAAGGATCTTGATCCCTTTTTCCGCTTCTTTCGCGTTAGTGGGATGGGTCATTGTTCTAAGGGACCTGGAGCTTGGCAAATTGGACAGACGTATATAGGGGCACAGGGAAACGCTGTGGACAGCCAACATAACGTTCTGATGCGATTGGTCGATTGGGTGGAGAATGGGGACCGAGGTGCACCAGAGACTATTACTGGGGTAAAATATGTCAATGTAAACTACCCCGGAACAGTCGAATTTATGTTGAGTCAATCAGGAAAGCTAATAATATTCAGGATACTATTGCTCTTGGGGTTGATTTTGTGAGGAATCATTGCCGTTATCCGCTTAGAAATATTTGTGTGGATGCTTCTGCACACAGAGACCCTAGAAGTTGGAGGTGTGAATAAAGTCATGGACAAATAGTTAATATATACTAACACACCTATAATTTCACCTTCCGAGCCTTTAAGAAATTGTCTGACTACTAAATCTACTACTTATAACCCTTGACCGTAAAATAATAGTCTTTATATTAAGTATACCTCGAGCTTTAAAAATAGTAGGTCCTTTAATAAGTAACTTAATATTGTTTGACGAGGGCCAGTAACTGGTTCCACGGCACAATCAGCTCTAAGAGTACCTCGTCCAGATCGCTTTGCACCGCAGTCGTCACCGGATGCCCTCCTGGAACGCCCTCCTCTTCGGCTTGGAATTAGGAAAAGTAGCCACTGAAGGTGACAGTGATCATCTGAGACTTCTTGCGAGCCAAGCGCTGTTCTTGTGCCCCGTGTTTGGGGTGCTTGGGGTCAAATTCTAAATCTTCTGCTTTTGCGTCACGGACATTAGTCTGCACCAACATGCAGTACTCGAAGAATGACAGATAGGCCAGGGGAGGACCACGCCATTTGTAGGTCTCAAAACGGCTCACAGGGACCGTATCACCAGATCGGTAAGCACACTGTTCTTCATCCATTAGTTCGGTCGTGCCATCACCTGGAGATGCGGCCGTAAGTACGTACTTCCTAAGTGATTTTAATCTTTATTGATAATATTAAAATTAATTAAAATTATTAGAAGTACAATTGTAATTTGAGGTGTACATGTCTGACACTGCCGCCAGCCTTACAAGGCCACTCCTTATTTTGCTCTCTACACGGTCTACAGTACTGTATGTTGACTGTCCACGACGTCTAATTGAATCATGGTAGACTAAGCATACAACTTTAGCGAGGCTTAAAGATTGCCCCATCCTCAATCCAAGAGTAGATTCGCTCATCAATGCAAAGGTACATTTATATTTCTCAACTTCATAATGTATATATTGACCAGAACAGACTTAGCGTCAATCCAATTAATATAATATAGCCCAGTAAAGGCGCTACAACACTCAAAATACAGAGCGCCACTTTATATACTGAGTCTGCCAATATCTATATAATCAACACTATGGGATGATTTCCTAAATACCAGAATTATTTACGACATTTTTTAAATATAGCACAGCATCCATAGAAAATGCAATCTCTTACAGCACTTATCAATATTCATCTCTCTCATCAACAAACCTTCGATCCTATGTTCTAATACATCAAGTCTATCTAGAACCATACTTTAGTAATAGCATCACTGATTTCTTATCTTTACTAGCTAGTAGTAGCAGCGATGAACACCTTACATAGGAGCGGGTGAATTATCTCTTTGCTGCTAAGAGTAGCAGGTAGCTAGAAACCAAGGCGTATTACGATCTGTTATCATACTAGATGATGCCATTTCAGCGTCCGCTGCGAGATCCTCGAGAAGAGGAAATTTGTGTGGCTGATGCGCGCTCGAGCTAATGGCTAGCCATGGAGGATTGGATGATAGAGTCACGCAGTCCTTTAAAGGTGATAATAAAAAACTGATTTTAACAGAATCCCGATACGATTATGATATACAGCGTTGGATTTTTTGTTTTTTTTGTTTTTTTATTTTTTTGTCCTGGGTAAAGGATGTGCATCGAGGTGTCAGAGCACAGGAGGAGGTTCATATCTTAATATCGATGCCATTAAAAACCTCTTGACTTTCGACGAAGTGTTTGTAGAGAATTTTATATAGAGAAAGTCAAACATTGACTCTTTCAACTTCATTCAAGGTGAACTCGGTTCTTTCTCGGTCGTATTGCTAAATAAGGACATGCAAATGCCACACCGCCGGAAGATTGAGTAAATACTACCCTCCTGGTATGGCATTCCTCGCGATGGTAGTATAGGAATAGCTATCTAGAAATCTAATTATCACAGAATATCTTTTTATAAAATCCCACTCTCATAAGATGGCATTCCCCAAAATAATAGTATCTTAGGAACTATAGTTTCTCAAGATGCACAGTGATTAGAACTATCAATTTGCGTCTATCATAGACCCAACTTCTGAACCCTACATTCAGCTGATGACTCCTAATGCTCGCCTGTTTTCCAATAACCGCCTCACACTATCTTTAATCTTATTAATTATTAAAGATAAATTTAATAAATAATCTCCTTAATAATCTTTATCTATTCAATTTAATTATATATTTTATATATTTATATTATTCTATTTCAATTCTTAGACTATTTTTTATCTTAATTTATTTGACTATTCTCTTTTTATAGCTATTTATATATTTAGATCTCCCTCTCGAAACAAAAGAAATCACTTCAAGGAGTCGGTCCTACACATGATTATTGCTATGAGTTGGCTGGTAATCATAAACTAAGGACTGCGCTATATATTGTAAGGCTGGTCATTTCAGCTGGATATTCCGGTCTCATACTGCAACATACATTACAGAGGCTAAAGGTAGAACAGCGCTGGCGTCACAGTCGCAGTCTACATCATGCACACCTCGGTTTTGTGGCATTCTCGAATGATCACTGTTTTACTGAGTGTTATAAATAAAGCATATGCGCGTTTTAATGTTACTAGGAAAGGATTTTAAGGAATAGTCAGTTATAAATGTATACACTACTTTACAACTATGAACAAACCACTGTGAGATGTAAACAAAAATCAATACGTAATAAGGTAAGATATTGTTGTTAACTAATTCAAGTCAATTGATCCAAAAGTATTCATGACGGTCATCCCTCACCTGCTGCATGTTGGTCCTTACGAATAAGAGTCTTTGTAACGATCTGGTATGAAAGTATAGTAGAATCCACGAAGCAACATTTTCAATGAATGGAGTTTCCTATTATCCATGATATTCCATAATCCGAGAACTTCCTATATTAGACAAAACTCGGCATAATCCGGTACGAAGTTATTACAGCGTCCAATCTATTCCAGTAGTCTGGCTCATAATCAACAGCAAGGTCGTCCTGAACCCATATCTGCTGGAGAATCATTTGCAAGCCATGCAGGCTCCTCAAGCTCGATGTCGTCATTGCTATTTCGATGTGCTCTAGAATTCTCATTCTCTGCTCATCTGTCCGAGCCTCGCATCCAATGATCAACAGTGGAAAGGCCAGACTGAAGGCCTCAAGGTCATCGAGAAGTACATACGCCCTCTCGACCATTGCCTCAATTCGAGGGGAGGTTCCTGAAAAGTTCCGTGATGCTCTCTTAAGGTAAATTAGAGCAGCTATTTTGAAAAGTTCTATTGTAGCCACCCAGGCTGTGCTCAGGCTGGGCATGGTATCTGATATACCTTCTGGCGCCGACGGGACCATATTAGTTATCCTATTTTCGAGGCAACGCAAGGAATTTTCGTATTCGTTGCTGTGGTATAGTAGGTCTGTCGGTTGTTGGATCATCTCGAACATAAAATTCAAATATCGAAGAATTTCATGTGAGCAGTACGATACATCTTTAACCTATCTTGTGTTAGAAGAATGACGGTGCTGACATAAATTTTTCGTATTCTTCGGCCTAACCTTTCGTAATTGGCAAGTACCCTGGTCCACAGGCACGGAATTCTTGATTCCTTTAATAGACTCCTCCTTTATATACCAGTGTCGGATGGTAAACCGGCTCATGACCATATGATACTCCACCCAGCCTAGAAGTCCGGAAAATTCGCCTTGAAAATATTGGCTGTCAACGCCTGCGTTGTCGATTAGATATTTAGCTTCGCTCAAATGACCTAGATTGCAAAATCCAGTTAAGCAATGTCTCTTAAGAGTCGGGTCAATTATTTCATGACAAGGCAGCACAAGAACTAACACGGTATGACCGGGTTCTGGTTTCAGGCTAAGCAGGTAGAAAAAAAATAGATCACACATCACTTACAGAACCACACGGATACTGCATTTGGCATTCCGAGCATCTTGAGCGTTGGTAAGTGTTTGTTCAAAAAAGATATAGACCCAAGATCGAACATACCTCAAGGTGGCACAATATCATACTAGCTGCAATATGTTGAATCACCGTGGGACTTTCAATAGAGGGAGTGCAAGATGTGATCAGTGTACGAAGAGCGCGCGCTTTGAGTCGAAAAACATCGCCTTGCAAACCATGCCTGTGAAAGGACGAGAGCGCCAATGCTGATTGTAGTACGGCCATCGAAGAGGGTGCACTATCTGAAAGAGCTAGTCGTACCAGAAGACTCAAGAATTCGTTCTTGTCAGGGTCGAAAATAGCCAGTGTGGAAGACGCCGTACATATAACTATAAGGTTTAGCTTGGTCAAATCCTACAAAATCATGGTATTGCACTTACAGTGGGCAAGAAGTTCACTTTCCTCATAATTTAGGTTGATTGGGAGCCATGATACCGACATCGGTAAATCGAGTCTTTGGAAGGTAAATCCCTCGTGGCTACCAAGTCCTGTTTCTGGAGCATTAGTTGGGTGATTGGCAAATTTTGGGAGAGAGTCAACCTTGGTTCATTCGTAGATAATGGTGAAGCTGGATATCCCATGGTGTCGCATTTACAAAGCTCGCCTGGGAGACACTTTTTGCAGCCCTAAATCTATCCTGGTTGGAATAGGTCAAGCTCCGCTTCGTATTGGTTGCCTTTGGCCACGACAGCCGCAACCCATACCGACATGGTCTATGAGACTTGGTGCACCTGGAACAACGTGGTCGTGTGCGGTTACAATCGGCTCTGGAGTCTGTAGCCCTTGGGTAAGTAACGCACTCATTCAGAAGACAAGGGACAGGGAACAGTACCTCTGCAAGCCCAACAGTCATTCGTATGCATTGTAGACCGATTCTTTGACTCTGTGGGCTGAGAGAAATGTTTAAGCATCAACAAAAAAGTTGCCTTGTCGTCTCTGTTAAATGCGCTGCACGGTGGAGAGGTAATGGAAATGACTACATTTCTGATTATTAATGCTCAGTTATCTTTCCGCTTTGAGAAAAACGGCAACTTTTGTGTGTCTTGGCAATTAAAAGTGGGCCCCTCTTAGATTGTACGTATTCAATTTAACACGGTTTTCAGCGAGAATCAATTATGGTTGGTTCAGGAAAGATGTCTTGTATTTTGTTATGGAGTTTTGATTGTATTCGTATAAAACTCTCCGGGCCTCATTCCCAGCCCCTAATCCTAGGTCTCACTGCCTTATTAGTAGACTTCCACATGACCCAATGATGGGTGGTCGAAGACCTTGACCCAAAACCCAGCCTAGGTCCGGATCATAGAAGCTCAACCCGGACCCAACCAAGACCCAGTTACTGGGGCCTCAATACCCCCAATTTTAACCCTATTTTAAGACTAGTTGGACTTACTATATTTATATATTATTTGTTTGAAATACTAAACACTGTTTCCTACGATAGCTAAGATCTATAGATTCTTGGTTATATTCATTATATTTACACGCCTTTACGTTCACTACCTGCAACTGTTGCAGTGGCTTTCTTATGCGGTATTGCTTGGTGTAGCAAAAACGCCTTGCGGACAGTACTAACGGCGGATCTTGATCTTCTGGGCGTGTCAGAGGTGCCAGAGGCTTTGCCTAGTCAACCATCATATGGAGAATCTGCTTGCACTCATTTTGAGATATCCAGCACGTAGCGGTTGAAAACCGAGGTCATTTGCGACGGTTGATGATCAATTAATTGATCTTTAAGTGATCGCTGCCTTTTTTTCTTGGGCCCGGTTAAATTGCGCGTCTTAACCAGAGTAACCCAAATGACCGTTGAACCGCAATGCGAAGGTCAACGAAAGAGGAGAACGACGGGCGGTGAATTCGCACTTTGATTTCAATCTCAGGTGTTTGAGGATAGGTCTTGCAAAATCTAGGGAAAAGCTGCTGTTTAAATGGGGTGACGACTCGTCAGATATCCGTACGGACTAGTACTGAGAGAACCAATGGACATGATTGGATTGATTGATTGAAGAACCATCAAGATGACCACTGTGGAGAAACGTATTACAGCCTGACAGACTAGTATTAGCGTGTTACGGCGCGGATATCCGTAATCGACCCGAATTACTAATAATATAAAACACTAGGGAGCATGACTGGACAAATAAAGATATGGACAACAGAAAGAAAAGACACAAGCTTCCAGAACTTATTCGCCATTTTAGAAAGGCAAGCATCAAGCAGTTGGGAAGTGCTTGTATCCTACGTCCTTGACAAAAGTCTGCTGCCAAGGACCCTGAGACTTGTGCTCCGCGAGCTCGACATAGAATTTTCCATGTGCCTCGCCGCTGATCTTAGAGTATGCAGGAGTCCCATCAGCCTTCCGCTCATCGGCATAGTAGAATCTACTTTCTCATTAGTTCCAAAACTGCTGGAGCGGAAGAAGGAAACGCGTACTTGAAGCCTTTATTAGAGTATGCGGCAGCAGCAGTGCGGATGATGTGGGCTGTTGCAGATTTACCCACACCACCATTAAGAAGACTTGCAATAGTGATTTCATTGAGTATATTACCAGTATAGATGAATGTCTTGGATCTATGATCAGGCAGTTTCTCGAAACTTAAAGCCGCCTGTTGCGCAGCGACAAACGCACTGGTCGTATTGACGTGCAAGTCTCGACTAAAGTCAGCCAGGGGAATAGAAAGGGGTTTCTCTGGATTATTCGGAGCCCCGGCAGATGCTTCAAGGGTGTCAGCGGGGTTTCGGTAAAGGTCTTCCATGAGGAACATGCTGACCATTGTAGACAACAACACTTGGCAGACCGAGCGATGCCTCGACTTTCAAAAAGATGCCATTCACGCAATGAGGATCCGATAAGTCAGCAGAAATGCGAACTAAGTCCGTATTTTTGTCTTCTTTCTTGACACTCCTAGATGCCAAGGCAACTTTGTAACCCTTTGCGACAAAGGCCCGAGCTACATGATGCCCTATATTGGGGCCCGATCCGAGAATGAGAATAACCGGAGATGTGCTGGCCATACTTGAGCTTGTACGAATTGAAGAGACAGAACGACCGTTGAGGAAGACATATAGTAGCTTTATATAGGCTTAAATGATCAAATTGCAGTTCCATCTGTATTCGTCATCTATCCGTGTGTTTGCTATTATGATTCTGTTTAATTGAACTTTATCAATAATCTCCCCAAGTGGTTCAGAGCAAGTCAGTATTGTCTGCATCATAATTAGTCAACGTCGATGACAAATCATTGCCCCTGAGATTATCAACCAAGTTGATCTCACATAAAAGCGCTGCACGGTGAAGAGGTAATGGTTATGAATGCATTTCTGATTACAAATGTGCACTTATCTTTCCGCTTTGAGAAAACTAGCAACTTTTGTGTCTTGGCAATTTAAAGTGAATCCTTACTTTAGGCGCACCTTTTGGTATCATGACGAATTCAAAAATCGGCAAAAGTGAGCAAACGAGGCTCACGTTCGATGTATAAATACATGTACTATCGTTGCTCTCCTGGTCCCATCAACCCTTAGAATTATTCTACGATTCAGCTCAGAGTTGTTAAATTTTATAAACCATCACAATGTCTTCCTGGGTGATTACCGGAGTCTCTCGTGGCCTTGGCGTACGCTCTTGTCCCTGCTTCATGCATAAGGCTCGTTTAACTAATACACATACTTCATCATCTAGTTCGAGTTCGTGCGCCAGCTCTCTGAAAGCTCTTCCAATATCGTCTTCGGCCTCGTTCGCAATAAAGCAGCTGTCGAGGCCAAGGTTGCTGCTGAAATCGGCCGGGAAAATATTCACATCATTCAGGCTGACACAACGGACCCAATGGAATTGGAGGCAAGCTCATAATCGATCAATCAAAACCGAAGTCACAACTAACCGAAAGACTTCATAGAAAGCAGCTCAGTATGTTTCCGAGAAAACCAATGGTGCCGTTGACTATGTCATAGCCAATGCCGCGCTTCAATCTAAGACTGCGTTGGTTGGATTTGATACCATGTAAGTTTCTAGGCGGAGTGACAAAGATACCAGAGATAGTTGACTTGGAACTGATTCCTCCACAGGAGCCGAGATCCAAAAGCCCTTGAACAAGATGTGATTGACCACCTACGAGTGAATACCATCGGTGCCGTCCATCTTTTCAATGCTTTCATGCCCCTGATTCTAAAAGGTCGGGCGAAGAAAGTGATTGCCATCTCCACGGGCATGTCGGACCCTGAGATGACACTCAAAGCCGATATCTACCAAGCCACATCCTATGCAATGAGCAAGGCAGCTCTTAATATGGCCATAGCCAAGTTCAGCGCCTTGTATCGTGAGAAAGGTGTACTCTGCATGGCTATATGCCCTGGTGCTGTAGACACCGGCAGTCTTAATATTGGTATGTAGTCGTCTTGGCAACTTCAATGGGATGCATTTAGCTAACGTTTGCATAGAAACGGAGGGGGAGGGACAATTGGCTATGGCTATGTTTGGCAAATTCAAGGAATATTCACCCACCTTCCAAGGACCTGGGAAAACAGATGACAGTGCCAGATCCGTCTTGGCTCTCGTGAATAAGGCTACTGTTGATGGTGGTTATGCAGGCATCTTTCTCTCTCATACAGAATCGAAGCCGTACCTTTGAGACTGTGTACCAAATAGAATTAGGCCAACAGAGAATGTTAATATGTTGATTTTGTTCTTGTATCCCGTTTAAAGTAAGCTATGGACCACGGAAGATACGTGCCCTTTGGCTCAAAATACACCGAGAATAAAAGTTCCAGACAACCCCATCCAAGATCGCAACGTGCTAAATTTATACACTAATTATCAAGAGTAATAATATACTACCTAAGAGACTTCCGCACAATCCAGGAGAACCCGGATCCAAAACGGATCCCACTCGGGCTGAGTTGGGCAGTGTCGAATTGGAGTTTTACTGGAAATTTGGAGGCCTAGTGACTGCGTCCGGGTTGGGTTTTGGGCTGAGGTTTTCGACCCTAAGTATCACGGCGATAGAGTCTCAGGTATCCCATGAAGCCTACTGTAAGACGCAGAAGTAGCCGGCGCCCCTCCCCTCCTCCCCAAATCTACAAATTATTACCTTGTTTCATAGGTTTACACTGAATTTTTCAGGATTGTTTGCATCATCCATACTGGTATTGTTCAAGTCTTGATACAAAATAGTTTGTTTATTGAAATATACGCTACTCTTGCTTGACGGGACGCTCAGCTGAGTTTTCGGCCGTTCCCGATGCTCTTCCAGACTGCTTGATGCTATTTGCCTTTTCCCAAATCAATAGTCAAATTGGATGTCAAATATTCTTTTTACTCTGTATTTCCGGCATGATTTCGCGGAGACTTGGGCATCGGGAGTAGGAGAGCCGAGTCTACTAATCCAAGGGTGGTGGCGTTGCTCTCTAGTTCTTGCAGTGATGATGATGCAGAGTCTTGGAGAAACAAGGTGATACGAATAGGAGAAGAATCATTAAAAGTTGACTCGTCTCGTGATTGATTCATGTTTCCTGTTCATATGTTTCCTGACACGTGCCTCGGGTGACAGCCTGAGGCATTTACATCAGGTATCAAGCAGGCAGAGACTCTGTGCTGTGAAGCTATCCAAGAGACTACGATGCATACAGGGCGGGAAGGTATAACTCGCTTGCAGCGAAGCGAGATAGACAGACCAATGGGTGGGTAGCATATTCTGCCAACATATTTTTCCTACTACTACCGTTCTGTATCTGGCTCAGAAGAACATTTAAATGAGACGGTAATGAAATTCAGAGTCATTGTTAGGGTCATTCAATTGCTACCTCAGCCTGTGAAAGGTAAGGTTATGGCTATCCTTTATATGGGGCTTCAACTGCTGTATCTCTTTCCTCCACATTGTCACCCTTTGGAACATGCCTTATAGTGCGTATTTGGTCGTGAATATCATTAGAAGTAACTCGCATGTTCCGTCGTTGTTTCCACGTCAAGTCCGGCTTGTCGAAGATAACAGTGACTTCTTCCAATGTATATCCTCGAGTCTCGACGAAGAAATACCAGACAACCACCAACTAAATGTAAAACGATTAGCATGAAAGCAATGAAAATACGGGAAATGACGAATCTCACCTCTATAAACGTATAAACCACGTAGGCAACATAATACTTCCAACCAGCATTCTCCAGTCCAATTGGATTCACAAACGTGGCGAAAAATCCCGTAATATGTAGTAATCCCGTCTGCACGGTGACGCCGCGAGACCGGGTCTCGTAGGTAAGGATCTCTGAGGGATAAGACCACAATGGCGTCCAACCGATGCAGTAGAAGCCATTGACGAGGAAAATGGCGGCTAAAACTCCTCGCGCATATCCAGGTTCTGCATGCTTGCTGTACACTATTCCGGTTGTAATTAGTCTATGTTTTTCGATGAGAATAGTGGAATAGGCCATGTGTCACTAACATTCTTGCAAAATAGTCCAGATAATGAACGAGAATAGCATTCCTGCTGTTGAGATGATAAATAACGGACGTCGGCCGGCCTTTTCAACATACAGCGATGCAACCGTAGAAATGACGAATTTGTATATGGAAATACACCCATTGAAAATAGTCTGTGTGCGACTATCCGTAATGCCAACACTGTCGAGGATCGTGTGGATGTAGGTGCTCACTAGACCGGTGCCAGATACCTGTACTTCATGAGGATTTAGAATATACGAAGGATTAATGAATAGAACACACCTCGATAAATAAAGCACAAAAACACACAACGATCATCCGCCGCCTGTTAGCTGCTGTTTGATACAGATCTTTCCAGCTTCCCTGCTGCTTGTAGTGATCGTCTTGCACAATCGCGACTTTCATTTCTTCATATTCAAGCGCAACAATGGGATCGTCGAGCACGTTATTTGCATGGTAACGGGCCAAAATCTGTCTTGCTTTATCATCACGCCCCTTGGAAATCAACCATCTCGGTGACTCGGGTACAAAGTAAATAGCCCATATCTGGACCAGCGCAGGAGCAGCTTGCAACAAGCTCGGAATCCTCCATGCCCATGAATTCGACATGCTATTAGTCCCGTAGATTATCCATGCAGCAGAGATAGACCCTACGTAGTATACTGTAGGGAATAGTCCCATGATGACACCACGATGTTGCGGGAGTGCAAGCTCGACGAGGAGAAGAGGCGAGGCGACGATTGTAAATGCCAATCCAAAGCCGATCAGGAATCGAGCGACTATAAATTGGGCGACACTAAATGCCGTTCCCTGCAAGACACCCGCGACCAGAAGCACACCTGCTCCAAAGGCAAGCGAGTGACGGCGGCCTAGGCGATCGACTAGGATGGGCACTGAAGGGAGCGCAATAATGGCGCCTACATTCTGCACAGAGTTTAACAAGCCCAAGATAGCTCCTCTCGGGTTCTTCATATCTACGCTTGTCAGCATCCCATTTATATTATCTCACGAGTAGAAGATGGAAATTACCTTCTTGCCAACTGGGTATACTCTGCAGACCACTCATCATAGTATTATCGAATCCTTGGTACGCGCTGCTGAGAAGGACTAGACTGAGCAGGAAATTCAACTTGCATAGTCCAGGGTTGCCAAGCCATGTCGGAGTCCATTTGAGAGACATATTGTCTCATTTGTAAGTCAACGCGAGTAGAGCATCTTCATTAGACATTTTGATGGCAATCTTGCTCGTTTTATGCATAGGTCGGCAGCTGCTTGAGGAATACGAAAATCTAAGCAGCAGTTTGATATACACAGCACGCAATTTGTGGGTTCAATTGCAATCCTTAGAGTTAAATAGGTTATCGGAGCAAACTGGCTATTTCGGGCTGCTTTTACAGCCACTCATATCCGACCCCGCTGGACTTCCGAAAACCAACGTCGTCGACGAGATTGACATAATGGAGCCAGCGCAGGAAACACGTTGGCCATGTGATTTATGCCACCGATCTTACCAGCGCAGTAGGTCAAAATTATCTTTACTGACAATCATTAGTGACTGAAAGGAAAAAAACAAATAGAAGACCTACGAGACCGGCACCGGCGTCGCTGCGTTAAATCCGCAGCTCGCAGTCCAGCATCCAAGCGAAAATCATGTATGGAATGCTCGCGATCCAAAATACGATGCGACCAGGTTTATCCGACATGCTCTCGCTGTGCTGCTCGGGGGACTGGCTGTATTTACTCTCATTTACCATCTTCAACTCCTCCAACATCTTCCGTCAATCAGACCCAGGCGACCCATCCGACCCCCGGAGGCATCGATGAACCAAGCAGCACAGCATCATTTGAAAGACCAGAATCATCGCAACATGCCGAAATCCTGCTTGGCGCTGACTGGGATATTGGCATGGATATTGACGGTAATATCTCAGACAGTCTGTACTTTGACGAGCTACTCAATCCGTATTATTTCCACCCCCAGGATGTTTTAGCTACGGGAAGCACGGTAAAACCGAGCCATAATCGAATGACCGAATTGCATGGAAGTGCACCGGATCGATCCAGGCTGCTAAGCCAACATTCTGGTTCTTTGGGATCTAACATCTCCGGATTGAATTTTTTAAATACAGTTACGCTGCGTAATGTATCCATTGGTACTTCTCAAGTTTCCCCTTCACAGCGCGAAAATGAACCATTAGAGGATGAACGAACTCCAGCCTCTCAAGGAAGAACCCAAACCGAAGTAGCGAATTCCAGTCCATCAAGTATTTTCCCGCGACCTAATGCATCCCCTCTTCAACTACTTCTCCAAGACTTGTCTGCCGAGAGAATGGCACAGATATTACAATCATACCCAGGAAGAATGCTTCAAAAATACGGCCAAGTACCATTCATACATCGCCAATTATACAATTACTCGGAGGATTTATTAATCGAAGGCCCTTTATCTACGGCTTTGTGCTTTATTGCTGCACACATCACCAAGACCTCTGTCACGGAAGAGTTTGTCTATAGTATATTGAATACCGAAAGACGCAGATTGATCCGGGAATTTGTAAGGAATCTTCTTGCTCTTGAAAACTCAATCTGATCGATTAAGCAATCATCGAACAATGAATGTGCGCCTGCTACTGCTATGGTGCAGGCTATGTGTCTATACCAGATTGTCGCATTATTCGATGACAAGAAATCACCGACAGCACATACGGTTGAGCTATACCAGGGAATTTTACTAAAGGTAGTCAGTCTCCTGCCAGCAACATCAATATTAATCTAACCACATACCAGATGGCACGAGAACTCCGTCGACAGTACCTCCAACACCCAAACACAAGCAACGACTGGCAAGAGTGGTTAAGGTATGAAACCGTTCGGCGGACATTCTTTCTCGTGCATATAATCAACGTCCTTTCCTCGAGAATGAAGCTACAAAGTAGTATGTACTCTGAGCCTCTCGATGACGACTTTATCCTCCACGCGCTGTTGCCCCGAACCGCTGATGTGTGGACAGCCACATCGGCCGAGCAATGGGGGTCGATGGTATGGCGGGGTAGTAACCAGGCCACAACCTGGGAAATTGTGCAGGCGGACCAATTGGTTCGGAGTCGACCAGATGGACCGAGGTATGAGGAGTTGTGGAGTCGACTGTCAGAGTTGGACGAGTTTGCGAGAATGGTTGTTGCGTGCTCTGTTGAAATAGAGCGATAGTGTAGAGCCATCGCGTTTTCGGAGCCAAATGGTCATGAACTTATACAGATGACAAACTCTCGCATTTTGTTGGCCATAGTCCGGCTTTTCACAAGTCCGAAGACGAAATAAAGGAAATTGTTTCCTCATAAACTTTATTCAGTATCCTTCATTTATTCTATTTGATTTTTTTGACCTTTTTAAACGAAATATTCTTGGAGGGAGAAGAAATCTTTAGTATCGGAACAACCATGTCACCCTCCGTTCGGCTTGCGGAAGACCCCGCCTGGCCTCCGGCTTACCTCGTCGGTGGTCGCGATGGCCTCTCTATTGGCCGTGAAATCATTCACTCCCCTCTGCGCAATCTTGGAGACATGCCAGAAAAGGCTGATCACGATCGCTCGAAATCCACAACTTCAACCCCATCATCCTCACACACATGGCGCTTGCAACCCGGGGTATATACCCCGCAAGAAATCGTCAGAGCACTAGCACCTCTCATCAACTCTGTAATTACTCGCCTAGGCCCAGATCCTCCTGATGCACCTATTTCCGCGCGACAAATACTTATTGATGGCGTTCTTTCATCTCTATCCATCGACACCCCACAAGCTACCATGCCCATATCTCCCGCCGTGACCGATCTATCTCGGCGAGAAATGGCATCGCAGGCCGTCCGCATTGGCGAGACATTAATCCGATGGGCGTACGAAGAACCAGTTCAGGAGACGACCATTACACTCCGTAGTCGATGCGATGGACACGTCTGGACACCAGCAGCGGCCTCATTACTCCGAGGCTCTCGCAGCGACAACCTGCAAATGCAACTCTACAACGAATGGCAGAACCAGTTGATTCTATTACGCGATGCGCTGCTCCCTTTCGTCAATTTTGAGGATGTCCAACTTGTCATTCGCCCCCATTCTGACGATGATGGTAGTCGTGGACTACGCAGTTTTGAGCTCCTGCGCGAACGCTTTATGCTGCAGTGTCTGACGAAAATAATTGAGCAGACCACTATAGTTGATGTGGCGAAGGCCTTTACAGCCCCAGATTTGCCATCTGGTGGGTTTGCCATTCAATATTCCGAGGGGCTTATTCTACCTGCCTATTTGTCCGGATGTGCCTCGCTGCATTTGCTGCAGTATCATCCTGCGCGAATTGACGACGGAGCCGTGGATTTATTATTCGTCTATGAATATGACGATTATTACAGTGCTCCGCGGACTGAAATCGGGGATTCGCTGGGTCTGATCCCTGCTGGGGTTTGGCCGCCAGCACTCCATTCCTCAAGGCAGCTAGCATCGCAACGCTCCGCGATCCCTTCCTCTCTCATCTCTTTACCTGCCCCCTCCGACCCATGTCTTCGTTACCTCAAACTAGAACTTGAACTGGATAGTTTCATCTCCGTCTCCATTGATCTCGGGCAGATAACACGCGGTCGACGATATGCCTATCACGTACATAATCAGGCTGAAGAAGCGGTTGTGAGTAATCCAGCATCGTCATCTACGTCTACAGGGCTCTCCAAACCAAGCTTCTTGCACAATGCAGCAGATGTGCTGAAACAACCGCATTTGGTATCGAGTACCAAGGATGGGTGGCATGTCATCTCCGCCACAGACCCGATTATTCGTCTGGCTCTGCTAGGCAAGCTGTATCCGGAAAATGTCATTACGCTCAGTGAGAAACAACCGGCTCGTAGTGCTGAGGCGATAGGGAAGGGATACGGTCCTCGCTTTATTATATATGGTGGAGATTGGGAGAGTGTGAGCTGACTTGACCATGTATCTGTTGATAATAGCAAAGGAATGAACCGAGTTGATACGTAGGCATTACTTAGTAATAGATTGGATAACTACTACATGATCCTCCTACCAGTAAATAGATATTAATTAATTTCATTATATTCAAAATAAATCAATGGAAAATTTTGACTATAAAGAGTTAATGCAGCGAGATAGCGAGCCTCATACTGACCGCGAAAGCCCGAGGAATCAAAGTGAAAGTGAAAGAAATAATAATTCTCCGGATAGCGAAGTACATCTACATCAATCCTTTCCTAGTCTACCGTCTAGCAGGTTTCAATGTTTGCGGCTTATTTAGCCTCGATGGGGAGCCCTGTCCAAGCGGAGACATAAAACATGTTGGTTCCGCTCACAAATTCCAACTCATGGCCATTCCTGCACTTTGGTAGAGAAGACGTGTGGTCCCAACAAAATTCCCACCTCCAGCAAACTCCATTACCTTCTGAAAAATGATGAGAACTACAGCTTCAACTATTCCACCACCTTGCAGAAAAATTTTGCAATCCGGTGGCGGCTCGTTGGTGTCTTGTAATACTGCCATGACGTCGTCTTGGGTCGACGCATTGCCGTTTCGGGGACATGTTGTAAATGTGCCCGAATAGGTTTCTTGACTCCCATCCTCATGGACCCGTAGACTTGTTTGTCTTCAGGTTATCACGTACCCGGCGCTTAACAAAAGACAGCCGGTCACGATTATACTGGATCCAGAATATACCATACTTGACATTGCCAGGGAGCAGATTTACTTAATGCAGAAATTCTGTGGTCATCACCACCCAAAATTCTCTATGTGAAGATAAACACCCTGCGCACCGGTTCCTTTATGTATAGCCCGTTCGTCACTCAATGATACAACACTCTGTCGCACATCTGTTGCCAGACCCTGTGGTCCACACACAACAACGGCACTTTCACCTTCGGCACGCTCGAGGGCCGATCGAATAATCGTGCGTGGGTGTGGTCTCCCGGTTTTTGTATTGAATTTGTTTGAGTTGTGTAGAGATAACAATGATGGAGACTGAGATGTGTTATCTACAGCTGCGGCAGGGCCGGAGCAGTTGCATTTTGCTGTTGACGATGAAATTTCAGTTTCGTCCTTGATTGTTGCGGTGCAGCAGCACGTGTAGCTGGGGCCGCAGTTTGCCTCCTGAATCACGTCTGTTGATTCTGAAGAAGAATAAAATGATCGTTCAAAAAGTGTCTCTGATTCATGTACCTTTTCGTGCATTTCTTTCTTCTCTGGCACAATCCGTGTATGAGATGTCCTATCATGAATACCGAGAATAGTCCGTGTAGCAGCGTCTTTTTCTAGTGTCTCGTCACAAGTAAGGTAAATGCTGATTTGTATTTCCTTGTTAAATGTCGGGCTCAATTGTCCACACAACCGTACATCTTCCAATACCGCTTTGAATTGAGTCTCGAGCCAGCTAAGCTGGCTGCGGGATTTTATGACCCAGACAAATCGGACTCGTTTCGTAACGGCAAGTCGCAGGGACGGCATTTTCGGGACTCTCGAAACCGTGCTGGACGAATCCTCACATTCCCGTTTCCATCTATGTACAATGTCTCGCATTAGTGGCATGGTATAGGTACATCCCATCCCACCGGCGAAAAAAACGACGCTGTCGAACTGGTGAAGTGGTCGGATGTTACCGTAAGGCCCTTCGATAAATACCGTTGTTTCATTCTTAAGCGACGGCTGTGTCTCACCCAAAGATGAGTTTTGCTTGGATGCATACTGAAAAAATCGTCGACTACCTCCCCTTTCCGCACGGACAAAGAAATCGAGTCTACCGTCACACGGAAGTGACATAATAGTAAACGGATGGCTCTGCAGGGGAGCTATTAAATGACATGCCAAAAACACGTGTTGACCCGGTTTCCAATCGATGACAGGGTTGGGTATCGAGATGTAACTGACGTTCCCCGGAAGAGGGGTGAAAGTAGCTTTGTTGGCGAACAGTGGCCCTTTCTTTTTCTCGGAGAAAAGATGGATTATCGACAAGTTGGCGAAAGCCAACACTAATATCCGGGCAAATCGATCGAAACACACAAGGCCAATGGGAATCCACACCCAGATTTTGACCTCACTAGGTGCATGAAGATAAACAGCAGCAAGAAAACCAGCCGTAGTTACGATATGCTGAATAACAAAAAATTCATAATTCCACTTGCGCAAGGGGGCAAATGAGGCGAGTAAAATAAAAGTGAGGACACACCACGCCGCAAATCCATGTCGGGTAAGGGAATCTGTCTGGAGCATGGTGACAATATAGTCATATTGGGCGTAATCCCTGAACCAAAATCCCATGTGGATAGTCGCTGATAGCCACAATGTTCGAGAAATCCACTGGTGATACCAGCTGAGACGTTCATAACTGGTTCCTGTCAACAAACCGATAATATTCTGTTTCCCCGCCAATAAAATCACCAGAGGCAACTGGCATATAGTCATGTAACCGGCACGGTATCCGATATTCTCCCAACTATAGTTGTCCAAGGTGTCAAAGCCATAGAACATCATTACTATGATGGTGACCAAATTAGCCAACACCAGGGACACAGGGCCCAAGGGCGCTAGACGAAGAGTGCAGTTTCCAAGAGCGATAGGTCGGAGTGTCGTATTTGCCACTTCTCTGGCCGTAGCCGTAATAGTTGCATACGTACTGAAGAAAATCGATTTTGGTTTGGATGGGGTGGATGACTTATCGCAGAGTCTGGCAATATAATTAGCAAAGCCCAATGTTCGCAAGTCGCTATGGGATGCACCGTTGATATGCGAGGAAGCGATCCAGCACGTTCACCACTGCGGCAATAGCAATAGCAGCGCCAACGACCGCCCAGTAGTACTGTTGGAAGTCAAATAGGGTAGGTATGCCATTCCCGCTGGACATACCACCCATGTCCATACCTGACATATCCATGGTGGGCAATGGGATTTAATTAAATATCAAACAATAAGTTCAGTGCATGTTTAGTGTGTGGTATCAGATGAACGCGGTCATCAGTGAATCAAGTCAGCGTCCAACCAGCGAAAAATGGAAATCACTTTCAAGTGATAAAGAGGATGTCTTGAGTTGACTAAGGTAGAAATCGATTTACATGACGGGAATTGTCAGTTGTCATTGCAAGGAGCCCCCTGCGGCGGGCCACCTTCCTCATTGGATAAAATGTGCTCAATGAGCCCCACCAAATCAACTCTGCCATTTTCTCCGGCTTGTCCAATCCCAAGATCACACTGCATCATCGTGATAGCACTACAAGTATGCATGTCTTCGCCTTCCATTCCTTTCATCTACAGTGATTGACAGCCCAGAATCCCTTCTGCACAATGGATATGGGCATGTCTTCCGGCACCTCAATGGTGTTCTCCAACAGCCAAACCACACCGCTCTACTCGTCCTCCTGGACGCCAGCCACATCTGGTCAGTATGCAGGAACATGTATTTTCCTGATAGTCCTTGCAATCATCGCCCGTCTCCTCGTTGCGTTCAAAGCTGCTATGGAACGGAAATGGCTGGCGACTGCCCTCAACCGCCGCTACGTGGTGATTGCAGGCAAACCGACAGAGTCGGACATCATAAATTCAACAAACGTCGACCCAGACTCAGCCAAAACGGCACTTCTTACAACACAAGGCATACAAGAGAATGTCAAAGTCGTACGACGGCTCTCGCAAGGCCCGCAACCCTGGCGATTCAGCGTGGATCTTCCTCGAGCGCTGCTCTTCCTTTGTATCACCGGTGTCGGTTATCTTCTGTAAGTTCTACGAGTTGTGCAGCGAAACGATATACAAGGTATGGGTACTGATGGAAGCAGGATGTTGGCTGTTATGACCCTGAATATCGGCTATTTCATGTCAGTCCTCGCTGGAGCATTCATAGGCGAATTAGCGGTGGGCCGACATATTGAGTGGAACGAACATTAGACTAAATTGCCACTGAAGCTACCTTCTATGTATACAGTTTGTCCAGAGTTTCCTATCGTCTAATGGAATAATGCAGTCAACCACTTGTTCTGCTGTCATAATGAAACAGGGCCGAAGCAGGACGGAGAAACACAGTTTTGTACGTGTTACTTCTTGCGGTTAGCGCAGTCCACCCCGTGATGAGAGTTGTCCAATCACCGCTGTCGGGTGATCGGACCCACTCAGAAGTTAAAAGTTAGCGCCATTCTCATACCGTCTACAGCCCAATCCGGAAAGGCGTGAGTAAAAATGAGCAGAAATGAGCAGATTTCATTACTACCGCCAATCTTGTTGTCATTTATGATTAGTATTACGAGATGAATGCCATACCCATGATCTATCCACCGCTAGGCCTGTTAATAATAAGCCTCTGTGCATGAAGAAAACGTGGTGCAGTGAAGCGAGGTGTGGACCATTCTGCGAAAGATGACCAGAAAACAGGAACTACAACCCGAGCCAATTCTCGAATATCATCATTGTTTCGAGAAAGATTCTCAAGAAGCAACAGCCTTTGATATGAGCAGTGGATTGCCAAGTCCAAGACGATAGCACATGGCGTTGTCATGAGCAATGCGTGCTCACTACTTCTCTGCTGTAGAATGGACGGGATATGAATTTGACCGCAGAATAGTATAGTTCAATCTTAATTTAATTCCCGGCCATATATCCCACAAAGTCTCTCCTCCTTGGCACTCGTGATTGCCCATACTTTAAATCCATACTTTAAACCCCTACTTAATCCTTGTTCTCCCCGCTTACGACATAAAGTCTCTTCTCGACATCAACATAGGGCTCTTTCAAACCAACTTGCTCTGATCAATCTTCTATTATCATCATTAGCACACAAAACCTGAGTTCCATTCAGAATGCATCCCTTTCTAAGCTTCCTTCCGTTACTGCCCATCGCTGCAGCCCATTTCACCCTCGACTGGCCCGCTTCTCGCGGCTTCGACGAGGATAAAATGCCCACCTTCCCCTGCGGCGGATTCGACACCCCCTCATCAAACAGAACCACCATTGCACTCAACGCAAATGCCATTCCAGTCGATATCACATTCCATCATTCTCAAACCGCCGTGTCGTATCTTCTCGCCCTGGGGTCCGATCCCGGAAGCAGCTTCAATATCACCCTCGAACCAACACTAGGAGCCCACGGTCTTGGGGAATTCTGCTTGCCTAGTATCCCGTTAGATTCAAAGACCCTGGGGACGTCTCTACATGATGGACAAAATGCCACATTGCAGGTTGTGACAGACGGTGATAGTGGCGGCGGTCTATACGCTGTAGGGCTCTAATTCCTTTCCCAATGCGTTGAAATCTCAGTGACTAATTTACAACTGGCAGTGCGCTGATATAATCTTTTCATCAAAAATCACATCCAATACACCAAGCTCATGCAAGAATAACACTGGGGTCGGCGCGACTCCTTTCTCCGGAAGCGCGGCCACTCGTATTGCCAACGAGTCTAATGCAAATGGTGATGCCCAAAGCGGCGCAAGCACTTCAGGTGCTGCTAGTGTTACGAATACTGCCAGCACTGCAACTGCTTCTAGCAGTTCTTCATCGTCAACTTCCTCTGGCATCGCTGCGCCTTTGCAGACCGCGGGATGGGGAGTTTTGGGAGCTGCTGTTATCGGTGGTCTTGCTATTCTGTAAATGAACGGCGTCAGGTCAAATATGGCATAGTTGATGGTCTTAGTGGGAGAACATGTTACAGTGGCATTAAAAGATGGTAAAAGTTCCCAGAGTCAATTGTATGAACTCAGCAAGAAACATTCTAGGGAGATCGGCTCTTAATTCGTCTCTCGGTTAACAGAGATGGTTGAAAGGCTTCTTAATATGGGCGTCGCAATTAAGCCGAGACATTCTCCATATCCATCCATAATATCCATGTATGCATTCACCTAATAGTAGTTGGCTATGACGTGTAGTGCATATTAGGGTTATTGTTAACAAAAGGCTCTGGGAGCTATTCATGATAATACTAGCATCTATTGCACGTCAGGTGTTAATTTGACGGCCTATTTGAGAAGCCTGAATTTTGAATAACTGGCAAATCTAATTTATACCCAGTTTACTAGTGGAACTAATCGTTTATAATTTTTCAAGTAATGGCAAATTCCTAGAAATTAACAGAAAAATAACATGTAAAATCCATAGTTCTTATATACTATTCTCCAGCATGTTAGATTATACTAACTAACTAATATATCTGTAAGCTAGGGCTTTGGGGAACAACCCTAACCAACAAGGTAAAAAAGACCAACATTAATCGCCCAATGGCGTTTAATCCCCAAACTCGCTTTATATGAACATGATGTAACTGTCAAATCAAACGACATCGATGCCTGAAGACTAAGGCATCAATAATCTTACAATTACAGTGTTCTTGTATGGGCTCTGGGAAGGAGATAAAGATGCTATCTAGTTGAGATTCTTAAAACACCTGAATGAAGTTAGATATAGATTACTTATAGATCTTCTATTTAGTATTTTGCTTACCCTAGACTTTAAAATATGTATTTTATTGTAACGTGGATAGGTCCAGGAAGCATGCTTATGCCGAATCCAGCAAGACCGGGGCCAGATATCTATGGAGTCAATTGTGATATATCATGATTGATACCATAAGACCCCGGGCATGATGCAAGTACCCCTCACTTCGCAATATAAGCTTGTATCTAGTTAGATTAGGTATCAATGGCCTGAGAGATGGACTCAGGCATATAAGCTTGGTTTTCTACCTGGAGGGAAGAAACCAAGCGATATCTTTTGTATAATTGTTGACATAACTTTCAATATATGCCTACTCGGCTTCGAATAGCCTTCAGTTCGAAGCTTTCTATATCTACATAATCAACACCGATAACTACTCCCCTAGTGGCCTTGCTTTATAGCCTTAATATCAAGCGGTGAAGCTTCAACTCACCCACTTCTAGTCTTTCTAGACACCACTGGATACGGCCCTGCCCGGACCGTGTTACAATTTTTCTATATTCTAAAGATATATAAGTTAGAGTTTATTAGTTTATTTCTATTAATCAGCTTAGATACTATTTTCTTACACATTTGAATATTATTAATAAGATAGATAGATCACTACATATATTTAAGGATAGAATAATAATATATATGGATAAGGTGTTCATATTTTATTTTAAAGGTTTTAATTATTCTTCGCTTTTAAATTATCTATTACAGATTGATATAGAATAAGAGAGTGGAGGTAAGTAAAAGTTGCGTCGAGTTGATGAGCAACTGCAAACCAAGGAATAATTAAGCTCTTTGATTCATTGCTTGATAGATTCTGTCCTGGAGTGAATCACAGTTTAGGGAAAGCTTTGTTGAGAAGAGTTTAGAGACTAGGGAAGATGCCAGTAGACAATTAAGCAGAAGAGTAGAATGTTATAGACTTAGCATCCAAGAAAATCTGAGCGGAAGGTAGTCTCCCAAGAGCTTCTTTACCTTTCTCATCCAAATTAGGATATTGTTTGAGACTGATTAGGTCCTTCCAAAGAGCCCTTGCATCACAATTCGTGCTCTAACGAAGAGCCTTGGTACCTCCGAGCCACATTGTTTCAGCAATTAGAGGAATATAATCAGATGGGACCCGAAGAGCGGTCTATGTAACATTAGATGTGGGTGAAGAATATATTAGAGCCCAGCTTACAGAAGCTCTTGCTGAGTGTGCAAAGTAGATGTGCAGGCTCGAGGCTCGACTCGAGCTTGCTCTTCTCCTTTCTCCCCTAGCTTTAGATAGACAATTGTACGGCAACCTTATGTTGAACAAACAGTGGCTTAGCCCCTTACAGTCAATGCGACTTAGGTTTACTAAATAGCCAGAAGTGGATTATAGACCTGTGCCGATATTATTAGAGTTTATTAGGTATGTTAGCAAGATGTGTACCCACACACAATTCGAAACGGGTGTCGCGGGGCTAAGCTAATCAACGCTGTTGGCGTGGCCAATTTTGGTCACTGGGGCCGGGGTAGCTTGTACCCCCAAAGTACTCCATAGTAGAAGCAGCATAGTAAAACCCAAACCAGATGCTATCTTATACACCAATAGCTCAGCGCGCGAGGGTACGAGTGAGGCTTACTATCGCCGATCAATTCGAAGCCAAACTGAGGTTTCCGGTTGCAGGTCAGCCCTGTCGTATCGATGATTCAAGCGATGCAAAACTGTTGAGCCACTGACAGTGACTTGACTAAGTAGCTCAGGTACTAGCACCACTGAGTGTCCTTTTTCGAGGGTTTTTTTTTTCATTTAGAAACAGCAAGCAAACTTAAAATAAATGAGCAGTGTGTGGATTCTCGGCAAAGATTCCTAACTGGTGTCTCAGACTAATATGACATCAGCCATGTACTCAGGACAATAGTTGACAGCAAATCCTTACCAGCCGGATTCTCATCAGTGACATGCATTGATCGCTACCAAGCGGAGCTAGATCCTCTGTCAGCAGCGAGTCCTAAGGTCGTTAGTGGGGCCGTGCTCACTGTAACTGTGCCTCTAGTCAGGTCGTTGTTCTTCCTCATGAATCACCAACGCTGGTCAGCAGCCTTCAAATGCTGATTTTTTTTCTCGCCAGAAAACCATCTCTTCTCACTGCTAGCACTACACCAGTGTATCCAGGACATAAACAGCCTACAACGGCTGCTTCAAAATTCGTTTAGAATCTAGACAACAATACTGTCACACCACTTTATACATCACCAATCTCACCATCGCCTAGCCATCATGTCGGTTGTCACTCCCGAAAAATATATCGCCGCTCAGGCTAAAAAAGAGCATCCTGTTCTTCCGGAGCAACTTGAAGCGCTGAGAAATTTTCTTACAAACCCTACCATTCCAATTTCTAAAGTTGCGGAGGATTTAACTGCACCTGTAATCGAACTTCACCAGAAAACCAAACAAGATCCCGATATTTTACACAAATTTGACCACGGCACCTTGTGGGAATCCATCTCTGACGCCGTCAGACAGTTAACGGATTTTAATGACAGATTGGTCGATCTTGTTACGGCGATTCAGAAAGTACCCGATCCCGAGGGACACTTTGCTTCCATGGTTGACTATACGCAATATTGGACCGAGTTTGCCTATGACTGTATATCTCCCTAATACACGTTAACATGTGCCAGCATCTGCTGTTTTGTACACAGCTGACACTCCTTGCAGTTAAAGTCCCCCGGTCAAACGACCCAGACCGCGAAGCAAAGGCGCAGGCGTGGGTCAATATCAATGCCTTTTGCTCCAAAATCTCCACACGCCGCGTCCCAGTGCTCGACGAACGAGAACGCGCTGCGTGGGTGCTCAAAGAAACGCTTGAAATGGCACCATGGGAGGAATTTCACCACTCTGATCTGGATGAGAAACTAGAAGAATATCCGGATGATGAAGTTGTTGCAGAGCAGTGTCAATACGAACTGGAGTGTCGTGATGTTAGGGTCCTTGATTACTGGGCCCCTGCCGCTGCCGTGTGGATGAAGATTGATGCCAAGGGTATCTACGACATGGAGGGCAAGATTTCTGAGGCTGATGAGCAAGATTGGTATCCAACAACCTGGAAGGGGCCTAAAGGCTGGTCGAAAGACCGGTTTTCGTACTGGATCGAGCGATTTGAGTGGATTAGCAAGGTCACGGCCTTGAAAATGTCAACAAGGAAGGATGCGGCTGAGGCTGCTGAGAGTATGAAGAAAGTCGTGAAAGGAAACTAAAACCATGCTCAGCCCGATACAATTCTAGCTTCCTTCTTTCCTAGTATTCTACAAGGTTTTCCTAGTCTTGTATCTCTCTCTTATAAATGCCTCGAGAAATTACTAGCTACTGACGTGCTACGTCCGATACTGTTTGATTGTTGGGGTAAACTGAAAACGGATGGGACTATTCTATAGTCATTCATTCTAGCCATTTATGCAGTCTCGTATTCCGGATCCATACATCCACATGACACCCCTCATCATATCAAGTCTATTTGAAAGCGATCGCTTCAAATATTGTTTTGGGTCTTATGCAGAGCAAGATCGAGTGATCTGAAGCGATGAGTCAAGGCCGATGTGATTGAGGCTCAAGGTGTGAGTACCCGAGAATAGATCGAGATCTATAGTTCTCCACCTTCTCAGCAGCAAGCCTGGGTAAGATCTAGATATTAGTCTGTGGTTCTAGAACCAATTTCGCCTTGAGACTAATCATCTCTGCTCAGGCTAAACGCAAGCCTACTACGAATCAGAATCCAAGGTTATTTGTCTGATCTAGGTCTAGATCAGCGGCTTCCGGATTTACTTTGCCTGATTCAATTCATTTGCTCTATGATCGTGCTCGCTTCTGGCTTCATGAAAGTAGTTGTTAGGATCTATGTGTTAGAAAACCAAATCTGTGTATATATTGTTAAATATTCACATTTCTTGCCTCACCCTTTACTGCGAAGGGGCTGAATGTTGCATAGGCACTCTAGCAATTAAGGAATTAAGGAAGCTGGCAAGTCCGCTGCTATGTATTTGGCTATTTCCCATATAAACAGTAGCTTGTATACCATAAATGGTATACTGAACGTCTGGGAATTTCCCGGTCAAATACAAGAGGTGAGATCTGTGCCCTGGAATATATCCTTTTTTGCAGCTCCGAAAACCTCAAAAATATCGTTCACGCTCCTCTATCCTTTTTACGTACTATACTATCTATAATATAGTTTATCTTAGAAATAAGATTCTAAGATGTTAAATTACTTCAAGGTCTAGTTAGCTAAATAATATTAAATATTAATGTTATAATAATAAGCTATCGCATGATTTTTCCCCCAAAGTGCCCAAGGTTTCCCTGTTGATGCGGAGACCTCAAAAGCGCCGACCGGGAGCGCTAACCCAGAACAGGGAGTAGAATATGGTATTGCGGCTAGCTTCAATTGGCAGAGATAACGCTAAACCTAACTTGATACGTGATCAGCCAGCCCGACTTGAGGTGAGGCTGATGAACCTAGCCTTCCAGAGACTCCGCTATGCTGACCAATAGCCTGCCAGTCAATTTCTAAATCACGTGATAGTATTGACTATTGAGCGCCACGACCCGCTAAAGGCGAAAGGGGATCGCCCATTAAGTGCGGAGTACTAGCTATGCTCTGAGCGAATTCATGCAAAATACACTTCGTACTATCATCATTTTTAAATCCGACGTACAGAGCACATGAATCGCCAATAGAACAGGGGCTGGGATACTGTGATTGGGCGCCGCCAAGGGTAGAACCGACGGCCCGCCAAGCCAGCCAAGATCTCCTTCGGGATCACGATGCGGCTGGCACCAATCATTAGCCGCCAAGAGGACGGACAAATCACCAAACCGAACTGAATAATCGCAGGAGCTGTGTTTTTTTTTTTTTGCGCCTGACAGCTACAGCCTGCAGGACCCAGCCTGCAATCTCGGATTCTCTTCTGAATCTCGTATTATTCTTTTCTCCTTGCTTCTTGGGTGGATATTCTCTAGTCACACGTGGATTATATTCCGTCTATTTTCCTACCTCCGATTGTTTTAATATTTTTGATTTTTTCCCCTTCAATCTTGGGTCAAGTGTCAACTGACAATTCGGCGTGCGCTGTATTAATTGATGTTCCCCGCTTTCAGTTGTTATGCGGCTGTCAATTGATGACTCCGAAAAAACCCATAAAACTTCAATCAATTACTAATATTTTTCCGATTCGACATCTTAATGACTTCAATTATTCACCGACGGCCCAGCAGTGCCAATTCCAAGAACGAAGCCTCCTCAAATGTTCTTCCACGACATAACAGCGAGAAAACCAACCAACCCAAGGTCCTGGGACTTTTCCGCGTCCAGACATCCGGGGAAAGCGGAAGAAATGGCTTCCACCCGGTACACTTTTTGAGAGTATGTTTCCGAAGCACATGTACCGTTTCCATGGTCGTCAATATTCTCTGGCCATTCGTCCCCGCTGCTATTGTCATAGCATTCGCTCGGCCGGATCTTGACCTTTGGGTATTCATTCTCAATTACATCGCTATCGTACCGAGTGCGAATCTGCTGGGATTTGCTGGTGGCGAGCTGGCGCGTAAATTGCCTAAGGTCTGGGGTATCCTGCTGGAGACGTCACTGACTTCGGCCGTCGAGCTTATCCTGTTTATGGTCTTGATTAAGAAGAACGATCACAATGACTTGATCTCCGTCATTCAAGCCGCTATTTTGGGTTCGATATTGGCCAATCTGCTCTTGTGTCTGGGCTTGTGTTTTTTCATTGGTGGCCTAAGGCGTGAAGAGCAGATTTTGCACGAAGCTGTTAGCGAGGTTGGATCTGGACTACTTCTTGTCGCTGGCTTCGGATTGTTGATCCCGAGTGCCTTTTTTTCCGCATTGTCTGGCGCTGTCTCGCCGAATGGCACCTTTACCGCCGATGAACTTCTCTCAAACACGAGAAAGATTAGCCGGGCCACCGCTATCATTCTCTTTGCGGCCTTTTGCATGTGTGCATTCTAATATTATTACTATTACCTCACCACAGAAAAAGCTGACTTCTAACTTAGGTTTTTATGGTACAATCTCCGCACACACCACAGTATATTCGATGAAGTTCTCGAAAACGACGAGAACCAAAACAATGATGGAGAAAAGGAACGAAATCGGCCTAAACTCACTCTCCCCGAGAGTCTTGTTGCGATTGCGGTTTCCTTAACCTTAGTCGCTCTTTCCGCCGTGTTCTTGGTTGAAAATATCCCTGCTATCAGAAGCCGAGGTGTGCCGGATAATTTCATCGGTTTAATTCTGGTTCCGCTGGTTGAGAAGGCGGCAGAACATTTGACTGCGATTGATGAAGCATGGTAGGGGTTCATTCACATAGAAATTTCAAAATTTAGACAACCGCTAATGATGATTCCGCAGGGATAATCAAATCAATTTTGCACTTTTCCACTGTCTTGGTCCGTCTATTCAGACTGCCCTACTGAATTCGCCTCTCGTTGTCATTGTTGGCTGGGGACTCGGCACAGATATGGATCTTAATTTTGAGATTTTCATGGTCGTGATGCTCGTGATGTCGATCTTGGTTGTGGGCAACTTCATGCGCGACGGCAAGTCGAACTATATGGAAGGCGGCCTCTGCGTCTTGGTGTATCTAATTATTGCCGTGACGGCGTGGTACTACCCAAACCCAGAAGACGGCACGACTAACGTGCAACTGCCTGCAAAATAGAGCCGGCCTTGGCTTATATTCCCAAAAAGGACTCTGATTTTCAGGCCGATTTTTTCATGCATATTATTGTCTCGTAATTCAGCATGTTTCCCTTACAGCTCATCGATATATTGGTACATAAATTAGCTTGTGATTTATTTCCACTAGCGATATAATATACATCTCATTTATTCATTCTTCATCACAAACAGAATCGAATCTCGCTTCTGCGGTTCCATCCACGGAATCACATAATCCCCCTTTTCCGTCTTCTCCTCCACAAACCCACACTTGCGCAACACTTTAATCGAGGGTAGATTTTCAGTATCCACCCATGCAGTTAGCTGATCGAATTTCGATTTGAGTGTGAAATAATTCCCGGAATACTCCTTCAACGCTTCTGTAGCGTAGCCCTTGCCCCACGCCGAGGGATGAAAGATGTAACTTAGTTCAGGAATCGGGTCGGTTTTATGTGTACCAATGACGCCAATTAAATTTTTATCTTGATCGTCTGTTGCTAATTCATCTGGTTTGAGGAAAATTGCGTAGACTTCTGCATCTGGATTATTTTCGACGAGGAGAGCAGCCATCCAGGAGCGAGTATCGTCTAGAGATGTGCAGATGCCATGGGAGCTATGAGTTTTTAATTAGTCTGTTTTGCATGATCAATGACTTCATCATTTAGGCCCATCTCATACCTCCATCGAGTAGCTTCTTTGATAGACCAGATCCGATAATAGCCCTCCAGATGATCACTGGTAAAGCGTGTTAATATTAGGCGGGACGTCTCCATGGTAATATTAAATCTATTTTAGCTTCTATACAAACCAAAATTTGACAGAAATATTCAATTGTTGTTTTAAATTCTGGATCTTCGCTTGTATTTAAGTAAATGCCGAGCTCTGGAATGAGGCTTAGCAAACCTCGCGGGATCCACGAATTGCCGTGTTGGGAAGGTGAATATGACTCACTATGAACAAAGTTTTATCCGAATTTTTCTTTTAACCTACGCCGTTAATATTGGTCCCAAAAGTTTTTATGGATATATAGACAGTAGAAATATACTAGTGTAGTGCGCGATTATTACTTATATGGTGTTTTATTCAAGCTATATGTAACGACATAGCTACATGTGCAATTTCCATCACCGCCGAACCAAGACATGGCCACTGACCAACAGCATGTTCAAGAACTAACTGCTCTCTGATCTTGTCCTGACTTCCGTGCAGAGAGGTGTATCGCATCATCCGTGTTATGACCTACTTCTTTCCATAGCCATCATTCCGGTCAAATGTTATCATGTAGATCTCTCTTGATACAAATATTATCAATGAAGATGAGATTTGTCTAGACATAATGAGCGGTGGACTTCGGTGTTGGAGCTCAACAATGGGTTCTATGGGAGGACGAGGATAAGGTGTTCCGTGGTGACTTGCGTAGCTGGGAAGCTATGCCTTGGTTTTTAAAGAAGTGGGAGATGCTTACAGGAGAGCAAAATAGTGATATTAGTTTAAATAGTGATTTGTGGAGATCTCTACGTGGAGGCCAGCCGTAGAATTCGACATATAGAAACGAAGGGGGGTATTTGTGCAGACATGCCTTTGTTAAGTATTATTTAACAAAGAGGGTCCATACAACGCATTGAGACTGTATAGACATGAATTTCAACGAGAAGATTGAAGCGACCTGCTATGGTAGCATGGCCTGTAAAATTAACACTTGAAAAGTATTGTTACGTAGTTTATCTGATTTGAGATAAGTTTTGACTTGGTCCTCCGTCCACTCCCCAAACTTCTTTACTTAAATCTTCCGACAATAGGTCCTGTCGGCGTGGTTCAATGCGACCGAATGGATAAACTACCGAGTTGGAGACAATGAGAAAACTAACCAGGAATTGAATACATACTCCATCCTCCGTTATTCAAACTCGTAATTTCTGGACTGAGTCCAGCAAATAGCTCGGCATAAGCACCATTTATTGGCTCCTTAGCGAATCCATTCTAATTGTGTATCAGTATCTATATTCGCAATAAAATAAATCATTGAACTCATACTACAAATAGCATCTGAATCGATGACATTGTACGGCCAAGGTCTGTCTTGCAAAGGCCAGGATCAATAGTCTTATTTGCATAGATTAGCCACTGTAGCGAACTGCACGAACGATCAGAAGAGCTCACCAAGCTGAGAATCCTATCGTTTGCAAATCTTCTCGCAAATTCAATTCCAAGTAGTACAGTTGCAGCCTTACTTCTTCATATTTTAACCACTGACTTTCCTCCCTTCTGTAATCTATATTAGTAAAGTCAATGGGGGGCTTTGGTGCCGTCAGCGCAGCGGCAGAGGCTACCCATACTACTCGCACTGTTTCTTTTGGTGTAATCTTGGCTGTTTCAGCTATGACTGGGCGAAGGTGGCTCGTGAATAAAAAGGTTCCGATGCCATTCACCCCTAGTTAAAGCTCGTAGCTGTTTTGGATCCTTGAGGTGGCACCATCACAACTGCATTGTTCCACAAAACATCCAGGCGATGTTCCTTCTGGAGGAAAGTTTGTGCAGACTGCTTTATTATCTTCAAATCGCTCAAGTCTAGGTATTGATGATTGAGATGACATTGCGAGTCCGGGTACGCACGTCGTAGCTCTTTCTTTACGTCCTTGGCCTTCGTCTCGGAGCGGACGGCAATACAGATCACGGCATTTCGTTGGTATAGTATTCTAATAAGCTCCAGTCTTAGACCACTGGAACTGCCAGTGACTATGAACACCTAGGTATAAATTAGATGCCGATTTCAACTTGGTGAATAGGAAGATAGGTTACCTTTCCGCTTTGGTCAGGCAACTCTCGTTCGGTAAAGGTCGCTTTGTACGAGAAAATAGTTTTCCACAAAGTACTCATCTTTGCTTAGTTGTCAACTATTTAGAAGAAGAAAAATGGAGCGAAAACCCTTCATATAAATACCCAAAATTGCCTGGTTTGTTCTAAAGACGCTAGCCAATTAGAGCCTTCAGATGCACGCAACGTAAGCATTTATTGAGAAGAGATCCCCTAGATACAAACCTCGTAGCCACCTGCTAGTCGGTTAGAATAGTTAGTTTGATTCTGAAAATGCTTGAAATTCATCTTGATCTTTTTTTATATCATGATGTTTGTGATGGCTGGTGAGGAGGCGAAGTCACATGATCATACAGCCACTGCAGTGTCCTCCTGTTTTATTTTTGCCATTACTTTGTTAATTTGAGATAATACAACGTAATATATATGTGGGAAAATTGAGTTGCTAATTGATTAGTATGTTTGTGTAACTTGACACCGGAGATGGACAATCACTTAGAGATGTTTCAAATGAGAGCAGGTTAAATGGTTTTTATGTCGTTGTTAAGAACCGATTAATTTTATGTCTCCAAGTTTCACTTGGCCAATTATTTCTCCATGGGCCTTTGTCATTCGATTGTAATTTTTTATCTCGGTAATTTGTGGATTTGATTATACTTCAGCGAACAATAAGGGCTATAAGGTGGGTCTAGACCGCAACCACACATCTAATAGTTGATTATTAACAACCAACTTTCATATGATCCGACCAAGAGAGTTGTTATTATTGCTCATTCAACAAGACCTCGTAATAAAGGAGAACCCCAGCTGAAACCCGAAAGCCGCCGAGGGCTGAGACTCGGATTATGCCTGGGGGCGATTATTATTTTTGAGTGTGTGCTAGACGTCACAATGACCATTACAAAAATCAATTTCGAATGAAAAAAAAATATCTGGATTGTAGAATATATTTATAGCTTGCATGTAACCTCGATGTCAACTCGTAATTACGAAGAATTGGAATTGCTGGAGTTTCTATACTTGTCTCGGGTTCTTCGGCTGCAAACAGTAATACCGAAATACCTAATTACGTCATGTGAATCGGAGGGAAGGCTTCAGCAGCGGCTTTTTCTTACATGAGTTGCCGCCGATCGGTTTAGCGGCCGCTACATGCCTGTTAAAAATAATCATTCTTGTTGTGTTTATCGTTGTTCATGCTGACCATGCGCCGCGGTTAACTCTGTCTCGGGGTCCGAGGCTCATTCACTCTCGTTCGGGGGATATCGTCTCCGCAATGATTTCGCTTTATTTCTAGCTTGATTTCCCCGGATTTGACGATCAGATAAAACCGACCATTTCTTGTTCAATAGAGACGGGAAAAAAAAAGATATTTCATAAGAAAAACAGACCTTACAAACTAGCAGAAATGCTTGAAAGTTGATCGTCTGCCTTATCGCTGACACGGTAGGCGGGCGCAAGCATGCCTCGGCTTATTCCGGAAGTACGCATAGTCGAGGTTGGCCCTAGGGATGGACTGCAGAGTATCAAAAATGCTATCCCGACAGAAACTAAAATCGAGTTAATACATCGGCTTCGAAAGGCAGGTTTACGGGCAATCGAGCTCACCTCGGTAGTTTCTCCGCATAGAATACCCCAGCTAGCAGACTGCCAGCAAGTTCTGGCAGATCCTACCATCAAATTGCTCCTCGCAAATGAGCAGGAAGATCTTCGATTACCTGTGCTTGTGCCTAATACGAAGGGACTTGAAATTGCACTATCTCATGATGTAAAAGAAGTGGCCGTTTTTGTCAGCGCCACAGAGGGATTCAGCAAGGCCAATATCAACAGTACGGTACAACAAGGGATTGAAAAGGCCCGCACAGTGGCACAGAAAGCGATTGAGGCGGGAATCGCAGTGAGAGGGTACGTAATACTCGAATCTAGTTCCTTGAAAAAAGCCGCTAATGTTTCACCTCTCTACTTAGATATGTATCTTGCATTTTTGTGGACCCATATGATGGCCCAACAAAACCATCAAGTGTCTTGCACTGTGTGAAAGAGCTGATAGACATGGGCTGCTATGAAGTCAGTCTCGGCGACACCACAGGAGCTGGCACCCCAGCAAAAGTCACGTCGCTAGTTAGATTCCTAGAGAGAAACGGTATTCCTTTAGACCAGCTGGCTGGTCACTTCCATGATACGTATGGACAGGGAGCCGTAAACGTTCTACAGGCATATCTTTGCGGAATTCGTGTTTTTGACAGCAGTGTTGGTGGCTTAGGTGGATGTCCATTTGCACCGGGCGCAAAAGGGAACGTATCAACGGAAGATCTTGTCTTCATGTTCCACAATGCTGGAATAAACACAGGGGTTGATCTAGCCAAACTTGCTGAGAGTGGAAGATGGATCACAGAGCGACTCAAACAGCCAGGCAGTCGGAGCAGTCAGTGTGTGAGAGAACTTCGGCCAAGAGAGAAGAAGTCGCGGCTATCTTCTTTTCGACCGGTGGTGTATGTAAAGGAGTCGTGGAACCGCGTAAAATACTCGGACAGCCTCCACATATACCAGACCGGAACTGATTTGAATGTGGTCTTGAATCGACCGAACAGCGGAAATGCTCTTACCAAGTCCATGATTTCCGGGTTGATTGGATGCTTTAGAAACCACAGCTCCAATCCCTTGATTTCTCGTATCATTCTCACAGGAAACGGCAGGTATTTCTGCACCGGTCTGGATGCGCGGAACAAAAATGGAACAAACAGTGAAAGAAAACCTCGGTTCGATGATCTCATGCAACTATTCGAAATGATAGACCAGTCCCCGAAAACCGTTATTGCTTGTCTCAATGGCCATGCCCGTGGTGCTGGAGCCGCCTTGGCTTTTGTTTGTGATCAGCGAGTTATGGTGAAAACAGCGACTGTTGATCTCAGCGAGACCAGGAGGAGACCATTCCCAGTATTTGTATCACGGTACGGGGGTTTGGAATGGAAACACACACTTGGGTCGGATGCAATTTCGTCATCACGTCCTATCACCGGAACAGAGCTGAAGACTCTGGGGTTAGTTGCAGAAATCGCGGAAGGACAGAAAGATCTACGGATGAAATTAGAGACACATTTGAATTGCCGGGGAACAATCACCAAAAATGGATGTTTGGCCAACAAAGAAATCGACTCGGATCAGTCGGAGCGATATAAGTTGGCTAGAATGTAATCGATAGCAGGAGCCTCCCCCCAGTTCTTAGATACTGTTTAAGCCTTTTTCTATGTAATTCTACTATAGTGGCAGTTTAGATATGTGTGATAGACCGTTAACAATATTATAAAAGATTTATTATAGTGGTTTTCTATATAATGAAGATGTTACTTAAGATACTTCTGAATTAAGAATAAGAAATCTATTCAAGAAAAAAGCATTTAATTAGATTTTGTATACACGTTTTATGTATTTCTGATCTTAGAGAAATTATATGGTCTATACTAGTGAGGATATACATTAGTCGTTCTTCGTCCGAACAGAAGGCTGGCTCCTTCTTGGGCTAAATAGACCGTATATAACGAATACGGTATTCAGCAACTTAGGCCTTTAATCTAGCATATAGAATTACATTATCGTTGAAAAGACATGAACCAGGAAGACAAAAACATTTACTAGTTTCTGGTATAAGTTTATTCTCCACAAATAGGTATGCAATCGAAAATATCACTAATCGGCTGCGTCTCGGCGAACACTCAGTGATGTTCATCCTTTGATGAACAGAAGTTCCAGGTTTTCTAATCTTCCGTCTGAAGTTCAAGATTTTCTGTAGGCATTATTACTGAAGATGATATTTCTAGAGATGGCTCGAAAGTATTCTCTGTCATTTCGTTAAGAAAGCCTGGTTCGTTTGAACAAATTTCTGTCGGATCACGAGAAGCAGCATAAGAGTGAATTGCAGATCCTTCCTCGCGGATAATCTGTTTCATCCATCAATCGTCGCTCACATCTTTCCCAGTGGCAAGTGACTAGTCTAATAGTGAGCATATGTCGAAATACAGGCTTGGCTCATAAATGAAAACGTCAGAGAATGATCGTAATTCCACGTGACACAAGAGGGAGCTATCACCTATTCCGGCCTTGTCAGAGTCAGTCAATGAGATAGTAATGCCGCATCTATCTAGTTTGATCCTTTCGAACGTATATAGCAAAGCATTGATACGATTTGTGACGTGACGGGTGTCATATTGATTGTATACAACCGAGTGACATGGCTGAAGTACGATAAATAGCGCCGTGGTTTGGCTCTAGCGAAATATGTCGAAGAAAGATAGAGGTTTAGATTCAGAAGGATATGTAGCACAATTGTTTATCAACACTAGTTTTATTTTTTTTTAAGTTCCTCACAGATCTATTCATCAAAACAAGACGTAGACACAACAGACAAGAGAGAGAAATAGGGTAGCATACGAGCTAATGAGAAGATATTTAAAAAGCCATTTTCGGTTAAATTTTCTACTTCTCGGCATATATGGCTTACTACCTCTTTGAGACTCATCTTGCAGCTGTTGACTAAGTTGATTTCTTCTCGGCTCATTTCGAACCACATCTCATCAAAAGAAAAGCTACATGTTTACAAATTACAATCCGCGCAGACCTAGAGCAAGCAGTCAGTAGTCGTTTTGAATGGTTAATAGTATTGATTAATTATTTATCGGAAATTGTGTAGAGTCTTACTGTAATTAGATCGAAACAAGGGACGTTGCAACGACAACGGAAGATCGGCGGTAGCCTCGGCATTTTCAAGCTAGGTCTCTTCCCAGTCATTCATCTCCCATTGTGCCAACGCAGCTTTAGCATCTATGACCTTATTCATTTGGCAACAGAAGTCGAAACTAGATTAGAACTAGTAGTGACTCTAGCCTCTAGAGGGGTATAATAACATCGCAAGGCTAGTAAGAGCAACTACGAAGTGGCATTGACTAGCGAGCACTTTATATTGATAAGTTTTGACCTCGGATGAGTAATAATTTGTGGACCGAAATTCATCACCGAAGTCGTTAAGCGATACTCCAATATTCTCACTGATTATAGGCAACTATTTACATTAGACTAGCCCATGAGGGCCAGAGTTGCGAGTTTTGAGAAGGTATGTTGATTATATGTATCTCTTTTCATTTCGCATCGGACACGCGATATTTTAGTACTGAGCTCATATAGGATACTTACTGATCACTCTCTTTCTAAGGTTTACATAAGAGAGAATAGCACCAGTTAAACGTAAAATAACAGTTGTACGGCATTTCCCTAGTTTTGTTATACTTTTCCTAATTCAGATAATTGTTACTGATCTGACAACAAATAAACCAAAAGGCAACATATCCATCCCATTCCTTAAGACAGATTAGCAAAAACTCCTATCATCATCTTCCTTTTTCAACTTTTCACCTCCCTCCTGCTTCCTTTTAGGTAAAGCTTGGAATTTATCGACCAGTTTGTGAACCAAGTATCCAAGTAACCACCACTCAGAAGGCATTCTTGAGTTAGGAGTAATTGTGTCGAGTTCTTCTCCCTTTTCATTCCAATTGTTATCGTGTCGCATATCTCGCACCAATTTCACTCTCCAGCGTTGGTACAATTTTCCAACGAGCCCAGTGATGTTCTCGAGATTAAAAGAAATAAACAATGTTACTAACGCTACAATAATTGAAGTAGCGATAAAGGGGTTTCTAGTTTCAGTGTCGGAGATATTGGGAATAGCCCAGAGAGCCTTACCCGTGCAGTTTCGTTAGTGCACTGTTTGTATAAAACTACCTTTCGAAGCATATGGAGCAGATATGAAGTACTCACCGCACAAAATGACAACGGTAAATAGAATATGCTAATATATGTGAACAGCATAACATTATGTCCCAATCTTGTTGATATTCTAGTCTCGTTGATCGAGGCCCAGGCAAATTCCTGAACCGGATAAGTTTGAGTAAAATTCGTGATTAAAGGAGATTCGTTGAAAACCTACAAATTGTAGAAGATCTCGGACAGCCTGGTCCAGCTGATTGATCTGATGGTTAACTTTGACCTGGAAGTCATTTACCGACTGCTGGAGATCCTTTGGGATTCGATTTGCATTGTAGCGCTCACAGTATTCCACAATAAAATTTTCTGCAATATTAGCATGGTTTTGTAAAATAAGGCGAAGCTCGGTCCACTTTTGTGCATCTTTTGCAAGACGACGCATTAGATCAGGGCTTTTCCCTTCTGAGCGCAGTTGGTCAAGACGCTGTGCATTATTTTGATATTTGATTAGTATGCCATAAGAAATTAAAGGGTAGAGTTAAATCTTTTTCAGGGTTTCCTTGATAAACTTACGCATTGCTTTAGATGATCTTCAGCACTATTGCATAATCTGAGCCACCTCTCCTCTATTTGCATGATGAACTGCAAGAAGAAATCGGTGCCATCATGTGGAATCCAGCCGTTCGGCAATGTACTCATGTGGTCTACCGACTTCCAAGGACGGTCATGCTGCCTCACAGGGGATACTATTGTCCATGATATTTTGCATTGGCCCCAGTCAGGCATACCGAAGCATTGCTGAGATGTATCTTCCTCAGCAGGAAACCACAAAGAAACATGAACCCTGACAATATGATCGGTGACATCCTCATAGGTAATTAACAGCTCGTTTGGGCGTGCTTTTTTTGCCGAACTGAATAGTGGCCAATTGGGCCAGTATTTATAATCTGAAAATAGGCTGTGGTCCTTAGTAAGAAACGTTTGAGAAAAAGAACCAATACAACATACAGAAGACGTCTTTCAAAATTCTGAAGGCTTTCAGAAGCCTGGATTTCTCCCACTCTTTCTTTCTCAATAAAGGAAATCCGCTTCTCTCCCCCGAGTCCTTCTAGAAGTTGTATGATGTCTGTTCGTTGTCTTCTATACACATCAAGCCACTCATCTGTCATGATGGTTTTGGTTTCCGCACGGTGTTTGAGTAGTAATTCGATAAGATCGCGATCTTTACGCTGAAAAGCAAAGCGGATTGGAGTGATGCTGGCACCGCCGCATCTATTCACGTCATATCCAGAAGAGAGCAGCAACTCAAGTAATGTTTTGTCTCCGTCCTGGATCAAGGATGGTAAAGTGACCGTATCTCTGGTGATAAGCAACCGTACCACTTCATGTTGGTTGTTGCACAGAGCCCATAACAATGGCGTTTGTCCACTTTTATCCTTAGTGTCGGTATCAATGTCCTCCTTGGTAAGTAGGATCTCTATCACGGCGCTGTGTCCATTACCTGCAGCCCATGACAAGGGTGTGCGATTATTGTTATCCTCGGAGTTTATATGGACGTCGGACCGTTGAAGTAGAAGTTCTACTACGGCGCTACGTCCAGCTCCTGCGGCCCATGATAACGCTGTTCTTCCGGTCTTATCCTTTGAGTCAGGGCTCATTCCTTCCTTTGCTATGAGCAATTTCACTAATTTATCTCGACCATCCTCTGCGGCCCGCGACAACAATGTTCGACCATCGTTATCCTTATAGTTGGTATTTATGTTCTCCTTCGCCAAAAACAACTCGACTACTTCGTCATGGCTATTCTTCGCAGCCCACCACAGCGGCGGTATACCACTTCTGTCGCTGGAGTTAGGATTGACATCAGACCTTCTGAGCAGTAATTCTACTGCTTTGCCTCGCCCTGTCCCCGCTGCAAATGACAACGGCGTTCTGCCGTTTTTATCCCCAGAATCCGGCTCGATATCTTCTATGCTCAGTAGTGTTTCTAGGACTACTGGGCTTTGTCCACCTTCTGCAGCTAACGATAAAGGGGTTCTACCACCATTATCCTGAGAATTAAGACTAACGTCTTCTCTTACTGCTAGTAGTTTCACCACACCATGCTGTCCATTCCCAGCAGCCCATGATAAGGGTGTCCGGCCATTGTGGTCCCTAGAATTAGGGTTGATATTGGGCTTTTCGAGTAGTAGCTCCACTACTCTGGTCTGCCCTTCCCCCGCTGCCCACGAGAACGGCGTTCTACCATTTTTATCCTCGGACTCCAGGTTGATACCGGGGATTTCGAGAAGTTTTTCCAGTACCACTAGACTTAACCCGTTCCCTGCAGCCCACGAAAGTGCTGTCCTACCGTCATCATCATCAGAGTCCAAGTTGATACCGTCTCTCGTGAGAAGCAAAGATATAGTACCGCTGCACCCCGCTCCCGCAGCCAATGACAGTGGTGTTCGTCGACGTGGATTCTGCAATCCAGCATTGTTGCAATTGATGTCTGCTTGGTTGTCCAGTAGTTTCTCCAAAATAGAGTCACGTCCTAAGTACGCTGCAGCTTGGATAGGGCTCCCGTATTTACCCCCTTGGGTATTGACGTCGGCACCGCCACTAAGAAGTTCATATACCCCCTTGGAGTTCAGGCGTATGACTTCTTCCTGAAGATCCATGTATAATCAGTTTTCTGGTTTGTGACGTTCGATTGAGAGTTCTAGAGAAATCTCGGCCAGTTAATTTGCTTAAGAACCAATATTAGAATCACCGATAGTATGATGCTGATCAAAGAAATGTATCTTCAACAAAATCCCTCGTCCTGCTTGCACTAGTTTCCCACGTTATTGCACAAAGAATCCTGACAGTGGAGATGCTCAACAAAGCTCGATTAGGTCGTTGTCATCGTGTTCTATCAAGTCGAACAGAAGTCATTCTCTCCATTTTAACTGACCAGCACCAAGATAAACACAGCCGACCTTCTCAGAGCTGAGTTGATGTACTCGAGAAGTTAATTGGCTACGCCAGTGCGGGTCCTATCCACTTCTATCGGTCTACCCCTTTTACATCTCCGCTGTCACCTATGAAACCTCGTATTTCCAGAGACTTGCGATTAGCGGTTAGCGATTCTCGTATTCGGGGCTAGAGCTCGACACGAACGACTAGGTTAGTAACTGAAACAAAATTTGTATTTCGAGAACATCATCTGAGATTTGTGCAATCTAACCAGCAGGTCACGGATGTTCTATGATCTACAAGTGGCCAATGTAAACACTACAACTAGGGAAGTTCTATCCCATCGTCAGACCGACCTTACAAAATACTTATGTGTTTAGTGAGTTTATTGGAAATAATAAATTATATTGCAAAGGATCATTACCTTCGAGTAGCACTAAGATGGAGGTGCTAATAGTTGTGCAGATGATGGAGTCAATTGAGTATACAAGTCGAATCTGTAATTACAGCAGAGCATACCATGCATATTGCTTAAAGAATATATTCTTGATATTATATACATGAGTATTATTGACTTAACCAGGATAGACCTAGAAAGTGGACACTAGAAGTTGCCAATGCCCACTTATTGGCGATTATATGAAATACATTCCCTTGCTGTTGACTGCCCGACCAATGCAACTTCTCCCTTCCCAGACCAATTCCGACCGACTATTTTCGCATTGAGACCAAGCGAACAGGAACCATAGATGTACCACATATGGCCCGTCATATTATTCCTTTATTATTCCAAAATTTACTAACTAGCCCTATGGCCATCCGCGATGTAATTGTATTAGCTGAAGGTCAACTCTAGAAAGCGTGAGACACAGGGTGTTGAATTGAAAGAGATTGATCGAATCATCTGCACCATTGATTGTCGATGTCGGAGTCAGCTTTCATCAAATAAAAATTGTGCAGTAAAATGTAGTATAAAAGCTCGCTATTTCAGAATTGAGTTGTACCGATAAATCCAGACTGGCACGTGGCAGATTAATGAACACCCCGCGCTTGATTATGCAAGGCAATTAGCTTTCTTTGCAGGTAATATTGTGAAGTTTTTGCATTTCGCACCTCAAGAACCTTTATTGGAGGGTCTCTAAAGTAGTTAATTCCCTTCGATTTAGTTTGATTAGTCAGGATAATTCCGACATAGTTATAACCACGAGCTGTTTTAATACAAACGCTGAATTTCAGGCTTTATTTAAGCCTTTCTTGCTATGCTAGTGTATTCGCTAGCGACAAAACATAATACAAAAAAGAAAATCTACATTTACCGCTAGCCTACACGACTATTCCGCTTCAGCATCGATTAGATAGCCTCCGTCAGACCATTCAGACCCTGTTACAAGCCCAATGTGCGCCGATCCCTCGGATAGGCAACATATCCATCGCCAGGTTGCTGCGTTTGCCGGGCTGTTGGCGACCTGTCTTACAACTTGTTTTATTCTTGGGTCAGGGTGGCTTCTCTTACCTTTGACGCCTTTTGCTCGGAGCTGGGTTCGTGTTCAACCTTGTTACCATAGGTTGTATAGGCCTCCTGAGTGCGGTTCTGGAATGCGAAGCCTGCAACTGTTAGTACGAACGAGAATTTCCCTACATGGGACAGAACCGTACCTGGTTGAGCAATGTTTAAGGCGAACACTGCCAGGATCACCATTACCGACTCTAGCCCAATAAACAGACCCTCCTCGTGGAAGATTGACCCACTGTATCCTTGACTGAGCTCGGCAATACGGTAGCAGCAACGGATGAGGATAAAGAGAATAGATGCCGAGAAGAAAACGCCAAAGATCCCGAGGCGCGTCGAGAGGATCCGGCGTTGATCCACTCGCTGAGACTTACGGTACGAGATGTAGCGGAAGAGGTAGTCTAACGCCATAGCGATGAAGACAGTAAGAGTGAAGACCTGGAACGCCAGACCTGCAAGTGTGATGTACTCGCCCGATTTGTCACTTCCCACCGAACTCGATGATAATGCGCCGCCCACGGCCTGCAAGATTAAACTAACGATATCGCAAGGCACAAACACCCACACGTATATCTTGGCCGGAAACCTGCAAGCTTCGGGGCCCAAAAAATTCGAGACCTTGGCGAGCGAGACGTAGATGGCGGCGGCGAAGAAGACGGGCGAGATTGTAATGCAGCAGATCTCGATGATGAAGCCGTCAAAGGAGAAGGGGTTCTGGTACAGCAAAATGCGCCCGCCGTAACCAATCATCTCGCCGATGCAGCCGAGCGCCATCATGCTGGCGAAGAACCAGGTGTGGTAGCGGCTGCCTTGGACCAGGTGGATGAGCATGGAGACGCCGAAGAGGGCGATGAAGGCGATTTGCACACCGACGGCGGGCCGGTAGCCCTGGAGGGAGGCTTCGACGGGGCATAAGGCGAGGGTGCAGTTGGCGTCGGGGCCGAAGGAGACGAGGTACTGGGAGGGATCATTTTGGCCGGCTGCTTCGGGGGACGACATTGTGGTAATAAGGGGGGGTGGAAGATGCGTTGAGTCGAGGGCGGAATGGACGAGACTCGACTTAGGGTTAGGAAGTGTGGGAGTGACAGAGGTGGCAGAGCTGCTAAAGAAAGGTGGAGAAGGAAGGCAAACTGGCTTGATTTCGTGGTAGAACAAAGTTGTAGCGGGCTAGAGAAAGTACATCAATGAAGAGTGAGTGGATGCCAGAGTGTTGTGAGCTGATATGAAAACCCAGACTGTGGTTCAAAAGGAGGATGCGAGTGTAGTCTTAGTAGATAAAAAAGCTGATGCCTGTCGCACGACTCGTCGACCTTAGGGTTAATAGCCCTGAGAGGGGCGCAGGAGGAATTCAACGAAGCACAGACTGTTATTGGTCGAAAATACGCCGATGTTGATGCACCAGTGCTAACCCCCAGGTGCCACTATTTTCGGAACTCTCGGCCGACGACGCTAGGCAACAATAGAAATGATATACACGCTGCGCAACCAGCCCGTCGCTGGGGTGTGTGAGTTCAGGCGTGTGCCAGCACACCCTGAGATTAATCGTACCACTGTGCCTATCTATCAGTCTGCCGCTGCAAATGCTATATATGATATTATTTATCCTTGCATTCCTTCTCTTTCCCGCCTGCTTGTTCTGGATCTTCTGGATTGCATTTCTGTTGAGATTTCGCGTCAACATCGTGTGGCAACATACTTATAGGGACTGGAAACGAATTCATCTTGCCACTATTCAGTAGATACCATCAAAATCAGGAGTGAACCTACGATTTCTTTCTTGGGTGGTGGAAAACTTGGGTTACCAGGAGATACATAAGTGTAATAGCGCCACTTCTGATAAATGATCAGGGCAACATCGGCGCCGTATAATTCTCCATACTCATATACCTTGTTGGTCAGAGTGCTTCTCCTTCTAGAGGCATTCTGGCTTTGGCGTTTCCGTACCTTGCACATGCTGGGATAGATATGATATATTGGGCACAGAGCTGAAGGACTTACGATGTCTCTTGAGATTTGAGAGTTATAGTTAGAGAAAGATTGTTGTAGACTGTCGCTGGAATCTCATGGCAAGCTACGACTATTTAAAGGATACAAATTATCAGCTACAGGGTCATCCAAACTGGGACGCCTTTGGGTGGTAACGTCCCTTGGGAGCTTCCCAGTGAATGCTAAATATAGAAATAGGCACAAGTCACTATATCTATAGACGCTCATCCCATCTTATTGCAGTATCCACAAACTATTTCTTGGGTAGGTTCCCAAGGAAAGCTAAATATAGCAACTTGGGATGCAACTGCTAAGTCCAGCCATGCTTTTGCTCAACTTGTAGGTGATATCTATCCTCAAGGTATTACTATTTTTATATCCCGCCACTAGACAATTTCGACTTGATGCGTATATAAACAAACAAGCTATCCTGTTGTTTCCACATCCTCGCAAGATACTCTCAATAAACCCACATCAGATATCCCGCCGACTTATCCTAAAAATCGGCTCCTCGTTTGAGGACCTTGGTGATGAAGGAGGGATACTGCAGCTGGGATGGGCTGCACTACCTAGAGTACAATCAAGCGGCCTTCAAATATATAGAAACCGGGCTCTTCCCCGTCGAGAGCCTTTATCACAGGTCCCTGGTCCATCTCCTCGGGCAGTTCGTGCGCTGTATGCCCATCATTGTCCACCGCATCTACCACTGCCCCTCTGTCGACCAAGGGTTTCGTCGCTGGCCCATGCCCTAGCCAAGTAGAACGGTGTAACAGTGTACGCCGAGTTAGTCCACTGTGTCAAGTTTGGCGTCCTTGTCAATCAAGAGGTCGATAATCTCCAGGTGTCCGCCATCGGCTCCTAGGCTGCCTGCCTATGGCCTCGATAATTCTGTCCTCCAACACCGTCACCCTCCATCGCGTAAAGTTAATGGCTCCTGCGTTTTTAGGATCACCACCCAGGTTAATGATGCAGAATCACCATGGCTAACTATGATGCTAGTAATCCAACTCGAGTAACCATAGTACGGATACAGCGGACTATTCACCCAACGTTGCCCAAATTCGTTTTCTTACTGTATCTAATTTTTGCCGTAGAGAATATATTTTTAATATCACAGTATATTTTATAATACTGTACGGAGGTGGGCATCAAAAGTATTATATAGCGCTAAATTTGCTAATACAGTGACTACACTATGATGTTTGATCTTGTATTTAAATTTATTAGGAACTAACTAAGTATAACTATGACTTGAAGATCCAGTTACATAATTTATTACTAATAAAAATATATTAAAATATTCTAGTTGCGATATATTTACTTTTTGTAATGTAAAGCAAGGACATGTGAATTACCCGATCCCAATAGATTTACCCCTTCGGGTCTAGTCCCCGCATACGTTGGCGGATTCTATATGGACTTTGTAAGTGTCCAAAATACCCAAAAAAAATACGGAATATGTTAGAAATTGGCATGATTATGAGCCATTAGATGGAGCATGTTAGCAATGAAGCGGCCAGCAGTGGCATGGACTAGTGTTACTGGGCCAATCAGGTTGAACCTTTGTAAAGCGGTAATAATGCCGGATCAAAGTCTCCGTAGTTATAAAGGGATTCGCCGAGGATGAAATCTCGAGACATACAAATAACAGAGGGTCTAGTTGGTTTCCAGCCATACTACTCGTCAGTTAAACCTCCAGGGTGTGAATACCCTTGCAGGAGACGTGGGCCGCAGATAGCACACAGTTATGAAGTCAACTCTAGGCCTATCATCACATTTCCGCATTTGACGGGTCACGATGGAGACTAGGCGTTGGTCAAATATTAGCTAGTCTGCTGGATTTTCCGATGTCATAATCTAATTACTGCAACTCGGCACAGGATCCATGGACGAACAATACACTGGTTGTTTGGGATTGCAGGCATCGTCGGAGAAGCTGCAGGAGAACTTTAGTGAACTCCTAGTAATGCGACATTGTTCAAGGATGGCGTATCATCGTCTCTAGTCATGCTTCGTTTCCGACACTTGTGCGTTCCCCTCACGAGGCTGTGTTCAGTCAGCATCTGCGCCGCATTTTAGCGCTCATGAATGTCTTAACCCCCACTTTTAGGCACATCTTGCGTTGCTTGTAGTTACTTCTGCGCCCATTTCCTCCCAAAGATTCTTTGTATTATGCAGGAAAACACGATCAAACGAGATTGTCATCATATTTCCATAAGGCAAAACAACAATGCTTATCAAACACGTATGGTTGTTGAATCTGCCCAGAATTTCACTAGAACTGATTACCGCAAAGATTGCAGACCCGGTCTCTGAAAGAACTGCGCCATCACCAGTAATCTCCAACACGACTAATATGGCATCTAATACTGGGTCACCGTCCACAACTCAATATACACCATCATCTACACCGTCAACTGTGCGTTACCGAGATCCCGATTACCCACTACCGTCCATTGAAAGAGATACAACTTCAACATCAGCATACAGTCAGAGCAATACACCTCTATTACCCTCCGTTTCTCCCCATGCAGAAGCATTACGCCAGGGGTCTGAGTACGGGAGCTTAGATCAACGCTTGCAAAATCTGGAACTGCACTCAGTACATCCGCAACGGTCAATCTCAAGCCCCGAGAATACTGCCTCTCAAAGAGAACGGTCAATTGCTTCGCCTACTCCATCTATCCATGTTACTCCAACAGCATCAGCTACGTATTCTCATCATTCAACAGCCAACGCAGGGATAGAAGGTCTAGCTCATGGTGTTAGTGCGCTGCAAACGAGTCCTAGTCATCGACGTGCCCAATCTGCACAACCTAATAACCATCTGCGCCATGACTCTGTGGATGGCAGTCGAGCTATACGCCACTCAACGGCCTCTCCATCACGACGCCGTCGATCCAGTTCTGGAATCAATCGATCGACACATAGAGTAGAAGACGAGGAGCCTCCGCAGGCACTATTTCACGAGAGGCGAATCCAGGAAGCCCTGACTAACGCGAGAAATGTAACAGGAAGACTAGCCAGAGTTTTATCAGAAGCAAATTTACATCAAGAACAAGGTTCAAGTATTCAAAGCATGTGCCAGCACGCAATCAGATTAAGTACATTTGAACCACCTTCGCGCCGCATAGTTGGCCTCGTTGGGGATTCAGGTGTAGGAAAAAGTAGTCTAATCAACTCATTACTCGATAAAGTCGAATTTGCACGAGCCGTGAGCTTTCCTCGATTGACAATGATGACTACAAACTAATATGGATGTTGAACAGAGCAACAGCGGTGCTGCCTGCACTTGTGTGGTCACGGAGTATCATTTTCATGATAGGGATGATTACTCAATTGACATTGACTACTTCACTGTGCAAGAGCTCCGAACTCAATTTGAACAGCTTCTCAGCGCGTATCGAGAACACGAGTCGACAACGGAGGATGACGTTCGGCAGGCCATGAGACAAAAAGCGGATCTCGCAAAAAGCACTTTCCAAGCAAGCTTCAGATACAAGTTGGATGATGATCCCGAACTGCTTGGTACTCTTCCTTTTGACCAAGCCATTAACAAGATGATGGTCTGGGTTTTGGAAGTAGTTCCAGGACTCGACACGCGAGATCGTGACACGCGAGAGTCATTCGAAGACATCAATCAATGTTCTAATCGATTGAGAATATTGACTTCTGACACGGAGGAAAGAGACCAGGCATGTCTCTGGCCTTTCATTCGTAAATTGAAGTTGGTCTAACGATTCCTACCCTTCGCTCTTTTAATTTAATCAGCTAATTTATGAGCCATAGGGTGCACATGAAGGCCTATATACTAAGCAAGGGACTTATACTAGCGGACCTTCCAGGTAATCCGGATATAAAAGTCCAAGACACACGATGCTGACTGTATCAGGGCTTCGCGATCTCAACTATGCACGGCAGAATGTCACCGAACGATATATCAGACAATGCGACCAGTTATTCGCAATTACCAGAATCGGTAGAGCGACAACGGATGCAGGAGTGCAAGAAGTATTTGAACTAGCACGCCGGGCTTCATTATCCAACGTCGGTGTCGTTTGTACACAGTCGGACGTAAGTATCTACTCGGTTTCAGCTCATGATACCCTATTGACACTTTAGAAGGACATTAGGCTGAGTGAGGCAAATAATGACTGGCCCGATGAAAGAGTCACGATTAGTGGAATGGAGGAAGATATCGCCCGCAAACAACGAGAGCTCGCGTCTCTCAATGAGGATATCGATGAGCTTAACGACCTCCTTCTTCGCTCGACTGACGATGCGCAAGAGTTGCTTGAACTTCTCCGGGAGCGTGACAGAGTTATGTAAGTAGAATTCTTTATAAAATATTAACCTCAAGAAACTTACTCTCCATGCAGGAAGTCGCTAGACGGTTCGGAATTTGAGTATGATCATCCCATTATAAGAACTCCTCCATATACCTAGGTATATATATGCTAATTTGGGTAGATTGAGACGTCATATTATCACTGTGCGAAACCGGAGGGTTTGTAGCGACTTGCAAAGGCGATACAGCACGCATCCAGACCTACAAATATTCTGCGTCAGCAATACTATTTATTCACAAGAGCGTAATAAGCCGGTCCAAGAATCTCTCCCCTTTCTCAACCTTAGTGGAATTCTTGGACTGCGTCGTTATTGCATCGGTATCGTCGCCGAAAGCCACCTGCGAGCGTCAACTGAGTACATTAAAAATGAAATCCCAGCACTATTGGGTTCCGTTGAACTCTGGATTCAGGCGGCTTCCGTGAATACGAATGCAGAAAGAAAACAACAGATTACAGATGCTGTTTCTGTGATTCAGAGTGAATTAGATGGAGTAAGCACTCCCGTCATGCATTGGGAAGAATGTCGCTGATTTTCTAGTAGTTAACTTCTCCAGTGTCTCGAATCAGTGATATTACAGACCAAATAACCTCCAGCTTTGATGACCAGTTACAACAGTACATGAGTGCGTTCTGATGAACACCGGTATATCTTTTTGTTTCTGATCTTCCTTAGGGCAACGAAAGCAGCAGTGGAGTACCAGTGCAGGGGAAGCAAGTATGAGCTGGAGTTCGGTATTTATTCTTTCCAATAGATAATTCGTTCCTAGGTTCACATAATTTCAGTTACATCACTCCACATATTCAGCCTTTTGTCGAAAGTATGGAACGTATAACACGGAGGCTGCAGGATCCAGATGCTGGAACGAGGAAGCCATCAGTTTGATGAACAGTGACATGTCCGGGCTATGGGCCACATTCGATGGAAACGTTGCCTCCTACCTTGATGAGATCCACCAGGACATAGATCAAGTATTTAGAAATATTCTTAGGCTTACAAGTGGTGCCGGTCAGTAGGCCACATTTCTCCTCTACTGCTGTGGTGGGGGTATTGACGTCCAGCACAGCAAATTCTAATAACACCCTGCGAGCTCGACTAAACCCTCTCATTGCAACATTACGCCATCGCAAAAGCCTGTTGCTACACGGTATTGAGATTATTATTGAAGATTTTCGATCAAAAATGTCCGATATCCAGACTGATGCTTTCTCGCCTATCCGTACTTCAATTATTGGGCAGCTCATGGAAGCAGATTACAATGCGGCGAATATGGAATACGGTATGTCAGAAATGCTCTTCTTTTTCTATCTCTAAATTTAGTCCTCACGCACCCGCAGGTAGAGGCAGTGACCGCCGTCGGAAAACAATAATATCGTCTGGCTTCCGGTCGCGGAGCTTATTCGTGGATCATCGTCGGCGCCTCAGGAGCCAGTTCATATCCATCTCTGAGGAGCTGCAACAGGAAACAACGGATGCAGTGGCACAGCAGCTCAGATTTATCGAAACTGATCTAAATACTCTGAGAAATGAAAATGTCGTCCTGGAGAGTGAGAGAAACCCGGAATTCCGGACACGCCTTGAACTGGAAGTTACTCAGGCTAGAGAGGAGATGGGAACAGTCAGGGCAGCTATCAATGATCTTTTCAATTCCACTTTGGAAGATACAGTGATGGATGAATAAAACTTAGAAAGTTTCGATAAGCCAGTACGCAAGGCTATCACGATTCGAATTAGGACGAGCATTATCTGGTATGACATCTTCTATATCAATCACCTATACCCAGATCGCCTTAATTGGAGCAAAAATAGGAACATAACTGTCGTATGGTTTCATATTTGACAGAATTGGAATGCAGAAGATCTACCTATGCCTATAACCTTGGAAGATGCATAATTCTCTAGCTAAATAAATGTCTACACGATTAGTATTGGAATGAAATGATAATGTGGCTATCTCTGTCTCTTGCCTATAGATGTCTTTGTAGTGCATAACTGAGGAATCCAATCGGTCAACAGGAAAGAGAAGCAACATGTAGTCGGGGCCGATAGGAACCGCACATCGACAGCATGGGGTAATTGTTTTCTTTATTCATCGAATTCTTTTGTATTGATAGTAGCTCCTGGAGCTCAGGATACCCGGACCAGATCCGTGGCAAGAAGATAAGAGGATAAATAGTATTTTATATATTGTGTGACTAGACTAGTCAGAATTAGGTGCTTGATTTAGATATAAAAGAGCCTTTTTCGGTATCACCTTAATTAACAATAAGTTGAATCAAAACAGTCGTAGAGATTTAGCGCCAGCGTCAGCGTCATACTAGGGCGGACTGGTGATTAGCGGATGTAAAGGTGCTTTAATGAAGCGAAGCACGTGGTGGGACGTTAAGGCGGTGATTACGGATGCAAAAGATGCTGGCCGTGAGATGTCTAACATAGGACAATGAACAATAGTCTAAAACAATGACCAACTAACTATTACAGCCAAATATCAAAGACGAAGTCATTAAATCTCTGACGCAATTTATAGATATTCTGTCGTGTTAGCCGAATCAATCGCGCTATATTTACAGTGGATTTATCAATACCTTCGATGTCGCATTTACAGAAATATAAAGAGGATAAATAAAAATTGTATCTTTTGACGCTTTCTTTAACGTATATTCGGTTTAAAATATCAAGAATTGGTATTATAACTGTGTTGATATTATATAATAAATTGAGGCTATCACGGAATTAATACGATTTCGGATGAGGCTTTAAATAGCCCTAATTAAGCTTCGTTTAATATTGACGACATTATAATCTTTTGGGAAATTCTCTCAAATAATAAATACATCCACCCACAACACATGCGACAAACAATGTTTTTTTACATTTCAGATAGTAGGGTAGCCCCAGTCTCAGGCCTGAGAGAAGGGCTCGGGTTGTGAATGTTATGCTATGTCCACCCATGTATTTTTTTGTAATACAGCCCGGAGGCATCCAGTAATTGTAGTATCTACTGGTTGTAAAATTCGTGTACTCTTGACACCGAGTTTCCCAAAAGGAAGTAGCAAGCGAGGCTATTCTTAGTGGGTGCACATATTTGTTGTCTCAGCTGGCTTGCTTAACTACCAATTGCGTTGATTCGAGTAGTCACAGTGTGTGAACTTCTGTCAAAACTCGATATCTGGGCAGTGGATGGTTGTGGCCGAGAATAGCTAAGAGTCTGCTTAATAGATTGCAGCGCTGCTGCCGAGCGCTGCCGAGCGCTAAGGAAACTCACAAAATCCTGCGGCTATGTGCAGCTGTCAATTGGACGGGGCTACTGATAAAAGAGCGATTGCATGCATGTACTAGATAGTATTGGTAAAGATATGCCGTTCGAACCGAAGTGTATCCGCTCGGTCCTACCCCTGAGATAGACGCTGAGGGGTTAGCAGGCGCAGTCATTTGCTCGATATCTGTATTCCTGCCGTAGCGACAGCAAGACCACCAAGCGTCTCATCAAATCCAACAAGTGTTATCTCAGTGTATCGTGGCCATGTGGTTTACACTAGTGTCAGAAATCGGTGATATCCGACACTAGGCTGCGGCTGATGTTGAGACTGGCCTCACCATCCAGGGTCATTTGTGACTTGATAAGATAATACTGGTGGAGATGCAGGACATATGTGGCGACCGCTTTATTTCATGGACTTCCTAAAGTAGCATCCATTCGGTACGGTCCATGAACACTAGGTATTTGATGAATTGGTTGTATGAGACCGGTGGATCGCCAGGTGGTTTCGGACTATGTGAGGTTCTCATCTTGTTAGAAAGAGGTTTCTGGTTTATTTAATTTTTTTAAGTGAACTTCAGATATGTTTGAGTGGTTACAATTCTTGAGAACTCCAAAAGCTAGATCGGTTGGAAGATAAAACTTCTACCTTCATAATAATCCTATCAAGCCGACTTTCCTTCTGGGTACAGGAGCTCGAATTCTCCGTCTAGACAATAAATTCTCTCTCCCTCCTTCGTCATTGCATCAAATTTCACAGTTAAGTTTGCCTGTTTCGTTAACTTAATTTATATACACGTAGAAGAGAAATTGTTAACGTACCTCACCTACAAACCACGGTACATAATAATGAAGACTTATTAAGCCGAACCCTTTCTCAGGTGGACATTCCTTCTCTCGGTTTGGGTCTGGCTGCTCGATGGATTCCATTATATCACAGAACGGAAGTGTGCCACTCAACCCTGGGTTATTGGTTGAGTTGTCGCGTAAATCGCGGGCATAATAATTCCAAAGCGGATCATCTGAGATGTCTGAAAGAAAAGTTCCTAGGGCAGTTAGTAAATTTCATTAATGCGCTTTCGTAGAACTTACCATAAATGTAGATGTCAAGATTTTCTTCGCTAAAATGGCAGTGTCAGGCTGATCTAGTGATTTAGAAAGGTAGGTGTCTTACACGAGTGGGGGCGTTGGATTAACTATGAGTTGTTCGATTTGGAACAGATCTGTATCGCGAGATTCAGAGCAGAATTTTAGATTCGACCCCCCAGGAATTACTCCAGGGATTGACAATGTGGTAGCTGTGCTTGTAGAGTGCTGAGATGGGGACTGTAACCAAGCAAGCCAGGCAAGAGTATTCACAGCAAGAAAGCGTATCTGCTCCATTCTTTACAAGGGTAGGAGTAGATTTATTGATTAACGCAAACGATTCTGAAGAGGACTGAGTTTGGAGTCTAGAAATATGAGGAGAGGGGAACTCACTTTTATTCGAAAAATACGGTAGCACCCGGGAGCAGCGCTGCAATCTAATAAGCTACCTAATGTTATCATTGATCTAGGCTCCAACTTAAATGCCAAGCGATTAGGGGTACCAACAGTTTGCGAATCCCAAGAGGCTAATTGGTCTAGCGACTTTGGTGGTAAACAAAATAAAATAATATTCCATTTTAAATACAGTCTGTTTCTCTATTCGTTTCGACTTATACCTAATATAGCTATTATTATTTGGGTGTATTCATACCTCATCATACTACAATAGTATTGTTCGGCTTGGGCGTGCGGCGCTACGGCCCGGCGGCGCAGGTTCACAGGGTCTCGGCTTGTGACCATGCCGCGATGTGTGGGGCATAAGCCCAGTTACCTTGTACTTCTCGCTGAGAGGCTAACAGTTGAGAAGCTTTGCCTTACAAATACGGAATTTTTATGATTGGATTATAGATGCGCTAAATTGGTGTTTTTAGCGGTTCTAGACCCACCTTGGTGATAATGTAGAAGACCTCTATACATTTTGAAGTATTTTACATTAATATGAGATATTTTCCGCCGGTATATCGAGTCTAATGTAATTGCCGGTCAGATAGTGTGGCTTTTCAATCTTTCAAAGAGGAAATAAAAAATCGAATTAGTTGTATTCCTTAGTCCGAAATCTTGAGCGCCGGAAGTTACTTTTGGAGACCGGCATGTGGTTGCCGCATACGGTCCAGAGCATCATCTAGTTGTTGGTTTCGCGGTTATTTTGACTATCTCAATTGTCCTTCCTGGTAAATATTGAGTAAAAAAAAAACTTGAACATTCCGAATGCCTCAACTTCCATACCCGGCTAACATTGAACAATCTCAAAATTCGTTTCACGGGCGGCTCAACCATAAGCAGTGTTGACTTATAGTCTCTTCAATTGTGATAAAGGAGTTACAAATACAACTACTTATCGTCTTAGAAGGCTTAGAAACAATCATATTACTCGGGCTTAATATTATGAACAGTCAGACAGTGTATGGAATAAAATATCAAGAGAATCTGACAAATACGTTCGATTAGACCTTGATGGCTCCGTAAGAAGTTCCTAAAATAGATTATTCAGGTTCTTTCCAACCACCCATCATTAACACAATATCGCAAAACGTTGGCTACTAATGCCTTATCTACACGAGGCTATTAACCGTACGAATATGAGAAACCAGGCCACTCATCTCAGCTGGTTTTCGGCCTAATTTTGGATAGAGGGTCTGATATGAAGGCCTAGATAATAAAAAAATCACGCAGTTCAAAACTAGACAGATTTGAAATCCAATTCTGGCTTAAATAGCCAACAGTTAACTAGAGTTTTAATGAAACGCTTCCTTAGAAGTACCAACAATCGGACAGAGATTTAAAATACTAACCCACATTCAAGATAACATCATACCAACAAGACGCAATTCAATTTCTCGCTTGTATCTTTCGTATCATTTAAGACCTTGGACCTCAGCTTCTAGTATATAACATGCAATTCCTTCTGGTGGTTTTCGATATCTAAACTATCTTAAACCATATACAAGATCTTGTTCCATTTTTTTACCATCCTGTTGGCCATTAGATTTAAAGCTATCAGGGGAAATACGATCCCCGAGAATCAATCACCACCCATGTGGAGGTTTTTTTTCATATTTCTCTTTCTTTCGGGTTCTTTCTCCCAGGATTTTGAGTGGACCGCTTTAGGAGACTCATATGCGTCTGGGGTTGGTTCCGGAAACTATGTGGATGGAAGACGATGTCTACGATATGATCAAGCCTACCCAGTATTCTTGAACGAAGACCCAAATCTCTCACCATTGAATCACATCTTCAACAACGTCGTATGCTCCGGATCAACTACTGAAGAAGTCGAGCTTTATCAGTTCTACGATGACGACACCTCAAATCAACCAAATTGGCAATTTGGTAGGGCTCTCCCTGTCTTATTATACTAATCATTTGGTCAAAACTAATAAACTCATATCAGCCCCTCGTCCTAAGTTCGGAAATCCACAAATGGCTACTCTGTCTATCGGGGGTAATGATATCGATTTCAAAGGCATTCTCTTCAATTGTATCATCGAATCCACCCAGTTTGGTTACAAACCTACGAAACCGTGCGACCAGCAGAGACAGGAAACTCACGCTCTGATTGACAGCCCAGACCTGGTCAACAACATTGATCATCTTATCAAGAAAACCGTCACAAAGGGCAGATCGGGCACTATTGGTGACGCCTTCAGGTTATACGTTACTGGCTTTCCAGAGTTTTTCAACGAGAACGATCCAGGATGTGACACAGTCACATTCGCCCGGACTGCAAATCCAGTACCAGATGGCAACGAGCACATTATGATGACTACGGACCTTCGAAAGGATTATAATTCAATGAGCCGCGCGCTCAACACAGCGATTCAAAGTGCCGTATCTTTGAATGCTGATTCAAATGTCAAATTCATTGATATCCAGGCTAATGGGCTTTTGGATGGTCATCGGTTCTGCGAACCCAACATCAAGGAGCCAGATCAAAATAATGAGAATCTTTGGCTATTTCACTATCCCTATAAGCAAAACGAGGACCAAAACCCTTCTCCCGAGCTGCAAATCATGATAAACGCCACCGATCAAATAACCAATGGGTTAGATATATCAGCACTGGGGGTCAAATTTCCAAATATTTCGGTTTTTGAAGACGCACTTTGGGATGCTGTTAATGTCACTGAAGTGGCTGCAGTAAGTAGCGATCCTGTAGATGACAAGTGGTATGACCTCTGGAGAGACACTGTTGGTTGGCGTGCAAAGCTTTTCCATCCTCAAGTCGCCTACCATTCTGCAATCAGGGAGTTGGTCCTCAATCAGTTCCTAGAAGATACTCGACCGGCTACCAAAGGAAACGGGACATGTGTACCCGTTGGTAGTACCTTTGACCCTCAGATGCTGCGAATATTATCTCTCGGTGGTTCGATCACTTGGGGTCAGCAGTCTCCTTCCGGTAATGGTTACAGAAAATACCTTCGTGATAAACTTATTTCCAGTGAGTTCCTTCTGCCCCTATTCGCATCTGCAAGACTCTGGTTCTCAGAAAAATGGTCACGGGTGGCGTCCTTCGAGTTGGGCTCTTTTGGAAGCTAAATCACGGCACCAATTACTACCCCAACCTTTTCAGAAAGACGTACTAACACGCGGATAGATGGAGCCAATGTAAACATGGTTGGCACTATAAAGCACGGAACTATGGGAGACAATGACAATGAAGGCTGGTAAGTTCCCCAATTCTACAACACGTTTTACATTTCAAGAACCTCCGTGAAGATCACGAATTTTTCCACGGAATATTTCGTGCTACGTGCTACAGACTAGTGCATTCTCACCCTACTCCTATCACTGTTCTTGTTGCTACAAGAAATATGCTTACTTTAACTATAGGCCAGGCTTCCGCGTTGACCAGATCAGCGATAGAGCCAATAATGATCTTCCGTTGCTTCCCAATCTTGTTCTCATCAACGCTGGCACCAACGATGTAGCGCAAGACTACGATATAGACACTATTGACCAGCGTTTAGAAGACCTGGTTAACAAGCTTCTAGACGCAATACCTGGCACTGTGGTTATAGTCTCAACTCTTTTGGTCAATCGCAACGCAACTAAGGAGTCTATCACCCAGGGAGTGAACTCAAAGTACGTCAATATGGTTGAAAAGATGGCTGATGCGGGCAAGTTTGTCTACCTTGCCGATATGTCCAGCATCACAACCGAGATGATAAACGCCCGGGACGGAACTCATCCAACTGACTGTAAGTGGGCGAAGTTTTTCCTTTCGGCAACTTCTGACTTGTGATGGCAGACGGATATGAAGTTATGGCTGGATTATGGTACAGCGCCATTCAAGAGGTCTACGCCAATTGCTGGTTGACTGCTCCGGCAGCCGTGGCGGGCTTGAATGATTCTGATACACAAGGAGGGATCACAACGTGTGAAGCAAATTCTGCAAATTTCCCTGCTCCAACTCAGATCCAAAAGGGGTCTGGATACAACGATAGCAATTATCAGTAAGTACAACTGCCATCTAACCTGATAATTACAATTGAATCTCGATCAGAGAGATTATCACAGAAGGTGTATGCACACAAGGATTTGAACGCTGATGATAAGATAGTCATGTGGGACATCCTTATGGTGAAATTCAATTACAGCAAGTAGACAACCAGCAGGACGTCCAACATACTAGCGCTTATTGGGCGGATATGAATGGAGATGGAAAGTTTAAGACAATCCATTGGTTTAAACAGTTGTTAACATTTTAATAGGTGTTGATGATTTTATTTATAACTCTGGAGAGGGAGTTCTTGGTATCGTAATAAATGATGGAACAGGTAAAGCAGGATTATGGACATATAATGAATATGCCTTGAATATCAGCATGGGTCTTTGTCCTGACATGCGATTTGGTGATCTCAATGGAGACGGACTTGCTGACTGTTTTTGCGTGGGATCTGATGGGACACTTTCTGCATATCTGAATGATGGTGGTGGAAGTTTCCCTACGGAACCAATATGGACTGCATTAGGCGTTATAATGTCTGCACAAGGCTATAGCAACGATATGGTCAGGTTAGCGGATATAGACGGGGATGGTAGGGTTGATTACTTGGGTATTGACGCAGATGGAAATGTTCGAGGATGGAGAAATGTCGGCACAGAAAAGACTGGATCGCCAAGCTGGGTGGACATGGGCATTATTAATAGTGGAGGCACCATGGGAGACGTAAATGGCATTCGCTTTGTAGGTTTCCGGAGCGATCTGTCAGGCCAATGAGAGTTTGCTAATTTCCGCGTTACAGGTCGATATCAATGGAGATGGTATTTTCTACTCTTTCATGAAATCATTCCGTTCTAACAAGCCTTAGGGAGAGCTGATTGGGCTTGGGTCAGCAACACTGGTCAGATCTACACTTCTATCAACCAGCGCGGATCGGATCTTAGTTATCACCCTGTCTGGCTACCTACCCTACTCACACATCAAGGAACTGGACAGGGTGGGCCAAACGTGACAGATAGATCCCATGTCCTGCTTGGTAATGTCATAAATAAAACGTTCACGGCGGACACAAATTTTCCAAAATACGATGCTCAGGGAGTAGATTACACAACTATTTTTGAGTCTGAGGACAAACTATCCTTACACGCACATGTTTTAGGTAATTCAGGCATTGGCGGAGCCAGGACGAAAGGAGACGGCGTACACTATTGCGACATGCGGGGATCGGGAACAGGTATATCTTTCCGATAACAAAAACAACCTCAAAGATAACTAATACATTCCAGACGATCTGGTGTGGATTGGTAAGACTGGGAACCTGACACTTCATGCAAACAATCACATGCTCCCAGCTTGGGGACAGTATCAACATATTTTTATCGCGACGGAATCTTTGATGTCCGGTCATGTCCGAAAGGACATTCACCTGGCAGATCGTGAGTCCTATTTCTATTTCAAGTCAAAGAGATTAGCTGACCGTGCCAGTTGATGGTGATGGAAAATGCGATTTCCTTCTAGTCGACAAGGAATCTAACTCGATTCATATGCTACGCAATGACTACTCCCGGGAGACGGACACCTTTTCATTCACAGATGTGGGAACTGTTTCGGGAGGTGTCAATTGCCAAGAACATTATGGGCCTGGATTGTTTGATCTAGCTGTTCGATTTGCGGATATTGATGGCACGTATCTCTATTTAATTCTCATTTGCATAGTCTTCGAGCGCTGTCTACCGCTCAACTATTGATCTGGAGCTAATTTCTATGGTAGGCGATGGCAAGGCCGATTTCTTGTGCATAGGCCAAGACGGTACAGTGAATGGCTGGCTGAATAAAGGACTCAACAACTTCCAATCCGCAGGGATCATAAAGACCACCGAAGGAAAAGAACGTGCCAATCTCCGGTTTGCAGACATAAATGGAGATGTAAGGAAGAGCCTCCAAGTCCAAACATTAAAATACCAGAGACAAACTGACACACAGTTCAAGGGACGTGCGGATCTCCTCGCGCTAGACCCAGTCTCTGGAGCTGCTGCAGCTTGGACCAACGGAGGATCAGGCGGCAACAGCGGTGAAACATTTAACTGGCAGAGTCAGGGTACTGTATTTCCTGGAGGGTATATGAGAGGGGAATGCATCCATTTTGCAAAGTAAGTTCAAAATATTTGATATTAACTTCTATGGCACTTACTGACTGTGATAGTATCAACGGTTATGGACGCGCTGATTATGTCTATATCGAACCCAACCTCGCCCGCGGGGATGTCATTTATAATGTGTGTGCTTAAATAAGAAGCAATAGAATGGCGGTGTGATAGATCTCTCATTGATTGAGGGTACTCCTTGTCTTTGAATTCCAGTTATTTGTGGTGATTTATATTGATAACGCTAAAGTTGTATACCTAAGTTCTAGATTGAGTACAACGTAGAGTAAATGAATTTGGATATAACTGATTGTCAATGACAGGTATTTTTGAGGAAATCATTTTTCTTGATCCCTTTTTGGATATTTTATTTATGTAGATATACTATATGAGAACTAATATAATTTATTTGATTTGAGAATTATTCTGGTTATAGGGTTAATAAATACTGTGCTTCTATCTTTCTTTCTCTTGGTTCTCTATATTTCCTCTGTCGCTTGTGTTAATTGATATTTTGATTCCATTGTTGTTTTTAGGCATGTTGGTTTGTTATTTTATCTAAAAGGAAGCTCTCTATAATGCTCGTTTTTTGTATAGTAATGTCTAATGAAGTGTTATGGATATATAACATTTTGAAGGCTGAATAAATTTGAGTTCTTTTGACACATATATGATATTATTATTGCTACATGTGTGTCTACATTTTAAGACCTATTGAGTGAATATATAATAGCAGACTAAAAAAGCTGCTTATTTTATTTTATCATATCACAAACTACGTATACAAATTGTTGACGCTCACCCCCTGATAGACTTACATCTCAAATCTGCTAAAATACTAATAAAACTCATAGGGTTACCGACTGCATTGTACCCTATCAACACTTCCTTGGCAATGGCTGCTTTCAGACCGGCACTGCTGTGAGGCCTGACAGCAGCAAGGGCGCTGCAGCGGCGCGAGAGCGAGCGCAGGCACGTGATGCGGGCTCACCGAGGCTTATATAAGTGCCAACCCTGGAATTGGGCGTTGGCCCAATTACCTCAGTATTACTTTTTGGGGCTTAGAGGTTGGCAGTGGCAAGAGCGCTTACAGCTGCCTCGTCGGTTTCCTTCAAAAGCGATTGTTAAAGTTTCGCACCTGATGTCTATAAATATGTGAGGGCAGTAAGAACTGTGTATGAATTAGTAAGATAGATATATTTGACTGATCCATTTATTGCTTATGTTCTTGTTTTAAATTTATACATATTTACTACATACGTATGTAGTAAAGTAAGAGTGACGACGATAGGGTTTAGGGTTAGGGTTATCCGCATCCTGGGACTTGGACCGTGCCTCAAACTATTGATTTGCAAATCCAAGAATGGCAATTACTCAGCCGCTCTAGTAAGAATTAAATAACTCAAATCTTCAATAAATAAATCATTAAATCGATAAGTCATAGTGTGTCGCAATGTTGAAAAGTGAAAGAAAGTACGGCGCCTCAGCGCTGTTCGTACCACAGCGCTGGCTCTCAACCCAACTCGTTAAAAGTACTGCGTATGTGTTTTATAACAGCGCGGCCATGACTCGAAGACGGCTTAATAGATCAATGGCCAAAGCACTCACTACATAATAGACGGCATTAAAGTTCTCATCAAAGTATCATGTGGGAAAGCCAGCACATCATGCAGCCTGCATCATCGTTATCGCGCTAAAGCCAAACGGTTGATAACTTGATTGTTAATGCAGCACAAAGCTAATGTCTCGTATTAAACTAAAGTAATAAAATAAGTACTAACACCAACGCGCTGCACAGTGCAGGACAAGAAGATCCACCTACCCAATCGGTCGAGCGACTTGGGCGCTGTTCCCGTCAATCGCAAATAGTGGGAAATAATAGCCGTTGCTTTGTTTTTCTGAGATAATTAATTGTTGCTTTTTTTCATCGGCGATGACGATGGACATTGTTAGCGCTGATTTGAAATTATGCTTAGAATCTGCAGATTATTAATATTTAAGATGGGTGGGAATACTTTTTCTTTAATAATTACTTCACCTACAACAACGGTTCGGACTACAATGATTATGTGACGACAAAATATGGCAAACAACGAGGCGACACAAAAGCCACCTTTGACCGGCTTAAAGGGTAAATTTAAGGATCAGCAGTCCAGACCCGAAGTATAATGTATAATCACTGACGGAATCAGTCCTCGAATTGGCTGGTACTGTCATAGGTCCGTTCACTGGCATGGTCCTCGCGGATCTAGGCTGCGACGTCGTTAGAATCGATCCACCCAGCTCGAAAAAGAACAGTCCCTGGATTGATTCACTTTGCCGTCGCAAAAGCTCCGTCGTTGTCGACTTCGCATCGCCTAGTTCCCTTCAGGCCTTCTTCGATCTGCTGACAGTTGCGGATATTCTGATCGATCCGTATCGGCCAGGCGCCTTTGAACGCTCGATAGGGATGAATGCAGAGGAACTGTGCCGACAATTCCCTCGTCTGGTGTATGCGCGTATAAACGGGTTTGCGCACGACGATCAAACATATAGCCACGCTGTCGGCCATGAAGGAAATTATATCGCCGTGTCGGGCGGGTTGCCGTCCCTGCAGCATATGCGCGGTAAGAATGGGGTGTTGTTTAAACCCACAACAAATTATTTGGCCGACTTTGGCCCTGGGAGTATGGCGTGCATAGTCGGCATTCTCTGTGCGCTGATGCAGCGGTCTGTCTCGGGCAGGGGTCAGGTTGTCGATGCCAGCGTGCAGCAGGGCACGGCTTACATGTCGATATTCCCAAGACAACGAAGAGAACATGCAGAGCAAGCGACGACGGGTGAGCCATCGCTCGATACGGATCATGCGCCATATTATGATATTTACCGTACGCGGGATGGGAAGTATATGATTCTCGGGTGCATGGAGGATTTTTTTACGAGCGCATGCTACGGGGTGTAGGGCTTGATCCTGCAGTCATGCCTGGACGCGATGACCGGAGCAATTGGCCTGCTTTGAGAGAGGTTTTGGGGGAGAAGTTTGCTTCTGAAACGCAGAAGCATTGGAGGTCGGTGTTTGATGGGGCAAATGCTTGTGTTAGCCCGATCTTGGATTTCGATGATGCGGGCGTTGATCTCGGCCGGCCATTGGTACAATTGAGTGAGACGCCGTCGTTACCAATACCGAAGGAGCATGGGATTCCGTCCTTGGGCCTGGGAGAAGGTAGTGCCGATGCATGTCGACGATGGTTGGGGAAAAGGACGGACCTGGTCATTGATAGCTCGAGTTTCATTCTCAAAAAGAACAATGGACGAGGGTTGAAATCCAAGCTGTGATCCTTGCATGACCGAGATACTGGCCTGGATGATAAATAGAAGGAAGCAAGGAATTCGCACACGGACAGAAAGGGAATAAGCAGAAGACAGCCGGAGAGGCTAAACTTTGACCGGCGTGTTGGTAGTCAGCGTGCAGATCGCTGTCCGGGTTGACGATGCACAGGCTTAGAGCAATAATATCAATGTAAATATTAAGTACAACGGCGATGGCCATGGCCATGGTATTTAAGGAAATTAGTCGGTCAGCACGAGTCCGTCGAAACAGACTAGCTAAGCTGCTAGTCTGGCAGGAGATTGGTCGCACAACCTGCTCGTCCTACCTGCTTGTCTCATGCTACTCGCTGGGATAATATCAAGTCAACGCCATGCGCGATGAACGACATGTGTGATGTGAGGAGTCAGACGCGGTCTGGATGGGAAGAACTTGGTAATGGTCATAGCCAGCTCAGGCCGAGTCGGCCCAAGCGGGCGACACACAGTCACACGCCGACACGTCAGTACTGCAACGTACAACGTCGTAACCACCTGCCTATTAGCAGACGAGCCACGGCATCAAGGTATAATCCTTCTGATATCTGCTGCAGGCAGTCCCAATGCTCTGGTTCTGAGGCCCGCCGCGCGTGCGGTGGTTGGCCGAGACAGCACCATAGCATGGGTCGTTATGCCCGAGCCGGCGACGCTATCACCAACACGGTTACCTCCCACCGCCGGGTCTGACAAGCCCCTCTTGTTGCGCGCTCGCACAGTGTATGCTATGATTGACTGACCGACGGACTGACTGTGAGGAGACAGCTGTCCGAGCGCAGCCCGCCAACTCGGTTGCTGCCGCCAGCCTCTCAGCAGGGACTAAGTGCTTTTTGCTTCTACTTTATTTAAGCATTGTTGTATATTCTCTGTGCTGTCACGGCCTGTTCTCGATATTGACCGACTCTGAGTGAGAAATGCGCTGGGGAAGCGAGCCGCAAGCATCTGCCTGGCCCTGACCTGACTCGCCCACCGCCCATCGCTCATGACACGAGACCGAGACCGATCTCTTCCGTCCGTGAATGCATCTCTGGATCATCGACAGCATCTCGCACATTTCCCTGTGCAATCCGCCCGACCCATCGTATCGCATCGCTGAATCTTCACGGCGGCCGCAAAGATAGAGAGAAACCTCGATACCGCTTCATCGCATCACGCCGAAATTAACCAGAGCCACGATGAGCGGGCCAAGTACGCTCGAGGTGGATGTAAGTGGTTCGTTTTCGTTATTCTTGGTCGCCCAACTGACAAAAAAATCCAGAGCGGAGAATTGTACGATTCCTCGTCCATCTTCAGCAGCCAGGCTGATAGTCGTGAGTTTCGCATCCTGAGAAAATATTTAAAAAAAAATTACTAAACAATATCTTCTAAGGCTACGGCGCCCCCTCATTACAGAGCTACAGCTACGAAAACGGCCGACGATACCACACCTTTCGACAAGGGTCGTACATGATGCCCAACGACGAGAAGGAACAAGAACGGCTCGATCTCGCCCACCATATCTTCAAACTGGTTCTACGGGGCCGTCTAAGCCGAGTGGTTTTTGAGTGTCAGCCCCGCCATGTGCTCGACTTTGGCACGGGAACGGGCTCGTGGGCGATCGATTTCGCCGACGAGAACCCGGAGGCGCAGGTCGTTGGCATCGACTTGTCGCTCATCCAGCCGGGCTGTGCGCCGCCGAATTGTCGGTTTTATGTCGACGACGTCGAGTCGGGGTGGACCTATGAGTCGAAGTTTGACTATGTGCATGGTCGTGCCATGGCTGGGTCCATCAAGGACTGGGATTCGTTGCTGGAGCAGGCTTATGAGAATCTCAACGACGGTGGCGTGATTGAGTTGCAGGAGTATGAATCCGTATACAAGTCCGACGACGACACTGTAACCAGAACCCCGGCTATCAGCCTGTGGCAGCAGAAACTGAATGAGGCGGCTGAGGCGTATGTCTTCCTTCCGCTAGTTCCGAGGTAGTTGCTGACCATGGCAGAATCAATCAACCAATGAACCTTGCCCAAACGTTGAAAGATCGACTCGAAAGAGCCGGATTTGTCGACGTGCGTGACGATGCATACAAGGTACCGCCTCTTCCTACTCTCCACTTATCATTCCTTTCTTTCCCTAATATATTGATAGATCCCCGTCGGCCCATGGCCCAAAGACCGCCGGCTGAAAGAAATCGGGTACATGCTGCTTTTCCACTGTCTGGAGGGCCTCGATGCGTTCACGCTCGCACCATTCAGTCGTGTATTGAGCTGGTCTAAAGAAGACATCCGGCAGCTCACGGAGCGCGTCAAGAAGGAATTTCTCACAGGAACCAATCATTTATATGTGATTATTCATTTTGTGCACGGCCGAAAACCAGCGTCGACGTCATAGGAAGGGAAGAAAGAAAGATATAAAGAAATCGGTGTAAAAATTGAAATTGAAATTGGTGCTGGTGCTGGTGCTGATGCTGATGCTGGTGCTGGTGCATGTGATGAGTTATGATACCCTTCAATGTTTCATGGTATTTGTTATGTTCGTGGTTCGTGTTCATATTGGTGTTGTTGCTTCTGTTAGCGTATGGTAGAATGAAGTATGGAATACTGAAGCATTTATTTTGGTTGGGATGAAAATGGGTGGCTATCTGACTATAAGTTTCAATGTTTATAATTATTTCTCGGTGTCAGTTAGAAAGGGTTAATCTTCAAATATCAGTGTATACAAATCCATATAAGCGATAAACTCATACACTTTTAGTAGAAAGATGGACTTTCTTTTGAATTTGATCAAGGATTAACCATTGACTTGAAAGACCAGAGTAATGCAGAGTTAGATATCCTCAACTTGATTCCTTGATAAACTCGACATTAGCGCTAGTACAAACCTGATGTCATTCGTCGACAACCCTGAAAAGACCATATATTGGAATTGTATTTGGAATTGAAATAGACAAGTAAATAGAATATCATTAAGTTAGGCACTGCCAGGTCTTACAATTTTGTCTAGACCCGACTACCAAGACTGAAGTATAAACTCGGATTCCCCCTTCTGGCAAGTAATGAAACAACCAGCTGACCATTCTTCCTCAATATTGAGTACATCCCATAGTCAAAGTATATTAACATGTTCTCAGTTCACGTAATACACAACTCTGGCCCTCTCTAAAAAGTAAGTATATCCTATCCAAGCCAAGCATCAATCCATCCAATAACCTCTGCTATCCATACACCCTGGCTGGCTGACATGGTCAGCCGGTGTGGTTACACAACACGACCAGTTCCTGCAGCCGCATGTCTACGCCAATGAGCATTACGAAGCCGGCCATATTACTCTGCGGGCCCTGCTTATTTCTTTTCTTAGGATGAGTTTGTTCGACGGCCGAGCAGGAGTGATAGACACATAACGGCGCGGGGCCGGGGAAACATACCGGTTTACCAGTTTGTTGGGTCAGAAATGCAAATGCACGCCGAGTCAGAGGTTCGGCAGCTGACCCGCTGAATAGATTACTAAACATGAAGTTTCAGCTGGGGAAAGAATTTGAGAAGTGTTATCAAACGGGATCATCGTGATCATCGTGCTTTCCTGGTGCTTGAACTGGGCATGCTAAAGGTGAAGAAGGTTTGTGCAATCGCTAGGAATCAATTGGCGGCAAATGAGCGTCAACTCCTGGATAGAATAATAGGCAATCGCATTATCAGCATGCTTTAGCACCTTAGTGAATGGAGCGTTTGAACTGGTGGGTGCCGACCTTGCTTCCTATTCTCACCTAGTATATTCATTATACGATGCCATTGTCGAGTCATGCAATATAACACAGCATTGCACTCGTCAGCCAGTGGAGACAACTCCATGCGTTGCTATTACTACTTTCAACCAAGATTGCTAAAAAGAATCAGCAAGTTCTCGCAAAGGAGGGGCCTCCTGCAGCATGACTAAACAGGTAATTTCCTGACATCTATCTCTGGCCGATACTCCATAATACCGGAAACCATGGGAACACACGACAATTGTCATTTGCACACTAAATATTGGGATTTTGGAAAAAACCGAACCAAATGAAGAGGGAAAGCCGAGGGGGCCCGGACCCGGTCGGTCCCAGCACTGTGGTAACTGCCAGCGCAGAGAGCTGCAGGATACGACTTCCGGCCATGCAATGGCGAGGTGGCGTACTGCAACGGTTGATGAGGCGAGTCAGTTAGTGGTTGGTATTGAAACTAGATGGTTCTGCTTCGTTTGCTGGATGTAGGACGGTAGCGTGCAGGAGTAGTGTGCTGCCAATTATGTTACAGCTGGGTTGTAATAAGAGTGAAGGAAGGAACGAAAACGGAACAGCCGAGGATCTCCATTCGGCTATCCTCTATCAATCTATCCTCTATGAGGTGAGGTTGGTCTTTTACTCTCCAGATTTGTCATGGTGCTAGCGATAGACGTAGACTGGAGGAACAAGCCCTCGACCGGGCAATTGAGCCGTGCCCATGACAGTGGCTACGGGCTGGCTGGATTAGTCGCTCAGAGTCAGACACTTTCTTCTCCAGACCAATAGACTCATCAATGCACACTTTAAGGCTGACATCCTGACACAGGAAGGTTTATGGTTGAGGTAATTCATAGCGGGCTGTGGGCTACCTGATATCATCATCACCACCTTTCAAGAAATGCAGAATGCAGTCGCCAACGCCGAAGCAACAGTGAGCCCACTGGCAGGACGATTTCCACTTCCCATCTCCCCGCTGCCGGCGTCAATTCTCGCTCGCGCTCAGACTAGAAATAATGGCACTAGCGAGGATGGCGATACCGGGAAAGGCCTGCAATGGAATTGCCGTGCAATAGCATAGTGCCATAGAGCAGGATTATTACCAGGTATTAGTAGTTAGAATTACTCGTTAGTGATGGAACTAAGGATTGGTTCTCGCCCCTAGGTTCGTCGTTCAACACCCCGGTCGATTTTTAGTAAACCGTCGTACTGTACACCGTAGGAATGAAGCAATTGAAAAGGGAAAAGACACAGGAAAAAGCAAGCAGAATGGAGAGAATCCACAACGGGACGGGACGGGACGCAGAGCGGAAAGAATGACGCGCTGAAGGTTCTAATTATCAAATACCAACAGTAGTAGTAAGCAGACCTCGCTATAACTATACAATACTGTCAATGTGCAGTATGCAAGCCTGGCACATGCAAGTAAATGTTTGACCTTCATCTTCAATGTACGACTGCGGCCCAAGCGTCTATCTTTTAGTGAAAGACAGAAAATCTCTGTCTCTGGACATCAATGATTTTATATAGCCCTTATAAAATAATCCATTGATGAATGAATAAATAAATCTTATTCGCCCAATCTCTTTTAAAATAAAATCATTCTCAGAATAGGTCTATTCTGGTACCGACTGCATGATCGCTCATGTCAGGCAACACCGCCCAGCAGCCCGGGCATTGGCAGACTTAGTTCCAAGTACTAAGTGTGGGTTCGTGCTAATTTGAATTCGACATGCTAACGCGTGCCACGTAGCATGCAAGAATGATCCCAGATAGTATAATAGTAGCGCTTACGACGAAGGCCGATCTAGAAGAACGTAGAGCCGTTGCCGAATTCGGAAGTAGGGCTTAACCCTTTAGGGTTAAACGGAGGGGTAAAACATGCAGCAATGCAGCACGTTGGGACGTTTTATTATTAGTTCTGACGCAACTGGTAATAGTACTATAATATTATTATAGTAATTATTAATAATGGTGTACTGAGTCCCGCCGCAACGGAAGCACTTGCAAGGATCATGACTGGTGCGGCAAAGAAAAACCCAGTAGGCTGTTTTCCTGTTTTCCTCTGTTTTGCGCCTTATGCACGTACGACTGACTCACGGCAAGCCAAGGCTGCTGAGATCAGACCTCTTGCGCTGAAGAATCTTATCCTGAAGATTACCGGCATGACTACCTCGGATGATCGCGATCAGTCTGTATCAATCCTTAGTCGTCTGGTAGTGTCGGAGCTTGTGAATGGACCAATTGATGCAATATAATGTTGATGCAAGTCGACCAAACCAGCAAGTCCTGCAAGAGGCCTAGACGGCGGCCCTGCTACATTAGTCGATCAGCAGTCTGGCTTCCTGGGATCATTATGAGTATGGATTAATATTATAGCACTCGGTAGAAAGTGGGTAGTAAATGTAGGTTTGGCCACTGTGGGTTCCATACCTTTTAGTAAAATTTAACAAACCGAGTGCTATACAGCCACCATGAAGTGGTAGTGGGGATAAACTATAACAGTCCACTATCCACTGCAATAGAGCGGCTTGGGAGGCTGGCTTGTGTTCTGCTGTTTAGGTATGAACAGTGAATATCAGACCATACATGCTGTACAGTATCAGTGGCATTTCGCACAACACTGAGGTGTTAAAACTGCACAATATATATAGTCACCCATCCTACTTCATTTTCCTCCATCTTGTTTATCTCATACCTCCAGTTGCCGGCAATTGATCTTATCCGTCCAGGACTCGATCAAATTGTAGAGCAAAGCTCAACTATATCACTCCATATTCTACTCAGTCAATTCCTTACCATACCCCCAATTACACTGATTACACAAACATGGACTTCCTTCGTGACTTGTTCGTTTACCCCTACACCCGCTTCTACACCCTGCTTAAGGGGAAGAAGAAACTCCTGACATCAACCCTCAACGCCGGGCAACCCAAGTCCGAAGTTGACTATTTCACCGGCCTCACCAACCGGAACCATGATGCTCCTCCACTGCCAGAAGACCCCGTGACACGAGCTGATATCGAAGCCGTTCTGAAGGACGGCTTTGTAGTACTCGACGGCCTCCTTACTGAGGAAGATATCAAGTCTTTCCGTGAGGAAATCGACCATATGACCGGCGAACACCCCAAGTTCGGCCGTCATATGTTCGAGGGCCGGGAGACCATCCGTATTTACTCATTGCTCAATAAGTACATTCCCTACCATCATATCATAGAGTGTAAAGAGGAGAACTAATAAAGTCTGGACAGAACTCGCAAATTTGACAAGTGCTGCCTCTTTGACCGCGTTCTCGCGCTGAATGACTACTTCCTTATGAAGGGGTATTGCCTGTCGGCTACTTCGAGTATCCAGATTAATCCAGGCGAGAAGCCTCAAATGCTTCATCATGGTGCGCAGCGCAAACTACCCCTTACTACCTAACCTGACAAATGTGGAATCATGACAGATGACGGATATACCTACCTCCCCCGTCCTCGCCCCCCTATGGGCTCTGCTATTATGATCGGTGTGCAACCAACCCATCCCCCCATTGCCCCTTCCACTCCCACTACTTCCAGACTAACCCACATGTCCAGCAATCGACGACTTCACTGAGAACAACGGCGCGACATGTATGGTTCCAGGAAGTCATCTCTGGGACTCCAAGCGGCGCCCAACGTTGGAAGAATGCGTGCCTACGGTTGGCAAGGCTGGGAGTGTCGTGTAAGCCACCACATCCACTCTCTCTACCTCTTTACCTTCTACTTCTACCAGACGTTCTAACGATATGTGAAAAGCTTCTTCCTCGGAACAACCTGGCACTGCGGCGGGCCCAACACATCCGACAAGCCGCGTCGTGCAGTCACAGTGCAATACTGCCAGCCATACGTAAGTCCCCTCCCCTTTCCACCACAAATCACCAATTACCTCTGACATGTGTTGGCATTATCCAGATCCGCCCCGCTGAAAACCACTTTCTCGCTGTTGACCCGCGCCGACTGCCCGAGATCCCTGAGGATATCGTGCGGATGATGGGGTATGGATTGCACAAACCCTTTATCGGAAACGGTTCGTCCCTCTTCCTTCCTTTCCCCCTTGCATTCCTTTGAAGAATTTCTCTTTAATAATAGTAATTGATAGTCGACGGCCTCGATCCGCTCAAGGGTGCGAGACGAATGATCGGGTGGTTTCAACAGCCGCTTGACCCTCATCCTCCTGCTTTCGCGACTATGGCTTAACTGGGCGAGGAACTTCTCTTAGAACAGTGATATATATGAATGAGGTGGGGAAGATGTGAATATAAAGAAATGACTTATGACATCGATATGAATGATTTCTTGTCTTTTGGATTGTTCTCTTATGTTTTGTTTTCTAGCGAGTCAATTCAGCAAGTAATTCTGTTTGGTTGATTTCATGGGCTTGTTTAGTATAGCTGGGCTTAGGTTTAGATTGGTCTGAAGTGTTTTATGTTTGGTTCATTGTTAAGTTCGAGTGACGTCTGGTAGGCCTCATTTGTTGGTGGTTTGCTAGGTTGAATACAATCTTACCTCCCACTGCTCGTGTACACTTTATGACAATGCTATGACAATGCTACAACAATATGTTGATTCAACACCAAGAATGATTTAGCAGTATCATTGTGTAATTGTAGGTAGTTGTACATAATCACATGCAGTGGAATGTATATATCCCACCAATAAACATCAAAATAAACGCCGCTCTCGAGCCTCCAAACCCTCACAACACCTAACCAAACGCTGCCATGTTGATAACCCGAATAATTTAGCGTGTTTGAATATTATCATCACAGTAAATGAAGAGGCTTGCAGAATGAAAAAAAAAAAAAAATGCATGAAAATAATACATCGCAGATATTCGAACTACGCCCCTACACCAGACGAGCGTTTAGACCGTCGACCCGAGAAATTGCTATCAGTCTCCTTCTTTTTTCGGCCGGTACTGCTTCGGCCGCCTTTAGGTCGATACCCTGTATCTTCATCACGCTTGCGCTTGCCCTTGGAACTTGACGGCTCGGGTGTTTCCAAGGCAATTCCGTCTTCGTCATACATGTCCTCTTCTTTAGCGGCGTTTCGGGACGTAGGTGCACGCTTGGATACGCGCAGATTACTTGGTCGTGGTGCTCCCACTCCCTTTTCGGACGCATTGTCGTTGTCTTGTAGGAAAATTTGCGGATTGTTACGCCTCAGCCAGTTGTAGACTGAGCTTGGGTTTGCGAGGCTCGCTTCTCGCATACGTTCCGTCCATGTCGGCTTCTCAGGTAATCGGGAGAGTGGTCCCGCTGCCTCGCTGTCGCCTAGTTGCGTGTCGCTGCGAAGCAGGTATTCGTACTCGTGTTCGGGGGTCATGTATCCAAGACTATGGCTCAACAACTCATTATCTCGCAGGCTGTCAGTTTCAGTCGCAGGCTCGTATTGTGAAAGCTGTTGCAGGGCTGCGTATTTGACTGCTGGTTGGTAGGCATTACTGCGTTTCACAGCGTCTTCTAGCCGTCGGTAAGTCTCGGCGGTTATTTCTCCAGCTTCTAGCTCTGCTTTGGCCTCCCTCAAAGCCGCCTTTGCTGCCGACGCGGTATAGAACGACAGGGAGTTGTCTTCGGGCTCGGGAGATAAGGGTGCATCGTCCGGGATAGAGAGGTCGTAACGAAGGCTAGGTTTGACTTGGAGGCTCTCGTTGAATTCCATAAGAACTTCGAGGAGTTGGCTGTTAATCATAATTAGCTATATTCCTCGAGTAGTAGACAAGAGTAACAGTCTGAAGTAGGGATCGGCTGACTCGTTTGTTTCTTGGATCTGTTTGGAGAGATCCTCGATTCGCAGCTGCTCGCGAATGAGATTCTCGCTGTCGCGCATTTTCAATTCGAACTGAAGCTTGAGCTTGGCGAATTTCTTTCTATATGAGTGTTAACAAAAGCAGCGCATGGTCCGAGGCAGGCTTACTTGAACGAGCGATACGACTGCTTGTGCGTAGCAGTTCCATCAGTCGCATCCCCAGTTGTGGATTGAGTATCCTCCTGCTCTAGAGGCATATTGGTGATTTGGATAATCGATGACCAGCGATATGTAGATATTTAGATATGCTTAGCGACGACTGATGCTGACGTGGAAAAGAGGTTAAAGAGCGACAAAGGAAGAGTGTAGGTGTCGATTCAGGCCGTCAGAAAGCGCGCTCCGCGGCTGGCAGGAGCAGCCAGTCATGAGCCATTGCGGATCCCGCTTACTGTAAAAAGTTCCTTCATAAATTAGCTTGGGAAAATTTAACTGCCATAGCCATCATATTGACTGCACACAAAGATTCCTACTTTCTTTTATACATATCTCTCTCTGGGGATTTAATTCCTATATAAAATGTCCGAAGACGAGAACAAAAAGAAGCGCAAGCTGCACGACGGCCCAGAAATCGAAATCGACATCTCCGCACCCGAGCCGCCATCGAAGAAAGCTCTTCGCAAGGCCAAAAAGAAGGGAACCGACGTCCAAACAGAGCCAACAAAAGTCTCCACCGCGGATAGCGAGAAAGAATCAAAATCCCGGTCGGTATACGGCGTCTGGGTCGGTAACCTCCCCTTCAGCACATCAAAAGATGACCTACGCAAGTTTTTCACCAGCAACTGCACATTCGCAGACACCACAATCACACGCATCCACATCCCGCAAGGCCCGTCGAGGAATGGCATGCCGCAGAATAAAGGCTTTGCCTATGTCGATTTCGCGACGCAAAAGGCTATGGATGAGGCAATTGGCTTGAGCGAACAACTTATCCTGGGACGGCGTGCGTTGATCAAAGGTGCGCAGAACTTCCAAGGGCGGCCGGACCAGGACCAGCAAGCGAGCGTGGCCAAGTCGTCGGCGACATCAGGTCATCCCCCTTCGAGGCGTATTTTTGTTGGGAATCTGGGGTTCGATGCGACTAAGGAAGCCCTCGAGGAGCATTTCTCGCCGTGTGGAAATATCTCTGACATTCATCTGGCAACGTTCGAGGACTCGGGGAAATGCAAGGGTTACGGTTGGCTGGAATTCGAGAGTATTGAGTCTGCCCAGCACGCTGTGAATGGCTTCGTCAAGGTGGAAGAGGATGGTGAAGAGGAGGAAGAAGAAGAAGCCTCGGCGTCAGAATCAGACGGGACCAAGCCGGCGAAGAAACGCTCAAAGAGTAAGAAGCTTAGAATGAAGAAGGTCTGGGTCAATCGACTCCTCGGCCGGCAATTGCGCATGGAGTTTGCTGAGGATGCAGCAACACGATACAAGAAACGCTACGGCAAGGATAGCAGCAAAGGGCGGCCTCAACATTCAGACAACCAAGACGGAGAAAAAGGTAGCTGGAAAGGGCGTCCAAAGAAGGAAGACAGGACGCCGTCGCGGTATTCCAAGGATACAGTGCAACGGCTCACTGGAGCTATTGTGGAGGCCCAAGGGCAAAAAGTTACGTTTGATTAGACTAGATACGAGTTATGAGATAATTGCATGATTTTGTCTCTCAGGAATTACCCCAACTATTTACACTTGTAAAATATTCATGTACTGGTGTAATATCATACATTAAATATATTATGAGCTCTACTGATATTAGTACTGATGGTCGCGCTAGTCCTAGTCGGGCCCGTTGACATCTCTCGGGCCGCCTTCAGATGTCATGGCTCCGTTCCAATTTCATCGCTTTCCAGACACTCTCGCGTGCACACAGCCAACCAACATTTCTTTCATTTCCATCCTTTGTTTGCTTCTATTTTCTATTATTCCCTGGTCCATCTTACTTGACAAACCTGCTACCACCCCTTCGACTAGTCTGTGCTAAGCTTCTTTGACCAAAACCAGCACAGGCTTCCGGTGCTCCCCCGCTGAGTGACACATCCTGACCTTCAGAGCCCCAGCGGCGACATTTCAACCCATCTCTATCTGCCGTATTGTCTGACTTTCTTGGCTCGTACGACCTCGTGACGGATACTTCTACGTGCTCGTTCGGCGACTGAGCCGCTGCGGTTCTCGCCGCTCGATATCGACACCCGGGAATCAAATGGCTCCTGCGCGACGTCATAGAATTGGAGCTAGTCGACGAAGGAGGGAAGATGATGGCGAAGAGGAAGGATCGGTAGTTGGGGCGATGGACGAGGACTCGATGAGTGATGGCTCGCTGCTGAGCCATCAAGAAGACGATGACGAGGATGCCGATGAGGAGGGAAGCGACCTCAGCGATGTGGAGGGTACAGCGTCCGCAAACACCAGCAAAACAAACGGCCACGCTACGGGTCGGAAGGCTCATCGTCGATCGGGGAAAGGAAAACTCTCTGTTCCTGTCAAGCCGCAGTTAACTACCACCGTGTCGGATACAGAGGCGATGATGAATGGGCTGAGCATATCCGATCGGGCCAACGATGTCGCTGAAATACAGTTTGAAGATATGGGGAAGGAGGAGAGGAATGGGCTGATTCGGGCACCATCAGCACCGCCGACAGAGTCTAGGAGAGATACTATTGCAGACCGCAAACGACGGGAACATGAGGAATACATCAAGGCTCGCGATGAGGATCCTTCCTTCGTGCCAACTCGTGGAGGGTTTTTCCTACATGACAAGCGGTCCACAGGACCAGGTTCGAATGGGCATCGCACTCCTAATAGCAAGGCCAAATCACGGCCATATGGGCTGATTGTGGATGGGAATGTTGGGAGGTGAGTTTAATCTACATTACTTATTTAACCCGTTACTCACGAAGTACAGACGCCCGAAACCCGATGCAACGGATGGTCAATGGACGCATGATCTACACGACACTGTTGCTCACAACGATAGGTCTGGTTCAATGATGGCTCCTCCATCCCATCCTAGCGCAGTAATGCCAAACGGGCCTATCCCTGTGTCTGTTGCTCCTCGTTCAACACCCCCGAATCGCTCATTCTCGACCACCGTCCTGATCGGAAACGTGCCGGTCAAAATCTTCCTCCCTGGTATGGCAGCGCCTATACTACTGTCGGCTGTTCCCAAACGACAACATACTCGTCTCCCACAGCACCGCCCGCCCTTGAGACGAGACAAACCCGTGCGAATCTCCCTTCCGGATGCCACTCCTAAATACACCTATCCAGCGCCTGAGCGCTCATTCATCTTCATCCCACGAGCACTGCGACCTAATCAGCAGTCATACAGGGGTCGTGGACGAGGAGGTGGGTATTATGGTGGTCGACGACCAAGTCTCTACGCTGGCTCCGTCCATTCTCCCAGTCTGTCCATGAGTCGGAGGTCATCTCTTCGCGATGGCATGCAGTCACCTGCTGGATCAGTTCTGTCACGACAAACCTTGGTATCTGGAGAGACCAAACCCGTTGTTCGTCTCCCACCAATGGCCCGTCCTCCAGGTCCCGCACATCCGGCGATGCCTGGTATGATCGGTCCTGGGCCTGCTGTGGCTGCTCTACCTGTTTTCCCTCAAGGCCCTAACGCTACATACCGAGAAAGCCGTGGAGGGCCTATTATCATGCATCAGCCCCGGCCTCAGAAGACTGTATCGGTGGCTGACATCGAAACTCCTGCAAGCCTGCACTTCAACCCTCCTCAGCCCCAGCAAGAACAGCCGTTCCACCATCAGGTCCCTGTGGCTGTCTCCGGGCCAGGATATGGACCTGATACCGGACAGTATCCGCACGGCCGCCACCCTTCGCATCCCAGCCAGGCCTCTGGAACGCCACTTTCTCAGATCCCTGAACGTGCTATCCACGCACAACCTTTCCAACCGTACGGCTTTGCTTCTCAGCAAGGCTACTACGGTGGCTATCATCCAGGATCTATGTACTATCCTATGCCACAAGCCGAGTATCCCGCATACAACATTCAGCCTGGGCAAACCCCTGCTCAACCTTACGTCCTGGCTCCTCCACCCGCGCCACCGTCGACCGGGGAGCAAGCACCCCAAGCGGCCACTCTTGCGCATGAGGCGAACGGCACTGTCTATTTCTATGACGCGGCCGAGCTCTATCCTGGCCCGTCCTATCCGCCTGGGGGCGTTGTTGGGATGGGCGGGATGATGACGCCCCCTGGAACAACATATTACTATCCTCAGCATCCGCAGCACTCGCAGCATCCTCAGCAGCCATCTGGGGGTACTATCCGTCGCAGTGAGAGTCTAACATTCGCATCCAGTTTCTACTCTTTCTTCCTCTTCGCATGACTGTTTCTTTTTCTTCTTTTTCTTTTTTTGCCCACTTTCTGTCCTACACCTCACTACGGTTTACACTTTATAGTCAAGGCCTTGGCCGGCGCATAGTTATCGCATTCCTGAGTGTCACTGTCACTGTCACTGTATCACTGTATCACTGTTCCGCAATCCATCTTTCCCTCATCCCTACCTAGCATGCTTTGGAGAAGGTTCTGTTAGATTAATGTCTTCGCCATGCATCAGCGATCATGCTTTCCTCTTATTATTTTATTTCCCCTCCCCTTCCTCCTCTTCTTCCTGTTCTTCTTCTTCCTTTTTTGCCCCTCCTTATCTATTCTTTTTGGATCTCGTTGACATCATTTCGGAGCTGTCGGCGCTGAGTGTATCTTCGCGGGTTGTCTCTCTGCGATGGTGTAGAGCCAGAGACTAGGAATGTGAAAAGTGTTCTACTTATCTCCGTATCATAAATAAACACAAGAAATACATTGCGTAGCAGGATCTACAGGATCCCTGTCATGTGATGCGCCAGGTAGTATGTCGCGGTGCACGTGAGACCACAAGACAGCATGCCCACGTCATCGGCTGGCGGCAGACCGGTCACAGAGCATCATAGCACCGTAGGAAAGTAAGTAAAGTCGTAGTGCAGACATCCTTGATGTGCCGGCCTAGCCTGTTCCGGCCTAGTGGGGAGCTGTTGGCAAGCAATCCCGGTCTCTGGGTCAGGTGAGGAGTTATTGTTGTCGGTGTCTAGGAGATGAATGTGGCAGCATTGGTATCAATATAGGAATCCCCGGAAATAGCCTGCCATAGTAGCAGTATTGAGACAATTTTAGTATTAATGTATGCTGTATCTGTGAATTGCATACTGGCTGTATACTGGCTGTTTGCTGGAGCAGTCTGCCTGCCCCACACAGAGCCCCTGATTGGCTGCCCCCGCTCTCGACGAGGCTACTCCGTGCAGGCAGCACCAGTGCTACTAGCCGCGTCCCCTCATTGCCTGACTTGACTTACTTCACTTAACACGGCTGCTCCTCCCTTCCCGACCTCCTCTCCTCCTCACTCCCAGCTCGTTCCCTCCCTCTCCAACTTCTGCCATCACTTGCGTCTCTGTTTTGCTCTTCTGCATCCAGTGCTCCGACATCCATCTCCTCTCGACTTCTGGCACTCTCGCCCGCCGGTTCTCGAAGACGCCTCGCTCTATGCTCTAGTGTGTCTGCTGCTACAGTAGCCTCGGACCCGTTCGTCATCCGCTTCAGCCATGGCGACGCCTACACCCCCAGCTCCGCCCGTCGGCCCTGACACGCTGGTCACAATCAAGATTCTGCAGAACGAATCCGTCAACCGTCGCGTCAAACTCCCGCTGAGAGATTTGGGTGCTCGTGTGTTTCCTCAGAAGGTGTGTACTGGACCATTTTACTGTCTACGGTGATGTTGTTGCTGCCTCACCGCCTTCTTATCTCGGATCCGATCATCCGAGCAGTAAGCTATCTTTATTTAGTACTGGATGCTAACCGTATTAGATCCGCCAATTGCTCGCCATCCCCCCTACCCACGTCTTGACTCTCGAGCGCTACTCGGACAGTGTCGCCTCCTACGTTCTCCTCGACAGTGAGAACCTGACAGTCTACAAACAGCTTTACCGTGCTGCCAAAGCGAAGCTCAAGCTTCGTATCAAGGCCACGTCATATCCAGAAGTCAATCCCGAGCCTGTTGCTACGCCTATTCCTTCGCCTATTCCTGAATTGCCGTCTCAAAAGGACCCGAAAGATTCGTCGCCACGTTATAGCTATCTAGAAACAGTCCTTAGCTCCCCGCTTAACGCACCGCAGAAAGAAGCAGAGGCAGAGGCCGAGGCCGAGGCCCCCCAGCCTGTGCAAGAATTCCCTCAACCTGGAGCTTCAACCATGACACTGCCCTGCGGTCGGCCACGGCCTACATTTCCTCTTCGCTTCCCTGAAAATGATAGCGCGGCTGGATCATTTTGCATCGACTGTAACAACTGCAGAAAGGGTATCCCAGCAGAACACTTCCATTGCGGCATTTGCGATGATGGCGACTACGACTTGTGTCCTGCCTGCGTGAATGCCGGTGTGACGTGCCCTGGCCAGAACCATTGGCTGCTTAAGCGGTTGGTTCAGAATGGTGTGGTGATTAATAGCACTACAGAGACCATCGCTCCCAAGCGTACTGCATCTGAAGAGACGTTGGTTCAGGAGACGTTGGTTCAACCGGTTGCTGAAAAAGAGGTAGAGCCAAAGGCTGAAGAGACCACCCCGACTCCGGTCTTGGAGGTCAATTGTGATGCCGAGGAACGAACCTGCAATGCATGCTTCCGTGGTATGTACCATATCTTGACCATCTTTAAGACTGATCTAACGACTTAGAATTCTCCAAATCCAAGATGGTTACCTGCGACGACTGCGAGGATTATGACCTGTGTGTTGGTTGTCTCTTGAAAAACACCCATGGCCATCATCCCGGACACAGCTTTTCCATCATCAGTGAGGTCCACTTCTGCTTGAAGGCTATGGTGCAGTCGCGCTGCCGTCCTGGCCACCATCGCCACCATGCAGCAACTTGCGATGGATGCAACAAGGTAAGTAATAATCTGAATAACGAATCTATAAGTCCTAACAGTTATAGCGCATCATTGGAGTCCGTCACAAGTGCCTGGCATGCCCTGACTGGGATTACTGCTGGTCATGCATCAAGAATGCTGACGAGACTCATCCCCGCCACCGCTTTGTTCCCATCTACGACGTCATTGCTGAGCCCCTGCCTTCTCGGGAAGTCCACCATAATATCTACTGTGACGGTCCTCTGTGCCGAAACAACCCCGCAGCTTCCTGGATCGTTGGCCCTCGGTACAAGTGCTCTATCTGTCATGATACCGATTTCTGTGCAGCCTGCGAGGCCCTGCCTACCAACCCGCACAACCGCACGCACCCGTTGATCAAATTCCAGACTAGTGTGCGTAATGTGAGCGTGAGCACTCTCGGTGACGATGGATTTGGCGGTCATCCATTTGTCATGGGTGACCACAATGCTATGCCTGCATATGAGGTACCTACGCCTACCACAGCGCCTACTACGGAGCCTACCCCAGTGCCTCCTGAAGTAGCTACGGAAAAACAAGACAGCAAGAGCGAAGAGCAATTCACCGAAGCACCGCAAGTTGCTGAAAAGGCCGAACCTTTGGAGTCAGTCATGGAAGATCACGGTGCTTATTTTATGCGGGACACCATTCCTGATGGCACGTCTATGTCGCCGGGCCACGTCTTCAAACAGACATGGACGCTGTACAACCCGGGCCCGTTAGCCTGGCCTATAGGGACAAGTATACGCTATGTAGGCGGCGATGCGATGTTCAACGTCGACACCAACCACCCATCCAGCGCGCAGGAACTCACCATGGCCATGTCCAGCGACGAACTCACCAGTCCTGTGGGACCAGCCGAGTCAGCCGACTTCACAGTAACTCTCAAGAGTCCTCAACGTACGGGAACTTCCATCTCGTACTGGCGCTTGAAGCTGCCCAACGGAACTCCCTTTGGACACAAGTTGTGGTGTGATATCAAGGTTGCCGAGGAGCTGCCAGTCGAATCATCTCTGACAGCCCCTCTCAGCGAGAGCAACATGATCTTCCCGAAACTGGAAAAGGAGTCTCCTTTGTCCAGCACCCATGAAGCCATGTCTGAGACTGCCCCATCCGCGCCTCCCTTGTCGAGTGCCGACGAGCAGGAGATTCTAGAGGATGTCGAGAGCTTGGCTTTGGAAGACGTGTCGGACGATAATGGGTTCTTGACGGATGAGGAATACGACATTCTCGACGCGAGTGACCGAGAATCGCTGCATGGCAAGAATGCTTAAAAACACTATTCTACTCTATTCTGACACTCTATTCTCAAATCAGCTAGCTATTAGCAACTTTCTTGTATGACGGTGTTAGTTCTATTTAGGGATTAATATAGCAATCAATTTGATATCATTTCTAATATTATTCCTGCAATCTTCCTATCCTCTTAATGCTATCAATTATTACCACTCCTCTAATACTTGTGCAATTATTGGAGTATCGTTTCAGATGGATGTATGATGTTGTTTCATCCTTTAACTATTGACTGGTGTGTTATCAATATAGCAGTCTGGACAAAGAATACAACCTGCCTCGTTTCCATTCGAATAAAATCTGCCACAGTTATCCTGACAATTACCCACGGTATCTCTCCATCCTCATCCCATCTCATACTCATTCCATCTATGTAAATCAAGTTGATCCACAAATACACCCGAATCATGGCCATCGACAGCCTGGGCCCAATCGAGCACGCCGTCAAATCCATCAAACACCCTGGCAGCATCATCGTGCTAACCTCTAGCGTCGACCAGACCGTCTACGCGAATACCGTCGAGGGCCGCGCCATCACCAAGATATTCATCCACCGTACCTTTGCCCCTTCCCCAACCTCCATCACACCCACACCCTCTAATCTACTTGTAGCATCCTGCTCCCGCCTCTTCCTTGACAGCAACACCTGCACACAATGGAGCATTCCCGTCCCCATCACCGAGCAGAACTCTCTTCTGCGCTGCATATACATCGAGCAAACGTTTTACGATGACCGCGGCGTCGAGAGAAGGTTACTACATAGAGGCTACTTTGAGCCCACCGAAATGCCCTTTGAGTTTCGTGGGACGTATGTGTTTCCACGTTGCGGCCAGTGGGTGAAGGACGGCTTTGTGGATTTGCACGTGCGGTTTTCACTGGTGGCTTCCCCTCCTTTCTTTCATTTAACAAGAGTATGCTGGGTAGGGTTGACTGATGGGTGGAGGGTAGATGAGCGTCGACGCATGGAACAAATTCGCAGAATGTAGCGTTCGCGTCTTCGGTCAGGAACCAGTTGAGTACCAGCTTCCCCCTCTCCCTCCTCCTCCGCCTCCTCTTCCTCTTCTCGGTAGAGAGGATAGTCCCCCTCGACAATCCCACTTCAACTGCCGCTGCCCGATGCGGGTCAGCGACGAGCTAATTCTCACAGACAACATACTAGAGACGGGGAATAATATGTATATAGCGTTCAAAGATAATGGACATATCGAGTACTCGTCCGAGCGGCCTGCATTGGGTATTGAGATCAAGATAGATACGCTCAGGTGGACGGCTGCCCTATGTGCGATGTTGAAGGTTAGAGAAGGGGAGGGTAATGGTAATGTGAAGGAGGGGGAAGAGGATGAGGAAGAGGGCGCTAGTATGCATCTCATGACTGTGATTGGGAAGGGAGGTGAGGTTAAGATTCGTCTGCCGTTGGCATTAGCGGCTGGGTCGGGGGTTTTTTAATGGGTAGATCTTGTCTTTGTGTTGCTTTTGGGATGTAGATGTAGATGATCACTGCCGTAGGTAAGGCTAAGCATAGGAAAGACATATTCCGTTCCAGCTGAGGTTGGGAGTCCACATAGCCATGCAATTCGATTATGTGAATTAAACGAATTAAATATGTTATAATTATTTTAATATAAATTTATTCTTATTTTATGTCTTTGGTTTTTGATGTAGACTTCTGTCTAGTTATGCTAATTTGTTGATGAGTAATCACTAACACGTACAAAGTTCGACATCGATTGATTGCTACTAGCATGTTCGTATTCAACATTACTGCCTTTGCAAACACCAAGAAATGTGTGACGCCCTTACTATATGAGTAAGTAGTGGAGAGGATTCACCATCCTCAACATTCTGGTCTTTTGGCGCAGCAGCTTAGTGAGCGAATATACTCGCTTTCACGGTCGTGGCACAATGGACCCCCCAGAGGAACCCCATCTACCATCTACCATCCAGGCACAGCAGCTCTTCTTTATCGAAACCAGTCAAGAAGGTGCCGGCAGATTAGATGCCAAGTCGCGTCATCTGGTGCGTGCCCAGGCCAGGCGATCAGCGTCTCATATAGAACCATGGACACTCCAAGAAAGACGTCAACGTAACAGCGGCAGTCCGCAGTCTTTCAAATCCAAATTCAAACTGGCCTCTTGGCAGCGTCCCAGAAGGTCGAACAAACAAACCAACGATTACCATCAAGATATACCCATCCCTTCACTTTTGCCAGCTCAACTGGCAGCGGTTAATACTCTGCCAATACCCATGTCCCTGCCAACACAGCGCATATTACAGTTCTGTAAGTAGAGGTGGTGCAATGGCATAATTTCATACTCATAGGCGAGTGAGTCTAGGTCATGCCGGCTTCCGCACCAACAAATTTTCCTTGAACCCCAGGGGCGATTGGATGTCCATTGCGACGGCAGACGCTGGGCTATTGAATGCTTTTTTGTCCACCGCGGCTGTGCTACGCAATCTCCATCTTAGAATTAATGACCTCGATGCCGTAGTCCATCATCGCCAGGAAGCTATACGGCTAATCAACCAGAGATTAACTGTCGAACCAGGGACTTTGTCCCAGCAAGTAGTCGCTGCTGTCGCGGTGCTTGTGGCCGCCGAGGTACGTAGGTTCTCACTTATTGGAAGCTTTTGGCTGTAGACTACAGCTTCAAATCAAATCGATCGAGTCAATCATATGTGCTGATGCCTCCCAGGCCCTGGATGACAACTTTGCCACCGCATTAATACATATGCGCGGCTTATCCAAGATGATAGACATCTGCGGAGGCCTCGCTAGCTTTGATCATTCTCCAACTCTCCAACGAGTGATAATATGGTGCGCAACTGTCATCTAGAGCACATGCAATTGAAGCTGCGTATGCTAAACTCTCCCTAGGGCCGACTTCTCCTTCTCTGTAACCTGGGGCACTCCACTCTCCTTTCCCTTAGTGCAGTCACTTTCACATCCACTCCTCCGTTCACACATCTTAAAAACTGAGACCGCCTCGCAACAAACGACTTCAAGCCCTTCAAACCACCCCGACCCTAAAACCCTTCTCCTTGATACACTCACCATACTCCAAAGCGTTTCCCAGCAAATTACCGAATTCCCATTTACCGGCGGCGATCCAACCGCCATTGGCAATACCATTTACGTAGTCGAATATCGTCTTCTCACACTTATATTTTCGGAGATCGGAATTGGATACGATGGTAATGAACCGTTTTATGTCGCCGCTCTTCTTTATTCTATTCTCGCTATACGCGATTTCCCGCTGCAGGCTCCTAGGCACCGCGAGTTGATAGACAGGTTATCCGCGTGTCTTTTTCGATGGCGAGAGTTGTCGTCGTTGTCGATAGGTTCTGGGTTGAATCAGTGTATTCGTCTTTGGGTTCTGTTTATGGGGGCTACGGTATCAAAGGATTCCACGACCCGTGCACTCGCCCTGCAGGGTATCTCTGAAATCAATAGCGTGTTAGGGATAGTAGAGTACGAGGACTTTGAATCGAACCTGAAAAGAGTCTTGTGGATGGATTCGTTCTGCCGACAGCACTGCTTGCGTTTGTGGGATGATCTTGAATCTAGTTTATCTTTTGATAGTGCATAATAGGCTTCGTATCAGTTAAACACCTCAAGTTCCAGAGAACTTTGTAAATAGAATGCAGGGTAGCCTTGATAATCGGGTATCATAGTCAACATACAGTACGGTACTGAATAGCCAATGTTCTTTTTCAATTCAGAGTCCATTTTCACTTCCAAAACGCCATGAAACGATTATTTGATATTGATTATCTGTATCGTTTGCTGGTTTTCTTGCATAACTAGTTAGCTTGTCGCTGCGATACATATATATAGTGTGAGAGAATATTTCAAAGAATGCTTGTCCAGTTAACCTCCTTGACGTACTCTTCCCACGTCTTGAAATGATACGAAGGGTCAACGATCTATATCACTATCAGTAGGAATCCGAAGAACTGTGTGATTTGGTATTTATAAATCTCGCCTACCGTCCTCGCATCGATGATCTCGCCACCAGTAACATAATTAACTCCTTCTCCAAGCATAGATAAAAGCTCCAAGCAGCCCTGTGCTAGATATGGAGGGAAGCCGATGCTTTCAAGTCTCTGTTGATACTCAATTGGGGTAACTTGTTTGAAGGCTGCTTTAACACCGAGAACTGACAAGAGTTAGCGACAATGCAGACTGTTAAAAAATGTCGGTGGGGAATATAAATACACACCATGACCCCAGACTTTGAGCTTCTCTTCGTCGCTGATCCATTCGGACCAAATGGAAACGGTCCTCCCGTGATATTTTTGTCCCCCTCTAATAATGGCATCCACTACAACTCCAGTGTCGTCAGGAGAAGCCGAAGGGATGCGAGAACTCGGAGAATAAGGATTTTGCAGCTCGAGCTGCCCGCTGTCTGTCTGGATTTGGACTTAGCATAAACCCACCACGCTGGTCTAAATCAAAAAAAAAAAAAAAAAAACATGTGTTGGGTATGGTACATACTTTGACAGGGGAGAAAGGAGGCAGGAACCAGTTAGAATGATATAGCGCCACCAGAAGTCGGGTTGTCTTTGCCCATAACTCAGGATACTCCTTTTTAATCATTCTCTCAGCCTTGAACTTCCCATTGTACGGAAGATTGTGCATATACTTTCCCTGGAATAACGTGGTAGGATCGCTCAGAGTGCTAAGCACAACATGCTCTAGGTTCGGCTCTGCTGCGGTGACCTTGGCGACAGTCAGGCTTTGAGCTGCTTCAGCGTCATCGGACATTGTTGTCCAGAAGTCGGTGTTGTGGAAGAGAATTTGGACTCCCGCTAGGGCTTGCCGAATCGAGTCCTCATCGTCAAAGTCTCCTTGTACCACTTCTGCGCCTAGTGCGGCAAGTGCGCGAGCCTTTGAGGATTCTGGGTTTCGTGTCACTGCTCGCACGGTATATAGGTTGCTTGAGTGAGTGAGAATATATCGCACAATTGATGATCCCTGTCAAGATTTGTATTCCATTAATTCAAAATTGCGCATGTGGCACAAATTCTGGGTTGTTAACTCGCCTGTCCACCGGTAGCTGATGTGACTACAAGAAGCTTCTGTGTGGATGTCATTGTTCAAGCTTCAATGTAGAACAACACAATATGTATGTATATAGGTACTGTTAAGGTTATCGATTTGAACCATATAATCTCAGAACATAGCGTCTTTTATATATGACAATTACTAGCCATACTAAAGGTGTGTGCCGCGAATGGTGCGTAGATTCTCGATCACTAATCGAGCTTTGAGATGTGTGGCAAGACATGCATGACACAGTGGAGTAACATCTATCATTTTCCACTTAGGGCAATTTTCAGGTCAATAATATTAGTACTGATTTGTGGTCGGCTGATGATTAGTTATTTCATATAGAGAACTAAGTAATGTAATATAGCATGGATAAGCGCACACAAATCCTTACGCTTAGGTCTATCTGACACCGTAATTAAGCTTTCCTCCTAGCTCTATTGATAGTTATTTATTCAGTTAGAAAATGAAGAAATTTAGGAGGAAATCATAAACTTAAAACTAGAATTCGCTTTTCTCTTCTTAGGAGTGGCCATGTAAGTAATCTTTTTTCCTCCAGACAGGGTCTTTCCACCTAAATTTTCAGCTTCTTTTTGCCATTGACCCCCTCATATTACATGTTGCAATTTACTTAGTGCTAGCAATGGTGATACTGAGATAAAGGTTCTTTTCGGCGAACTATATCACATCTATTCGAGCCTGTTCCTTTAAAAAGAAAATAACCCAAAAAAATATACTTTTAATAATACAGATATGTGGCTCCGTTCATTCGGCAAAAATTCAAGACGATGAACAAGAGAACTCCATGTGGGAACTAACGTTCTTCAGATTACAAGAACCGTCCGTCTTCACGTACAATTATGGAATCCTTGACCAATATGATTGTGTTTTACCAGAGGATTTGCGTGCGACCTAGTGGATGCCTTTTTAAATTATAAGATTGGCTTTCGATGAATATTACGAATAGCGGGAACTTGGGTGTGTAAGTAATAAAGCCACTGTATGAATATGTAAGTGAGGACGATCTGCTTAGTACGCATTCCACAAGCTAGCCCCAGTTATCATTTTCTATTTCCGGTAATTTTGTAGATCTAGCTTGCTTTTAGTGTCAATCTTATTTCTACGATAATGTGTCAAGCTTTAACCATATACCAAAATGAGCGCAACCCTTACTTGGTAAGGATTATAGGGATATTCTAGTTGCATATTTTTTCTGACATAATGGTATGCCAGATTTAAATTACGTCGGTTATAAAAACCAAGTTCTATCAAATTTGTTAATCATTACAACATGATGAGCCTTCGGAGAGAAGAACCGGATCGAGCGTAAACGTCTAACGTTTCTAGCTAGGCCCGGTTATCATTTTCTATTTCGGGTAATTTTCGAATTCTACTAGTCAACCTTATTTTCTATGGTAATATTATTGCATTGAAATTACCTCAAGCATAGGATCCAATTATGGACAGCAACGGAAACTTTGTAATCAAAAATTCAAAAGGATTCCGTTAACTATGTTAACCAGTGCGATTATAAACTTGCAAGGTATTAAAGAACTGGAATCACTTAAAGTGTAGTATTTCCAAGTTCCAAGTTCCTTGCGCTGGCCATGTCAAAAACAGATTGAGATCTATCCATAGTCAGCAGCAGCTCAACTGATTCCACAATGTACGATATCATACGTGACTCACCTTTCGGCCAAATAACACGATTCCTGACTAAGAATAAGTGGCTTCGATACGTCGAAGAGCGAGAAGATTTTCAGAATCCATACTACATCTTTAACTCTTTGCCGGAGGAGACTGAGATTAACAGCCATGCTCAAGACGCTAGCTCTGAGACGAAGCCGGAAGAAACTCCTTCCTTTGGTTCCGTAGCAGCCGATTCTCAACATGAGACATCTGGGTTTATGCATTCTACAGCGCAAGAGGATGTGGAGGCGAACGGCCCGGGGGAAAATCCCATTGAACGAGTAGTTACGATGCAAACTCTTCACGAGATCGAGAAAAGAATGAGCAGATCTATACGGCCGACGCAAACCACCGACGGCACAATATTGGTTGACTGGTACACAACCGGTAAGCCCGTCTTCTTGGAACAACAACTAGTGTCTATTTCAAATAAAAGCAGATCCAAGGAATTGTTCGGTTTAAAATACCTAATATTTTTTTTAGACGACCCAGATAACCCGCAGAATTGGAGTGGTTTTAAAAAGGGGTTCGTTGCTTTTCAAATCTGGCAAGCATCCATCGTTTCGTTCTGGATTTAGTCCGAGATGCACAAGAGCTAATTCCTAGAAGCATTTATTCCTTTGCCGTATATTTCGGCTCCTCCATATACGTCGGGGCAGTTCCCGAAGTTACCGAAAAATACGATATCAGCATAGAGGTGTCCTCTTTGGCACTCGCTTTGTATGTCTTTGGTTGTAAGTATGCCTTACCCAAGGCCTGTAACACCTGGTTGCTGATCTAGATGTACAGATGGTATTGGTCCTCTAATATTCTCTCCACTAAGCGAGTAAGTTCTCCACTCTTATCGGTATTGATGGAACTGGGGCTAATTGAAGGTCAAGAATCGCCGCGGTAGGAAGAAACCCTCCGTACATAATTACACTCTTCATATACACCGTTCTATGGATACCTGCCTCTGTTGTAAATAATTTCGCCGGTTTCGTGGTTCTTCGATTTTTAACAGGCTTCTTCGGTAAGTGTATAACTCTGTTCCCGGAGACAGCAGTGCATGCTAACATTTTTATCAATAGGATCCCCATGCCTTGCCACTGGAGGCGCTTCACTTAGTGATATTGTAAAACTCTAGGTTCGAGACATGCGCCAGATATATATTAACACATATTACAGTATCCACTTATTCAAGTGCCATATCTGTTGATCATCTGGGGCGCCGCGAGTAAGTCTCCTTGACTGAGTGCCAGCAACTTCAGAAACTAAAGATTGAGTGAAATTGTCTAGCTGTATTTGGTCCTGCTCTAGCACCCGTCGTTTCGAACCTCAGTGCACCCGTCAAAGGATGGCATTGGGTATCCTGGGAGATGTTGTGGCTCAGTGCCCCGATCTTGTTGGGCTTCTTCTTTTTCCTACCTGAAACTTCATCGGCTACGATCCTTTACTACCGAGCAAAACGTCTACGAAATATAACGGGAAATCTGCATTACCGGTCTCAGGTGGAAATAGATCAAGCAAAGCAACATATGACTGTCAAAGATATCGTGTATAATGCCGTGATCAAGCCTGGCGAAATCAATATCTTGGATCCTGCTGTACTTTTCTCCACCGTTTACACCAGTCTCGTCTACGCCATATTTTATTCATTTTTTGAATCATTCCCGCTTGTCTTTTCAGATATATATGGATTCAAGTTTAATATCTCTGGTCTTCCATTTTTAGGGGTGTTCCCCGGGTTGTTCGTGGCTGCAATACTGTGCGCCTTGGTTTGGCATTTTCAAGTAGTCAAACCATTTCGGACCAAAGGATTTGATGCCTTCGGAGTTCCAGAAAATCGTCTAGTTCCTGGATTGTTCGCATGCATCTGGCTTCCTATCGGACTGTTTCTATTTGGTATGTAAAGTGGACGAGTCTGTTTATATTGTTTATGCTGACATATCCGATTGCTTGATAAAGCTTGGACGGCACGACCGAGTGTGCACTGGATGGCCTCAATTGTAGGGTTATCTCTAAGCATTGTCGGAACATTTACAATCATTGTCTGCATGCTACAATATTTGGCATTTACTTATCCCAAATACTCAGCTTCGTTATTTGCAGCAAACGACTTTTCTCGGTCGACCTTGGCAGCAGGAGCGATCATGTTCTCACGACCTATGTTTCTTAACCTTGGGATCCACTGGGGTGTGAGTTTGCTCGCCTTTTTGGATATCGTCTGTTGTGTCTTGCTGTACGCACTGTGGATATTTGGTCCCAAGTTACGCTCCCGCAGCCGTTTTGCTCAACCTTGAATTGGTCTTCCCCAAGAAAGCATCTTATGACGCATGTTGTTATGTCGATATCTTTGGCGGGATGAGGAACGTTCCTTTCATCATGGACCTGACAGTTATACTGGCATTATGAAGCAGACCCAGACCCTGCATCCTGAAACGGCCCCTATCAATTACAGCTGTGCTGTCCATGAGAAATAAGTACTGGAAAGTACGTGATTATAATGGATAAAGTCAATATTATCTGCTAGACACTATTTTTTCCTTAAGTTTTGTATTTGTGGGTTCTGTATGAGCCCCTTAAAAGGCCCTGCTAGTTCTGAAATCTTAAAATATTTTATATTGATGATTACATTTGCGGTAACTCCCACTCAGGTTGATTCTTGGGATGGCTGGTAAAAGGAGATTAATGACCAAAGGTTTTGTTATTGCCCTTACTGGCCTGAATTTCTTTTTTTGTTTTCGTGACGGAGTTGCAATTTCTCATGTAAAACTGCGGCATTCGCTACAGCGTCGGTTGCTTTTTCTTGCTGAATGCAGGGACTTCGGAGTTGAGCATCTTTTCCACATAAACTCCTTTGCCTCGGCCACCGTGTACGACACCAATTTTTCCACATCCATTGGCTTGGCAACCAGCCCTTTTGCGCAGATACACGAGGCGCTCGAGGGCAACTTTTCCCCTCTCGCTAAATTGACGATTGCTTTTGCCCAGTCGGTTTCAGGATAGGAAACTTGCTGATCCAAACAGGGCCTGGTACAGGATCATCTATGTGGGTAGCCGCTTGCTGGGTTGGAAATGAGATGGTGTGAGCACATTTGAGGTATTCAGCTCTGGGCGGCGACAGCGAGATGGCGGGGATCTTCAAATTTCATTTTGTCGGATGCTTCTCAGGGCAGAATGAAGGAAGATGCTCAACTCCAAATAAGTGGAAATGCCAATCACGATAGAAACATGTGAGTTTTGCAAGGTAGGGGGACAAAGAGCCCTTCAGATTCTGAAGTTTCCCCACTAAGTACGCTGACTTGTACTCACGCTAGCATATTTATTCTTCCTCGACTATTCCACCTGGAATGGCAGTCTAATAGTACCCCCTACTATAAGTGGAAATTCAATTTCAGTTCTGGCTGCTCAGGCAAATTTCCACAGCCAACAAGCCATGGCAGCGATTGGGGCAGCTGGGTGTCCGCTGAGCTGTTCTGGGAAGACGCTAGCATCCATTACACGTAAATTCCGAACTTCATGGACACGGCATTCCAAATCAACTAACACTGGTGGATGGTGAAGGATCCATGCAGGCAGTGCCCACTGGGTGATATAGAGTAAAGGATCTCCTTTACCCAGTGGATCAGTTCCTCATCGGAGATTTCGTCAATTTTGCTGCTTGAATAAGGCCACCAGTAAGACCATGGGTCGCCATTCGGTCCATCGGCTCGACAATTTCTGCAAAGCTGGGCTCCGCGTAATTCGGAGGGCGATGCGCACTCCCGTCAAGAGGACTTTGCGATCATTGTCCTCCTTGTCACTGAAGTATTTGGGATCAATTGTTGCTAAATTTGTGTCTATGTTAGCTCTCAGTAAGGAAAAAAACATGCTGACGGGAAATTTTTGCACTCACGGTGATCAAATGCGTTTCTGGTACGCAGGCGAATAGTCCTATGGCTCTGCGGTCGTAGCGCAATGGGGTCGAGAGAGAAAATGCTGGAAGAATCAAGAGAGCGTTCCTGTCTATGGTCAATGTACGCTATCGGTGCACCGATAATCTCCAAGTCAGGGGCCGCGCCGCCCGAAGCATAATCTCGTGGTAGACTTTGCTGTGTCTTATTTCCTAGAAAATCCTCTGACGCCCGGATGAACGCTGCTGCTTCAGGTGCATTGCTGGTCAGGGGGCCGCTTCCCAGCAGTAGCCATTGTATCAATGCTGGTATCGACTTAAGTGGTTTAGTAAGGTAGTCGAGTGTCACCCCATCCTTAGCTTTGCACAAGATAGGGGTTGTACACAAGTGATCCTTTAGATGACTACCAGCTTCTAGAAGGAAGACTGATACATTCTAGTCCTCGGAGAGCTTGCTTGCCAGAACACAGCCGGCTGCTCCGGCAACGACGATAACTGCCCAGGTCAGCACGGATTGGGGTATCCACGGGGCATAATGCGAGTAAATGGTCTGGATTGCTACAAACTATTTTCGTCTCCAACAGAGTTTACCGTAGGGCTCTTGCTGTTTTTGTCAAAAAGGTAATAAACGAATTATTCAATCCGTTCAAACCTTCCTAGAAATGTAAGGAATCTTCGTAATGTTATGCCACTATGGCCAATTTATCAGTAAATTTTGGCTCTTTAACAACTGAATAAAAGCCCTTTCAGCTCTGAAATTGCGACTGTTCGGCTTATTCGACCTGTTACGCATTTAGTTCTGCTGACCGCACCAAGGATTTATAGCACGTACTCAGGATCTGGTAAAACATTGCATATGGCTGTGTCTGTCACGTGGAGAATAAACTTAATTACAAACAAACAAAGAAACAAAGAAGACTGGGTTGATTGACAGGTGTTATTGCTGGTGTTAGTGTTGGTGCTGGTGTTGGTGTTGGATTAGTCCTAAATATAGACCTATTTCTCATATTGGATAAAGTCCAACAACAGGAAATATAAACCCACGAGAAAAATGCCACTTATTGGAGTTGGATATATTTGCGCTTATTACACGTATCTATTATGACCACTTTAATACACTCTTCCAGCTTACATACCGAATTTCTCTGTCAAAATTCTACGTTATATACATAGAGCTATATTGAATTCGTCTTGAAAATATGAAAGACGAGCATATTCAGGCTTACATTTACTAGCTCCACTCCCTTGGGATGCCTTGTAGATGAGCGAATCGGTTGTATAATTTTTAGACGAATAAACTCTCGGGAAAAGTTGTGCTTACTAGAGTTCCATCTATTTGGGTTTATTGTGTCTTGCCACCATTCTAACAGAATCCACTAACTTGATTGTTCCTAAATCTAATGCCCCCACTGCCGATCCCCCGCCCTGCACCAATGTAAAAATCTCAAAATTTAGTCTTACCAGTTGGGCAAAGTCCTTGGTGCAGTACCATTTGCGAAGGTTTGAAATAAAATGAAAAATGAGGTCACAGCTATACTCTACACCTAGATCTTCCAAATGTCTGGATGCTTCGAAATGATGTGCCTCTCCAGGATATATACACTTTTCATTAATGATATGTTACGATATGGATTTTACAAGGCGAGTCAAAAATATAAGATCGATGACGTAAAATTCAAAGGAGTAAGGTGGATGTAATAAACACTAGTATTATTGCTGACTTGGAAATCTATAGATATATACACACAGACTCTTTCCTAGCAATAGACTTGCCTATCGAACTAGTGGAATTGAGACATGCTCATTAATAAACATAGCGAAAACTGGAGTTCTCCTTGTCAGTCAACCCGGACCAATCGACAGCCTTGACAGAAGATTCATCAGATGGAGGATCAATTTCCGCTTGCACATTAGTTTGAGCATCCCGTCGTTTGTTCTCCCAAACATAATAAATAAATAGAACGATGGCTAGAACACCAGCTGCAGCCTGAGTTGCCAGAACAGCAATTTTAGCTGGCCGATAATCCGGGGCATCCTTTACTTGAAAGGTTTGTGGTCCTATGATATTACCCACAGAAAAAGAGCCTGCTACAAGTGCACTGGCAAATGCCCGTTTTGTATAGCCTGCGCAATTGGCGGCGGTCCAGTGATAGATTATCGGCAAGGGTGCCACAATGGCATTAACGAGATAGACGCCGATTAATAAACCGGCTGTATCCCACTTTGGCAGAAACGACATAAGACCACCACCAATGATTCCTGGAATGCTACACATGAATACCCAGGCCCAACGGTGGCTGGCCCGACGTATACCGAATCCGACGAGCAAGGTGAAGAAAATACTGACTATACCGCTAGGCATGTTGAGCAGTGCAGAGTGCTGGGGACTGAAGCCTAAGTTGCGGATGAGAGTTGATGAGTAGGTAGTCACAACACCGGAGGAAACGGATTGCTGTAGTTGGGTCAGTTTGTCTTTCTCACGTAAACTCACTTCTGGTGATTGGGAATCGAGAGAATGGCAAATGGAGAAAGGGGACGCACTAGGATAACCATCAAGGTCAACAACCACAGCTGGGGGTCAAGAAGAGCTTCAATAATCTGTTTTATCTCAAATTTGGTATTCCAAATTCCGGTTTTATTCGAGCTGATATGTTTCAAGAGCGCAACCTTCTCTACTTCGCTAAGGAAACGCGCTTTCATTGGAGTATCCGGGATGAAGAAGAAAGTTAAGCAACCGATTAGAGATGTGATCAGGCCCAAAACAATGAACATAATCCGCCACCCAGAGAGAGACGCATGAAGACTGACGTGCTGAAATGCAAATGATATTAGACCACCAAGAATCTGACCAACACCAAGGCCCAAATACCAGATACTGAAGCGCGGAGCTTGTTCTGATTTGGTGTAGTACTGGCTACTGATGAGCATTAGCGATGGGCCTATTGTAGCTTCGAATAAACCGAGGAAGACGCGCGCCACAACGAGGGTAGTGTAGTTCTTGACGCCGGCGGTGGCAGCGACGACAATACCCCAGAGTATTACATTAGCACCTAGCCATTTTCCAGCGGGAACCTTTTGTAGAAGGAACGCTTTTCGGTGTCAGATGGATTCAATATTGGGACAACGGTCGGGGAAATTAAGCTTACTGTTAGGCACCTCAGCGATCAGATAGGCGATGAAGAACGAGGTCCCGACATTAGAGAAGTCATTTCCAACCAGGTTCAGCTCAGCACTGATTCCCATTACGGCTGCATACTACAAGATGTTAGCCTGTGATCAAAGAGTATCCAATAGGACTTAGAGAAATGCTACCAACATTGATAATGACTTTGTCGATAAATTGCAATGTATAGCAGCAAAACATCAACGGTACAATGTTCCAGTCAATCTTTCTGCGCAGCTGCTGCAGGTCAACGGACTCGACATCGGCCTGTTGAACAGCAGCGTGATCCTGGAGATATCGCCATGCATCATCCTGGTTACCCGAGGCTACCTGTTGCGCCCCAACACTGGGAGCTTTGGACTCGGCGTCTGTCATGGCCGATAGATAAAAGATCTCACCAATGAAAGAGGAAGGCTGTTAAGAAATGAAAAAGGAAGAGAAGGGTCGAATAATTTTCTCCAAGTCGTACAAAACTCAACCCCTTGCACGGAGAATAAATAAGACGAGAGGGGAATAGGAGAAAGAGGAAATAATTAACCAGCTTCGGTAAAAGCGGCTGGCCCCAACCTGCAGGCAAGGTGAGACTAGACTAGGGTCTAGATGATGTTTCCCAAGTGGAAAGTGGCGTTGTGTTGTTTGATAACTAGTGCGGAGTACGGCACGGATAGTTGGAGTGTGATTTAATTCGTACAGTTCTACGTGGTGTGGATCACATAGGGAATATTTCTAGCTGGTGACTGGCCAATGTACCGGTTCCTTATTGTTACGACCACTAAATTTTAGCTTCAACTGTAACGCCTCAGTCTAATAAACAGAAATCCAAAGCCCGCAAATTTTTATCGGACCGGGATATCAGATATCGCCGCGATGTTACGGGAATCTATCCACTCAGGGCTGGACAAAAGTTCACACAATACTCCGGGAAGTCGGAAGAAGCCCATCCGCGGCGTCCGCGGCCCGTATTTTAATTTAGCAGGGCATTTAGCTTGCTTAGTGGGAAAGCATTGAGGATACGATACAGACACTGGGCTTTGCATAGATGAGGCACTCGTAATGCTCTTGAAATAGAAATTTCAAGTATACAGCTGATCAAAATACGATGCCAGTCCGGCGTGCCCTTTTTCTTGTCGGCTAAGTCACCTCGAGATGTTCGTACCTCAAGCATAAATACATTCATTAACCCATTGAAGAAGTTAGTATCGGACTTGGTGACTTCCTTGTCATTGTCTTGAAAATGAAATGACTACAAAGCATTTATTGAACAAGGCTATTAGCGTCACCAGATGGCAAAGGCTCCGAAGCTACAGATGGCGTCATTACTAGCGAAAGGGGAGCTGAGTATTTTAATACGCTGCCTTAGGAATCCACGTCCAAATGACCGGTTGACCAGCCCCGCCTGAATTGGTTCTGGGGTGCTTCCTTAATTGATTAATGTAGGCTAGGTCCAGGAATTAGATTGCATAAGAAATAGGCCATGCCCTCGGTAACCTGCCAGCCCCAAACTTCGCCACTTTGATGATAGGATCGATAATCGTAACACTGACTTGGACATTCCTTAATCGCAATGGGGGCTTGGGTATACAATGCCTCTCCTGAGGTAGAGGCGATGTCGAAGTTTCCGTCCATTGTTGCGGTGTGTATTATCCTGACACTCCTGATGACCCTGACTGTGACCAGTCGAGTTTCTATTCGAGCTGCGCAGCGTCGTTTGGGTGCGGATGACTATGTGATGCTGGTTGCGATGTTGTTTAGTATTGTATACAACATCCTCTGCATCGTGCGTATGTAGTTCCTCACCCTTGCTTGGACAATGACTGATAATAATACCTTGTGATCAGAAACGAGATATGGGCTGGGTTTACCGTTGAAGGATCGGCCAAAGCCGAACCTGATTACATACACCAAGGTATGAGCCTGTTACACTTCTATTCCCCTCTTTTTTCCTGTGTTTCCTTTCTCCAGCATAAACTTAAAGCAAACAGGTCAACTTCGCAGGTCGACCATTCTATCAATTCGGTATTGGTCTCTTCAAACTGGCCCTGTGCATCAGCTATCTACGACTGCTATCCGGAACAACGAAGAAGAACTACCGTATTCTCATCTTGACGGTAGCAGTAATATCGACCCTGGGTCATCTTGCCTGGACTTTGATTCTTATACTCAACTGCAATCCAGTATGCTCCCCCTTCGTTTGGGCCCCGAGTCAATAATATTTACTGACTAAATTCTAGGTCAGCAAATCTTGGCTCCCAATGGAAGAAGGAACTTGCCTCCCGTTTGGACCGACAAACTACGGCATGGCCGGCTTCAGTATCGCCTGCGATATGACCACTATCCTCCTCCCGATTCCGCTGCTACTACAGTTAAAAGTCCGACCGGTACAGAAGGTCGGTATTATATGTTTGTTCTCATTGGGCTTATTCACGACCATCTGCTCGATTCTGCGTTTGACGCAAATCAAAGTGATCGCATACGGAAACGGAGACTCCACCATGTTGGTGCTATGGGGAACTATCGAATTCAATATTGGAGTGCGTTCGATTCTAGAGTTTTTCATGTCATTCGAATTCTTCTGGGAAAGCTAATATGAGATAGAACATCATCACATCGGTCCCATACTTGGCACCCATGTTTAAACGCTGGGTGTCTGACTTTGGCTACCAGGTCGGATATCGCAGTCGGACACGCACGGTCGTCCCAACTACAGATCGGTATGCACTACACGCATATGGGAAGGACGGCATCAAATTAAGCGCCCATAAAGACACCGTTGCGGTCACAAGTAAGAAGGTCGTATCACGCACTCCGAGTGAGGAACTCATTCTCGGAACCTATCAACCTACAGGTAATAATATCATACGAACAACTGAATATCGTGTGACAGTTGATGATTGAAGTACGGCGACTCTATGAGAGACTCTTCAAAATATGATTACGAACGAGACACTATATAAGTACTATGTAAATATTTTGCTTTTCTTTATTGGTTTTACGAATTAGCGAAGCGCGCTAGGTATTGTATAACATCCATTTCATAGTTTAAACTGTCAGTCAAGCGTAATTGGGTTCCAGATCTAGAAGGACTTGTTAGCAATGATTCTTTTCTTTTTTTCCCATTTTCCCTTCTTTCCTGTAAGACTCGGTATAAGGGCTAGTTAAGATGTTTGAGATAATTGCTATCTATGATAGGAAAGTCTACATCACAAGGTGGGATTGTGAAACTAGCCGCACTCTTCCGAATGATGCTAGACCGTGTATACATAGTCTAGTCCATAGACGGGGTTGCACTTGCCCAGTAGCAGCCACCGGGCAACTGTACCCCCTCGGTAGACGCATTAATCGGGTTACAGGTCTGCCCCACCCTCTAAAGTTTTAGGATCGGCATCCCTGAGCTGACTGACGAGTCATAAATGCGCTAGCAATTCGTTCTGGAAGAACAGACCAGCAGATCCTGACTGCAATGTGGATGGGGTCCATTTGGCGCAGAGTTTATCTCCACTATCTGGCCAACCGTCGGAACACTTCCTACAGGGATGCCGAGATTTGCGGCGCCACAGCCGGCATTAGCCAATCAAAGCAAAAGTATTGCCGAGAAACTTGGGGGTCCCTGTTAACCCAAAGCAGCTGAAAAGGCATAGTTATATCAGGTACAATATCTTGTTCTAATTACGATATAGATTTCTTTTCTTTTTTTTTGGCTGTAATCCATCATTTTATTAGAGTAACGCGGCCATATTCCATTTCCCGCGACTCTAAGTTCGATGCAGGAAGCGCGCAATATTTAGCTAAGTGAACTATCCCACAGGGGGTTATGCCGAGAGTATGCACTCGACAGAACTGAGAAAAATGGGGCGTCTCTAGTTACTTGCTTCGCCTCGACACCAGCGGGCTGTCTGCCGTGACCGAAGCAAAGTCGTGCGCATCTAGACATGCTCGCCGGGCATTTACAACGCACACCTGCCCCCGAGTGAAGACGTCCTGGTCATATGCAGTTAGCGCCTGCGAAAATGCAGACCAGGGTATTTTCTCGCTGGATGTGATAAGAGGGCCAAGGTGCTTGGCGAAGTCACTGGCGTCTGTCACAGCATTGTTGCCCCCTTCGCCGCGAACTATACGGTTCGGTTAGCTCAGCCACTGGTTGTTTACCTTACGGATGCTAGGAGCAGGATGAAAATGGCAAGTGGAGAAGTCCTCAAAAAGCCGTTGAAAAAGCTGGTTAACTTACACATGGTCATCGTATGGGCCGCATCACCCATGAGAACCACGCGGTCCTGCTCCCGCTTTGTCGTCGGGAACCAGTCGGCTAGACGAATGGCTGTGGCCTCGGCATCATCGGGGATCGTCTCAATTAGCCCACGTAGATTCTCTGTCCAGTCGCCCGTGACCTGTTTGATAAGAGAGATTCTTTCTGCGTTACTTTCAGGCACCACAATTCCCCTGGTTTCGGCCCACGATATTATAACTTGGCAGATGTAGTTACCGGTATTATTGCCTGTGTTGTATGGCGAGTTCAAGACTGATTGAAATAATTTGTCATTGCCAGAACTCCGTGATCATGCGATTTTTTCACTCGATAAAATACGAGCTTCATCAAGCGGAGACGGGCTAGAACTTACAGCTAAAGAAGAGGTAGAAGTTTGATTCTGAGTGAGTGCCTTGGAAGAAGTATGGGTCGATGGCTAGAGCGGCGGCTACTTGTTCGGGAGTATATGATACCGTCACACCCAGCAGATGCACTGGAACGGGCACGTTTTCGAATGCCGATGGGTGAACGTACTTTCGGACAAGGGAATTAGAGCCATCACAGGCAACCAGAAGCCAGCCTGTGGCGGTAGTCCCGTCCTCAAACTTAACAGTAACGCTTTCCGTATTGTTGACCACTCCCGTCAATCGCTTCGACCACTTTGATAGTCAGTTAGCCTGTTGATCCAATTATACATTTGATCATCCAATAACTCTGTTTGAAGCTGAAATACTTTGCGTCATGATAGGATTGGGTCTTTACCTCAACATTGATATCAGTGGAAAGAAGAGTCCGAAGCTTAGAGCGGATTACACGCAGCCGACCTGTTTTAGGGAAAGTAGCTGCATGCAGAGCATCGCCTGTTTTCAGATCCAGGAACTGATAACTGCCGGCATCGGTAACGGCCGGGTTGACATTGCACTCTCCTAACCGAGCGTAGAGGTGTTCCGGGAGAAGTTCCTGCAGCGCTGGCAAACCCCAGTGGAACGTCAGTCCCCAACCACCCGTACGAGAGACAATCGAAGTATCGCGGTCAAAAATCCTGAACGGAACTTTCGATTTGTGTAGGTACTGGGCCAGCGCAAGGCCGCTAATCCCAGCTCCCACGATCAAAATGGGTGAAGTTTGTTGTTCGCTCGGCATTGATTCTGAGCTTATCTATATGATTGGTGGAAATATGACTCAGTATATTTGATTATCTTGCCACTGACCGCGGAAAGATAAAAGATGGCACTATTTTCTTTTTTTGCGAGTATGATTATAAAGAGGATAAGCGACAACTCCGTCGTTGGCACGGCACAGTTGGCGCGCAGAACACTCCACTTTAAAACACAAGCCCTAGACCGTAACGTAACGTATTTCAAAACCCCACGGCCCACTCAAGCTAGGAGATTACGAAATATTTACATTTAGCGTAATCGGACACCGGCCGGGATAACCACCCGGCGACTTCAATACACAATACACATACCAATGGCCATTTTTCGATCTTAGTATCTTCATAACTACACACTTGATAATACATATAATTTATATGCAATTAAACTTATAGAATCGTAGGATATTAAGGTCTAAAAAATGGCTATTTGTATGTGTATTGAAGGTGGCCGGGTCGATGTCCTGGGCGAGTGGGTGTCCTATTCCGTTAACTTATATGATCTAGTAATTACTAATTCTTAGATACTATATAAAAGTCTATAATCCATTAACAAAGCTATAGAAGAGATATGTAAGTATGCGAGCCCTTGGTGATATGAAACTATTTGAGAAGGATGGGTCAATAATGAGCGGATTGCATTTTACCTACTCTGAGATTGTCTATACTGACGCAGGAATCAGCCTGTATTAGATAATCAGATGAAGTATCAATTGGTGTCTTTACATCTGGACGCGAATAAATGTGGTATCAAACAACGATTCTTGATCAGTGATAGCTTCGTGAAGGATAACTCTATTTATTCTCTAATTCTAAAGTTCAAAAACTGTCCTGACCTGGGGTGGGAAAGCATTAACAGATCATCGCCCTGGCTCCCTTACTGCTCATAACGGGCAAGGAAACAAAAGCTATCAATGCTGCACTCGATATCTCTTAAAGTGAGAGTATCAAATAGCTCTAATAATCCAACATTCCTATCCCCGCCAACTTCACAACTGCTATACTATCGAAAGATCCCAGCCAGTATCAACAAATTTCTACATACACCAAGTTCATATCCAGACATATCCAGGTGCCTTTGCGAAAGACCGCCTAGAATTGATCCAACCGCGGATTATCAATCCAAAGCTCAGGCTGAAACGATTTGGAGTTTGGAATGATTGTTGACTTTTGGACAATAGCCCTAATGCAGGCAAACATGCCAAAATGTAGACCCTTATTATTATAATATCAGTTTATAAGTTGCTGGATATCTGTAAGACAGTACTTGCATTTATTAGACAAGGATCTATTCATATATATATACAACCATTAATCAAGTATACAGCAAATTATTAGTTGACAATCACCAAACCAGGCCCCGCCAGCGTAGCATCAGCCACCGCCTGGTTAGAAGTAGCCACCGTCGCAGTCGGAACAATCGCCAGTATGGTCAACCCATTAAGCTCGTGCTCCTTGAACGGAAACTCCGCTTCCACCGATAGAGTCTGTCCCTGCTGACTGGTGACCTTATATGGCAGCACAAACGGAACATTCTGCTGGTTGATATACGCAACCTCATACTCCGTTGCTTCACTACCGGATGGCAGCTCAAAGCTTAGCCGGACAACCTCATTAGCACTTTTGCTGGGGTCAAACGTCTCGACCACGGTTAAAGGCTGCATGGAGTGTAGTGATTGTAGCTCGGCAGTCTGGTCAAGATTTGGGCATGAGCCAGGCACAATAAAGTCCTGGACCAGCGCATTAAAGGCAAAGTCGCGCACCGAGTTGGTGAGAAATGGCAGTTCACTAGGGATACGCTTATTTAGGAGCCGGAACCAACCCTCCTGTTCGCCCTCCTGTCCAATAACGGATGCAACGCCTTGGCTCAGGGCAGCGTCGCCGTGTGAGCCCATGTTGAGCACAACGTTCTGCAAAGTTCCGAGTACGACTGATGTAAAGGTCTGCGCGAGCGTGATGGCGTCTTCGAACGTGGATACGGGGAAGTTGTACAGGCAGGGGGCGACCGGGGTGTGACCGAAGTGTTTGAGTGCGTTGATGGCGTTGAGGGCGTGGAGTTCCTCTTGCTGTTCGATTATTAATATCATTCGTGGCTTTGTCTTCTAGTTAAATAGAACGGGGTACTTACAGCGACAATCGCAGTCAAGGCACTAATAGCGAGCTCTGCGGCATTGGCATTCTCAATGACATACCCGGGCTCCGCATTGGATACATTGCTTAACAGCTGCTGGAAAAAGGCAGCCTCGAATTGCTCCTGCGCGGCGATGAGCTGCAGACTGATGATTGTGTCCGGGTCGACCTTGGCTGGCGGCGTGCTGTTGGACAGCGTGCCATGTGCACGCTGCTCGGTGTTCTCAAGCTGCTGCTGGTTGGGGCTAGGGAAGCTGTCGATGTTCTGGAACTCATCGAGGACATTGTTGTTGTTGGAACGCTCCAGCATGAGCGGCGCTGCGGCTGACAGGCTAGCTAGGAGAGACAAGAGGATGGTTCGGCGCATTGTGAGGTATCTTTTCTTTTTCCTTTTCCTTTAAAGAATTCAGAATTCGCTATGTTAAGTATTATTAGTGGCAGATATGATTGAAACAGAATGTGTTGACAAGCAAGGACACGCTTCTTTATAAGGTATGATGGTCTGTCCAAAATTAGACATGACAATAGCCCAGTCTACTCTGTACGTACAGCACGCTTGCTTGGCCGCTGGGCGGATAAATCACCAAAGCTTGTCCTGTTATTTTTCAGGCATGCAAAGCTTAGCCAGAGTGTATAACCTTAGCTGCATAACACGGCCACAAAAGGAAAACACTCGGTCAATTTACCTCCAATCATTGCGCAAGAGTTGCAGCGCGACATGCCTAACGAGGAGTGGTGCTTACAATCTTCTAGCGCCATGGTGCTCACTGGCTGTGCAGGGATCAAAACTAACAATCACAGGCACAGGCACAGCACATGGTTGGTCTTACTACTTATGGATATCATGCGAGAAAGTTAAATTCAAGCCAATCAATCGATTGTTGGTAATTTAACGCTCACCCGAGAGGGCGCAGACAAAGGGACTAGCAGGGCCGGGGTTTCCGGAATAGGCAATTCGCTGTGAGGCTGAGCTTGGATCGCCTATTTTAAGATTAGCTCACCTCAGCTTATTCTCGCCAAGTCGGCTTTTTCGGTTACAATCAGATTTGGATTTATTCGTGAGCGTCTCCATAATTATGAACTGTCATCGGAGCTCATCCGATAATGGCCTATAATTACATTCATTTTTTGTAGAGTTATTCGCACAGCCGCGCCGCATGACGCCAAGCCAGTTAATTCCATACCTCAGCTGTGCCTGAACTAAAGGCTTGATTCTGAAAGTAGTTAGTTCAGCTGAGCGACTACAATAATAGCATTAACCTAAACCTATGTACAATTATCTGCCCCGCAGCTTACTGATAGGGCTGGTTTAATAGTAATAGTCTGCTTGATACAAATACATGTATAATCCACCACCCGATTTTCTAGTTGCTGTTCATAACCTGCTACTACCACCATGGCTGTCCGCGGGTTCGGTCTATTCGTGGCCCTCGGGCTATCCCTCTCTTCTCTTGCGGGCATTCTACTCGCCATTCTGGGCGGCATCAACAATGACTCCTACGTGCTCCGAAATCTCTTCCCTTTCCAAATCGATCTAACGACGTTTTTCGCCAACGAACCCGAAGGCGCCCATCGCGGAGCTATCCCGGGTATCACCAACAACAGTGTGGGTGACATCCCTGGAATGACATCGGAAACACAGGCCTTTGCCAGTGCATTGTGGCACGCGCGCGGTGCAGATGTGCTGTCACAGTTTTACAACGTCTATCTCTGGGATTACTGCACCAGCGATACGTCTGTAGTCGCTTCGAGTGCTGTTTGCAGCCCTCATAGCAGTCATGACAAGTTTGACCCCTTCACGGCAATGGATCTATCCAGGTGGACGGGCTCGCAACCAGAGGACAGCGTCTATCCCGAGAAGCTAGCGAGTGGAATGCGGGTTTATCGGGCCGCTGTTAACTGGCTACGGGCCTCGTTGATTCTCGCTGCGATTGCCAAATTCATCGAGCTGGTCCTCGCGGTTGTGGCAGTCGTCTCCAATTCGGGGGGTTACTGGCCACATTTACCGGTGTGGTATGTTTCAACTACTTTACTTCCATAATTAAATACGCTGTACAGATCACAAGACTAAATTTAATGACAGGGCGCATCCGTATTCATCCTCCTGGTCACCATCACGCAGACAGCGATCTGGTCATTTGTCGTCGCCGCATGGCATAACAGTTTGTCCTCTATCGGGGTCGATGCGCACCTAGGCAAGGGCTTCGTGATCATACTGTGGTTGGCGACAATACTCTCCTTTAGCAGCAGTATCTGGTGGCTCTTTACCCTGGTTTGTGCCAACCATCGTTCAGGACCAGGCCGTCGTCGCTGGATGCCCAATGTCCGCGCTACTCAGAGTTATCGCTACGATAACATGGGAAATACGAGCCAGCCCCAACACGACTTTCCCATGTCGACAGATGTTAATTTCGCGCATACTCCTGTGCACAGTCGGTCGCCCAGTGAGGCGGCTGAGGAACAGTTGATTGGGAATTCGTATGAAAATTATCGTCATCAGGCTGCTATTTCGGAGGACAAGGTTTGATATGACATTATGATTATATGAGGCGAATGCGCCTAGATGGTAATGTTCAATATAGCTATGGATTATATGCGGAATCACGATATTTAAAGATCTCTAAATTACCAACAACTGGTTATTCACATTAAACATGTTGACTGGTACTCAATGTCAAGGACGTAGTCGTATTCTGCAAACCCTATTGAGCATGGGAAAGATGAATTCTTCAATTTAACTCTGTTGTTTATAGTTATAAACAATGTGGATATATTAATACTCTGCATACACAATCCTACATTGATTCAAGGTTGAATCAATAGACACCCGAAATTTACATTGTTATTCATGATTTATGCCACCTACGCTTTACATTTAATAGATGGCTACAGACGTTTTCAATGATTGCAGAGTACCATCGCCTTAGTTAACTTGTGTTGCTCCAGGATGCTTACATTATCAGTCAGTTTTATTAGTCTTGCTGGCAAAATCCTGGTGCTTATTTTATTATCCAGTGGATATAACGAAGCTTTCATCCACAGCTTTATAAGGACAAATAAAAGAGTTATGCTTTTTCTCTCCAGAGATTATATTGAGGGCACGTATTAGATGTATTACATAAGCCCCACTGTGGCAGGTGGGGTTCACGTACCTCTACAAATCCCTCTCGACAAGAGACGCGAATAGCACATTTAGATCCCAAATTACCTTCCTGGATATTCACATCTTGGACTTGATACCAAGCTTGCCTTTACCTTTACGCCACAACAACTGAAACCTTTATCATGGAGGGCCGTTGTCAGTGTGGAGCTGTTCGATTTACGGCACCCCTCCCAGCACCTCGCAAGATATACGTTTGCCACTGTACGGAATGCCGTCATCAGTCTTCATCTTATTGTGGTATAACGGCTGTCTTTCCATGGTTTGAGATACCAATGGTTAACTCGGATGGTACCGCGAAGATCCGTATTTATACTCGAAGAACCCTCAAAGGTAGAGAACTGGAGTGTTTATTCTGCGTGTCCTGTGGATCACGGCTCATACATCGCACTCATGGGGAGAGTACTCTAAACGTGAAAGGTGGTTGTCTGGAGGCCTTGACGCAGGAAATGATGTCTACCGCTGTACATATTTGGTGCAAAGAAGCAGTGATGGAGATTCCAGCTGGCAGAGAATGTTGGAATGAGGAACCTGAAGAATAGATAATCCAATTCGAGGAGTAGAATGGGATGATATTCGATTTCATACCGTAATGGGTGTAAAAGTTAGAGTCTGATTTATGATTGGATGTTCATGCTGCCAGGAAGATGGGCTGCGCCAACTTTGGTCTGTCTATCACCACTCAACCCCCAACTTCTTTCAGCTGATGAGACTGTGTTGTCTATTTATTTCTGTCACTTGGTTTTCTTGATCTTTGAAATAGATTTCTCTAGTATGGCGCAGTATTGATTATGAAATGTGAAGCACCATCTGGGTTGCATGCCTCCTACAGTGATGGAGACGAGCGACCGACAAAAGTGCGATTATCACTTTCAACACGATATCAGTCACAATGCGCACTAAAACAACAGCCAGAACAAGACGAAATTCTCTATCAAGCGCACCAAGATAAACGCTCACGCTGTATGCATCTAGGGGCAGCTATTTTATGATAGGATCTTTATCCTCGGTGATGTAACGTCTATAGATTTTAACTTCCTGAGCTAAGATACCATAAACTCTCTCTTAAAGCGCGACTAGGATTAAGATGAATAAGAACAAAATTCGTAGACACCTTACTACTCAGAACTAGGTGGTATAATAGCTGGGAACGGTATGACATTCTCACCGGTGTTGTCGATAACTTTGACCTGGCCATTCTCAAGATAGAGAGCGCAGAGGCAGGCGACTAGAATGGATAGACTCTGGGTAAAGGTAGAATGGCTCTCCAATATGGAAGGGACTAAGAAACAGTAGAAAAATAAATATAAAAGAAAAAGAATAAGAATTGAATATCAATAAAAGAAAATTGAAAAGTAGAACAGCCGAAACTTAAGACAGACTTGGTATATATAGTTCCAGGTCGTCTTTCGCAGGTTACGCACTTGCAGCCCATTCCTCAGCGGTAGTAGATATCTCGCGGATTAACGTAGAGGCTGTCAGAGTTGGTGGACCACATATCCCTATTATCAGGGTTTATTACAAAACCATCATGGGAACCAGGCGAAATAGAAAACAAAGGTGAAGAAGGATATTCGAATTTTTCAAATTCGATGTACCCACTCTGGAGAGCGCTGTTGAAACCGATTTCGGCCGGAAAAAGTGCATGTGAGAATTGAGAACTGATTGTTGTTGGATTTTTTGGTATGGTATTTGGCTGCTCATTGGTAAAACAAGAGTTGTTACTTCTCTCTAGTCCATAGTCTACCCTCCGAGCGGCAGGTGCAACGCGGGGAACCTTCGTACACAGTCCTCCAATTGGAGCGATGTTGACTTCTTGCATTGCTTGACTTGGAATCAGTTTCGCTTATTCAAATACAAGCATGGTTAAGCTGGTTTCCTACCTTTAAAGTAATCGGTGCTGCTCTGGATATCAAGATGCGGGTACGATTTCATCATGTGACTAAGAAAGTCTTTGAGCTTGTCATTACGGTAGGCTTGCGAACAGCTCTCGGCAGGACATTTGATTTTGGGTATCAAATGGCGAATGTAATCAGATCGTCTTTTGTATGTGATATTGCAGTTTTTGCAGACTATTGCCGTGGTGAATTGCGCATTTTTCTGGTCAGATTGAGCGAATTCGGAATGAGAATCGGCGTGGTCTGGCATGTTGTCTCTAGCAATGACTGGACTTCTTTCTTTGTTGAAATTATGAAACAATAGGACTGTTTCAGATTTAAATACTTTTAATAAATCACAGGGATAAATCACAGGGAATTTCGCTAAGGGCATTTAAGTCGTAGAGTTTGGTAAACCGCTTTGGGTAATACATACCGGGGATAGGGGTGAGGGCACAATAAGTGGAAAACAGCATGCATTGGCGCCCGAGCTCTTCTGGAGTTCTGATTGACTGAAATCATGGTTTTATCGAGTTCCTCCAACTTTTTTGTTGTTGCTTAACATCCATGAGCACGTATACTAGATGGCAGATTGAACGCAGAATAGATCACAAGAATATTAAAATAAAGATAAAATCTTCTTGTTGAAATGAGAATACCATGGAGAGAAGGTTAATCGTTTTTCTCCCATGTCTTTGGATTTCTAGCTAAGAGATGGTGATGACGGCAGATCGGGCTCATCATATTTGCTGATGTATCTTATGATGATTGTGCTGAGGCGTTTTGCCGTCACCAATTTAGGTTTTGAACAACAGGAACAAGACTGAGAGGATTCAGCGTTACGGCGGACTAACGGGGCTTCAGGAGATAATTCGGTCTTACATAGTTGCACAGAGAATTTAGTATTTCCACATATTCAAATTTAATAAACATAATAGAACGCTGCGCAGCATTTATGACAGATCACTGTATAATATTTATCTAATAGGTCAATTTATATATAAATATTACGTAGTAGTTTGTCTCATGTAATTAGCCTTATTATATAAATTAGCACTGCTATAGAAACGCTGCGCAGCAGCATGCCCCATAACAATCGATATAAATATACCATATTAATTTTCAATATGTAGAAATGCTAAATTATGCGTGTCAATAAAGCTTACTAGTGGATAACGAATATGTCCTGGAGACCCATTTAGTCCGCCGTACTCAAGCCTTATTCTCGTACAGCCAGACAGAAATCACGTGCCAATTTTGCCCTGTCGGACTTTTTACGCGTTATAACAAATTGAGTTTAGTGTCAAATTCGATTGGATTGAGATACAAGCCTGAGTTGCAAAGAACTCAATTATCTAGCCGTATTTATATGCAAATTTACACTAATATTTGTCATCAGGGGTAAAGGGTCAGCAATAAATTTTGTGTCACTTTTTAACGTAGCGTTTTGTCGCGTTATTCGTAACTTTGGGTGTTTTGAACCTATTCCCCAAATGCTTAGTGCCAATTACATGCCCCTAAAGTTCGAGTAGTCCGCCGTAGTCATCCAGCCAATCAAATGTTCCCCCCACTGTCAATCTTGTCCTCTCATTCAGCTCGATAGAACATCAGTTCACATACACCACACAAATACATATGCATACACATATATATTCAACGACATGATATAATTATAATGACTTCTACCCCTTCAACCTCTACCCCGAACCAGCCCTCCTTCCTAGAACTATGCCCCCAACAAGGCTGGGAAGTCCTGTCGACGCGCGGTCAGAGCTTGCCGGGGCTGGTACGGCGATACTCACACTCTGAGGGAACAGCAGAGTCAGGCCATCGTAGAATAGACTCTTCCCAGCTTGAAGACGGGATTACTGCGGGCACCGGCCAGGAGTCTGCTTCATCGCTGTTCGACGAACGGCCGCATATGCAGCGGCGCGGGTCGATTTTGATAGGCGATACAAAGTCGCCTTTTCGATGGTATCTAATCTATTAATTCCCTCATTTTCATCATTTTATTTTCATCACTTTGTTGACGCGATAGATAGGTCCGAGTATCATACACCGCCAGTTCAATTGGCGAAACTACGGAAACCAGTGTATGTATCCCTATTATATGTAAATGGGCAAATGCTGATTGACTTTCAGCCGCCTGTATTATGAGCGAATGAACTATCTTGTCTCGCGGTATAGCTATGTTGATCGTTTACTCGATTCGTCGATTGCGCGGGATTTGCTTGAGGATTATGAGCGGCATTGGGCGAGGAATCAAAGTTATCTGCATACAATCACAGAAGAGCAGAGCGGACACACAGCATCAAACTCTCCATCCGGCTCTGACACAGACCGCGCTCGTCGCCATCTCACTGAGCGCACGCCCCTTCTCTCTACCACAGACGATGACGACAACACAGACTCATTCCACCCGCGCACAATCGTGATGATGGCGATATACATCAACCTCGTCGCAAACTGCATTTTACTCGCTGCCAAAATCGCCGTCACTGTCATGACCAGCTCCGTCTCGGTGCTGGCGAGTCTCGTCGACGCGGCGCTGGATTTTCTTAGTACGGCGATTATATGGAGCACGACGCGGCTGACGGTCCGTCGAGATAAGCACCGATACCCCGTCGGCAGACAGCGGCTGGAGCCAGTCGGCGTGCTGATATTTTCCGTGGTGATGATTACGTCGTTCTTCCAGGTGTCTATTCTCTCGCTGCAGCAGTTGACGGGCAACGACCATTCGACTGTTGAATTGACCGTGCCGGCGATTACGATTATGGCCTCGACGGTCGTGGTTAAGGGGCTTTGTTGGCTCTGGTGTCGACGGATCAATGACTCGAATGTGCAGGCGTTGGCGCAGGACGCGATGACTGATATCGTGTTTAATATTTTCAGTATCATCTTCCCATTAAGTCTGTCCCTACCTTCCCCTACCACTCACAATCCCTAATCTTATGACAGTCGGCTCCTTCGCCAATCTCTGGTTCCTCGACCCCCTCGGCGGTCTCCTCCTCTCTCTCTATGTAATAGGTAACTGGGCTGGAACCGCTCGAGAACACATCGCCCATCTCACCGGCGCCGCTGCATCGCCTGGCGATCGGAGCGTGCTGTTGTACCTCGTGATGCGGTTCGCCACATGTATACGATGGATTCAGAACCTGGAGGTGTACCATAGTGGTGATAGACTGACGGTTGAGGTGGATATTGTGTTGGATGAGAGCATCTCGTTGCATGATAGTCATGATATTGGCGAAAGTTTGCAGCATATGTTGGAGAATGTGGGAAGTGTGGATAGGGCGTTTGTGCATTTGGATTATGCGGAGTATAATTTACCGACGCATGTGGATAATGTAGGGCGATAGAGTGGAGTTTATAAAAGGATTTGGGATGACACTAGAATGGGGTAAAGGCAGTACCTTCTACATGTATTAATGTGGGTGGGCCAGGAAGAAGCGTAGGGAACGGATTCGATTGAGGGGAGCGGCACGTCAATTGGGGTAGAAATTATACAACCCGTCCGAAGGAGGAAGGCTTGCTCTTCTTCCTTACATACAGTCAATTTTGCATGTATTGAGTTCCTCACGGCCTCGTGTAGAGAATATAGTTGAAGAAGAGGAAGCTGGTTCTGTTTTATCAATGCCCAAAAAGAGGCGGATTATTCAACTCACGTACATACTTGTTCCTAATAGGGGTGGCTTGAGACAATGCTAATATTTTATATTCACAATATATTGCTCTTTAAGTGACTGAGTAGTTTAATTTGGGGCCTGGAGAATCAGATCTGGCCAATGGCATTGCAGATCGAGGTAGGTATCAGATCAGCCGTCCGCTTGACAATAGATAATAGACAATAGATGGTTTTCAATGATCTATTGATAGCTCTCAATATATTGGAAGTTGTCTGCAAATTTATTTGGTGGCTGGTCACTTACTACCTACTGCTCACTGCTCTCACCATATACTCTCTCTCACATCACATCTCTGAAATCCTCTTTATCTCCTCATAAAGACAAGCCCATTAAGACTTAGACAACCAGAAAATCACCCCTATCTGATTCTGATCAGGACAACCAGTCACATCAAAATTTAAATCCTTCACCATCCTCTCAACCCTCACCTCAATCATCTCTCGGAGCCGCCTCTCAGAAGCATATCTTTGGTATCCAAAATGCCTCTCTCACCCCTCCCTCTCCCCCTCCCTCTTCCCAGCCACATCACCGACTACAACGAAAGAAAACATGGCACCTACATCGGCCTTCGACACGGCTGCGACGTCTTCCAGAAACGCCTGGGAACATGGTACCGCTTCTCATACGCCGAGAACATCAGACAAACGGACCAGACATGCGAACTGAACTGGAAGGCAGTGTGGGTGTATCACGCCAAGCCAGGCTTTCAAGTCACAGCGCCATTGGGCATGCAGCCGGACGAAGGAAAAATATGGGCGCAGAAGCAGATGGAGATGAAGGATCCGAATTCTGATGGAGTGCTGGGGGGCGTTCTGAATACTGAGCCGTGTTCGCCGGTTATAAGGACTTTGTTTGGCGCGCCGGAGACGAGGCAGGGAGCTAGATGGTTGCGGGATGTCGATAGGAAGTTGGAGATGTGGGCGGCGTTCAATCCGAAGCGGGCTGTTCAGGAGAAAAAGTCTAGTCTGCGGAGTGGGAAGGCGAAGGGGACGACATCTAACGGGCCTACGGGGAAGAAGAGAGGGAATACTAAAACTGGCAGGGTACAGAAAAAAGAGAAGAAGTTGAGCACGGTGAAGAAGAGTCGCGAGACGGGGCATCGTAGCAAGCGCGTTGCTGGAAAATGATGACTCTTTATATTCAACACTTGTCAACTGATTCGTATGTGGTTTTGAGTGATCAATTGATATGAAGCCAGGCTATTCTGCTGGGACTGGTATGGTATGGGATGTTTAGGAAAGATTGGTATTCAGTGTCAAAATTGGGTTACTGGATTTGATATTCCTTGTCTGTGGCTGTTATTGAACTCATCTTTATTCTTCGACTATGTTCGCTCACAAAAATAGCATATGTTAATACTATACACGAGTAACATGCCGGTCGAGCATCGCAGGTCTAATCATCAGCATAGTTACCAGTCTAGCCATCCAGGTCTGTATTAATCACCGTCTTTGTATTCTACCCTTTCGTCTAGGATTCTCCGCCTCGCTGCCTTTCCTCTTGCGCTGACCACGCTCACTCTCGCTCTTGTCCTCAAAGTCAAAGCACGCATGTCGACAGGCATCCGCCGCACTGATTCGATCACCAGGATCAAATGTCAACATCTGCGAAATCAGCACATGGATATCGGAACTCCTATAGTCCGCCAGACTGTTCCAGACATTATTGAAAACTTCGTATCGCTTCACCCAGTCCCTGTCCTCGTGCCATGGATTGCCATCACATAGTTGCCACGGCACCTCACTGCTAATCAAGAGTTTGTACGCAACGAGCCCGGCCGCCCAGATGTCGACCTTTTCACAGTATGGCACCTGTTGCATTTCCGGCGCCAGATACTGCGGAGTCCCAATTTTGAACGGTTGCGGTGGAAGCGGCTGTCCGTGAGCCTTGCACAAGAACCCAAAGTCTAAAATCACAGCTTTCAGCTCTAGATACAGCTCAATGCCAATATTCTCTGGCTTGATATCCCGATGCACAAGATCATTCGAATGCAGCCACTTCAATCCACAAAGAACGTCATGCAGTATCCCTATCCTGCTGTCATACGAAAAACCTCCTTCGTGGATAATTTTCCGCAGACTCATGTTACAGAGCGGGCTGTATATCAGATGCACTTCCTCCGGCCACTTTCCATCCCATATCACTGACTTCCGAGCATAGTGCACTTCCCGGAATCTCATAATATAGGGACAGAATTTATTCCTCAACAGGCTGCGGACGTGCATCGATATGAGCACTTCTTCAGCAATGTGCTGCGCCGAAGGCCCGCTACGCCGAACAATCATCTTGGCGGCCGCACATTGCATAGGAAGCGAGCGAGAAGCTGACTTGACAACACCGGAAGACCCACGCGCGACCAGCCCATGAATCCTCCATCTGCCTACATTCGGATATCCCATTCCAGGACTCGGCGAGGTCGTTGGTACTGGAGGCGGAAGGTGGAGCTTTTCGTAGAAAAATCTGATCTTGTCGTGTAGGTATTCAACTTCATTGAAGGCCGGGTTTCGTAGAATTTGATACTCGAATACGTATGAGCAGCGACCGAAGCGGAATGTATGGCGGCCCTGGTTGAGAAAGCGCGTGCCGTAGGATATGTCCCTGCCGTCGAGTACCACACTATACGAGTTCTCCTCGCATCGGCTTTGGACTGTCAATATACCGGTTTTGCGGTCGAAGTAGAGTGAGGCAGCGAGCTGGCCTTGGTGCTTGGCGTAGGATTTATCCCAGAGTAAGATCTCTGCTTCGCTGGTCTGGCTATCGCCTTTCTCGTCACCTGCAATCCTACCAATGCACCATTTGTAACGAGGCTTTTTGAGAGGTTGCTGGAGATGGAACACGAAATCTCCACGCCAAACCGTAGACGCGAGCTCTGGCATCTCGCCGTGTGAATATTCCGCGTAACTGTTATCATTGGTGTACGCCAGGGCGACTCCAAGAGGAACCTTTTGTCGGTGTATATCCACATATTCCTGCTGCGTGCGATAGCCTCCATGTTGCATTCTATTGATTAGGTCGTTGAAGTGGGCGATGGCGTGGTGGTTGTTGGGGGTAATGCGGGCGAAAATCTTTTTGGGGTCTGGGGGTGGACGTGTTAGTATTGTGGATTGTCCTCTGCGGAAATTGAAGGGATTCATGTTCATGTTCAATGTTGACGAAAAGCCCCGTCCTTGACGAAGCTTCTACAGTCAGTATGATTAGTAGTTAATGTTCAGGGTGAAAGTCTGACTAGTTTGCTTGCTCAAGTATCAAGAAAGTAGATGTATGAAACAGACATGTCGAATCTATCGGGTGAGCGTAAAACCTGTAAAAACGTCATAATTGCAATTGCAAATGTATACAAACAGTGGGGGAAAATCTACAAACGAACATATAACGATCATTGTTTTGAGATGCGGGTCTCTCCGGCAGTACTTTTCTTTTCGGCTCATAATAAGGACAAAGCAGTGCAAACGGACAGTGACACCAGCTTTTGCTTTTGCCACCCATGTATCTTTTAATGCTAGGTTAGTTAGATCTGGTTGTGGTTTAATCTCTTCTTAGGAGATGCAGAAGCTAGCTACAAGAAATACTAACGCTGCACTTGATCCACTTCCATACTAGACAACATTTCTATAATACTCGTATAACATTGGCCATTCTGAGTACAGGATTAACAATACATTGGGTGAAGGAGGATCGTACTGTTTGGTAAGGGTTGTTGAAATTATCATCGCAGAAATGCAACTTAGGGTTAACGGCGACAAATTAGGCAGTCGGGGCCGAATATGGAAATATTACCAGACCAACACATCTCCATATCAATTATATCAATTATATCCGTCACATGCGGTTATTAGATACTATATTTATACTACCCTTTTTGATATTCTTTCAAACCAATGCCTTGGCAATCTCCTGTGTACTAAAAACCTCCGCAAACTCCCCCTCCACACTCGCTACCGACACCCCATGCACAGTCTCCGCATCAAACCCCCCCTTTGCAAAAGTCGCCGTTGCATCCGACACCAGCACAATGCGGCCGTGGTCAATATCGACATTTGGCGGATGTGACCCATCCGAGTTGACCGTCACCGGCCGTCCATCGGGAAAATTATCAACTACCCCGAGATTCGCCGCCATACGCACCGTGGTCGATACACACTGGTCGGTTGTCAGGCCAGCGAAAAAGACTTGTCGAATGCCGTTCTTGCGAAGATAGGATTCGAGGCTGGTCCCGATGAAGGATGAGTTGACACACTTCCACATCACGAGCTCAGAGCCATCGGCTGCTGGAGTCGCGAAGTCGAAGGGTTTGGGGGCAGCAGAAGGGTGGAAGGAACTGTCAGTCTCGAGAGATGAGTGGAAGATGTGGATGATGTGGATACGTCCAGGGGTTAGACGTTGGCGAGCGGAGCGGAATGCGGCGAGAAGGGTGGTTAGATTGGCTTCGTATGAGGGATTGGAGCGAGACGAGCTTGGGAATTTGGGGTGGTTGAAGCTGGTTTGGTTGTCGATTAGGACTAGAGCGGAGGGCTGGTCGAATGACAGAGACATTTTTTTCTCTATTTTCATTTTAATTGTGATGTTTGTTTTGGTTTACTTTCTCATTGAGCGGTGGATTATTTATATATAGATATTCTTCTGTAATACGGGATGAGTCACGCCCTACTATTCACGCCCTACTATCGACAACTGATTGACCCCACAAGAAGCATTTAATAACAAGTCTGTGGCCGGTGGAGCTGAAATTGAAGGAAGTATGCTGACAAATGGTCATGTATTAATAATATCATTAATATTTACTTGACACTGTTTTTAGCCTAACCACCAAGACTGGCGTAGTGTCCCAAGTGTCTATATGGTCAACTAGTATGAATAGAACAGCTCTTCCTATATTGAGATATCAATTGGTACTAACCTTACTAAGGGATTAATGTTCTTCTACTACCAAACCTTTCCACCTAAAATAATTATGAGAAACTATATAATTTTCTATCGCTAGTATATATTGGGAGATATAATATAAAGATATTTCTAATAGAAGGAAATACAACCTTTTCTCAGCTGTAAAGAGGCCATTAGCGCCTTCCTCACCATTCAGTGCTACTCTCTATGTAAAGAAAATAATCACTTAACAGTTCAACATTCGTTCCATACGGTATAGATATAAGCGCTAAATGAAACATAAGATGTATGCATTCTGAGATAATATATGGAAGACGGTTCTCTAGATACAAGGAAGACATAGTTGCTTAACGTAAAGACCAAGATATACATAGGACTTCTATATATTAAACGAATGTTTCAGAATAGTCTCATTACAGTGGAAATCTATAGATCATGACAGTTAAAGTATATTTGATACTTGTCAGTTGAACTGTCTAACATTTTTCATTCTGGTTCATCAATGTATCAACTTATACCAAGCCTCAATATACTCAGATACCTACACAGCAATGTTTGAAACTTTCCAAGTCACACTCGTGGGGCATACTATAACGAAAATTAGACCAGGTATTAGATAGTACGAATGGAAACTATGGCAAGATATTCATACTCCTTTGGACAAGACTCCGAATGCGACACTGTCTTACATTCCTGATCATGTTTATCAATACTTGAAGAAACGTTGAAGCAGCAACTCCAAACTTACGGCTCCTTCACTGCAAGGAGAGCGGTCATCAAGCTGGTTGGGTCCTGACGAGGCAAAAGCCAGCGCAGCAAAGGCAGCGAGAAAGTATTTACGCTTTATGGTAAATATAGTATAGATGAAATTGGAATTGATTGAGTTATTGGTGATTATGGGATTTTGATTGTTGATGAGTCAAATGATGGATATAATGCTCCATGGCATCTTATTTATATCTTAAATCCCTGTATTAACAGTCCTCTATAGACACTCCGGATATCGGGCGCAACGACGTGATCCGTGTTACACGCGTATTCAAAAATTCTATTTTTGATAATATAATATAATAAAAATATTGTATTTAGGCATGGTCGAGGGCAGCACGGTACATGACCAATCCACGGGTAGTATAAGACGACAAACTTTTGTACGTCAAGGTATACCACCTATCAAAGCCACTGGCCTCGATGCATTTATTTCCTACTCGCTCAGTCCACAGGCTCGGCAAGACCGGTGTCAGGCACTTCTTGGATTCAATGGGCTGTCATTTGTAGGAGCTTCTGGGCCGACGACAACATCATGGAGTCCGGTGTTCGTGTATGTTCGACAAGAAGAAACGCTCCCAACTTGAAGATCCCGTGTAGTGTCAAAGAAAAGCTCCAAAATGTGATGGGTGGTAAGAAGTACCTCGAAGAAGCCCAGCAGGTCATTATCGTTGCGATAAAGAGGGGTTGGGGAAGCTGGTGGGTATGGAACCAAGCGGAATAGACGTATACTCGCCATTACTAGATTATGGCCTACACTGTTTGGCTGCTGTAGACCTCCGCGACTGGCTCAAGAGAAAGATTGAAGTGGTGCTACGGGTTACTGAGGCTTTAGATACAGAAAACATCGTATCGCTTGCTATCAAGGTTGCTCAACGGTCGAATATCGTTGCTGCCGGGTAATTTTCTAAAGAAGCTCTGGTAGCTCTGTAGCTCTGGCATGCATGAAACTTAAATACATTTTTCAAAAATTTCCAGAAATGCTATGATTGTTTATACTTTGGACGATACACTTGTAATCAACAGTTTTAAATACTTCCACCGCCCTAGAAAACTGTGACAAGCAATGAAAAATAGATCCTCTCTCTGCGTTTCAAGCCATCAATTGTTAATATCAGGACAGTGTTGTTGTAGATTTATGCAGGTATCTTTTATATAGCAACCCCACACAAAAGATACTTAACGCTTAGTGGAACCCGAAGCTGATTAATCCCCCGACAAATTAAGCAAACTGTTCCTCCGCAATTTGCACCACTTCATCAACCACCCACTCCATTCTTTCCAACCATCCAAGTCGAGTACAAGTCTATATATGGCTACTGCTGCACGCTAGATAACATACTCCAATGTCAACGATTTGCGGCCGGTGTGCTACCAGCACTCCGAGGGCAACCGCAATGCGGGCGTCGCGAAGCCAGCTTATGTCGACACAGAACTTGCTCCTTGCAAGGAATAATTACAATTACAATGGCTGGAGGAATCCCAATATCGAAATACGGCGGCAGAGATACTCGCTTCTCACTACGAATCGGATAAAAGACAATGTGTTTGTCGCCCATATCTACACAGCCCAGCGATATGCCTCATCAACACCAAAGTCAAAGGCCACGAAACGCAGCACGTCAGCGAGATCGGTGACGAACAGCGTGTCATTGAACAAAGTCAAAGTCAAAGCCAACGTCAACTTGAAGCCAGCATCAGCATCAACCTCTTCTTCCCCCCTCGCATCGACTCTCAACCCACCGTCCAGCACGCGACCAGCTGAACTCGACCTACCCGCACCCGCCACCCCCGACGTCTCGACCACAGACAAACTAAAACGCTACATCGCTATCGGCCGCGCATATCTGGCATTCTACAAAACCGGACTAAAAAATGTATACCATAACTACAAAGCCTCCCTGCCAATCCGCGCTGCGCTAGGTCTACCACGATTCCTTCCTACCTCTCCTCCCAACGGACAGTCTAGTTCAGCTTTTTTGGATAAGGTGGAAAAGGCCGGTGTCAGCCGTGCGGATTTCCAGCTCACGCATCGCGCGGCATATGATATCAGGCGGATGATTCCGTTTAGTCTGTTGTTGATTGTGTGCGGGGAATTTACGCCGTTAATTGTGCTGATGTTGGGGAATGCGGTAACGCCAGCGACTTGTCGAGTGCCGAAGCAGATTGAGAAATGGAGGCGGCAGCGCGAGGTGCGGAAGGGTGCTGCAATGGTCGGTCTCGAAAATAATAATTCGGCGGTTAGTCCAGGTGAAGAGATGAAGTGGCTGGCGAATAGGTTCGGGGATCGCGGGTTCGCAGATACCGCGTCAGCAGAGCTGATTCTCAGGGGCTGTGCGGTTTTCGGGCTGGCAAAGACGCATCAAAGACCGAGCTGGTTGGTGCCGCTGGTTTACAGGCCGCGGCTCAAGCGGTGGACGGAGTATTTGGAGGTTGATGATAGGCTGATTCGGGGAGGCGGGGGAGTTGAGGCGTTGAGTGCGGAGGAGGTGCGTATTGCGCTGGATGAGCGCGGTGGTGTTGGGGTTGGGTGGACTAATGGGAATGTTGAGAGTGTTGAGGAGGGACGGAGGTGGTTGGCGGATTGGTTGAAGAGGAGGTCTTGATTGGGTATCCTGAAGTGTAAGCTATTGTGTAGATACGTCGACTATATATGTACAACATAAAAGTAGATACAGAGCTGAGAATAAAACGCCGTCCACTCAAAACTCCTATGATGCATAAAAATCTGGTTTATAATATAATACAGTAATCATAGCACTGTCATTGCCGTTCTTATTCGTTCGAGATCGTCAAAATTCGCATGTAGAGCTTGACCAAGAATGCTAGTATCCGACTGATCCCACTTCCCAACCGCAAACGTCAAGTCACGGTGAGCATCAGCAAGAATCCCCTGCAGCTCTGCAGTTCGAACGCACTGCAGTCCGGCATCGTGCAAGTGATTCGTAGGATCCTGGATACATAAGTGCTTCGCAGCCAGGTAGTTCGCCTTGCTGGCGGCGTGGACTTTGAATCGAAGTAGAGCGCGTTGTCCGATGAGGACTGGGTGTAATTCGCTAAGTTGGTTTTCTTTTTCAGCCCGACGGACACTTGAGAGAGTGAAGAAACTCGCTGGTTCTACAGCCACGCCAACGGTTTCCAAATTGACCTGCGAGCTGTATGTATCTAGTAGAGCTAGTAACTGCTCGCCTAACCCCCTTTTTTGCCATTCAGGGCTTTTCTGTTTCAGAAAGGCGGATATGATCAGAATCAAGCCGTAGGAGTCTAAGGACGCTTTTTCCCACCCGAAGAGATTCCTACTTTCAAGAAGGGCTCTCAAGACGACATATAGCGGTAGGAGCGATGGAAGAGTACTCAGGCTTGCCGTAATATAAGCGTCCGAGTGAGGAAGGTTATACCCGCAGAATATTTTGATCGGTAGACCCGATGCCTGGTGAGTCATGCTCAATATTGGACTTTTCCCTTCAACTATGGCCAAGTCGTCAAACACTGAGTTTCGACGGATTTCAGCATGGAGTTTTTCGATTATGCTAGTGAAGGTTTTGGTAGTTTTTGGATTCATTGAACTTGATGCGCGATCTCCAGTAGGCGGATCCACGAGAATCATGAGGTTAATATCAGAAGAGCTGATCGCTATTTGAGTTGATCGCGAGCCAACCAATTCTGACGCGTTGGGTACCGCTGCTGCCACATGTTCTGCTATTTTGCCCACTATGCGCGAGACAATCGATTCTTCTGGATGTGACGGTCTGAGATATTCTGCAAGAGCTGATATTTCGGTACTTAGACGTGACTCGCCCGTCTCGGCCCTTCCAGACTTACTCAAGCCAAGCCAAGGGCATTGTGCAACTCGGCCTCCCCTTACACCTAGTGACGCCCGCTTGCTTGGTTTTGAAGGTTTTTCCTGCCTGCCATCTAGCTGCTTCGTAAGCAATGGTTTTTCACTGATTTCCGGCTCCTGCGCAGTTGATGGTTGATTTGTTGTATTTGGTTCAGCATCCGGCTGGAGAATCAAGGGCCGATAGATACGAGGGTCCGGCTCATTGAGGTAGACCTTGCGAATGACTTTCGCTCGGTTTGCGACACGATGGGCCTCGAGGGTCTTTTGCAGGCTGTCTCTGTGGATGGCTGTTCTGGGACCGGCCTTGTAGAGTGAGTTCGTCCGGTAATACCGTGCTTGAGACGTCGTCAGGGACCAGAGCGAGGCCCTCCCCCGGCCGCCAAGGGCCATTCTGCAGTCACCTAAAGCGCAGCATTGCGGGGGAATGACAAGTCGCTCGTATCGCATAGAACGAAGGTACTGGGTACTAGGAAAAAGCACGGCGATTTTTCTGTTTCTTTTGTCGAGAATGGTCCATGCAAAGACGCAGTGCCAAGCAATCGTTATCTAAATCTTTATCGAGGTCACGTGATCTTGGTATCATTAAATCTGCGCTACTACCACGCACAGATATATTATGATTATTAAACCACATCAATTGATTATTATTTATTAATTAAATATTATATTACGTCGACTCATGCCTTTTCCCACTGAAATATGAATATTCTTGGCGCACGATCAGGTCATTGCGCCACTGCTCTCGACGATCTGTAATTCTGCTTCTAGAACGACTGTAATAGGACAACAGGAAAGGATCTCCACGAGCCTCGGAACTAATCACCAACGTCAGACCGTCGTCAATCGGCGGGCCTCTCTTCCCGGATTTCGGGTGCCTTTGTCTTCTTGCACGTGCGATAATATTAACATGTATTCGGCACTGATATTACTATTTGAGGCACGGAGAATGAAAATAATAGATGTGGGATGGCCGGCCTAGAACACGCCGTAGCAAAAATGGCATCTCGTCACGAGCGTCTAGCAATAAACAGCTAACAGAAGCAATCATGTCAACAACTGGACAATTATTAAGACTTAGGCGGACTATCTAGTATTTACTATTGGCGGTGCTAGTTCTTAGCAGTAACTTAGTAAGGCTTAATCATAAGGAGGCTAAAGCTGACCTCCCGCGTCGTCACTCGTCACCGTCTGCGAATATTCCTGGAAGACCCGCAGAGATAACCAGCCCAACCCGTATTCGACTCCCCTCTTCGATCTCCAGCGACAACTCTGCGAGTCCTTTTCTTCCTCCCTAAACCCAGCGCCGCTCGAAACCACCCATGGCGGCGCGCAAATAAGCTCTCATCCCCTCTGCCCCTCGGCCTGCCCAGGTACGGACCCCTCTTCTCCGCTGCTGCTTCTCATAATGACACCCACACGCCCAGACAACGCATTTCTTTCTACGTGCCATTGATTCTACGTCGCCAATTTGATTCTGGACAGACCATGCGCTGAGATTCTCCTTGGTTCCTACCATAGCCATTCTACATCGTCACATCGCCGCAAGCGGACACGCGACCTTCGGAACGATGGCGTTCGAACAAGGAACACCAGATAGAATCCCCCCAGATCAACCGAACCCCGTGATTGTCGGATCAGGATTGTCCGCCTTGGGCGAGGGAGCTTATAAAAAAGCTTCGATAGTAACCCCAGCAGTCGTCGCCGATGGAAATAGCCACAAGACCGACGACAAGGTGAATTCTAGTGCGTCATACTTCTCGGATGTGCCTGGAACAGCAGGAAAAACCAAGAAAGATGCCTATGTGAAATCCCCCGCGAGTCCCGCAGATGCTGTTTCAGGCGCTTCCTCAGGCACTGAATTGCTCCGCCGTCTAAGTCTGATCGGAGGCGCACATCTGACTCCTGCAACTCCGGTAACTGACGCCATGGCCGACCACCCGGGCCTCCAATTGACGGGGAGGATCATCAGTGCGACATTCTGCATCCCATACAAAGTTGCCCATCAATCAGACGGGAATTGGGTACGTTTTTTTAATTCTAAAATTAGGTTTTCATGAGTCTGTGTCATTCTAACGTGTCGCAGGAGCTGAAACCTCGACCAGGCACGTCAGCCTTGTTCGACGCCTTTGCCCACCTCGCATCTGAAAAATCAATATGGAAACATATACTCGTTGGCTGGACAGGAGAGGTGGACACTGCCAATAGTGAGCGAGCACCTTTGCAATCTGTCAGTGGGAACGGAACAATGACTACGCCTCCATTGGCTGTGAATAAAGCGTCGGCGCCGGTTCCTGTCGATGCAAAACACCCGCCCGTAAATCCATTAGTTGAAGGTATTCAGCTGTCCAAAGACGAGAGGAATCGCCTCGAGACTCAGCTGCGGCACAGCAAGTATGGAAAGATCCTCCCGGTTTGGGCAACTGCCGAATCCGACGAACCCGAAGATGATATATTATTGAAAGATCAATCCCGCTGGAGGCGGTATGCGGAGCGAGAATTATACCCTCTCCTGCACTATAAGCAGAAGGGGACATCAGATGGGCGTTCGGAGCGCAAATGGTGGGCTGACTACCTGCGATTAAATCGGTTGTTTGCAGATCGAATTGCACAGGTTTATCAGGCAGGCGATATTATATGGATCCACGACTACCATCTCTTTCTTCTCCCGAGCCTCTTGAGGCAACGGATTCCTAACATTTACATTGGTTTCTTTTTACATTCTCCTTTCCCCAGCAGCGAGTATATGCGCTGTCTCGCAAAGCGGAAGGAGGTTCTTACAGGCGTTCTTGGTGCAAACATGATCGGTTTCCAGACCTATTCATATTCAAGACATTTCTCTTCTTGCTGCACACGTGTACTCGGGTTTGACTCTACTTCTGCGGGGGTCGATGCTTATGGTGCCCATGTCGCAGTCGACGTGTTCCCAACCGGCATTGATGCTCAGAATGTCCAAAAGGCGGCTTTTGGGTCAGATGAAACAGACCATGTGGTTCAGGAAATTAAGAAACTCTATTCAGGCAAGAAGATCATAGTGGGCAGAGATCGACTAGACAGTGTCCGTGGTGTCGCTCAGAAACTTCAAGCGTTCGAAACATTCTTGGAGAGATATCCTCAATGGCGCGAAAAAGTTGTCCTAATTCAAGTCACGAGTCCGACAAGTATGGAGGAACAGAAAGAGGACCCTGAAAACAAAATCGGCAGTCAAGTATCCAACCTGGTGTCCACGATTAATGGCCGGTTTGGATCGCTGAGTTTCTCTCCTGTTCAGTACTACCCTCAGTACATCTCCCCGAAGGAATACTTCAGTCTCTTGCGAGTCGCAGACGTTGGTCTGATCACGAGTGTCCGTGACGGCATGAATACGACGAGTCTAGAATATGTCCTCTGCCAACAAGGCAACCACGGACCTCTCATTCTATCAGAATTCTCCGGCACTGCTGCAATGCTGCCAAGTGCGATTCATATAAACCCATGGGACATGAGCGGAGTCGCCACGGCCATCGACCGTGCCCTAAGCATGAGCAACGAGGAAAAAGCAGATCAGCACCGCAAGCTATACAAACATGTCACATCCAACACCGTCTCGATGTGGTCACAGCACTATATCCATCGCCTCCTCACCAACCTATCCTCCTTTGACCAATCCATCGCAACCCCCGCACTCGACCGCGCCAAACTCCTCAAACAATATCGCAAAGCCAAGAAACGCCTCTTCATGTTCGACTACGACGGAACCCTCACCCCAATCGTCAAAGACCCGCAAGCAGCCATCCCGTCAGACCGTGTGATACGAAGCATCAAAAGCCTCGCCGCAGACCCCAAAAACGCCGTCTGGATAATCAGCGGGCGCGACCAGGCTTTTCTAGACGAATGGATGGGCCATATCCCCGAGCTAGGCCTCAGCGCCGAACACGGCTGCTTCATCCGTAAACCCCGTAGTGACGACTGGGAGAACCTCGCGGCCCAGTTCGATATGGCCTGGCAGAAGGACGTTATGGAGGTATTCCAGCATTACACAGAACGCACACAGGGCTCCTTCATTGAGCGCAAACGCGTTGCTTTGACCTGGCACTATCGGCGCGCGGACCCGGAATACGGCGCCTTTCAGGCCAAAGAGTGTCGGAAGAACCTCGAGAACACGGTGATGAGGAAGTTCGACGTGGAGGTTATGGCCGGAAAAGCGAATCTAGAAGTTCGCCCAACGTTTGTGAATAAGGGATTTATTGCCACGAGGCTGGTGAACGAGTATGGTGCGGGCCCGGGGGATCCGCCGGAGTTTGTTCTCTGTTTGGGGGATGATTTTACAGACGAGGGTATTCCCTCCCACCCTCTGCTTTTTTCTGTTGCCATACTAATAATCAATAATATAGACATGTTCCGCGCTCTCCGCGACTCGGATCTTCCAGCCGATCACGTCTTCTCTGTGACTGTCGGCGCCAGCTCCAAGCAGACGCTGGCGAGTTGGCATCTCCTGGAACCGGCGGACGTAATCTCGACAATTGGGATGCTCAATAACAGCTCGATTGATGCCGAATACTAACTAACAAACCAAAAGAGAAAAACAAAACAAAACAAAACAAAACAAACAAAACAAAATAGACTTATCAGACCGTTCATGTTGTTCTTGGGTAGTCCTATAACTGGGTGTATGGTGGACTGCATTATATTATAATTGATATATCGATATACTTGACTCCAACACCAGCGCTGGAGCCTGGATGTCCTGGATTATTCTTGTATTGTATTCTTGTATTCTTGTTGGTTTGGTGGTTTTAGACTCGATAGAGTGATATATACGACAGTAGCTTGATTCCTACCAGAATCCAATCACGTAAAATTAATACACTTATATTGGGAGCACCCAGGTTGCTTAGCTGTCTTTCGATACTCTACAATTGTTGACATCCATAACCACATTATAATAGTTTACCGGTCCAGCCACTCCTCGCCGTTATCAAGGAATGCTTCGTGATATGGATGAGCTTCTAACCATTTCTCTGGATCCACCGAAGTGGAAGAATTAGTATGGAAATCTGTAAGAGCTTCTTTGAGTACTAGTAGGGGTTATTGGATATTCGAGTTTATTTCTTGCATAAAGTGAGTGTTTGGCATGAATATCGCCCCCATTTAAAACTACAATAGCTATGAGTAGCAGCATCTAGAAAAATACTGAAACAAACATATCATCCAAACTTATCTTTGGATAGACCACCAACCAGCCATTTGCAAATTTCTATGCTATCTTCCCATTCCCAGTTATTCTGATCTAATTTTTTATTAAAGGGACTCGATTCACGCTGTACCTGGAATCGACACAATGTTGCCGGGAATATGAAATGAGATGACACATATGTAAGAGTTTCGACGACTTTGATATGTAGTAAAGCTGGATATTAGGTGGAAAGCGTGTCGGAACATTTCTGAGAAGTTGTGGGAATGTACCTGCACAATGGGTTTGGTTTTTGTGAGAGTGTTTAAGATTTATATTATATATCAATTTCAGACTATATTTTCGAGTAAAAATGATAAAATATTGAGGGCCCAAAAATGCCAGTTTGATATGGGAATCGGGGGCGCGTCGCTTGCTTGTGAAATACGTTATATGCTAACAATTTTATTCAAATATTTATTTTTCACGTCACTGCTTGTTTGTACTCGTTGTACAGAACAGTTTCCATGTTACGTATAACTATACATGCACTCGTCAAAGATTATTGATAATATAGCCAATTTAATACATCAATTCAATATTCAAAGTTTGATAGCTAGTAAAAAGCTGTATAATAGGAAAATTTTCATCAGTGGGTCGTGTAGGGCGTCTCCGAACTACATTCGTAGACGGTATCAAAGGTATATAATGCGGATATATATGTACAAGAAGCAAATAACAGACATTGAGTGCATCGTTAAATACATCATCTACTCTTCAGGCGCAGCAGCCTCGTCTTCCATCCGCGAGGCGTATATTTTCTCCTTTTGTACTTTCGCAGCCTGCAAGCAGTCGATATAAGTACGGAACTTGACGATTTCGCGCAGCAAATATGATGATTTGCGCTCCCAGTTTGAAAGGGCTTTGGTTGCATTGGGGTGGCGGGGAGAAAAGGCGAGGGACATGGCAGAGCGGAGTTCGTTGTGTTTTTGAAGGTCTTCTTCGACGTTTTTCACGTAGTTTTGTAGAGCGGTGAGCTGTTCGGATTCGCTGAGCGTAGAGGCGTTCATGGTTTGTTGAGGAGGGGTCCAGTCGCTTAGGTGTACGCGGTCGGCGGGGAGTTTGGCGCGGATGCTGCCTTGTTGGTCGAGGGAGCTGCGGATCGAGCTTTGGATGCTGGGGCGAGGAGGGGCGGAAGCAGAAGTGGGTGGAGGGGAGCGCCTGTCGACGTGGATAAGTGCGTTATTGATGACCCCGTCGCCCCAGCCGTATTCCATGTTGCTGATGGCGCCGACCAGCGGCTGCTTGGAGAGTCGCGCGCTCCAGTAATTGGCGGTTGTGACGAATTCCCTGACAATCTCAGCTGTGCCGACTTGGAAGAGATGGACGGCGCCTGTGGGTAGACTCAACGCCCAGACGTGTGGGCGAGACTTGGAGTAGCCTGGTGGAGGCAGGGCGCTGGCGATGGTCTGGCGAAGAAGGAATTTCCAAACCTCTTCTGCGTTTTCCATCCAGTTGCCTCCTCCTACGACCCCGCCGCCGTTTTGGCGCTGTTTGGCCTTTATCCGCATCGACTTGGCGTTGAAGGAGAACAGGCGGAGCCAGCCTCGTTGGATAACGGCGAAGCATTCATTCCAGTTACGGTCCTTGGCACGCTTGTCAACAGCCTCCAAATGCTGTTTATGTTTGAGGCTTCCTTCTTTGGCCCACGGGGCGCCTGCAAGTTCTAGGGTTTCGTCTTCTAGTAGTGAATTGCTTGCTTCAGGGTCGTCGAAGCTGGTGATGGAGTGTGCTGAGTCCTCGCGGATGATTGCGTGGCTGAGGGCATTTGCAAACCCGATTGATTGTTGATAACCGCCGCCGCGTGGGTATTCAGAGCCAAAAGAGTCCACAGACATAGAAGTAAGCGTTTTTCCAAGCGAATACTTGCTCCATGTACTCGAGCCTGACGGACTCCAGATAGACGATTGGTCATCCAAACTGGTACGGCTTGATCCCATGTTTGACGGAGGATACAATCTGGCGCGTGACCGTGGCTTCGATGTCCATCTTCCCGTGGTAACTCTCGAATCGGCAGATCGGCCGCGAGGAATGACATCTGAGCCTGTCTTGCTGAGAACACTGGGACTGCGGCGTAGAACATTGCCAGAGCTTGAAGGAGGAGCGAGGCCCTCGGGTTCGACGGGGGCGTTGTATAATGGGAGACGTTGCTTTTGAATGGAATTATAAAAGTCTTTGAGAACAAACTCAACTTGGGTTTCCCAAGCTTTGATGGTACCTTGGAACGGCGTGTTCACCAGGGGTCCAGAAGACCCAGAAGTGTCAACAAAGGTAGAACTTCGTTTTGACTTCAGGTTGCCTTCATTAGGAAGCGTAAATTCGCCTGATGGAAGAGTCGGCGACTTTATAGCTGCACTCACTGGCGCTCGAGGTTTGGGAGCTGGGCGGATAGTCTCAAACCCATCAGGGGCAGCGTCGGATGCGACTCTGTAAATCGTGGGCAGGGTATTGCGAACGAACTGGCTCCTCGTCATCTTCTGTTCAATGTCTGCAAGATGCAAGTCGGTATTCAGTAAGAGAAGAGAGTAGCATATAGTGTGCACCACATCTGAATATCAAATTAGCAATTTAGTTTAATCGAAAATCGAAACGCATGTATAAACTCACCGACAGCTTTGAAGCCATGGTTAGGGTTGCATTCACACCACCTTGCAGACAGTGCGTCTAGTACGCGGTCCACTTGCTGCGTCTCTCCTTTTAGTGCCATTTTTGTACATAGACTTCGCAATGCTGCGAGAATGTCCATATTCGTCCAGTTGAAGAAATCCATGTAAGCTTTTCGAACTTTGGCTCGGTCGACACTTCCCAACCAGGCCGCTGCGGGTTCGTTGCCAATAATCTCTTCATGATCCTCAAACAGTTTACGAGCCAACTCTCGATCCGCAGCTGGGATTGGGTCATTCGCCAGATCTGTGGCAGGTTCGACAGGTTCCTCGACAGATTCATCAGTTTTGTCATCAGACATCTCCGTAGGGGGGGCTGGAGTTTCGGATAAAGGCGAGTTCGAAGCAGTATGGTATTGAGAGATCTCCGAGACAGACATATTAGGGTCAGCGGGAGATTCTTCTCGTAGAGACCCACGACTCGAATTGGCTTGGAGAAAGCTGCCGGACTGGATGTCGGGCGGAGGCACCAGGCTACTTGACGTGTTCCCGGACCTGTTTTCGTCACGATGACTACGAGCGACAGGGCTTGTCTTTGGTCGTCCACCACGCTGTCTGTCGGAATTACTTCCAGTTTCGTTTCCACTATCGACCAAGAAAGTCCCATCGTGGTCATGCGACGGTATTTTCAGGTTAAGACTATGCTTGCCTTTCAAACCATCCTTCTTTGACGATCCATCGGCGGTACGTGTCAAGCGAGACGGATTGCGAGGTGGGAGACCTCCCAAGAAGAGCTGCTCAGAATCGAAACGTTTGTCCAGAGATAAGCTTTCTAGTGCTTCGTCTGCTTCGTGGGAATTTGTGTGTGGTGAAGGCGTACCATCCGCCAAATATGGGTCCATCACTTGGCGAAGACTACTTACAGGGCTCGGTTCTGCTTGGATATCGAGTGCTTTCAGAGTACCAGGGGCAAGAACCAGAGGCGGCGGGCTGTGATCAACAACTGACTTCTTCCGTCGCCGAAAGAATGACGCTTTCTTGGCCACCACAGGATGAACGACATCTTGCTCTGGCTGTTTTCTTGGTGGGGTGTTGGGTTTTGTCGGCTGTTTGGGACTTTCTGCCGGGGTAGGATCAGGAGTCGTTTTTGAGGACCCACCAAACACTCGTCTAAAGAAACCCGGTTTTTCCTTCACTTGTGGAGAATCAGCAGGCGGAGGTGGCGGCTTCTGGTATGATACTGTGGGACTTGGGGCAGATGGGTCGACGAGGGTTGAAGGCAAAGGAGGTGCCGGATCTTGATGTTTGATAGTTGAAGTTCCCAACGTCTCGGAACGACCTTTTCTAGTGGCGATACTCTTGGCTGATTTGTTGCTATTCCGACGAGATATGACTGGATTTCGTGGTGCTGAGAAATTGGCTGGTAATCCTGACATATCGGATAGCAGATCTCTTCGAGGACCAGGGGGTACAGTAGGGGTTGGCGCCGCGTCAAGATCATCTGTTGAAGGTCTTATGCCGGTCCCCGATTCAGTATGATATGCTGGGCTCGAATCGTAGTCTAAACTTGAAGATTGCCGTTCTTGATAATCAATGAAGTCCTCTCCGATCGTAGGGTCGTAGTCGGTACTGGAAACGCTGCCCTTGCTTTGCTGATGGGTCGAATGTCCTGAATAGGCTTGTCTAGCACGAGGAGACTCTGCGAAATCGTAATTCCTTGAGCGATATGCAAGACTGGTATTTTCCACATTGCGAGCATTGTCATAGCGACCCTGAGGGAATTGAATGGCAGTGCCGCTGTTGCTTCTATGGCCACTAGAACGGGGAACCTGAGGGTAATCACATATATCATCCGCATATACTGCAGATGAGGCAGATGATGAGAAGGTGTGGCCTCTCGCACGGCCATGATGGTCGGGGAATCGGCTGTTATTATAACGATCTACTTCAGGCGAACCACCGAAAAAGCGAGTGTCGCTGAATAGTGGCGATCCTGGGACGAATTGATCTAGAGAAAGAAGCATGTTGTCCACGACCGAGGTGCGCGTGACATGTTTTGGAGACAGAGCCAGGTCGTGAGGATCGGGTTCGTCGCCCGACTCACTCGGCCGGCCGTTGTATTCGACTGGCGTCGTGTCTTCGAGAAACGTCTCGGGGTATGACGGGCGAGCATCCACGCTCAAGGACTGCGGCGATTTCTGCTTTCTAGCATTGGACGGCGGGGTCAATGGAGGAGAGTAGCTCTCGTAACGGTTACGAGATTGGTACTGCTTGGGACTGGTCGGAGCAGCCACACCGCGACGGTTCGGCGGACGGGGAAATTCGTCGAGGCCCATGGTTACCTCCTTTTATTTTGGGTTGTTTTGTGTTTTGTTGTGTTGTGTTGTGTTTTGAGGCAGGCGAATGCTGCCGAAATGAGAGAATGGTGAAACAGCGGCGGCTCGCAATTCCGGCGAGTGAAGGAGGGAGTATTGACTCAATCAAGTGCGATGAATAGGACGCATGAAAGCCTGTCTATTGCATTGCTCATCAGAGCGGGCATGCAAGCGTCTGCTGCATGCAAGAGCCGATCGTCGGGCGTGTCAAGATCAGGCTCGCCGCTCGAGTGAGGTGCCGGCAGCAATTATAAGGAGAGTCGAGAAGAAATCTCGAATTTCGTTCGAGATGTCGAAACGATGAGGGAGCGACCAGGGAGGAGACTCGACGGAGCGAAGTTGCTGTCAATTGTGGGTCCTCTTAACGTTTTAACCCTTTTCCCACCAGGTAGGACAAGGAACCTCTGACTTTGGCTCCCTGCAGTGTCCCAAAGATTAAAGTCTCAATCAACCTGAGACTAAGACTACATTAGTCTGTAAGAATTAGTCGACCTGCTTGGCTGGAAGTTGACGGGTCTGGCGGTGGTGAGTTTCGGGCGTTTCGACTGGCTGTCAGCGACGCAAGGCACAAGCCGCTACTACATCCACGTTGCGTTGTCGCGCCAAATCATACCAGGACTTGCCCCTGAACCTTACACTTCCGATGGCGCACAGGATTTTCTGCTTGTATTATCATCGATACTATTATGACTCCTCCAGGAATGCAAGTGAGATTGTCGCTAGCCGCTATTCTCGCTGCAGTTAACAAGTCACCACGATATTCTTTTTTTTTTTCCTATTTCATATTCATTCTTGGGATTTGATATTATTCGTCACGATCCTGAATACGGTTTGTCACTGGCAATTCTTACTGGGCGACCTGTGACCACTGGCCAGCGCTATGACGGCTTCTTCATCGCATTAACTCGGCGACCCAAGGCTAACAATTGGGCATGGGATTGAACTTGGTACTATAATAGTCATGTTGCGGAGTAGGTTCGCACCATTGTTGACTAATGGCTGGGCGATCTCATCGACTTGGCAGTAACGCTTCATCTATACCATCGCCGGCACACACAGTATCCGTACTCAGTATTATTACGTACAAGAGTTGAGGCGGCCAAGTGTTATTATTACTTATGCATCACAGACATCTATCAGTCGCAGACATGCAGCTACTTAGTTGCTGTGATCATGGCTTGTCCCTGTAATAATAATCTCAGCTGCCCGATTTCACTAGGCTGAGTAGCTTCAATAGTAACTTAGTAAGTCGCTGCGTCGGCCCACAGATCAGGCCCACTAGGACGAAGCAGGAAATGTTGTGTACGCGAACAATCTCAACGAATCGTGGCCTGATAAGCTTGACATTTGATGGCCGCATTTGGAAGTGTGCTGGTTTGTGGCGTAGATACGAATCTGATGTGTCCTCTTGACTTTTAAGTTTCTGAGAATTGTAACCCACTGCACACTCGAGTCAGGATGTGGCATGAACCTTGGTAAAAGCTAAACCATGGATGTCGGTCAGTCGAGCCGACTTTCAGGTACAGATCACAAACTACTGCAGCCTGGAAGCACGACAATCCTCCTGTATTGGTTAGTACGGCATGAGAAAAGCAATCCTCAGCCCCGCAGGTTTGCACCGATAAGAGCGATCAGATCGCATCAGCAAGTCCAACTCAGGTTGGCGATCTTGGATAATAGATGTTCGATCGGCATTCAACAATTTCGTCCCCATTGTACCCAGATAGTGAATCCGAAACTCTAATTAGGGGAAGCTGGCTTGATATGTAGAGGCCCGAGTCCCCTCCGACTCTCCCATTCATGCTCGACGCAGCTTTAGAGACATGATTATTGATATTAAAAGGCTACTAGATCGTGAAACAAGCCCCTCTGTACGGAATAGCCTAGACTTTCTAGTCTTCTAGACTTATCAGAGATGACCGGAATGCTGCATGTCTTGAGATGACAGTGCATGCAGGGTTAGCATGTCGGGCCTGAAAGTCAGAATGTTGCCACGCAGCCCGTGATTTGATTGATCTGAGTCAATACGTATCAGACTCGAGCATTGAAATCTCGAAATATGTTGACTCGTCTGGATCTCGTTCGTCATCAATATTCATGCTGGCAATGACGTATTTTCATTCCAATCTACCGTTGACGTCGTGTCGGCGTGACTAGGAATTCAGGGTTAGATTTTGGTCGACGAGAGTATTATTAGTGTTAACCAAGTCTCTTACTGATTATGTCGATGCATATCCATGTCCTGCTTTATGCGGTGTTCTGTCTGAACGTGATAGTAACCAGTGTCTGCCCCAAATAACTGCTCTCTCCAGGCTGGCATCAACACAACTCCCCAACTCTCCATACGTGGCCACACAATCGTCCTCTGAAAACCATCCAGCAATTCTCTAGCAAGATAATAAGAAAAAGAATGTGTTATGAAAAAGACTATATAAATCAAGACCCAGCCGTTTTGTGCCGATATGATGGATACTACCGCGGGCCGCCAAGTTACCGCCCTCAAGCAGACTAGCCTAGCCTGGCCAGTATCAGCATCGTCATCTGTCGTGTCCAGTTGACAACCCAGACAGCCGCACAACATCAATAACAACCATTCCATTCCATTCCATTTCCGCATACCGACTGACCAGGATATACCAGAAGGGATAAGGAAGGAATATTGACGGGATATAGAATTACTATACGACTAGGGCCCGGCCAGACGCCGACACCATGAATCCTCACATCTCTGCCCCCCGACAACACAGCATTCCCACCAGCTTCGGCGCCAGCTCTGGCGCCGGGTCGGCTGGCCGGGGAGCGTCGAGTATCAGAATGCCTAGGTTCTTCAAAAGGTCTGTTGCGGCACCAGCTGCTAATTGACGACCACTGACACACGTCCAGGCTGTTCAAGTTTCCGCAAATGGACTTTGAGATGGCCATTTGGGAGATGACTTCGCTGTTGATTGCGCCGAAGAAAGTGTTCAAGTCGATGTACTATCACGTACGTCAATTTTCCCCTGATACAAACTATACACAACGCATGCTAACAATTCCATTCTAGAAACGTACGCAAGATACCTTTTGATTTATACTTTCGTCTACTAATTAGTCAGAAACAAAAAACACATGGCACCGCCCCGATCCCTCCTTCACATATCTGCTCTCCTTCTTCCTCCTCTTGACCGCACTCGCCTGGGGTCTCGCATACTCGCCTCACTTCGGCTCGATCATCCGCATATCATTTCTGTTCGTATTCGTGCATTTCATCGGCACGTCGCTGGTCATCTCGACATTCGGATATTTCCTCATCGGCCGCATCTTCGGACCAAACGGGCCAGCGGCGAATCTGACGGGGCTGAGGGGGGCTTCGTCGCGGGCGCGGAGACGCGGTGCGGCTCAGGGATTGTTTGTGCAGCCGGGTGAGAAGGAGCAGATTGAATTTGGGTATTGCTTTGACGTAAGCCCTAAGCCCCTATCCTCCGATTTATTAATATATAAGTTAATATATATATATATATATGGCAGGTCTCAAACCGCGCTTTTTTCCCGCTCTACCTGCACCTATACGTGGTGCAGTTCTTACTCCTCCCCCTGCTGACCCGCGATCCGCCCAACTTCTTCACCACGTTTCTCGGGAATACGCTATATCTATCAGCACTGCTGTACTATACCTATATTACGTTCCTCGGCTACAACGCGTTGCCGTTCCTGCACAACACCGAGCTTCTTCTCCTTCCTATCCTCGTGCTGTCAATTCTATGGCTGTTCAGTTTGATTGCGGGCTGGAACGTGGTGACGCATGGCCGGGGCGTTGAGGGATTATTCTGGGGTGTTTAGCTTGTCTCCATAATAATACGATAACATGTTATGTTTAGATAGTTTCAGCATATGCAACTTGCATTGGCGTTGGACGAATGTAATAACTGGTGTACAAAATATCGTCGATATCTGAACCCCATTCCATCTTCTACCACGCCTATCTACAGGTTAATAAAATAAATCACTTCTTCACCCCCTTCTTCCCTCTCCCAGCCTTGCCCGCCGCTGCCTCACGCGCCTTCTTCTCTCTCTCCTCATACTCCACCTGCTTCGCCTTGGCTTGAGCCTCTCTCTCCTCCCTCTCCGCCTCACGTCTTGCTTTATCCGCCTCGCGACGCTCCCGTACCAACCTTAGCCTCTCCAAATCCGCCCGCGCCTCGTCCGTCTTGCCCTCCATATGCAGCTTCATATACCGTTCCCTTGCCTGCTGCGCCTCAATCGCTTCACGCTCACGCCGCGAGAGCTCACTTAAATCCTTCTTCCCTCCTCCTCCTCCTCCTGCTCCTCCTCCTCCCTCTCCTGCACCCGCAGCAGCTGCTACTTCATTCCCTGTATTTCTCCCGACTACTGCAGCGGCGGCCTGCGAGCGGGATTTGGAGGTATGGTTCGGGTTCGCGGGTAGATCCCCTTCTTCCTCTTCATCATCTTCTTCGTCTGAGTCTGTCGGTGGCAGATCTCCTGGTTGTGCCGCCACGGCTCTTTTCTTGCGAATCGCCGCTTCTTTGCGTGCTTTGGCGAGCGCTTTGCGTTGTTCGCGCGTCATGTCTCCGGGCGCCTGTTCTTCTTCATCATCTTCCTCTTCCTCATCCGAGGAATCGTGGTCGGAGGAGGAGGACGACTCGGTGCCAGCGTCGGCGGGGTCCTGCACGCACTGATCAGTATATAGATACTAATAGGAAGAGGGAGAGAGAGGGGGGGGGGAGGGGGGGCGTACACGCCACATGCCAACGGCGTTGCCGTCTTTGTCGACTGGTTGCACGTCACGGCTGTAGTGTTTTCCGCCTGGTTAATATTATTATTTTGGTTAGTTGGTTCTTCCGTTATGGATGGGTATGGGTCCGGTGGTGGTACCTCCGCGAGTCGGTTTGGAGAATTTTCCGCCACGGCCTCGAGGTGCCATGTTGTCTTGAGGCTTGAGTGGATGGGTATGGATAGGTGTATATCGGTTGGTATGAGTGTGCTCTAATATACTCTGTCGAGAGCGGAGGAGTAGTAGGCGAGGTAAGAAAGCTCTGAAGCAAACAATGAATAGACGGTTTCAGGTGAAGAGTCCGGATTGACTTGTTTGGCTTTGACAAAGACAAAGACACAAACACAGCTGGACTTGGCTGGCTTGCTGAGTTGTTGGAGTTAAAAATAACCCCTCTGCTGCCCCTCGTCGCGTGAGACTCCACTGGGTCAGCGGGGACCAATCAGCGGCTTCGTTTACTTATTTACTTCTTTTTACTTGTCTGCTATTGTTCTCTATCATTCATTATATATATCGATAAAAACATAATGTAATTTAACGATGAGATGAGTCATCCCCTCACCATCACAACCCCAAACCTCGCAATCCTCGCCACAACCAACAAAACCGTTCCCAGCAGCATCGAACTTCCCATAAACATCTGCATATACAAATACCCTCCCTGATCTGCCTGTACCAACGCGCCTGCGATAGGACTGCCGGTGAGTGCCGCAAAACTAACAATCGTGAGGACCATACCCATACGCACGCCGATTTTCTTCAGGTCTGTTGTGAGAGAGCTCAACGCCACGGGGAAGATTCCCTGCACGCCGGCTGAGGCAATGCCGTAGATGACAGAAAACGCGAATACGCCGGGGATGTTGCGCACGCCGGACCACCCGTATGCTGTTATGGCGGTGGCGAAGCTGAATGGGATTAGGAGGTTGAGCGGTCCTGTGTAGTGGTCGGAGATCAGACCGGGGACTATGCGTGCGACTGTGCCCACGGCGCTCATGATCATTAGTAGATTGGTGGAGGTGGATAGCGATGCGCCGAGGACGTCGCGCGCGTAGCTACTAACGTAGAAGAAGCCCACGTATAGCCCCCATAGTACGAGAAACATTCCAACGGAGAAGCAGACGTAGGGTAGTTCCCGGAACGCGGCGAGCTCGAGGATGGGTCCGCTTTGGCGCGGTGGGAGGCGCTGGCGGAGGAAGAATGCGCTGGGGAGAAGGGTTGCGAAGGTGAAGAAGCCTAGGGTGCGCATGGTCCAGGCATAGCCGATTTTCGGGAGGAGCGAGTTCACGATGCCGGGGAATATCAGGCCGCCGACACCTGAGCCGGCGGCGACAATGCTCATGGCGATGGCGCGGTGCGAGTCAAAGTAGGTGGGCAGGAGGGAGAGGGTTGGGCAGAACATGAGGCCACAGCCAATGCCTTGCAGGATGCCCTGGGAGAGGAATATCTGCCAGTATTGAGTGCAGAGGGAGGTGAGGAAGATGCTGACCACCGCGAGGATTGCGCCGACAGTCCAGGTGAATTTGAAGTATCCGGCGTCTGTTGCGCGGCCAGAGAAGGTGCCGACGAAGAAGACGAGAAAGGTCTCGACGCTGCCGATCCACGAGATGTCGGAGGGGGTGCGGTGGAGGGTTTCGGTGTAGTATGTTTGGAACACACCAAAGGCGTTGATGTAGCCCCATGTGTTGCAAATCACCAGATGGGCGAGGGCGACTTGGGACCAGGCCACGAATCCGCCGTCGAGGGGAGGTCCGGGATCACGTCCAGATTCTCGTGTGCGGACGAGAGACATGGTCTTTGCAAGAGTTGCTTTTGCTTGGCTGCCGGACGTGGGGTGTTTGGAGAGGGTGTTTTCAAAATCCATACTGGCGGGAGTCTGGATTTCTTGGATATCGCCAGAATTTGACTGCTTTTGGCCATGTTCCTCTCTGCCCTGAGCTTTTTCTAGATCCGCTTCCATAGTGTGAAAAAATATAATTAATTGTAAAGATGATAATATAAGAGGATCATTTTGAGTCATCCAATATTGAATTAGCACTTAATTATCGAAGAGAGGAGAATAGAAGACTGTAATCAACCGTTGTGGGCGTGCTGTAGTTCGCAGAGAAATCCGAGACAGCGCCAAAACTCGCCCGCAGATCTGCGCCACCCGTTCGGGGTCAAATCCGTGATTATCTTGCAACCCGCTAGTCAAAATTAACTGGGTCGACTCTATGCGAGCTATTATCGAGTATAAATTAGTTGAAAGTTGACTGGATCAATCCGAGCAGACGACAGACTGACAGACTGGTGTGTTAGAATCTGCATACTAACCTAGTACAATCCATCCTGTTACGGAATCTAAACGCGCCCCTTATACTCAGAGCCAGCCTTGCCTGTCGGACCGCATTTATTGGCCTCGGCTTGACTTACAGTCCCTATCTGGCCAGCCTGCTGGTCGCAGTACTGGGCCATTTGGATATCCTTCTCGGAGAGGCCGCGCGGGACATGCGTCGTCCAGTGGACATGAACTGAGCCTGATTTCTACTCGAATCAGTATCTCGGTCTTTCTCATATATTCTTTAGTGATGGCACGTACGACGGTCATAGTTGAGTGGTGGTTTTTCGATTTACTGCGGATGCCGACGACCTGCACGAAGTCCTGAAAACGTCAATGTTTGATATTTCATCATATCATCATAGCGCTGTGCTCACCAAACATTTGGTGTATGTCTTGAAGTAGTAGGTTTTGGTCACGCCCATGCGGTCTGCGTCCAGCGACCAGAGGCTCTGCTCCAGCAGGGATTGCAAAGGGGCGGTGTTTTGGGCTGGGTCGACGCCGGGGGCGAAGAGCGGTGATGTTGACATGTGTAGGCATCTGAGCGGTGTATTAACACTGTATATAGTCGAAATATTCGAAATATTTGATATATTCGATGGGAGGCGCCGCCAACGTGGCCAGTATGCTGTCATGTTGCTCAAACATAGGCACAGGAAAGGTAGTAAAGGTAGTAAACAGACGGAACCAGCTCTAGCCCGAAAGGTCGAGTTTGTCAAGCGATGGTCCGTGCGTGGGATATATAATATATTTGCATCTAAAATTGGCCTAATGTGATAATTATCTTATATTAAATATAAATTAATATATTAAACATTATATATGATATTGCTTATTCCACATTTATTATTTCTAATTGTACTTACCTTATTTAATGATACGAAACGATCGGTCATTACTCGTGTACTCGTAGCTAACAAAATCACACAAACCCTCGACACTGTGTATTATTCAAATTATTGATTAACCTTCTCATCAGACGTGGACCATTAATAATTATTTAGTAAGAGTCACTGACGTCGCTGGTTGACCCTTCTGGAAAGCGGATCTGAAGAACCGATCTAGACCGCCAATCCAAATCGCCAGACTACACTTACCCTTTGCAGCGGCTCAGCGAATTACCCTTGCCCTTATCAGCGTCTTGACGTCATGACTCTGTACAATCAGTAGTAATCGGTACGTGTATCATACGTACAATCGGTATACTGTCTGAAGAATGCTGCGAGGGAACGCTATCGATGCTTGCGTCTTCTTCTTCCTCTTCTTCTTCTTCTCCTCCTCCTCCTACTACTACTACTACTTAACTTGGCTGATACCGTTTTAGTACATGCAGAGAAATCTTAATTTTAGTTTACAGCTGATACAGTTTTCGGTGCTTGCCAGAAATACGTTACGATTGACACAGGATGAAGTATTCATAATCATGGTGTGTGCGTATAATTATGATCATTTGTTATAACTATAAGAATAATATAATTATATGAATGATAATATAGTCATAAAGAATGGGGCATTACTCATGCAGGGTGCATAACTTAGTCAGCCAGTTGTGCACCGATCGCTCGGACGAATGCTCCGGACTCGTTCCCTATACGCGGATACGGTACCAGGATCCTGTATAATACGGCGATCTCCCTGCTAAAGCGGCGACGGCGCGAGCGGTTCTTTATGGCCGATTGCATCTGTCGTCGCGTCATGATTGGAAGCGAGTGGGTTCGCTGGTTGGTTGGTGAACTCTGGACTTGAATTCCGCGTGAATTAATAATTCCATAGCCAATACTCTATACATACTCGATAAGTTAGTTACTCGAAGCTCGAGACTGCGAGTGGCCGGAGTTAAGCCGTTCTCCGTCCGCCATGAGAACATGATATGATCGTGGTATGATGTTATGAGCAGCCATTCATTTGAATTTTTTATTTTCGTGTCATTTTTTTTATTCATTATTTATTCTATTATTTCATCGATTGAAATTGTGAAAAAGAGGGACTGGACTGAGCTAATTAACAGGACCTAATGCACCGAATACGGCTAGCGCGGCACAATGCTCGGAATGTTGAAAAGCCGGATCCCAGTCGGGAGCGATTCTTTACTCCGAGCCTCCGTTACATTAATCATCATTGTACATACATTATACAATAATTTATACAGCACATTCAATGACATGGCAGTAATTGATAGATAATAATTTAATAATTATTAAAGTGGTTGGATAGATATAATATATGAATGTGAATGGAATATAATATGACACTACAATGAATGTGTAGTAGTGAGTGAGTGATGTGCAGTATGCATAATGTATAGTGTATGATGCATGATGTGTGTACGTATGAGTATGGTATGTAATAATGCGTACATGTATTATATGGATAACAGCTCAGTCGCCGAGCTGATCAAGAATCTCCATCTGGCTAGGCTTTAGTAATTGTCGTCACGATTACTGATTATTAAAAGCCCTCTTCCTCCTCTGCTGATACCTTACCTGATCAGTTTATATTGGCTTTGACGCTCCCTGGTTAGCCTATCGCTGGCTCTGATGCCATCGTTACCTCTTGCTCTACACCAGTTGAACTATATATTAACCACCTCTGCTATACAGTGTACACTGCGATAGTTTAACTGTACACTCTTGTCATTGACCTGAACAACACACTGATAATGACCGCCCGGCAATCAACGCCCTCGTCAGAGCACTCTGCTCACTCGGACAACGTCCGCAAGCGAGTCTGCAAGGCCTGCGACCGCTGTCGTTTGAAAAAGTCCAAGGTAACTAGCTCTCTCTTACTATATCTCTTTACCCTACATATGTACTAATTGTATATTAGTGTGACGGCGCTAGTCCCTGCGGCCGGTGTCGTGCAGACAACGCCATCTGCGTGTTTGGCGAGCGCAAGAAGGCTCACGATAAAGTGTATCCAAAAGGGTATGCTCTCTTTCCTTTCTCGCAGTACAAAAATTCTAAGATTATGTAGATACGTCGAAATGCTAGAACAACAACAGGTCTGGCTCGTCAACGGACTGCAGGAATTGTACCGGCGCGCCCACGACGGCGACGCCTGGACGGGCGAGCCGCTGAAACTCGAGTCGAATGGACACCCCCTGACGCACGATCTGCTGACCAAGCTCGGCGCGCTGGACCATAGCAAGGGCGAGCACTTTGAGGAGAACGTCGACGTTATGCAGCACGATCTCTGGCGCCAAAATAACGGTTATATGCAGAGGCAGGAGTCATCGGATGGGAGCTCAGATACCGCCCATTCTCCAGTCAGCCATCACAACAATAATAGTAGTAATAATGAGTCGAGAGGAGGGTCTCGCTTCGCAGATGCTTTTGCACGTCATCAGCTCCCGCCTACGCCGCCAAGCTACAGTCCCTCGTCGCGGACACAGCATCTATCAATTAAACAAGAGCAGCAACAACAACAACATCAACTGACACCGGCCTTCCAGATGCCGGCGCAGGTGTCTCAGCAACAAGGCGTCAATCCAATGGCGCTGCAGAGCCAGCAGACGTGGCCCGGCAATGAGTTGGGTTCGTTCGACGATATCGATATGATGGGCAACCAGTACACATTATTCGACGAGCAAATACAAGCGACGGGGGCATCGCCGATGTACGGGCGACAGATGTCAATGCAGTGTTTACCGCCGAGTATGCTGTTTGATGCGAACGATGATTTTAATCAGTACTTTAACCCGAATACGGAGATTCCATCGATATAGTTCTTGTCTCATGTTATGTGTTTACGACTAATGCGTGTACATTATTTTTCCTTACTCTCTACGGAGTACTGGTGGTTGGCGATCTTTTTGTTGGATCTTTTTTGGTCTGTTAGAGCCAGTTCTAACTTTTCGATATTCTTATCTTGTTAATACCATGGCTCAACCGAGTATAATTCGCGGGGACGAATTCCGGCGCATCTCTTCACGTAAACTTCAGGCCCTAAAACTAGTAAAACTACAACCCTTACAATTGCTATATTACTACGCACTAACGGTAAATAGTAAGAGTAGTAAAATGCCGCAAAAAGTTAAATATAATCTTGTGATGAGGATTTGGCACGTATCAATAATCAATCATAATCAATCATCCACAATTAGTCACGTTCTAGCACTTACTATTCTTTCTAGTGGGTCCACGCCCACGCCTGGAAGGATCACGGACGTAATTACTTACTTCTAAGCGCAGGTAAGCACAACGTTATTCCCAAAATGCACTATCTCGTCTTGACTTAGTCTCCGTCTAGAAACTAGGCCCGCTGAACTTGGTGGGAGATGCCGATTCCGAGCGCGAAAAGGGGCGGGGCGCGGTATATCCGTTTAGCCGGGCTTGACAGAAAAAAAATGGAAAGTCGGATCGGATGATCGGGCGTTGGATTTTATTTTTTGATTTATTATTGGTATTTTCTTATTATATTATTATCTTATTATAATGAGGGAATATTCTTTTTTGGCGAGGATCACCATGTGTCGCCGAGGACTCCGCGTTATGTCCGCGACTAGCCTACTATTCACGGAGGTATCGTTTCCTCAATCTTGTGCTGACGAGAAACAACAAACAAAAGTGACTACTGTAAAGGTAAAAGGAAAGTGACAGTAGGTGAAACGGACGGAATCGGGCGAGCGCAGGACCGACGAGCATCGGCCGAGCTAATGCTTACGGCCGTGCCATCCTCCCATCAGCCATAGCACCGAATTTAAATATTCATTCTTCTCATACCATTGGGCCAGTCGGGCGGTGCTTGATATTATTGGCGACGTAGCTATACTCTACGTAGTATAAGGATTTAACACTACTCTACGTACCGAGTATGTACGTATGTATGTAAACGTACGTTCATCTTATGTTTGAGGCTGAGCGTATCGCTGTATAGCGATTGTATACTGTATAGGGCTAGCAGAATGCAGTAATCTACACGTATTCGTACTCGTATATTATTGGAACGACGCTGGCAGCTGCAGGTTTAGATTTAGATTTACGGCTACGGACTAACATCGTCTAAGTCGGTCTGGGGTAAACAAGTCGTTGACGTGGCATCTTCACGGCAAAAACAATGAATTGCTGTGGCTGCGCAGATTTATAAGGATCGCTTCCTCGTAATTCATATCGTCGATCAAAACAACCCCCGAAAAAACAATCGGCCATTAATATGGTTGACGGCTGTGTAGATGTGAACGGCTCGGAACGTCGCTGATCCGGCGGACGTTGGTCGGGTCCGAAGCCCTGCTCCTGTTTTGCAAGTTGGCGTTTCTTTTTCTACTAACGACTCTGTGACTAGTAGCTAAATACTAAATACTAAATCCTCTTGGTATCTTCCCCGCATCTTTATATTTACATTTATTTATATAATTATGTTGTTTGGCTGTCAATTATTTATGTAAGGCTGTGGCATGGTAGTCACGTGACATATAGATTAGCCTAAACCAGGCTAATAGGGTATATTGCCTGGCAATTACATCAATTGATCCCCAATGAAAAGTATAAATACAGGATTGAATATTAATTAAAGAAGAAACAGAAGAAGATGATGATGAAGAACAAGAAGGACTCTATGTAAGCGGGGCTAGCGATCGACGTCATACCCCTCACTCATCCTCATCCGCTCCCACATCAACATTGATATCAACTACATTGTACAGTTGTACTGTACCACTCTACGTATACCAACCAGTATTGCTGTGTTGTCGAGTTTAAAATGGCAGACTCCGCATTCACCTTCCTTCCCCTCGGCGCCATCATCCAGGAATTCAACATCGACGGGACCAACATCGTGCAGGGCTTCCGCACGCAAGATGACTACGTCAAACACAACTCCCCCTTTTTCGGTGCCACCGTCGGCCGCGTCGCCAATCGCCTCAAGAACGCGCAGCTAGAAAATGTTAATGGCCAGACTTACTCTCTCGCGGCGAACGACGCGCCTAATGCGCTGCACGGCGGGCCGCAGGGGTGGGATAAGAAGGTGTTTGCGGGGCCGAAGGCTGTGAGCAGGGGGGGAAAGGAAGGGGTATTTTTTAAGTATGTGAGTAAGCATGGCGAGGAGAATTATCCGGGGACGGTCGAGGTTAGGGTGTGGTATACGGCGGGGAAAGAGGAGGGGAAGACCGTGCTGGTGACTGAGTATGAGGCCGAGTTGGTGGGCGATGAGGTCGAGGAGACGGCGGTTAATATCACCAATCATTCGTGCGTCCATCATCCCCTTCACCTCAACTTACAGTGGCAGTGGCATTGCTGATATGTATGTGAAAGATACTTTAATATCTCCGGCGCTCCGACTATCGCCGGCACAACCGCGCAGCTCGCGACAGATCTATGCCTACCGCTCGACGACACGAGCATCCCGTTCGGCCACGTGGATCGGTTCAGCAAAGTCGACGTTGCACGGCCGTTTGTGCTGGGCACCAAGGAAAATGAGGTGGACGATTGTTTTCTGATCGAAACCGACCCAACCAAAGTCCCGCTGGATACACGCGACCAGCCGGTCAGACTACTGGGCAGCTTCAGCCATGACGACACCAAGATCCATCTCGAGGTGTACAGCACTGAGCCGGCGTTCCAGTTCTACACGGGCAACGGCATCGATGTGCCTGCGGTCAATGGCGTGCCGGCCCGCGGCAAGTATGCGGGTTTCTGTGTCGAGCCGAGCAGGTATGTCAATGCGGCTAATGTGCCGGCGTGGCGCCATATGACACTGTTGAAGAGGGGCCAGGTGTATGGGTCGAAGATTGTCTACAAGGCGTGGAGAGATACACAGAGTGCATCATAGGTGGAGGATACAGAGAGTACATCATAGGTGGAGGATGCACAGTAGTCAAGTACGCGCATCATGGGTAGTGCAGGGCGAGGATCATTTAGCTAGCGCCACAGCACATGATCACCCCTTAGTTAGCATATTATCAGATATGTCAGGAGAAATAAGGAATAAGGATAATAAGGACAACGGATTTGAGCGGTTAAGGCGGCACCAGCGGCCGAATTGTCCGGCCTCGTGTCGGGATTGCCTGCGCCGATATCCGTTCTTCATTACAATTCTAATTTCTACGTTAAGTAACAGGCAGCTCATAATTATTATTATCATCAATGCAACATGTTCTACTCGTACGACCGTAAAACGAGTAAGTTGCACTGCCTGATGACGCGCGGCAGAGCTGGAATCAAAACTATTTTCTTGGGCTCTTGGCTGGTTGGCCAATGCGGCCAACACAACACACAGCTCAGTATGACAGGAACAGGCTGTGCGGGAGTAACGTTGGTGCCTACAATATTACAGTACCTCTTGTACTCATTGTTGACATTGAATAAATAATAATTAAATCAGCAGTAGTAAGGATTATTAACTTCCTAGTTACATGACTTGATGCTGAGACAGAGCAGAGTAGTCACGATACTGCTGCGTATTGGCTGGTGGATCAAATGTTGTTTTTGGGAGGACCTTTGGGTAGAGGATGCAGCCAAAGCGGTAAGGGAGCTGAAACGGCCCGTTAACGGCTGCAGATCAGCGAACGTAGACGTAGAGTAGTAGTCAGTGTTTGTCAGTATTGTCAGTATCTGACAGTATCAGCGCCAAATAATTGTCATAAATAGCATGCTTAGCACCGTCATGTATTTCCCAATGGAGAAAGCAGTGCGGAACTAGAAAGAAAAAAAATCGAGTATCAAAAAGTCAAAAATAAAAAAGTCCAAAGTCAAAAGTAAGCAAAAAAATGGGGTTCTTTGTTGCAAGGCATAAAGCGGCAGCTGTATTGTATGTACCGTGATACTTACTGTATGTATAATGTCATGTATCGTATGAGTAATCACGGAGACTTTTATTCGGACCGATATCACCATATTTGCACTTTAGTAAATATCACTCTAATTTATGCTGCGAAAACAAATAAGCTAAAGTAAGCTAAGTAAACCATGCAGTCTACAAGGTACACCGTAGGCTGAAAAAAGAAGGATCGGCTGGGCTCTGGCTCTGGCTGACTGGTTGTTGCCCCGCAATCTGGCGATTATCCCGCACTGGTGCGATTGCCCCTCCAGGATCCTACATGTACCACATTCTACATGCACAACTTCCTATATCGATTGATCGAGCATGGCTGCGTCACATGGTGCCCTGGCGCACCTGCTGCCGTCCACCTACAAGCGGCTGATCGCAGACTGGCTGGAGGAGGACTGTCCTAGCTTCGACTATGGCGGGTTTGTGGTTGGCGAGGCCGCGGGGGAAGCGAATCTACTGGGCAAGAGCGCGGTACCTCTACAACATATATATATATATATAATTTGTATTATATGTGTGCTAATGGATATTAGGGCATTGTCGCTGGGGTCCCGTTCTTCGATGAGGTTTTCGCACAGTTGGGATGCACGTGAGTTTGTTACTGTCGGTGTGTATGTGTGTGTGTATGTGTATGCAGCTAAGTGAATGCATCGATGCAGCGTCGAGTGGCATGTGCATGAAGGCGAGGCTATCACCCCGATCAAGAAATGCGCTACGGTGCGCGGCCCAGTTCGCAAGATCCTGCTCGGCGAGCGTGTTGCGCTGAATATTCTCGCGAGATGCTCGGGGATAGCTACCAAGTATGCCCTCCCTCCCCCTCCCAATTCTATTTATAAAGTTGGATGTGCGTTTGTGTAAGGGCTAAGAAGGTAGAACAAACGCCCTCGTCTCCGCCCTCCGAGCCCACGGCTGGTCCGGCACGCTCGCCGGTACTCGCAAGACAACTCCGGGCTTCAGGATAGTCGAGAAATACGCGCTGCTCGTCGGCGGCGCCGATCCGCATCGTCATGATCTCAGCTCGATGACCATGCTCAAGGATAACCACGTATGGGCGTGCGCTAACAACAACGCCAATACTACCACCACAAACAAAAATGTAAAGGCGAATGTGAGCGGAAATGATATTACGGCTGCAATCCCCCTCGCCGTGCACGCCGCCAAAGCCGCCGGCGGATTTTCAACGAAAGTGGAAGTCGAAGTGCGCAGTATCGAGGAAGCGAATGCCGCCATTGGTGCAGGCGCGGATGTGGTCATGCTGGACAACTTCACGGCGGAGGAGGTGCGTGGCGCGGCGAAACAGCTTAAGACCGAGTGGGCGGAGAAGGGCAAAAGGGGGTTCTTGATTGAGGTGAGTGGTGGGCTGAATGAGAGTAATGCAGCCAAGTATGTGTGTGAGGATGTGGATATACTCTCGACCAGCTCGATACATCAGGGTACGCCGATTGTGGATTTTTCGCTCAAGGTTTCGCTGCGGTAGATCTACAAGAAAGAACATGAATGTAGGTCTACAAGAATATAAATGAGGATGAAGAATGATGTATGTATTGATAGTGTACTCCATACGCCTTGCCTATATATAAAGTCCGCCCGTCGTCAACGTAATACATAACCTAACAATGCAGGATCGTAAACAAATATTGAAGAGATGAGGCTACATCTCAATGTCAACGGTAATACCCTCGCCATACGAACTATGGGCATCCGTGTCGTTATCGCTGGATGTGCGCTCGCCAGAATGCGGTGCTGAGTCGACCGCCTTTCTATGGCTGGAACCCTCCAGAGCAGCCCGTGGTCCTCGACGCATTCGTTCACGCTCTAGTTCAGCGCGCAGTTCTTCGTTCTCTGCATCGCGCTCTTCGAGGCGTTTGCGCGCACCGTTGCGGTCGACCAGACGCGCTTCTCGCTCGGCTTTCAGTCTACGCTCAAGCTCGCGGAGGCGCTCGATCCAGCGTCGATCCTGGTCCGCATCGCTCCCCCCTCTTTGAGACGATGAAGTAGAGTGCGCTCCGCTCGTCAGGGCGGATGAGGTTTGAAGGGTGGGGATGCTGGACGCGCTGCGTGGGATCAATCCTTTACTATTGCGCGACTCCGCGTGGACTGGAGACTGTGGCCCTGATCTATCCGAATCATGGTCTGCTGCTGTGGCCGCGGCCGCGGCAGCAATAGCTGCAGCTCCGGCGTGCATTGCCCCTGAACCCGAATGCCGGTTCCTCGAGTGATGGTTAGGCTGCATTAGATTGAGTTCTGCCTTGAGTAAGCGGTTTTCAGTGCGTAATTTGGTAACTTCAGGCGATGTTGCCGCGGAACGTTGCTGGGTGCGGATGTTTCGAACGGCTTCTTCCAATCGATCCAGCTTCTTGATGCGTACGCCCATATTGTGCTCGAGTGATTGGTATTCTTTCGTGAGGTCTCGTTCAACAGCTCGGATGCGGTTTTTGAAGCCGGAGAGCATGCCCTCGACAGTCTTGACTGCAAGTAGAAGGTTACGGCTGAAGCCAGGCCAGAAAAGGATATTTCCAATCACCTCAATACTTGGCAGATTCCCGTTGATAAGACTGTTTGAATGTGCCCAGTCGGGACCGCACATCGCTGACAGCCGCTTCCATAAATTCAAGTAGAGAGTGTTGCGTTCGCTGAGCTGATCCTTGAGCTGCTGTTCAAGCGACCCAAAGCGCTTCCGGTCTTGGCTGCGCGCATTTTCTAAATCGGTAATACGAGAATTGCTTTGGGTGATGGTCCTCGATGCGTGCTGCTGAGATTTTAATGCCTGGTCGAAAGAGTGCTTGTCAGCCCGACGAGCCTGTCTTTCGCGCTCTAGCAGATCTGCGAGTTTGCGAGACTCCAACCCATGGCTTTCCAACAACGCATCCCGATTCTGCAGCGTCGACTCCTTTTCATCGAGTTTAGATCTCGTACTCTCTAGTTCCAGCGCAGTTGTCTCGAGTTCTTTCTGTAGCTTGACAATCGAATTGAGAAGGCTAGAACGAGTACCATTCAAGTCACCCAGCGCTTCACGCAACCCGTTCTCAAGCTCCATCAGCCGCTGTTTCCACGTCGACGCTTCAATCTCACGTGCAGATAGCGTCTTTTTCAATTTCCTGACCTCATCCTTGGCCATTGATGATTCGCGGTTCAAATCGTTCATAAGTCGCTGGACCTCTTGCTTTTCCTTGCCGGCTACAACTTCGCGCTGGTATCTTTCCTCAGCTAGACGAGATTCTAGCTCCTTGGTCTTTTCCCGCTCGACTTGCAGATTGATCTGAGTAGTCTTCAACTCCGAGTCAAGATCACTGATGCGGATCTTATCAGCGTCTTGTTCTTCACGCAAGAAGGAGATTTCATTCTGGCCGGATTCGAGTTGAACGGTGAGTCTTTGAACCTTGTTATTTGCCTCGAAAAGACCCTTCTCGAGCGAGTCGATCTCATGGTTTGAGTCCTCCAGCTCTTGTTGTACGGCTTTGTATTTCTGGAGATTGTTTTGAGCGTCTTCTTCCAGTCTGAGGATACCTTCGCTAGCGGACCGCATCTCAGCCTGCAACGCCTTGAGGCTTTCTTCTTGGTTTCGGAGGTCTAGTTCAAGTCTTTGGCATTCGTCAATCTTCTGATCTAGCTCATCTCCAAGTGCGTCGATCTCTTCTTGAGCTTCGTTCTTAAGGTCCCGTAGTGCGATTTCCCGTTCATCAGCAATCAGTAACGCCTGGTCTCGCTCCTGCTGTAGATTTTGTATCTCCTCTTCAGCTTGGTCCACATCTGCCTGATAAGCTTTATCTAAAGTCTCTAGATCAATGGTAATTTCATCGAGTTGACCGCGCAAGCCTTGGTTCTCGAGTTTGAGTGTAGAAACCTGGTCTCGTAGCTCCCCGTTCCGGGTTTCCAAGCTCTCCCGTTCCGTATCGCTGATAGGAGATGCCCTTGTCCCGTTACTAGTACGTGACGAAGAACGGGCATGGGCTCGTGATGCCGATCGTTCAAAGATACTGTCCCCGGCGACGGATCTTTCTCCATCGCGGCGTTGAAGTTTGAGGTCTTCAATTTCTTGGTAGAGCCGCTCTTTCTCTCTGTTGCGAGATGTAAGCATCGAGGTCTGGGCGCTGACTTCTCTGCGTAGTTCGGCATTCTCCTTTTTCAACAAGTCGATTTCTACCAAAGTACTACTCGTAGAACTGGGAACTGTTAGACGACGGTCATGGTCTCTCTCGGAGACCGATGAATGGGATATGAAAGAGCCTTTTCGTCCAGATCTTCCATACCGTCCAGCATCTGAACTGGTATTCCCTTCTGTTTTTAAACGCAGAATCTCGTCGCGTAGCCTGCGGTTCTCTTCGTCGGCTTGCTCACGCGCCGCAGTTTCAGCATCAAGCATGTCTTTCCACATATCCTATCTAGCATTAGCATCCATATAGCTAACCGATTCGAGTACTTACTCTCTCCTCTCTCGCTCCAGACTCTGAGCCCATTGGGCGACTATCCCCCATAGACTTGACCATTTCAGCTAACCTGCGCTTCTCATTCTCCCCGACAAATACCTCCGATCGTAGCCGCTCCATTTCCACCTCATACGACTCAATTCGTTCCCGCAAGAAAACCAATTCTTCCTCTGTAGCCGTATTTCGGTGTTCGTCAGTGTCCGTTTCACTGTCCTCGTTGGCAGCAGAATCCCTGCCGGCCTGGCGGTCTTTCAATCGCTTCTCCAAGTCGCGAATCGTGCGTTTCATTCCTTGGTTCTCTTTCTGCAGTTTCAACTTGTCTGACTTGAGCTCGACATTCTCCGATATCATTTCCTTAATGCCCTCTTCTGAGCGTTTGTTTAATGCCTCGTTTAGGAAGTGAATTCTCATTTTCAAATCGAAATTCTCTTTCGACAGCCGGTCAATCGTACTACTCTGCTCTTTCAACGTCATACTCCTACCACTCCGCGTAAATCCCGGGGCTGGTGCCCCCGTACGTTTCTCAGTCGATAAACTGCTCGAAAACTTCTCGCGAAACTGCCGCGCAAAGGTGCCGGGGACTTGGATATCCTGGACATGCGCTGCAATCACAGTATCAGTGGGCAATGGCAACTCTTTCGGCACAGCTTTCGGTGTCATTGGCATGTTATCCTCAACATCTTTGTGATGAGATGAGTCCTCTTCATCCAAGGTATGCAGTCCGCCATCGATAGCACCACTGACAGCCCGTTTATCAAACACATTCTCTTCACTCATCCCAGACACCCCCGAAGCCATGCTGCCCAAGCTAATCGACCGCGACAAATCATTACGTCCCCCCCTACTAATATTCCCCGCCACAGCCCCGCCAGACTGCAAAGCAAAATCGGCGCCCAGAGTCGCGTCGCTGTTCGTCGTGTCTGTATTTGTACTGGCAGCAGAGGACGTAGAAAACCGATGCGATGATTGCCGACTCGTCAGATATCGTGGACGAGATCGCCTCCGCTCTGACGGTGTCGCGGAGAGTCTACCATCATCTTCATTATCCACGAACACATCACGAGATTGTCTCGACTCTGACACTGACGGTGATAGAGTCCGCCTGCTCTTTTTCGGCGTCAGGCCCAGCCGCGCTTCTCGAGAACTAACACTATGCTGGATATTCTTCGACGCAGCCGACAGCGCCCGCGAAGTCGTCCGTTCAGCCGCAGCCGCGGTTGGCGACGACGTCAGCGTTTCAAGACTCGATGTATTATATATATCCAACTCCTGACTCTCACCAGCACCTACGTCGCGTGCTTCTTCATGGTGCTCCTCCATATTGAAAGAATTCTCTGCGCTCTGCTCCACGATCCCAACAAGATACGTATCGTCCGCACCGGCTTGAGCATCGGCAGGCACTATGCCGATTGTAGATGGCTCTGGTAAGAAGCTGGATTCGATATCCATTAGCTTACGCTGCATCTCCTTCTCGTCGAGGATTGTCTGGTTGTCGGGGCGGTAGTGGGTGTCGTCAGCGTCGATGGAGTGCTCGAGCAGGCTGCTGGCGAGAGTGTTGTCATCATGGTCGGGTAGGGGGGGTAGAGATACTGAGGATTCGTCGTGGGTGTCGGCGATGGAGGGATCGTGCGGCGCTGTGCTTGACGTGGAGTCCTCCATGGTGTGGCCTCTTATGGCCGTACTGATATCCGTGTTGTCGAGGGTTAATCGAGTAGTTGACTAGCAGCGGCCATTATTAATATTAGCAGGTACTGTTGTCGTTGAGCAATTGGCATTAGATGTAGTACTTATTAGATTCTAACAAGTTATGACTTGGATTCAGCTTGTTTGTTTTCTCCACACGGCAGGGACCCACCGGACCGTTGTTGACAGCGTATTGGGACGCCCAATTAGAACTAGCGGGTTATCACATTCACTTCCTTGCAGGATACAGCAGACCTTCCAATATGACCCTTACAATATCATTCATAATATCCTACGTGTCGAAATATTATTATGAGAGCAGCTAGCCACCCGATCTAAGTGGCCGCTTGAATATAACATATCATGCATGCAACCATATTCTACAAAACATATCTAAAGTACAGATCAATCGAAACAATAGGGTATTTAGAAGCACAACCAGAATAAGAAAAGAAAAGAAAAAAAGAAATAGATAAAGAGCGTCATCGACATAGCAGCCGCCTGTACCAAACATGAATACTTTTACCCTCGTATTTGGGCTCATCTTTAGGCTCATCTTGACTCTTCTCACTGGTATCCATAAACGATACCCTTTTCCCAGCACTACTCGTCTTCTTGAAGCCAAACAACTTGCCCTGCCAACGCCCACCATTCAGAAAGTTGTCGTTACTTTCACTCGCACTCTTCTCGCCCACCGTCAATGCTGGTGTGCGTGCCGTCGACGAACCCATACGAGGGACCGGTTGTTGCGCGAGATAATGCTGTCTCCTAGCCTCAATCACGCGGCGAACAATAACTGCGCACGTCAGACCCATCCCTTTACTAACATTTGATCAACTCACGTGCAAAAGTCTCTTCGATATTGACCATCTCCCGCGCACTCGTCTCCATAAACCCACAGCCATGTTTACGCGCATACTCGAGGCCGTCTCGCGCCGAGATGACGCGCGAATCTTTCAAATCGCATTTATTCCCAGCCACAATCTTGACGGGCGGTGGCATGCCGACCTGCACGCCGCGAGACTCGCCTGGGCCGAGTTCGCGTAATAAGCGCTGGCTGTCTTCGGCTCGTTGGTCGGTTTCAATCTCTATTATGTCCATGAAGTAGTCCAGCGCTTCGAGGCTTTGCGCGCTCGTGATGTCGTAGACGAGTAGGAAGGCATCGGATTTTAGGTTCGAGGATTCCCATACCCCGCGGTACTCTTCTTGGCCGGCTGTGTCAGTGATGGAGAGGAAGTAATCGCTGCCGTCGATGTTGCGGGTGACGGAGTATGAGTCCTCTGTGTATTTCGTTAGAAGGAGTGGAAGAGGGTGAGCGGGTTCGTACCTATTGTAGGATCATATCTATATTTGTTAGCAAGAACTGTTCCTGTTTGATAACGAGGCAACTCACTCGTGAATCCATTGACTGCGTACTAGGCGCAGTGTGATCGACGACTTTCCTGTGCTGCGTCAGATTCCTCCTCAGTCATTGAAAGCCCTCAATTGATGCACTCACCGCATCCACCATCCCCGCATATTGTGATTGACACCTTATCCGCCATTTGTATCGATCTCTTGTCTGAAGTGGACCGAGATTATGGTATCAATGCGAGAGGTTGATATGATATTGTTAACGAGTGACTAGTCGCCGGTTCTGTCGAGGTAAATAGAAGCACGCGATTACGTTGCGATTCGTTAAGAAGCTCGTGCGTTAAATAGGGCTGGCGGGAAAAAAAAGAAACAAAACAAATTAAAGACAGGCGTTATACAGCGACCAAAAATTGAATGAATATCAATCTGCACGTACAAGTTCTGACGAGGGCGGAGCAATAGTATTATTGATGCTGTGATATTGTAATTGTTCTTCAGGACAAGGTGTTTGTTTCTTTTCATTTCTTTTTTCGACAGCTTTGGTGGAGCAGGATCGTTGTTTTGAGCCCCTTTTGGAGTGTTAGCGCGCTGGCCTAGCGTGCTTCTTCAGCCCTGTTCGGCATGGCCGGGCCCACTGGGTAAATTAGATGCTATTCTTGGGCGAAGGATTCTCAAGTCATTTAAATTGGGTCATGTCCTTATATACTCTCAATTTTGATGATAAATGGCTAGGCTAGGTATGTGTCGTATATCTATGATAAATAGATTGCCTTAGTTATATACTGGCCTAGCCGCCAACCCCGCGTGCGGAGACGCACCGTAAAGACGGACTGAGTCACACGCGAGGAATGGTGTAGTAGATGTTCGCTTCAGTCAACACCTGTACGACATTCAATGACCGGTGGTTTGGACTTAGAACAAACTGATATCTCAATCTGGCCAACCAATCGACTGGTTTCATCATCGCTCAAGGCTACTCCGCCCAAACTGGATGATTGCTTCGCGTTAGCCTTGAAGGCCATATCCATACTTGATGAGATTCGAGACGAAATGATAATCCCCAGGTAGAAATAGGTAGAAGCTAGGTATCGCCAGTCTCGTTACTGGTGCGGCCAGAAGGCTCAGAATCCAGCTTCTCATTTGGCCGATCATCGCTGATGCTACTCGGCGAAGCCTTGGCTGATGCTGATGATGCGCTAGAATTCTTATCATTCTGGTCAGACTTGCGAGGTGATACACGGCCATTCTAGAAAGGGTCAGTTTTATGACAACCCGCATATTCTGATGCTGAACTCTTACCTGCTTGGCCCATCTCAGCCCACAGCTATTACAAAGATCGCGATTACCGCTGGGCCCTCGCCTCCATTCCGGCGTGTTGCGAGTGCCGCAGTTCGCACAGGCCTTCTCTAACGGACCAGTACCTTTCTTCCTCTTGCGCTTCTTTCGACGAGTGATCAGACCCTGAAGCTCTTCGGCTAGTAATCGATTATGCCTCTCCAGTTGCCGCAATTCGAATTGCCAACTGGAGCTACGAACGGACTTGAGCTCTTCGAATATGTTTGTGTCTGATAAGAGCGCTTGGTCTTGGCTACCCAAGGGTAACCCATGAGAGCCTGCCTCGGTTGGTGCGGGATGTATTATTTGTGCAGAATCTGACCGAATAGTAGGTTTTGTTTGTAGCGAAACGTTTGTCTGCGGATCTGTTTCGGAGGATGTCGATGTGACGAAGCCAGTTGCACTGGGATCGGGATTGCGCTGCGCAAGATAACTGGCACGAGAAGACTTGATCAGTCGCGTTTGAGCGACGAGATAAGAAGGTTTGCTTCCAGGGGTCGCATCGCCAGGAAACAAAGTGGTCCGGGCCTGCAAGACGTGGCCGCGTTTATGTCTGATTTCATGCTTGAATGACGCCTGCTGACCGGTACGGCCAACTTCCAATGCTTTGCCCAATTCGCCGCGCGATTCGCTTCGCATGAACTCCTGAATTCCACATCCAATCATTTCACTAGGGGTCCTATCAAGAAGAGCACGTGAATTAGACGATACAAATAAGAACATGCCTGAGATGGACACCTTTGTCCACAAATCGTTTTCCCCTATGCCGCCGACTTCCAGAACGCTTGATTTGTCAAGAGTATAAACTGGACGCTCTCGACCAACAAGAATCAAGCACTTGCGTCCTTTTCCAGGCTCGACGTGCAGTGAGCCGTGGCTCTCAAACCACATGTACCCATTATTCTTACGCTGTATCCGATACACCACACTCACAGGCGATCCGACCGTTGTCTGCTTGAGTTCACGAGTAACTGGAGCAATATCGCTGGGATGACATACAGAGGAAATCGACTTCCCTACAAGCTCACTTGGGTCGTATTCAAGGAGTCGGCTGCTGGACTGGGACAGATACAGAAAGAGTCCCTTCAACGACAAAACATGAATGACGTCGTCCGAATTCTCGAGTAGCATGCGATCGAGGTATCGACTAGAAATGTCTTTGGTGCCTGCGCCTAAAGACTTTAACAGAGTAGACACCTCGCTGTGGCTGATGCTTTTGAACAAGCTGGCCTGGGTCTTTCGTGAATCTGGCGCGTGAAGAACGTACCGGGGAAGCTGGTCCCGCTGGTAGTTGATTGTATAAGAACCATCTATCTCACTTCTCAGAAAAATAATGCTCCAAAGAAAGGTGGCGGGGTGACTATCAGGACGTACCCGCATTCCGTTTTGTGACTGCCTGGGGCTGCTCGACTAGGTCGACCTGGAAGCCGACATAGAACCTGTATTCGGACGAGCCCCATTGAATCGGAATCATGGTCAACAGATTCATAAAAGACTGTCCCCCTTTTTTATAGTTGATCATGCTGACCTGGACTTCAGTTCGAGCGCGAATCTTCTCTTTAAGCCGATATACTGTCTGGTCGTCAACAAATTTTCGCTTTATGCCGGGGTCAACTTTTCCATCAGGTGCCTGCAAGAAGCGACAATTTCGGCCGAGAATTTCGTGCTTTGTATAGCCAGTCAGTCTTTCAAAGGCGTCAGATACGTATACAATAGGATCGTCATGGGATGTGACGTCGCAAAGGATAAACGCGCATGACATGTCAACAGCACCGATATCTATTTCCGGGTTTGGCCTGCTTGCTATTCGTGCCTAAACAGCGGTCAGCGGACCATAAGCAATGGATGTACCCTACCAGGCTTACCAGGATACCAAACATATCAAAGCCGCTGCTTGAATAGGCGTTTAAATACTGAGAAGCAACTTTTCCTCCTCCAGGTTTTGGCTTCTTTGACGCAGCAATTTCTGTAGGCCCTCGGTTAGTGTGCTTTCATGGCAGTTAAGCAGGTGCATTTTACCAGCTGGTATGAATGGAGTATTATTAACAGAGGTTTGCTTGGATATCCGACGAGGCTGAGCTTCAGATGGAACGTAGGAAGAGGCAACATTGGAGTCGTTTTTATTTTTGATCTGCATAGCGAGGCGATTCTGTGGCGCCGGGCTTCCAGGGAGGGGTATAGATTGTAAATTCTGGCCAGACAAAGACAAATCAAAATTCGACATATTCGGCCAGTTCTCTTGGTTCATAGACCCAGAAGTATTCGGATCGTGCAATTGGTGCTGTAACATAGGCGCGTAAGTAGACCCTGGAAAAACCATATTCATCGGCTGCGGCGGCACGGTTTGCGCTGTCGAAACGCCATATGCTAGTTGCATATTCATCGGTGCGTTCTGAAAATTGTCAGGCGCTACGTAGCTGTTGAAGGCGGACATTGGATCCAGCGAAGTCGTGAAAGGAGCGGAATCATATCCCGTGTCCAGATTGAAGCGCTCGGCACCGTCATAGAAGCCGCCGGGTTGCTGCTGGGACTGCTGAAGTTGCGGGTTTCCGGCAGGAAACATTATGCTTGGTGATGCATTGTTGTTAGTAGTGCTCTGGTTGGGTGATGGGCCAAAGCCGTAGCCGACAGGATCGCCGGTGACAGAATCGTATACTATTGACGATCTTCTCGACTGGCCGCTCTGGTCCATTAGCGGATAGGCTTGCTGGTGCATCCCATTTGACTGAGTTGTGATAGCGGGGTGGTTCTGTGCTACGGAAAACCGAAGGCCATGTGAATTGCTATCGCTGCCATGTGAGTCTGGTGTCACAGTGGCGGTACTCGGAGGATACGAGTCTGTCGTATGTTGCCGGTCGATGAATTGCAAATTATCGAAAGCACTATTGTCCATGACTGGCGGCCAACTCTTTCACTACTCACTCCAGCTGTTGACGGAGCTCCAACTACACTCTTCTGAACGCAGCCAGCAATAAAATCGAATCAAGTCAGGAATTCTCGCAGGGTCGAAACGAGCCCATCTCAAGAGCAGGTGTGTGGGTATGAAATGGGATGCAGATCAGAAGAGGGGAAATGAGCAAGACACAATGTGGCTGAAGAGGGCCTCGTATTAAACAATTAAGGGCAACAACAATAGAAATGATAAATGATAAATAATAATATAAATATCAGATAAATATTACTGTTATTAGGCAGAGAAGTTACGGGCGAAGGCCGACTCTCCAACAGAGGGATGGATGGGAGTAGGAGGACAGTAGGACGTCGGGGGGTGGAGAAGGCCGGTGGCTGAAATCACTACCACGGACTAGCACCCTCGAGTAGGAGAGCAACAAGCTTCTTCTTTCGGGAAGGAGCTGGCCATGCCCAAAGGGGAGTGGTATGTGCCTTCCAAAAGCAGGCTAGGGCACGGTCCATACCCCGCCTGGCCCAAAAAAGCAAGTTGCGCATCGTAATCTAGCCTCAATCGAGCATCGAATAGTGTTGCTGTTCTGTTCTGGCATCTAATCGCGACGTAACTGGCGCGGGCTCAGCCACCCATAGCCCCTAACCATAATAGGACTGGCCGTCCGTCCACTTTGGGACATACGATGCATGCTTTGCTCATCTGCGATTGGACAGTAACAGTAATAAATATTTTTGTATAATCTGGCATGCAACTGTTTTATTATGATTCAGCAGGTCTCCATACTAGTGGGGGCATTGCCGTATAATGCAGGAAAAAAGGAAAAATTTTTCCGTATTCTGCTATATGACCTGTATGATTTCGTGCAGATCCGCACTCAATCTATTAAAGTAGTATCAACCTTACTATATTAATAGTAATACGGTGCCGTTGTTCTTTTCTTCCTGAATCAACCCTTTATTCGATACAATTAGAATGTCCTCGTATAATGACACCTTATCATTTTACCAACTAATTACGTTGCCTTTGGCCTGAGATAGATTATTACTGGACTAACCGGGATCTGGCCGCATTCCCCGACTGGCCCGCAAGCTCCGAGCCAGTTTGACTTTGGCTAGTGAAATATAGGGCCCTGCCTTATTCCTGGGAGCTGTCAGGCCGCCACTAGTACCCTTCTCGCCAAGGAATTACTCAAATATTGCCAATATAACCATTATATTTCTAATTATATTCAAAATAGTAATTTTATATTTACACGTATATTGAAGGGAATTGTATCATTAGTATAGCATGCACACTCGTATTAATAATGATGGCGATGATTGGATGTGGTTAAAAGCACAGGCATTTCCGACCATAGTGGAGACGGGGGCTGAGCCACTTAACGTGTCCGGGTCTTAGTGGCGGTGCAGAGCCTCCACCCATTTTGTATTTCAATTTTTTGCCTTTACTGAAACTTAAAGAGAGAGGTTAGATAATAGTTTAGCTGGAGATTGCACTGTTTAAAATAAAAAGCTGGGTGACTTTCTTATGGCCAGTATTAGAGACATATCAAACAGGTAGGATGGAAGAAATGGCAGGAAAAACACCCCAATGAGTGACAACTGGCTACTGGCTGTTACATCAATCTATCACGCCTATGCTAACTTGTTATTTGTTGGAGCGACTCAGTCTTACTAAATCGAAATTGACCAATCAGGACATGCAACGACATCTGACGAATCTTCACATTTTCAACTAAAACATTTAAAAATAGTTTGAAATAAAAATTATCCGAGTACCGGTAACTTTCACGTTGAAATGACAGCTGATAAAGCCATAGTAACCTTTACAGTCCACTGAGTGTGCCGACTTCCCTCCTCTTAGCAGTGCAGCACTTCTTATAACAAGAATCCCCCCCTTACTATCCTTCCAACAGCGATGTCTCAAACTCGGTGTTGTAGTGATTCACACCACACTTCTTGCTGCAATCGTAGGTGGATGCCACTGCCCCTGCCCCTATGTGAAGAGTTTTTTCGTAATAATAACATGTATAAAACCTCTCAAAAAGAAAACCATCAACAGCGAAGTCGGAAAAAGGAAAAGAAACAAGAAAAAAAACAAAAACATACTTTCTCCGTATATTACAATACAAAATACCTGTATACAATCCCCGATCAGCATATTGTGCTTGTGCTATATAGCAAGCGTTCTAAATCATGTATCCTACTAACCAGGAAATTACTCAAACATCAGCAATCTAACAATGATATTATATTTATATTTATAATAATAACAATTGTAATATAATCAAATGTATATTAAAAGAAATTGTATTTTATTGGTATAGCATGATACTCTTATGAATAACGCTAATATGATATGATATGGATACGCGCTCAACGCGTTCTAATTGAATATGCCCCGATGATGTAGACAGAAGAAAGGTCGTGATTAATTACTACCACCATTAGCCACCTTCCTAACCCTAGGTAAGACAGAGGAGGAAACTTACTAGATTTCAATCGGCGAAATCTGGTCTAGCGTGTAGAGCCAATTGCCTCCCTGTTCCTCCTTTTCGAGCCTGCGACACATTAGAACAAACAACCCTCACAAGCATAAAGATAAAAGGCGCAAGGATAAGTACATACCAATTATACGGCCAACTAATCAAATGACCCTGCACCATATCAAGAAGCTCCTCCGCGTGTCGCGTATCAATCACGCCGTCAGAGGTATGAAACCCTCCCTTCGACCCCCGTGTCATTGTGCGTCGTCGTCGCCGTTGTTGCGAGGATTGAGACGCGTTCATGTTCATGTTGAGAGCAGCTGAGTAGCCGACGGTTTGCGTGCCAGAGCCAGACCGGTCTTTGTTTTCGTGCCCAGTAGGAGGAAGAGGAGCAGCTTCGGATTCGATGTCTGTTGCGGCGTGGCTACCTTTTTCGTCAGAGTCCTTTAGGGCTGTTTTCTCGTCATCTGGCGAGAGTGTTTCGGATAGTGTGGTATTTGGTTTCTGGCTTGGGACAGGCGGTATATCGGAGCCAAGCTCAGAAGACCCGTCAATAGCCTCGAATTTGGAAAAGTGAGAGTTGGAATTAACCAAATCAGCATCGATAGCAGTCGATTTCTCATCCTGGCTACTGGATTGGTGCGACTTCATCGCTTGTGCGGCGTGGGGCCGGTTGTTTTGTGCCTCGGCGAATTTTTCGCCATAGGCAGTGTACTCCTTATATTCCTTCCAGGATGTGACCTCGCTGTCGGGCATGCAGCGGAACACCGTTCTGTATATCTTGGTGTTGTTTTCGGCAATCGTCTGCCATGTGTCGTAGTAAAACACGTCGTTGACGGGATCTTTCATGCAGTGTTCGTCGACGAATGGTTGTCTGAGGGCCGCTGCGAGAGGGTGTGAGTATTCGGATGAACCTACCTGGTCTCGTGGGCCGCCGATATCAACGTCGTTGGTTTGCGGCAATGGTGGCAGATGCGTCGGGGCAGTGGTTTCCAGCGATCCGTCATCATGAATCTGGCCGGGGGTAGGCGGTAGGACATGCTCTTTGATATCTCCGTTGCCGACTTGACCGTTCCCAGCGCTTTTCGAGGTTTTCTTCGGTTTGGCCAATGTCCCTTTACCCTCGGAAGCCATGTCTTTGACGAGCACTTCAGTGTCATTGCCTAGTAAGGCAGAATCTCTGCCAAAACCAACGCCAGTCTCGATGCTAGTTTTCATCCGATCAGCGCCATTACCGTCAACATCCTTTCGATGTTCCGCGTTCTCCGTAACTCTAGGGTCTGCAGTGAGTTTCCGGTTCGACTTCAAATTCGGGTTATTGCCTTGCTCCCAGTCGACGTCGTGGTTGAAACTGTGCATATCTTCCGAGCGGGTAAGAAATTCGTCTTGAATCCGATGGCGGCGTTCAATCATCTCCCTCTCGTTTTGCTTCTCGCGCTCCAGGGATTCTGTCTCGGTGTGGTGGTCGCTTTGATTGCCCGTGGAGTCATTGTCTTTGCTGTTCCGTCGACTGCGTGATGCAGCTTCAGTCGCAATGTCGCGTTCCAGTATCTCGTCGACATCGATGCCGAGATGCTCTCTCATTAGCCGCATTCGCAGCGTGTGCGGGAACCGGCCGACAAGATACGGTTTTTGGTTCATCGTGGACCAAATCATGTCGGTATCCCTAACTACAGCGGCGCATTCCGAATCGCGTGAGCCTAGCATAGACCGTTCATTGATATTCGCAGATCCAATGATTGCTGCTCGGTCATCGACCACCATGCATTTTGCATGGATATATAACTGCTCAGTTACTATCTGCTTCTTCGGTCCGATCTTGCCCCAGGTTCGCAGGCTGAAGAATTGGATATAATCCTCCGGCTCAATGCCTTCAGCTCGGAGACGCCCGAATATAGATGTCTCGCCGCGACAGATACTGCGGTACTGGCATTGCATAATCAGACGCACACTAGTACCTCCTTCAGAATCAACCGTGTTTTGGAAGCCAGGCATAAGGGGGATGACGATGACAGCACGCCAGGTCTCGCCATTCCGCGCGGCTCGGATAACTCGCTCTACCAAAGCTTCTCCAATCAGGTTCTCGATCTTCCTGCCGTCAATATCACAGGTGCTGATGAAAAATTGGTTTTCAATATACACAAAATGCTCAGACTGCTCAATCAGCTTGACATAGGCATTCATGATGCTGTGTTCTGTCACATCTGGCGTACCCGTCGACCACATACTGCTGGAACGCAATATTTGGACTTCACAAGTTCCATCGAGGCCGAGGGCTTCCAAGTCGGCAGGATTGAAATCCGGCGGTGGAAGCAAAAATGGAGTTGGTCGGGTTGGCTTTCGTTGACGTAGGATGTAGTTCCACCGCTGTACAAAGTGCCTTGTCAGGTCACGGGCCGGCTGGCCTACAACATGCATGGAAATATCATGCCATGGCATTCTGGGAATAACATTGCGGTCATACATTTCCTCATAAGGCTTGTCCAAATCGTAAAAGTCTTGGACACGCGGGTTGGAGTAGTCTTTGCCTGGCCAGAGCTGGCAGTTGTCGGAGTCTCTCGGCACCTCGCTCGTTTCGAAGCCAGTAGGTTTGTCGTCAGTAAGTAGATGCTGGGGTGTATCCCATCTACCAAAACACAAATCAATTCCTCCAACAAACGCAAGCGTATGATCGATAATGCACAATTTCTCGTGATGAGCCCAGAAGAAAGTATTCTGTCGGAATTGGTTGGGCGATCGTTGCACAAAGACATTAGGATGAAGGTCCAGTAGAGAGAACTTTGAATACTCCGAGTCAATAGGAATAGCCGAATTGATGTTGCGGTACATAATCACAAAGACTTTGACGCCTTCTTGGGCTTTTCTCTGAAGGAGTCTGTCCAGTCTCCACTTCTGACTGATTGCAGCTGGCCGTCGCATATAAAGCTCCGGGCTCAACCACCAGTCGTGGATATAGATCACATCCTTTGCTTGATTGATAGCCCGCGATACCAGCCACATGTGATCACGTCCGTCCACAAGCCATTGAGCAAAGCAGTTTTTCCGTACTGGTGCAAAGCTATCAAAACGATTTGGTCTCGACCATGGTGTATTATCAACCATGAACCGAATAGAATCTTCGAATTGATGCAATTGTCTTTCATTGCGCGCGAGAAGTCGGAGTTTCCGCTCCGAGTTCTCAAGTCTAAGTGTGTGGTGCTGAGGATGGGCTGCCGACTGCTTGGCAGATCGAGCAATGTCCATTGCATTCTGGTCTCTCAGCCGTACCTTTTGTGCTTGAATCTTGAAAAAAGGGTCGATGAGGAAAACGTCGTATATATTCATCTCCTCGGGAGAATCGACACAAACAACATAGCTGTGGCGCACAAGGAACCATTTAGGCGAATGCCTCTTCTTGATCAGGGACGGCGTAAGGGCTTTACGGAAATCAAGACCCTTCGCTGACTGTATCACCAAGAAGCCTTCCTTTCCATGATAACTTCCTTCGGCGGCAAGCCGGACACCGAGGGCAGACAATTCGAGGAACTTGCACAAACGGTTGCTGTTGGGACGGAAAATCAAGAACCGTATCATCTTTTGCAAGTAACTTTCTAGTTTCTTTCGTTGTCGTTCAGAATAAGACCTTCTCTCACCCGTGCCGGCGCCGGCGCCTTCTCCCGCTGTAGTATAGCCCTCCTGAGCAGGTCCAATACTGGACCGACGACGTGCAATTGCAAAAGAAGAGCGCCGCTTCTTCATCTTACGGCGAGCTTCATTCCCGCTTGCTTCAGCACCGGTCTCATAGCCGCCGCCGTCTTCCTCTTCCTCTTCGCGTTCGCTATCAAGACCTCGAACTCCTCGCAGGTACGGGAATGCACTTCTCGGAAATCGAGGAAGACCGTTTCCAGCGTCTGGATTCTTGAGTTGGATGTACTTTTGTGTACCGATCTGGAGCTTGTATTTCAAATGTAAATTGGCAAAGTCTCTCAAAGTGCGATGCACTATCCACTTCATGCGAGTCATCCCGCTTCCGTATTCCAATTCGATTCTGAAAACCAAATGTCTATCGCCATGGTTCGAGTCGATACGGCTGTCTGTGATCTGAACTTTGAGCTGTTCAAGTAGGATAGGGATACGCCTGCTCCCATGCTCATCACGCTGAAACATACTGGCGAGGATTAGAGCAGCAGGAATTCCGGACGTGAGTTCCGCAAGAAGTTCGGCGGATTTGACATGATCGACGGTATTCTCTGCCTTGCGTCTCTGTCCGATCAGTTTCAGTCCTGCCTTGATTTGGCGCCACTTCTGTGCGCTCAAGCTCGAGCCCCTTTCGGCTTTGTGTCTTCTCCAAGCTTCTCTAAAGCCTTCCTGCTCCCCAGATGGCCCACCAAGGGTAGCTAAGCGTCGGAAATTACTAGGTCTCCTCTCGTCGTTGTTGCTATTCTGGGTATCTTGACGTCCGCCATTCGTCAAGCCACGGGCAGTGGACAGCCATGCAGTACTTCGTTTCCTCCAGTGCGAATCCATATTCAACCTATCCCTACCTTCATCCTCAGAGACACCATCACGAAGTTCACGCATTTGAGGAGAGAAGTCGGCAGTAGCTCTGCGGAACATGCTAGGCCGTTGTATATCAGACGGGTGGAAAGAATTAAACGAAAAAAGCCCCGGATGCGCATTGGTCACTTTCGGGGTTGTTGGGGAAGTCTGCGGGCCGGGAGAATCGGTGTCCACCCTGCGTGGTGGACGCTGCTGCTTTTTCTTCTTTCTCCGCAACCGATTCAGCCGCTGTTCCCCTCCACTTTCCTCGCCATCCGCGTCTCCTTCGCTCTCTTCATCGAGGGCTGCCGGGAATCGGAATTCCTCACGTTCAGATGTCGGGGTTTGTGGGTCATTCGCAGGACGAAGGTCGTTTACACCAGAAGCAGTGGCAACGCTTGCAGAACGGGAGTGCGAGGAAGGGAAAGACGGGGTGGCGGCGAATGCCTTCAGTTTGTTAAATATAGACTGCTTTCTATCTTTCGATAGTACATCAATCTCATCTGGCGCAATTGAAGATGCCCGTGATCGCCCTTGTTCTTGTAGCTCATTGTCGGACGCATTTCGGGAGAACTGCACGTTTCGAGTGGCAGAGGGTGTTGAGGGCCCGGGAAAGGGTGGTCGAGAAATCTCGTCATCGTCGAGCGGTGAGTCCTGGGGTGTATCAATAAGAACATTTCATCCCAGCACGGTAGCCTTTGCCTTCGTAGTAGATTGTCAAAGCTCACCTCTCGAATTGGTTGATCGACCACGTTGCTTGCATAAAGGGGTGAAGATGCCGCTCCTTCCTCCAGCTCAGTAGATGTAGTAATCTTGACCGGCGAGCCTTTCAGGGAGGGAATGCGGTGGTGTAGTTTCTTGGAGCCATTTCCGAGCTCGTTGGCTGAAGAATTATTTTGGGCTCCGCTGGACTCTGCCATTCTGCAGGCTGGATAGAGACAAGGGCAGTCAATTTATGGCTTGCCTTGGGCCCTGCACAAAGTAATCACGTAAGCGTTCAATATTCCTGGTGTATGTTGTAGGACAGCAGCGGTGGTTACTAACCGTTTCACGGGGCCACGAGGTTCGTTCCGCTCTTCAAGCCAGCGACAGGCCCATGCCGAGGTAAATCGTGAACTGGGATCGTTTTTCGCTCAGACACAAATGCCAGGTAAAAACAAGATAGTCAACCCAAGAACACGGCGTCACGCCAGTGAGTATATTGATCAGGAGACAGCACTTGACATATGGTGATAAATATGGCGGATTACTGGCTGGGCCTCGGCGCCAAGCAGCGGCGAGGAACGGGCCCACGTGGAGCTGCACTAGCCACATCCAGTATATTCAATATAGCATGTTCATGAGTCCCCCTTCAAGTTCACTTGAGAAGCTCGTTTCTGACGCATTACACACATGATACTCACAAAGTGCATTCCAACTATGCCGAGATGAGTTCAATCTAGCCTCCCGCTATTTTCAGCGGCTGGCAAAGTGATCTCCATGACTCCCTAAGAAAGTTCTGGTGCTTAGCGAAGGAATGGTACGAGCTAATGTTAGCGTCGATACGTGACGTGATCTGTGGCTGTTCTGTCGGGGGATCCGCGTTGTAGAAGATTCTACAAAGGACCAAGAAAATTAAATGGTTTTGTTTGAAGTATTATAGGCATATGTCCTTTCTCGCTCATTTATCAAGGTACGACAAGGCTACGTAGAACCGGTTGGCAGGCGCAAACAAAGAAAGCAAGCTAGGCCAGAAAAAAAGAAACCCTAAATGACCAAAGTATGATATGAATTAATGTTCCATCACGATGCACTAAAAGCCTACCTAGGGGTAATGCGAATACCTATAGGCTTCCACTAGGAGGAGGTCGGTGTTGCTCAGAGTGTCGGCGTTCGAGCTGGTGTCCAGCACCATACCGGTTATGAAACTCATCCTTTTCCGCCCGTACTTGTACAGCTTCGTTCTGGGGAATAATGCGTCTGCTATCACCAGAAAGCTTCTGTATCGTATCATCAGACATTTGGCCGAGCCATTGAATTGAATTGGACCCAGTTATGATGTGTTTCGCTGATATTAGATCCCCTATTGTCGACACAACTAATTGATGTGCATTATCTGCAGATGATACATCCTCATACACATTGGTCCGCGCGGTTGCCGTAAGATCGGATGCGTCAGCACAAATTGTTAGACATTGACTAAGGCTGTCTCTTTCTTCTCTCATAGCCTTCAGTATAGCAGCATCTTGCTCTTTCATTGCCTCACCCTGCCGAGGATAATTCTTTAATCGGCTTTCTAGCTCCAGGAGTCGGGCTTTAAGGTCTGTTTGGTTTGTAGATAACTTTTTTTGGAAATCCATAAGCATGTTCTTTGTCAAATTTTCTGCAGCAGATAGTGAACCACTATCTCTTGAAGGTGATTTGTTGGACGTATGAAAGATCCGATCTGAGCGAGACTGAAATCTCTCTATAAGTTGTGAAACGTCGTTGCAAATTGCTAGGCACTGTCCTATGCTCTCTTTCTCTTCTATGATTTCCTCAACCTCAGAGGCGTGTCGGGTCTGAAGTGGCCGTCCTTGCTCTAAGAGTGACTGCATTCTCTCATCAATAATCTGTAGGTGCTCCTGCAGATCTGACGTAGCCTCGTCAATCATCTTCTTGTAATTGTCGAGGACCTCGGTAGTGACGGCGGCTTGACGACTATTACATTTAATGCTTATCAGCCATCTCTCCGGCAACCTCCCAGAATTTTCAAAGAAAATTGAGGAACTGAAAAACCTACAAAGTCGCGCCACCAATGGCAACATTGATTGTTGATTTATATCCCGCCAAAGTGGTCTTAAGGTCTGCGATATCACCTCCCATATACTGCAACCTCGCCCAGTCACGAAAGCTTGTCCTCTGCCCGCCTGCATGCGCCACACACTTGTTGATAGTTTCTTCGAATTCCCTGCAGGCCTTACCGCACCGTAATAGCGGAAGTTTCAAGGATTTTAATTGATCTTCATACTCGACAGCGATCTGTGTTAACGTTTCAAGGACTCCAGTCAACGATTCGACTTCGTCGCGCAGCTCACGGATAGCTCTCTTCGAGCTCTTGAAGCTCTCGACAGCTTGGTAAAGCGATTTGCTAGTCTGAAAAGCAAACCCAGCCAATGCTACTACACTGGCAGTAACTGAAAGCGGATCTGCCATGATGATTCAAGTCTACAAGTGAGCAAAACATTCATCAATATCACTTCGAAAAAGTCTGGGGGCTCAGGGACAATGTAAGAGGTTCTGAATGGTTGTCCCCGGGTTAAGAACATGGTAGATTTCGAATAATATAAGGTCGCATGTCTGGTAAGTTAGTCTGATCTCAGCGGTAGCGCCAGACAGCCCGGGCGCTTACCGAAACACGGATGTGGGGTCGCAATAGCTAAAGTAATAAGCACGGCCAACGAGAGTCAAGGACATATACTACGTAATTAGTCGCACTACGTCCCGTCGCAACCATTCGCCACCAAATGAAGGCCATGCATTGTGAAGCAACGTCGTGGGCGCGAAACATCAGCGAATAATCGTAGTCTATTCTACTACGAGATGATCTAACCGCTGCGCTACTCCGTAGGAAGCAGTCTTTGAGCATCCCACTGGTCAAGATCAAATGCTTAGCCGCTAACTTGAAACAATTGTGAACCCCCCAGAGCGCCAAATATGTGCGGGTGCGCATACTCCGTAATTCTGCGAAATTGAATTCCATCTTCGTTCATTCTAATAGAGAGAGAGAGTCAGGCTCATGAAAACTGCACTTATGGTACTTTTACCTTGCTTCGATTGACCGGTCGGCAAGGCCAATAGGTCGTAGACCGGTCATGCTCAGCGACCCGCGAGCTACGAGGCGTGGTACCACGGCTAATTATGCCGAAGAAAATGGATAGCATTTTACTTCTTGCGATCAGAATCGAGAAATAACAGGTCCAGTCCCATTGAAGGGATGGTTAAAGCATGCACTGTCACGCAGCAGGGGACCGAGTAAACATAGGTCATCTGAACGCAAGGGTTAAGATATCTGGTGATTTGAGGGCTAACAAAGCCAAAGACAGGTGTTATGGAATGAGAAATACATCAGTACTTTTATGTACTTATGTAATCGCTGCGCTGGCAGACCCAAGTGGGTGTCCGAGTCCATGATGTCGCTCAAAAACAGCGGTATTTGTTCGTGTTTTCACAGCTGGACTCGGTTCACGACAGCGATTGTTGAGGACTTGTTGCACCGTCGTATCCGCAAAATCTCCAAGGCACTGTGTAGCCCCTGGTTCGACAGTAATCTGCTTTGCCGTTGTGAGATTGCTATTTGATGAGCCAATCACTTGTGTGGCATTATGTCCGAGAAAAATATCCTCAAAAACATTGGTTGCCGAAGCGGTCTATAGAACTTGACTATTAGTCTCACTGTAAAATGCGCTTTAGGAGATGGATGAAAATACCAAGGTTGTATCCTGGGAAGGACACATTATAATCATTAATGAACAGGAAGCAGCTTTCGCGTGTCCTTCAAAGACATTTAAGGAAGCATGATGTCGGCCCTCTGCTGTAAGGGCCAGTGGAAGTGGCAATATAATGAAGGTTTAAAGAACCATACAAAGCGGTTGGCAACATCTGGTCATGTGGCTAGCTATTAGTCATCAACAAGCTGGTTCAATTTAGTAATTTAAGTTCGAGAAGTACTCTGGTTTTCCGATGCTTCATGTACAGGACTTTCACGAGATTTGTTCCTAACCATGGTGCAGACGGGTTCAACAGTTGCGTCTTCTAAACACGGACAACGTCTGACGGCCGGCGCGGCTGGTATCGGGCTCCCACTTTCTGATGACAGGGAATCCGCCACCAATGGCAGTATATTCAATAAATATGTCTATATAACACCAAAAAGGGCAACCTTCAAGGGTAGCGGCGGTTGATTTGGCTCTTATTGGTAGAACAGAGCATTGACCGGATAAATATTGGTCCGAACTAAACAAAGATCTTCTCTTACTTGAGGCACGAGCGCCTTGGGAAGGAGGACTAGCTGTTTCGGGCCCCGCAGCTGCGATCTCTCCTCTACGTATGTAGCTGTCACTGTAGAGCAACTCCATCAAATTGGCGTTCGTTTGATATTGTTCCACGCTCGGCTCAGGTAGCTACATAGCTTACGTCTCAAAAACGCAGTCAACAGACTCAACACCATCACCTCCACCATACTGGTGTCGATCATGGGCTACATTATGGAAATCTACGTCGATGGCGGTTGTAGACGTAACGGACTGCCCGGATCCATAGGTGCTGCTTCAGCTTGCATCAAGAACAAATGGGGCAAGTACAAGTGCTTTACGCGAGATTTAAATTCAGCTTCAGCCAGGCCGACGAATCAGCGTGCTGAAATCACTGCCATCATTCTCGCACTCGAACTTGCCCTGGAGAAATTCAAGGAGCTAGACTCATACACAGACTTTCATCTCGAAATCTTTTCAGATTCCAAGTACGCTACCGGGTGCATGACGGAATGGATATACAAGTGGTGTCGGAACGGCTGGACGAACGCGGCTGGCTATGAGGTTACGAATCGGGATCTTATCGAGCGGGCGTCTGACCTCGATGATCGAGTCAAAGAAGCAGGAAGTGTGACGTATACTTGGATACCTAGGGCGGATAACCAGGTCGCGGATCAAGCCTGCAATGATGCTTTGGATAGACAGCAGAGAGAAGGTAATTATTATTATGGTTCTTCGGACGATGATTCCGACTGGTAATACCCGATTTCCTTGATATCAAATAATAACCGCCAGACCAAAAAGGCGCATTTTCTAACACTTGATGTTGCTTCTAGAACTGGTGTCGGCCAGCCTATTGGAAATTGAGATTTGTGTCTTTACTCAAACCATTCGGATACGAGCTTTCAAAAAGACCGTAGGTTATGAGGATAAGGGAATGACGAGTAGCATTGATCATTGAGCCTACCCCTCATCTGTATAGCTAGTTTCCTGATTCTCACTTCTTCTCACGATTATTCAATTGAACAATCTCTAGATCTCAACTCCTGAAAGAAATTATGTCAAATGTGTTTTCATTTGCTTTGAGACGTCTGTCATTGCTGGATTTATCACAACATGTTTAGAATCGAGTTTTTGATTACCTTTATTTGAATAAACGACCAAAGCATAGGAAACGAATCAGGATACATCTTCAATTTCTTTTTCCCGTTGGAATGTTAAAGAAGATCGCAGGTTGGCCGTCATGGAAAGCACGATCAAGCCTGAAATAGCCCACGCGGTCAAATTGAATGATATCGTTTTCAGCAAGATTGACCACATTGCAATCTGCCCACGCTTCAGTTCGAAATTCAGTCTGGGCGTTGAGAAAATCAGTAACCTCTTCACCTTTCTCAATTTTATCTCTGGTAAGCAAATAGTCAAAATTGACTAATTCTACAGGAACAAGATTTGAAGGAGTGGTCGCGAGCCAAGTGATTTTCTTTTCTGTTTTCTTAGGGTCTCCCTGCAAGTGAAGCTGCAGGTCTAATGCCGTCACTTTCCCAGTTGTAGGTTCAGTAGAAATGTTGGAGACAACAGCATTTCCCCAATTCATCAACGTAATCTCCTCATTCAGCGAGAAGGACTTGGCATCTTCCTGTCCGATAAACACTTCGTTGCTCAAACAAACTTTCTTGGTTCCCAAGCCGGTATTTTTATTATGTTTCGGTTTTTCGATAGTGTTTGGGGTATCGATCCCGGCTACATTGGCAATTATCGCGTTTTCCTTCGGGATTGCCGTATACCGTGCTGCAATCGGATCGATGTGTTTCTTGTTTGTTGCCCAAAATGTGGTCCAATCTAAGTTCAATATATTTTGACTAGGCCCCAGCTTCAGGATAAACTCGCGTAAGGCTGGTATCGTCATACCTCGCCTGCGAATACCGCGGACAGTTGGCATTCTAGGATCGTCCCAACCCCAGACTACACCAGTATCAACCAGCGTAGTCAGTTTTCGTTTTGAGAGAACAGTTTTAATAAAGTTGAGGCGTGAAAAGTCCCAAATATCAACCTTGCGAATACCCAAAGCATTTTGCATCCAATGATATTGGGCGTTGCGATCTCGGTATTCGTTTGTTCGTAATGCATGGGTAACCTCTTCCAGCGAATCCAAGAAGGGTGCACAAAAGTCATAAGTCGGATACATCTTCCATGTTGTCCCCATCCTGTGATGAGGCTGCAAGTTACAGCGGTATATTACAGGATCACGCAGTGCCTTATTCGGGTCATCTATGGAAATCTTTGCTCGGATGCACCATTTTAGACCCTCCTCGGAACCGGTCTTCATGTCGTCGAATCTGGCCAGATTTTCTTCGACCGACATTTTTCGACGGGCGCTGGCAATACCGTCCATCCGCTGTTCTTGCATGTTTACTTTAGGCGTATCATCGGCGTATGCCTTTCCATCCTTGATTAATTGAATACAGGCATCAAACATTTGTTGAAAGTAGTCGCTAGAATACGAGATTCGATCTGGGGTAATTCCAAGCAAAGACAGATCCAGCAGTATCGATTCCTGAAACTCCTCATTCTCCTTTGATGGATTTGTATCATCGAAACGACAGATAAGGGCCCGTCGAGACGAGGGACAAGGATACTCATGTGCAAAATAGTCGTTCAGTAATGCGGCTTTTGCATGACCAATATGCAGATATCCAGAAGGCTCCGGGGGGAAGCGAGTGATAATACCATTTTCAGTATTTTTGAGACCTATGTTGAAACTAGCCCCAGCTGCACTTGCTGCAGCCCTTCTATCATAAGCAGTCTTCTCCAAACCAGCGATAACAGGAGCAACCCAGGAATTGGAAGATTCGATAAAATCAAACCACCGATCAACATTGATGTACTTCTTTCTTACTGCGGTTGATACCCTATTACCACGGAGAGCTCCCCATACTACAATATCAGCAAGGGTCAGGGAGTAACCAACGACGTAGGAACGGAGGACAAGATGCGAATCCAGCTCGCTAACTGACTGCTCCACAGTCTTGAAATCGGGAGAAGTAAGGGACGTGCTCCGGGACAACCACTCCGTGACCTGGGCCGGTTTTACGGATTAGAATGGTCAAATTGTATAAAAACAATGGATTGTGCATGATACATACGTCGTCTTGGTTGCCAACAATCAAAGAAGTCAGTTCTTTCTGAGCATACCGAAGAACTGCGTCATTTACAAATTTATCAGCGTCGTCAGTAGTAAATTCGGCGTATTCTCCGTTGGAATTCAACGAGGCTTTGTCCTCATAATTGAGAGTAAATTTACGTGACGAATCAATTTGCGACAGGAAAGATAAAGCAAGAATTATGGGAAGGCTGAGAGCGTTATTATCCTTTGATGCCACGGTAAGGTTAGCCATTTGCGATTTTTTAGAAAAAGGACAATATGAGTCTGTAGGGAACAATTTGTTGATAGTTCATCCCGAAGTTTGGTAACGTAATCCACCACTCCCCTGTACAAACCGCTCACCGTTACGAAAATACACTAGCAGGTAGTGGTCTAAGAGGGGAATTATCCACAGAATAATTAGGATAGCAACAAGCTCACTATTTTAACATAATGTAAGACAGACTATTAACGTATTCCACAAGCAAGCCGGCCACCCATGTAATCCATATAAAATAGCCATCTTTTATATCCTAATACCTCAACAAAAATCATATATAAACTATGATCTAAAATTTACTATATCACTTATTTGGTAAAAGAAAATACATATTAAAAAGGAATTTAAAATAAATAGATAGATCTTAAAATTACATTAAATTATACATATAAAATATGGGGATGGGACGCTATGAAGGAAGAGGAGCTTCGGGGAAGGAAGGGTCTCATCGGCAGGCTCTCCCGACAGCTTCCCCCACAGCACCGTGCCGATGCATCAATCAGCACCGCGTACTACACTCTCTGTAATAATTATCTTCCTCTACCCAATTCTCAATTGACCACAGTACGCTTCAATATCGCGTGTCGCAATGGTCACATCAATATCCCCCCTCTACGGCTACAATGCCCCGTCATCGACACTTTCCAAACAGCCCCTACACGTGGCCGGCATTCTAACCACCGTCTTCGGCCTCGATGAGCTTCCGCCGGAGACTACCGAGGTAGTCTGTCTGTGGCTGCTGCATCCGCGGCTGGATAGCCAGGAGGACATGGCTGGTGTTGCCACCACGGTTGTCGATTACTGGAATCAGAAATTAAAAGAAAAGGGTTCAGGACGAAGTAGAGGATTGATTGCGGTCGCTTTTGATGCACGGAATCATGGGAGTAGGCAGGTCGATGAAGCGGCGAATCATGCGTGGAGGAATGGGAATGAGAGGCATGCGCAGGATATGTTTTCGGTGTATAGTAAGTGATCAGCCTACGAGGGAATGAGTGCTCGTGGAAAGCGAGGGTGGGGTTGATAGGGTTTAGTGACTACGGCACGAGATGTTTCGATGTTGATTGATTTTCTGCCTGGGTATATCTTTCCTAAGGGCGAAAGGACGATAGCAACGCATTTCGCTCTGGGGATTTCGCTCGGAGGACATGCGGTGTGGTTGTGTCTGTTGCATGAACCACGTGTCACGGCGGGTGTTGTTGTTGTGGGTGCGCCAGACTATGTGAATGTGATGACGGATCGAGCGAGACTGTCGAAACTGTCCTCGTGGAAACGGGGTGACACTCCAGGCGCGAAGTTCCTGGGTTCGGAGCATTTCCCGAAGAGTCTATTGGATGTAGTGGAGAAGAATGATCCAGCTGGGTTTCTGCTGAGCCAGACTGAGCATTATATCAAGAATGGGCCTGTCAAAGTGGGCAAGTTACCGGATCCTACTCCTCAGGATAAGGAACGTTTACTGCCTCTTCTAAACCGTCATTTGAAGGGAAAGAGGATTCTGAATCTGTCTGGACTGGCGGATAAACTGGTTCCCTATCGTCTTTCGGAGCCGTTTCTGTCGTGGTTGAAAAAGGCTATTGCTCCTGGGGGCTGGTTCGGTGATGGCGGCGTTCACTTGGAAGATGTTGGTTTCGAAGGCGTGGCTCATAATTTCACGCCGGCGATGATGGAGGAAGTACTGCGGTTCGTGGACGATTCTATGTCAGCTCTTGATGAGCCGAAGAATGTAGGCACGGTTCGTGAAGCCAAAATATAGACACCATACAGCAATTACACTTATAAATATAGTTCATCTGCTCAAAGAGCTTTTCTGGAGCTATGTCCTCTGAAAAACACCGCAAGATCATCTTGAGTATTCCTCAAAGTCTTTGCATTCGCCCGAGTTACAAGGCTCTGTCGGATCCACGTCGGGAGTTTCCGTTGTATCCGGTCACCTTCATATCTCCTATCAATCATGACGATGGCAGCATAGTCATTTCTATGTCTGATAGCTCTCCCAATGCACTGATTGACCGCTCGCATACAAGAGTTTTCGTAGAAATCCCTACCTGCGGCTTTCGAAGCTATTTGTCTGGCAGAATCCGTCCCTTGGCTCTTCTCATACGCTCGATTCTCAATATGGCTGATCTTTGCTTTCCACACTGCCGAATGAATGTTGGGGAAGGGCAAGCCGACGATGATAACCCCTCGTCCGAGCTTGTCGGAAAAATTGATGCCTTCGGATAACCGGCCCCCGACAACGGATAGTAGCAAGCCGCCAGAGCCGGACTCGATTTTGGCGGAGTATTGCTGGAAAATATCACTAGCGGCGTTTTCTTTCCTTTGGGATTCGTAGAAGATGGGCTTGTTTTTCTCGATCAAAGAGAAAATGGAGGGCTCTCTTCCATTCTTTGGCGTCTTTCTCCAGCTATCAAGAACGTGATTTAAGTAATCATAACTGGGGAAAAATGCTACGACACCGTCTGGAATGACGCCGCAAAGACTAGCAATGGTTCGTCCTAGGTCGGTTACCTTGAAAGAGTTAGAACTAGTAGATAAATAAGGACAAAATTGTGGATGACATCTTACCATTGTTTCTGAGTTTCGGCGGTCGAACGTAAAATTGAAATCAGAACCAGGGCTACCAGTAGATAGAACACGGGCGGTAAGGTTACTCGAGGGGATAACATGCCCAAAACTAAACGTGTCTAATCTTTCAGGCTGTACATAAGAGAACAAATAATCAGCATAGTCGGACATCTACAAACTTATACATTAGTAGGCATCCAAGTACCAGCATCACCGAACTTACCGGCGACATGGTCCCCCCTGCGAGAATTACTGCCCGGGCTTCATCTACGATCTCTCTGAAATGGTTTGTAGGGTCAAGCAGCAAGTATTTCAAATGCACCTCATCATCCGCCTTGCTGAAGAAGAGGCGACCTTCGGAAGAAGGGTTCATCAGCGAGAGAATGAAACTTTGGACTTGGAAGAGTACAGGCATCGCTGTCTTTTCCCGCTGCTGGCCACCTTTTTGCTGGCTGGTGTGTTCGACATAACCGTCTACTTTTCTTGCAAGCTTACTTTCCTGCAAGTAGCGAGACAGCTTGTATGTGTTGATCTGATCAACTCCTTTGCCTGCCACTAGCTCTGAGTACTGGACAATGGCTTCTGAGGTCGAATGTTTTTGCGAGAGGGATTTGAGATTTTCGGCTAGGGAGTTGATTAGTCTGATGAGCTGGGTGACATACACCCGGTTCTTGCCCTTTAGCCGGGTCTGGAATTTTCGAGCATAAGTAGTTAGCTGCATAAGCGCAGTCTGTAGCTGTTGAAGTGTCACGGAGACAGAGTGTATGCCAGAGATTGTATCCATCAGATTGTGGGCTTCATCAATGATGACAACATGGTCTTTGAGAGACAGGTCCAGCGCTTCTCTAGCTGACCGTTGGAGAAGAAGCTGATAGGGAAGCGTGATTATCTATTTCATTAGATACTTCATGATATAGTATGAGCACATTTAGTCTTACTTCGCTTTGTTTGACTACTGGTCTGGTTGCATAATATGGGCAAATAGAAAGCTGCTTGCCAAGCTGGCCAATATCCTCGATATCCTGAACCGTAGCGAGAGCACGGTCTCGGAAATCGGAGGCCACATCCTCAGTCTCTTTCGATGGCAGGTACGCACACTTCTTTTCAGGTGCGGTTCCTGGTTGCTGCAGTTCCATACACCGCTCATTAATTGCTATAGAATCGCCTAGCGCTGCGACTTTGGGATTAATGCACAGTTGCTTTCGAGAACCCAGACTAAGATGTTTCACTGTCTCTTCTAGCTCAGTGCATTCCCCTGTTTCCCCCTTGGGAGCAGGCAGACTGGAAGGAATGTTCACTCGTCGGAGTTCCTGGGCGAATTGGGATAATTGAGAATGAGTGCGTGAGCAGTAAAATATTTTGGTCTGATTGTCTGTTTCATCTTCTTCCCCCTTGCGGCCCAACGCATGACCCTTGAAGCGTTCAAGTAATGCGACCGTGCTAGCTGACAGCCCTTCGACGTCTCCAAACTTGTGACCTGAGGGGTTCTTGCTGGTCTCTGCGTCGCTTTCATACTCGTCTAATTCAAAGAAACTCTCATCAAGGCTAGTACTAGGGGCGCTCGAATCGGTTTTCTATTCCGTCAGCGAATGTACTTTAAATTAATGAGTGAACTTAACTATACCTGCTTTTTTCGTGCTCGTCTATGATCGTACGATATCTCAGCACGTTCTTTCTCCTTCCTAATTTTCGCGAGCCGCTCTTCAAGCTCTCTCCATTTCTTGGTCACAGCCTGCGTCTTCTCCTGCTTGGAATATTCAAGCATCCAATCCGGCTCATCATCGTCGGCTGCCGTGTTTACGTCAGATCTAATATTCCGGGCGCAGAAAATCAAGGCTCTTACCTGAAGACTGTGCTATGGTGCTATCAAATGCCTTGCGCTTATGATCGCGAAGCCACGTCAGGGAGCCACATATCAGACTCAACGATTTCCCCTTGATTGATGGTCAGTTCAAAATTTAATTTAGTCGTGTATAATGTAGGATAGAAATCCAAACGCGCAGCCGGGTGAAACACGAGGCATTGTGCCACTTTACAGATTTGGGTGTTTGGACTAAAAAGTAAATAGCACGTACAGTTCCTACACGTCATGTTTTAGAGAATACCTCGTTATTATGTGTAGGCGAACAGACCTGTGGGTGATTCAAAGATGCCGACTTTGCCCGTCTCGATACACTCGTAAAGAGCGCGCATGAACTCGAGCTGAATGTCATAGGGCGAATAGGGGTGATAGAACTTTTGTCTTGGCTCGACATTGTCCATGATGGTCAAGCGTCAAGTGTCATGCATGTGGATCAGGCTCAGCCTTGTCAGCTGAGGATTAGTCGCGCAACACGCTCTGAGACTGAGCGTAATTTTGGACTGGGGAAACGGCCCCGTAAGCAACCAGGCACAGATCAGGCACCACCGCCAAGCTTGAAGCTTCTGCATAAAAATACTACGACGTACGTACATGTTTGAGAATATTAACACCCGCTTAACCGGTCGCACGACGAAATGAAATAAGGACCATTTTTACCCAGAGTTACTGAGTAAGGCCCGGCTAGCTGTCTGATTGTCTGTCATACATACGAACCAATGCAGCAGCTCATAGGCTGAGCAAGCAGGCGGTGTTGGCATCCATAGCCCCAATGCTACTCCGTGCAAGACTAAATTGATATTAATATTAACTATGGAACAGACAGACTATTTATTACCTACGACGTGCTTAGTACAGTGGGGGGCATTGTAAGTAGTAGTGATAATATTATAATAGGAAGAGTAGAAGAGTGTCAATTATTGTGGGGTCTCAGCCCCTGTTCTAAAAAAAAAGGGAGAAGAAAGAAGAGTTGTCATGGAAGATTTAATCTTTAATATTATTAATAGTGAATCTTCCGTCATTCTTCACCTTGTGCCTGCGCGGTCCCGCTCGTGATGCTTGACTCCTCGACTCGATATTGAACTTTGCTATCCAATCTTTATCCAATCTTAATCCAATCTGGCAGATAATAGTCATATTATCATAACAGCCATCATCTGCCAAAGCCAACGTGGATGCTGCAGCTGCCCCGCGGTTGTTAATGTTAGCGTTTGTACCCGTTTTAATCGTCGCCGTCGGCCATTATTGATTTCTTCCCGGTCACAAGTCTCCGTCAGCAATAAAGAAGCAAGCACGCGCGACTTGATCTGGCATCGCGCTGTGCAACGGCAAGCATAGCAGCCTGAAGACGCGGTTAGTCCAGTCAGGACACTGACCAGATCTTCGCTGTCAACGCAACGTTAACTACGCAGCCGAACGACCGCTGACTAGCTCGCCATTGACCCCTCCCCTCCTGGCGCGAGACGGAACGATTGTGCCATTCGGCCACGGAGCATCACCGAAACACCATACAGACATACAACCCATATAGACCATGTACAGCAGGCCACCCCCGGGTCGCGGGCAGCCTAGGCCAGGCCCCACGGCTGCCACCTTCTATCCTGGGGGCACAGATGACTTCTATATGCCCGATGTCATCTCGCCCTCTCCTCAACGGTGCGACCCCACTATATCACACCTATAGAATTACTATATACTTACCATAAGGACCGTACTAATGTCCGCAGAGTAATGCCCGAAGTCCCTGAGAACATGCAGGATAATATCGCCCATCTGGAACACGAGGTTCGCGCACCGCGACCCCAGACCCAGAGCCAGTCCTCGTACGACCGAACCCGGTACCCTGACCGCTCCTCGTCCATGCCCTCGCCCGGTTACCCCCCCAGGACAACGCTTATAACAGCCAGCCTGGATCGGGCGGCAGCTCTTACAATCAACTATCGTACGAAACTATGGACCATCCAAACTTCTCCCCCTTCCCCGTGCTTCACAACCCGCCTCCCAATGTCCCGCCGACCGACGAGCAAAAGGAAGCCAACTTGGAGAAAGGGCGTGTCCCTGTTCTGTCTTCCAACGATCCAGAAATGCAGCTGGCGTGGGCCCAGGACTCCCTCTCGTACGTCGAGATTGCCATGCAGAACGAACTTCGTATGTCGCAAACTCAGCCCGCCCGTCCACAAACGCCTCAGGTCGAACGCCAGCTGAGGAACGATGCTTTGAATATTGTTTCCTTCCTGGCCGAACAACATCATCCCCATGCGGAGTTCATCAAAGGCATGTGGCTGGAATTCGGCAAGTTTGGGATGCGTGTGGATAAAAAGGAGGCGTTCCGCTCGTATTCGCGGGCTGCAGACAAAGGATATGCTCGCGCCGAGTATCGGATGGGTATGCAGTTTGAGAGTTCCAATGAGCCTGCCAAGGCTATCAGGCATTATGAAAAGGGTGTTGCCATGCATGACTCTGCCTCGTATTATGTGAGTTGCCTGTGTACATGATCCGCTATGGCCTTTACTCATGCCGTTCTCAGCGTCTCGGCATGATGATTCTTCTTGGTCAGCATGGACAGCGACAAGATTATGAAAAAGGATTGGAGTATATTCGCCTTGCAGCCCAGACCTGCGATGAGAATGCGCCTCAAGGAGCTTACGTGAGTCCAGCATATATTCTTACGAGACATGTACTAAATGAGATAGGTTTATGGCATGTTGCTCTCTCGAGAACTGCCTCAAGTGTCCGTGCCCGACCATTATCTGCCCATTGATATCAACGGCGCACGAGTCAATATCGAAAAAGCCGCATATCACGGGTTTGCAAAAGCGCAGGTAAAGATGGGCGCCGCTTACGAATTGGGACAGCTGGGATGCGATTTCAATCCTGCTTTGTCTTTGCATTATAACGCCCTAGCTGCGAGACAAGGAGAAGCCGAGGCCGAGATGGCAATTAGCAAATGGTTCCTTTGCGGTCACGAAGGACTTTTTGAGAAGAATGATGAAATAGCTTTTACATATGCTCAACGGGCAGCTCAAAGTGGCCTTCCAACCGCCGAGTTCGCCCTCGGGTACTTTTACGAGGTCGGAATTCATGTTCCAGTCGATATTCAGGAAGCCCGCAGGTGGTATGCCAAGGCAGCTGCGAGCGGCAACAAAGATGCCGCTGGTCGAATCGACAGTATTTCGCGGTCCAAGACGCTTTCCCGCAAAGACCACGAGCAGGTCGCTATCGCCCGTATCAAGTCACAGTATGGATCTGCCGGGCGACCCCGTCCTTCGTATGGTGGCGCGGCTCAGGCTTCGACCATGGCACCACCCCAGGAGACTTTAGAGATGCCCGACCCCTCGCGCATGCGAATATCTGACGATGGCTATGGGGCGCCATATGGATCTAACGGACAGGGCTATGGACGTGGTGGGTATCCAAGCCCACAAATGGCCGCTGACCCTCGTCCCAGCTCTGCGTTTGGTATCAACCCTAATATCCATTCTCCCCCTTATGGTCCAGGCAGCCCTGGCTACAACCGTGTTCCATCAGCCGGTTCAGGCCAAGGGCCAAGCCCAGGGCCAGGACCCATGGGTTATCGCCAGGGTGGCCCAGGTTCCAACTCCCCTAGTATGCAACCCGGTCCAGTTGATATCGGATATTCGGCGCCTGACCCAGGCCGCCGACGACTCCAGCGACCCGACCCCCAGGGACTAGGTCGACCTCAAGATGTCCCATCTAGAAAAAGAACGCCAGAACCTGGCCGGCCTTCCCCTGGGGGGTATCCTGCCCGCAATCAGCAAATGCCAGCACCGGGCGGTGGACCCGGTCGACCTTCTCCAGCCTCGACACCCCGACCAGGAGGCGGCCCAGCCAACGCTCCTGCGAAGCCCAACAGCGGTGCCAGTACTCCTGCATCTAAGCCGGCATCGGGTGGCCTGCCCGGCAAAGGCCCGAAAACATTTGAGGAAATGGGAGTTCCTCAAGGCAAGCACGACAGCGAATGCGTAAGCCTCCCCTTCGTCCTATTTCTTAATCCGAAGCTAATTCCACCAGGTTGTAATGTGATACCCAGCATTGTCCTCGTCGTTCCGGCCCTGTATATGTTTTGATGCACAGCGTGTTCGCTTCGGTTTGTAAACTGCAAATTAATCCATATCGAAAGATTAGAGTATCTTTAGGCAAATCATGATGTGTCTGCGCAGAGAAGGCGCTTTCTGTCTTAAAAGTAATTCCAATGAATGCCAACTCTTCTAATCGTTCCTTCCAAGAGTCTCATCTGGGTCACACGTGACTGCTCGTGGTCGCTCCTTCCTCGGTTATTTTCTCTCAGAGCAGCAACTCCTGTCTTTCATCTCAACCGGCACTTCCTTCCTTCGCCAGCACAAGCCCATCCTCTCGTAAGCAGCAATGGCTCCGAGGAAGAAGAAGAGTGACAAAGACGAGTCAGACGGTGAGCAAAGCCTCTATCAGCAACACTTTAGAGTATAGCTTACTCGCAAGGCTCTACACTTATTCTCGAGTATCTCAGTAAGCGATGACCTACAAGCAGCGAATAGATGTAGACACATGCTGATTCAGCTAGAAAAAGAAAAGTATGCAGAACTCTCTGCTTCTTCGTCTGCCAATTGAGATTAACTTGTGATATGACGCAGTCGTCCTTATTCGGTTTGTATACCCTCCTGGCTAGAGAGAAAGCTTACAAAGTGTCATGTGCTAGGCAATCGATGTTTTCAATAATCTGCATCAGAAAGTTGGGAAGAGTCGGTTTTAATATCCAATATCGTGTGGCTTATAGCTCACAGAGTTACAGCTTACGCTGTCAAGGCTCTCAAAGAATTGCATGAGAGGAAGGAGATTGAGGGACGAGCTGCAGGTGGTTCAACGCCTCTATCAAATCTAAATCACCACTGATATGTCCGTACAGGCAAACAGCTGGTCTACCACGCCTTACAAGATGTCACTGAAAACACCATGGATGTTGATCCAGCCCGCGAGGGCGAAACCCTAGAAGACCTTGAAGAGAAGGTCTCGGCACTGAAAACACTCGAAAAACAACTTCGCGAAAAGCTAGTAGACTTAAACAGCAACATTCCTATCACGTCACTCCGTGACCAAATCGCGAGTCTAGAGCGTGAAAAGGCATCATTACTTTCCGCCATTTCGAGTCTTCCGACGGATTGCGTCAGCGCGGAAGAAATGGATCGCGTGCAGGTGGAATGGCTGAAGTGGCAGCGTCAGAGTATGTCTAGGAGGAAAATATTTCGAGATTTGTGGTCACGATGCACGGAGGTGTTGCCGCAGGATACTACGGAGGAGGAATTGAAGGTTTGTACAGGTCTTGTTAAGAGCTGTCTGCTGTGTCTGATTCAGGTACAGGAGTCGTTGGGATTGGAGGGGCCGTTCTGATGCCTACAAGGCCTGGAAAGGCGCCCAATCGGAATGTGTGCATTTACTTTAAATGCTTGCTGGAGGTCACACAGCGCCTAGGCTGGGAGTTTTATGCTGTCTGGTTAGTCTGGTGATCCTTGAGGGGGTGTGGATGGATGGGTCACATGTGCGCGAACTACGAGATGATGCCAAGCTAGGTTCCCAGGCTGGTAGATCGTCGGTTACTATTTCATTATGCCGTATACCAGAACCTACGAGCATTTCAAATATATGTGTAAATTATCATTGCTAAATGTTATCTTGCTTCACATACGTTGTATATCCGGTAGTTCTATGACGTAGCTCTACTGTATCACTTGAGGGCTGCCACCATATCTAAATATAGCTAAAGACTCTTGTATAGTTTGACTAGGAAGTTATTTGTAATCGACGCGCTTACTCCAGTAACGTCAGTATAAATGCCATATCTTGCAGGCAGCGAGTCTCGCAGGTATCAGGCTGTCAGCGGATCAAGCGCCATGAAGCTAGCTCGCAGTTAGTCTTTCAACCGTCGCTTCGAGCCTGCAGACTCAGCTCAGTCCACAGTTATATCATCTCCTCCCCAGCTGCACAGTCCGTGGCTGGTTTGCCTGCTTATCTGGGCTCTGCCGTCATTTCTGCACTCGATTTCACAGGGCTATCTGATAGTATCTGATTAGCATCTACCGCCTTTCCGCCGAAACGGCTCTCCCCCCCACTAATTTCTACACTAACAGAGAAAGTCGTCTTGCCCCTCCGCTTTTGATCGCTCAGTCTCCGCGCAACAAGAGTGATGTCCCAGACCCCCCAGCCTCAGTATACAGCTTTACATCGGCACGGGAACTCGTCGGATTCAGCTTCAAATGGCCTGCTAGCCTATGCTAATCGTCTTCCAAGCGATATGAGAACGCGCAATGCCACGGCAGGCCATCCTGCTAATGGTCACTCCCGCAACTTGTCGGGGGTTGCGCCATACGAAATGGCTGCTCGCAGTCCTCCTAATGCGAGCACGAAGAGTAAGATGGAAAATAAGGCCTGGCCTGGGCCTCTTTCTGGATGTTGTGTGGATTGTACTGACTGCCGTCGAAGATACCAAACATGTTCCATGCAAATTCTTCCGTCAAGGTGCCTGTCAGGCTGGCCCGGCCTGTCCATTCCTCCACTCCACCGATGCGACTGTAGATTCGGCTCCGTGTAAATACTTCACAAAGGTATTCCTTTTCTTTGTATCTTGATACCTAAAGTCCGGCGTTAATCGGGTCTTATCTAGGGAAACTGCAAATTCGGCGCCAAGTGCGCATTGGCACATATCCTCCCCGATGGCCGCCGCGTGAATAGACCTAACTTTGGCGGTGGAGGTGGTGGCGGTGGTGCTGGAGGTGGTGGAGGAGGCCATCTCAATCTAGGTGGTCGTGTGAACCCCCAGGCTTTTCATAGCCAAGACTCCGCGCTCACAACTTCAGTGCTATCGCAGCAGCGACTCAACGGTCAGGATTCGCGATACGTTTACCATTTTGCCGAGCAGGACGGTTTAGCAGGAGCTGCGCATGGCGGCCATCAACAACAACTACCTTTAGACACGATGGCGGGGCCTGATGGTGGCTTGGTTATGGATTCGAAATACGGTTCCCCCGTGGAGGAGAGTCGCATCCAGACCTCCCCTCCTGGAGCTCTGACGCTCCGTGACGTGCAGCTCCCAGCCTCGTTCGATAGTCAAGGAATCTCCCATATGGCCCGTTACGGCCCTGTAGCTGCCTCTGTCCCCTCGCAGTTTGGCCTAGACCTGGCCTCACCACCAACTCAACGTGCACCATCCGACGCCCTCCGCAACCTGCGTGACACTGCTTTCGGCTCCGATCTACGCAGACCTACCTCGAACTTCGGCTCCTCGCCTCCCGCCGGCGTGATCATGGAGGACTCCTTCCAATCCCGCTTGCTACACTCCCAACGCATCATCCCCCGCTCCAAAGTCATGTCCGCAAGCGTGCCCCGCCCCAGCGCCCTAGACGACTGGGACGACAGCTTCGCCATGGAGGAGGACTATCTCCCCGGCAGTCTGCACGACGACGTGCTCACTCCGCAGGAAAAAATGCGCCGTCTGTCTCGCACCGAGCACGAACTGAGCTCTAGCCAGCGCGACCTCGGCGGGCTAGGCGGCATGACGGGCACAAGCGCTACCAAGGTCGGCTCTCCCCTGGCCTCTAGCCCCTCCCGATTCGGCGCTCTCTTCGCCAGACAGCGACAGCGGAAAGAGGAAGAAGCTTTAGGCGGCACATCGTCGTCCCTGAACCATATCGGCTCGCCGCTGCGTGAGTCTGCGCTGAACCATCTTACTTCCAGCCCTAGCCTACGCCCCATCGGCAGCCGCTCTGCATCAGGCGACGTCTCGCCGTTTGTATCAAGCCCGACCGCCAGGCAGTCGCAGTCGTCCATGTCGATGATCAGCCAACAACTGAACAATATGTCCCTGCATCCGAGCTCAGCTCGACAACCGTCGTCGTCTGCTACTACTCCCTCATTAGGCCCCACGAGTAATGCCCGCACAGCCTCCTCGCCAATGACGTCCAGCCGCATCGACGAAGAGCAGGGCGATCTGGTGTTTTCCATGGAAGAAGAGGAGAATAATAAACGGAATAGCATGGCCTGGAACTCGTCTAATAAATCCGCTTCCTCGACCACCGAAGACGCTTCGCCTGAGTACCAACCATAACCAAACCACAAAAAACAAATATACCAAATAAGAAAAGAAAGAAAATAATCAAAACGCAGATAGATATAAAAGGCGTTGTTCGTTCATTCGTTCGTTCCTCGCTTGAGAATGATACATTTGTCACATACAGAGCAGATAACGACCAGCAGAGTGTGATTGTTTTCCTTTTGTCTGGATATTTCTGGATAATGGCGCATTGGAGAATCACCGGTGGGATGGATAATACATATATCTATTTCTTTTCCTTTCTTTTCGATGTTTTTTCTTTCTAATTTATATTTCTGTGTCATCGTTGGCTGTTCGGGTCAGTTCTGTGGAATCGATCAGTATAAATCGGATTGAGTGTGTATAAACCAATACCATATGGATGGATTCGATGGAGTTGCTAGCTATATCATACAGTAGTAAAAGGCGTGCAGATCATCAGAGAATTTATTTACAGCTTGACCGTTATGGGTATAATACCATTTTTCAACTTTAAGGGCTAAGTAGGTCTAGTATTGATTTAAGGAGAATGTATCCTTTAGACAGACGTGCTCAAGTAAACGCCGTTAATACCATACCGTACCACACAAAGTCAGTCCTTCTTTTGACCCAATTACACAACCAAACCAACTAGCTAGTCTCCGCAAACGAAAAAGGAAAAGAACAAGTAACTGATCCAGGAACATAAATTGCATAATTCTTGTTGTACATGATTAGAAGAAGAACAAATAGGGCTAGCTAGTTGACGTCTTCCAAATACACCCCCGCACGCTTCATATCAACCGCCTTCGGCGCAAGATCGTCTATCGTTTGGGAGTTTATTTGGTCTATGAAGCGCCTTGAAAGCCAATGGGACTGGATATTGCGCTCGCGTTGCTCGCTGTCGGCCTTTTTGATGTGCTCGCTGTGCTTGCCGTAGACTGTCTTGTAGAAGTTGTCGGTGCCGGCGGAGATGCTGGCGGCGAGGAGGGTGATGGTTTTGTCGGTTAGGGTCTGGATTCGAGAAGATAGTTCGTCTGAAAGGGGGGAGGGGGAGGAAACGCGAACGCGCTTTGACTCGTGGTCAGGTGAAGCTTCGGCTTCCTCGTCTCTTTGTTTGCGTTTGGCTTCTTTGGCCGCCTTTGCGGCTAGGTACTTGAGTGAATGGCCAAGGTGTTTTTTGCTGGATGGGATCAGATCGAGCGGCGGCGTGGAGAAGAAGAGCACGCGTCCGTGGTCGTCTGTGTGGAACTGCTGGCGAATCTCGGCTGGGATGGCGGCATTGGCGATGTCGCTCAGATGGAACACTTCGACAGGACGCGGGGCGTTGGGGTTGTATGGTGCTACGGCTGCGGGAGGGCGGTTGCTTGGGTATGACGAAGGCTGTGGAGGGACGTAGGACTGCGCCTGAATCGGAGTCGATTGATAGGAATTTGGTTGGACTCCAGGGCTGGCGTAAGCACCCGTTCGTGCTTGGAGAGGCTGGTAGATGGATGCAGGGCTGTGAACTGCTGGAGACTGATATGGTTGCGGAGGAACAGCAGATGGCATGGTTGACATTGCTGGCATTGAGGTTCCTATAGCAGGGGACCGCACTGGTTGTAAAGGTATGTTAGGCCCCATGTTGATCTCACTGAGGTTGTCTGTGCTCTGGCGAGTGGGAGGCCGCGGCATTGGTAGTTGCTGTGGTGGCATAATGGGCTGACTGAGTGTGGGAGGTGGTGGTGATGGTGTGAGCTCCGGGGGAGGAGAATCCTAAGCCAGTTAATAACTACTACTGCTATTCTGTGTGAGCAGAACTTACATTCTCATCTCGTGGACGACAGTGAACCGCGCCTACCAATGGAGGCGCTTTTTCTGCCCCCCACGTAGGCTTTGGCATGTCGTCCGTCTCTTTCGCATTTTCTGGGAGCAGATGTTTGATAGGGCTTGGAATCTTTCGAATGCGACGCGGTACATCGTACAAGTCCATTTCGTAATCCTTTTCTCGAACTTCATCCGGTAGGCAGCTGGCCCATGTTTTGATTTTGTTTAATCTGTGTTTTTCTTCGTTGTAACGAGCTTCGCAGACATAGACTTCCTTGTCTGGAGGAAAACCACGTGGTCGACCTCGATTGTACCGTGTGAAAAACATAACGAAACAGCGATCAACTACCTCATCGATGCGGTGGTCGCGATACTGGCCTGTTTTAACAACCTCGTTGGGGAAGAAATGTTTCTCGTAGTGATGGACTGTTTGCTCTGGGCGATAATACCAGCAGGCGTTCACCCACTTCTCTCCCTCATTATCCTGCCACGTACGATATATTTGAGCCACAACTGGCTTGGTCACGTCGTTTGGATTTTGGATATGGACCCAGTCCCCAACTTTCCACAGCTCACCGTTATGCATTATTCCTTGTGGCAAGGGTAAGCGTCCATCTTCCATCAGATACTCGCTGTCTGGCTTATTCTTCTCCTGGTCCGCCAATTTGTGCGCTTCAACCTGAAGATCTTCAGCATCTTTGAATAGTTGGCTGGTTGGCTGATTGTAGGATTTAGCGTTGTTGAACATCAAATCAAGGTCGCGCAAAAAGTGGTCCAATGAGTGATACTTCTTGCGCTTAAATTTGCGCTTGATGAGGTCGATTGCCATTGGTTCTTTGATCTCCATGAAATAGTCGGGGTACATGGTCTTATCAGGTAATCTTTCGAAATGTCGGACTTTGAGGTGACCGCTTGGATCTTTGAACTTGCGAATACCTTTTAGCACGGCTTTGATTCGGGCTTCCATTGGCGTGTCAACCTTTGGAGGCCGGCCTCTTTTCCGGCGGACTTCTTGATCATTTTGACCTTGCGAATCGTCCTTTCTGGATCCTCGTGGACCGCGTCGTCGTCTTCGCCTACCCCCATCCTCAGAATCGTCCATGTCTTCATCATCCTCGTCATCCTCGTCCTCTTCATCCTCTTCGTCTTCGAGGGGTAGAGGATCAGCTTCGGGTATCTCGCCGAGATCCGGAAGTTCAGCAGTTTCCGCGGTGATGACTCCGGTCTGCACTAGTTTCTCGAATTCGGCGACGAAAACATCCTATGAGACATTCTAATTAGCCTCGTTATGTCTCCAACTTGCACGGTCCTCACCTTGATGACCAAAGCATCCTTGTACGCCTGTGATTCGGGTCGGTTGTATGTTTGCGCATTGTGTGTGATCTAATGCATCGTCAGTACGCGCATGTTCCAGGCGCATTGCGCATCTTCTTACCAGCGCGCAGTCGCGAACAAAGTCTGCGAAATTAACGTATTCGCGCTTATTAATTTTCTGCTTCAGAATACTTAACGCCATGGGCTCCTTGATTATGTCGTAGTAGTCGGGCACATGGCGTTTATTGACGCTGCGCTGAAACAGCTTTGAAGGGTCGTGGCCACTATATAAGAAGTGTTAGCAAGGGCGAGTCACAGGCGAAAGCGGAGGCCACCGACTCTTCTTCTCGGTAGTCATAGATCACCATGACAATGTCCATCATGGCCCTCCATTGATCTTCGGTGACTGTACTGCTTGTGTTTCGGGGAGCTACCGCGCCGCCCCTGTCATCAACATCACCACCTTCGATGGATTGCACGGGATCCTCGGCCTGGGACTGGGAAGCAGCCTCAGCGACCGGAGTGACCTCGTTGTCTAGAGCAGGCGACTCGGTTTTCTCTTCGGACATGATGTTCTGGCTCAGCGCGCAGGTGAATGCTGGTGCGAGGACTCGAGGGTCGAGATCGACGGTCGACTCAGCGCAGCAAGTACTAAGAAGGCGCTAGTCCGGGCCGGACTCTAGCGCGTGTTTCAGCCACCACAGCCACATTCACCGCCACGCAATACTCCAAGTCATACTCTTATAAATCATATGCAATTAACTCTTCATTAGTTACTCTCAATGGCAAAAGTTTTGGCAAAAATCCATGCTCCAGCAGATAATCATTTAATTGTGGTTTTCTAGTATGGTAGACTAGGTATTAGACAGTATATTATTGGGAGACAAGCGGCGATATCACGGTGTGGGGTAGCTAGGAACGTAATGCACGGCTGGTATAGTGTACGCTATCATCGAGACAGTCGATCGACGAGATACAGCCGGCTGAAACACTCTTGCGACAGTCAAAAAAGCCCTGTTTGTACTAATTTGGGTACATACTGCAGGTAAAACTCGGTGCTCTGATGTAATCCCTCGTACCCGCATCAACTTCACAAGCTTGACATAGTTTAGTCATCGCCCCGTGGATCTTTGTCCTGATCTTCCCGAGCCAATCTCGTCTTGTATGATTTTGCCAAAAGATACACAGGAAGAAAATGAGAGTGAGAGTCCGCGGCCCAGCTGGGCAAAGTACCATCACTCTCGACGCTACCGCGACAGTCGCCGACTTGACCACCCTCATCAAGGAGCAGACCGGCCTCGCTTCCTTTGATCTCAAGTATGGCTACCCTCAACCGCAGCCTTTAGATCTCAGCGATCCCACTCAGAAGCTGGCCGAGTTGGGCGTTGATCTCAATGGCGAACAGCTCATTGTCAACAGCAAAAAAGACGACTCGGCAGAAACACCACCTTCTACAAGTCAACAAGATACACTCCCTACACAGACTATACACACTACACAACCATCACCCCTCCGTGAGAGCAGCCTTATAAAACCACCAGACGATAGCGACCCTCCAGAGGTACCATCCCCGGAACACGCGGGCACTGTGGTCCTACGCATCATGCCGGACGACAACTCGTGCCTCTTTCGAGCAGTCGGCAGCGCAGTCATCGGTGGAATGGATGCAATGACAGAATTACGGTCCATCGTCGCGCAGACAATCCAAGCGCAGCCAGACGAATACCCAGAGGTGGTTCTAGAAAGAAAAACAGACGACTACTGCCGCTGGATCCAGAGCGAAGATGCCTGGGGCGGCGCCATCGAACTCAGTATCCTCAGCAAGCATTTCGCAGTGGAAATCTGCTCAATCGATGTACAGACGCTGAGAGTCGATCGGTTCAATGAAGGGCAAGCAACGAAGTGCTTTGTGGTCTACTCGGGGATCCATTACGATGCCATTGCGTTGTCCCCATCGGACCCTCCGTTCACGCACGCCTACGCGCCGCCGGATTTCGACACGCGCATATTCGAGGCCGGCGACTCATTCATTCTCGAGAGGGCGCTAGAGCTGTGTCAGGTGCTACAGAAGAGGCACTACTACACCGACACGACCAGCTTCCAGATCCGTTGCAACACCTGTGGCGGTCTGTTTGTGGGCGAGAAGGGGGCGACCGAGCACGCGGCGCAGACGGGGCATTATGATTTCGGGGAGGCTCAATAACATATATATAAACCTATATAATAATACAATTAATATGGATGATAGAGAAGAGGTCTTGAGTATGTAAGCATGTACGGTCTGAATAAAGATCGACACCAAACCGCCTGCCAATCCACCTCGTGCAAAGCTGATTGGGTGAGCCCCGCCCGCCACCTGCCAATCTCCAGCATTTCCATCCCAGACTCGCCTCGTCGATGCTCGCCATGTCTCCATAGTCCATAGATAGGGCCGGCCCCGACTGGGACGTACTTCTCTTCTTTCTCTTATTCTTTTCTTCTTCTCTTCTGCCTTCTGTGTTTCTGTGCTTCTGTGAATCTGGAGCCCGTGACGTCGTGCATTGACCGGACATTAGCCGCCTGGGCAAGACAACGTCACCGCCAGTAACCACATAAAGGACAAGACCCAACACCGCTGATTCTCCAGAGAGCACTCGGCCGGCTTGATTCTTGACCTGGTTTCTGCCCACCAAACCCCACGTGGTGGCTGCTGTCTGACCGTATGCTTGGCTGATTTCTTTGGAAACACCCCGAACCCGAGGTCTCAAGCATTCGTTTCATTTCCAGACATCTAATTATTAGTATTGCAGTCGGAACTTCGCGGGGACGTCGTTTTCTGTGTATCACACGTCACCACACGACAGACAAATCGTGTCTCCAGTCAACATGGGCGCCACCGCAGACTCCAAGGCTGGCACGGCCGACCAAGCCCACGACGAGTCGTCGAAGCTCAAAACGTTTCTCTCTATTCTCCGCAAGTACGGTCACTGTATCCCACATTACTACTACTATCCACCAGATACAACAACCATCTCAGAGTCTACAGCCTCATTCCTCGACATACAAGAGCTAATCTCGTTGGGTCAATTTTCATAGGTTTGTTGGTGTCGCAGACATAGCTTCCGTGCGATTCTCGCTCCCCGCGCAGCTTCTGGAACCTACTCCAAATCTTGGTACGGCTGTCATTCGCCCGAGTCATCGTCTTGATATGTGCTGATATAATGACAGAATACTGGAATTACTTGGACCGACCCGAGACTTTTGCTAGGTGCGTTTGGAGCTCTACCAAATGGAGCAGCTTTGCTTACTAGGCGTGTAGCATCGGCACATCGGACGACGAGCTCGGTCGTATGCTGGAGGTTCTGCGTTTTTGGTTCACAAAAGACTTAGTGGGTATTCTTATCTGAATGGTAGGATGCCTTGTTGACAATTATCAATTAGAAATACGTCAAAGGCAAGCCATGCAAACCATATAACTCGACATTGGGTGAATTCTTCCGGGTAATTAAGACTAACATTTAACATGATCTGCGCAAGCTAATTCAATGTCAGGCGTATTGGGAAGTCGACGGCACTAAACCGATAAATGGCCTTGCAAATGGCGACACGAACGGGGCTGCAATTATATCCAATAACAATGAAAACCCCGTCAAAGTCTGCTATCTTACCGAACAAACATCTCATCATCCCCCAGTATCTGCATTCTACATTGACTGCCCAGAGCGAGGTGTCTCAGCCAGAGGATTCGACCAGATTAGTGCCAAATTTACCGGCACAAGCATTCGCGTCGGCCCCGGCCAGCACAATCTCGGCATCTTTGTGACTCTGGAAAACCGTGACAACGAGGAATACCAACTCACGCATCCTTCTGCTCACCTAGGAGGCTTGCTACGGGGCTCACTATCTATTACAGTGGCGGACAGCTGTTATATCACTTGCACAAAGACTCGCACCAAGGTCATCCTTCAATATTTGGAGGAGGGCTGGGTTGGCCGGTCTCAGCATCGTGTCGAGGGAGTCATATTCCGATACGACCCCGCAAACGATAACAAAGTCCGAATCAAAGACATCCCCCAAAGTGATGTGCTGGCTCGCATCAACGGCTGCTGGCGTGAACAAATCTACTACACACTTGCTGGCTCGTCCGAGCAACACTTACTCATCGACCTCATCCCGCTATTCCCCGCTGACAAAATTGTGCCCCCTGACAACCTCCAACTGCCCAACGAATCTCGAAAATTCTGGTCCCAGGTGACCTCCTCCATCATTGACAAACAGTACGGCCAGGCAACGAAATACAAGCAGGAAATCGAGGAGCGACAGCGTGAAAAAGCGGCGGAAAGAAAAGCCCAGAACGAGGAATGGCAACCCCGCTTCTTCACCAGCGCCGTCACGCCCCTTGGGAAACCTGATCTTACGGATGATGGGAGAAAGACACTTGAGGCTCTCCACAAAGGCGATTTTCATTTAGAGGAAAGCTCGAGTACTGGAGCGTAGGCAGGTAGGCAGGTATGGCAAGGTATAGAGGATTAGAATTCATATATTGTTTTTGTTTCTTTGCTCTTTGTCCGGATAGCCAAGATGACGGGCAGTACATGTGGGATATCTGTTTTCAGAATGTTCTTTCTCCTTTTTTTTGTTTTGGAGTTAGCATGGTGATTGAAATCCCAATCGCATAGATTACAGGCGTATTATTATCATGATGACGATGATTGTGTGATAGTCATGTTTTGTCAGCTACTCGATATTTGGATGAATTATATCAAGATATTTCTTGAGTTGTATGGTAGATTGAACATTACTACATGTATTCAAGAACAACTAATCATTTAAAGTGAGGAAATGAGAGATCGAATTGAATATCCACACGCTCAACCATGTACAACAGAATAAAAGACATCAATCATTAAAATACAACACATTAATAAACGACCAGATAATAATATCCACGCGCCCCCAAACACGTAAACCCAAACACTAATGAAAGGAAATGATTTATGCATTCGCAGCAACAACCCGGAATCCAGCACTGACGGTCTTACTGATTTCTTCATTTTTGTGTGGAAGCAGAGACAGCGCGTACGCAACGTCGTTCCACTGTCTCTCCGTCTCGCAGCGACCGAGTCGCGCGGCGAGTTTGTCAGCGAGTTGTTTGGCGTGTTTTTCCTATCAACAATTAGGTTGTGTACGTATACTTTAAGGGTCGGGGAGGGTGGTACCTTTTCTACAAAACCAGCAAGGAACTTGATGATACGTCTCAACGCGCCCTCTTCGAGGTTCTTCTCGGAGCTCAGCAAGCTGAATATATCCACAAAGTGGTTGTATACGGCATTATCCTTGGTGGCGAGCTCGGTGAAGAACATGCGCGCCAAATCGGTAATTTTCTTGTCTTCATCTTCCAGACATTTAGCCATTTCGCCCAGCTGGCCTTTGACTTTGACTTGGCCGGCGAGGATCAAGAAGGTCAGGGCCATTAAGCAGGTGCGTTTGACGGAGGCGTCGCCGTCGTTGAGACGGCGGTAGAGGAAATCAGTGTTCTCGTCGATCAGGTGATTGAAGCACACGGCCATGTCACCTAGGGCGATGACGGCGTTGCTGCGGACGATGGGGTCTTCGGATCGTTCCATGATTGTGATTAGGAGTGGGAGGTTCTTCTCGCAGTACTCGGCGGAAACGCACATCAGTTTTGCCATGCACAAGGTCGCTGCTGCTTGGAGATTCCGGTCGGGATACGCATTATTGTTGGCGCAGATTTCGGTCACTAGAGGTCCGAAGTTGGTCAAGAGAGATTGTTCGCCATAGAGAAGCTCGCGCTCTCGGATGTGAGCCATGGCTTCGGTGAAATCGTCTTCCGTCGTGCCGCCAATTAAGTCCAGTTCATTGTCTTCTTGTTGGTCTTTTTGCTGAGCAGCTGCGTCGGCCGTCTTGTTCTTCTCCTGCTCTGCCTTTCGTCGCTTGAAGTCAAGCTCGCACAACTCAAGATGGACAATTTGCTTGATGGCAATATGACCAACGATGAAGAGCAATTGAGAGAGCTCCGAAGATGAAGGCTTGGATTTTGCTCCCTGGCTATCGCTAGATGCAGTAGCTGGTCGTTGTTCATCGGATTCTAGCATGGTCTGACCAGGTGACTGACGCGAGCTGGCTTGGAAAACGGACTTGGTCTTCCGTCGAATAATATCAGAACACAGAACATCTGGATGTTTAGATAGAGCATATATAGCACCAATGGCTTGCTCAGCAACTCCATACCATTCTTTGCTATCGTCTGTGATCTCCGTAATGGAGGCTAGTTTAGCCAACACGGGGTGATCATTGGTCAGTTTTGCTACGCCGCTGTCTTTGTTTTTGGCTTGTCGTCCGGGAGCCATTCGGCGCAAAGCAATGCAGGTGTATCTTGCAAGAACCAAATCAGATCGACCGAGACTTCCAAGACCAATCCGTAACATTGCTTCGATTTCCTTGACGACGATTTCTGGGTCGGCGAGGGCAAGCATTCCAAGAACAATGATAGAGCCTCGGCGCTGCGTCTTCGATATTTCTCTGCGTTGCACGCTATATATTTGCCACAGTTTCGCGACAACAGTTTCCGGGATGTGACCAGATTTCATCATGGTACTGAGTAGTTGTTCAAGAGAAGTAAGTTCTGCTGGGGAGGAACCGAAAGTAAGACTGATCATATTCCGGGCAATGTAATTGGCAGCATCATTTGCCGTAAAACTGTCGGGGGCATCAAAGAACAGCCCCTTGTAGCAGTCAATTAAGTGAGTTTGAACACCTTTGCCCTCGTCACTGTTTCCTTTGGTCCAAATCAAGCGCAACATGCGTCGTATTCCCGTCCTCGAAGTTTCAACTTTATATGCATCAATGACGACAAAGAAGTCCATGGCTTCAATGACTTCACTCTTATTCCGAGCCGAAAGCAGTTGACAGACATTCCGTGAAGCTGAATGTAGAACTTGAATGAATCGAATTGCTTCGAGGTAGTATTTCCTAGTTAGCTGCAACCTAGCGAGGTGTTCAGAAGTTGCAGCCTCTTCTTGAGCCTTTTGTACCGCGGCAGCCTTCTGCTCATCTGACATCTTTGGAGCCTTGGAAGGAGAGTCATCCGGAAGTTGAGTGGCATCCTCCAGAAGCTCGCTATCGATATGCGTTTCTCCCAATCCAGGTGTTTCTGGCGGAGGCTTGAGAGCATCCAATTCAGCTTCAACGGCTTCTAATCGGGCAGCCCAGTCATTGTATGCCAACTGCCCACCATGCATAACGCTGAAAGGATGTGTTGACACGAGTCTCGCTAGTAGCTTGATCGAATTTCTTCGTACATTACTGCTTCTATCCTCAAGACTTCTTGCAGCCAATTCAGCGGCGGTCTGTCGTCGTTTTGGGAATTTTTGGTCAAGTTCACACAGCCGCATATAAACTTGGATTGCTCTGCAACGGCAATAGGGATTGATATCCAAGAATCGTTCTTCTAGAACATCAAAGAATGCGTTGATTTGGGATTTGTGGTTTTCACCCCTCTCGTCTTCCTTGCTCAGGTCGGCAATGAGATTACCACAGACCTCAATAATAGCGCACCGTAGGGTGTAGGACTAGCCCCTGTTAGTTCCTAGAGTCTGTCCGAGAAGAATTAACCACTCACTTCGCTATCTAATTGTTTGGCTAGGAGCGTCATCTGCTTGATAACGAGCCTTGGAGCCAGTTCTGATAACTTGGTTATGAAACTAGACACCGATTTAGGGCCTCTTGTGTCATTGGAGTTGAATTCCTTATTCGCGAGCTCCCTATGAGAATGTCAGCTTCAGTTGTTGAGTTGTCAATTTATCAATCTAACCTTAATATTTCATCTCCCAGTTGCGTGTAGTCATACTGTTCAGCAAGGATATGAAGAAACTCGGCCATCGGCTCGGACAAGTGCTCAAAGTAGGTCAAACTCTGTACGATAGATGTTTGTGCTCCTGCGTCCCGTTAGCATAATTGAAGCCGTGTGAATACTATAACATACCAAAAGCATGCCCGTGGTGCTTCACGGCAATACATAAAACCTTGAAAGCGTGCATCCGGATTGCCATGTTCTTGACTCGTTGCTCATTTTCTAGCAGCAAGTACACTGACCGAGTAAACAGATTCACGAATGTGTCGCGATCCGATGTCGTAAGGAAAATCTTTCCTAATTTCAACTTCAGCACTTTGCACATTGTTTCCATAGCTATCTGAATTTGTGCCGTCCAATCCCAATTGCCATCTTTGGTTCCTGATTTTGCTTTACCAGACTTCCCGGTACGACGAGCAGGCGCAGCTGTCGCAGGCTTTTCAGCGGCCTTTACTTCGACAGCGGAGAGCGCCCACTGCAGCAGAAAGCCATACATCTCCAGCAGTTGTTTATGATGTTGTACAGCATCCTGCTCGTCTGCTTCCAGGTCACCATGAATGATATCCGCTTCCATAGCGAGGCCAGACACGATCAAGTCAAGAATTTTGCTGAGACTTTTCGAGGGCAAGACAACAGGATATCTAGATTATATAAACATCAGTCCAATTTCCTTTCCAGTTCGAGACATGAGGAGTCCTCACTTGAGGAGTATTTGAAGCGAATCAAAAAATGAAGTGCGAGTCAGCGCTTCAGGATTCTCGGCGATTCCATCGACGATTGGGTTGATAACTCCATCAACCAAGGACGTTGAAAGGAGTTCGGTTTCATTCTCGCAGTCGAACAGCTCGGCGTCAGCATCAGGCGTTGGCACAGATGTCGGATCGCTGAGATAATATTTTAACGAATCGTTAATATTGAAGTCTATTCTTTCCTCCATTTTGGGCTGTGTGGTGAGTGTGAGATGATTGTCAGATCGCAGACGGCAAGCGGGGAGACCGCAATGTTGTTAGATCGCGGAGGTGTTTATGTTTTACCCTTTTGGGACGGGCCGTCTTGGCGAGAAAGCCCGATGTTGTGTTGATGCGCTTCTTTCATCAAGCAGCCAGTCGGCACATGGAAATAGATCGTTGTAATCTGGGGCTGTAATCGCGAGGCGCCTCTTCGGAGGCCTTGTATTCCAGTAAGCAGTGTTATCGCTGCTGATGTGCCCACGCGTGCCGAGTAAATAATATTGCGAAGAAAGGAATGGTGAGGGGAGGTGATTCTTGTTTTGGACGGATCTCGTCGCGCGCCCTTCACCGCCTTCCCGATTTGCCGGCGTTTCCATTGTGCATGGGTTTTGTAAACACGACTTATCGATAATGATAATATTGCTTGACAACAATAATAATAACAACAACAATAACAATGACCAGACCCTTGGACCTTCCCCGTACCTCAACCGCGCCTCACTGAATGACGCGCGACTAACCGAGTGTCTTACACACGTTATGATCAATCGCACTCTACGCGTTGTGACTAGCCCTTGAACGCTCGTTCTAGAATATTACTGCTATGAATCCTTCTCCTAATGAAGCTAAGCTAAGTCTAGAGCAACCTGAGAGTCCCAGAGATATCTACATCGAATTTATGGCTCCAAGCGAGCAAATACCAGAAACGGGCGAGAGCGCGCGGGCAGAAGACATGCCTTCAAAAAACAGTCTTTCAGAACAAGCTCATGAGCATGAGTTGGATGAAGAAAAGGTTGACGAGTCTGTCAAGGAAGATATGCAGAAACTGGAAGATACATTCCCAGGGATCTCAGAGAGGTTCCGTTTGATCAATCGGATTGGTGAAGGTGAGGAACTTTGCTTCTCTTTCGAATGCCCATTGACCGAATCCCCAAGGGACATTTTCCACCGTGTACAAAGCTGAAGATCTCCTTTACGACTCCTATGACAACGATTGGAATCTCGAAAAAGACCTTAATGATAGCCATTGGGACAGCCCACCATCAAAAAAACGTCGACTGGGAGATACCTTGACTAGCGGTACACCAAGCAACGAAAAGAGAAAACCACGATATGTCGCTCTCAAAAAGATATATGTTACCAGTAGCCCTTTCCGCATCCAGAATGAATTGGAGTTACTACATGATCTTCGAGGATGCCGGTCCGTTTGCCCGCTCATCACGGCCTTCAGGCACCAGGACCAGGTAGTCGCGGTTCTTCCTTTCTTTCCCCATACAGATTTTCGCATACAATATCGCACATTTCTAGTTGCCGATATGCGTCATTATTTTCGATCATTGCTCTCTGCGCTAACGTCTGTGCATAAACATGGAATTTTGCACCGAGACATTAAACCTACGTAAGAAAGGGCCCCCTTCTGCCTGTGGCATACTAATTCTCAAAAGCAACTTTCTCTACGATCCGGAACGGCGACGAGGGGTACTAGTTGATTTTGGCCTGGCCGAGGTATGTTCATGAAGTCCCTATGTATGAGGAAATAATCACTAATATACTCATCTTCGACTTTCCAGCGCCAAGGATCTGACTATACCTCCCCTTGTTTATGTACAAACTCGTCATACGTGCGACGACAGAGGCTCTTGGGGAGCTACTACAACTCTCATGCCATGCAACAACCGAACGGTTATCCTAAAAACGACTCTCGGCCATCTCGAAGAGCAAACAGAGCTGGAACGCGTGGCTTTCGTGCTCCAGAAGTCCTCTTCAAATGCACATCACAAACCACCAAGATAGACATGTGGTCTGCAGGGGTTATTCTACTCACCCTACTTGGCCGACGATTCCCATTCTTCAATTCTGCCGACGACGTCGATGCCTTGATCGAAATGGCTAGTATCTTTGGTAACCGGCGAATGAAGGCTGCGGCAGCCATGCACGGGCAGATTTTCGAAACAAATATCCCTACGATTGGGGAAAAGGGTTATAGCTGGGAGAAGCTTATCATCTGGTCCAGCTGCGTGGAAGATTTGACTGAGAGCGAGAAACAGGCTATTCGTCTGCTCTCTGGGTTGATGGAATTAGACCCTTCCAAGAGGCTCAGTGCTCGGGAAGCATTGCAGCACGAGTTCTTTTGGGAACCGATCGATCATGATATCGCGTGGGGTGGTGAGCCTGATGGAGGGGATTCTAGTGAACATGGCGATCCTCAGGAAGAAAACAAGGATGAAATGACAATGCTTTGATATCGCTTCTATACCATGCAATTAAACATAATGAGTGTTTAGCACTTTATGGATAATACAGCTTAATCATACTATCAGGTGGCGCATATCACGTGAGGCGTTTCTGCCTTATAGCGTCATCGACCATTGTTGCCATGGTTAACAAGCAATGATGAAAGTGTAACGCATTTGCCTCACAATTTGAACCTCGAGAAGCTGCAGCTGCTTAAACAAATACAAATACATTCGTCAATATCTGCTACCGTTCTCAGAGTACAGTTCAGGTATGCATAGTTCAGGTATACATAGTTAAGGATTGGTTCAACTCGCCTGACTTGATCAAATCACTATCATTCCACGCAAGAATACAAAATTACCAAATCAACGCCGTTTTTCGCTGTGGCTTTGGGTCGACTCTTCTTCAAAAGACCCTTCACGATGGCGTGGTTCTGTTCTGGAACAACAAACGCCGAGCTCATCAACAACCTTTGGAACGCGGGGCTGATCAAGAATGAACGGGTGAAACGGGCAATGCTTGGTGTGAGCACCATAAGTCCCTGACCGTAGTTAGCCTTCAGCATATTACACGTACCCCTTCTTTATTTCCCTGTCATTTGACGTTTAACCACTACAAATATACTTGTGGATGATGGATATCCAGATATACAACTGCTAACATTGAGCCTCCCTCTCAAGGTTGATCGCGATCATTATGCGCCTTCCAGCCCATATTCCGACTCGCCTCAGCCCATAGGCTACGGAGCTACCATCTCTGCACCGCATATGCACGGCCACGCGTGCGAGTATCTCATTAACCACTTACGCCCTGGGTCACGCGTGCTAGACATTGGGTCTGGATCTGGCTACTTGACACATGTTCTGGCGAATCTGATAACAGACTCATCTTCGCCATCGACTGACTCCGACGGCCATGTGGTTGGCATTGATCATATCCAGGAGCTTGTCGACTTGGCCCAGACGAATATGAGCAAATCGGAGGATGGCCGCAATTTCCTCAAGTCGGGCAAAGTAGAGTTTGTGACGGGTGATGGCCGGCTGGGGTGGAAGGAGCGTGGGCCGTATGATGCTATCCATGTAGGCGCTGCTGCGGCGTCGATTCATCCCACTCTCGTTGAGCAGTTGCGGGCGCCTGGTCGATTGTTTATTCCAGTTGAGTCAGAGCCGAAGGAGGATGCTTTTAGTCAGTTTGGCATGGGTGGGCAGTATATCTGGGTTGTGGATAAGAAGGCTGATGGATCGGTGCACAAGGAAAAAGTTTTTGCAGTAAATTATGTCCCTCTGACAGATGCCCCCTCAAAAAGAATGTGATGGGATGTGCCAGAGAATCAATTGATGTAGTTAAGTTCTTTGAGAGTTATCCTTAATGCAGAATTACGAGTAAAAGAAAAAATGATTAAACCACCACTTAAGCCCTTATACTATATCAAAACATCTATGCCCAATGATACATACAATCCAAAGCTCACAGTAAAAATATACTCATGCACCGCTGTCAAAAAAGAACCAAATTAGGTTCGCTTAAAAATATGGTGTATCTAGAATGGAAATCCGCCAGGGAAATTGAATCCTTGACCAGAGAACTTGAATTGTGGCCCGCCACCACCTTGCTGGAAGAAGAACTGTTGACCGCCTCCCCTTTGACCACCGAATCCTGGATGTCCCTGGAAAGGCTGGCCTCTTTGCGCCTCAGGATCATTAGGGTCATCGCCATTGTCATATCGTGTCCTCAACTCAGAATCCGACAGAACCTCGTAGGCCTCGTTGATGGAGGCCATTTTCTTTTCGGCATCTTCCTTTGTAACGCCCTTAGATACGGCTTTATCGGGGTGATGAAGCTTGGTGAGTTGCCGATATGCTCGCTTGATTGTTCGGTCATCGGCATCACGAGCTACACCAAGGACTTTGTAATAATCCTTTTGTTTTGACCTCTTCAGCAACATCTGTGCTTTGCGCAACATTTCCTGGACTTCATTGGAGTTCTGATGATGTTCCTTGGCTGTGTTGAGCGTCTCGATGGCTTTTTCAAACTCATCTGCTTCGAGCTGAGCCTGAGCCCGATGCAATAAGCCATGCAGTGAATGAGGATTCGCTGTAAGGGCTTCTGAGCAGTAAGTCTCTGCTTTTTTAGGTGAGTTGATCTGTCACGCTGGAATCAGTACAAGCCATGTTCATAAAGATAGGAAGCCACTTACAGCTCTATATGCTTCGCAAGTAGTTTCCACAAGAGATTCGTAGAGCTGGTTAGGCGCGTTAGGGTGAATGCGTCCCAATTCTCGAGCTTCTTTCACTTCTTCCTTTACATCATCGATCAAGCCGTTTTCATCATTCTTTCCTACTAACAGATTTATTGTGTTGCTGAATTTACGCTTACCCATAAATTCCCTGACCTGGTCGAGCTGCTTAATGAGCTTCTTTTCCGTGCGAAACAGTCGGCTACATGACTTCGAGTCAGGGTCCGAGTGAAGACATTTCCGAATCTGGGCAGTGGCACGCTCGGTATCGCCATACGAGTAGAATAACGTCGACGATATTTGCAAGTGCGGCTCAATCGATCCGGGGGATAAGTGGAGTATATGAGTCAAATCGCTGAGGGCTTCTTGGATATCGCCTTTCTCAAACCGACATCGAGATCGGAGTTGCCGAAGACTCAAGGACATCGGTGCCTTAGAGATAGCGATTCCAGCCTGGTCCACACATGCTTCCCAATCACCACGCGCTTCTGCCTTTTCCGCAGCCCCTTCAGCGACATGTGCCGCTTCCAGCTCTTGAAACTCTGGCGTTGATTGTTTGCCGGCAGCGATGAAATCCTCCTTTGCAGCGCTCCAATCCGCAATCTTGGCCTTGATCCTGGCGCGTTGCAGCAGAGCACCGTCGAAGTCGGGCTTTAATTCCAATACACGGTTGAAGTCATCTGTGGCCTGAGCATCTCTCCCTAGCGATAGATATGTCGCGCCTCTCTGGAATATGGTCAAATAGTTTGTGGGGTCTCGCGCTACAGCTGCGTCAAAGTATACCAATGCATCACGAGGGGAGCCGCCTGCAAGGTGCGACTTTGCAGAGGCCACCAGTGACAAGACTGGTGTATCTGCTGGAATGTCAGACGCTTGGAGGCAAGATCCGACACCGAGGCAAGCCAGTAGAATAGCGGGAGTCTTCACTGTCAAGAGCATACTGTCTGAGAGGTATATAAAAGAGAGACAATCAGAGGCGACACTGTGAGACCTCTTTGGGCCAATATTCACATCATTGGGGTTTATCTCAGGATCGAAGGAGATGCCTTTGGACCTCTGTGGCCTTTAAAGGGTCCGTATCCAATTACGTGGCATTACGGCGCGCTAGATCTTATCAGCACGTGACGATCCCAACCTTAACTTATCATGAGCTATTTTTATAGTCTTCCAAACAAAGATGAACATGTGCTGTACACTATTATAGAGCTGCGAGTTATGAATAAATATTCTTGATCGAGGAATGCCGATCCAATCAGCTCCCGACGGGCATATCTCGCAGCATGTTTGGAGCAATCGCCGTACCCTCACGGTGTCTCCGGTGTCTCCGAAACCCAAGCTTGCTATTAAGGATACCCTCTAGGCAAAACCGGCTTCAATCATCAGGTATCTTGTCTATTACATTGTTCCAACATGTTCCTAATATCTAATCTGTTCCATCCACCTCAAAGCTACCGGCCTATCAAATGCACTACTCAATCGAGCTCGCTCAGTCGCCAAAGAACATGACAGCCTCTCCCAACGTCTATTAGAAAACTTCGACCCCAAGATCGCAAAGCGTATGGGCGAACTTGCACCTATAACTAGAGCATTGAAGGAGTGGGAAATCGCCAATGAAGTGGGTTGATTCGGTTCAACGATACTAGCGAGGGCATCCGACTGACTTTTTTCCCCACCCCTTGGTGGTACGCAGAGCATCGCAGAACTGGAATCATTGCTTAATGACCCGGAAACTGACTCGGAGTTAAGATCTCTGGCAATTGAAGATCTCGACCAGACCAAGTCCAAACTCCCGGCGGCATCTGAAGAATTGAAGAAATCTCTAATCCCAAAACATCCTTTCGCCCCACTCCCATGTCTTTTGGAAATTCGGCCTGGTGCGGGGGGTGACGAAGCTGGTTTATTTGCTTATGAGCTATTGAAGATGTATATTTCGTTTTGTTCGCGGCATGGCCTACGGACGATTATTATAAAGAAGGATATGGAGGATGGCACGGCGGATGACCGTCTCACTGAGGCTGTGATGGAAGTTGAGACACCTGGTAGCTACGACATCCTAAGGACTGAGATTGGGGTTCACAGAGTTCAAAGAGTCCCAACAACAGAGACCAAAGGCCGCACACATACCAGCGCCGTGAGTGTGATGATTCTTCCGAGTTTTCCTGAGACAGGAGGCGAGGATGGGAGTTTCAATTTCGAGGATCCAAATAGCGACTATTATGTTGATCCCCAGGAAGTGCGGTCGGAAAAGATGCGTGCTAGCGGTGCTGGGGGACAACATGTCAATAAAACAGAGTCCGCCATCCGTTTGACCCATATTCCAACGGGGATCGCTATTTCCATGCAGGATTCAAGGTCTCAACATGCCAATCGCAAAAAAGCCTGGCAGGTTCTTCGGGCAAAGCTTGCTGAAAAGAGACGAGAGGCACGGGAGGAGGAAATGGTGAAGCTTCGAAGAGGAGCTATGGGCGGTGTTGCAAAGATGGGCCGTGGCGATAAAGTCCGGACCTATAATTTCAGTCAAAGCCGATGCACTGATCATCGAAGTGGCTCTACGGTTCATGATCTGACGAGCGTTCTCGATGGTGGCTTTGGGCTGGAGACTATTATGGATAGTGTGCGAAAGTGGCTCGTGGACCGTGAAGTAGAGGTCATGATCACAGAAGAGCAGACGGGGAAAAATTAACGATCCGCTTACACCTAGCCCATTGGGTATGAGGGCATTGATGTAAAATAAATGTATTTTTACGATATTACATAGTGTATTTCTATCATTTTTGGGACGTTGAATGTGATACAAAAGTTAGAGCATAGCAGATTTTCTGGACTCAAACACATCATAAATACTTGCGTTCAGGATCAAACTTATCCAATCCTTCCATCGTTTTCTCGTACCTAGAGATCAAAGATCAGTATCAACTCGATTTCAAACAGAAGGGAGAATTCAGGAGAACGAACATGGTAAACACAATTCCTCCACTTAGAATCAACCGTGCCAGACGTGGTACTGCTCCAGACCAGAGAGTAAAGACACCCTCTTCTTTGACTATCTTCACGGCACACGACAGACTATTCTTGTAATTCTTTCTTGCTTCGAGAGATTGCATTCTGTCCTCATTAGCCCGGAATCAGACGAACGAACCAGCAACAGCGACCTACCTTGTTTTCACTGTATCCAATGGCTGTGTAGCATATCTAATCAACGTGAGCAACCCCTCAGCAACCAGTCAAAAGCGAGACATACACTGTTATCAAACCAGCAACCCCTCCAATCGCAAAAGTGCTAAGTGTTCCGAGCTTTTCGCCGGGAGCAACATAACCCTGCGCAAACTGCTTTAGAGTCGTATAGCTTGAAAACCTCACTGCCGAATTCGCAGCCTGGCGCGCAGTGGTAGGAACAAGTCCTTGAAAAAAGCCCCGAATACCTCTCTCCTTGGCAATAATCTTGCTTCCATGGAGGAATCCTCGCATTCTGGGGTTTGCAGATTTGCGGTCATCGATACTACGGTATAGATATTGATGTCAGTCGCACCGTGCCAGTCTCGTTTCATACGTATCACAGGAACACCACTAACAGCTGAGTCTTGATACTCTCAAACGGCGTTACAGCAAGTAATGACTCTGTAAACCCAGCGCCAAATCCCGCAATAACCGTCCTCGGTCCAGAGATTTTTCCGTCTGCATCTTGAAGAAGGGATTTGAATTTGTCGAACGCAACAAAGCCTGCCAAGAAGTCAGTTGATCGTAGTTTGACCGCATCGCCCACACAAGACCGGAGGCTCTTACGGATTCCAGCCTTCAATGAATTTCCAATTATCAATGTCGTGCACCCGGCATACCACTGCTTGCCGAACGGCGGCCAGGGAAGCTTCTTCGAGTCGGGTAATCGGTGGTTTAATTGGGTTCGTGTCTTTGCAACTGAGAGTCCGGCCGATTAGCAATTTCCAGTCGCAATATCAATATTCGCGACAATAGGCTCGTACATTCTGCGGGATATGTAATTGCTATAATTCATGTGTTAGCTATATAGGTATAGGTATGACTCATGGGTCATGGTGAAGCGTGCGCTGCACTTACCAACCTCAATAGCTCCGGCTGTAGAACCCGCGATAATAGACCGCAGGCTGCTGGCCTAGTGGCTGGTGCGTTAGCAGGGGAGTCAGAACATAAATGAGAGTGTTTGGAGACTACCTTTGGCCGTCGGTCTTCCTCTTTAGACGCCATATCCAAACCCAACGTCAAGGTCGTGAATCTCGAACAATTAACTCCTCGGTTTATTTTATGGGACTCTTAATGGAGCTTAGAGCCTTAGGCTGGTCGGAGGTTCAGTGTCCGACTGCGAAATCGGACTGCGATAAGATTGCGTCTTGGCATAGCTTTACTATAACATCCTCAATGTCCACGCCTCTATACGGATTTAATAATTAATTAATTATAGTTATTTGTTCCGGTTTAATTTCACTGCACTAAATGATTCGGAGGGAAATTTGTCATTTCTAGATTAAGTATAAAACCTGCCGAGTACACATGGCTCTAGAACTCCTCCGTTATTTTTTTCATCGTTTTGTTTTAGCTTTTGGTGCGTGTAGTCAGTCGTATGGAGAGGCAAGGGTAGGATGATAGGTGTAACAGCTCTGGTTCAGAAACAAGACAAATATCGAGTTATTCAACTGAACTGAAGCTGTGGTTGTTGAAGTAGTACTGTGAGTAAACTGGTCGAGAAACGCGGGTCGCTTGGGTGTCCATGACAGTAGTAGACCCCTTACTTGAAGTGTGAAGGAGCCCCCAGCTGACAAAGACTCTGACCCAAAAGCAGAGAAAAGGGCACATATCAAATAGGTGTTGGAGACATTGCCACCAAGGTGAGAAATGGCGGCGTAGGGGTAACGAAAGCGTAGATGCGTTCTGACGAGACGTTCAACTCCCGTCGGCCTTCAGGGATGAAAGCCTGAACTCAATAATAAACAAAGTATTATGCATGGAGCTCCTTAACGAATAAGGCTGCGGACAGCCAGCCCATTGCGCCAGATGGAACGCCATATCCGACAATCAAAGATTTAAAAGCAAACAAACTCATGATCTCCATAGTCACATGTTCCCTATAAATGTCAAGTTCGAGCATCATAGGAAAACGTGAAGGACATCTTAGACATATGATACAATTCTGGTAGCATAACCGTAACTTCATCATTTCCCAGTCATAACAATTTCAAGAAAAAACACTGAAGCCATTGAAGACAGCAAACAAGAGCCGAAACGCGATGCATTTTCCAGAATAAATGTTGGCGCGAAAAGGTCTAAGAAGCTGGAGTTGGTTGAGGTTTGCCACCGTCGTGAGAATGGGCACCCAACGACCTGTGATTATCGTGATGATTGCCACCTCGACGTTGGCCCTGGCCTCTGCCTCGATAATATCCTCGACCACGGTTGGGGCCGAAATAAGCAGCTGCGTGATGGTTAGGCCGACGCTGCTCGCCTCCGTATCTATCGGTCTCTCCCGGTTGTTGTGGCTGCTGTGCGCTGGCTATAGGGCGCGGGATAGTGTCGGGAGACTCGTAAACATACAACTTCTTATCGATAGAGGCAGGGATAGGTTGGATCTCAGTGCCTAGCTCCTGTTCAATCTTATAGAGGTTGAATCTATCCTCCCAGTTGATCAGGTTGATTGCCAGACCGAGATGTCCGAAACGACCTGAACGACCAATACGATGAAGGTACGTCTCAGCATTCTTGGGGAAATCGAAATTGATGACAACGTTCACGGCTTGAATGTCAATACCACGGGTCAGAAGATCGGAACAAACGAGGTTTCGGCAAACACCGTTGCGGAAATCGTGGAAAACGCGGTTTCGATTCTGCTGGAGCATACGAGCGTGAGAATAGAAGCAGGAATAGCCGAGTTCCGTAATTTTCTTCGCCAAGAGCTCCACACGGTTAGTCGAGTTACAAAAGATAATAGATTGGTTAATTTGAAGTTTCGAGAAAAGTGTGTTTAGGCAATGGACTTTCTGTTTCTCTTCAACAAAAGCGTAGTACTGAGTGATACCACGAAGAGTCAGTTCATCCATTAGATTGATTTCGTAGGGATTGCGCATATGCTTGTCCTATAATACAATTAACATTTTGAATCGCTTTATAAAGGATGATAACGTACCTTGAAGGATTTGACAATCATAGGGAAAGTAGCGCTAAACAACATAACCTGACGGTCCTTAGGGTGGAAGGAGAGGAGCTGTTCGATGACCGGTGTGAACTCAGGCGACAGAAGCTTGTCAGCTTCGTCCATAACAAATGTTGGGCACTCGGACAAGTCTGCAACGCCCTTACTAGCCAGATCAAGGACTCTGCCTGGCGTGCCAACAATGATGTGAACAGCATCGTTCAAACGGATAATGTCATCCATCAACCCAGTTCCACCTGTAGTGACCATGACATTGATGCCAAGATGTTTTCCAAGAGTCTTGCAAACCTGGGAGGTTTGGAGAGCAAGTTCTCTGGTAGGTACGAGAATAAGGGCCTGAGTTTTGGTGCTTTTCGGATTTATACGTTCAAGGGTTGGGATGACAAAAGCTGCGGTTTTGCCTGTGCCGTTCTTCGCCCTTGCGAGAATGTCTCTTCCCGTGAGTGCAACAGGTATTGTTTCTTCTTGAATTGGAGATGGTTTTTCAAACCCTGCTTCAAAAATTCCCATCATCAGCTCCCTCTTGATGTAGAAGTCTTCAAATTCAAGCCCCTTTGTTGCAGTGACATCCTTTTTCATCCTATCAGTATTAGATCTCAGCTTTAGAAGGCGATTTCATACCTCAGTCTGTGTTCGTGTGTCTTTGGCTGGAATTTTCAAGCTCTCCTTCCAGGATCCGTCTGCGTTCGCTTCACTATATTATTTTGATTCCATTGAGCAAATTATGCATTCCAAAGATCGAAGGTCTGTCCCTACCCCAATTTTGTATTGCTAAGCTGTGTTGCGAGTGTGTCGGCCATGGCGACGCGTTTCTAGGAATGTAATGCGCAGATTATTTCGCGCGGCAGGGTGAGGAAAGGTATTTAATATTATAGTTTCACGAGAAGTTGCGGGTCAGCACGATCCCGTAGATGTGTCAGTGGTTGATCGAACCCTGCGAATATCTCTGTGGGATGAGGTGTGTTAGAAAGTTGACAGCGACAAATGAGTAGGTGTAAAAAGGGTGAGCTGTAGAAGAACTAGGTGGCGCACATATGCAAATTTCACTCACAGGAACGGGTATAGGTAGGATGAAGACAGGTTGAAATCCTATGTGGAGACGGAGACTCGTTTACGGTGGGACTTTCGAGTCTTGTGTAGTTAAAGGTAGATGCTTTCAAGGTAGGATGTGCGCATTAGTAGCTAAGAAGGGCGTTGAGATAGGCAGATTGGTTTCTTTGAGGCGTGTGGAGGAGGGGAAGTCGTGTCTGCAAAGAGCATGAATTGAAGTTGCGGAAGCGGTGCAGCAACTCGGAGCGCAGAATAGAATGATGGGGAAGCTAAAATCTGTCCAACCACAAGCCGCGCCGCAGGTAGGCGTCGCCGCTTTAGCATACCCTGCACAGGGCCAGATATTATCGTCTACTGCTATCGAAATTTCGAAGCAGAAAAAAAGTACAGAAATTGAAGTTTCACCATTTTTTGGAGTGTTTTCATTTATGCAATAGTGGATTGAAAACTATGGATTGTGGCATCCCATCATGAAAGAAGAGGAGTTACCGCCAAAGGATCAAAAAAGAGAATGCGGATACCGTGAATCGAACACGGGTCTCCTCGGTAAGCTGAGTACTCCACAACGAGGTGTACTAACCTAATAGGTGTGAGTAGATTGACTTGGGATGATGTTGTGAAAGTTGACTTACCACTATACTATATCCGCTGATGGAGGACAACCCAAAGTACGACATTATATTCACAGTTAAAGACTCTGTATTTTACTTGCCCCGCTCACATAAATCCCATCACTAGCTAGATAATAAATTACTCTCCCTATTTAGTAATGAATAGTGCTTTATTGTCCTAAAGAGGCCATACTATAAGGCTCAGTATATAATTTACTTACATACATAATACCATTGTCTCCTCTCGGTATGGGAGGTCTGTACAGTCCAATTCAATGCCGTGCTTTCATGCCAATGAAACATGACTTAAGCCGATGTCTACAATTAGCCAGTTTCGGGCTGTTGTGAGAAGGTTATTTGGAAAGCAGGCAAATCGTTGGAATTGAGGCCAAATATATGGGTAGATATGCGTACACACTGATTGCTGACAGTCCGAAGGTGCTGACACTGCACTGAGATGTTATAAACCGGTTGTAACGCTTTGGGCCTCGCAGCGTTTAGGATTCAGCAACGCGTCAAGCAGAGTAGTAAGTAGAAACGTATCTAACATATGCCTCTGAAGGCATATTTAAACATATTTCTGTGCGTTACTTCATAGAAATAAGCAGCATGTTAAGTATACATATTGTGTTTGTGGTAAATATGTATCCAGTTATCTATGTATACACATGCAGGAGAGAGGGCCTGTCACTTGTACATGTATAGGTAAATAAGGTAAATTCAATATCTAGTCACGTACTTAGCGGTACTAGCCTATATTTAGCAGGTATTCTGGCACTGGTGGTGTCTAATTAAGAAGAAATTGGCCTGATTAGGAAGTATGTATGTATACGTTTTCATATAGAAGCGTTATAGTAATGTTGCTGTAATGTTTCTATTCATACCATATCAGTAAAATTAGCCTCGCATTTAAATTCCTATATATGTTCGAGCGAGTATTCCACTATATTGGTAGATATATCATAAAAATGAATTATTCATCTGTTTCTGCTTGACCGCCTGGGCGTGCTGGGCGGTGCTGACCATGGATACTGCGTTTGGACGCCAGTCAAAAACCAAATTGTAGAATAGACTATTCCTCCCTCTTATCCTCTTACTATGCTACATACTAAGTTCTCTCGTTAGAATAACACCAGTTTATTCATCAAATTAACTCGCAGCAACTCATACCACTGACGCCACTATGGATTCAGATGATAGCTCCAATACCCTAGATGTACTTCGACATCTGATACTGAATATCCTTGGAGAGCACGATGATGATCAGATATTTTCAACGTCCTTAATATCTACTGAAGATTATTACAAACAAAAATTATAACAGGAAATTACCGAGGATGTTTTCAAAATCGCAACCATTCTTACACAAGCTGGTCTGAGCCCACTCAGCTTAATGTGGTTCAATCGAAAAATCTAATCTTCCTTAAAAAGATCTTTCGAAAACTGTCCACCTTTACAAACCACACAATAGATATATGCTCTGACTAATTTGATGTGGAATGAGATGATCAAAGCTAGATCCAAAGATCTACGCTTTCCAGAATGGTATATGCTACTATAAATCCCGGTTTTCGTTGGAAGAAGTGGTCGAAAATGAAAACTAAACACTTTTAGGTATATGCGACTGGGTAAATTTCTTTTGGAAAGCCCTTAATCCTATATAGAACTATGATAACCACTGGGTGGATAGACACAAGGATGAACGAGAAATGGAGAGATGGTGGTAGCACTATCATCAAAACCCAAATTCTCCAAAAGAAAGGCTAGAGCCAGTTACTATGGGGATATTGTCCTCACAAAATTCCAGCAATTGTTGTATCTGTGGGGTTATCCTTATTTTCATTGACTGCCTATATTGACTTTGTTTAGGCACCAGAGAATGGCTCTTTCGAGATCGAATTCCCAAAACTCCGATGGCGACAGCGAAGCGAGACTTGCTTTTTATAACCAATAAAGGGCTAGCTAGAACTCGACAAGCAAACACTTTTGCGGATTTAGCATCTGGTGACCCGCTTGAAATAATAGCGACTCGGCCACGTCGGTATTTCATGGTTCGCAATAATATATCCTGCCATTTGCTGGGCGTTCAAGAAAGAGGTATCTGGATTACTGATAATAGAGGCATACTACAAATATCATGCAAGAGTGATACCGAATACAAAGATCGCGCGAAGAGGATTGATAATAAAAGAGTCAGCTAGAGTGTAACACGGTGGGCTCACCGAGTTCGGGTGTTTATCTGCTAGGCTTGAGATGAGGGTGTTGAAGTTTCATCGTAACCCCGTATAAAGCCAGGAAGCAGTTAAAGTACTAGGACCAATTCTTCGTAGATTCATCCGATATAGTTGTGTACAACTTCCCAAAACCATTAACCACGCCTCTAATCATACATCATGTGGGGCGAAAAGACAAGGTCCTTTGTCCTCGCTCTGGCTCTGCGAGTCTAATATGCGGTCAGCACTAGAACTTTGAAAGAAACATGGATTAATGGGGGCTTACTCTTTGATTCGCACGTCTGGGGCAAGACTGATTTCCGCCCTCGAGCCGGGTGTGATTAGGATAAATTGACGGCCAATTGACCTTCTTGCAGCCAGCATCTGTAGCAGCGTTAGTTAACAAGGCAATCTATCAACCATCCCCAAATACGATGAACTCACGAGCATATCGATAGACATCTTTCGGTTTACAACGTCCATATAAACATCACTGAGCGTCGAGTTTAGTCTTCTTATCCATCTGTATCATCTTTAAGCGACTTACAATTCATCGAGGCAGCGAATAGGCGAGCCCATAGCTTCCCACAGTGACAGAAGCAAGCAAACTTGAGAGAATGACTTCTCTCCGCCAGATAATGTCTTCGCACCGCGACCTGCACTGTCCTTGGTGATGTCTGGCTCAACTTGCAAGTCGAGCAGTTTATTCTCATGATCTGTCAGAAGCCGCCCGCGGAAGCTTCGCTCGCTGAGTAGATATGTAAACTGGGCTTTGGCACGGGAGGAGATATGCGCCCTAAAGTTTCTCCATCGTTCGCGGCGATAATTAATCGTGTTTTTAAAGATCTGAGGTAGATTCAGTGTTAGCATACCAACGCACGAGAAGAAATGACCTCATTCCCGTTTCTAACCTGTTCAATCTTCTCCAGCTCATTCAGCTGCCTTTCAGCGTTTTTGAATGCATTGTCAGCCCTCAATAATTCGGCTGCAATCTCTTCTCTCGACGCGCCCATCCTAGTAAAAGAAGTCAGATATCGGCTAAGTGATCTAGTCATGCAAACTAACTGTTGGTCAAAGCGATCTAGTTCCTTGTACAGTTTTTCGAGCTTCCTATCGAGGCTATCCGGAGTTTGTCCTGGATCAACAGGAACTCTGGGAGATACGATGCTAGCCTGTTCACTGTAACTGACAATACGCTCTTCCATCTCTTCTTGGTCCTTGCAAACCCGAGCTTTGTCTAGCTTCAATTCTTCGATGCGCGAAAATACGGCGTTCTTTTCAGCGAGAGCTTCCAGCCTTTGCTCCTCAACTTTCTGGCGTTCGTTGTCAGCAATTCGAACCTGTTCTTCTTGCGCTTTAATCTCTTCGTCCTTTGCCGCAAGCTGACGCCTAGATTCCTTCAAAGAATTCATTATAGCTCTCATAGCAACTTCAGACTCTTTGTAGGAGTTATCGCTGAGCATTTTTTGTTCCTCAGCTTCTTGTAGAGATTCTTTCAGAACATCCAGGCGTCCATCCACAACATGGTCTTTTTCAATAGCATCCTTAAGCTCCTCAGCCTGATCCTCAAGGCGTTGTACTTGGATACGTAAATCATCTTCTTCTTTCTTATGGCGAGCCAGAGCCTGTTTGCAACGTTCAAGTTTGCTCCGCGATAAAGCCAGTTCTTGTTCCATAGCAACCATATGCGTTTTAAGTGCTTGAACATTCTCTTTTTGAACTCTAAGAGATGGTTATCAAACCTGTTACAAAGGAATAGTAGATCGACATACCTTATTTGGGAATCTATGTCTGTTCTCATGCGCGGTTTCCCCGTATATGGAGCAATCGGGGACTGGCTTGGTTCTCCTGTGCGTCCGTAAGATAGCGTAACGCCTCGACGTCGGTCAGCTGCATCAATGCAGAAACAGCGTTTCACATTCCTTAAGCGAGGCCCTTCAAAAAGGACCGTTGATGCTTCCTCGACGTTTTCTATAAGGACCATTTGCTCGATTCCGTGGTTGATGATTAATTGCCGACGAACCAAATCGTTATCAATCTGGTGGGCGTGAGATAGACACTAAAAGAAGTAGAACGGCATTCACTCACATCAAGAACTCTCAAGACAGTTTCGAACCGCGGGTCTGGTTCGTGCTGGGAAGTGTCGATACTGCCTTCAGTACCAATGAGAATCGGGCAGACGCTAAGATACCATTAGATGAAATTCGTTGGTAATATTTGAGGAACCGCACCAGTTAACTTTATGCATAATTTTGGTGAGGGTATTCATGTCTTTTTTCGAGGTCACAATGAAACTGCCGAGTGTACTGTTAAGTGATTGTTCCAAAACAGCAGACCACTCTGGTTTCAGAAGCTTAACATGATGGCCAACTGGTCCGACGGGATGTCGATCAAATGATCTTTCATCGCTGATGGCTCTTAATAACAATGGCAATTTGTCAGAGAAACCTCCATCAGATTGACCACGATCTTTAGTCAAAGCTTGAAGAGAAGTTTCGGCCTGATCAATATTCACTTTCTGCTGACGAAGAGGCGCATGTTTTTGTTTCACATCACCTTCTGCCGTGCGTACTTCATCCTCAAAAAGAGTAGATTTATTCCGGTGCTCTTCGTAGGCTTGCCGGATATCCTCTACCTCAAGTCTTCGTTGTTTGAGTTCTTCTTGTCTACGGGCGTAACTACCACCGTCAATATCTGCAAGCCGCCGATTTTCTTCGGCAATATCTTGTCTGAATTTTGCAATACTGGCATCGGCTGTTTTAACGTGTTCATGAATTTCCCGTTGTTGGGCCTATATCTGTGTTTAGAACATAGATTGCGAACCAGTTGAAACTCGACTTACCTGCATATCGTGACGATCGCTCATCTGTGAGTCATTATGTTCTTTTAATTCTTTTCTCTCGTCTTTGGCTTGGTTTAATGCCGCCTTTGTATCTTCTAACACTTGAGACGCAGTGTCGCATTCTCGCTGTGCTTGCTGGTAGACGTCGTCAAGAGCTGGAATTCCAGATTCAGCCGTGGTAATGCTCTCGTTGGCTTTGTCTACACGTTTCTGGTAGTAATCGCGGGCCTAGAACAAGATATGAGCGTTGAAATACTAAGCACAAGTCCCTAGACATCATATACGCACTCTTTCAAGTTCCTCAACCTGCGCCCACGCCATCTGCCCTCGCAAATTCGCGACACGTTCCCTTAGGGAACTCCTTTGATCTGAGAGTTCTAAACGTCGCTTTGCCTTGTCCTTTTCATCTTGTAGGGCCTTGACGTCGTCTTTCCGAACACTGAGTTTCTGCTTGATTTGGTCCACGTATTCCTCAATGAGGCGATAATCATGATCCAGTTGTTCCAGCTGCACGCCTTTTACGAAAAACTTGTATTTCTCTGCCGCACTGGATGAGCTCAAAAACTGACGAGCCATATCCTGTGAGAGCACATTCATAGGGTTGTCGATCTGTAGATTGAAAAAGTCCGTGATCGCGTCCAAATCGGCCCTTTTGGTGGAGACTATCTTGCCTCCTTCATTTTTTACTTTGAATCCGGAGGTCCCATGCTTTGAGAAATGACGCTCCACAATGATAGACTTGCCAAAATCGTCTGGCATGTAAGCGCCATCCCCTTGGTTTTTTATGCGTACAATGATGGTACATGACCTGTAAATATATGAGTATATTGCCTGTCACCAAAGGTAAGGGGCATCTAATTCAATAGTAAAGAGATATAACTCACTCTTTCCCCTCTTTGATAAAACTTTTCAGATTTTGACCTCTGTTTGTCGCGGAGGCTTTCCCTCCCAAGCATAGAGTAAGCGCAGTCAGAATGGCGCTCTTCCCACTTCCATTCTTGCCGACAATGAAGTTGATCAACGGCCCCAGTTCAACTGAAAAATGTTCATGGCACATGAAATTAAAGCAATCTACACGCTCGATGATGCCGTGATCGGCAGGAACGTTCGCCTCGTCGGTATGAAACGAGTATTTGTCGTGAATGAGCTGTGTTGCCTGAAACTCCAAGGCATCTTCGTTCACGACTTGGATTCCTGCCGATTCCCATGGTCGTTCAGTTGCATCATCTGCGAATTCTGCGCTCGATTCCGGTGAGGAGGTGCTGGGAGATGTGCGACGTCGTTTGCTCTATTGACATTATCGTTAGAAGTCATTTACTGGTATCAAGATAAGGGTAGGAAAATTACAGAATCCGAGTTGGAGCTGGCATCTGAATCGCTATCATCTAGAGTTGACAGCCCACGCTTTAGTGGCGCCATAGTTCGCCTACACAGCTTGGCTGGTAAATTGCTTTCTTGAATGTGCTCAAAAGCGAAAGACGCGCCGCCACAACGCGGGTGCGCGTTTGTCACGGGACCAAGCAACATTGGGGGGACTAGCACTATGTCCCTTTCTGGTCAGCAACAGTCGCAGTCAGAATACCAGAACTGCATGCAGATTGTATTTGTTCTGTGCTGAGCGACCAAAAAGATTCATACTATGGCTATCGAGGAATACAGAGACCATCCAATTACTCCATATAGTAAGCGCCACCCAGCGAACGTAGAAATAAAGTGATCAGTCACGCCAATGCCCATGTCCAAATGCAAAATTCCATCTACCTTCCCTCATGCAAAACGGTATACATATCTGCTTGCTTGTCCTTAAGTTCTCGAACAGGAAAGCACCAGTATGATATCTAAGTGTCCAAAGTCAATGTTCTATCCCCGCTGGTAACCAGTCATGTTAGCTGACTGACAACCCCAATCCATCAAACGACTATTAAGGCCAACAAAATTGGAGACAGGGAATGTAAGTCATGGGGTCGACCATCTTGTCGAGGATCTCAAAAGAAAAGGAAGCGAGTTGACATATATATCCCATCCACCATCCTATTTATCACGTGGAATAGGTTCCGTGGCAATCTGGCTGCCTGTCGTACATAGGCCTATTTCGATTGAGAGACAAAATCAGTCAAATATACTCTGCTTATGTTTCAGCCTAATCAAAGCATATAAACCAGAATATAGCTCTTTAACTGATTAAATCAACTGCCTTCGATTATTGGGTATGGGCTCCCATGATCTCATACGCGGTAGTTAGCAATTGACAAGTACATGTATTGCTTTATTTAAAAAGACTCACCCCTCGCCACCGACTGTAACATCAATGTAAGCAGTTGCTGGGCTATATATTCATCAACATACAATGGAATATCTATCAAATGAATCGCTAGCTTACTATGTGTATCCGCGCATGTCAGGCTTGATATGCTTCGTTGCTGGTATACATGCGCCCCATCCAAGTTGCTTTCCGCAACCCAACAAAGATTGTCAATGGGGAGATACAAATCGCTTGTCCCGGCAGTTTGTTGCAACAATTTTAATGACACTATTTCGTTATTTAGAGGGAGTAGTGGTAATAATCAATGTTATGGGGTAGAGAAGCATACTCTCAATACTCAGGCAAATGGATCTCGATGCATTTGAAAAGAGCAGACGATAATCCTTTGTCTTCAAGTTTATAACAAGCTTCAAAGTCGCATCTGGTAAGTGGTAGTCGTAAACCATTAAAAGCCCAAGGCCTCTGCCGAGAGCCGTTAATGTTCTATCAAAGGTGTAAATATTGATCGCTTGAAAACATACAGCTCGAATATGGGCTTCTCATATCGTTGGATCTGTTGAACTTTGAGCAGGAGTAACCCCTCCTGCAAATGCCTTAGCTGTTGAACAAGATATGTTGCTGCTATACATATTAGTAAAGCCTACACAATTGGATATTACCCTTACAATCCCCATCTAGAAGCTCTATCTCCACGTATACTCTTTTTACCATATTATCCCGGCCATCCTTAGTTCTAGAGATGCAGTCCGTCCGAGAAATAAGGACGTGTGATGCATTTTCGCCGCGTGTGATATCTGTATGATCATCCACTATGAAAAGATAAGCTCGCTTGTAAGTTCAAAGAAGAGAAACTAGCTCACCAATAAGAGTAAATTCCGATATATCATCCTCTACTAAGTCCATGTTTTGCATATTCGAACTGGTATTCAATATAACACCAGCAGTTTCACTAAATAACCACCCTCCTTCACCAGTCAGATTCCGATAGTGGACCAACTGTACTGTTTCAATAGGACCAGTAGAGTAGCTATGTCCATTGGCTGTCATCTTCACATTTCCTATGCTCTTATATAACCGATGTGTGTCACTTCGACTAAGTGTTAGAAAGAGTGTTAACAAGGGGTTTGTCAATGGCATACCAAAGCATATTCAGGACTGAGATCACTGGGAGGTGTGTATATGGGTTGATGGACGGAAACACCATTAATGAGCCCATTGCTCGATGGATTGCTGAGCTAGCGGCGATGGTTGCGAGCTCGGATATCGTGTTTTCGAATGCAGCTAGTTCTTCTTTGTGTCAGTTTTCTGTTAGCGCTAGGATACGAAACCTTGCGTACTCGATGGGGTTATATTTCGCAATATTAAGGACGTGAGCCGAGAAGTTCTGCTAGAGGAAAGCCATATCTTCCAAGATTTGGGGTCCCCATTTAGGCAGACAATCAGGCTCATAGGAGATACTAGGCGGGATATTAGGCCCACGTATGAGGAAGAATATGAGCTGAAGACGTACAGAAGTATTGTGCCAACTCTCCATCATGGATGTCCCCGTACATGGTTCGTCGCAGTTGACAATTACACTTGAAGACTGGCTTATTCGAAGTCTCGAGCCATTCGGGATTGAAGGAAGCGTTATCACATATAGGTACCGTGTCATAGGTCTCAGGATTCTCCGGATGCAACGAAAAAGTCAACTCCAATGGCTTTTCCTGTGGTTCTGGAGAAAATTTATGGAAGCTCATCGTCCGGCCGTTCAGATTGCTCGTGAACCAGATATAGATTTCTCGGAGCATTCTATGAGCGTCTTCTACATGATGGCCTATCCTCTGGTTTGTTTCGCTAGAGAAAACTGTTTAACTAGCAAATTACGCATAAGAGGAGGGGAAATCCTACCTGTTCATTACTGCAATCATAAGATTTAAGCTGTTAATATGAACTCCGAGATTATGCTGCAGCCTCGCCAGATCGCCTCCTTCCCTTGTCCATCGCACCTTCTTCCAGTTCTTCCGGATCTCCTCACGCCATCGTTTCTTCTGTGATTCACCTGCATCGCCTTGATCCTCTATGACCATGTACTTGCTTACGAGCGTTTCGAGATGTTCAAGCGTGAAGCGGCAGTTCTGCAGGATGGGTGTAATACTATTACCAGAGTCCGCGTTATCCTCTCTGGAATGCTGTGGAGACAGTGACTTCAAAGAGTCCAGTGCATGGGAGAGCGAGTTGAGTTGATTCTGCACTTCCTGAAACTCCGCGGGCGCTGACTTCCTACCCGAAGTGAATGCCTGCGAGATGCTCCAGGCGAGATTGCATAACATCAAAATATCACCGATCGATATTTGAAACGCCATGGCTCTGGAATGTTATTTAGAGAGAAACAGCAGATAGTGATGAGATAGGTGGTGATTCTGAAGGAAACTGTCCACTGTTGTTGGGGGATTCTGATGATCCCTCCACGCAATCAGAGAACACGAGGCTGTGCGAGGCTGACAGGCGTGCATTGTGCAAGGCTAGGTGGATGGAAGGCATTTACTATAAATGGGCAGTGCCATCCTTTTAATTTTCCCATATGTTCTGTTGATGCATCTCATATATCCACCGAGTGATCGGCTTAAAGACACAGGGTCTTTTAGTGCTGCGGTCAAGATATTCTTCTCTAGACGCCATCCTCATCGTGATGGATGTACTTGATCGGCTCCAATCCGGGCTGTTCTTCCATCAGCCCAGCATCACAGACTCGGGGCTGAGCATCAACCACCCTACACCCTTATGGGCCCAAACTGTGTCCAACGTTGACTATAACTATGTTCAACCCCCAGACACTCATCATGCCCCTAGTCCAACCCACGCTCCATCTCATACTCGCCTAATTCCACTACCACTGTTGAGCGTCTCGGTTGATGTGGATATGCACGGAAGACTATGCACCACAAAGGTCACCCAGCAATTCAGCAACACTTCCTCTTCTACCGCACAAAATGCGAAATATGTCTTCCCTACTTATGATGGTTCTGTCGTCACTACCTTTCGCTGCTGGATTGGCAATGACAGACTTCTCGAAGGAGCTGTGAAAGCTAAAGAAGAGGCACAGGCAGACTTTCAACACGCTGTCTCCCAGCACAAGGTAGCCGTATTGGTTGAAGAACTGGCACCAGAAGTTTTGGAGACTAACGTGGGAAATATCCCTGGCCAGACGACGGTAAAGATTGAGATCATCTACACCAACCTCCTGAAGGTAGACAATAGTAGCGGAGGATTGGTCTTCACGATTCCGACATCTATCGCGCCGCGATATGGAGTAGCTCCGGATGGGTATAGTGTAAACCAGTCCTTACTCACTGAAGGCCTGCGAGTCAAAGTCCAAGCATCAATGCCGGCAGTCATCCGCAAGATTGAGTCGCCATCGCATCCAATTTCAGTTGAGATTGGGGCAGTTCCCCACCATAGTTTTGAAAATTTCGCTGCTGGAGCTTCATCAGAGACATTTGATTTTTCGAAAGGACGCGCTACATTAGCAGGCAGATCGACAGCACTTGACCGGGATTTCGTCCTACACATACTGTGCAGCTCTCGGGAATTGACAAAGTCGCAAGCTCTTGCTGCAACACAACCTGACCAACCCAGCCTCTCCACAGTTGCAGTGACAATACACCCCGGAGATTTGTTCCTGCAGAATGTTGACATGGAGGACTTCGACGGTGAGATTATCTTCATGGCAGATAGGTCTGGCTCGATGCATTCAAAGATTCATTCTCTGATCAATGTGATGAATATTTTCTTGAGGAGCCTCCCTCAAAAATGCTCATTTAACATCGCCTCGTTCGGCTCCAGCTTTGCATGGTTGTGGCCTGCCTCGGAGAAATACAACCAAGAGAACCTGGATATTGCATCGCAACATGTTGGATCATTTGAAGCAAATTTTGGAGGTACCGAGATCTATTTGGCATTACAAAGTGTGCTAGATCACTACAATAAAAGGAGTGACGTGGTAACTAGTGTGATTCTGCTGACAGATGGAGAAGTTTGGGATGTGGACAATGTGATCCAGCTAGTGAGAAGAGCGGTGTCAAGGAGTGGGTCAAATATAAGATTCTTCTCGATCGGCATTGGAGATCGAGTCTCTCATCGTTTGGTTGAGGGCATTGGACAGCAGGGGGGCGGCTATGCAGAAGTTGTACATGAATCTTTAATGGGTTCATGGCAGGAAAGAGTGATACAGATGTTGAAGGCAGCGTTAACACCATCTCATCTTCAATGCGAAGTGGATCTCGGCCAGGAATTTACGACAAGGTCTTCTGAGAGGCAGATTTCTGGATATACCGTACACTGCCCGGCAATGATCAAGGCTCCGCATCATATACCTGTGCTGAATACCTTCTCATATTTTACTCTCTACTACATGTTGGAGAGCGAGTTAGAGTCGCTACCCGCAACTGTTACTGTGTCTGTAACAACTGACAAGGGAGAGAGGCTCACAGCACAGTTGCCACTGCGAAAGGTGACCGACCAAATAGCCATCCACCATCTTGCGGCAAAGGCATTGATGAACGACTATGAAACAGGACAAAGCTGGCTGGATACTCTAAATTCAAATCTGAAGTCCACCAATCCAGCAGCATTTGACAAGATTTTGGAGCAACAGGCACAACACCTTGGACAGAAATGGTCCATCACTGGCAAGTGGACGAGCTATGTTGCCATTGATCGTACGAGTGCCCAGCACCACGAAATATCAGTCCGTAAAGTGAATACTATCGATATATCTCAGCTAACCCGTCCACGGTATACATCCAGCTTCTCTCCCTGGCTCCCTATCGAATCCCCCAGCGTTATGGCTACTCAAGCTACTGCCACCTACCCTCCCACCCAAAGTAATATCGACCGTGTACTCAGAGGCCCAACAAAAACGGGTAACCTTCGCAATTATGTACAAGGCGTGCAGACGCCGCACTGTACAAGTGCGAGAAGCAACAATTGCTGGAACACCATTCAGTCACTTCAATCATGTACGTACTCTGACTCTTTCTACTCAGCATCGGACGAGAATCCATGGGTCCCCTACTCTAAAACCCCTGTTGCTGACAACAAGCCCGCCTTCCCAGCGGCACCGCCGACACTATCTGCACAGCAGTTCTATGACGCACGGAATATAAAGGTAAGTAATAATTTATGTACTTTCCGGCAAGTGGCCCATATTGAACATGACTATAGCATCCCGCGAAGATAGCGGCCGCTGTTGAGAACGCAAACACAGCTGCTACTCCTACACCGATTACTCCTCAGCATACTCCTCAGCATCCTCCTCAGCATCCTAATTCCTTCAACAAAAATGTACCGACGGATTCTATGAAAACCACCCAGCAACAGCCTACTCCGGTTTTGGTACATTCAATTGTTCCACAGCAACCAGATCCCAGCCCCTCAAATTTTGATGACTTTAGCATGCCAGGTGTAAGTGCTTGTTGGACTCTAATTTCTCAATATAAGCTAATATTCAAATTCAGCCATCTGGCTTCAATTTTGATTTCGGTGCTCTTGAAAACCCAGATATTCAAGATTTCGATTTTGACTCATTCCTAAACACTGATGGCGACACGACTGGTTTTAGATCTGACCCGAGCATCAGCTACTCTGCAGACGATGTAGAGAAGGGTAGTGGGATTCCTCCGTTTGATTCCAATGACGGCAGCCAAAGTCAAAACAATATTCAGCAAGAGTGCACATCCCGACCTCTTCAGTTACCTCCTCAAAGTACTCAACCAGAGAGGGATCAAGAGTACGGACGGACACGCCACTTTGTCGAACGTAGCAATGATCTTGCTACTGGAAGTATTCCCCCCACCGATTATTGCGGACAACACGCAAGCCAACAAAGTTATCACTTAGGGAGATATGCATCTCTACCAGAACCAGCTCGACGAACCAATGGCCGGCCCCCCCAATCTATTTCCTCCGCAGCCTACGAGGAAGATTATCACCAGATAACTGATCAGTCGCCGTGTGCTACCCAAGCAGCTAGTCTTCGTGCCATTAAAGACTCCTCCGAACAGCCTATAGAGGAAACACAGCCCTATATACAGGCGAAAGAAATCCTTTCCCTAGAGAAAATACTATTTACGCAAGGGGCGGATGGTAAGTTTCATCTCGACGGCGTTGTGTTGAGCGATGCCCTGAGTCAGCAATGCGGGACCACGGTGCTAGAACTGTTCCTAGACTCCATATTTGAAGATAATGTGTCCACCCAAAGAGGTACAGACTTCAGATTTCTTCACCTCAATATTCTTGCTGTCATCTATATAACAGTCCAACACGCCGCTTCAAAGGACCTTTGGGAGCTCCAGGTAGCCAAGGCGCGTCAATGGATCAAGCAGAAGATGACCGAGTTATTGAAGGACAAGGGTGACCTAGAGAAACCACAAGAAATATCACTGGAAGAGCTGGAAAGGTCTATTATTAAAGAGCTGCATGGAAATGATTTGTGAACGTGAAAGTGGCGATGAGGCTCAGAGAGGAGAAAGGTAACTTTGTCAAGCTTACACGAGAGTAACACCTAGAAAACACATCCATAAAGGACGCATGCGAGTCTTTTTTTGAACCATTGTGGTAGCGCAAGCTATTGGACTGAGTTGCCAAAAATATATTATGAAGGGAGAAGGGTGTACTCCGTAGCGCCCGAAGAAAAAAGTTGGGCTGGTGTGAGTGTATGTTTCGGATCTGGTTGGTGACCTGGTAATCCCATCTCTAAGATTTTCTAATTCTTGCCGTATCACCAATAAATGCTCGATCTGAAAATGACTACAAGCACACAATAGGGGGGTTCCCAGAAAAGGAAAGGAAAGACGGAAGCTTTTGGGCCATTTTGGGTCTAGAAACGTTCTCAAATATTCCTACTTCTCCCAAAAAAGCGCAACGTGAAGTATTCCTACGCATGCTACTTCTCTAGGTAAGTGGCCATTAACACAGATTCCATTCATTATTACCATTACATGCTTAAACAATCGGTTCTTCTGCAACATAATGCAAATAAGCACCGAGCAACTTGGTACCCTGGATGTAGTTGCTCTTGTCGAGCTTTTCATTTATTGAGTGGGCAGCATCGGTGGAGCTACCCATCGGCAACAAAAGGACGTTCTTGCCGGTGGCTTGTTCAAATGTTAACGTTACTGGTATACTGTTGTTGTAATCATCAATGTTAGCTAATCGATTTAAGACAATAGATAAGGTCGGTGGTGAACGTACCTGCCTCCCTCTCGGGTCATATCTGGTTCCACTCCGAATACCTGCTTCACGGCTTTGCCTGCAGCAGTGAAATTCCAGTGCTTGGGGCTAGCTACCCACCACTTCCCATCGTGGAGAAGAGAGACGTCGATCGTATTCTTGGTGTTTAATTTAGCGGCTTCGCTGTTTATATAATCCTTAACGAGCCTTGTCACATCCTCGCTTTCCATATTGGGAACGGTTCTAATGGAGAATTTGCCAATGACTTTGGCAGGAATGACGGTTTTAGCTCCAGGAGCTGAGAAAGCGCCTTCGATACCGTGAACAGAGAGGGAAGGATAGCGCCACCTTGCCATAAGTGTCCTTTCCTTGGTCGGGTGGATGCTCGTTGTGCTACCGAGGGATTCGTGGAGGTCGTCCATGGAATAGCTAATTCCAGGGTATAATTGGGCCTCTACTTCGGTAACAGGAGCGACAAGATCCATAAGTCCAGGAACTTGAATGTTTCCCTGAGAGTCAACAAGTTTCGATAAGAGAGTGACCAAATCTGTCATGGGCTCGTGGGCAGAGCCACCAAACACTCCACTGTGAAGATCCTGGCCAGGTCCTGAGACTGTAATTGAGTAGTAATTGCAACCCCGTAAGCCGTAAGTCAAACATGGTTTCTCGGTCCCCAGCCAATAGTTGTCGGAGATGCAAACCGCATCAGCATCCTTGAAGAACTTCTTGCTTTCGGCGTGAATAAAATCATCCAAGCCCTCCGATCCATACTCCTCCATACCTTCGAAGCAGCAAAGCAGATTCACAGGAAATTCGACACCAGCTTTTTGATGTGCTTCTATGACATTGAGCCATCCAAGCACAGGGCCCTTGTCATCGGTGCTTCCTCGTCCAAACATTCTACCTTTTTCGTCGATGGTCAACTCGAATGGTTCGGTTGCCCAGCCGTCCTCTTTCAACGCAGGCTGAACGTCGTAGTGACCGTAAACCAGAATTGTGCGCTTGTTCTTATCGTTTCCGTAGCGAGCGATGACTACAGGTGGCAGATCAAGGTGCTCTTTTCCTGGCTGCTTTCCAAGTGGGCGTTGATGCACTTCAGCTCCGAGCCTTTCCAATTCGGAAGCGAGAAAGGCGCCCATCTAAGATATCCATACGTTCAGTACCATTTTCGTAATAACAGTTAAGAGAGATTCGCCTGCACACCTTGAATACATCTTTGCGGTGCTCGTCGGATGCCGAAATCGAAGGAATGGCAACGGCAGCGCGGAGGCCTATAACGTGGTCAATAAAGTGCAGAACCCTCCATTGTTTAGTACATACGTTCGATGAACGAGCCGGACAGCTCATCGACCCTATAAGGTAATCAGATTAGCCAGGATGAAAAACAAGGCTGACGGTCTTGACGCACTGCTTGAAGAAAGGTTCTAGTTGAGGAGCCATTTTAGAATCGCTAATGTGGCCGTAGAAGAAACGGCGATGAATTTGAGATTGTGCAGGTGTGCGAGAGTTGAACAATCCGAAGTGGCGCTGGCGCTTGGAGCAATAATTATAAGTCCTAGCAGGAAGGCGAAGTCTGAGGGGCAGGAAGGCGGGGACCATATCAGCGGTTGCATTGGAGAAGCAAGTGCGGCCTGTCACAGATCACAGATTATGCGAGATTGGCGTCAATACCGCGTACAACCGAGCTCTCACATCTACTTCTTATTTTGGCAGTTTACTCCGAATTCCGTGATTCTCTGGTTTTTTTTTTTTTTTTTTGGTTCTTGAGGTCGCCTGCATAGATCTGAACTGAACGCATAGAATGAATGCTTACTACAATTGTTGAGCACCCTTGGGCACGTACATACAGCCTCAAGTGCCGTTGTAGAGTCTAAATCACATACCAAGTCTGCCAATGACCCGTTTCCTAATTATATGCATAATTGGTTTATTTCTATTTTGTATGAACAATGCCTCTAAGCGTGATGTACAAGTGTATCAGAATTATGACGATTTCAGGATAGATCGCTGACACTATGCTGGATGATAAAAAATTACAAACAAAACCTTTGTAATACAGAGCTATGCCACAAAAGAAAAAGCCTTCTACTCGCGGCGTAGGCAAGAGAAGTAAATGTGTCGCATGCCCGTTGAAGTTGGATTTGGACCGCATCTGTATACACCTCATTCATCCCTGGCCCAGGCTTCCTTTCTTAGCTGTCGGTCTTCCCTTGCCATGCGCCGCTTGGCACCCCATCTCGACGTCACAGCCTCAAGCACCTTCTTCTGGAGCTCATACTTCTGCGGAATACCCTGACAGACCATATGAATAAAATTGGGCGAGCACTCGAAACGCCTCGCAAGCTTCCATTTACTCCACGTGACTGGGTCCTGCACTCGCAGTTTCTGGATCTCCATGACATCCTCTTTCGTCAGATGGTATTTCTTTTCTTGCGATTTCGTTGTTGCTGAAGCGAGGTTTTCGGGTGTTATGTCGTTGGAAAGTAAGGGAGTGGTTAGAGTCTTCCGCACATCACCCTCGGGCAGGAATTTGCTTGGAGTGTGGAATACGGTTGGAGCGCTGGAGGGGGGATTGAAGATGATTTGGTCATGCGGTTCATCGGAGGGTCGGAAAGAGGCGTCTGGTTTGATGCGTAGACGTCGTTTTGTGCGTTGATAGGAAGACTGATAGCGTCTCCCTACCACTGTGCCGGTTTCGCTCCAGGAAGGCAGGAGAAATGGGAGGGACACCAGGGGGCGCCGAATGGGGACAAGCATGGTCCTCATATCCATTGAATTGTAGTATCGCAAATTGTGTAGGTGGTAGTGAATGGAAGAGCTGCAGCGCGACGTATTAAATGGCTTGTTTCGAGGATAGGACGGAGGTTTGTTGAATTTTTGCAACTCACCAGCGTCGGTCAGTCGGTTAAAAAGAAAAATTCCCAAAACTACCAATTGTGGTATGGAGCAGAATTTAAAGAGTGTATAATACAACCACTCAAAGGCGGCGTGACTGATATTCGTCGCGAGGGTATAATTTACGTTGTTGACAGCGCCGAAGCTGGAGCCGACCTCAAAAATTGCAACTGCTCACGTGATCTTTCTGCTATTGGTTGGCGAGTATTGATTAGTCGGTTCTTGGCTTCCACCCTTGATTCCTGCTACTTAATGAGTGCTTATTCGAATCAACGAAGCAGATTAATTTAATGCAGCGTTTCAATAACGGACATTGATCATCTGTTCTACTCTAATGATTCGATTGATCTTTACAACAAGCCCAATCATTCCTAAGCAGTCATTCCGCATTGCCAGTGGGTCTTTTCGCGTTTGGCCGATGGAAACCGAGTGTCCGCGAAAACCCGCAGTTGTGCCTGTATATGCTCTACGTGGCTATCAAGTTTGTACGACTTATCCCAGGAAGAATACCCGGAGAACCGCTGTTGAAGAAGATTATATGTCGTTAGAACGTACATCTGCTTTTTCATAAAATTCGAGAAGGGGCACATGAACGACATGGCTGTTAAAGACACAAGTACTGGGCCGTCCTTGGTGCTTCGATAAGAATCTACCCAGCCCTTTGCTTCACTGCGTCTAATGCCTGGTGAAATCGACGTGCAAGCTCTTCCGGGTCTTCCAATCCTACACTAACCCGAACCAGATCAAAAGGAACATCAAAAGAAGAGGCCTGTGAGAGATGAGTCAGTCGAAGCTCATTGTACGGATGTCTTGCAAATGGCATGCTTACCCATGGAAGTTCGTTGTAATGGGCCAAGAGTGTATATGGTGAGCTAGAAGTACAGGTTTAGTATGTTTTAGATTTGGTTTGGGTGATGCTACTAATGCTACTAACCCTAATGTAAAATTGGTTCCTAGGCTAGGGCCCTTCAGGATCTCGAGTGTATCGAAGAAAATGATAGCATCCTCGGTTGAATGAAACGTCACGGAAAAGAGACCACCATAACCGCCGCTGGGATGTCTGAAAGCTTCGTAGAAAGGATTTGTTGGGCTGTGCTTGGGATAGTAGACATCCTTCACTGTAACATTATTAGCATTCGCTTATGAACAGGTGAGGGTCGCCCGCACCTAAAGGTGATGATTTGAGTATGCCCGTGACAAGTTCTGTTGTCGCATTGATTTTCTCGATCCTGGATACGAAGTCGCGACTGTTTCTTTCTAAGAAAACGGCATCCTCAACCCACAAATTATCCTCATAATTTGATTGAAATGCTGATTTGAGATCCTGAAAATACTGGCCCTGAGGATTAAGGACCGCGCTGCCACCCATAACGTTGCTATCGCCACTGAAGATCTTTGTCAGGCTGCTCACAACGACATCAGCATATGGTAAGACGTCCACATTGATAAAATTGCTGATAGTCTCGTCCACAACAATAGCAAAATCATATTTCTTTCCGAGCGCATGGATGCGTTTCAGATTCGGAGATTTTAACAATGGGTTTGAAGGGAACTCGGTAAACAATGCTAAAAATCTCTCGCCCTGTTCTAGACGCCTTTCCAAGTCATCAAGATCCTCGTCTGATCCGTAACCGTAGAATAAGCAGCCAGGGCCCCATTTCTCTAAAATCTTCAATGTATCGGTGTAAGGAAAGCCAAAACATATACTCCTTTTGCTGCCTCGGGCGCTCAAAACGTTTTGGTGTGTGTTGAATATAGAGTTCATGCCATTCGGGTACAGAAAAACATCGTCTTCGGTCAAGCCTGCCACTCTGCCATCAGAGGTATTGCTCTCCAATGCCTCGCTAAGGTCAACATTAGATCTCAGAGAACCTGTTATGCGCCTTCGAACCGCTCTCTTGGCATTATCTTCCAGTTTTGCATCGAGGTTACGGCCGAATCGTTCCTCAATGAATTGCGCATATTCCCGACCTTCGGGTGTACTCGTCGTCTTGGGCCCAGGGTCAACTTCCTTAAATGCAGATGTTCGTTGTTGATAACGTTTGGGACCTTTGGAGATCACTGGGCTATTGGCCCCCGACGTCTCTGCGCTGTCTTCCACGAGATAGCCATCCTTCAACGCGTTCATACAGAATTCACCCCGTCGACTCGAGACGCCGCTTCCAGCATGCTGCCATACCTGCTTGGAAATCCCATCATAACTCTTTGAGTGAATCACCGCATATAGCTTTGATATCACATCTTGGTTTCCACTTGACGCGGCTTTGGGAGACGGGATAAAGCGAGCGATGCGGGGCTTCGAGGAATCGCCGGCTGGTATTCTCGAGAGTAGGAACTCTTGACATAGCTCTGCGGTTTTCAGAGAAGGAAAGAGCATGGCTGACTCAAGCTCTGGGTTTCCGACGCGCTGTAGGACCTCTTTTGCGAGGGACTGGATCAAAGGATGCACAAAAAACCGTGGATAGCCACATTTCATGCGACTCATAACCCAGTCCGCTCCTTCCTCGTATCCGATATTGCTCTTCCATGTTGGAAGGGAAACACTGACTGCCTTGGGAGCATTGTTAGCGCTTGTCTGTGAAGTGGAAAGTGACAACGATGGTCTGCACAAAAATAACTTACATGATCAGTGTTCGGGGGGACTGTCCCTCCGATCGCCTGGAGCATCTTGGTATAGTTACAGGAAACCTGTGGTGTTAAAAGCCGGCGTCGCTTCACTGTGAATCTGATCCTTTTCCAAATTCCTTAACGACTCAATGGCAAGGGCTCTTGTATGGGGGGATATCTTTTAGTGAATAAACCCGCAGCCGATTTCGGTCGCCGTAGTGGGGTCAGTGAGTCACTGGGCCTCAATTGAAATTATTATTATCCAGGAACAAACAACAGGCCAATTGAGGAGCTCAGTATGATTAAGAGACTTGGTGTTTGCATTAAGCTGCAGCCATCAGTGTTGTGTTCAGCAATTTCTAGCAATGACTACCTACATACAAACAACTAGAAATATCTAGCACTGGCAGCAACTCCTCTTACAGGACTCCAACCAATGGCGTTTGAACACAGTGATTGCTGTACTGAGAGCCAGCGTCAATCCAGAACCACAGCCTGCTATGTCGACAAAACCATACCTCCATTATAATCATATATAATCATATAATAATAGGACGAAGGCAGCTTTGACATCATCCATTTCGACGATTTGATTTTCATCTCGCCGCCGATTGGCCAGAGCATGTCTTGGCAGGTGGTCTATCCCGCTCGCTATTCCATAAACGGCAGGCGGTGTGAGAGACCCAGTATAATTTTTCCTCAGCCCGAAATCAAAATATGAATTCCTGCTGTGATTGAAGGTCCTTGGTACAGGCATAGGCAAGGCCAGGATTCTCTGACGGGGGACTGTTACAGGAGCCTATTCCCGTGAAAATGTCGGACCATCATTCCAAAAGACGGAAACTGAACGACACGGATGTTACGGTCACAGATCGAGACCAATCTAAACAAACCGGTGTGCAAGAAAGCAACCATGGCTCTGACAAGCCTACAGCTCAATCATCTTTCCCAGAACGGTCACAGAGGCGAGAAAGTCGTTTCCTATCAGGCCAAGCCGCAGAAATAGGGAAAGCAACAGGGCTATCCAAGTCGGCCCTCTTCAAGCTTCAAACCGACGAGCTGCTTGCCGAGCTCAGGCCGAATTACGATGACTATGTCTCGCATATTCAAAGTGTTTTGCGAAAGGTTAAAGACACAATATACCAAACTCCCAGTCGCTTGGAAACTCAACCATGCGTTGCTCAGAAGGAAATGCGAAATGCATATAAAATCATCGTGCCATTTCCACACCCGACTCCTGACGAAAGCTCCCGATACCCGATGTCATTCCTCCCTCCGACTGATGTGAATGTTGTTGGAAGTCTATATCTGCGCGCAGGAATGCACGCGACCGAGGTTCTGATCGTTGACTTGGCCGTGACTATGCCCTCGGCCATTTTCCAACCAAAAGACTTTCGAAATTACCGATACTTTCATAAACGAGCTTACTATATTGCATGCATTGCTGCCAGTCTACAAAAGGGGAATTTTCCATTTACACTGCACTACAGCCATCAGGATGGAGATAGCTTGCGCCCCATTATCGTCATGGAGCCTTCCGAAGATAAACCGAGCAATTCATTCCTCCATCCATTCCGTATCCGTATCGTAACAACTGTCGACGATGACGCTTTCCCTCTTTCACATACTCTTCCACATAAGAACAACATTCGAAATACGACCTCAGATGATCAACAATCGCCCGGTGAGGAGAAATTGGGCTTATTCTACAATGCTGCGCTACGATCTGATATCACAGTTGTGCAATATCAGAAGTGGCTCCAATCTGCAATGAAAAAAAATGAGTCTATGAGAGATGCGTGCACACTTGGACAGATATGGCTGCAACAACGAGGCTTTGGGTCTTCATTAGAGAACGGAGGCTTCGGTAGCTTTGAGTGGATGGTCCTCCTGGGTCTTTTGTTCGAGGGCGGCGGTGCCAGCGGTAAACCTGTTCTCATGTCTTCCTACAGCGGCTACCAAATATTTAAAGCGACACTACAATTTTTATCCGCAAGAGACCTCACACACCCTCTGTCTCTATTCACTAACGACGTGAAATTTCCCGCTGGAGAACCCGTCCTATACGACGGCAAAAGAGGATTGAACATATTATACAAGATGACGGCCTGGTCGTACAAGTTGCTTCGTCACGAATGCAAACTAGCTTTGTCTCTTCTCAATGATCCACTATTTGATAATTTCAATAAGGTCTTCATTCTTCAAACTGACGACCCGATGTTGAAATTTGACCGCTTAGTGCGCCTTACCCCTCCGCAGAAACCTGTTGGGTCGTTATCTCTTCTTGGATACCAGAATCATGTCAACAACATATTAGAAAGATCACTGGGCGACAGAGTAAAGGCCATTCACATTTGGACAAAATCTCCATCATCCTGGAAGCTCACTTCGGATAGAGCAAATCGAGTGCTCCAAGATCATATCTATATCGGGCTGCAACTGGATCCTGAGAATACTGACCGTCTCATCGACCATGGACCCTCGGTGGAGATGCAGGATGAGGCTCAATCGTACCGAGAATTTTGGGGTGAAAAGGCAGAGCTGAGACGGTTTCGAGACGGAAGGATCCTCGAAAGTCTAGTATGGTCAGAAGAAGAGCCTGTGGTAGACCAAATCTTGGTTTACGCACTCTGTCGTCACCTAGAAATTCCCAGAGAATCAATTAGTTGCATTGGAGGTGAATTCGACAAGGCATTGCAGCGGTTTTCGCGTTTTCATAGCCACACGCCTGCTCTGTTTCAAAAATTCCACGATGCTTTTCAATCTCTGCAGTCATCTCTCCAAAATATGGACGATATCCCTCTGTCGATTAGACAACTTCTGCCCGCCAGCGCCGCCTTGAGAAACACTGCCATTGCTTTGGGGCCTGATGGTATAGAGAGAATACCCGTGGACATCATCCTTCAACTTGAAAGCTCTGCCAAATGGCCCGACAACTTGGTTGGTATTCAGATGACAAAAGTAGCCTTCCTCGAACGAATCGGTGATCTGCTTAAGGAAAACGATGCTATTCAGTCGTTCAGAGTCGGTCTTGAGAATGAAAGTAGACCCTTGATGAATCAAGCCTTTCTGGATATTATACATACAAGTGGACTAATTTTTCGGTTGAGAATTCACCATGATCGAGAAGCGACATTACTTGAGCGGAAGCTCAAGGAAGGAAATACCAATGGTCGCCTGAAAGAAAATGCTGCAGCCGCACTCTCCGAATATAAAAAGGTATTCGTTCAATCTCCCCGCCTGACACAGACGATCAAAACCCTTTCTACACGATCTCCACTCTTATCACCTACAATCCGCCTCATGAAACACTGGTTCAACTCTCAACTTCTCTCGTACGTTACGGAAGAGTTCGTGGAACTTATCACTATAAACTCCTTTGTCTCACTTCATCCCTGGGATCCACCATCAAGCTTAATGAGCGGATTCTACCGGACTCTCACGCTACTATCAAAGTGGAACTGGCAACAAGAGCCGCTTATCTTGAACATGGGGGGCCTTGATTCCAGCGATATAAAGACAATCGAAACCCGGTTTTTAGCCTGGCGAAACATCGACCCTGCAATGAAAAAGGTTGCCATGGTCATTGCATCCGATATTGACCAAGAAGGCGTTACATGGACACTCAATGAACGCCCACCCAAGGTTGTAGCCAGCCACATCTCGCGATTAGCGCAGGCAGCCGTCGAGGCACTCAGTAAACAGCCAGATGATGTCCCTCTCGACAGTCTTTTCAAACCACGTTTAGCGTCCTACGATTTCCTGATCTATCTCGACCAGAAACAGGTTAATGCTAGCAGCAAGAATGCAGTCAAATTTAAAAACCTCAGTTTGCCAGCGGCAGACGTGTCTCAGTTGCAGAATATTGGCAGATTGTATCTTGACGAACTGAAAGTTCTTTTTGGGAATTGTGCGCTTTTCTTCTACAATAATGATCAATGTGCAGTTATCGCAGGCCTTTGGAAGCCGGATTCTGCCACACCTAAATCTTTTAGTCTTAGAGCTGCCTATTCGACCAGCCCGGCTGCCGATGTGAAAACGGACCAGGATCTTGGAGTAGTCCTTAACAAGAAGTCTATTCTCAATGAGATTGCAAGACTAGGAGGGCCCTTGGTTCATAGAATTGAATGCAGAGGGAATTAAATAGGAGGGCGTGTTTAAAGTATCAACAATGTATGACATTTATAAAAGTATAACTATATTAAACATTTCAATTTTGCAAAGCTCGCGTCTGCTTTGTGACTTTCCCAGACGGCTGATGTGTAGAGAACGAGCAGTATTTGTCCTTGATCGAAACAACCTCGTAGGTGCCTTCGTCGGATATTTTGATTGTCTTTTTGTGTTCGTATGATACATCATGCTTGATGTCTAGGATTTCGGGTTTCTCGCCTCTTCTGGCATTTGAGCTTCGGGTGTAACTGGACAGATTTAGCATCATAAATAATAAAGTTGAGTATGTTTTATATAGAGTACTTACGTAAATTCGAATGGTGGAGTTCCCCAAAATTCGAAGCTCATTTCAGCCTCTCCACCTTCATGAATGTCAACGACACTCTCACGTCCCTTGCTGATCTTGACGCTGGGCATTTCGTGGATGATCTTGCTTATATTCTTATGCGCTTGACAGCGGCCGCTCGCGCTGTCACTCACAGCCGTAATGGTGAATTGACCGGGCTGTTCGGCGATACGTTTGAAAGTCGTCGAATGCGAAGTTGCCTTTCTCTCTATGCCGTTGAAAGTATAGAAGACTTCGAATGGCGCGTGTCCGGAAAGTGAAAATGAGAGTCGTTCCCCAACGCAATAATCAGATTGAGACTCAAGGGGTATGATTGTTGGAACATCTGAAACTGCGACGCGGACAGAAGACAGATCGCGGTCAAACGTTCGCTGACAGCCGCGAGAGTCTCCCACTCTATGAATGCTAACCACATGCTGGCCCAGTTCTAGATGTCGTCGTGGTATAGGAAGTCTGTGCTTGTTTGTTTTGATCGGGCCCACAGATACGATTTCGGGCTTGGAACTTGAATGGTGCTTGATGGAGATGTCGAGATAGAATGGCGGTTGCCCCTCGAGGACTATCGGTATCAGTTCGTCACCGTCACTGTCCTCCTTGCAAAAGGCGTAAATATGACCAGGGGATTCAAAGCGAGCAGACGGCAACGCGTTGACTGTTTGAGCGACTTTAATTGAATGACCTCCTTTTGGGTCAAAATCATAAAGGTAATCCGAAACATCGGTGATTTCGTAGAAGTAATCTCCAGGTTTTGTGGTGTCAAGTACCAACGAAGTGACACTCGAAACACTCTTCAAGTTATGTTTTTTCACCGCAGATGTTCCATGGTCGCCTTTCTGGTAGTGCTCATATTTAACATTAAAGGGAGGTCTGCCTGCCAACTTGAGCTCCAGAATGTCATCATCGCCTTGACAGACGCTGCGTTTCGAGACATCCTCCTCAACTCCAGTGCGTCCTGATAAAGAAACAGAAGGCCGTGGAAGCCAATCTATTTCAAACGTACTCGCGGATTGATCAATACTTCCAGGGCAAGTTTCATCAAAAACCTCCACCAGCTCGTAGCGTCCATTTTGGGAAACGGAGATAACCCCGTTTTCATCCCAGATCTTCTTTACAACGAGTTGAGCAGAGTTCGAATCCATATTGCGATATTTGACTCTCCAAGGCGCCTGGCCACTCAATCTCAGCGGTAACTCCACGACTGAGTTCTGCAACGCAAGTACAGTCCTTTTCTCGTCAATCATTCCAAACCCTGCACGAGGCTTTTTCGGTCGAACTTGAACTGGGAAGTCTTCTTTCAAAACACGTTTACAGTTTGATCGATCTGTCACACTGGTCAATGAGATAACGTGTTCTCCTCCACTAAGCAAGGGCCCTGTGGTGATTGTAGCTACGCGATCATCGCTTTGCAGCTCGTGTTTAGTTTTTTTGCCATTGTGAGCAATTTCGTATTGTAGTAACCAAGGAGATTCACCAGCAAAAAGGACGTCAAGGGAAACTGATTCGCCAAAGCAACTCTCCAGTGGTTTTTTGTCATCTTGAAATTGGGCGGATGCTGGAGGCTTCACGTCTTGTTCTAGAATTGGCACTTTGCCTTGTATATCACGGCGTTCGTATATGCTGTCAGAGATGTCGAGGAAGCGGTATCGATAGTAGCCAGCTACAGTAGGTGTGAAATCCAGTTGTCCTCGGAGTCCGTCCACGATGTAAGTATTGATGACTGGACCATTTGCAGCATCGATAGCATACCGCAGGCGAAAGGGTGGGGACCCAACTAAATCCAGATCAACGAGAAGGCCCACCGAATTGTTCGCACACTTGTCAAAGATTTTCTCGTAGCGAACAGACAGGGACGGTTCAGGGGGTTATGCAATAGGCACGATGATGGTTCTAAGATCTCCCCTGAACAGTAGCGGCTCGAGACAGAATCTAGCGAGTACCATCCGGGTTCTTTGATTTTTGGTAGGTTGTCTAGATTCTTCAGTGACATATGCTGAAGGTTCGATAGGCTCTTGGACGGTTCCCACTCCTCGGAGTTAGAATACGAGTAGGTTATTCGCATGGGCGTATCGCCACTGTAATCTTTTCCAGTGGAGTGAAAATGAAGGGGAAATTCTGTGGAAACTCCCTTTGCAATTTTGAGAAATTTCTGGGCATTGCAACCTAGAAGGGAGAGCCTAGGACGCTCGTGAACGGATAGTTGATGCCATTGCAGCAATCCTTTTCCTGATGAATCATCATTGTCGGTCGAATAATTGGCAATATTACCGTAGGCGTCATGAACCTCCTCGATTGCGTAAATCCAATCTCCACCAGTATTCAAAGACTCGTTCAACGAAATTTGCAGCTTCTGACTCTGGGCCCAGACGGGAACCGGTACTTCTGAGTCAATGAGAAGTCCAGATAACTTCCGACTAACTGCAAAAGGGGAATTGCTCTCGGATTGTATGTTCTGGAATGAAAAGCCACCGTCTAGTCCATTTATCTTGCGACTATATTTGATTTTGAGAGGTGGCGATCCCTCTACCTCGAGAGTTATGTCGGATAAATCTCCTTTGCATCTATCGCTTTGAACTGTTTTCGGTATGGCTCTAGGGCAGACATTGATCAAGGTATCAGACACCTTGATTTGGACGTCCAAATCGGACTCATCAACAACTCGACTCAAGCGATATATTCCCGGTTTCTTTACTTCGTATAGAAAGTCAATGTTTGTAACAGATGATTTCTGCTTCTCTAGTTGATTTTTCATTTGTTTCAAGTGCTTTTTTTGGAGACTGAGAGTTTCATTTTCACCTGTGCTCAGATCAAAACGTAATATTTCGACAGATTTAGGTATGGATTGGTAGATGTGAATCGGAAGATAAACGGAATTGTGCTGCGTGTCTAGACACAACGGTGACAAGTCAGGATTTAAAACAGCTGACCTATACAGTTTGACTAGTTAGCGGTTGTAAAAGCAGCATTGCAGATTCACCAACCCTTCTGGAAGAATATGTATGATCTGTCTACCCAAAATCAATGACGTGTTGTGAATGATGTCGGCAGGTTTAACGCTGCGTTCCGATATAGATAACTCGCGGTCGTAAAACGATTTGAAAAGAACCGTCGCCCATGCACCAACAGGTAGCTTGAAGCTTGTTAGCCAGGTGCTATGGACGATAGAGTAATCATCAGAGGTAGCACCTACAGGAATCCGGAACATCAAAAAAACATTGGCTGCTAAATGGAGCAAAAATATCGTAAGAAAGGTCGGAAACGTCCACTCTAGCCAGGGTATTCTCAAAGCCTGAATGCCAAAAAGAAAGACTCCATCAATAAATCCCCATTTCAAGAACAGCCATGTCGAATCGAGCTCGTTGAACGCTCCCCAAGAGTCATATATCCGCCAAGCCCCCAGCGCAACATAAAGAGCAGCGACATATAAGCGTTGCGACGGCGCGTCGACTACTCGAACAGGAATAAGGGGTCCATCGCCTCCATTATTCAAAGCCGGCTGGGAGCCTCCCATGTTCGCATCTTTCAGCTTCGGAACGAATGGCGACGCATTGCGGCCGCGCGAAGCTCCTGCTGTTTGCGGGGTCTGGGGGAAGGCAGATCGGAGTCGGGGAGTGCCATTCATTGCATTTCGATACCACACTATGCAAGTGATTCCTGTCCGTTGGGTTTCGAGGTCTGGGACACTGGGTATGTAAGGATCTCGGGCCCCGCCCTTGATTGGCAATGTGGGTGCAAGGTGCGTGAGTGGCAATACCAGAACTGAAAATGTAGTTCTTTGCCAAATCGACCGGTGCAGGACCCGGGTCAATCGCCGTGTACGTCTGGTTGAGACGAAGGCTGGAGGCCGTGTGGCTAGGAAGATAATAGAAGATAATAATTTTGGAGGTGCTCACCGCGTTTGATTTTGGCCCAGCGCGTCGGCCGCAGCACAAGCTTCGGCCAATCAGAGAACAATGCAGTGATGCCCTTCACCACCGTCATAATTATTATCTTATTGTCACCGGCACCAATTGTCACACCAACGGCAAAATGATCATTGATCTTGGGCAACACTTGCAGGTCTTTGGGGAAAGCCGTACCAGTTTCAACGTTTATCTTTGCAGCCACGTCATCCCACAGCAATGATCTCAATCTGATGCAGCAAACTGCCGTGTATATTATTAGATCATAGATATCAGGGGCAGCATGAGGCGGCGAAATCGCCTTGCAACTAGTGAATCCAGTGTCGATACAGCCACCAACGGCATGGCCACACTCTCTGGACTTATAGAGAGGCAGTCATGGAATGGATTCTGTGAGATTGAATCAGAACCAGTGAGTAAACTAGAATGCCTTCAGTCTCTGCGTCCAACTCACCGAACATGTGCTAGTCCCTATTCAACGTCATGCTTCGCGAATTTGGCGTCGAAGGAGTGAATGTGCAGGAAGTGGTATCATTAGATAAGGAGATTATGGATCTCTTACCGCACGTCCTCCACGCTGCTTCTTTATACCCGTTCTCTTCTAACCTGGGCGTTTTCTACAGTAAGCCAGTATATGGCTTAATTTTCCTCTTTCGTTGGCAGGAAGACAACCCTGAGAAACAGGAAGCAAGCTGTCCAGACGGCGTATGGTTTGCTAACCAGGTATTTTGGGCGATTCTCGGGGTTTTGTGTCTCGTTTGTTCTCGACTGACTCTGGAAAGACAGCTAGCAATGCATGTGCTAGTGTAGCATTATTAAACATTGTCAATAATATTGAGGGTATTCGCCTAGGGGACAATTTGACCAACTTTAAAAACTTCACAATGCCCTTTACCCCAGCTTTACGGGGCGACGCAGTAGCCAATTTTGAGTTTGTGAAAAGGATACATAATTCGTTTGCACGGTACGATCTCCAACGTCTAATATTGTCTTCTGTTACTGATCATTTTACAGTTCCATGGACATTTTGAATTCAGACCTTCTGCTCAAAGACGAAGCTAAGAATATGTCCAGCAAAGGTAAAAAACATGAAGATAACGAGTCATCCGAGGCTGGCTTTCATTTCATTGCATTTGTACCTGCCAAGGGTCGAGTCTGGAAATTCGACGGCTTGGAGCGACAGCCTCAAGATCTTGGTACGTTCTATGATGTTTAATGACGGAATACAATTATTAACACCCATCAAGCGCCATGTACAGACGACGACTGGTTAGATCAAGTTCGAGCCCACCTTATTAGCCGAATTGAGGGATATGAAGAAGACCAGATCGAATTCTCAGTCTTGAGTCTCGTACGAGATCCGCTTCGAGCCCGCGTCGAGAAGTTGGCTTTGAATGTGAGGCGACTGCAGGCTATCCGCACCTGTTTTACTACTTCTCTGCGGAGCTCTGCGGAAGAGACATTGGGTGATGCCCCTGGAATTGTGCTGCTCGGCCCGGACACCTCATTGGGCCTGACACAGGATATCTTGGATCTCGTTGGGGATCCGAGAGACGAAATAGATACATACAACAGATGTAGTTGTAACGAGCTTTCTAGTGAATATTCCCGCTTGGTTGTGGAGCAACAGGATATTCTTATGTCAATCAGAGAGGAAATGCAATCACGCCAAAGTGACGATGAGAATGCTGAGGGGAGGCGGCATGATTACTCGTCGGCTGTGGAGTATTGGGCCCGCGCATTGATACAGAAAGGCAATCTTCGCGAATTGATAGAATGAGTTGGTTTTGACTAAATATGAATGAGGACTTGTAGTATTTTCTATAATTAGGACCTTATTAGGTTCTGGCGCGTGTTGCATTTAACTAAGGTTATACGCTCAATTAGTGGTCGAGTAAATATTAGCTGAGAATGACCAATGATATATATTTCATCTGACATGGCTCAATAAAAAAAATAAGACAACCACCAATCACATCTAGATGTCATTGATATATAGGAATCTGATACTAAAAGTAAACGACCCCCCAATTGTCCCTAGATACAATAACCCGACTTTCTTGACACGTCTAAACTCACCAGCCGTCAAAATCCCACCAAGAAATATACACAAACAAACCCGACCATCCACCCGTCGCGTGCAGCAACAAGATTGTCAAGCAAGGAGTGCACGCTACAACCTCCCTGTACTCTCAGAAATGACAGAACCACGCGGCACATGAGCATAATCTAGCGCTATGGATGCTGACTCCGAGGTCCAAATTGATCTTATGATACTCGACTATTTATGCTGCAAAGCGATTTTCGAGATCCTCACCAAGCGGACCGCGGAGCTTTCCGCAAAACAGACACCTGTGGACACAGACCTATTGACGATATTTGACAGTAGGATTGATTACTTACACCCAGCCCATATAACCTATAACATCAAATTCTAACCAGTATTCTGCAGCCTGGAGAACCCTATCATCCACCAAACATGCTGGCACAGAGATACCCCGTGACCTGCAGGCAAAAATGCACTTGATAACCTTCACAACATTATTTGTCAATAGGTTGCGCGGTTCCAATTGGAACGGCTCGCCAGATATTCTCCGATGGCGCGAGCAGAACTCGCAAGAAGCAAGTGGGCACTTCAGCACCATCGACGAGAGTAAATTGAGGCCTCTCACGCCCGAGCAAATCTCAGATATCGCTCAGATGTCCGCAAACTACGAAATTATGCGGAAAGAGCTCAAAATACCGGACTATGATCGTCTTGTAGACGTTCATCAGATCACTACTCTACTTGGGATATTGCCAGATTTGTTGAGCCTCTATGCAGTCCTATCGAGGGTGCCACCGCCAATGAATCATTGGAAAATAGTCGCCAGATTCATACTCCAAGCTGTGCTCGAGCAATACTCTTTGTTTGGAAGGGCGTCGCCGGATATGATAGAGAAGGTTTTTAAATGGGCTGATGCGACCCTCAACTGGGGAGGTCTCGATGAGTGGGCGATTCTGAGAACAGAAATGCTCAACCTATTACAACCGGATGAAGAGCAGTCTCTGAAAGGCCATCTTGAGTATCTTACGAAACAGTTCTCGGTGTTTGAGTTTGAAGCAATGGTTATAATGCATATACGGACAATCCTCGGGGACCTGAAAACACCGGTATTGGTGAAGATGGAGATGGGGGAGTTGGGTTGACTGGGAGAAAGAGATTTCGCTCAATTTTCGATATTTTGTGGTGCATTTGTTTTGAATAGGCGTTGGGATTTCTTGGGATGCGCGATAATTCTATGTGAGGTAGAAATAGAATACATATTAATATATCTGGACGCATTCGTGTGAAATGCACATGGATCGCAAATATATTTCTACACTACAAGAACATTCTAAACAAACAGCGAAGGCGTATAGGCAAACAAGGGCAGGAGATACTGCTCTAGATCTTCTAGAATCAGACTTCCACGATTTCCCACGCGAAGCTTGATATAAAATGGTACGCATCAGAGATGACCTCCCGTAAGACCTTAACCCAACAGCATCCGTCGAGGATCCTCAATGTACTCCTTGACCTGAAGAAATGGTGGTTAGCAAATGATTTCTTGCCAAATAGGTTAATATTTGGGACAGCCAACCTTCACGAGGAATGTGACTGCTTCTCGACCGTCAAGCAGGCGGTGATCGTAGGTCAGGGCCAGATACATCATCTACAATATAATGTCAGTATAGGAATATACAAATGTTCAAGGTTCAAACATACTGGTCGAATTTCAATTTTTCCGTTAACAACCACAGGCTTATCCTTGATGGCATGAAGTCCGAGAACAGCTATTTCAATCAGAAGACTATCCCATTACGGTTCCGACACAGAAGTTACGTACCTGTTTGAGGCAAGTTGATAATAGGTGTTCCCATGAGGGAGCCAAAAACACCACCCTACAACGTCAAGTTTAGTAATCTGCGTGCTAGTGAAATAATAAGCGCATACGTTACTGATGGTGAATGTGCCACCGGCCATATCCTCGATCGTCAATTTGTTATCACGAGCCTGGCAGACATGTTAGAAAGTAGTAACAATAATCAAAGATGTGAGTCTTATACCTTCTTGCCTAGATCAGCGATGGCTTTTTCAATGCCCACCAAATCCATGGTCTCTGCATTTCGGACCACAGGGGTGACAAGTCCCTTTTCTGTCGCGACAGCAACACTGATATCTACATAGTCGCGGTACACGATGGTATCACCTCCGTTAGGGCCTTCGATGGATGCATTGACGGCTGGAAGCTCTTTCATGGCAAGAACACAGGCGCGGGAGAAGGCGCTCATAAACCCGAGCTTCACGCCAGTCTTCTTCAAAACATCGTCTTTATACAATTTACGGAATTCCATGAGAGAAGACATGTCTACTTCGTTGAATGTTGTGAGAGAAGCTGCGGTGTTCTGGGATTGCTTGAGGCGTTCGGCAATGCGTAGTCGCATACGGTTCATTTTGACCTAATAACGTCAGCACCTTTGAACGAGCAAACCCGTCTAGCAGAGATGATAACATACACGTCGCTCTTCACGCAAGCCTGCTTTCACGGGCTCGGCGGTTGGTTGTTTAAGGGCTGTGGTCTCTTGAGGTTTTTTCTCAGGCTGCTTCTGGCTAGGAGCCTCCTGTTGCTTAGGAGGTTGCGACTCTTGGGGTCTCGACGTTTCTGGTGCTTTCTTCTCCTCTGATTTGGGAGCAGATTGTTCTTGTGAAGCTTGCTTTGGTGCCTCGGCTTCTGGGCTTTTAGAGCCGCCTCCCGATCCAGGCTCGAGCTTGACAATCTCCTGGCCAACTGTGACAGTATCCTCCTCGTTGACGAGGAACTCTTTGATAGTACCAGATTCGGGGGCATTGACGGAGACATCGATCTGCGATGGAACAATGAGTAAGCTAGGTAAGACTAGGACATAAAACCTAAGCAAGCAGAAAGTTACCTTATCGGTTTCAATGGTGGCAATTTCTTCGTCGCGCTCTACAAAGTCGCCAACCTCTACACAATCCTGGTTAGAGATTTCGAATGAGACTCAGCCCGCTAAAGCTTACGTTTTGAGAATTGTTTCAAAGTGCCCTCTGTAATTGACTCCGCCATCTCCGGGACTTTCACAATTGTATCCGCTAAACGTGGGCAATTAGGTATGATTCACACGAGAGGCCAGACCTGCACGAACCATAATAGCGGACTTGCCGTTGTTCGTAAACATTCAGTTTCGGGGTAACAGAAGATTGTATGCTTAAAGCGCATCAGTCAGATAATACTCCAAACAAGGGAGGTAAATTGGCAGTACCTAGTGAAGCACAATGGTTTCCGAGAGGTGGGAGCTCTTGGAGAACACAATGCGGAGGAAGAGAGATATCTTGAAACCTGCAAGAGCGCGAAAGACCTCTTTGAATTGAAAGCAGTCCTCCGAAGGCTTTGCTCTGGCAAGCGGAGCAAGTGAGATCGCGAGGCCATAGTGGACATCTGTATGCAATGAGCTTTTGCCTTGGCAGCAAGGTAAAAAAACACGAGACCTTGGTTGCTATTGGCCAATAGCGCTGGGCGACTATTATAAAACAGAAAAGGAAACCAAAAAGAAAAACCAAAGTCCTCTTTTCAGGGGTGGATGAGCCACAAGTATTCACGGAAAGTTGTCACGGCAAAAGCGAAGAGAAGTGTTCTCTAGCATGGCAATGCAATAGGATGGATCCTACTACGTAGCCGGCAATCCGAGTAATTGACGCAGCCGCAGCCCGCCAACCCGAACAGCCCAATTAATCCAGCCTTCCCGGCCAACTACGGTGTCCTGCAGCTCCACTCCTGCAGTAATCCTCGAAATACTACAGCGAACACTACGCGACCGCTACAAAAGACGCAAACAACCTCTCATCGTGCGCAGTCCAATTGGTGTTAGTAACCAGCGAGCTTTTGCCGTTCTCTTTAGCGCCTTGGATTCATTCTGACATTGACTCGCAGCCGAACCCTGACGTGCACGATGTCCCTCAACCCTGCAGCGTAGGTGCTGGCCAGAGACAACATCCGTTCTACACAAGCTAAGCAAGCACCCACAGGTCATTATATCGCCGGTGCTTAAAAGCATCGCTAGATTGGTCCGTCCAGAGATCAATTTGGCGAGGTCAGGCCGTTTACATTCGATCTCTCTTCGACGCCAACCGAGACGTTCGGGATCCTCGTCAACAGAAGGTGATTATAGCAATCCCCTGGATAAGATGGACACGCTGCTAAAGCGCAAGGAGCAGATTCTACTTCGCGAAACAGAGAAGCTTCTTGAGAATTGGAAACACCCAGACCCTTACCGTGCTCCTACAGCACCAGGAGGTAGGATCATCCCTGTGCGAGAATATGGGACACCTCTAATATCCACAGGCTCGAAATACGAAAGAAACCTGCCCGCCCGCGATTTGCCATGTAAGTCAACATGATCCATGCATTATCATGTTATGAAATTATATGTTAATACAGGATGTTTGATTCTAGACGCCGAAGCGCCAGGAGCTCATTAAGATGCATATGAAAATGTGATGCAGATACCTCTCATAGCTCCTCGATACTGTATTAGAATAGCAAATACTTTGAAATATAAAGCTCTATAAGCTCATATACAAACAAATCTGACAAGTGGAAAACAACTAGAATCTCGGAAGGATTGTATTTCTAAAGTGCTACTTTATCACCATGTCGGATTTGGTGAGAATACCCTTTCTCGAGCTGCTAGCAGAGAGACCATGTCCGCAGACATAATATACAACCGTTGAAAAAAAAAAAAGCAGAGCCATGAATGTGTCCAGTCCAGAACCCCATTACCTCGTCAATAATTGATCCAAACCACGCCGAAACGAAAAAAGAAAATAAGAAAAAGAAACTATTTAGAGCTCTTGGCTCGGGTTCTTGCCGCTCTTGGGGGTTTTCTTGGGGAGCAGGTCTGGAACGTGTTAGACGCGTCATTTAGATTGCAGGGCAGATATCAAACATACTTTGGTGGATATTGGGGAGAACACCACCCTGGGCGATAGTGACGTGACCCAGGAGCTTGTTCAATTCCTCATCGTTACGGATGGCGAGCTGAAGATGACGGGGAATGATACGGGTCTTCTTGTTGTCACGAGCAGCATTGCCAGCCAACTCGAGAATTTCGGCTGCAAGGTATTCGAGGACAGCAGCCAAGTAGACGGGAGCACCTTGATGGGGTCAGCTAAGAACATATAGCGCGTCGATTACAATTCGAACATACCGGCACCAACACGCTGAGCGTAGTTGCCCTTGCGCAGAAGACGGTGAACACGACCAACTGGGAAAGCAAGGCCAGCCTTGGAAGAACGCCTACAAACGAAATCAGTAAATAGATGATGTCTCGGCGATGAAATCACTTACGACTGGGCGTTCTTGCTACCGCTAGCCTTTCCGCCAGATTTGCCTCCAGTCATTTTGATAGATTTAAGGGTTGTTATTGATGTTTGGTTGAAAATAGAGCGACAAGACGCGTGAAGCTGGGCGAAGATGGAGGTTGAACGTGGATGGAAAAGTAACAAAACAAAGGTCGGGGTGGGATGAAGAGAGACGAGCAGACGTTTATAAGAATGCGGCTTGCGTGACGTTGCCAGCAGGAGCCGCCCTCCAGATCAACTTCTCGCTTAGATCGGCTGTCCAATCATTGGCAGAATCAGACGCGTCAACGCGCATCACTTCCGGAAAGACCTCCCCCGCTGCGTGCTGTCATTGGCCCGCTGTGCGCCAAAACAAGTCAAGTGCCGTACCAGCGCCTGATACCGGCCATGACGAGGGGCCATGTGGGGCAGAGCGCCGGAATCACAGCCTAACGGGCAAAAGTGGCGGAATAATCATACGGATCATACGCAGCCATTACTGTATGGAAATTCCGGCTCCTTAGATCACCCAGCCATTTACTAGGCCACTATAAGTACACAGCACTCCCCGGCATCTGCGCAGCTCCCTTCTCTCTTCCTATCTCATTCATCCGTCGCGTACACACCCCCTCGACCCTACCTCCAGCATCATCAACTACTTTTAATTTCTCATCCCAAACATATCCAACTCCATCAAAATGCCTCCCAAAGCTGCTGCTAAGACCCCCACCACCGCCGGCAAGGCCCCCGCTGGCAAGGCTCCTGCTGAGAAGAAGGAAGCTGGCAAGAAGACCGCCACTGCCCCCGGCGAGAAGAAGAAGCGCGGCAAGACACGCAAGGAGACTTACTCTTCTTACATCTACAAAGGTTAGCAGCACGCGTTTTCCGATATTTTGCATGTTTACTGACGCGTCAATTTCAGTCCTCAAGCAAGTTCACCCTGATACTGGTATCTCCACTCGCGCCATGTCCATCCTCAACTCATTCGTGAATGGTATGTTGTCAAAGCTGGTCCAAAATGACGCGTTTTTTGTATACTAATTCTCGTCAAGACATCTTCGAGCGCGTCGCTACTGAGGCTTCCAAGCTCGCTTCATACAACAAGAAATCCACCATCTCCTCCAGGGAGATTCAGACCTCTGTCCGTCTCATCCTGCCCGGTGAATTGGCCAAGCACGCCGTTTCGGAAGGAACAAAGGCTGTTACCAAGTATTCTTCGTCTGCCAAATAGGCGTTTGTCAATTATAACTTTTCTTGCTCTTTTATTGTACTTTTTAGCTGCTTCGGACTCTGTGAAATCGAGGCGGCGGGTTACCGGGTGTTCGTGGGTTTCTAATGCGTCATGGGATGGTTCTTTTTTCTTTATTTGGCCGGATGATTTTACGGTTGCAATTCACATGTGGTGAACGTGGGGTATCATACCGCGGGATTGGACTTGATCGGACAGTCTCAGTCTGTTAGAAATTCAATTCAAGCTTTAGCTTTAGTGCATACATTATATTCCACGTCCACTTTCGCCTTGCGCGTTCGCGCTGTTCTATTGTAGGTGATATGGATATATAGTAGGGCGCGGCCTATTCTTGATCGCTATCGTCGAGCGCTTCAACTTCATCCAGCGCTGCTGCTCTTTCGACTGACGGGCTGGGAACTACTTCTGAACTAATAACATGAACAATAGCTTTTCCCATCTCATGTAGTGAGCCAGCTCGTTGTTTCCAATCTTGCCAATCATGTTCATCTTTTATCAGAAACCCGACAAGCATGCTAGGGTCCATATCGTCAACGTGCAATCTTCGAAGCCTGCGAGTATGATAACTGTCTAATTCTGTTTGGGTGTACGTTTGTCCCGGTTCTTTCGGTTCCAGCGCCGGTCTAGTATGATGAGGATCGAGGTAAAAGAAATAAGGATTCTGGGCCCCTATGAAATAATGTGATGCAGATGGTCGCCCGCTATACATCCATCAGCTTGTCACTTGAGATATGCGCAGCTTTAGTTGTTGTCCTTACCCTGCAATCCCTACCGACTGTGGCATCTTAAGTGTTGCTTCGAGACTTTTGCGATATATCGGTGTCACGCGATCGATTCCGAGCCTGATCCCCAGTAGGATCAAAGTCGGTTGAATGCTTCCTGACTTGTCAACGGCGATAGCTTTGAATTGCTCTTCGTAGACGTCTGAACTGTCGTTGGTCACGTAAACCTTGAGTCCTGCGTCTTGATATTCTTCGCAGAGGGTCCTGATAGTCTGTCAGCCATGGGTCAGAGTATTTGAAGTGTCGATACATACTGTATACATCTGGCTGCTGCTGATGGGCCAAACCATTCCCCCGGGTGCTTTCCACAGAATAACGACCCATGGCTTACGAAGCGGTGGATTGAGAAGGGTGCGCTAGGCTCGTCAGCGAATATAGACAGCAGCCTGCTCTCATCTTCGACCTTTGTTCCTCGCCGCCAGTCTGTAGTTGTTAGCCTCAGTGTTCTATATTGACACATGTATGTGTCCGTGATATGGACTATATCATACCTCGGCCCAGTTTTGAAATAGATAAAGCGTTGGCTAGTAGACTCTGACCTGACCGTATCATACAACCCCAGCCAGTATCAGACGTGAAGCCTTGATGGTCAATGAGCTGACTTCGTAAACGAACGCCAAGTGTCATACTCTGTGTTGCATTCACATCTTCTGACTTAGGGATAAGGGGGAAGTTTGACCTGTACGTCATCCAAATCCTAGACTCAAAGTCATCCAAAAACGCCTTGGGCCATCCAAGAGCGTTGTTCGATCTGTTTTCTGATTTGGCAGTCCTCTTTTCCACATTTCGGTCGTCTGTTGAGTTAGCGTCATCTTCTACTGTCTTGTTTTCTTCGGAAGTGCTGGGCGTTTCATCCGCGGATAGTGCCTGGTTGCCATCTGTTATGCAGTCGGCATCTTGCGTTACGTATTCATGCCCGAGACACCATACTTGAGAACCCGACCCTTCGTCATTTTTGGGTTCGGGGTCCCAGAAATACTGGACGATACGCTTGTATCGACCGATATCAATATTGTTCATGACTGTAGTAGGTTGGAGGTGGCGTGGAGCGCCAGGTGGGTGGGAACATAAGTTGGTGTTATATATGCGGGGTGTGTTGGTGATGCGGAGATGGGAGATATATATTTCTGTTTACAGCAGTGGTATGTCAGTCACTTGATCACACCAAGCATACCCAAGATAATAATTAACCACCAAATAAGTTGCCACACATGTGCAAAGGTCGAAAATTAAAATCACAGACGAGTAATACTGGCAATCTACGCAGATATACGACATAGATCACAAGCAACAGGTTCTTAAAAGTAGCTATTATTGATAGGACTTCCGCCGAGCCTCTTGTATAACCACTAGGAACCGATAACGGATCGGTCCACTGATAGCAACGGAAATTCCAAGTTGTCCAAGCTGGTTGCTTTCACCTAGAACGAGGAGATTGCAACAACAGGAAACGAATAATTGTATATATCGACACATGCGTCAGTCACCGGACAGATCGCACTGTGACCCATTTTGAACAAGATGGATGTCATGCAAGGATGATGACTAATAATGACCAGTTGTTATCGGCACGCACCGCAAAAAAGCAAAGCCCATAATTAATATTATTTATTAATAACTAGCCAATCGACATGTGAAACTTGCGCACTTCTTCCAACCAACGAGAAGAGCAGGAAGAGTAGCACCGACACAGCTCCGACAGACCAAGGAACTGCATAACTCCGCCGCCGAATCTTGATATAGCGTAATTGACGTTCTTGTGGACGGCGTTTGTCCTATGTCTTGTCTCAGCGTTTAGCTTGTTGAATTCTCGACAAACACTCACCATTACCCGAGTGACCAGTTATCTGGAATCTGCCAATACAACCAGTACCGTTGCAACCGGTGGGCTTCGGAGCGGTATGCGGATACAGCAGAAAACCTGGAACACCGAGCAAAAAAAATTCTCGAAACCCTCCCTGTCACCAGAACCACATGGCAACTCGATGCAGACTGCAAGTGAAGTCTACGTGAAGCAAAAACTAGCAAGCGATGCAGTAGCTGCGGACATATACATGGAGGAGTCAAAAGATTTGTTTTCGGATGGCAAGAACAGTGGTTCACAACCAGTCCAAGTCCACTGCGAAGCGAGTGACATCTTCTTCATCGATACGAAAGGTGAACAGCCGAAAAGCCCAGCATCGGTCGACTTTACACCATTCAGCGCAATGAGCTCGAGCATACTTGACAGCAGTGAAGATGAAGTTGTCTTCAGCGGAAGACGAGAGGCTCGGAGCCCTGTAGGAATCAATGTGAACGAAGAATCGGTAGGGCCAGTTATGGTGAAAGTCGTGGACGACAGTGAATGGGTTACGACAAAGACGCTCACTGAAAGATCACTTGACCCTGGTCCGACTATACGGCCAAATGTGAATAGCAAGTGGGAAGAAACTCTCACTCTCGAAAAACCACGATGGCCTCGAAGGTCACGGCAGAAAAAGTCTTCTCGCAAGGATGACACAGCTATTTTAAGGGACTATATTGATAACATGGACCCGCAGTATGCGTTCGACTTATCGCCTAGTGGCGAGGAGTCACAGCTGATAAAAGGACATCAGGTTGGACCTCACAGAGCAGAGATTTCTGAATACAGGATAGTGCTAAGAATATTTTGTTACAGGCTGAACGTTCCACACCCCAAAAATCGAAGGGAAAAAATGGCATTACGGAACGAAGCTTGGAAGAGAGTTCCACGGATGATGATCACGACGAGGATACCAGCGATACTAGCGATACCAGCGACTCAGCATCGTTGGACGATATCCTGACCTATTTCAGAAATCAACCATCGTCCCGTGGCTCGAAATCAAAAATAAAAGGACGAAAAGCTGCATCTCCAGCGATTTCGGATGATTTTCTGGACTTGGAAGGGTATGGAAGTTTTGACATCATGGACATTGAACCTAGCATTCGAAAGAAAAAGAAAAAAGGCCGTAACCTCGACTTTGACCTAAGTGACAGCGATCTAGAGCTCCACTTAAAGCAAAGTTGGGAAAAAGACAGAGGCAAGAAGAAAGCGAGGAAGAAGGAGAGAGAGCAGCTTCGTGCTCAAGGTCTACTAGGGCGGAAGCAAAAGCCATCTAGCAAATCTGCGATAAGCATCGGCCTTGACGAGGTGAAAACGAAACTCAGGAGTTTTCTTCAGTCATCCGCTGAAAGGTATTACTCCCCGTCCAATTGTTTTTACAAACCTAGCTAATTAGCTGGATATGATAGCCTGGACCTACCACCAATGAGAAAGAACCAAAGACGACTGGTACATGAGATGGCAAACGCTCTTGGGTTGAAGTCGCAATCGAGAGGAAAGGGCTTCACAAGGTATCCTGTCATGTATAAGACATCTCGCACACCTAACTTTTCAGGCAAACACAGTGTGAAGCTGGAAAAGATATTATCGCAGCCTCGATTTATCCCGAGTGTGAATCATCCTGCTCCCACGAACTACGTCGACAGGCGAGAGAAGAAAGGGAAGCGTCCACAGCACAAGGGCGACGTTTCGTACCTTGATGGGGATGTTGTGGGAGCCTCTGCGCCGGAAATCGGGGTCAATAATAAGGGTCGCGCAATGCTAGAAAAGATGGGCTGGAGTTCTGGAACAGCACTAGGTGCTATAGACAACAAAGGTATCCTACAACCAGTGACCCAGGTTATGAAGAATTCTCGTGCGGGTTTGGGTTAGAAGGGGAAGTCGTGTTCTACGTATTCCTTGACCTTATTTGTTGCATTTTAGCAATCACGGGAAGTTTCCTGCATTTATAGACATAAATTTCTATTCACATCTCTACATTTTTTTAGCCTTCTGTCGCGATTGTGCTTGCTGAACCGGCTGAGCATGACCTTCCTCTCTTATATGTGTGAATAGCTGCGTTCGAGAAGGAAATTGTTCGCGGCAAAAGCCGCAAATATGTTGAGAGCCAGACGCCTGTGCTGCTGCTGCCCTTTTAGCTCTTTTTTGTTTGGCCTTCCCCAGTTTTGTAGGGATGGTCGTATTCATTTCATTACCGGAAGATAATGGTATGAGTTCCTCTGGCGTTATGATTTCGGACTCCTCTCGATTAGACGAGTTAGCGAATATCCTGGACTGTATTTCTTCTCTCGCGGTGTAATCATCGTCGTCTTCCGATGCAGATGGTGAGGAGCCAGAATCCGGACCTGGGAGAGTATTATTTGTATGACTAGAATCCAATTCTGTAGCCTCATGTTCTTCTGTTACCGAAGCCGGTTTAGCCGTAGATGGACTACCAAGATCAGAACGGGGGGGTTTTTCAGGAATCTCCTCCAGCTTTAGATCCTCAAAGAGTTCTAGTTCTTCATCTTGAACCATCATTTCTGTACGAAGTTGCTTAACCGCTTTTGCATGTTTCTTGCTGCGCTCATGAGCTTCGAACTGTTTTTCGCTTTTGAATGTCTTGTTGCAAACAATACATTCAAAGTGCTCTACTTCAGATTCTGAGCTGCTACTTAAGTCATCCTGAATTTCTTCCATCTTGGCCCAATCCGGGATCGTATACTCTTGCATTCTTGCTTGATTAGCAGCTCGAGAACGAGCAGCTTGCGCAGCCGCTGATTCACGTAGCATGCGTTGTCGCTCTGCCTCACTTTGTGTATTTGACTTGTAACGAGGATCGCGCTTCCTGACAAAGGCAACTAGCGACCGAACAGCATCATTGTATTCCCGTATGGCATCATCTCTTATCTTCTTATTTTCCTTCTCCATCAGCCTTCGCACGCGGCGGTCTGGAGCCTCGCTATATTTATACACGTCCTTCCACACGAAAGACTTTCTCGTGGCAAAATTGGCCCAAACCGCATAGAAAGAGCGTACTATATCGCCATCGGTATCATCTTTGCAACCAAAGCTTGGATATGCCATGATGTCCAAATTTTCCCAACGGCAGGAGAGCTCTTCTTCTCGAGCAATCTGATCAAAGACATCTCTGAGACCACCGAAAAATCCTTTGGGGGAATCAGAAAATTCCATGCGGGGGTTGAAATTAAATACAAGGGCCAGAATGTCGGCGGTCGTCATGCGAAAACCTCCTGGCGTCCGTTCATCATCGTTTAACGTATCGTCGGAGAAAACAGCATCGCGGTGAGAGTCATACCACGCTCTTTCTTGTGGATCGGAGAGAACCTCATATGCACATTGTACCTCAGCAAATAACTTGGTTGCAGCTTCGACACTTCCATAATTTCTGTCGGGATGCAACTCTAAAGCTTTCCTCCTGTAGGCCTTTTTTATTCTGAAGAAAAGTTAGTTTTCTATAACCATATAATGTTGCGCCTGACTGGAAACTTGCTCTTCTTCCGATGCATCGCGTTCGAGATTGAGGAGTTTGTAGTAATCTGTTCGATGCTCGGCCTCGTTTCCAGCCTCACCGTCGCTTTGATTAGTCTTGCTTGACTGGGCCTGTCCCATGTTGAACTTGGTCCAGTTCGTGCAACCTGTTCGGCTGAAAGGTTGAAATAAATGCGGGGAATTTGCTCCGGGGACAACACAGTGGCTGTTCTGCCGTCATATCTTATCAGCATCTTTTCTTTCCAATGCTTTACATCCACCACCACCTGGAAACGAAAGATACAAACGGAACATTCATGTTTTAGTTTTGCAAAACTGTCTTCGAATATGAGAAATAGTCTCGATACCCTCCCCGATGAAATTCTACACTTGATATTGCAATATATTGATCCTTATGGATGCTTGGCGCTGGAAAAGACTGCTCGGCGATTCCTGAATATTACAAAGGAACCGTCATTATGGCGCCACTATTGCAGGACGCTGTTCCTTTACTGGGACAAAAAGTACGATATCCAAACAAAAATGCACCAGCCGCCATCTTCTGTTGACTGGAAAGGGCTGTATGCCCAGAGGCACAAAGTTGACATGGCCACAACCCAGGCTCTAAACGACCTTCTTTCGAGCCAGAGCGGCCGAATTCAAAAAGTTCGACAGATTATGGACTTTGGCTACGATGTAAAAGATACCCTCTTACGTCAAGCACAAGCCCAACCCCACCAGGATGACCACCTGGCCCGAAGGTGTGTAAATACTTGCACAACATAATGTTCGGGGCCGCTCCTGACTGCAATCCACTGCAAAGATATTACAGTAAAATGATGATGAACTGTCTTCGACGTAACATGGCTATATCTGAATGGGTCAGGTTGAAAGGAGACGAAGCCGTTTCTCTTGAGCGCGCTTTGGGATGCTTTGATCTCTTCATTCCCCAAAGCCAAATTGGTAGCTTAGATGAGGTATTAGTTTCAGTTTAACTGCCCCTTGATTCATTGCTAATGTGAATTGTTGCAGATCGGTGCAATTCTTGATACAATTGCAGAGAACTTATCGAATGAGAACCCACGCATTGGTGATCTTACACCCCGTGAGAGGGCATCATATATAGCATCATATTTGCACATCAATAACCTCACTGGGATTCGAGCTGGTAGGGAGTATCATAGCATCGAGCACAATTTTCTCGGCATTGCTCTGACGGATCCAAATCACAACTCATTACCTTTGATATCGGCTGCGATATTTTGCTACATTGCGCAGCATTTTCATCTCAACGCACGGCCATGTGGATTTCCATTTCATGTGCATGTGATCATACACCCTGTGCCTGGCTTTGACATGGAAGGGCGTACTTTGAATGGCGACGAGATTGGAGCCCCGATTTATATGGATCCGTTTCGATCCGGCGAGGAAACACGCGTTGATGATCTTCAGAACCAATTGAACTATTTGGGAGCTTCTCCATTGGAGCAATCGACATTTCTTGGGCAGTCGCTATCATCTGAAATTGTGTTGAGATGTGGAAGGAATATACTAAACTCATTGAGAGTCATGCCCGAGCCTCCAGATCATGAATCCTTGAAACTCGACTTTATAAGTGCTGGCTATGCTAGTCTTTGGTCAATAATACTAGTTACCCCACGATCAAGATTGGCGGAAATCAGACGACATATCCCATGGTTCATGGATCTACTTGATAGGGATTACCATTGGGACATCTTTTTGGTTGAGCAACACATTCTTCCTCTCTTTGAAGAGCTCCCGGAATACGAAAATTTCAGAGAAAGCCTACATATCATGCAAGCTGTTGATGAGATGCCAAGGCGCGTACGAAAGCGTGAAGCTGAGAACAAAAACATTAGATATCGAGTGGGGGAGGTTTTCTGCCACCGACGCTATAAATACAGAGCAATAATCATAGGTTGGGATGCAGAGTGTGGAGCTGGAGAACAATGGATGAGACAAATGAATATTGATCAACTCCAAGCCGGGAGACATCAGAGTTTCTACCATGCCCAGTAAGTTTCGCATGCCATGTTTGTAATATGGATTCGTCGTCATACTAATTGATGTAGTGTCGAGGACAGGAGTGTGCGATATGTTGCGGAGGAGAATATAGAGATTATCAGACCTACATTATCAGAACTTCCAACAAGTCTCATGGCCGTTGCTGGCAAACATTTCAAACGCTGGAACGAACAAGAGAGAAGATTTGTGAGCAATATCAAGGACGAATATCCGGATGACTAAATATTTATTAGTTATAAGCTAATCAAATATATGAGTATATAACGTATTCCACAGGCTTTCTGTGCAGCTGCCCACCTCTCTACATATTGAGTAGTAGTAGTAGTAGTAGTAGTAGTAGTAGTAGTAGTAGTAGTAGTAGTAGTAGTAGATTTCATTGACCTAATATAGCTGGCTTCCATACTATCGCTGCTATACAGAATTATGCCTTAATCTATAGAGGGAATAAGTATGATGCAGCTATGCAGTGATATGGCTTAGAGAGATACATTATAGAAAGATAAAATAAGCTAACTAATATAAATAATATAAATAAATAGAATATATAAAAATCTAAATAATATAAAAATATGAATAATATAAATTATTAATAATATTTATAATATTTATCTTTATTATATCTGATTAATATGCTGTGTATATCTAGTTTATATAATATTAATCTTTCTAAATATTTTACTCTAGCTTGATTAGGCTGTCATTTGGTTCGGTTCAGACCGAACCAAAACCGAACTGAAATTCGAATGGTCCGGTTCTGGTCCTATATACAGTGAACTGATGTAATTCAATTCACTAAGTCTAGGATCATATAGTTTTTTAGAGCTTATTTAGATCTAATTCAGTTTAGATTTTTAATTTGATTTTATCTAAATATCTGAATATTAGTAAATTTCTATTAATAATATTAATATATTTAGAGTTAATCCTAATCTTTTATAATTATTATTAATTATATAGTCATTTCCAAAGTAACTTTTTATAAATTAAATTCTTATTTTTTGAATTAGAATTTTATTTTATATATTTTTATTAGGCTGTCATTTGGTTCGGTTCGAACTGAACCAAAACTGATCTGAAACCCGAATGGTCCGGTTCTGGTCCTATATACAGTGAACTGATATGGTTCAGTTCACTAAGTCCAGGACTATATGGTTTTTTAAAACCTATTTAGATCTAATTCAATTTAGATTTTTGATTTGGTTTTATCTGAATATCTGAATACTAGTGGATTTCTATTAATAATATTAAAATATTTAGAGTTAACTCTAATTCTTTATAATTATTATTAATTATATAATCATTTTTAAAATAGCTTTTTATAAATTAAATTCTTATTTTTTAAATTAGAACTTTATTTTAGATATTTTTATAAATATTATAATAAATTCTTAATATTTAGATTATAATCTAAAAATTATCTAGATAGCGATAATATCTTTTCTATTTTTTATTTATATTTTTTAGATTATATTATATAGCTAATCTATTTATTAGAGAAAAAATATATATATTAGTAGTAGTAGTAGTAGTAGATTTCATTGACCTGATGTAGCTGGCTTCCATACTATTACTGCTATGCAGAATTATATCTTAATCTGTAAAGAGAGTAAACATAACATAGTCACATAGTGGTATAATCTAGAGAGATATGCCATAAAAAGATAAAAATAAATTAACTAATATAAATAATATAAATAAATAGAATATATAAAAATTTAAATTATATAAATAATTAATAATATTTATAATATTTATCTTTATTATATTTACTTAGTATACTACATATATCTAATTTATATAATATTAATTAAATATTTTATTCAAGCTTAATCTATTTAGCTTAAACTTATATTTATATATTTCTTTAAATTATTCTTTATTAAATCTTACTTTGCTTCACTCTTATATTTTAATAAAATATTAATATTATTATTAATTCTTATTAATTATAGACTAACCTAATATATCAATATTTATATATTCTATACTCTATATAAATTATATCAGTGTTTTTAATTAAAAGTCTTAGTTATTACTTTAATTTTATTAAATAATATATTAAAAGCTTCTAAATTAACTACTCTAAATTAATTTAATATATCTATATTAATTATAAATTATATAATAATAATCACTATCTCTTTTTTATTAAATATTTTATTAAATTTACTAACTAAATAGCTATTTTAGATTTAATATTATATTACTATATATTTATATATATATTAAAGATAAAATATAATAATATATTTTAAAAACTAGCTATTAAAACTATATAGATATAGAAATAAGTTTTAGTATTTAATCTATTATAAATAATAATTTAAACTAACTTACTCTATATATAATTAAATTAATATTAATATAGTTATCTTATATAGACTATCTTAATATCTTAATATTTTCTTAATTAAGATATTAAATAGCTTATATATTAAAGTTTCTACTTCATTTTTCTTTTATTCTTATTTCTATATATCTTTTATTAATTATTAAATTTAATATTTAATAACTGATACTAGCCAGTATTACTTTAATATAGAATTAATATTAATATTAATATAAATAGATTAAATAGATTATCTAATTGTCACAAGAATCGATAAGTCACAGCCAATGAATGTTATAGCGGACGCTATTACATAAGCATCCAACAAGATTTAAGCAATGATGAACGAAATTGTTATTAAGTACAATTATATATTGTAAAAATGATGCTAAAAATAGCTATGTTTTTAGTTTAGCCATAGCTATTGATATAGTAATATAAATATTATATATTGATGTTTTATCCTAGTATATATTAAATATATAATCTATTAAAGCTAGGATATAATATAATTATACTTTTTAATATAATATTCTATATTAAAGGCTCTAAAGAGATATACTTAGAAATATATTCTAATTAATATATATAGATACTTATTTATTATTATATATCTAATTAATCATTTTTTATCTTTATATTAAAATAGCATATTATTATTTTAATATTTAATAATCTTTTTATTACTATTATTTTTAATAGATAGCTTTCTAATATTAATCTTATATTATTTTTTTATTTTATATTAATAGAATATCCTCTAAAATCTCTAATCTTAAAATAAATTATTAATAAATTTTAATAATAAAAGATTCTTATAATACTTAAAGAGTTATAGATAAATAATATCATCTTTAATAATAATAGATAATAGTTATTCATCTTTTAATAAAACTAAATAAACTTTAATAATCAAGCTTAGAGATACTTTTATTAAAATTATTAAATTTAAAAATATTATAGCTTAATAATATATTAATAATTTAAAATAAAGATTAAAGATTAATAAAATAAAATTATTTTTAAAAAGATTTAGAATACTTAATATATTCTTTACTTAAATAAGAATCTATTTTTTAATAATACTATAAAGATCAACACTAAAAAATGAAAGTATTAATAGTATCTAGTTTCTTAATTAAAAATATTATAAAATGATTTATATTATATATTAAGAATTAGCTTAAAATAAGTATTAAATAGAAAAATCTAAAAATAATTTTAATATTTATAAATTATAGATATTTTATTATTAAATTTAAATAATTCTATAGAGTTATTAATAAAGAGCTTATAATAATCTATAAGATTTAAAATATTCAGTAAATTTAATTTATAAAGAAATATATATCAATATACTTTTAAATTATAAATAATCTTTATTATAAAGATTAAGTATATTATAACTAATATTATAATAGATTTAAAGAAAATATTAAGAATATAATTTTAATAATAAATTTTTAATTAAAGATCTTTTATAAAATGATAAAAATAATATTATAGATTGATTTTTAATAATATAATCAATTTATAGAAAAAAAGATTAATATTAAGAAAATTATTAAATAAATACTTTATAATTAAAAAAGCTTTATTATGATTATAATAAAGATATTAAAATATAGCTTAATGTTATTATTAATAAAAAAGAGAAAAAATAAAGATATAAAGAAAGAATCTGCTATAAATGCGAACAAAAAGATACTTTGTAAAAGAATATTAATAAAGATAAAAATCTAATAATATCAGCTATTAGAAAATAGTAACTATTAATTTATAATTCTCTATTCTATATTAGAAAGTCATTGAAATAGATAATAATAAAGAAAAAAAGAATTTTAAAAAAATATAAAATAAAATTATAAAATAGAAATTTAAATAAAAATATAAATAAATTATAAAATAATAAAAGAGTTTTAAAAAATCTAATAAATATATTAAAAAGATATTTAAAGAAAATATAATTTAAAAAAAAATATTAAATTAGAAAAAATATATTCTTATTAAAAAAATAAAACTAGATATTAATCTATTTATAGATTAAAACTATTAATAAAATAATATAATATTAATTAGAATATTAATAATTTCTTATTAAAAAATAAAATTTAATATAATCTAATATTTTAAAATAATAATTAAAAGATAATAAACTATAAGAATTTAGATTAAGAATTAGATATTTTATAGAAATTAAAATTAATAAAATCTATTAATTAATTATTCTAAAAATAGTTAATATAAAGGCTTATTAATATTAATAAAAAAAACTAAAAAAAGATTTTAAAAAATAAAATAATAAATCTAGAATTAAATTAAAATATCTTAAAAATAAAAAAGAGATTCTAAGAATCTTAAAAAAGTTCTTAAAAATAGAATATAAGATTATAGAAACTTAAAATAAATTTATAAAAATATAAAAAATAAAGAATTATATTATTATATATCTTCTAAAGTAATATATTAAAAAGAATTATTTTAAATATAATAATAATATATTAATATATATAAAAGATATTAAAAATAGATATTTAAAGAATATTTAGTTTATAATAAAGATAATTTTAAATTAGCTAAAAAAATAGAATAATTATTTTATTTAAAAAGAATATATCTATATAATAAAATATTAGAATATATATATAATTATATTTATCATTATTATTCTAAATTAAATGAATTTAACTATTTAAAAATATATTAAATATTATATTTTAATAAAGTATATATATATTATTAGATAAATAAGAATTTATATAGATAATTTTCTATATTATTAAGAGTCTTCTATTAATCAATATTTAAATATCTTAAGAGATATAAAGATTATTAATATATATATAAAAAGATAAAATATCTAAATTATAATTATTTTAAAAGTGCTAAATATAGAGTAAATAACTATTATATATATTAAGAAAAGATAAAAATAATTAAAAAAAAATAAATATAATTTTAAGAA